CTGCAGGAGGCAGGTACACAGGGTTGCGTCGCTGTCTGTTTCTGGACTTTTTATCTATGCCTACACAGTGGAATGATAAGTTTTTAGTCAAACTACGTTAGAAAGTCCCTATAGGTGTAAGCTATATACGCTACATTAAAGTACACATGATAGATACATTTATTACTTAAATGAGTGCATGTGCTTTCCTTTTGCAGACGAATTTCCAGTAATTCTATGACATGTTAACAGAAGAGACAATCATCATTCAATCTAAAGTTAACTTCACATTATGTTTCATTCCTCATATATTGCCAATTACATGTGCTGATTTCTATGAGCTGGATGTCTTTTGAAGATATGCAGCACTGACTCACAGCTCTACATAGATCGTTACTTGGCTACTCTTAGTCTCAATGTTTGATAAACTCATTTTTGCGAGCTTGGCTTTACAATTAACTTGGGCAACACAAGTAAAGCGGATGGTGAGGTCTGCCACATGTGATTCAACTACCAGTGGATCAACCAAATGTGCAGCAGAAAAGTGCAATGTATGGATTGGAGGAAAGGATTATTGCTCGCAATGCTCTACTGATGCTGAGCTTCTTATTGATGGAGGATGTGCCCCAACTACTTCAGACCTAGCCAAAAAGTGTATAAGTGATAACAAAGGTAAATGCAGTTCCTGCGGAGATGGCTACTTTCTTCACAAAGGTGGGTGCTACAAATTTGGTACTGCACCAGGAAATGCCGTGTGTACTGAACCATCTGCACCCGGAGATTCTCTTCCCGCAGGGGTGTGCACAACTTGTGGATCAGGGTACTTTAAGAATCCAGCAGAAAGCGCGGCAAGCACACCGCCATGTATTGCTTGCAATGACACAGCTGGCAATAGCGGAAACACTGGACTCGTTGGATGCGGTACTTGTGACCCTCCTGTTTCTGGACAAGCAACATGCACATCATGTCTAGATGGATTTTTTGGAATAGGTGAGGGCACTGTTACTTGCACTGAATGCACAGGAGAATGCAAAACATGTAAGGGTGGTGCAGACCAATGTACATCTTGTAAAACATCATCAAAATACTTGAAAATTACAGACTCCGTCGCTGAAACCGGCGAATGTATTGATCAAGGACAATGTACAGAGACTCATTTCGCTATGGTAGATGGTGGTATAAATATGTGCTATCTCTGTAATACTACTGATAAAGGTGGGAAAGTTGGATGCAGAACATGCACAAAAAGTGGTACAGTAACATGCAAGACGTGTCTTGATGGATTCTTTGGTACTACTGATTGTGTAGCGTGCCATGAAGACTGCTTGACATGCAAAATCGAAGCAGCAAAATGTACTTCTTGTAAGGCAGATACTAAGCCATACTTTAAGGAAGGAGCTGATAATGATCAAACAGGCACATGTGTTGATGAAGTCGAATGCAAAGGAGATCACTTTTCTACAATTGACACTAGTAACAGTGATAAGAAAATATGCGTTCCTTGCAGTAAGACTGACAAGGGTGGTATCACTAATTGTAAGACGTGTGCTTTTAAGGTATCTTCTACTGAAGAAAGACCGGCGATCACCTGCACCGAGTGCACCACAAACAACCTGAGCCCCTTGAAGGACGAGTGCATGGCGGCCTGTCCCGCCGGCACATATGCTAATAATAAAGTGTGCGCCTCCTGCCACTCGTCGTGCGCCGGTTGCCAGACCGACGACAGGGAGACCTCCTGCACGGCCTGCTATCCCGGATATTCCCTTCTGTATGAGCCCAACGGAGCAACTGGGAGGTGCGTTAAGGAGTGCACTGGTGCGTTCATTACCAACTGTGCGGACGGGCAGTGCACGGCTGACGTGGGGGGTGCGAAGTACTGTGCCCAGTGCAAGGACGGGTACGCCCCGATCGACGGAATTTGTACAACGATGGCAGCTGCCGGAAGAGATGCGAGCGTATGCACGGCGGCAGGCGGGAAGTGTACGGCGTGTACAGGAGATTACGCCCTCGTCTCGGGTGGATGCTACGGTATTCAGAAACTTCCTGGGAAGGCTATCTGCATAGCAGCTAACAATGGAGAGTGCACTACTTGCGCGAACGGACAACAGCCCAGTGGAAAGGTCTGTCCGACATGTCCAGCTGGCTGCTCAAAATGTACAGGAAGTGCTCCTTCACAGCAGTGTTCGGAGTGCTTCCCAGGATACTACAAGTCCGGGGATAAGTGCGTAAAGTGTGACAAGGATAGTGAAAATATTAAGGGTGTGCCAAACTGTGTGAGCTGCAAGGAGCCAGCCAATTCTTCCGGGGCTGTTACTTGCTATTTGACACAACAAAAGACTGACGATGGCACCGGCGGAGACACTGGAGGAGACAGTATGAACAAGAGCGGCCTCAGCACTGGCGCCATCGCGGGGATCTCCGTCGCAGTCATCGTCGTCGTCGGAGGGCTCGTCGGCTTCCTCTGCTGGTGGTTTATCTGCCGTGGAAAGGCGTAGACTTAGGTAGTAAACACGTCACTGTATATGGCTTATTACACTATGCTGCTGGGGCTATCTGAGGATCGCCCAGAGATCGTGTGGGTGGGCTCGCTCCTTCCTGGCCAGTTCAGAGACGAGGGTTGGCTGTGGATGATATAACGAGAGAGTCCTCTCCAGTGATATATTCAGAGTCTGGGCATTCCTCTACCGCTCTATGGGGGTGTGCTCAGTCTGGGTGTGCGCGTCGGTCTGCCTAGGGGTCAACTTATTTGCCCATCTGTGTCGTCCACCAGTGGCGCCTCTCCTTGGTCTTCCTTCGTGGTGGGTGAAGCTCTGGTCGCTGTATTTTTTAGATGCTCCTGTCTGTCAGGGGCTGCCATCGGGCTCTCCGCTGGCTGGGCCCCGCGGTGTCCGGGCAGCTGTGGCTCGAGTCAGGGCTCCCACGGTCGCGGTCACGCAGGTCTCAGTGGGTCAGCTGGTGGGTGAGGCGGGGTTGATGGGTGAGGCTGGAGGGCTCTGGTGGGGGCTGAGGTGGTGGGTGTTCGTATGTGTCTCTGACCTCTCGGTGGGCCATTGGGGTGGGTGATCTCCGCTCTGTTTGCTAGGGTGATTGTGTCTGATCCTCAGCCTTCGTTGCACTCCCGAGACAGAGGCACCGACGATCGTGTCGTGTCCCCTGACTGATCGCCTCCCTTGGCCCCTGCATGTCTCGGGCAGTACTGCTACTCTGTCTGGCTGGTGCGTGAGGGGTGAGGCAGGCCATCGCAGCCCCTCCTGCTACTCGCTGATGCTCTGTGCGGGTCTGCTGGGCCCCTGGCATGCCCTGTCCAGTGCCTCGACGGTAGTTCACCTCGGCCAGCAGGGGTGTGGATGGCCCTGTGGGTGGGATGGGGTTCTCTCAGGCCTCTAGTGTGATGGCCCAGAAGACTGGCATGGTGAGGCACCGGTGGCTGCACTGTCCCCATGGTCAGCTGTGCTGCTCCTGGTGGGCTCTCGTTGTGGAGCGCTGTGTATCATCCGTAGGCAGAGGTGAGCCCCCTTGGTCTCAAGATGCTCACAGCAGAGAGGAACACGCCGAGGGTCACCCATACCTCACCTGCTGTGCCTGTTCAGGAGTTCCCGATGTGGTCTATCAGGACCTTGACCCCTCCTCGTGGCTCTGATGACCCCTCGGGGAGAGCCGGGGTGTCCTATGCCGAGGGAGGTGTGCACCTTCCTGCATGAGCTGGGACCCACTGCACTGCCCTCAAGGAGGTCTGCTATGAGAGGCAGTGAATGATCGACAGCCCCAGAGTGCAGTGGAGGGTGCTCGTGGTCGCCTCTGATCGGGCATCGCCTGCTGGACAGCCGGGCCTCTTGTGAGTGTCTGAAGGCCTCCTCACTCCTCTGGCTGCTGCCCCCTCGGGTCATAGGTGGAGGCCAGCAGAGTTTCGGTGAGCCTGGTGCCTGCCTGGGTGTCATGGGGGGCTGGCAGCTATCAAGGCTCTGCCACTGCTCACCTGCCTGGAGTGTGCCTCCTCTGGGTCTGCTCTGCTGTAGTGTTTGAGTCCTCTGGGGTTTCTATCATACCCTGATTGTGAGGGTGACCCCACCTGGCCCTCTGATGCCCCTGTGGATGAGCATAGCAATGTGTCTGGCTGGGGATCTCTAGTGCCCGTGTCTGTTGCTGCCTCTTGGGTAGTTGCCTGGGCCTCTCGTATGGGGGCACAGTCTGTCCGTGTGTGGATGGTCCTCCTGCACTCTGGTCCATCTGTGTTCACTGCCACTCAGCCTCGAGAGCAGATCAGTGCCAGTCACCAGGGCTGCTGTCAGAGGGAGTCGTCTGCCACTACCATCGCTCGAGCAGCCCATGCAGATCAGGCTGGTTGCTGTGCACCCTCATGGCAGGGCTGCCTGACTCCCCTTGGTCTCCTCTCTGTCCCGGTGTGCACGGCTCCTGAGTGTTGTCTGGGTGGAGGGCACTCACAGACCACGAGCACACAGAGGGGTGAGTCACAAAGGGATAGCCCCCAGTCACCACAGCTGCGATCACCCCACTCACCAAGTGGTCAAGGGCACATACAACACCCTCCATCCGGTCCCCTCCAGCTGACCCACTGAGACCTGCGTGACCGCGGCTGTAGGACCACTGTCCGGGACACAGCCGGACGGACACCGCGGGGCCCAGCCAGCGGAGAGCCCGATGGCAGCCCCTGACAGACAGGAGCATCTAAAAAATACAGCGACCAGAGCTTCACCCACCACGAAGGAAGACCAAGGAGAGGCGCCACTGGTGGACGACACAGATGGGCAAATAAGTTGACCCCTAGGCAGACCGACGCGCACACCCAGACTGAGCACACCCCCATAGAGCGGTAGAGGAATGCCCAGACTCTGAATATATCACTGGAGAGGACTCTCTCGTTATATCATCCACAGCCAACCCTCGTCTCTGAACTGGCCAGGAAGGAGCGAGCCCACCCACACGATCTCTGGGCGATCCTCAGATAGCCCCAGCAGCATAGTGTAATAAGCCATATACAGTGACGTGTTTACTACCTAAGTCTACGCCTTTCCACGGCAGATAAACCACCAGCAGAGGAAGCCGACGAGCCCTCCGACGACGACGATGACTGCGACGGAGATCCCCGCGATGGCGCCAGTGCTGAGGCCGCTCTTGTTCATACTGTCTCCTCCAGTGTCTCCGCCGGTGCCATCGTCAGTCTTTTGTTGTGTCAAATAGCAAGTAACAGCCCCGGAAGAATTGGCTGGCTCCTTGCAGCTCACACAGTTTGGCACACCCTTAATATTTTCACTATCCTTGTCACACTTTACGCACTTATCCCCGGACTTGTAGTATCCTGGGAAGCACTCCGAACACTGCTGTGAAGGAGCACTTCCTGTACATTTTGAGCAGCCAGCTGGACATGTCGGACAGACCTTTCCACTGGGCTGTTGTCCGTTCGCGCAAGTAGTGCACTCTCCATTGTTAGCTGCTATGCAGATAGCCTTCCCAGGAAGTTTCTGAATACCGTAGCATCCACCCGAGACGAGGGCGTAATCTCCTGTACACGCCGTACACTTCCCGCCTGCCGCCGTGCATACGCTCGCATCTCTTCCGGCAGCTGCCATCGTTGTACAAATTCCGTCGATCGGGGCGTACCCGTCCTTGCACTGGGCACAGTACTTCGCACCCCCCACGTCAGCCGTGCACTGCCCGTCCGCACAGTTGGTAATGAACGCACCAGTGCACTCCTTAACGCACCTCCCAGTTGCTCCGTTGGGCTCATACAGAAGGGAATATCCGGGATAGCAGGCCGTGCAGGAGGTCTCCCTGTCGTCGGTCTGGCAACCGGCGCACGACGAGTGGCAGGAGGCGCACACTTTATTATTAGCATATGTGCCGGCGGGACAGGCCGCCATGCACTCGTCCTTCAAGGGGCTCAGGTTGTTTGTGGTGCACTCGGTGCAGGTGATCGCCGGTCTTTCTTCAGTAGAAGATACCTTAAAAGCACACGTCTTACAATTAGTGATACCACCCTTGTCAGTCTTACTGCAAGGAACGCATATTTTCTTATCACTGTTACTAGTGTCAATTGTAGAAAAGTGATCTCCTTTGCATTCGACTTCATCAACACATGTGCCTGTTTGATCATTATCAGCTCCTTCCTTAAAGTATGGCTTAGTATCTGCCTTACAAGAAGTACATTTTGCTGCTTCGATTTTGCATGTCAAGCAGTCTTCATGGCACGCTACACAATCAGTAGTACCAAAGAATCCATCAAGACACGTCTTGCATGTTACTGTACCACTTTTTGTGCATGTTCTGCATCCAACTTTCCCACCTTTATCAGTAGTATTACAGAGATAGCACATATTTATACCACCATCTACCATAGCGAAATGAGTCTCTGTACATTGTCCTTGATCAATACATTCGCCGGTTTCAGCGACGGAGTCTGTAATTTTCAAGTATTTTGATGATGTTTTACAAGATGTACATTGGTCTGCACCACCCTTACATGTTTTGCATTCTCCTGTGCATTCAGTGCAAGTAACAGTGCCCTCACCTATTCCAAAAAATCCATCTAGACATGATGTGCATGTTGCTTGTCCAGAAACAGGAGGGTCACAAGTACCGCATCCAACGAGTCCAGTGTTTCCGCTATTGCCAGCTGTGTCATTGCAAGCAATACATGGCGGTGTGCTTGCCGCGCTTTCTGCTGGATTCTTAAAGTACCCTGATCCACAAGTTGTGCACACCCCTGCGGGAAGAGAATCTCCGGGTGCAGATGGTTCAGTACACACGGCATTTCCTGGTGCAGTACCAAATTTGTAGCACCCACCTTTGTGAAGAAAGTAGCCATCTCCGCAGGAACTGCATTTACCTTTGTTATCACTTATACACTTTTTGGCTAGGTCTGAAGTAGTTGGGGCACATCCTCCATCAATAAGAAGCTCAGCATCAGTAGAGCATTGCGAGCAATAATCCTTTCCTCCAATCCATACATTGCACTTTTCTGCTGCACATTTGGTTGATCCACTGGTAGTTGAATCACATGTGGCAGACCTCACCATCCGCTTTACTTGTGTTGCCCAAGTTAATTGTAAAGCCAAGCTCGCAAAAATGAGTTTATCAAACATTGAGACTAAGAGTAGCCAAGTAACGATCTATGTAGAGCTGTGAGTCAGTGCTGCATATCTTCAAAAGACATCCAGCTCATAGAAATCAGCACATGTAATTGGCAATATATGAGGAATGAAACATAATGTGAAGTTAACTTTAGATTGAATGATGATTGTCTCTTCTGTTAACATGTCATAGAATTACTGGAAATTCGTCTGCAAAAGGAAAGCACATGCACTCATTTAAGTAATAAATGTATCTATCATGTGTACTTTAATGTAGCGTATATAGCTTACACCTATAGGGACTTTCTAACGTAGTTTGACTAAAAACTTATCATTCCACTGTGTAGGCATAGATAAAAAGTCCAGAAACAGACAGCGACGCAACCCTGTGTACCTGCCTCCTGCAGAATCGAGGGAACCCGGCCTCTTGTGGCAGGTCTGCCACTAGTTCCTCTCCCAGTACCTCTGCACCCCTGAAGAGCCAGCCCCTGTGCCCTCTCTGTGCGGGTCTGGCCCATGCACCGATGCCCATACAGCATCCCTATCCCTTGGTCACGCCTGTTGCCCGACTACCTGGTGAAGGACACTCGTAGGTGGATCTTTGCGGGGCCTGGGAAGATCACAAGGTCCGTGAATGCGCGAATCGGTATTGACTAGCGTGTATAATGCTTCCACCTGGTGGGCACACAGGCTCCAGTTCTAACCCTTTGCAGTGAATATTATCAAGATCCCGTAGTGCATGAAAGGTACCAGATGGAGTTCGAAGGCGTAGGTCGGTTCTCTCAACTTGAACAAGGAGGAAACGCTGCTCAAACTGTGTGTCTTCTGGGCCAGCTGAATGAGAACTCCACTACTACTCCCAAATCACCCCGATGCTATCGCTAATGGGAGCATCTGTGTGTGCGGGACGACAAAGACTCTCCGTATCAAGCTGTCGTCAATGAGAAGGAATAGGAGCTCGAGGTGTCTATGCTGGTCCGCCAGGTGTTGGCCAGGCTCATGATCCGGCGCTCCTTTGGCCTCATGCAAGTATTAGGGCGGTCAGGCTCCCACCTGCTAATAAGGAATCGAGCAGCGCTCGCTTGTCACCTCCAGCCCGATCTGTAGCTGGCCTGGACAAATGGGCACTCAGTACAGGCATTCTGTCCCTTGCACTGCAAACCGCGCCACACGGTATAGAGTGTAGTGTAGTTCGATGCCCCTCTCTCCCTGCACAGTGCAAGGAGGACCGGCTCTCTCCCGTCGTGCATGGGAGCATGATAAGGCTCAGCTAACGGCACCACACCCTATGCCAGATCTCTATTATAGCTCCACCAGAGGCCAAAGCGCCGACGTCCACGAGCCAGTGTGAAAAGTAGAAGGTCCAGTCACACGCACCTGGACAGCAAGAGATACCGCAAGGACATATCTCGGATACGATCCAGGCAAGGGCCTTGTAGAAGGCCTGCCTATGTTAGTGGCTAGAGGGTCACATGAATGAACAGCCGTTGTGGTCCATTAGTCACTGTCCTTGTGTCGTAAGGACACCCACCGATGCCCATCACCATGAACCAAGCGAATGCTATGCCTACCCATAGAGCCTGAGTGGTGTGCATTGTAGATTGCTGATGAGCTTGGATCCGCTCCGCCGGTCATACCTTGCCAGGCTGGTTTCCTTACCCAGCCATTATTGCAGCTTCCATCCGGTAGATGAGAAGCCGGTGATCGCTTCTGGTGTGATGGATCTAGCCCCTGCTGCAGTGGCCTCGCTCCAGAGTAGGTTTTAGCACAGCCACCCGAGAGTTGATAGTCCTGCCACCTGACCGATCGGACCCAGAGCGTGCTATAGAACTAGTCATAAGGTTGTGGAGTCGAGCACACTCTATGGGCCGGTGAGGACAGATGGCACTGCTGGGCCAGGCCGTGCTGACCCTGCCACTCCGGTTGGTGCTAGCTATGGCCTAGTAGAGACTCGAAGATAAAGGTGATCAGCTGCTGCCAAAGATGTGTCCCCCACATGGATTTCCGATGAAAGTGGCTACCCTGTGACCGATTGAGATACGTTGTGGCTGTTGACTGTGCTCGGGAACCCCCTAGAGTAGCCATGCTTCGTGGATAGCTTGGAGCACGAGCTAAGGCCTCTTGCTGGCTGGTTGGGCCAGAGTAACAGCGTTCAGCTGGTGGGCGCGCCAAGAGGACCAGCGTTGCTTATGGGTCATGCCTATGCTGAGCTGCCTGTAGTATAGTGCGAAGGGTCTGATTCCGGGTGGTCACTTGAGGTCACGAACGCTCGATGACGCGACACATGTGTGAAGCGGAGCGACGAAGGAGAACCACGTGGCGGCCTGCAGGCAGGAAGGTAAGGAAGCAGACAAGAGTGTGCCTAGTAGGCCTACTTAAGGTGGAGTAAGTCGGGGGACACTCCTCTTCGTAATAGGGGGCATCGGCCTTCGGCTGTAGAGCATGTGCTCTGAAGGATGGTGGAAGCAGATGTATAGGTGATACTGATCTGAGTACAACGGCAAGCGTTGGCGTCTGGATTGGGAGACAAGCAAGAGCGAGCGCTGAGCCACCACCTGGTTGATGGACGAGCCAAGCTTGTAACACGTGTAGCAATCCTCTGACCAAAGATGAAAAGACTGTTCAACACGGTGATACAGGGCAGTCGTGCAGATTGAGAGGTTCGATAGTGGCCCGCCTGCCACAGGAAGGCGCAGCCAGGTTCGTTTGGACAGCAGATACGCTGGCTGCTATCGGTTTGTATAGTACACATCTACAATGGAGCCCCGTGCCATGTGGGGAGAGGAGATGGACTCTTTCAGCTCCGGAATGAGCAGACTTTCAAGAACCTGTTCTGCTACAAATGCATAAAAACAAAGAGCAGCCTCCAGCTTGTCCGTAGGCCTCACGGCTTTGCCATGCTTAGAAGCCATCAGGCACTACAGATATCCCGCTACAATCTTGGTTGGCAGCTAGCCCCTCTAACGCTAGTCTTACATAGCTGGCCTGCTTATCGCCCCTGCCTCCTCTGTGTGAACCGGCTTTCTAGAAACCTCTGTGCACGGCCAACCTTCTGCACATCTAGTTAACATCCCCCTTCGGTGAAGCGTACTCCAAGGACTGAGCACTGTAAGATAAGCACAACGAAGCAAAACCCTTTGCAGTCTCGCTCAACACTGGCAACGAGCACGCAAGCACGTATAAGGGTACTTGAGGAGCGGACTGTGATCCAGACTGGTCAGTAGCTGGCCCTGTAGCACTCACCGCATAGGCCTCCGTTGCGCCGTATGCATAAGCCGTTGGTCTCCCTTGAGGACAGTGGAGCGCCTTGTGGTACTTGTCTGAGTGCACGATTATCGCCAGCAGGCGTAGGGGAGCATCTGTATGCACAGAGATCGCGGACGTGATCAAAGGCGCGCCCGCTGTAACGAGCTACCTCGCCTTGCTAATAACGATAGTCCCAATCGTGGGATTTGGCTCGCACTGAACATCATGCAGGGATGTGCCTAGTGCTCAAGAAGGCCAGCACAGCAGCTGCCAACCCGCCAGGTGCATTTGCTCTCCCATCGTGGCAAGCACAAGGGGAAATGGTCGCCGGCAAAATAGCTAAGGCGTACTGGCTAGTGTCATCGTGCACATGTGAGGACGGCTGCTCTCTTCTACGCACATAGTACACTGTCCATGTGTGCCACCGTCGTTCCGTGTGCTGTTCGTGCTTATAGTACTTGCGATATGTCAGAGGCTAGAAGACGCTTCAAAAGGCCTTTGAGCCCCTTGTCTAGCGGGCTAAGCGACGAACACAATAGGGCCTGTGCACGGAGGTGCTACTCTGGGGAGATAGCCACGATCACAGACATACCTAGTTTTTTAGCTCAGCGAGAGGCCACATGACAACGCCCCCTTCAGGGCCCGTGCCGCGAGCAAGGGACGTATCTAGCCGGGCAGGAGCAACGCACGGCGGTCTCCTTCCCCGCTGTACCGCCTGCTAGCAAATAACCGTGTTCTAGAGAGATGGCTGGACAGCACCCATGGGTTGTTCGCACACGTTTCCACGATTGTCTGCTCTCCTGTCCGGCCACAGGAGGGTGCGGTCTCAGGTGTATCCATGGGGAAGCATTCACCTCTGATGGGAATGGATTGGTCGCTTTCCCAGCTTCAGCCAACCAAGTAGTCCTGTCTTCAAGGTATACCGGTAAACCTTGTCTAGCACATACACCAGTGCGGTATTCAGAGGCCATAAAACGCTGCGCTCAACGTGCCTATCAAGCTTAACGTGGTTACGTCCAGTCGTCCCGTCAGTGGGCCACGCCGCTTCCTAGCTAGCAGAGAGCTATGCATCACCCTCCACAAGCTTCTCTCCCAGCTGCCGCTCGTTCTGTGGCCCTAGCATTCTGGCCTTGCTCAAGCTCGTGCCTCTTCCACCCGCTACGCTGTAGGAAGAGATGCAAGCTCTCGGTTCACAGGGTGCTCATAGGCGTAACTCCACAGCCTAGCATATGCAGCAGTAGTTTGCATCCTCTTGAACTGCACTATGTCTGCCGTACTTATTGTAGTGAGCCACGTGCTTATCAGCTCTTCCATCTCTCCTGCCTTAGACGCATCAGGTAGACCCAGCAGTGTCCTGGCCCTTTCCTTTATTGATACACTCACAAGAGTCGCTCATAGACGCCTGTCTTCTAACTTTGATGCCTCTGTACACGGTTCGTGGCCTCCACGACTAGTCACACATTCTCCGGTATCTGCCATTTCTGGAGGAGGTCTACTGACTAGGAACACCACTTACACCATTTGAGCATCACAAGCAGCAGACGCTAGATCCTTCGCTCACTGCTACGCCGCATTCAATGACTCCCTACAAGTGACCTGTTACTAATTATACTTACTGGTGTTAGATACATGACAGCATAAGCACACGCTGTAGCGGTCGGTGCTCTCTGTTTGCTTTTGAGATCCAAGTCTCTATCGATATGGTACTTGTCCCGCTTGCATTGTTGGCATTTGCACGCCTGGGTCTGTCAAGACCGCTGTGGTAATGAGACAGTGCCTCGTCTTTGTGTATTGAATGACTCCGGTAGACCATATGAAAGGCTGTTCGGCTGTTTCTGGCTAAGCCTGATGGTATCTTCTTTGCATGCCAAATAACGGGCATCACACGGCTCCACAAGAGAGATGCCTGCTCGTCATCCTACTGCAGATCCAAAAGCACTCTCCGACTAGCAGCCCTCTTTAGCATTTGCTTGATGTAGCTAAGAGAAGTCTCCGTGCTTCTGTTCCTCGATGCGCTTACACTGCTTCTCCCATAAAGCATTTCTTGAGGGTTACATACGCATTCACTATCTTATATACAGGATGAACGCGAACGGCCAAGTGGTTTGGCCAAGGATAGAACAGCTAACGAGTGATCAACTCGCCCACTTGCATTCTTCCCATACGCTGGAGTTGTAACAGCTTCAACTCGACTACTTTGTAGTCTAACCATCAACTCCGGGTGGCTCAAATTCAAGCACAACCACACACCCCACTGGCAAAGTCCTAATTCTCAGCAAGCTATTGGGTGGTGTTACAATGACATAACTATCCAAATTAGATTCAGCCTTCTTGGCTTCTGTCTACGCCAGTGTTACTAGAGTATCTTTGAAGGAAGGGTCCTTTCACCTGCATCTGAGACCCTCTCTTCGGCCTTTCTCAGTATAAGATATGGGTTTCTCTACTCCTTGAATGCTCCCCCAAGAAAGGCGGCAGCTAGCACACATAGGCCTGTCACAGTAGCAGCTAGCAAGCGGGGTCTGTATCGAGCCTCAGAGGACACGTCGCCTTCTTCATCAGGCAAACCCCCGTCCTCTTCTGGTGAATATGTGACCCTGATGCTGTTTGAGACAAACACATCTTCGCGAAGTGTGGTACGGTCGAGCTCCGTAATCCCAGACGGGACAAAGAGAAGCCTCCCTTGGCCGCTGAATGCTTCCTGTTCGACTAGCCCTGTTAGCGTCAAACCAAACTCTTTTCCGTTAACCTTCGGGCCTGTACAACTGAACTGTATATCTGTGGCAATCGTAACAGGAGTTTGAGGTGCGCTTCTCCAAGCAGTCTGCGTTCCACTCAGATAAAACAGGGTATACCTTTTTGTGACAGGATGCACTGTGCAAGTGTAGTACAGAGTGTTTGAAGAAGAAGCTGTGCGCCGCTTGTAGCCAAGCGTACGCATCATCCTCTCCATAACGGTCTCTGCGTTTTCTTCTGGATTCGTTCTAAAGGCAATGCTACTAGGCCATGCAATAGTAAGGTGAGACTCGATCCCAAAGATCACTATGTCAATGTACTCGATGAAGATGGACTGATGGTATCCTACGTCAAGGATGTTAATAGTCCAGTCTCCAACGGAGTTCTCTCCGTAGAACAGGTAGGAGTAGAAAAACACACCCTCAATATCTTCTGTCGTCACAGAATCTGGCTGGATCATCGTGCCTCTGGTTCCCTCTGGCGATTGCACCAGTATACTCAGCTCCTTTAGATTCGACCCGTTTGAAGCAACAACTCGGAGTCCTATTTTCTCTATGCGCTTATTTTGCACGACAGATAGCTTCTTCTGGAGGGTGATCCGATCAGGGATGTAACGATCGATTGCTATTCGATGGACTCCACACTTTTCCGCACACTCCCCACCATCATCAATAATCACCCCTGTGCAGCCCAGGAATTTCTTACAAGAGTTACCACATCGCTCTTCCCAAGCCTGACGGCTCATGTAGTCTTTTTCTGAACCATATATGTGACGAAGCGCCTTAACATAAGAGAGGGAGGCATTCACATCCACCAGTCCAAACCCGTATGTATTCGAGAAGAGGTATCCAGCAGCGTTTCTTTTCCAGTCGTTTGCGTCGCCGAGGTATGATGAGTTAAGCCCTAGCTCTGTGTGTCTCCCTGTCTCGGCGATCACGTTAAGCAAATCAGAAAAGCTCATCTGATACCCTAGAGCTGCAAACGCATCGGCCACTAGTGCAAGTGCAGCTGCTCCAATAGATAGGGCGGACCCAGGCCCATATGCGACGGGGGCAACAACGTCATCAAATCCAAAGGCGACCAATGGCGCGTCTTCTGTTCCAGACGGGGTGCTGAATAGGATATTCGCTCCGATTCTGGAGCTAGGATAGGTGACAGTGAGTACTGTGTTAGCCTCTCCATGAGATTGCTGGATGACGCTTTGTACATACACAGCTACGGAGGATTGCAAATAATTTAACAGATTGACGTCTTCTTCGCCTACACCTGTACTAAAAATAGGGATGAAATCGCCGTTGCAAGAGTCTTTAACATCTGATGCTGCCATTACATCTCTGAGAAGAGGAACCAAAGACTCCAAGAGAGAGTTCTTAGCCCTTAGATGAGCAGCGAATGGAATCTCATACATACAAACTAATAGGTTCATGAAGCGGGATGATGCGCCCTTTATGCTATATCCTTCCAAGACATCAATAAACGATGCTTCGTACTCTGAGCTAGCAACCATCCCAGAAGATGTCTCCGAATCAACCAGTTTAGGTCTGAACACCGTTCTCTCAATGACCTGAGCGTTTCTCGCTACCCCACTGGTGCCTCCAGACATGTGGGCTGCAGCAAGGGTTAACGCAATTGTCCCGGGTGCATCCTCAGTAAAGAGAGATGCATTAAAGCCGCCACAGTTTATGGAATATTCTTCGTTGAGAGTTAGTTGGGTGCATGTCCTAGAAATCCCTGAGTTCAGAAACGAAAGCTTAATTCGTCGGCCGGTGACATCAGGATGAATTAACGTAAGGTTATCAGATCGAAAGATGTTTATAAGGTGAAGATGATCTAGTGGTTCTGCGTCCTCTGTTTGGTCATTAATATGATAAAGGAGAGTTGTTGTATCGAAAAAGTCGTCACAATAAACTTTATTGACAGCAGCTTGGCTTCGAAGATGTTGTAAGTATTGCTCTTTTAAACTCTTTTCAAGTTCGGGATGAGCCTGGAGCTCGTCAGCTATTTCGTGATAACAATCAAAAACCTTCAAGTCCAAAACCCCAAGATCTCGTACAAAATTTGGATCAAGTGTCGTGGAGTCCAACTGATACCCCTCCCGTAATTCTAAAAGGCAGAGCTCTCCTCTTTCAGAAGTTGTCAAGATAGATATAACAAGTAGCAACAACAATAACATGTGGCTCGATAGCTTTTTGTATCTGCTTTTGTTCTCTACAGTAAACAGCCGCTGATACCTACGTATATTCAACATCTAACAAATAGAGATCATCAGGATTAGTGATTGGAATTACTTAACTCGAACAAGATAGTATATGGTCCTTCATCTTCAGGCCGTTGTATAGACATGCGAGAATTTGTTCAAGGCTATAGAGCTCTAAATGTTAGAAAGACCATGACTGTTAGAATTCAACCAGTCCTAGACAGAGCTAAAGCCAATGCTGTTCTTAATTTGGTATTCTAGAGAGTCATGGCTCCATTCAAATAGGGAGGAGACAACTGAGCGCAGAATCAAAAAGCTGAGTCTCAGGTAAGAAACACATGGGCCCACAAAGTGGTTTCCATGATACCTTAGTGCCTGCAGCACCGATGCATAGCCCTACAAATCACGGGATGGCGCTAGGTGACTCTACTTTACCAAGCAATGAAACAGAACCCAGCAGTCTGATTTATGTTCCTTTATTTGGTCTTAAGTACGCACAGCAGTTCATGTACAGCAGTGGCTTCGATTCTAGTCATCGAGTGCGGCTGAATTTTGACGATCCTAGGGGTTGTTTGCCTAAGGGAGTGAATATTTTTTCGTCAGACCCGTGCTTAGACGGCCATGCTTACAGGCGCTGCCTTTCTGGATTTTTGACTGCCGAGTTATCATGTTCACCGCCTCTTTTTCTGGAGCTTCTGGAAGAAAAAGCGGCTAATGAGGACTCGGAATCGTCAGAGGAGGACATTTCCGATGCAGCATTCATTCGGCGTCATGTGATAATGGAAGCGCTCGAGCGGATACATGAGCACAGTGCTGCACACTCCTTATCGTCAAGAGTGCATGCGCCGGTTTCTTGTCTTGCAACTCATATGGACGACACGTGGCTTAACGCTTCAGTTTTTTCCGCAATTGAGGATGCCTTGTCTCTAAGTAGTGAGGAGCTTTCTCAAGATAGAACGACATACTATTATGAGCACAGTACATCGGCAAGTGCATTTCTTCTCTCTGGAAAGTTTGTAAGGCTTTTGAGTCCTCAAATAGAAACGCGATTCTGCCATTTTGACTTTGTCTTGCCAGATCCTAGCACTCGCAGAGTGATGGTCACAATCTACCCTGAACCAGAATACTTTGCTCGTTATGCTAGCGATATTTATGTCATAGCTGATGACATCTCTGAGCACAAGGCGTATGGCGCTTTGTCAAGGGTCCAACGGGAAGAACATGCAAAGGAAGGAGCAGAGCAATACGGCTCTAAGAGGTCTAGGAATTACACTCAGGATATGGAAGCCTGCGACACCGTTCGAAACTATGCCTCCCACCGACTGCTTACCTCGACGATGTTTACTTACGTCCACTCAGCATACGAGCACTGGCTCGATGTTATCGAAAAGCTTTTCATGGGACCCTGGTCCAAGTCTGCTAGTTTTCTACGACTTTGTTCACAATTTATAGAGTGCAAAGTATTTGGGTCTCTATCCCAGGAGCACTTTGCTACACCAGAAGACGTATACCTGGCCCAGTCACTAACTTGCGGGATCAGGGGGATTGTCTGTGATGTCTTCAACAGCTTTGGAGGCAATGTCACAGCATTGCCAGAACTACCAGCAAACGAGCTTTTAGGACAAATCAATGAGGCGATCAGTGCTTCAAAGAGCATGCATGATATTCTTTCTGCTGTGGATGTCTTCACAGCCAAGGATGCTCAAGGAAAAGAATCTAGCTTTGTGGAGTCTTTCCATGTAGACACAGCTAAACCCACATCAGTCTATGAGCTCGCTGAAAAAGGAGTCTATAATTTAAAAGACGCTCAACCTGGTTTCTTGGATTTAGAATCGTTGCCGGAGCAGGACCAGGTCGGTGGCCTTGAAAAGGACATCCCAAACAAACAAGTATTTTCAGCGCCAACTACACCAAGAATCTTAGAAGCTGTTGCCCAGAGGTGTATGAACGAATTTTCTGATTTGTTTTGCCACCCTCCTCTTACTACAGGTCCAGGGATGAAACTTACTGGCTTCGAAAGTAACTTTCCTCATGCGATAAGGGCTCTTATAGAGTTAAAGGGTGGAAGCCATGCATTCTACACACTTACTTCCATGGAAGAAAAGCTTCGCTATCTTATGCCACTCGTGCTAGATCGACTCTATACCTACCAGCACTTCACTACAGCTACCTTTTTTTATGATTCCCTTTTAGAACACATGCGAGCATGCACTCAGGAGACTCTTCTCCAAACTCATGATCATGTTTGCTTGGATATTCCATCTGCGCACGCATACTACAAAGCTATTTGTCAGATGATTTTGCGCTTCAATAACATTCTCCTGCGCACTTCTCAGGCACAACATAACGGACTCCTTCTTGACGGCATGGAGGCGAGATCGGTATCGTTTGTCGCGTCCTGTACTTGGCCTGAGGGCTGTGTACATGGAACCCCTTCTACTGTGTCGTTGACGATCAGGCCACTGTGTCCTTGTTACTTCTGCAATATGGTCGCTATGGATGAAACAGATCTTTGTGTAGACCGTGCATATTCAACATGCAAGGCATGCTTATGCAAGTCCGGAGGAAGCTCTATTAAAGCGCAATCTACCACCGATATGCAAGCTGGCAAGATGGACACAAAGCAAGCGTCTGCAGGGGCGACGCTATCTATAAGCTATAGAGATTTGTGTGCATCGTTTTTGGGCGAGGAAACACCCAACAGACGAGACAACCTCGTAGCTGAAGCTTCTATCTTGCGCCTTATTGGATTGGCCAAACAAAGCATGGGATCCAATGTAACACCATTGCTATCAACCGATCACATAGAAGAGGCGCTCTTGTCAAAAGAAAACGATTCAGAACATAACCTTCAATTCCTTAAGCTTTCCCTGGATGGTAATGTAGAGGGCAAGATTAGAAGCTTGGACGGCTATCTACCTCGAAGGCTCTCAATGAAGCACGCTCTCCTTATTTATCTCACACTTCTTCCAGACTGCTCCGTGCGGGCCTTTGTCTGTAGCTTTCTACAAACGCGCTTGAGGGAACGGATCGCAACCATCTTCAGCCAATCCATGGACTTGATATCTATACCCCCTAGTAAGCACCAGGTGCGCCGCAACCCAAAGCTATCTGTCGCTGAGCTGTCTTCTGATTCAGAAGATAACCATAGCAGCGCGCTATCATCATCGGGGATGGATTCCGGGCAAGGCTGGACTCAGCGTGGCTGGACGGCGGCTCCTCACAGACACACTCGGGGCAATAATCCAAGGGACGGCCTAGATGAGCTTAACTTAGGACAAACCGAGATAATAGAATACATCCCGTCGTGCATCCATAGGGTACAATCCTTGACGAGCAGCCGCGATTTTGACTTTGTTGCACAGCAAAACACTTACCAGCACACACGTCACCTCCGACGGGTACAGGCAGGTCTGCAGCGGCTACGTGACCGACTACTGGAGCACGAGCCGTTGGTCGCAAATGCCCATGCTTCAACACGGAAGCGGCGGAGGCGAGGGCGTGCATCCGGAAGGGTAATGCTTGCAGAAGACGTCCTTGCGCTGGAGGGCTTTTCTAACGATCCCTTACGGGCCATGGCCATCCAGTCAGCGGAGGCGCTCGAGGCCATCAGAGCAGAGCCCACCCTAGCCCCCGGGCCTTCTAGGGTGACACCGATGATGTGGGCTTCTCACCTCTACGGACCTAAGGTGCTCTGGGAGGCCTACCATCAGATTAACTACGGAAATCACACTGATGTGCCCCCTGTGACGCTAGAGCGGGGGCTGTGGGCTCCGTCCCGGGCCCGACTACTCCCTGCACACGGAGAGCGGCGGTACCGTACGCTGGGCTCCGTCGAGGGCCTGGCGCTGGCCGGGCACACGATCACCGTCTCGGGGCTGGGCAGCGGAGAGGCAGGCCTTGCCGAGGGGCCCGTGCAGGTCCGCTCCCAGCTCCCCGACCCGACGCACACACGCCTCGCCTTCGACGACGTCCTCGCCGCTCTTCTGGGCCTCCAGGAGGGAGGGGAGATGGAGAGGGAATAAATGTTAGCCCGTTATCTTTTAGAGCTAGGCTCTCTTAACATGGATAACTACACCGAAAGTGATGTGGAAGAAGCAAATAAGGCACTTCAATTAATGGGATATGTAGCCAAAGTGGTCAGTGAGCCCCCCAGCCATCTTGGTCCCGAGCAGCGCTTAGTTGTGCTTATTCAGCAACGAAAATATCCTATCAATATGGATGGTAGCTCCAATAATATACTACTGTCTTCGGATATTCGAAAGCTTTCATGGCTGTGCATAAAAGCCGATGTCAAAGCATTGGTCGATAAACTTCTTGACTCATTACCATCCGCCCTGCTTATCATCACTCCTGAGATAACGAACGCAGTTCTCGAATTGACGCAATCGCATTTTCTGAATGCGTCGTTTACTGGAGAGAATAATATTGTGTTACCAAACCACGAAATACTGGATAGACTCAGACACCCACACTGTTTTCCTACTCTTAGATTCTTGTTAGAAATGCAAGACTATATATTGGACAGACAACCCTTAAGGTGTAATTGCATATATTGTAATACCAACGTCGGCTTTGGAGTCGTCTGCCCTTGCGGAGCGTGTGCACACTTTGACTGCGTGCGTCAACTACTTTCTCATGACGATAATTTATCTTGTCTTGTTTGCGCGACAGCGTGGCCGGCTCCATACATTGCCTATATTCATGATGGTGTCAAATACTCATGAGACAACATCGACAGCACCACAATTGTCATCTGTGTGCTGTGCTCTTGATTGCTCTGTGGTCTGAGTTGATGCATTGGCGACGCTCAAATGCATATGGGAGGATCCAGAGTCCATTGAGGAACACCTTGCAGACGCTAGCTCTTTCATTAGTCTGCTGTTCTCTGTCTCTAAGAAGTTTAGCTTAGTAGTCTCTATCTTCGCTTCCAGCCCTTTGTTCTGCAATTCGTCCAGCTCTTTTGTCAGAGCGGCAATAATTGCCTCCTGATCTGTAATGGTGCGTTGCATATCTGACACTACAATAGCGACCTCTCTTCGCAGCTCTTCAACATTGCTGTTTATGCTTTGTAACTTCGCAGCCGTGTCTGGAACACTAAAGCCATCCTGTGTGCGATAATTCGACCACTGATTTAACAGCGTAGATAGCCGCCCTCCTAGCTCGCTATACATAGTCATTGTGTTCGCGGCCTTTTCTTGCGCTGCATCACGATCCGTGTGTAGCATGGCAACCTCATTCATAAGATTCCGGTTATCGCAACGCAGCAGCGCATTTTCATAGGAGAGACGCTCTAACTTCTTCTCTGCAGCACGAAAGGATCCCAAGAGAGTTGCATACATTTCTATTACTCCGGTAAATTGCTCTTTATAGGCGCTTTCGAGTGCTTCGGCCACCTTTGCTCTAGCGGTCAGGTACGCCTCAGTAGATAGAAGCCGGCTCAGGAGAGTGCTTTCTAATGTGCACAGTGTAGCCTCGCGTGCGTCCACTTCTTCCTTTTGGGCAGTAAGGGCAGAAATGGTATCCTTGGCCCGAGATGCCAGCTCATTGAATAACCGATAGTCTGCAGCTAGTTGTTGTGCATTCTCTTCTATCCTTTCATTGGTGCGGGCATCTACCTCGAGTACATGACGACGCAGGCACGATATTGCCGTATACATATCTTCAATGGTTGCAAGATCAGTCCCCAGTGTATACTTGTCCAAATGAACTGGCTCCATGTAAGCGTTAATTTTCTCGTGGAGCAAGCGTGCTACCTCGCGTCTCAGTACATCTATCTCATTTGGGGCAGCCATGTTGAGGCCAAAGACTAAAGATTGCACGGATAAGGTTTTTAAAACTTGGGATAGGTAACGAGTCAACCATACATGGCTGCAGATCTCGTTGTGCGTAGCCTACAACTATTCCTAATTAACGCAGTTGTTCAACACGAGTACTCGCATAGCGTCTCAGTAGCCCTCACAGCTGAAAAACTTAAAATTATTGTGAAGTGATGGATGTCTCTCAGCGCTACGAGCTTCCTCCAGAAATAGCGCGGATTCTAGGGACTAATTACGATGCTGATGATATCCCCATGCCAGAAGAGCTGCGGGGCCAGGAGGCTCTACCAGACTCTTTGGATTTTGGTGTCGACGAGGACTTTGACACCATTAGCTTAGAAGTCACGAAAAAGCGTGTCCGTGAACTGGAGAAGAGCAGACCTGGGCACGTAGATACTGTGTTACCTAAGGCAGACTTGAACACATCCAGCATTGAAGACTATGTCCGTAATTTTTTGGCGCAAGCCTCACTGGTGAAGACCCTTGAATGCTTTCAGAGTGAGTGGCTCGAGGTTAATGCTCAAGGGAATCTTCCTGCCACATCCCAGTTTGTGGCATCTATTCCAGACGCTCTTGTCGAAAACAGAAACTTACACAAGAAAATCTCTGATCTAGAACAAATCAACGCGCACTTGAAAAACAGCGCCGAGAAGGCGCGGGATCAATACGAGCTCCTTCGAAAGGACAGAGATTTCCACAAATCAAAACACAGGCGTGCCTACCAAGAGAAAATGGTTCTCCTCAATGATCTACGGCGCTTGCGGGACCATTGTGCCCTTTATGAGCCTCTCATCCGTGACCTTACTGAGAGGCACGACTCCATACATCGGGCAAAGCAGATGGTTGCTCTTCAACGCGATAAACTTGAATCTAGAGTCAATGCACTGGAGGAAACAATTAATGCTATGCGTGGGGATAGCGCCTATGATGTGGACGAACTGATTCGTGTGTTCACAAAGGTTCAGAGTGGATTGAAATTTGGGAAGATTATTGGAGCAGACGGCAAAAAGGTAGAAGTCCAGTCCATCATTAAGACGCAACCAGTGCCGAAAACCAAGGGGACATATCAGGATTTAAGCAATCCAGGTCATTTCACGAAGTTGACTGGTCAATCAAGTTCTAAGATGGATGCCAGTTTGATAAAAACTATCAAGTCCAAAGCATTTCCGAGTGACGCTCAGCTAGCTAGATTGAACCCGCTCATTCAGAACAAGCTAGAGTTATCAGACTTTGAAACCGTTGCTGACTCTAGACTAACTCTAAATACAATCCTAACCATCAACGCTCACGAAAGCACTGTCTCATCCGTGGACTTTCATCAGAATAGGCAGGTCATGGCAACTAGTAGTATCGATGGAAGCTGGAAGGTGTTCAGTAACCACGACGCACAAACAGCTCCAGGGCAGCTAATCTTAAGCGGTTCTGGCCATACAGATTTTGTAACATCCGCCCGCTTTTGCCCTGTAATTAATGGGCAGACACTGCTTACCACAACATCAGCGGATACTACCTGCAAACTTTGGAACATCGCCACTCAGCAACAGGTCCTCGAATTAGCAGAACACTCTAGTATAATATGGGATTGTTGCTGGCATTGCACGGGAACTTCTGTGGTTACGTGTTCACAGGATACCACTATTAAGATCTGGGACATCACCACCACTCTAGGCATGTTAGCTGACGAAAAGGGCTCCATCTTAAACGTGGGCGTTGAGGACACAGATGATACCTTAGGAGCCGGTAACATGACAAGTATGACGGGAGGCTTCAGTATGATAAGTGGTGCTCAGCAAGCGCCCCAAAAGAAAACTAAGCCAGGGTTGGGCTACTGCATTGGAAGTCTCCGTGGACATATGGGACCTGTGCTATCTGTTAGCTACGAGCCATTTGGCAATTTAGTGCTCTCTAGTTCTATTGACAAGAAGATTAAGGTGTGGGACCCGCGTACACTTACATGTGTGCGTAGCTATAGCTTCAATATCACAAACGCATGCAAATCATGCTGGTCTTTGGACTCTGGTAAAATTGCAATGGGAGACGTGGACGGCCACGTAGTTGTATATGACATGCGTGCGATGCAACCACTTGTACAGCTGGACCTGGGCCAGAAAGCGGGAGTAACTGCTCTTTGTTTTGACAGGAGCAGCGATGGCGTTATCGCCGCGTGTTCAGACTCGGTCCTACGAATTCTCGGAGTAACTAAGGGAAAGGTGCATACTACAGTCAAAACAAATGGAGTTGTAGAGTCCATTCAGTTCTCCCGCAATAGCGCAGTCTGCGTAACAGGTAACGACTCTGGCGAGGTCAATGTGTGGGGAGTATAATAAACTACTCTTTACTTTAAATGAAGGAATGTTTGCAGTTATCTTTGGATATATTCTCCCGTTCCTAGCCCTGTGCTCTCTCTATTTCTATACAACACACTTTACTCGCAGATATACAATCCGATTCATAGAGTGGTCCAGCAGAAAGCAGCAGCCGTTTGTGAGGGCTGTGCAGCGCATTCGCCTGACAATTCCGCCAACGGCCAGAGGCCCAGCGGACTACGCTGTTCTATCCTACACTCTTGGTGTTCCTGACGTTAAGTATCAGCGTCGGAGCCTTCCGCCACAGCTTTTCGATGGTCTGGGAAGCGTTTCAATGGATCAGGTTCTCGTACCTGATGCGCAATCCAATATATTGATATGTACACCCATGGCTGCGTCTGCACGTGCGCCCTGTGTCAAGAGGCTTGTCTCGGCCGCAACAGCAGAAGGACACAACTGCTACGTCTTGATTTCTCGAGGATACGGTGGAACCATTTTGGACAGCGACGCACAGGAACAGTACCTGGACGAGTATCTAAACATCCAGGACATTTACGAGGCGGTCTATGACCTCTCGCAAAACTCAGATCTACCAATTCACCTGGTGGGATTTTCCTTGGGGGGCATGAGGATTTGCCACTTTATTGGCGACCTGGTTCTTAAAGCAGGTCTGGTGAGCGGCTCTCAGGAGGGAGTGGATCATGATGCCTCTACTCTCTACGAACAGTATTTCACAAGACTTAATCTGGTCCAGATGGCTTCAAAGGATAAAAAGTTAGTAACTAAGATTTACAAGGCTATAACGAGCGTGGCTATTTTGTTTGCAAATCTAGATAAACGGCAGGCTTATCTTAAAAATCTGAAGACACATATCTCCATCGGGTCCTACCAGCGTGAGTATATTGCAAAAAACAAGGACGCCCTGGAGGTGTATGCACAAAGGACAGGCAGAGAGATAGATTTTGACTCGATCCTTCAGAACCAGGCACTTCGGACCATGCAGGATTTTGATCGAGAGGTATTTGCACGGTTAGTTGTCCCATCCCAGTCTCTTGACGACTACTACGATCTTATCTTCCCTTCTGCTGTTTGCTTGGAGGCCGTTGCGATTCTAAGTCGAACCACGCCCATCCTTTTCTTGGGTGCCTACGATGACACAGTCACGGGGCCATTGCTGCCGATCCTTGCACACATGACAGACAGTTATCAAGGGAAAGCAAACCTATTCACACGATCCAGTGCCAGGAACCAGATTGTCGCGATACAGTACCGCCAGGGAGAGCACCTGGGGATCATTGGAGCAAACGGGAAGGATGCGGCTAGTCTCGTACTAATCCATTGGTTTGCACAGTTTCTGAGCTACTAATTTACCTCAGTGAATAGACTACCGTAAAACGGCATAGTTTCCAAGGTCTTCCTCAGCGGTCCCAACAATGCCCGTGCTCAACGCAAAAAGGGCGTCGATGTCGAGCTCAGGTGCTAGTTCTGTCAAGATGCGATTTCCCTCCCCAACACCCAGCTCATTCATACGCTGGATACCAGCTTGCCGCTCGGAGCGGAGAGCCTCTTCTTTAGCAAGCTCGTCCTGGGTGGGCGGTGCCTTGTAAAATGGAACTGTGCCCCTGTTCCAGTCACGAATACAATTCCGCGCAGCCCAGTCCAAGTCAGGGATGCCACCAGGCAGAAGCTTACCTTTCTTACGCGCAACACAAACCAGGAGCTCTCGAGTAAGCTCAGCAAGTAGGCGCTCCCTTGCAGAGAGGCCCTGGTTGTCACCAAATGCTATCTCATCACTTACTGGTTGTGAGAGAAGTTCGTCTGCCCTTCTGAGACAATCAGCAACGGGAGCGCTCGACTCGGCACGCTTGAGAACGTCGTCAAACACATTAAAGGCCCGAAACACTGCAGCATAATCCTTCATCATGCTGAGCATCCTGGTGCACTCTCCTATGGGATCTACAAGCTTCTCCTCACGTAAAATAACACTCCTTCCCTCATTAAGAACAACACCGGGCGAGTCGAGAATCCGCAGCCTTAGGTCTATGTGTATTTCCGAAATCTTCTTTGTGTATCCAGGAATTGGGGCCACTCCGACGGCGTTCCGAGATGACAAGGAGTTAATAATAGACGACTTTCCTACGTTTGGAATGCCTACTACAGCAGCAACAATCTTAGTTCGCATCGCGGCATCTTTAGCCTCAGGAGTGCTAGCAGCCGCCTTCCGGGCATCGATCTTATGAAGTAGGTGTTTAAGCTCGCTAGCACCGATGATGGCTCGGGGATCATGGAGCGCTCGGCTAAGACGATCCTCAGCGTGCTTGTTGCCTGTCTCTCCATCAACGAACTTAGACAAGTTAACCTCATGACCTTTATGAACGTGTGTTGAACTCTTGAATGCAATGCATGGGACGGCGTGGTTTTTAAAGTAAGCTAACCACGCACGAGCCACTTGTTGAGGGACTAGATCCACTTTATTCATGACAAGCACGAATGGCTTCCGCTTCTCAGCACAGATGTCCTCTATCTCCGGACAGCGTGTGCCTTTGGGGTCTCTGGCGTCAATGACCTCCATTATAACGTCTGCTTGTTCGATTACTTGCTGAAGTTCTTGCTTAAATGCACCCCGTCGAATAGACTTCTCACTGAGATCAGTAGCGTCGCGCGTTGCATCGTAAAGGCTTGCATATGCATTGGAGATCCCAGACGGTGCACTGGCGAGATCTTGCTGGAGTTGCTGAGCAGACACGTAGGCAGCGGCCTGTTGGCGCATTCGGGCATCCAGTTCTTCCTTGGTCGGTATATGTTGGTCACTGCCAAGGATAGCCTCAAGCATCTGCTTCTTGAATGGATAGAGATTAGGAATTCCGGGATCACGTTTGGTTCGGTTGCTCCGGGCCATTTCCCGCTCCTTCTTCCTTGCTCGCTCCGCCCTCTCCTTCGCCTTCTTAAGCCGGTGGTGTTTTTCCCTGAGGGTAAGCCTGTGGCTCATCTCCTTGCGTTTGCTTGGCATCAAGATATAATAATTAATTGATCCTTCAAAAACTGCTGCCCTAAAATTTTTCCTTTAAGACTTAAGGTCTGGAAAATGAGTAAGGTTTACTCAGAGCGGCGCGAACCATGGCAGGATGATCCGCTACTTTTCTTTCCAAACGTGGACGATTTCAAACCTCAGGCGTTGAAAGCTATTCGACAAATCTGCGACACAAAACAGTTGGCTACTTTTTCGCTTGGGTCTACTATAACCCTTGCTGACCTAGGAGAGAGCAAAGTGCATCCTTCCAGCAATTTGCGTGGAGCTTCGGCAAAGCGGCGTGCCCCGGAAGAGGGTCTGATTCAGCTATCCCTTGCAAAGGCAAAGCAGGCTATCTCGCATATAAAGAATACAACAGACACTCGGTTACCGTCAAGGTCTCTTGCAGACACTGAGATAATTGATCTGATCTGGCTGGAAATCATGGGGGGAGACGACGCGCGACATCACTTGCGTGCAGGTACCAACGGGGTGTTGTCAGACGCAAACAAGCAAACAGGGCACTTCTCCTTTTATGAGCTAGTGACAAAGGAAGAGATTGCCCCTGCATTGTCGTCCGGAGTTCCTTTTGCGCTGGCTCTCAAGCACTTCGACCACATAACGACCACAAAGAGTGAGTTGTACTTGGAAGTAATTAATCACAACCCTCGTAATAGCACAGAAAGATATGTTAATTGGGAGAAGTGTATGAGAGTCTTTGGCCTTCTCCCTACTTTTAACATTGATTTACTTTTCAAAGGTCGTGAGCTAGCCAGTGGTTCAGACGTTCAACTACTTTTCGATGTCCTCCACGAATTTCATCGGGCAGCTACCGGGACTGGCTTGGTCCTCACTCACACCTGCCTAGAACTTGCTCTACTGGATGAGCTCTGCAAAGCTTCAATGTCAACACCACTCAGCATCAAGCAACTGAATAATTTATATGCAAATTCCCGGTCTATGGCGTGTGCTAATCTTCCTCAAAAAGCAGTCCTAGTCTCCACACGCAATGTCACACCAACTGCCCAGAGCACTCCATCTCAGCCTAACACACGAAGTCAATCTTTTTGCAACCCTGTTTGCAGAGGCTCGGTGACAATGGATGATGTGAAAAGCATGTTGACACCGTCAACTCCTTCTAAGAAAGATTACCACAAAGATAACTTGGCGTTGATTAACGATTTGTCCAAAAGGAACAGGGAACAAAAAGAGATGGACCGCGAGTCCCTCCTCCGGCGCGTAAGCAACACAGCCTACAGTTCGATTTTATCGGCTCCTGGAACACCACGGTCAGACCGCTCACTATCTGCCCGGACTCCAAGTACCAAACGACCCACATCAACTCCCAACAGGAGCAAAACTCTAAGTGAGACAGCCATAAGAACAGTCCTCAAAAGGCTCCAACCCGACGACCTTCCACCAACTGTCCGCAACAAGCTCTCATTGGATGCTCTACGCCGTCTTGAACGCAGTGGAGTCATAACATATGAAAATCTGCTCGAAGCATTCAATGCGAACAAGCATCAGTTACACTCGTTTCTCACTGCATTCACCGATGCAACTAGCTTCTCGATAGATTCGCTGGCACGAGACTCCATAGGTAGCGCCGATACTAGCTTTACAGTGGGCTGCCTTGGCCAAACCCTAGCCTTTGGAACAACTGCATCTGTATCTACATCAAGAGGAGTTGTCACGCAAGCAGATCTCGTCCTTTTTAGCAAACAATATAGGAAGATACTTTTTGATGTTCTGTCTTTCGATTCTTCTGGATTGGGTTTTTCTTCTCAGGATATTGAGGCGAAGATGAAAGCACATGCATCCTTTTTGGAGTCTGCTGCTAAAGACAAGGAGAGCAGGCTTCTCAATGAGCAGGTAAAGCAGCTGCAATCGATTCTTCAGTTGTCGGCAAGTGTAGCAAGCACGTACAACATAACGCGACAAAATCTTCTTTTGAAGGCGACATTTATCATTGAGAACTGGCTTCGCGGGAGCGGTTGTATTCCGCCCTCAGAAGTCTCTGTTGAGTCGCCAATCTATGATCCTTATCGTAATGGAATAGCAGTCATACAAATCTTCAATCTCGTTTATCACAAGAGCGACTTTTTCCGAGAAATGCGGATGAGACTAAGCCTCACTGACGATCTCTATGCATGCTACTCTACTGTTGGCCGAGTGACACGCCAGACTGAGAAGTCTAGTGACGCTGTGAGGCCGCGCTCTAACTCTCTGCGTGCATCTATTTCTTCAGAAAGTGCGAGAGGTATTGGAACCCAGGATATAGCTACTGGGGACTACGGCCTCCAGCTAGCTCAAACCAAGGACCAAGGTCTGCTGTTTCCGCGACATCAGGCTCCAATCAATATTTCTGATTGTATACACAACAATAATACTCTTCTGAGAAAGCTAGCTGCTACTGAGTCTGTTCCATCCGGTCTGCTTCCAACAGCAGATGCACTTGTCCAAGGAGACTTTAGCTCTCTTCAGTTCCTTCTCCTCCTGCTCTACCTATTTGATGCCCTTCGGCAAATTTTCGAATCAAGGAGAGAGGTAGCCAAAAGATCTACCAACGGTTTATCTATTGACGATCTTTGTCTTCAGGAATTTAGCGCCCTTCTTTCGGAGATAGTAGACCTGTATGGACCGAAGACAGACCAGTTACTCCAAGCACAACGCGGGCCAAAACCTATCCCACGAACAAAGGATGAGCTTTCTCGAATCAATGGAATATGCTATAGCGTGCTGCTCTGTCCCAACAGAGCCAGAAAGCTGTTCAGTAGCTTGTCTGGTGTGCAGCCCATTCAAATACCGCAGGCGCTGGCTCCTTCTAAGCGAGCCAGTTCTATAAGCTCTCTCCAGAAAAGCATGAGCATGGCTACAACCAGTAACACCCCCCAAAGCACCAACCTAGCCAATGTTGGAGAAGACGAAAAGGAAATCATATCGTACTTTTCTGCATTGGAAGCAGCCCATATGACAGACTATACTAAGCAAGCTGAGCAATACAAGAAGCTAGAAAATGCCTTGAGTAATTGGCTGTATTCACTGGATTGTTTACCCGAGCCATACATGAAGATAGTAGACATTGCATACTTTCTTAGGGATGGAGTTGGACTGTGTAAGATAGTGAGCGAAATCTTTAAACTAACTTTAACGCCGATTGATCCATGCCCAAAATCGGCGAACATCCAACTTGGGAACATCAAGCGTGCGTTGAAATTCGCAAGAGATAGCTATCAGTATAGATCTGTGCCTATCCCGTTTATTGATGCATTCGAGGAAACTGCTGTGAGTATCCAACGGGCAGAGGTGGGAGCGGTGCTAATTCTAATGCGTGAGCTTTATAGGGTCTTTTCTATATTGCGCAGAGAAACCAGTATTGGTGGTAGAGCTATGGCTTCTATCGGCGTCTCCTCTACTGGGGTTGCATATAAGTTGAAGGCTAGCAGAAGATCTCCAAGTCTTTCAGCAAGCTTATCCGCATCTCCTGGAAGCTTTCAGCGAAGCTTGTGTACTAGAGAAGCAGAGCCTTCAAATAGTAAGATACTACAACTAGTATATGCGATAGATAACATTGAGACGTATGCGGATTCAACCCCTTTAGAGTCAGATAAATCAGTATACATCTCAGACTGTCTTGTTCGTGCCCCAGAAGAGATGCACGCCTGGAAGCTTCCCAGTGTGGCCTACCCGCTGGTCAGCATGCAACCAACAATGGTATGCCTGCCATATTCTGTGAAAGGAGAGGACTTTGTGTCACTTCCACAGAACTTGACAGAGAATGTGGAGCCAGATGAGGAGGTGCCCATAGTAGTAACAGCAGCTTTGGACAAATAGAGGCTGGTGCCACTCTACGTTTGTAGGCTGCACATGTAATGGTTCAGTAGGACGTCTTTTACGGGACCTTCTTTGCAGTAATCTATAGCCAACGACTGATAGTTATCACACATACTAAACTCTCCTCCAACTAGTAGCTTCACACACTCCAACTGATCTGCATCCACGGCGTGCAGCAGAGCTGTCCATCCATTTCTATCTTTTATTCCTAATTCATAGCACATCAAAGCCTTGACTATGTTAATATGGCCATAGCGAGCGGCAAACATCATCGCTGTATTCCCCACGTGATCCTGCATCCTGGCTTCTGAAGTTGACAAAAGGGGGACCACGTTTTCCTTTCCAGAAACTGCGGCATTCATGAGCGCTGTCCAACCAGAGTTGTCTTGCATTCCTGCTTCGCGTCCGACTAGCAATCTTACAGAATGGGCTAGCCCTTTCTCTGCACAGAGCATGAGACATGTTCTCCCCCTTTCTGTTTGAATGGCAGCTTGTCGCGATATCAGTCTATTTATCTCCCGCAAATCCTCTTTCAGAGCAGCTGTCATCATTTCTGTATAAGTTTCTGACTGCTTTGTGAGAATTGTACAGTTGGTCCGGAAATCGCTTCTCTGTCTTAGAGTGGGCTTTACATGCCCGCTCAATAGAGAGTTCAACCGTAAGGTGGGTGTAGATAACACTGACTTTGTAAGTCTCTTGTCTGCACTTTCAGGTCTACTAACGACTCTACTACTTGCTGCACTATCAGATTTATAGAAGGATCCGCCAACAAAGGAGCTCTTTACAGAGAGGGAGAGAGATGACGCCTTTTCCATAGAAGACACATAAGATGCTGAATCTCCCGTCTCCTTTTTCCGGTGTGTGTCCGAACGAGTTACTGCAGTTTCGCTTTTGTACAGATCTGAAAGGTGTAGTCTGTCCCTTTCTATCGATGTGTTGCTTGGTTCTGTTCCCTGTTTGGATGTAGTTCCAAAGGGTCTATAGGGTGTCATAGGCCCGACTGAACCACCGTGTGGAGAGTTCCGAATAGATCCACAGGGAGTACAGTGACTCATTTTGGATTGTGAAAGTCGGAGGGACCTATCCCTTTGTTCACAAGCTTCTGTTTCTGCATTTAGCAAGAGCATAGCAATGTCTCCGTGCATGCGCTCTGCAGCTATTGTTAGCGCTGTTTGCCTATGCCTATTCTTCATGCCAGTCTCATAGCGAGCAAGCACCTTACAGCACTCGTAATGCCCGTAGCGAGCAGCGTACATGAGAGCGGTGTAACCAGCGTCTGTATACATCTCTGCTTCTCGTGGGGCCAAGACTCTGCATACGTTTGCGTGCCCGCGGTATGCAGCGCACATAAGCGCTGTCCATCCGTTTCTCCGGGTAAATCTTCCTTCTTCAGTCACAAGATATTCGCAGCATAGAGAGTGGCCAAACCAGGCCGCCCTCATGAGGGCTGTCCACAAATCCTTGTCCTGGATTCCTCCCTCAACCTTAACCAGCAGAGAGACGACACTGTGGTGACCAAGCTCAGCAGCTATCATGAGGGCGGTCTTCCCGCTACGCTTTTTCATCCCAGCTTCCTTGAGGAGCAACTGAACGGCCTCTGTGTGTCCTTGTTGCGCAGCAAACATCAGAGCAGTTTTTCCTGATGGGCACCGCCTACGAAGGTCGCTCTTCCGGTTCTCTTTGATAAGGTCTATGTCGTTCTTAAGGGCTGCAATCATGAGTATTGTAAAGGGTTCCTCCTCTTTCTTCCCACTAATAAGGTTGTCGAAGTCACAAACAACATTATTCTCGTTGCTGCTCTCCGACTGTGTGCATGAATCGCTTGTTGTGCTGAGATTTGTGGTACACAGAGCCTCGAACTCATCCGGAAATAAATCACTCGACTCCTCCTGATCATCCGGTTCGGTGAGATACGCCTTTTGGCCAACATTATTCCAGCCATTGATCCTTGAATTCCGTTCTATAAACAAGTGCTTAAGCTCTCTTGAAGGAAAATCAGAAGCATCTGGTTCTGTGATGGGACAGAGCATCAATGACTCTGACTGTCTCATGTTATCCAGAAATTGTTCCGAAGAAGCCTCCTCCTTGAGGTCTGAGATACTAATTCGTTTTGTCGTTCGGAGCTGGTCTTGAGGTACAGTATACAGAACCAGTTTGCCTCGGGCTACCATTTCATCTCGAGAGCTCGTCAAAAATTTGACTATTAGTGGATGTCGACAGAGTGTGTCTAACGTCACGCGTGTTTTTATATTTTGATTTAGACAAAGATTTATCATCATCTGGAGATTTCGAGAGTAAGCGGGATTCGTTGGGGCTCTCTTTCCAGTAAGCACGTGTTGAACAAACTGCTCAAAGTTATATTGAGCATGTGACGTCTCAGTGAGCATGCTCTCAAAACTAGTATCCTTGTTCATAGAGGCTGTGGCAAAGCTGATAGACGGGAGAATAGCCATAGATGCTAAAGAGGTGTGGGGAACAGTAGGGATTGATCGAGGAGTATCCTGACTATCCACCAGGGTGATATCGGGGCAATCATCATGGACCCCCTTGCTTTTAGCGTTGCAATTAAGCTCTAACAGTGCACTTGGACGTTCTGAGATGAAGTACTGTGTGTGATCACTTATGGCACCATTATATTTAGCAAATGATTCTGATGCTTCATCACACCTTTTGTTATAGGGCGGATTGGTCACGGAAGAAATAGTGCTGACCCCTTCCAAAAACGGATTTGAGCCGTTGCAGCCCTCAAATAACAAGCACCCAAGCATCCACATGTCAGAGACAGGAAGTATTCCTTGGCCTTGGAACACTTCTGGGGGCAAGACAAGCGTCAGTCTTTGACCGTAGTCTGCAAAGTTCTGGACACAGCTAGCATGGGTTACACTAGTTCCATGCAGCTTCTTCTGCACCCGCTCTATTAACCCCGTAATGCTTTCTCTAGTGCTCTGCTCTTCCTTCTCATATTTCAGCAAAAATGGTAGGAAGAGCCCCAAGCGTAGGATCCCCGTGCTTTGATCAATAAAACAGTTAGAAGGGTGTATATTTGCATGTTGAAAGGACTTATCCTGTTCTAGCAGCGCATTGAGGGCGACTGTTATTTGGGCTACAGTGTTCCAGAGGACAGGCTCGGGAACCGCTAGGCCCGCCTTCTTGTAAGACTCATATATGTCTGCAAGGGTCACCGTTCCATACTGCTCCATTACGATTGTTATTCGCTGCTTGTTCTTATTCTCAACAATCTTGTAAATCCGCATAAGGTTGTTGCAATTGCAGCGCCGATATAGTTCGACATACTCCCGAAAGCGGTGCTGCTCATCAGAGGATAACTTCCGCATGTCGATCGTCTCCGCAAGGAAATTCTGTTTAGTGTCACGTGAAGTAACCCTATGGGTGCTAGAAAATGGAGTTTGTGATACCAGCGACACAACATGGTAGTCCGCCAGCCAGAGTCGCATGTGCAGCCTTGTCAGTAAGGACGAGTCAACACGAATTTACTGGCTTGCTTTGTTTTTTGTTTCCCAACATAGATACTGAGAATAGAGCTTAGACTGTGTCGCTCTTTATTTCACTGGACTCATGGGAGAGCAGGCCTATCTCGGTTTCTATGTTGTTTCCCGCCATCTTTTTCTTCTTTGGTGTCATCTTGGCGATGCACTTCTTAATGAGGTCAGGGCGCTTTGAGGCAATGATAATAAACACAAAGAGGGCTATAGTGCAAAGAAATATGAGGAGAAGCAAGTAGTGCGCAAAGTGCATGCTATGATCTTCTGGAGGAGGAATGTATGAGTCCCAAGCGTGGACGTCTGTGCGCATCTGGCACTCCCATAGCTTAGTTCTTTCATACGCAAGTGGATCGAGATAAAAGCCCACCTTGCAGTCGTAAAAGACGCAGCTGTTGTTACAGTTAAAGGCCCCACGAGTGGAGTCATCTAGATATGGGCAAGCACCAGCGCTCGCTGTTTCGTTGCCTGAAAAATGGTACAGCGATGTGGGGACATTGGTGCAGTTACTAGTGCGACTGGCTTCCTCTATTGATCGCATGAGGACATACACATCCTCAGCAAAGGTGTCGATGCCTTCAAGCCCTTGCCAGTTCTCAACTGTGGGGTAGATAGGAAGAACAGCGTGCACCGGAACCGGTGTGTACTCGAGGGGCGTATAGCTCTTCCAGTCGTGCGTCTTGATATCCCAGCTGAAGAGCTGATGGAACGCAAATCTGGCATACGCGTCCGTTGGTATGCGGAGCTTTGTGAGCACGTCCATGTTGTCTAGACCGTCCTCTGGAGGATTCATGATAAGTTCCTCAACTGCGAACTGCAGAGATTGTGAATCCTCAACTGTGCCTCCCGAGAACGACGCCACATCGTATGGATCATCACTGTACTCTGATAGTCCTGTGGTCCCACCAAGTCCGATAGCAAGGCACCTCTTGGCTTCAAGAAGATGTTTGGCAAATGTCGCACACGTGGACCCGCAGGTTCCGTCTGTCACTATAGCAACCCTATCAGGAGATAGGTCTAAACCTCTAAACTTATAGAAGCGCAGCAATGACTGCTGAAGATCCGGTTCAAGATCGTCATCAAAGGCAAATCGCTGGCTGAATCTTGCTGTGCGGCGTCCGTTATAAACGAGCTCATCGATCTCCGGATACGTCTCCTGGTTCTTAAAGTACCAGTCAGTTGTATCTGTGGCGCTGTCTCCAATGGTCATGTTAGCCCCAGACCACGGGTCAGTGCGATGCATGAGAGTGAACCAGGACTTTGCCTTGACAAGTGCGTCCATAATCCGGTTGGCCCTGATATTGTATGCTCCGTAGATGGGATAGTTGCTAGGGAACAGCGCACGACCAAGAAGATGGCCCATGGTGACGATGCCTCCACCGTTCCCATTCAGAACGACCATCAGCTGAGAGATGGGACGTTCGCGGAGAATATCCAGAGCATCGACGATGTTGTTAATGGTGGTTGCCATATCCATCGGACTGAAGGAGTAAACAGCAAGGATGTACACATTATCCTGGTTAGAAATAGTGCTCTTTGATGTATACTTGTAAAGTGAGAACATATCGTCACCCTTGATATATTCATACTCTGACTCGGATCTCTGCGAACTGTTATAGCTAAAGTGCGCCAATGAAGTGTGAGAGTATTTCGAGTATTGTATGCCTGACCTGGATACTTCCTCGTCCATAAATCGGGCATATGCCTTGTAGTCGCTGGGGTGGCTAAGCCCCCTTCCACGCGTAGCACGAAGTATGGCATCACGAACGCCTATCAGGTACCCAGCAGTCTCCTCACTCTGTAACTTCTCAAAAGCAGTAGGCTCAGAAGCATTGTTGTCTCCTGAAAGAGTGTAGGGGGTGCTAAGCGAGATGCAGCGCATGTACGCCCGGACGGCATCATCCTCGGAGTTAAAGATGGTGTCAGAGTAGATTGAGAAGCGAAGAATAACGCTCCTGCCGTCAACAAGAGTGAACACAAGGTTTTCATCACCCTGCTCCGGCAGCCCGAAGACCTTGAGAGACCTAGCATAAAAATCACCTGACAGCAAAGAGTTGAGGCGGCCATGGGACGATTTTGTCGAATAAACATACTTGTCAGCCCACTTGGCCAGGTAAAGAAGCGGCTTCTCATTATTTATTGTTAGTATTTCTGCGCCTATATAATCGGCAAGATTCACCGAAAACATCTGAGTGTATGACTCAGAAATATACCGTACAGATGTGGGAAGATCGGTGAACGTCACCGACCCAGTCTTACTGACATTGAAAGCCAGAGGAAAGGCCAATCGGAAATGACCAAAAAATGACGGCTTGACATATAGGCTATGCGCATCCTTTAAGTCACGGAAAGTCTTGGCCAATGCCTCGTGGTATTCCCAGGCAGTTGCTTTTCCGATGAGCTTGGAATATTTCTCGCGTATGAGAGAAAGACTGGCCTCGGTGTCTGTAGCTAGGTGTTCGTACGGCGCTGGTGGCTTCTTACAAATATCAACGAAGACGTTCATGGGGAGCATGGCTTCAAGAGCCTCCTGTGTCTGATAAAAGACCTCCTCTGTGAGAAGCGGAGCCTCAATGCATCCTCTTGCAGACGAAATGGGGTAGGTCGCCCGCGCGTAAGGCATGCGGCATTCTGCAAGCAAGGTCACCGCGAACGACAACGTAATAAGCATGCCTTTTTTTGTTTTTTGTTTGACCGCGTTTGTTTAGTCGGGCTTATTAAGCTGGCTTACTATGTTCTCGCTTCCCTCTAGCGTGAGAGAATATGAAGCACTCTTCCGAACTACTTTAATAATTACAAGTTGCCATTGATTCTTTCCTTTTGACCAATCTATGTTTGGTGCACCGGGGAGCGTCCCCAAAGACGGAGATCCGCCAGCAGACAGGGGGTATCGGCCAATGAGAGGCTACTTCAACTGGACCCGTGATATTGCAAAGGAGGTCCCAACAACTCCGGATGCTACAGAGGGCGACCAAGAGGAGAGTAGTAGCTCACTTGCCGATACAAAGGCCTGTGTAACTCCTGTAGGACAGAATGAAGTCAGAGGTGTTGCTCATCCTCCAAAGCCGAGCCATTTACAACGACAGCACAGCTCTGTGCAGCACGTGGTCGCACCATTAAAGAAAGAGGCAGAGAATACTGTGATTAAGAAAAGTCCAATCTTTCTAGAAGAACCGCCACAGAAGAAACTCAACTATGCAAGCTACAGCACAAGTAGCAAGAGATCGTCTAATGACCAATCAACCAAAAGGTCTGCATCTCCTCAGACCATCGATACAGCTGCAACTAAAGTTTTAGGGCTTACACAGCAGATGACTATCTTAGATAATAAGGAGTTCCAGTATAACAAAACACTCGGGTCCACAGAGGTAAAGTCAGAAACAAAAGTCGTCGTGGCCACAACACCTCCATCTGAAGTACTTACTCCGCTGGTGCCCACTTCTTCAACGCCCCAATCAGCTGCAGTGCAAAAGAAACCAAGTCAATCTCTTCGCAAGGGAATATTCGGCCAAACAGACATAAACTACAACACTACAATTGATTTTCAATCTGGCGACGCCGCCAATACAAATATCCCTCTTCCCCCCGTTACTGGGCAGGTTTTAGAAAAGCTGCCAACAAAGCAAGTGGTTTACCCTTGTGCGCCGCAGGTACCAGACTTGCAGCCCGTCAACACTGGTTCTCAGCAGTATCGTATTCCAATGGTCAGTCTAACGAGCCAAAATGTAACATACACTACTTCAAACCAACCAACCATGGCAGGCGAGTCTCGAGCGGCCATTACTGCGCCTTCAACCCGTCAGAACTCCGACGGAACAGTCGCGCGCGTCCATGACATCGACGACCCTGATTACACAAAAGCGTTGAAGTTTCTTGAAAAGTATATGAGCTCACTAGCCCTTTTATTCAGAAAGATCCCTGTCCAAATACTTTATATAAATAAGAAGGTCCACCTTGTAATAGAACAGATTGGTGCTGGCGGGTACGGGCATGTCTATAAGGCATTGCAACCCAGCGGGAAGCTCTGCGCCATCAAGCTGCTGTGGAGTCAAAAGGGGAACAATTATAATGAAAAAGAAGAAAAGACCAATTATAAAGCAATGATAGATGAAATAGAGATTATGAAGCGGTTGAAAGGAAAGGGAATATGTCTAGATTTAGTGGACTGTCAAGTAGTTACTAAACACAATCCTTTTCTGCGACGGTATGCCCTGATCGTAATGGAGCTGGGAGACACAGATTTAAGAAGCTTTATGAAGGAATTTAAATCTGTAAAAAGGGACAGAGTTGTTGGACCCCTACACCCTTGCAACTTGCTCCCTGAGAGCAAGATTCTTTCTCTTCTCTATGACATGATAACAGTACTTCACAGGATGCATATGCAGGGTTATATACATTGCGATCTTAAGCCCCAGAACTTCATGTTCTACAAGGGCCGCTTGAGGCTTATTGACTTTGGCATATCCAAAGCAATGCAACAGGACACAACCTGTGCCGTCACAGACACCATAGCTGGCACTCCGAAGTACATGGCTCCGGAGATAATGCTTACCATTGGTAGAACTATGGATAATAAGAAGACAGAACTTCACAGAGTCGCAGATGTCTGGAGCATCGGGTGTATCTTGTTTGAAATGGCTGCTGGATACCACCCGTTGGATAGGTACGTAGATAACCACCCACTGGCACTGCTGAATACTGTGGCCGAAAAGAGGTATGTCATAGAGGCTGACGACCTGCACGTTTCTCCAGAGCTAAGAGAACTTATACTGCTATGCTTAGAGCACTCTCCCAAAGACCGCATAACCATGGAAGGGATATTTGCCCATGCATGTCTAAAGAATCAGTTCTCACAGAATGAAGTCTCTGAGTTCCAACGGTCTTAATTGATTTTCATAGCCAGATATTCTACTCATAAGCTCAGCATAATTTCATGGTTACTTTGGGCCTCACAAGTGCTCACAAGATAGTACCTGGCCACAAATGAATCGTCAAATAGCAAAGTAACTAAGCCATTCTTCGTGTAGCCTAATATCTGTGTTATTTTTCTTTCGTGTGCCACAGCTGCAGGAATAGGAACTTTATGCAACACCGCACTAAGCTTCTTTGTTCGGGCAGAGTGGCATACCTGAAGTACAAAGAGACTGCCAGAGATAGTTCCTATCAGAAAGTGCTCATAGTCTCTGTGGTATGTGGGATCTGGGATCACTTCTGTGAAACATGTAGGAACTTTCAAGCGCTTCAACAACTCCGTCTCTATGTCGCTAGACAGCGACTGTAAATTAAGCTGTGTTATAGTGGAGATCGGGCTATCCAGTGCAATATCTAAACTAGTGGAGTTTGTATCTCCTAGAGCGGCCCTGCTATTCATAGAAACAACCACTGAAAAGGAACCATAGACTATGTACTGCTTTCCGATAACAAACGAGTTTATAGCTGCCCGGACGAGTGTTTCATCGCGGCACTGAAGAGCTCCACCCTGATTGAGGGTGTAAACATTGTCATCGAAGTGAGAAATCTGTGTAATAGGGAGCCCTGGCTCGTAAGTACAATTATGAATCTCCCCTGTTGCTGCATTGATAGTATAAAGTAGTCCATCGTGTGTACCCGCAAAGCACAGCTCTGTTTGGGACCGGAAAGCAAGAGATGAAATGTTTCGATGACCGTTCCCAAAGGGAACTACCCTGTGGGAGACTGTGGGGGTCGTTTTCGCTAAGTTGTCCACGGATGGTACAAACGTTCGAGTCAAGAAAACAAGCTCACTTTCATAGGACCAAAGAGCAACGTACTGCGTGTCGTTGATAAAGCTTCCTGACAAGTAGGCAACACCTCCAGAGGCCACATAGACCGGGAGCGGAAAGGAAAACGTAGGCTCTGCACTGCTAAGGTGTATGTCTGCACAAAGGACCATTCCGTCGTACGTACAGATAAAGAGAGTGGCCAAGTCCTCGGGCCCGCAGAGGAGCTGGCTGTTGGTGATGTCCAACTTAACAGTAAAGGGGATAAGAACGGCTGTACCTTCGTCGTCCATTTTAATTACAACAAGGCACGATGGAAATCCAAACGTCCAAGTGGCGAGGAAAATTTACACGTGCATCACGTGTAGAGGCTAAATACAGACAGTGTCTTTAAAATTTACGGAAGATACCAGATAAAATAATCAGCGTCTCAATAGAATATTTTTTGAACAGATTGCAGTCCAGCTAGATCCGAAGAGGGACTATCTGAGCCACAGGAGCGGGAAAGGCCACAACCTCTTAGTCACGACTCCCTAAAGATGGTGACTATACTTCTTCTTTCCTCGCTTGGACTCATTCGGATTTCGTTTCAGGAAATGCGGAACAGTGATAGCGCTGCCTTTCGTGGATGCAGGTCCTTTTATGTCTGCCATAAAGTGCTGAGCTCCGGTCACGCTGCCCATGTTGCGGCCCTTTCCTTGCAAGCTGAGGATGTACTTGGCATTGGGATCATTCTCAGACGCAATAGGGACAATCGTGCGCCTTCCTGCTCTACCAAGGTACTTCTTGGACGCAAAGGCAGGCAAGGAGAAGATGGTTCCGTGTAGGTTAAAGTGCTTGACTCCAGTTGAAAAGGTCGCTGTCCCATCTTCTTTGATGTACATTGCCACCTTCATCATTGTCTTGTTGCCACACTTCTTACAAAAGGGAGACGCTAATATTGGGCTAATGGCCAAACAGGCAGAGCACTTTCCTGCGTACCGCTTGATCTCTTTAATGACTCCTTGTGGTGAGACTAGCCGCAGATTCATCTGCATGACTACATTCTGCATCGAGTAATCAGCAGTGCATATGGCAACGGGGACAGCGTCCTTAGCCTCTCTGAGCGTTGCCAGGGTATCTTCCATCAGGGTTTCTGAAGTGACCCAGTCGCCTTCGCCCTCAGCGGCGATGCTCATACTGTGCTGCGATGCGCTACCTTCTATAATAGCATCCTGCACCTTGGCTTCTAGAACCGCGGGCCTGGTGTAACCTATCTCCTGGCCCCTAAGATTCTTTGGCCGCTTCAAAGCAACATCAATCCATTCATGTGAGTTCTCTTCTCCAGCAACGCTGTTAGCGGTAGCTTGACCCACAGGTGCCGACCTACTATCCCTAAGCAGCTCCATCATGTCATCCTCAAATAAACTCTGCTTATATGCTGCATACTTCTGCTCCATCTCCTGGGTGACTTCTCCAACACGAGTCCGTTGATTTTGCTGGCCGTACCGATCTCTGTACTGCTTGTTGTCACCATGAGACCCGAGTGGTGCTGTGCTAGCAACGTGCTTTTCGCTGGTGAACACCTTGAGCGCAGTTGGATCTCTAAATGATGGCTCGAGGCGAATGTGACTATCGTCTCCATGAGCTGTGACGTCTAAATCCAGAGCTAGAGCTATAACCTCAATATCTTCTTCAGAGAGGCTTGTCAGGTCTCCCGTTGCCCTGGCAAAGGCACGGACCCGCCCAATCGACACTTTAGAAGGTGTGCTCACAGTGATTGTGATGGGAAGATTGGATATCCAAAGCTGGCTTTCTGGATCGCATACCTCTGCCATAACACCAGGGGTCGTCACAAAAGATTCGCCGATCTCCCAGAAGGCCATTCGGCGCAGGAAAGCGTTGGTGTCAAGAACCACCGTTCGAGCAACGATCGGCATGAACAAGCAAACTGTGTGGAATGGTCGGTGGCAATTAATTCCAGCTTTCCACTTAATGAGCAAGTTGGAATAAAACCGTAAGTAGAATGATAAGTATAACGATTTGCAAATTACATTAAAATCCGCTTCCGCCTTTTTCGGGGGGAGTTAAAAATGTTCTCCGTCCGCGCCGACCCCACGAAGTCTAGGCTCAATGTCATCGACTCGCACACTTCCGAGTTCATGGTAGAGTTCGAGCTCTCGTACAACGACCAGAAACATACCCTAGAATCGAGACTCCAGCTGCTCCACCAGGCCGTGAAGGATCTTGACATCCTCATCCAGAAGCAGACGCTCCAGCGCGCCGAGGCGAGCCACGCAATGGACAAGATGCTGGATGAGCACATCACAAATCACGTCACTGCCCTCAACAATCTGATCGAGCAGCACACGAGCGAGACCCAGGTTCAATTCCAGGCGATGCTCGAGAGGTACCAGCACCTCTACGACGCGGTCAACGAGCAGGTGCTCCGCAGGCAGCAGGATATCGAGGAGTTCCGCAAAGAGTATGGAACCGCGATGGAGGGCCTCGCTGAGAAGCTCAACGCCGCAATCGATGACCGCGAGCTACGTGTGGACAACATCAGGGGGAAGTTTGAGAAGGACTTTATGCGCCTCATTGAGTCCATTGAGTCATCGAAGCGCGCCTACCATTCCGTGATTGCGTCGTACAAGGATGAGATCAAGTCCCTTGTCGAGAGACACAAGCGTGGCCTCTTTGAGTGCCGCGAGACGATTGTTGCTGGGTTCTCCGACCTTAATCGCGCAATTGAGGAGGAGAGGGCAGAGTTCACCGAGAACGCCGGCATGCTTACCCGTGAGTTGGAGACGGTTATGAAGTACTTAGAACGTAATATCTACACGGGAGTGGGTGTCCTGTAACATCTCGCGGGCCTTATGCTGTTGTCGAGTAAACCGCGTGTTTTTTGCTCTTTGGGTGCTTGCATTGCGACTACACGCCCGTCCATTTTCTCCCCTAGCAAGCTTCATTACCTCCAAAATAATAAACTAACCGGGGAAATTAAATTGCCAGGTCGATGAGTCCGGATGTCTATCAGCCCTCTGAGCTAGACTCTGAAGTGGCCATCTACGGAGCCCCAGGGATGCTGACAACACACAGGGCCGAGTTAGCGAGGCATCACCCGCGCACTGTGGCCGCGGTTTCTGTCGACGATGATGGGATCTACCATCCAAGCGTTCCGGCTGGATATGAGGAGTCTGCAGCGAATGTTAAGAACGACGATCTTGCAGAGCTCTCTAAATTCTGGATTTCTCTAGGGATTCCTCCGGGAGAGCGAGACAATGCCTACATGAAGGTCATCGAAGATTCTAAGCTCCTAAATAAATACATCGATCGTCTTGCTATTCTAAGCTATTATCACCAACTATATAAAGAGCTCTTTGCGGCGCGTGAGAAGTGTAAGGCAAATATCAACGGCTCCTTGTCCGGCACCCAAGGCTCTCGACATGATCTTACTGTCTTACTTCTCTCCCTCAGGAACCTGACGCTTCGCCTCTTCACACTTGTCAACGCTGCCAGGACACTATGCCAAAAGCCTATCCTCTTTCCATCTATGAAGCTAGCCCCCGGAAAGGGTTTCAACACAGAAGATGACTGGATAACCTACATTAAGGAGGAGTCCTTTATCACTCCTAGCGTTGCGGAGCTCATCTTCATCGTCCTCAAGTTCTTTCCCTCTATGACACCCTCAGCGATCAATGAGAAGGTCTCCGCCTTCTTCAATACAGCCCTTTCAGCCGGGCGCATCTTATTTGGGAAGCATCTCCTTGGAAGTGCCTCCAGTGGATATAAGGACGGCCAGAATATGGCTATGACTTCCTTAAAAGCCAGTTCCACCTCGAGCGACACTCTTTGTGAAGTTCTGGGCTATAGTAGACCTCTTACAGCGGCAGACATTTCTCTACACCTTATTCTAGGGATAAACTTTGAGACTCCCTTCACAGACAGTGATCTCCCCGAAAAGTGGTTGCAGCAGCTCGAGAAACGAAGTGGTGGATCCATTGTGAACGCGTTCCAGTACAACAACGATACAGCCGAGCCAGAAACACTTTCTCCAAGGATTGTCTGGGATATGGTGAAGTGTGAGAGCATGGTAAGGGATAACTTCATAATGATAGCCAGCAAGCAAGAGAAAAAAGGCCAGAGAACTGTCGTTGTCCCAATTTCTCGAGATAGTACTTGGAAGGTCCCCGAGTCCTATAACTTAACGTCCACCGTCACGCCCATGTTCACTGAGGCACATGTCCGCACCGTCACAGACACCGAGCAGATGCAGCACGAGACGCGCTCGGCCAGATCGACAAAGTCTGTCAGATCAACACGATCAGATGTTGAGGTATCTGCGCTGAATCCAAATATACACACACCTCATGACAGCTCTATCTTCGTCGATGCCATAGAGGATCAACGAGGCTGTTATGCAGCGCGAGGCGTCATATCTCAGGAGAACGCTGCGGCAAGAATGGCACGAGTGCCTCCAGACATTCTCAGTCACCCGCAGGACACACACGCCGCCTATGAAGTATCTGAGACACGTATTCACGGTGCCCAATCCAATGGAGACCAGGAGATCATTTTCACCGGCTCGACGGGCCACAGGCCAGAAAGCAAGTACTCTGCCACCAACGAGTCCACTTACTCGCGATCTAACTACGCCACAAGTGCCCTAGATGGCAACGAGTGGGCCCCCGCACGTGGGCCTCGTAAGATCGAAAAGAGTGACGACCACAAATACACTGTATATGATCCCAATGCAGAGAGAAACGAAACGTATACAACCATAGGAAAGGACAACTTTCCAAAGAGACGTAATTCGAAGATCTTCGTGCAAGGGCTCACAGGCTCGGGACTGGAGGAGGTAGGGGGTACCCCAAAGATGCGACGAAGGGGCTCCAAAGTCTCCCTGGAGAGAACAGACAGTACAGGGTCCATTCAGGATGATCAGGCTTCCGCCCCAACAGGAGCTGGGACACCGAAGATGAAACGCCGTGGGTCCAAGATCGCTCTGTCTAATATTGACGATGAATCCCCTAGCAAGCTAGTTAAAAGACGTGGATCTAAAGTCTTCACTCCAAAAGACAAGTCAGAGGAGCCGTCCAAGTTTGGAAGGCGCAACTCGAAGGTTGTCAGCAGTAACGCCGAGTCCAAGAATTCTACTCCGAAGATGACCCAGTCGAAGCTTCAAGAGTCGGAGCTAAAGGTGCCTCAACCGATAGAGAACTATACAATTGAGCGTGCAACAGAAGAGGAGCTAATGGAGCGTGCACGCGCTGTTGCAAATGATCCCGTTTCCTACTTACGGGAGCCATCCAATGTGAGCACGACAGGTATGAACGATCCCGTATTTGTCCTTTGTGATCCGTCTGCCTTCAGCCACGAAAACACAGACCCAGGAGTTAAGATAAGTGGTGAGTCGTCATCTCATAATGCCCCTGTCAGCAAACCCAGTAATGCTCCCGTGGGTGGCCAAGTCATGGGCACAAAGGCGTATGCAAACGTACAGAACAACCGCGTTGGTCCTCGCACTGCTAACAAGCCCGAGGACCACGTGGTTATTATGGCAGACGATATCTACCGCGGTGATTACAGCGAAGTGAGCGCTAGCACATCTGTTGCTCCAGGTCCAGAGCACCCGTCTGATGCAGGCATCGTTTTTCTGGCGTCGCTGACAAAGTAGGCGCGCAACCTCTTTAATTTTTATGATCTAAGTAAATCCTTCATCCCCGTGCTTCGGCACGTCTTCCGGGTGTCAAGGGCAAAAACTAAAGTTTGTAAATTAATCCTCATGACTGACCCTCGTGGATTCAATCTACCCACTTCCCAAGCAAGTGCGCTGCGTTCGTCTAACCAAGTACGTGAAGCGCTTGATTTTTCACGCCATCCAGAGTGCCCATCCCTAGGCATGTATGCTCGGTTTAATCAGCCCCGAGATCTGCCACCACCTGAGTGGCGGTATGGCATACACAGTGCTCCAAACGAGTACCCAATGACAAACGTGGTACAGCCTGAGCGCAGCTCAACAGCTGCCGAATTGTTTGAGCAGACTGCCCATGAAGACAAAATCTACTTCTCGCATGGCTTTCCACTGGAGAAATCCAGAGTTATAAGAAAGCCAGAAGAGCTTAATCCCGTCATTTTCGATGAGAACCATGTGTTTGGTGGGGTTGAAGAGAAAGGACTATCTGCAGCAGATACCCTCAAGCCTGTCCATAGAGCCCCGCCCTTGCAGACCTCCTCTGACCCACGACGATTCCTACGCTCAACTGGATTGTCTCAACAATTAGACGATACATATAGACCGTCAAGCACAAGCCAATCAACCAGATCAATGAACGATTTGGCAGAGACTGTGGCGCAAGACAACAAGCGATTTTACAATCACTACACCAACATAGGACCCCTCCAGAAACAGGACCCCAAACGTACGGCTCTAGAGTCCACGATTGATAGAGGATACTCCAACTCCTTTAACCCAAACGAACGCTTTGGCATACGAAATGAAAAGCAGTTTACCGACACAACCGAAGCATGTGTACGATCCATCAATGGCGCCCGCGATAGCCTTCCTTATGCCCACGAATACAGGTCAATCCATCGCATGCCACAGACCACCCGGGCAATAAACAATGACCTCCCAGCCGGGACGTCGTCGTTTGGTCCCTCCAGCGACGTTGTCTGTGGAGCGCCCTCAGATAAGACAGAGCTCTCAGTCAAGGAAGTCGTGCAATCTTGCGGATTTGATGACCGGGGATGCCTGGATGCCACTACGCTGACAAATACTCAGAAGATGCGCAAGAGCAGATACGGCTATGAAATCCCCAGACATGCTACGTTTGGCTGCATAAATTCTATGGATTCACATTCCACAAAGCCCGCGTGTATTGGGGGAGATGCTGATGGCACTGAGTGGGGCGTGATAAATCATCTTGACCTGTATGCTCCAAAACGTTAAGCATAAAAGTAAATTGCTTCCTAACTAGATTATTCATCTGTTAGGATGCTGAGGCTTTTATCCTAGGGACTTTGGAGGCGGCTATTGCAAAACTCAAAACAATTCGTATAACCATCAGCCGAAGAGGTGAGAATTCTATTTCCAGCAACTCTAAGGCTGGTAACGGAAGCCGCATGGACTAGACTACTATAAACGCATCGTAGATGGCTCCTTCTGTCCCAAATAGTGAAGACTCCACTGGCATTTGCTATAACAATTTTGTTTCTATCACAATATACCCCCGATACAGGCGAGTCCTTGTAGCTCTTCAGTCGATAGAAGGATTGCAGGGCGTGAACATCAAAGACAATTGTCATCCCCATATTGCAACCGACAATGAGAGTGTTGTCATGGACAGAAAGAGCAGTCACCTTGTCTACCTGCGAGAGAGAAATTCGTCTCTGAGGAGCGCAATCAAATAGCCTAAAGACAGTTCCTCCGACACAGCCTACATATATCTCTCTGGGGTTCTCCTTGTTCTGTGTAAGTGCTGAGTACCACACGTCCTCGTCCTCATGGATGTAGGTACACATATCGATTACGTGTTCCTTGTCCTGTGAAATAGAGTATGTGCTAAGAGTTATCTGTGTGCAAATGAATAAATTGATACTTAATGGAGCGGACAGCGTCGGCAGAGTTGTTCCTTGTAAGTTGAACTGTTGCACTAATTGCTTGCTGGCATTAGTAGAGAAGATAGAGTCTAGAGAAAGAGATAGGGAGCTCTTGGAGTCATCAGAGACATAGAAGCAGAGGTCGATTATGGCTGTCTGTGCTTGGGTGCGCCAGTACGCTATTTCGACCATTGACTGCAGATCAAACACTGACACGTAACCGTCGTCATAGCCTACCACAGATAACAAGGATGGCCCCAGTCGTATGACAGTTGGGGAGGCACTCGGAAAGGTCCGTGCATGCTGAGGAAGATATGAAGCCATCGGCTCGCTAATATTATAGGCCGCTAACGAAGAAGAGTCATCAACTAGTGCCTTTCTCAGCTCATCGTACTGATCAGGCTCCAGAAGGGGCGTGTTATAGATGCGCACGACGTTGTCGGTTGCTACAGTAACGAGAAGACACCTAAGATCATCGTAATCCATCGCTATAAGGGGGTAAGGAACTACCGTTTGAGAGCCGTTATCAAATGAGCATGCAGCTGAATCATAGATTACGCGCTGGACAAAGCTCAGCCGGCCAGAGTAAGTCTCGTCTCCTAGAATTAAGTCGTTGGTAGAAACTGACTCTGATTGACCAAGATTTGTCACAGTACCTCCCGGAGTAAAATCATGCCTGGATAGCAGGTTTGCACTAAAGTCAAATGACTTACGCTCTACTGACGGTTCAAGCATAGATTGACGAAGAGACGATGCTGTCAAAGATTTTTCATGCGTGCTACCAATGGTCTCTGAAGATGTACTAGGGAGGGACCTTTCCGGAGACGGAGTTTCCAAGATTTGATCAGCACTGTCTCTAGATGTGCCCACTGTGTGTACAATGCTCCGTTGTTCTTGTGGACTATCTAACGGAGACGCTAAAGTTTCTTGAGAGACCTTCTGCAACACTCCTTTTTCTGTGGTGTATGTTCTTGTACAATAATAGACTGGCGAAGAAACTGGTTCTTCATCCGTGCAGACAGTTCGAGGTGATGCGACGACATGGTCAGCAGTTGTAACGACAACGTCGTCAAGTAGGCAACTTAATGGCTGAGGTTCTGAAGTGTCCAACACCAGAGCCTCAGCCTCACAGACATTTTTTGAAGGTAGTAAGTCGCGTACGGTTGTGAGTGTTGTTTCCTTGTCTGTTTCCTTATCTGGTGCCTCTGTCCGTAGCTGACGTTTGGATTTGCTTTCGCTGCGGGCAACAGCGTGTAGTATCACAGGAGATACAGTGCGTGACTTTGAGTGGTTGTCGTAGATCATTGAATTTGAGAAGGCGTTATCGCGGAGACCAACGTCGATCAAACTAAGCTGGCTTCGGACCAGACGATAGACATCTCGTGGACTAGTTCCTTCTGGGATCGACCGTGTCCTTTCAAGAAGAATGTCACGGATTCTGCTCGATGCTAGCTGTCCAAATCTGCTGCTCTCTACATTAATGACATCAGTAATTGCTGACTCTGTGTCCAGGGCATGCTCATACGCAAGCAGGTCCTGCTGATGACGCGATACAGGTGAACAACCAAGAGCATTATGTTCAAGATTGGGGTCTGTAAGTCCAAGAGCAGCCGAAATCGAACCTTGGTCCGGCATATCCCACGATACTCGAGGGTTCTGCATGACGTGCAGCACCTGCGACTTTGGCTGTACATGAGGTGAAGTCCTCGTAGTTGTCGCTTGGGAGCAATGAACCTCGAGGGTACTTGTCTGCTTATTTGACAATGGGGTGGTTTGACAATCCATTGCAGCAGAGGAGTAAGCAGTAAGAGCAAACCTATCTGCAGAGTCATGAACGTTTAAGATTGTCGAAGGAACCTGCTCAAGCGGTCTAGCCGGATCCATTCCTGCAAAAACAGAAGGCTGCGGCAGGGGGATGACAGTAGTAGTGCTCATTGGCCGTGGCCTCCTGGCAGAAATCTTAGGAGCAATCACGTCGCTATTGTTCTGTAGGTTTAAATACTCTGTGTGGAGAGATAGCGAAGCTCCTTCTTGTTCTGAGAGAGAGGGTCTGAAAACTTGGGAGGGTGAGCCCAGGGTGATGAATTGGCTATCCGATCGTTCATCACGCTCACTGGTCCTGAATATGGGAACAGTGTCATCTTCTTCCGATACTGGCCTAGGAATTCTACCTATAGGAGTAATGGGGGTGCTAAATGAATGCCTTGTACGAGATTCAGTTAAAGCCTCCGGATGAGTAGCAGTAGGGAGTGCACAACAATGGGAAAGATTTCTATGAAGAATTGTTTCTGGGTCGTGAGAATTGTGGGCAGACCCTGTTGCTGAAACAGAAGTAAGAGTGAAAAGGGCGCCCTTTCTACGCGGAGGGGGGTTAGGCTTTGCAGCAGATATAGATACAGTAGAAGGAAAGGTGACATTAGGATCACTGGACTGGTAGGAAAATAATAACGACGACGGAGGTGTGGAGCTAGTTGGGGGTTGATGAACCGAAAGTGCTGGCCGACAAATATGCTGCTGAGCAGACAGCGGGCTTGTTCCCGAAAGGGCTAGCAAGGGCTGGGGGGATGTCGGTTGGTACCGTCGTGTATACGCCCTCAGGGGGCGGGACAGCATGTGCGTAGGCTCATATCCTATTGGCACTAACTTGATATCAAGTCTCGATCCGGGTAAAGTCGTTGCAGAGCGGCCTGGATCTTCAACGGGAAGGGTGCCAGATGTCTTGAGAAGTTCAGGTGCTACTACCCCGTCTTTGTGTTTCTTGCTCTTAGCTGTCCGAGCAGAGAGTGATGCAGCACGCTTCTCCTCCTTTGTAAGTTTTGGCGTTTTCGGTTTCTTCTCCCGCTTATTGGCCAAGCCTACAGAAGGATCTGCCTCAAATGCAACAAGAGTGCTCTGTGGTTCAATAGTTCCTTGTGAAAGAAAGACTGACGTGCTGGGCGTTGCGCTCGAGAAGGCATCACTGTGAGCGCTAGGTTCAAGTAAGGGCTGGGCTGGAAGAGCTTCGATCATTTCAGAACCTAACGTAGTGGCTTGCGTGTCTGTACAGAAGCTTTTCCGCCGCTTTTCGGAGCGCTTTGACTTGCTTTCTGGTCTTGGCGGTGGCATTTTTTACTCTAGAAAACGTACCACCGACACCCGAAACGCAAGCACTTGGCAGCTAGTGCAGACTAAACAGGGACAGAGGCCCAAGAGCATACAAAGCGTTCACATTCATACATGCAATCGGTCAGTTGTAGAAGTGTAGCTTACACTCCAGTCAATAGTCAATAACCAGCGTTGCGGAGGTTCTCACTCGTGTAGCCAGACATAGCTAGCGCATCAAGGAGGGACGCGTTCATGATCCGCTTGTTGGACTCATACAGGTTTGGACGGGCTGTTGGGTGAGCCTGGGAAGGGCTCGGCTTGTCGTTGTGACGAGGTATGCTGAGGTCGACATAACTTGTTGGCACAATACCCGGCCCTGTACGGTCATACTCGCGTTTTGGCAACAGCCCCATCGTGGGATGGTAGCTCTTTGTTTCGCTGAGCTGAGCAGCATACTGCGTCGTTATCATGCTTGGCAGAATGTTTCGCGTCTGTGGGCTTCCAGATTTGCGCGGAGATGACCTAGAACTGGGCATGTAGGAAGGCGTCCGAGATTTGTAACTATTGTGAATAAAGGTCGAAGAATGTTGATTAGCAATATCCGCTGGGTGAACGTAGTTGCTATACGAACCCATGCTACTGTAGCTATGGCGCGTGGATGGACTTACACGCGATCGGGGAGGTTGCAGAAGACGCTCATTGAGCTGGCTATTGATACGGAGCAATCGGTCAATCTCCTTCTGGCAATCAAGTATCTCCCTCTCTTTTGAGCCTAGTCTCGACTTGTACGATGTTGCTGTGGCATGCGCAGCAGTTATCTGCTCTACACACGCTCGTATTTCGTACTTGAGCTGCGTCACCTCTGCTCTGTGAGCTTCGTTCTCACGCGTCAGGGCCGTATTCTGAGCCATAAGGAGCTTGCATTTGGAACAGGAAGAAGCCTTTTCGCTGGCATGCAGATCTGACAGCTGCTTCTGAAGAGCTTTGTGCTCCTGTCGCAGCTTAGAATAACTGGCCTCTGTCTGTCGGAGGAGTGTAGTCAGCTCAATGTTCTGCAGCGCTGCAACAACTGCACTAGCGTCAGTAGCATCATCCTCTTTAGAGGGCCCGTCGATGTCGGCCTCTTTCGCCGTGGTTCGCATGAGCTCACTCTCTGTCAGCTTGAATTCTAAATCTGCCAGGCGCAAAGTGAGGACCTTAAGCTCCTCATTCTTATCCACTAGAAGGGAATCAAGGCGGGAGATCTCGTCACGCTGCCGTTTAATGACGTCAGCTGTTTCGCTGTTTTCAGGGCTCTGCACGTTTTGCTGGTACACAGCAAGTTGATCTTTGAGTTCCTGAATAATTGTGTTCTTCTCTTCTTGTTCATTCTTCATCGCTTCGAGGGCTTCATGAAGACAGGATATTTCAGCCGACTTCGACTCTAGCCTAGCGTTAAGTTCCTCATAGTCGACGCAAATTTGCTGCAAAGAAGACAACTGCTCCTCCAGTTCCGCTATTCGCTGCAGCTTAGTCGCATTATCGGCTGAGTTTTCTATGTCATGCTTCTGTTCGCTAGCCAACGTGTCCATAAGCTTAGTATTTTCCTTCTTCAGTTCGTCGTTGCGCTGTAGCAACTCTAAAACTCGCCGCTCTAGCACAGTAATTGGCTCAAACGTTGGGCGATGTTGGGGAAGACCCTGCTGGACTTGATTGTGAAAGGTTGACAACTCCTCCACCTGCCTGGCCAACAGGTTTTCAACAGTTGTCAACTGAACAACATGCATTGAAAGTTTTTGATTCAATAGTTCGATTTCCTTTTGGTAATTCTTTACCTGGTCTGACAAACAAGATTGCTCGTTGGTCTCTAACGGACAAGTGTCCCTGTCTGCAATATGCAAGGTAAAAGTTAGGCGATCATCTCGGCAAGAGTCCCCTATGCTACAGGTTGCAGGCTTAAGCTCAAGGATTTGTTCCCGAAGCTTTTCAATTAAATTATCTCTAGATTGCAATTCAGATTGGAATCCTGATAGGTCGGCAGTTGTTTTTTTAATAAGCCCTGCCAGGCGCTCCGTGGTCTCTTTGAAAATGCTCAACTGTGATTGCAAATTTTCGATAATGGCCGATCTTAAGGCAAGTTGCCTACTATCACTCAGCTCTTCTGCTCCTGCATCTGCTTGCAAACGCTTTAAGCTCTCTTCGAGCTCCTTGAGGTATGTCGTGGCATTGTAAACTATGTCAGCTCCCCCGGATATGTTTAGCGACCGCAGAAAGAACTCGGATTCGCTCAGCTTAAAATCCTCGCGCATTATACTGTCAAGAACTCGCTCATTAAGAGACATTGTAACACTAGTAGCTCCGAGCTCAAATTTGCTATCCAGGACCTGGGTTCTACTGCCGGCGCAATGCTTTGGCGTTTGAAAGTCAAGTGGCCCAGTTGTATCGTCGTCTACGTTGCCGTCTCCTTTGGTCATGTAATAGCTACTCACATCATTAGAAGACCTGGAGAGAGCATCCCCAAAATCGCGCTCTGCAAGGTCTTCTTCTGTGTAGCGACTACTTGCACCGACAGTCACGCCATAGGCGCTGTAGCTACTGCAGTTATTTGGGAGGTCTTCTGGTATATGGGGCATCTCGTCAATAGCTTCAGCTGTCGCCGTAAGAGAAGGGGGTAAGACAAAGTTAAGCCCTGAATCTATGGAATCGTTGATAGAATCTAGTCCGTTTTCCTGAGGAATGGGATCAAACTGATTGAAGGGTTCGTCAAGGGCCCCATCTTCCTGCTCATTTGCTAGACTTTGCTGAGAGGACAATTGATGATCTAAATGGTCTGGAGACTGGTTTCCGCTTTGACGATCCTGAGAGCTCGAAAACGCGTCAACTAGCAAGCTGTCGTTACCTTCATCATCTCTTTCTGTTCCCGCTTGTTGGTTACATAGTGGTAGGGGAAAATTAGAAAGATTGGTAGTAAGTACTGCCGCATCCTCGTGGTGATCTTGCTCTGCTGTGTCTCCGATGCGCCGAAGCTCCTGCTCCAGCAGATATGTACACTCAAGTGAAAGGTTTGAGGTCTCATTGAGACGTTGAATGGTGTTTAGTATTGCTTGTTTGCCAAAAAGGCTAGACCTTAGTAAAATTTCCAGAGAGTGTGTTTGTCCAGATAGGGCAGAATAATCTAAGGGAGTTCGCCCAGATCTATCCTCCATGCCATCATAGTACTGCAGTAGAATAGTAACCGAGTTGCACGCGCCTTCGCTAGCTGCGATGGAGAGCGGGGAACGGCCATCTGCATCCAAAACACTATGCTCGTAAGGAGCAAGAGCAAGGCATATGCCTAGCAAGTCGCGTTCAAAGCTGTGAACAAGAGCTGACGAGCCGTCCATATCAACCGCCCCCTTTTCGTACTCAAGCAAGTGCATGACTATATCCTCGTGGCCCGATCTCGCTGCTATCATAAGTGCTGTTCGTCCTTTGTCGTCTTTCCTGCCGGCATGTTCAGTAACTAGTGCTTCTATAACTCCCACATCGCCGCGCTGGGCAGCACTAAACCATTCGTCGTCCGTCATGAGGATCTAAATTTTAACGCAATTTACTCCGCCCACCCGAATCTTATAAATCAAGTGAAACTGCTCTCTGTGAAGTTTGGCACTCGCCTGGGTGGTGTAGGGAGCATAATTTACTAGATTGTGACGAGGCTTATAAGAATCACTTGTCAAATCGCTTTTAGTTAAATGTCAAGAGTGCAACTACTTTCATAAGTCCGCCTTTTTTGCGAGAACCATCCAATCTAAGAGGTGCTCTTGCACTGTGGTAACACCCATGGTGACAGACTCTACGTAAACAAGACCGTAAAGAGAACAGTTTCTGATAACAGAACGGCCACGCTTGTACCATTCTTAATAGCATGTAACATTCCACGTCTCATGGGTCCGTGCCAATCCTGCCACCAAGAGATGATAAAAACGTGCCAATGCGTTGTCCTGCAAGTCTGTTTGTCGCGTGCTCACAAACATGTTCTAAATACTGATGATCTTCCTGGGTAATAAACTGTCCCAATACAGGCCCGTGAGCAGCGTCTACCAAATCGCTAAACCATACAAAGACATCAGCCATAGCCGTGTCTTCAAACAGTATTAGTGCCGAGATAAAACGGAAGAAGAACACACCGACGGTCTTCTCTGCCAAGGTGCCGGTAGCCAGCTGTGTGTATATCGAGGAGAGAGAAGTGCCCCTAAGAAGAAGCAGCACGGCTTTGTATAGATTGATAACGGGCGTACTATTAGAGAAGTTCAAGAATATGTATGATAAGACAACAAAGTGTGCACCAAGAAGCTTCCAAGTCTCTTGTGACACTCCAATGTGACTCGTACTGCTCTTCTGTATATCTTGCAAGAGGATAGTAAACCTCACAGATAATAGCTTCATGCAATCAGTATTTTGCAACCACAGAGTAGTAGAGCCGATATCGTTGAGGAACAAAGCATATTGCAAGTTCTGTTCAGAAGAGTTAGTTAAAAGCGTGACGCACTTCTTTAGTAGTTCCTCTGTGATCTCTTTGGGAGCAGGTTTCTCAATAGAAGTGCCCGTGCTCCTGTCAATCAAACACGTAGTATACCCTGTTTCTGGCCTGATCTGCAGTGAATAATCAGTTGGATCCTCCCAACCTGCCTGGAACACCGGTAAAACATCAGTTTTCGGTATGTTGCTCACTATAAAGTCATATATTTGACGTTTGTAGTAGTTGATGTCGTTTCTATCTGTTTCTATTATATTTGTCCCTAAAATGAAGCGCTCCGCGACCACCCAAGGGTCCTCATCGATATTCATGAACAGAGTGTAACTTCCACCTGTCTGATCGTTCTGTACTGGGAGCGCCAGGTCCCATAGCTTCCCTGTAGAATCAGCCTTCTTGTCGCCCTCCACAGCAGGGGTGTTCTGCTTAACCAATCCGCAGAAAACCCAGCTCCTATTGACATAAATGTATATTGCAGGTGCCTCTTTGCGCAACACTACCGCAATGCGACCAGCTAACGACTGAGTGGATTTGTTACCTGTGTCACGCGGCAGATCACTGGGTGACTTACAGTAGACGTTTTTAGGCGGGACGAATGAGTTATGGGTACCAGTGACTCGGCTAGAAGGTATCAAAACTGATGGGCCAAATCTTTCCCTGATGAAGGCCATCGTAGCTACTTGCTGAGATGCTGATAAAGCTCCTGAGACCACCTGGAGAGCATGAAGCTCCCCAGACTCTAGCGATAATATCAGATGCACGGTGTCTGAAGAAGTGCTCAAATGAACAACAGAAATATCCCACACATCGGCAGAAACAGGAAAGCTCGCCCGTAGCAAACTATTGATAGGTTCCGAAGAAGACAAGGTCTGGTTAACGATTAGTGAGCCTGTCAAGGCGGTGGAGAGAAGAAGCGTGCAATCATATATGTATAGTTGCAGGTCACAGCCACCCACTGCAAGGTAGACTCGTGGCTTATCAACAGTGCCAAGTGTAAAGAGCTTGGCTCGGAAAAGATACTGATCCGTTAACTGTGCCGAAGAAAGCTTGTGAGAGCGGTAAAGGGTCAAAGACTCCGGATAGTGAAAGAACACAGAGCCGTCATTTCCTGTGCTAAAGAAAAGAGGCATTATTTTCTCTGGGAAACGACTAGATAAGATTCTAGGGGCAAGCCGCTTCAGCAATACAACGTCAACAAGCTCTATAGACCGCACTGGCCGATGATGGGCCCGGAGGGTGATCAGTGAACAATCAAAGCTGCTTATGGTTACAAGAGTATCTATATCGTAAACCCTTATTTCACCACTTGCAAACCCAGCTATAAGGAGACCATCCCTGGTGGCCATAGACAGACAAGAGTTTTCCTTCTGAGATCCGTCGGTAAAGGTGAACATTGGGAGAGAAATGCTGGTTTGCCTTTTCCTAATAGGTATAGATGCGTTTTCGATAACGTGTATCTCTGCGCTCCAATCTGAAAATATCAGCGTATCATTAACTTCGTCGTAGCACACTGCTGCTATGCGACAGCTCTGCTGGGGTTTGGGCTGGAGCAAGTCTATAGAGTCATCGTTTCTGTAATGAAAAACGATCCCATCCATTGTACAAACGACTACGCCACTGGCTGTCAGGCAAAGTGCAGAAATTCCCGAAACACTTGTCACTTCCATTGGGTTCTCAAGAGCATCAGCAACGCCTTCCCTGACTGTGCAAGCATAGAGCTTTCCATCCAGACCGCCACTGTAAAGAGTCGAAGATGCAGAATTATAAAGACCTGCACGCGCGACTTCGTTGTGCAACTTCACCAGCGCGACATGGGCTACCGATAACTGAGGGCCTAGATAGACCGGGTCCGACACTGATTGGGACATTAAATTTATGGAGAGTGATAAGTATATTATTGAAACGGATGTTCTTGATCTTCTAGCCAGAGAAGGAATGGATGCTGCACGTAAGGAGATCCTCCTACGCATGCAGAAAGTTCAGGAGGAAATCTTAGAGCTTTGTTTAACAAATCAAAGGGAGTCTCTTTACACTAGTAACGTAAATGATGCCGCGAAGGATTGTCCGCAGATTCCACCTACAACAGTCGAGTGGCTTAAGACTAGCTGGGAGGACATTCTATCAAAGATCTGTCAAGCAGTCATTCCACAAAGTCTAGTAACTGAAAGTTCTGTCCTCATGTACGATAGATGCATTTCAACTCTGCTGCTGGCCGTTAGCGTGGTAACTAAGGGTCCGATAGTTGCTACACGGGTCACGATCTCCCACCTGAGCAACGCGCTCTTAGTACTTATCAATAGGGCGACTTCTGAGGGTCAAGAAGCACCAATATTTACTCTAGGCATCCTTTCAGAAGCTTTTTATGGTGTCACAATGCGTATCCAGGAAGCAGCTGGAACACCAATTGTAGAGGATGAGAGTGACACTACCAGGCATCCACTTTGTCCATTAGAAAGGTACCATGTACATCTCACCAAGCTTCCATCACATAGCTCGTCCTTTATTACATATGCTGATGACAGCTATGGAGTCCTCTACAAGCTGGTGGAGTGGGGAGATACCAGTCCCGCGCTTCTCACGGCTGTTTGCGGTAACATTTATCTATCTTTAGGCCCTCCCAATAACTGCATATAAGAAGCTTAAGTTGTGGCCATTCGCAGAGCAACTATGCAGTCATTGAGGTTCTTCACCTTACTTTCTTTACCTCTCTCTATTAGGGCTATATCTAGGGCAGTGCAGTTCTCACTATTGTATATCTCAGCCTCACCCAACAGAAGCTTTACACAATTCAGATGGCCTGCCTGTGCGGCACTCATTAGAGCTGTCCATCCCATGTCGTCTTGGATCTTAAGTTCAAAAGGTACCAGAAGCTGTACGCACTGTTCGTGTCCGTTCTGTGCAGCCATCATAAGGGCTGTCTCTCCATCCAGGTTCACTTCCCCCGCCTCGGCATCGATTAGCAATTCAACGCACGCAGTGTACCCTTTTGTGGCAGCATACATCAACGCAGTATATCCAGAATTATCCGTCATCGCGTGCAGGTCTTTCAATAGAATCGACACACACTCTGGTCTTCCGTGCATTGCCGCCGCCATCAGTGCTGTGACACCCAGGTCTGATAGGATATGCCCTTCCACCTTATTAAGAGTTGCCACGCATTCCGAATATCCGTTCTCTGCAGCGTATATTAGTGCTGTATTGCTGTGCGCATCTTGAAGCTTCTGTTCATAGGGAGCCAGAATCCTCACACACTCTACATATCCTCTTTCGGCTGCATACATCATTGCAGTCTTTCCGTCGTTATCAGCAAGGCCTGCCTCAAAGCACGCAAGGACGGCCACGATGTCCGTGTAGCCATCACGAGCAGCATACATTAGAGCCGTCATCCCATCTCTCGTTTGAACAGTCATTTCACACAGCAGGATATCTATGCATTCTAGGCAGCCATTCTCAGAGGCAGCCATCAGAGCAGTGTACCGGTGTTCTCCATATATCCCCAACTCTGGGAACAGAGAGAGTATGTACTCCGATATTCCCATGGAGGCGGCAATGTGGAGCGCTGTGCCACCCTTTCCGTCGAATAGATCTGTGCAAAATACTCCTATGTCATCAATGTATGCAGACATATCTACTAAGTCATCATCAGCGATTGCTTTCATCAAATCCGTTGTATGCGCGATAGCTTTTTTGGGTTCCCTCTGTCGCATGCACAGTACTTCCTTTGCCCTCACAAGATGATCTGTTATAAGCCTGACAATATGAGATTGATTATTATCGATGGCAAAGTCCAGAGCAGACCGTCCACCGTCTGTCCCTGTGGTCTTTATAGACAGCTCGTATGGGAGCAAGATCTGCACCATTTCAAATTGGTTTTGGAGCACTGCCTGTATAAGCGCGGTGTTACCATAATTATCTTGCATTTTACTTTCCAGAGAAATCAACATTTGCTGGATTTGAACTTCTTCAGTTGTTAGAGACATGTAGTCCAGTGTATCGGCCTGCGTAATTATTGTGTACTCACTCGTATTCCAGTACCGTGTAGGTCTCAAACAGTTCTTACTGATTCGTCCTCCTGTCATAGCCAGGTACATCAGTGCAGTAACGCCCTGAACGTCTCCTTGACCTGCTTGTGATATATGTTCCTTTATGCCTTGATAGTTACCCATTGCCGCAGACACCATAAGATCTGTAACCTTGCTGTTGTCTCCCATCAGCTGCTTTAGCAAAAGGATTGTATCGGTATGTCCTCCAATTAATGCGTGATAAAGTACGCCCATTCCGAAGCTATCCTGCGCTGTCCGTTCTTCTTCAAACTGTGCAAGCATGGCAGTAATGTACAAGTGGCCGGCTCTAGCCGCGGTCATGAGGGCCGTGTACCCATAGTTATCCTTGGCTCCGACCTGCCATAGAAAGAACTCTGCAGCCTTGATGTTTCCAGCACGTGCCGCGTGCATTAAGGCTGTCTTTCCATTTCTATCTGTTGGCCTGTTATGGGTGCAAGTATACAAGACATCATACATGCATGAGAAGTCCTCTGATATTGCGGTGACGATTTCAAAAGGGTAGTCAACAAGGTACGCTTCCTTCCGCACGAGCTCCTTGGCGCAGCGGTAGTTTCTTACGTTGATAGACATTTCCAGCGCAGTGCTGCCATCAATAGCTATGTGCCCTATTTCACGCAGTAGCTCCAGTGCACAGTCAGTGTTTTCATTCTCAATTGCTGTCATCAGACTAGTTACCCCATCGTAGTCGGCTATGTGTATCTCTTGGTCCTTCAGCTCTCTTACACAAGACACGTGGCCCTTCATAGCTGCAAACCAGAGCGCGGTCCGACCATCAACATCCTGCTGGCCGCATTGGAGATGTTTAAGCTGCTTGACACACTCGGCATGCCCCATAAACGCGGCGTACATCAGCGCTGTCTGTTTGCTATTAGTAGACTGAACGTGCTGCTTCTTTACTATTACATCTACGACCTGAGTGTGTCCATACTTAGCTGCTAATATCAACGCCGTCTCTCCACGTAGGGTCAATGAAGATAGCTCATGCTCTTGAAGTAGCTCCACAACATCCTTGTGGCCATGCATGGCAGCGTACAATAGAGCAGTAAACCTGTTATGGTCAGTTAGTCCATTCTCGTTTAATAGGAGGGCAACGCAATCGGCGTGATTATTACTTGCAGCTAACATTAGTGCTGTGCCATTGCAGCTTGAACGCTTACACCGCTTGCCTAGATGCTTCTTTACTTGGTTGGCGTCTCCGTTGGCTGCAGCAAGCATAAGCTTAGTTAGCTTAGAAACCTGTTGCTCAGCTTTCAGGAGACACTCGGCACAATCATGGTGCCCGTTAAGCAGGGCCAGCCAGCAAGCTGTGTACCCCGTATGGTCCAACAGACAGGCCTCAGAAAGAAGCAGTTTGACACTTTCTAAGTGACCCTTCTCAGCTGCGTACATCAGGGCTGTCCGCCCTCGGGCATCAGTCTGTCCCCTCAGCTCACTGTATCTTGTCACTCCAGAAAGGTCGTTCCGAAGCGCAGCGTTCATTAACTTCGTGCGCCCGGTACATTCAAACTTAGCTATTTCCAGCATCCTTTTTGTAAATGCAATCGTTTCAATCCAAGGAAATAGAATATACACTGCAAGGGAAAGATTAACTCTTGTTGTTAACTGCACTGCAAGCCCGAAGTTTAGCTAAGCGCTTTTCTTCAACTGCTTTTATATATGCAACACACTCGTTTCCAGCCCCGTATGCGATAGCCCTAGAGCGTACTCGAGGCATGTACTCTTCTGCTGGAAGTAAAAGCTTCACTGCTTCAATATTGTTGTTCGCAGTTGCAATAACCAAGGCGCTCATGCCTTGGCCGGTCACAAATTTAGCATTTGTTAATAATCCTGCCTCCCTAGATAGGAGTAACTTGATGCACGCTACGTTGTTGTTTGCTGAGGCGTACATTAGAGCTGTGAAGCCATACTTGTCTTGCATTCCTCCCTCTGCATCCAGGAGAAGGCTAACGATGGCATCATAGCCGTACAATGCGGCTGTTTGCAGTGCAGTCACTGGAGCTACCTGATTTCTACTGTTTGCGATTTTTCCTGCTTCTTTCTCCAGGAGTAGCCTCACAATATCTGCATGACCTCCCTCGGCTGCAAACATAAGCGCAGTCTTTCCACTATTAGTACGCTTACCGACGTGATCAAACAGGAGGCTTCGGCAGACCTCAAGATCACCTGCTGCGGCAGCCACCATGAGTGGGGTCCTGTCGGCTATGTCTTCTGAACACGAGGAAGATAGCTTCTGACCAACATGTCCTCTCCGGAACAGCCCCGTAGTAGTAATGGACTCTTGCAATGCACCATCACTTGTCTCAGAAATGCGACAGAGAGTAACGGGAAGGATATGCTCCGCTATTGTCCCATAGAGACAATCCTCGTAGCTGTCAAAGCGCAAGCGCACATAGACATACTTCTCGACTGGATCAGGAACTTGAATGGACTCTGTTGCATCATAGTTTGCTAAACTTGTCGTGCTGGAGGTTGTCGCACTGGGAAGCTCGAGAGCACTGTTCGTCATTGAAGACTCTGTGTAGTAGTGCGCATACGCGTTTAGATTAGCTGGTGTATCAAATGGTTTCTCCTGCATCTCCTTAACCAGGTGCATGTCAACTTCAGCGTTACCGACCTGCTCAATACGGATGGTTCTGTACCTGTGCAACTGCTGGCTTACAAAGTCTCTTAAATGAGTCTCGGAATCGTCAGCATACGTTGCTAATAACCGCTCTGGAAAGATGTTGGGCATGGAGGATGATCGCTGGCAGGTAGAGATTGCTGGGTCAACTGAACATGCTGCTGGCGCGTGAACATCATCAGCTAGGGCATCTATAATATTGATTTGTATCTCCTTGCCCAGAGTTTCTTCCTCAAGACTACTTAATTGCATTTCTTTGTCTTGAGCATCTAGATGGTTCATCGTTGAGAGATCTCGTAACTGAGATGAGTCCGAAAAGCATGATAGATCACTGTGTTCGTTATTTCCAGTAGGCTCTATGCCTGCACTGTCAAGAGAGACACGGAACTCAGCAAGCTTCTTGCGTAGCCTTTCGATCTCTAACTTCTGATTGAGTATTATTTTGTCCTTTTCAAGGGAATCTGCAGATACGATGGAAGAGGAGCCAGGCTCTGTTGGTGAGTGTGAAGTCATCAAATGCAATGGAAGGACGGAAAAGTTGGCTAAATTCACATGCCCGCACACGGGACACGTGCTTATGCAGAGAATCTCGTGTATTTTCCTGAGATACGCTTCTATTTCCCCGGTTGCAATAGGCAAGGCGCGCTCTATGCTCTTAAGGTCCGCAGCACAGTGCTTCAGTGCATACTTCACAACGTCAAGTCGGCCAGATGAGACCGCTGCTACAATGTATTGGTCATGCATATTAGTTTCAGCACTCAAATCAACGTACTCCAATATGGTGGCCACGACGTCGAGACAGCCCGTTTCCAATGCCAAAACCATGGGTGCCTTTTCCTCGCCATGCAAAAGCACAGGTACGCAGGCTTCATACGGCGCTAAAAGCTTGCAGATAGAAAGTTTTCCCTCAAGAATCCCAATGGCAAGCGCAGTGAGACCGGCTGCATCGCGATGCCCGCTTTCATAACGCGCAAGAACAGAAACCACTTTAACCAATCCAGACTTCGTGGCTAACAATAGGCCCGTGTCACCGTCTTCTGTCTTGGTTCCGGCCCGCTGCTCGGCATTTTTCTGAACAGCTTCTACGTCCTCGTGCAAGATGCTTGAAAACCATTCTTTGGATGATTCTACGTCCATGTCTCAGAGCAAAATAGGACCGAGTAAGCCTCCTATCTAGCAAAAATTTACAATTCTGTCCTTTTTAGCACATTTATACAAATCCCTGAATGGATACGGCAGCATGGTTTTCTGCAGTAGAATCAGGAAACTTGGCGTATGTTCTGAAAGCTATCAAGACGATGAAGGGTCAGCGGAACGAAAACGGGGCCACGGCGCTCATGACAGCCACCCGACTTGGTCACATGCACCTTGTCATTTTGCTTGCTCAACACGAAGCTGGCTTCGTTGATAATACTGGACGCAGCGCTCTTCTTGAGGCGGTTCTACGGCTTAATCTTTCGTTTGTACGAGTCCTGGGACGGCTAGAATTCGACCTGCTTCTAGGACAGGATAAGCGGTACACAGCCCTCGACGTTGCGCTGTCGATGGATCCTTTTGATAAGGGAGTAACGATGGAGCTCATCTCCATCCAGGGCTGCCAGTATGACTCATTAGGAAGATCCAGCCTCCAGGTGATCTTGAGCTCTCCAAGAAGCGAACTTGCTGTTTCAGCATTACAAAGCATTAGGTACTTACCTGACCAACTGACAAACGCTCTGGCTTGGTGTGTTGAGAAGGAGCCCGATGCTGTAGTGACTAGAGAACTACAGGCTATACTCCAGTCTTCAGAGAAGCTATCCTCTCCTGTGTCCATTGACAAATTTAACACTACACCTTTAATAACCGTGCCCCGTATGTCTTTTTCAGCCTCTCCCAAAGTCGGTCGATCCTTTTCCACAGAGGTCCCTCGCTCTCGTCAACACACGAAACACACTGACACGTTTGCGGAGAGCAGCTCAACAACTAATCCCAATGTCATCCTAACAACACCTTTGATTCGAAACCCCCCGGCTCTACCTCCCTTATCTTTATTGGTATCTGCTAAAACGAACACTCGGATAGCAGAGTTAGAGACCCAGGTAGCAGAGTTAGAGAAAAAATTAGAAGCATCCCGATTGGCTTATACAAAGCAGACCTCCCAGCTATTAGAACTAACTCGTAGTTCCAGAGAGAAACCAGAGATAGTAGATGCCTATGTGCAGACCCAGTGTCCCATTGCTACAGTCTCGGCAAGTTCCCAGACTTGTGTAACCACTTCTGATGTATCCACCATCACAGAAGAAACTGCGATTGTATTATCTACTACTAAATCTAAACCTAAGTCCGTTGTTTCTACCAGCTATCATTCTCCAGATTGTACTGGCATGAAGACAACAAGCTTCTATGGGTCAGAGTCATCTACTTCACTGGACATTAGTCCTCAACCTCTCATGCCATTTGATTCTGACGCGTGGTCTTATGTAGTGGTCACAATAGATCACCACTCTGGAGACTATTCATTTCAACCTGTATCTATGTCTAGCAATTGCCTTGTCACTCCTTCGACGCCTTCCACAGAGGCTGCCCCTGGTAATAACCTGAAGTTTGACGACGCCAATCTGCGTGATTCTTTAACACCACCATTCATATACGAAGACTCGCTGCACAACGAGCTTGTCACTGCAGTGCTTGCTTACGACTTGGAACGCATCCGCCAGCTATCTAGCCTTTATGGCCAACAGGACCGCTCCGGTAAAACAGCGCTCATGTATGCAGCAGAATTGGGCTATGCAGATGCAATTCCTCTTTTGGCCCCGAAGGAGGCCGGCATGTTACGGAGCTGCGGGCGATATCTACTTCCAGGGACTGCCCTAATGCATGCAGTCGTTTGTGGCCATGAAAAGTGCGCTCAGCTGCTCGTAAACTATAAGGGTGAGGTAGGATCCAAGACCAAATATGGCTGGACTGCCCTGATGTTTGCTACTGTCCAAAACTACCTAAACCTCGTGCAGCTTTTGGCGCCCCTAGAGACACGGATGGTTACGTCATCAGATTTCCTGACTGACCAATATTGTAATGGGAACACTGCGCTTCTCATGGCAGTGAAGCTAAACCACAATGAGATTGCGCGTGTATTGGCCCCCTATGAATATGACATCAAAGATAGCAGGGGATTGTCTGCTGATTTGTTATCTAGGGACAGTAGTCTTCGTAGTTATCTTCGCAGTTTAAGTAGGCCTTCTGAATGATACTTTTTCAATCCTTTTTCCCTGTTGACTGTAGCGCAGCCAACCGCCTGTAAACTCCTTCTTGAATGAAAACGATGATTGAGAGGGTGAAGTGTTCAGTAAGCTTAGATGCGCTTCGGAATACTCGCGTCTGCGCCCAGGAGCATGCTTTACTTGTGACTGCACTGAAGGACGAGTTGAGTATGGAGCTTAGAACCTACAAGATTGCAATGCGAACTGTGTTTGTGGCCCGGATGCGCCGGCCATTATCTATTCGTACGACAGAGTCAAGGTGGTGGCATGCTTATTGTACCGCTACTTCATCCAGTATGTTGCTGGTTACATCTATACCCATTTCTCTTGATGGCAACAGTCCGCATGCAGAGAGGGGCATCTTCTTCTATCGTGTCTCTGCAAAAGACTTGTCCTTGACTTCTCTCTTTCCCGTCACGTCCAATCTTCCGATACAACAAGTTAGTGACGTTGCCTGTTGGCAAGGAGATTCTGGCAGTCTGCAGGACAGCACGATACTTCTTCTGGGTAGTGAAGAGCTGTCTGGCAGCACCGCATGTGTCATAATCGAAAACAAAAGGGCCCATATGCTAGGAAGCGCAACTCAAATGAAGATACTATGCCAGTCAAAACACATTGCACTCTTGTCTGTACAGACTACTGTAACACAGAACTCAGCTAACCTGCTTCCCAGTGGCTTATATCTTTTGCGCTATCCGCATTATGAGTTGATACGTATCACCCCGGATGGCCATATGAATCAAAACACACTGGTGTTACAAGGACTCCTGCTTCACCAAGGGTTTCTTGTACTCCTAGGACGACACCATGGACATCTAGCATTGACCATACACTACCTACTTACTGACACAGCCCCGAAGCTCATCATGTGTGCAGAGGCAAGGCTTACATTCTCTCTGCAACCTCCACAGATTCTTATGTTTGACACTTACCATAGTATTTTCATCATAGATGGCAGTTCGGAAGGCTACCTTACCAAAGAAGCTCGTCGAGTGGATTTACTGTCTGTGCTTGTTTGTGCAACGGATGAGGCGACCGCCACACAGCTTAGGTACGTCAGAGCTGCTCTTTCACTACTAACAAAGGCTGTTACAGAAGGGCTCCACGAGGCCCAGATCGACCGGGCTGCATCTGTTGCGGTAGCCAATCGACTAATGAGCCACACAAATAACACCGTCGACAACTTCAATTCAGCGCTGGCCAGAGCCCAAAAGCTAGAGGAGGCAGATGTCAAGCAGCGACAGCGCATACTGGAGTTGGAAGAGGAGCGGAAAGGAGATGACGCTCTACTTGCAGAGTTCGCCCAGAAGAACCAGGAGCTAGAGCAGTGCACCGCGGACCAGCTGAACATGATGCGTGCATACCAAGACACGATTAGCAAGCTACGAAGCCTTCAAGACGCCAAGAAAGAACAGCTCATTCATCAGATGCAGAATGTAATGGGTCATGCTTCTTCTCTGACACGCGAGCTACAATCCTTAATAGAAGAGGTTGACAAGTGGTCATGAGGGCCTTTTGAGTAGAGACTTTCTGACGAAAATCGCAGCAAAGAACCCGTCAGTCTTCTGTCGCTTGTCTGCCCGCAAACAACAAGTGTATGGCTTTTTTCCTCGCAGTGGCCACTCTGGAAGCGCGTTCCACAGCTCCCACTCCTTAGAAATCCCTGTCTCATCCTCCATAACCGCCGCCACGACGTCTTCATTTTCAACGGAATGAATGCTGCACGTGCTGTACGACACTAGCAGCGCACTGGGAAACTTCGTGAGAAGCTTAGTAAGAAGCTTTATCTGAAACTGGCTGAGCTCAGCCGGGTCAGCGTGTGTTTTCGCCACCCCCGCCGCCTCCGCGAGTGAAGCATCCTTGTTACTGTATATGCCCGAGGATGAGCATGTGGGATCACAGACAATAATCTGGCAACCAGTGTCCTTGAGTCTGAGAGCGTCATTGCTTGTGATCACAAGAGAGTTAATTGGTAGGCCAGCAACGACATTTGCAGACCGCACAGCTTTTGTACTGACTAGCTCCTTACCCCGACGAAGAATGATCTCACAGCGACGTCTGTCAAGGTCATTAGCGTGGACGCCGGAAAAATAGTTGCAGGCTTGGAATGTCTTGGAGCCGGGAGCAGCACAGACATCGAGTACACAGACATTTTTCAGGGACGGGAATAGCTTGATGGCGGCCTCGCGAAGTGCAGCCAGAGGCAGGCCAGAAGCAAGCGACTGCATGACAGCCTGGTTTGTCTTGACCACCCAGAGATTGTGGAATGGAATCTTCATATCAGGAGCAGAAATCAGCAGAAAATCTTTAAGGATGGGATGTCTGGTGAGCTTTGCTTCTGGAGGCAGTTCGTTTTGTAATTGATCCTGAACACGTAGAACACACTGCTCTTCTGCCTCCAGAGTAAGTCGCATCCTGTCTGCTTCGTCGTTTATTTCCGGATATTCACGCTTATCTAGGTTAACTCTAAATGCACGAGGTAGGTATGGTGTAGCGCTTGTAGCATTGTGAGATTTCACGCTAGTCGCGTCTGGCTTCTTCAGCAGACACGCAAACTCAGGCATGTGAGTTTTGACTATGCGAAGGGCGTCTCTTGTGGATCCTTCTAAGCGCCTTCTTCTATGAGGTACTCCGTCCCCTAAAAGTGCCTCTGTGGCCATCACAAGCACATGATTGTGCTCTAGTGTAGTATCGTCTGCATTTGCCAGCCGTGAAATGGTGTCTTTCAACGGATCTGCGTGTCCCAAGGCCCGCAAGGCCAGGGCATAGACAGGCCCCGGCTGGCTGGCTCGAGCATAACACAGAGCCTTTAGGCCGCCTTTTCCAGCGCGAAAGTCCCTTACTACGTCTGCAGCCTGTAGAAACACATCATTCGTCATTCGAGCTGGAAGTAATTATTAAAATGCCTGCGGAGGGTATCCGCACTCTCCATGTCCTATCTGTCTCGGACACCCACGGATGGGTCTATGGGCATGCTCATCAGCACGACATTGGGAACTACGGTCTTTTAGTCTCATACATTGAGCATATGCATAATGCAGCAGCCAGAGATCCTTCAGCAGACGTCTTAGCCATTGATGGGGGAGATATCATCGAGGGGACAGGCCTATCAGATGTTACAGATGTTAGGGGGGAGATCATTTATAGCCTTGCTTCGCGTCTCCCCTTCGATATCATGACCATCGGTAACCATGACATGGACAACGCCGATTCTGCAGCCTTCCTCAGTGACCACTCAGACACCCTTTTTGGAGACAGGTTCATTTCTACTAACACTTACAGGAACAGCGACGGCGCACCACTCATTCAGCACACACATAAGTACCTAACCTTCAAGAATGGCATCCGTGCAATGGTCTTCTCCTTCCTCTTTCACGGGATGCTCTATGAGTATGGCCACACGAAGCCCCCAGCGCAGGTCATTAAGAGCAGCGCCGTCCAGGATATTCTTGACTCTTATAAGTACAGTGTAGATGTTCTAGTAGTGAACAACCACATGGCCTCTGGGGACTCAGAGTGGAGCGAAATCTACGCCGCCTTTCGAAGCTACTATGACGCTCAGAACTACACTATCCCGATGCTGCTCCTGGCGTCCCATAGCCACATATTGGTCAATCAAGAATGTCCCTTTCCCAACGCCACCCAGTGCTACATGGTTGAGGCAGGCTGCTACCTAGAGCACTTGCAACACGTGGAATACATGTTTTTGGACGTTGACTATGAGAGCAATGGGGAGATTCATAAAGGCGTTCAGATGGCAAAGATCGTGCCAAACCTCCCCACCGACTTCACGTATGCTAACTCCGCTCTCCGCCTTAACATACCAGAGAATGCCTTATTGACAAAGAACGGCCTGGCTATTCAGGAGCAGATTGAGATGTACGTTGCCGCGCTGAACATCATGACTGTAATAGGGTACTCACCCCACGAATACAACCTTGCCCCGCCATATGACTCCTCCAGTTCACTTTACTCTTTGTGGATCAAGGACGTTGTTCCGTCCCAGCTCTTCTCCTTGGACATCTTTGACAAGACATGCAGGCCCCTAGTCGCCTCCGTATCAGGTTATTTTAGAGAGTCCTTGTATGCGGGGAATATAACGCTAGATGATACGTACACGATATTCCCTTTTCGCTACGTCATGAGCTACCTAAACAACGTCACTTACGACGAGCTTTCGTGCGTCGTAAACTATATGAACAGCATGGGGACTGGAAACCAGGGTGCACCGCTGATTCTGCTTGAGGAGGATATCTCTAGCATGGACAGGGGCGCATGCTATAATATCATCCTGACATCTTACGAATCGCGATACATCACTTTGGCGATGGGCAGAGGAGGGCCGTGTCACAATGTCAGTGACTCGTCGAAGTCGTATGTTCCAAAGACTATTTACGTAGAGTCGGATGCCACTGGCAATGTCAGCGAAAACGTCACAATGGGGGATCTACTTCGCACGTACATAAAGGACAACATGCCCACTAGGGAGAATGATGCGAGCAACAGGTTCCTTTCAGCTATAATCATCTCGTCCCTTTTCGGTATTATCCTCGTTATCACTCTGATACTCGTTTCCCTCCTGATGCTTAGGAGATGCAGGCTAAGACGTGCTGCTAAACGCCACGTAGAAAAGGAAAGCGATAGACTCATTTATGACTCCGATACCATTACCACTGAAAGCGTTACAGAAGAAAGCAAGTAGTCACCGGCCAGTTACGTGATGCAAGCGCAGTCGATACGCTACAGGTGTTCTCCTGAAAATTGTTTTGAGGAGCGTAAAGAGCAGCAGGAGGACAGTGACGCTGATAAGCAATGGGAATAGTACCTTTTGTTCCAGTTCGGAATAAATCGAGACAGCAATGAATTCAGCTTTGTCTTTAGTAGTGTAGTAGGCGTCACTGTATGCCAAGCTCAAGGTGTTTGCTTGGGGGTAGTATGCAAGGAGAGCTCCCGAGTCTTCCAGTTCGCGCTTACATCCCACACTCGGGGTTACATTCAGCGACAGATACGTGGCGTCCACAGCCACTCCACTGATGTCATAAAAGAGACCCAGAACAACCTTATTTTTGACCCTTTTCACAGTTTCTGCATCTTGCAAGTGCCTTGAGTAGACATCATAGGTTATCATATCCTTCTTTCTAAAGATCATTGCGGTATAGATATCTTCTAAAGCTTTAGATGCAGCCATGGTTCGAAGAACTTTGTCGTGATACTGCCTGAAGACGCACTGAAGAAATCCGTGATACCACAGCAGGTACTGCATCTGGCTCACATGAGGATTGATAATTTTTTCGGCATCTATGAGGAGGCTCGAGAAGTCGTCTATATAAATGTCCGCCGTATGCAAGTCTATAAACATGAGATTGTTGCATTGATATATTTGTTGACTTGGATCGTAGTTAGGGCAAATAGCAGCTATTTCCGCAACAAACTCTGCCTTCTTCTTCGTATACAAGCGCTTTAAACCATGGTCCGTGAAGGTGACAATGAAGAACCCCACCACCTCTGGGTGGTCCAGGAAGTCTGGAACTGACTTGCTATAGAGTCTTATTACCATAGAAACACAAGTAAAGTTGTAAAGGTAGGTGTCATAATCGTCCAAAATGACAGGGTCCCCACTATCGTAGAAAAGCGTGGAGCACATGCAGGAGGAGCGATGGAAGGAGATCCTTCTAGCCACAGGCTGGTTGAGCAAGTTCTGGATGAGCTTGTTGTATGTGTTTGTACATCTGAAAGACGGATATGCAAGGACGTTTCCAGAAAGGTCAAGAAAGATGCATTGGGAGACTGAACCCGGCACGCCAGTAGCTTCTGCGTTGAACGCGTTGTAGCAGTCTCTCAAGGTGCCTGAATTGTCCGCAGCAAATCGTGCGAAGCGCAAGACACTAGGATTCAGTCCCAGGGCGCCCACCAGACTAGCATTGTACTTCATCTCAAATACTTCTGGTGAGGCACGCACTAACTGCGACATAGAGCTACACAGTGCTGAAGTTGAGTACCAGGATTGGCTCAACCCTTGTGTGTATTTGCCGGTATTCTTGTATGCCTTTGAGAAGACGGTCTGTACCGTGTAAAATGTGGCAGAATCAGGTGAGTCATTTCCACAGAGTAGGTACTCTATACCCAGAGGTGGGTTAATTGTTTTTCTGGGGGCGAGTGGATAATCCCACACGTGGAAATTAAGTGAGACCAATAGCACAAGATCGTTGCGGTTAGGGATCTGTTGGAAGAAAAGATAGCGCGTTCTATTTATCAGGGGATAGGGACTCGTGTCAGTCGGAAGATCTGCATCGAGCGTAAAGCTATTGTTATACGGGCGGCCTTTATAATGCACTATATATCCTGTATGCAAGTCCAGCTCGATTAGTCCTTGCTCGCGCAGAAGTATTATATCTGCAGCATTCTTCGGAAGAGACTCCATCACAGACCACTGAAAGTACTGCCAGAAGGGCTTATACCGCGACGTAGATCCCAGGATCGACAAGCTGTTTCTGTCGAGAAGAAAAGATCTATATGTTTTGTGGGCCAAGCCGTGCATAGCTACCAGCGAGCCCATGGGTAGCTCGACACAAACAGACCCAATGATAAATTTGCTAGATGTCTGGGTGGTGTTGACCAGCAGTGTGTGATTAAAGGTAGGGTGCTGATTCTTGGGGAGATTGACTAGGTCTACAAACACGTTGCCGCAAAACGAAACCATAGAGCTGCCGTGCAGATTCAGGTATGGGGCAGAGAAGTAGATATCACTGTCCTTGCTTCTGAGAGGGGAGAGGTACCGTTCCACGATGTGACGGAAGTAGATGTCCCTGTGATGAAACCAGATGCTTGTGGATGAAAAGTGCTGAGTCATGTAGCTCACGTAATCATCGATATCAAAAACATGAAAGGCACGGGGAAGAAGAAGACGGCGGAGCCAGCAGAACTGCTCGTAGTGGAGCATGCGCTTGTTGAACACACTCTTTTCCTTTCTCGAGTCTTTGTCCGGAGGAATTGCGATGATGATTATTTGTATGTTGATCTTCTTCATCTTTCTCAGCAGTTCAGAGATGAGTTTAAGAGACGACGTGGACTTCACAATGCTTTGGTTATTCGTGCTTATTCCGGATCCCAAGATGTAGACTACCAGGGGACGGATCCTAGTGGTTTGCTGGGGCGATGTTTGGGCCGAATTGTCGAGAGCCCTGTAGTGTGACTCGAACTCAGTGTACAGAGGATTGCGCCGCTGGTACACCTTGGACAGGTACTCGACACGCTCCATATACACATTGTGCAGCGCTTCATAGAGATCAAAGAGTGTTGGAATGAGACAGTGGTTGGCTGCCGAGATGTTGCGGACAACGCTGTTCATGAAGTCTAGATAGACGTCAGAAGGCCCTGTAAACACCTTGTAGGAGGACTTTAGAGGGAAGAGGCTATTCCAACCCACAAAGACGACGCCGGTGGACGAGAAGCCCGACTTGGCCTCTATTATCGACTGGGCAATGTCTACCGAGATCTGGAGGGAGGTCTTCAATAGTTTCTGCTGCGCCGACACATTCACATATAGTGTCTCGGCGACCAGATCTATTCCGGGGTAGTCGACATCATCGTAGCGGTAGATCTCCTGCTCGCCAAGCAAGTTGTAGGAGAACTTCAGCTGACCTCTTGTGAACATCTCTGGAAAGTCTACCAATTGCTCATGCAAGATATCTGGATTAGGGTAGATGGTCTGTGTATAGGTGTCTTCACAGTCACTCAGCAACACTATGAAAAAGGTGTCTGCAAGATTGTAGTGTGCAGAATGAATCTTTGACCGCATGATCCCCGCCGGAACGCTAGTGTCTGTGGATGTTATTTGGTTGTATGTTTGGGCAAACTTCTTCTTCTCCTGGTCTATTATGCTACTCGTGGTGGCAAAACTGCTAACACGAGGGTAGGAGAACACAGCCAAATCTAAATAGGATTGAAAGCTAGCGCGGGGATAAACATTTGCCTCGCGCGTCGTTGCCGATGCGTTGCCGATAATGTATCCATCTTCATCCAAGGATGAATATATCTTTTGCGTTGGTTCCTCGTAAAAGTCAGATTTGGGAAATGAATCGGTGAAGACCAAGTTATCAAATATGCTCGCCAGGTTGACATTGATGCAGGACGACTGTGGAAGAGGCCTCAGTGGCACAGCCGATACAGAGGTCGGGTCGACAAACGCATTTTGGTAGAAGATTGACTGGAAGAACGTGGGCGTGTCAATGGGCGGTTCGCAGATGAAAATGGGCTCGTTCGTGTGCATTAGGTCGGCATAGAGCTTCTCCAGATAGTTAATCGCAGAGCGCAGAGCGGTAGCCTTTTCCTTGATGATCCTGTCAACACGCTCCACAGCCTCACTGAGCTTCTCCTCGACGTCGAAGAGAAATGTCGCAGGGATAGGGTTCGCAGCCAATATGCTCTTCTGGAGGACATCTGCCGAGCTCAGCTCACGGAGAAACAGAGTCACGTTTTTAAATACCTCCATTGTCAGCTCACTTATTCCATAGTTGCAGGAAGTGGAGAGGGATGCCTGGAGCACACACGCAAGCAAGAAGACAACGGCTATTGCAAGTGCCAGATTGAGAGAACGGAACAATCACGTTTTTAAAAATTTCCAAAACATTCGAGGTCAGAATTTTGCTTGCCTCTGAAGTTGCAACGCAAGATGTCTCAGATGCATCTCTGCCTGCAACAGAAATGCAGAGGTGCTTCCAGAGTGATTGCTGGGGAAACAAGAAGATCCCGTTTCAATTGCTCTCTATCAAATACTGTTTGTGTTAGGAGTCAATCTGATGAGCCACTGGGGTACCAGGGAGGCGCAGCTGCCACAGGAGAACATAATAGGACACGGCAATACACATAATTGTTATTGGCACAATTTCTTCTAAATTAGACGTGCCTAATTGACAACGTTTAGAAACATCGCGACCCTAAGTCATCAGACAGACACTCTGCGTGCTCGTGGCGCCTATGTTTAATAGACAAAAATCAATACAAGAATAACAAGTAACACGATCCCTGTAATGCTGAACATGAACAGTCTCTTAAAAAAAATTTCGCAATGTCTGCTTGTTGTCACGACGTGGCCCGTCTCATCTTCACGATGGGTCTGGCCGCAATCGCATATGGTGCGGTGTTCGGTTTTCTTCCCAGGAGTGCTGATACTGTTAAAAATATGGTTGAGTGCGTAGCCAAGAATCCCAAGGGTTTTATCGATTGTGTGAAGGGCAATGGCAATGGTGGCAGTGGTGGTACTAACAGTGTCAAGAACCCCCTTTTGATCAACATCCTGTTCATCGTGATGGTCACTTTCGGTTGTGTCTTCCTCGTTCTCGCCATCGTCTTTATTATCCTGAACTGCTGCTGCTGCCACGGAAGCTCCTGTCTTGCCATTCTTGAGAATATCATGCTCGGCCTAGCACTTCCGGCCCTCCTCGATGGGGTTTGTTACATCGGTTCGGTGTTGCTCTTGAAGATTGGTGCTATAAGTAATAATAACCTAGCTAAGAACGCACTTAATATTGCCGGTACCTACTCTGGGTACGTGGGCGTTTCCCTGGCCGCCGCGTGGCTGATAACGTGCCTCATAGGGCCTGTCATGACCCGTAACAACTCGACGTGCTTGAAAATAGTTTGCATGGTCATCGGGCTGGCTGTCGCAGCTGGTGTATACTGTGCTGTGGTGCTCGTTGATCCCAAGAAGGTTCCAAATCTTAATACCGGCACTACCAATGGTACTACCCCTACTGGTATCAAGGAGCGGTTATACCCCGCCCTCATTGTCGCGGCGTTTGTCGCCGCAGATTATGTACTTATGTTCTTCCTGTGCACATGCATAACTTCCGGCGGCTGCTGCAGGAAGTCTGACTAACTTCGGTCTGTGTAAATAAGCTTCTTTACTCACCATGCAAGGTCCTGGATCCGGACGCCGCTCTGGATGCCTTTGCGCGCTGCGATCTCCTCGGGACTGACGACCTCGCCATCCGTTCTGATGACAGTCTCCTGGAGGGTGATTCTGTCCACAGCCTGCACCAGTCCTTCAAGCAAACCTGCGCAAGTGTCCGCTGCAAGGATGTGGGAGAGCACAGCCTTATCGGCGCTCATCGTTGCTGCATGAGACGCAGATGCGACAGAGCTGACCGGGTGTCTGTCATCCCCTGCAATGCAGGCCCCGCCATAGCACCCGTAGGGACAAGCATGGAGATCAAGTATATAAAGGGCGCTCTTGTTGGGGCACAGAGCGTGAATTCGCCGGACGAGGTTCTGCAGATTGTGATATCCGGTGGACTTGTATATTATGACGCAAGAGTAGGGAGATTGATTTTGTGAAAGCTCAATTGTACAAGAAAAAAGCTCGTTACCAATCTTAGTCCAGTGAAGGTCAACTCCATCGGCGCGTTGTACCAAAAGACGCGACAGACCTTCATCTGATATCCATTCTTTGGCCCGAAGGTACAGAACTAGAAGGGGGCCTAGTGCATACTGCCAGAAGGATGTGGGAGAGGGTGTGTAGGAAGAACAGAAAGCAGGGGGTGATGAGCCCTGAGGGGTCCCTGCAAGGAAGCTATGCACCTCCTGAGCGGTCAGGCAGACGTCCACCGCAGCGCCCCGAAACTGCTCCAGCTTCCTGTCTTGACACGGTTGGATTGAGACCAGAAGTGGCGATGCGTCTATACCACAGTAGCTGGCACCAAAGAGCTCCATTGGGGAGGCTGTTGAGACAATGTATGAGATCAGCTCTCTGTTCCTCTTCGTAATAAAGAGTCGCACAGCTGGACAGTGGGTGATGATAGCAATGTTTGAACGCGGCTCGGAAGATTGCATGAGAAATGAGATCTGGCGGACGTTCATAAGTACAGATTGCTCCTGGTGCTGGGCCTCTGAAACAACATAGACAGGCGGTGCGTCTTCATATGTGCAATGCCGGAGGCCAGCAACGCGGGTTCGCAAAGCGTACTCAAGTTGCTTGAAGAGGGTGTCCACTGTACAAGGCTCTACTGACGTGATGTCTAGCAAGACTCTGGACAAGGATAGAATGGCTGACTGGGAGAGCGAAAGAACGATGGGACGCCCTGCCTTTGGTCCTGAAGTAATTGCATTTTGCAAAGCTGTGGTGTTCAGCTCTCGGAAAAAGACTTCCTCAGCAGAGGTCACGCACCCGCTGCACATCAGGCAGTCGTTGATTGTGATCTTCACCGGGGTAGAACTGACTGGGGCCGCATCGCAAGCCTTGAGCCGTAGTTTGACGGTTCCCGTAGATGGCGCATCTGCCGGCTTCAACGGCACCACACACTCCTCAGGCAAGGTGTTAAGATCGGAAGCCACCTTCACCTTGAGGCTCATCACCAGGTCGCGAATTTGTAGTGCTAAGTTTAAGTGCACTTTTTACCTTCATTTACGTTCAAGTCATCATTGCGTAATAACACTAATGGTTGCAAATTTATGTAAAACGAGCTAGAATCTCTGATGATGACGAGTAGCAAGGCGTGGTTTGACGCCGTAGAGAAGGGAGACACTAAGATGGTGCGCTTTCTTCTCCAAAATAATGCCAGAAGCTACAATGACCTCGGGGAAACGGCGCTAATGCAATCTGTACGCCTCTTTGACAAGCATCTCGTTCAGCTTCTTCTGGACCACGAGGCCGGGGTCATTTCGCGGGATGGCTCTACAGCACTGTCTATTGCTGCCACAATGGGAAATGCCGCAGCTTGTGAGCTTCTTTACGCTCGCGAAGCGAAATTAAGTTTGCAGAACAAAAGGACCCCGCTCATCCTCGCTGCACAGGCCGGTCATCTAAAGTGCGTCCATATTCTCAAGGACAATAACCCAGCACACAGAGACGCGTTTAATCGGTCAGCGCTGGACTACGCCATCCAGTCCGGTCATAGTGCGATAGTCAATTATCTGGTTGGGCTTCCCCAAGTGAAGGAGAACTGTTTGAATCAGGCGATTATGATATCTCGGAGCTTGCATAACGACTTGCTGGCAGAGCGTCTTATTGAGCTTCGCGACCGATCATCCAAGCCAAAGCCTGAGAGGGCAAGGTTATCAAAAGGCAGTTCTGTTGGAAGACGGGCAGATGCTTCTCCTCCCAACGTCATCTCGGAGTATATCCCGGAGTTTATTGGTGCCAGCTCCTCATCGGCACACACCCCAGGGGTGGATCCTACTGTCTCATCGGCCAACATTAAAGCCTCAGCAAGCCGGGCCAGTTGCTTAACTGGTTTGCTCCCCAGATCTGTCTCAGCAAGTGTACGAGTCAACCCTCATCCGCCACTAGATACTGCGACTGAGCCTGTATATGCGGCCTACAATGCAAGCTTCACTTCAGTGAGGCCCTCACATTACGACAGGGACGACTATGGAAAGCATTCCGTCCCCTCAGGCCCTGAGGTAATGAGGGAAAATGTCATAGAACTACTCTTTAGAAAGCTCCAGCACAATAGCGAGGAAATAGAATGCCTTCGCCGCCAGCTCCAAGTGATGAAATCGCTTCCGATTTCTCGATCGGCTACCCCAGCAGATCGCCGAACAATTTCTCGTCCACGCGAGCCTCCTGTGCTTCAACGGATTGATGAGGAGACACTATACTCGCAAGACTTTGAGAAGGTCCCCAGGAACATCCCCGATGATTCTATCAATCTACGAGTTAACGAACCAGGCACAGGCACAGACGACTATAATGCTAATTTTTCCAATTTTGGAGACAGCGATGGATTCAATGCAGGAGTCCTCCAGGGAACTATGCTTCCCAATACAGTTGTTCATAACCAAAGATACATGCTCTCGCCAACCGTCGGTACAGGAGACCACCACCTTGACAGTCAGAACTTCGCTGACACGCATGTATACTTGGCACAACAAGAGATTATGGACAACCCTAGTCTCCCACAGGTCGGCGATAGCGCTTTTTCTGCATTTGTAGACACACAAGTAGATAGTGTTTTACTTTCTAGCATACCTCCTCCCGATACTGGTCATCAAAAGCACGCCAGTATCACTGATGCAAGAGGCATGCCAGGCAACTCTTATGATAATTCATCAGCAATGGAGCAATCTTACCCTCTGGTAAGCGATTCATTTCGTTTTGAAACCCCTCAATCTGAGACTTACACTGGAGTAGGTGTTCTAAATAATGTAGAGCGCTCTTTAGATGACGCTAATGATGACTTATTCCAGTCATACACTGACGACGAAATCCTACGCTCCAATAGCGAGCTCATGAATGCTGTTTTGGCCAATGACATAGAGGCGGTTCTATCCCTTATCCCAGAACAGGCTGGACTTCAGAACATTGTCGGAAAAACCGCTCTTATGTACGCAATCGAAGAGGGGTTCACCGCTGCCGCAAACGCGCTTATTCCTTATGAATCCAGATACAGCGACACTGTTGGAATCACTGCTCTCATGATAGCGTCAAGAGTAAGCAATCTTGATATCATCCAGAAACTCATTGCTGAGGAAGCTGGTATGCGTTCACTGGGAGGACGGACCGCGCTCATGTTAGCTGCACGGTGTAACCAGCCTCAGAGCGCAGCGATGCTACTGGATACTGAGGGCACTTTGCTGGACGAGGGTGGCTACACCGCCCTGCATATTGCAGCTGTGCACAACCAGGCAGAGGCCGCGTTCGTCCTGGTAAGTAAAGAGGCTGGCATAAAGACTAAGGACGGCCGGACAGCCCTCATGCTAGCCGTCGAAAAGAACAGCATGGAGGCCGCAAACGTGATTCTCCCTCACGAGTGCAACATCACAGATAATGACGATTACACGTGCTTGATGCAGGTAGCGGAGGTTATGGACAACCCTGCGGTCGCCCAGGTCCTTGTTGCCTTTGAAGGCGGGTTTGTCAACGCAAACGGACTGATGGCCATTGAAGTAGCCATCAGATGCCACAATTATGCTATTGCAGAGATTCTAATCCCGAAGGAAGGGGTATCCATAATGCAATATTGCGGTTCTCCAGACACTCGAGAGGCTGTGCAAGCAGACTCAGAGAAGTACACGGAGCTTATGCAAGCCTGTGATCAAGGGGACATTGTTGCAGCATATTGTTTCAAGGATCAGTACTATTCTTCAAATATCAATGGGATGACACCACTAACGATAGCTGCGAACAGAGGCTACACAGATATCGTGAGCATGCTTCAAGAGCTATTCAATCAAGAAGCTGCTTCGTGGGATGTGGCTAGACGTTGTGACGAACAGAATGCTTTAGAGGAAGAGCAAAGCGACCAAGACGACTATGTTCCCCCTGCTCCTGACGCCGATTTTCGTGAGGATGTCAGGAGAGATACTCATTCTCGTGCTCAAGTCGTGCAGAAGCTTCCTGATAAAGATAATATGGCACTCTATGAATCTGATATGACAGCCTCAGAGAATAGCTATCAGTCTATTTCCTTTACATCTAAATCTAACGATAAATCTTCGAAGGCATCTAGCGCACGTAATAGTACAAGTGGAGCAAGTAGTCGCCACAACAGTGGGCACGCTACTACGCGCGGATCAGCAAATAATTACAATGTTGTGTCCATTCAAAATGTTCAGGATTCGTCAGAATGTCCTGTCCCAGCCCCAATGCCAACTCGTCGCAGCCTTTATGGGATGCAACATAGGCTCGAGCCCACGCTGCCTGACGTCGCGAAACAAAGACACGTGTTGGCCGACACTGTCACTCGGCAGTATTCGACATCACTCTCCTCGAATAAGCCGTCTGTGGTATCTATTCCAGGACCTAGCAACCACTCTAGTAATGCACCCAGTGCCAACGCAAGCTTACTGCCTGAAAATATAAGTAACCTCACTATTAATTCTCCCGGTTCGCCGATTGGGCAACCTGATGCAGAAGGTACTCCTCACGCTGTACACTTGCGGCCTACTGACTCTCAAAAAGAGCTGCCCAGTAGCCAATACAGCACACTTGTGGAATCGACCCCTAATTCGGCAAATGCATTCGCGTCTATTGAGCAGCATCACTTGCGCACAGTCAGTAATCATCCGAGCACAGGTGTGCATCATCAAGAAGGGTCGTCTTCCTCTGTTTTACCCAGTGCTACTACTGTGCAGAAAATTTCAGGTCCCGAAGAAAGGCGTAAATCGGCAAGGAATATCAACAAGAATAGCGAGCTAATGCAGGCAATCATCGACGGAAACAACGAACGAGCTGCAGAGCTCGCCACTTCGCAGGCAGGACTCGTCAACAGATTAAAGCAAACGGCTCTAATGATCGCTTGCGAAAGAAACAACGCTGCCATTGCATCTCTACTCATGGAGCAGGAATACGGTCAAGTCTGCACTTCTTACGAAATAAGCTACTGGAAGATGGCCCCAGCAACCGCTATGATGATCGCAGCAATGAACGGAAGTATTGACTGCGTGAAGCTCCTTGTCAATCTAGAGAAGAAGCTGAAGGACAATATCGGGAAGACAGCGCTTATGGCGGCCGCCTTTTGTGGCCATTTGCAGGTGGTGCGATTCCTTCTTTCCTGTGAGGGGCGGATGCAAACGAGATTTGGGACAACGGCTTTGATGATTGCAACAAGGGAAAACCAAGTGGCGGTTGTACGGGAGCTCATCCCATACGAGCACAGCATGATTGATTCCAATGGCTTCACCGCGCTGATGATTGCATGCGAGCGTGGCTTCCAGGAGTGTGCTGCTCTTTTGGCCGAGAAAGAAACAGGAGTGGTTGTTAGACATTGCCCCGTGACAGGAGAGCCGTGGACGGGCCTATCGTTTGCCGTGGCCAGCGGAAATGCCAAGTGCGTTAGTGCATTAGCGGCCTATGAGGCGCAGACATATGGAGAGGCTGCGCTGAAGGTTCTGCAGAACAGCAAGATACATTCTGAGAGCCAGCGTGCAGAGATCACCGCTGCAATACAAAAGTACATGCGTGCGCCCTAGTAAATTATAGAATAGCAGATTTACACACTGTCTGTGCTCCCGTCCAGATCAGGCTCTGGGTGAGTCTGCTTGGTGGGCGCAGCCAGGACTGCGGCCTTCTCCTGCTCCTTCTTCTGCTCAGCAGCAAACTTTTCGTCGCTCTTTGCTAAGATCTTCGGACAGCAAGCGAAAACACCCTTGCATCTTCCATCGTCGTCGAACTTGTAACGGAAAATCTTGGGATACTTACAATAGCCGTTATACACCTGAGAGGAGTAGATCAAGAGGAGGAAACCAGCCAGTTGCATCCAGCTATACGTCGTCCAGGACTCTCCGTAGACAGAGTTCGGGGCAAAGAGGTAGTAAATCAGGAGGTCGGTGACCCAGATGGCAGCCGTTCTGATGGCTTCAAAGATAGTGCGGACAACTGAAGACGTCTCTGCGGTGACTGTCATCCCTGCCCAGTTGAGGAACAAGATAGACACAAAATAAATTAAGACAAACACAAGGATGAGCGGATTGTCGGCAACCATGTAGAAGGTGTCAACAAAATCCTCGTTAGCTCCGTGATCAGGGCCAGAAACACCCCACATGAGCAAGGGAGAAACGATGAAGACCGTGATGAGCAGACCCCAGAAGCCCTCCATCCCAACAACTTGGAGCGGGGCTGCGTCAACGTCGCTGAGGAGGAAGTCTTCAGCGACTATCTGACCAGACTGAATGAGCTGCGAAATAACGACAAGGAAGCACCCGAAGATCTGTAGGTTCCACGGCTTCGCGGTGGTTGACCCCATGGAGCCGAGGATGCAGGAGGCTCCGACAAGTGCGCACGCGGAGACAGTCCCAATGATGGCAATCCACTGGTAGAGTCGGACTCTTCTACGAAGAAAGAGGATGTTCATGATCGTAGCGAAGACGACCATCGTCCCTCGAAGCATCTGCATGACAGAAACATCGATGTAGACCAGCCCCATGGTCATGACAGAGGTGGCGACCATATCGAAGATCGAAGGGACTGCAATGAGAACGTAGGGCTTCCAATACTGCCAGGTTCTGAACTTGGACTTGGCCGCGGCTTCTGCCGGCTGCGTAACGCTGTGCGTCTCGGTGTCATTGCCCTCACTGACAGCACTCTTCACGGCCAGGCTAGCGGCCTTCTTCTTTGCCTTCGTGTGGGACACTGCCTCGATGATCCCATGCGCAATAATACAGACAAGCATGGCCATGAACATGCACGCAGTCTGGAACCAGGGCTTCTCGAATTTCTTGACAACCTCTGGAGGGCACTCCCCGTGGGCCCAGGGCTCGTAGTCCTTGCCGTATTCCCACTCATAGTAAATGGGGCAAGCGCTTGTATCGAGCATGAGCTTCGAGCTGACCATCGTGCCCGTGCCGAAAACAAGCATGCCGACGATCCCAATGATTGCCTTTACAGAGTACTTCTCCTTCTTCCCGGCCATCCTGTTTTTTCGTTGCTCGCCGTTCCAGATGAATAAAAATGCAAGAAAGCACTTGACTGCGGATTTTTTGAGACACTTTTAGCTGAATGTGGCGCAATTTCCGATATGCCATATCCAGTGAAATATACAAACCGCTTTTTAACAGTCCGTGGTAACCATGTTTGCAACGCTATTACCCGAGAAGATATACGAGAAGAACATCCGAAGAATGGTAAATAACCTCGTGGCAAGCAACAGGCCGCGGGTTTTGGACTACACCAAGTCAATCTACTATCTGCTTTGCCAATCGTCTTTCCACCGCACCGTTCTCGTGGGCTCCCACTCTCTTCCTCCCACCGAGTCTTTTCACCTTAGTGTCAACACCACCCATATCGAGGGCGCCTGTCTGTACCTGCCAACTTACCTTCGCTCTCAGGTCAAGCTCACAGGAGAGCTCAAGGACGCCAATATCAACCTGGTCTACCCCTTCAAATCCGACGTAGTACCCTTGATCTCAAAGGTTACAGGAGTCGAGTACTCTGACTACCTGGTCATCACCTTCCTGGCATGTAGCGAGGCAGACATGGAAGTGAGCAAGGTCTACGCCCTTCTTTACCAACCGCTTCTCCAGGCCTGTCTGAAGGGCGTTCCTCTTTTTGCCCACGAACTTGCTGTCAGTCCGAGTTTCAAGCGGCACCTCAAGGGGATAGGGTTTACTAAAATCAACAGCCATCCTACACACACGGGCTATGTCCTGTGGCCCGAAAACCTACTCCTCAATCTATATGAGGATATAGAAGATCTCATTTTGATAAACAATCCACGCTGCGCCACAATCGCCCCCACTCTCGACAAGTTCGGAAGTCTCCACCGCATGCTCCAGGTGGACCGTCCATTAGAGTTCAACATGGGGGCGACTATGCTGAGCCGCGCGTTCCTCGATGACCCGTTGAAAATAGTTATTCAACCCCAGAGCCAGCACCTGGCTCCGCTGCTCTTCGATTTGACTAGATACCTGTTCTCAGTGTCTTCCTACCGCGGTCTCTGCGTTGCTACTGTGAGTTGTGACAACAAGGGCCGCCAGGTGCTGCAGATGGCGAGGTCTGAGGTTGCAGAGCAATATCCCAATCAAGTAGACTATGATTCCTTTTCAGCCTGCATGATCGGCAATCCACCGGGCCAAGAGTCTGGATATTGGGGAAACACGGCAAATCTCGTTAAGATATACACGTCGGCGGGCATTTCTACCAAAAACCTTGGTTGTCTTTCAGCGGGAGAAAAAATGCACAGCCTCCACTGCGGCAGTCTTGAGAACCACTTCTACATCTGTTGGATTGCAGCATCTGTCGCATTCAAAGGCTACGGGCTTGGTGGCTACCTCATGGACTGGGCATGTGCGGTGACAGATCTTTGCAAGGCTTATCTGTATTTAGAAAATTCAAAGCTCGCGAATATTGGCTTTTATAACAAGTACGGACTGACGGTTAAGCACATGGCAAACGTTTCGCGTGCATTGCACGAAACATACACCTACTTCATGCTTAGAGAGGTTAACCTGAAGTCGACAAGGCCCATCGCTCGTGTGTGGGCCCACGACGAGAGGAGGATGCGCGAGCATGCAACTCCTTTAGAGCTTAAGTAATTTCCTTCGATTGTAAATTCCTTTAAACTATGTGCATTGCTTAAGTTTACCTCTGCTCATTGCCCACTGCCGTAGAGACGCTTGATTTCTTCCAGGGGAATTGGATCCTCATCGGGGTCTTTCTTCTTGAAGTCGAAGGGTTTGTGAATCAGCTTCTTCGAGAGATGCATTCGGCGTAAGTACTTGATGAAGTAAAAGGCCACGGTATTGGGGTCATCTTCATGGAGATTGTGACCACTGTTGGGTACCACCTCAATCGAAAGCTTGCCCTGCATATGCGCTATTTCCGTCTCTTTGTCAAGCTTCTCCATTCCACCTATAAAGAGCAGCTTGTAGCCAGGGTATTTGCCAAGAAAGTTGTCATTCAATCCGATGAACCAGTCCCGCCAGTTATCGTCGGAGTTGATCAGATCTGCAATGACCCTTCCGGAGTTTGGATGCTGCGACCCGTGAATCAACCCAGGAGCCTGGAAAAGCGCAGAAGACCTGCTGTAGAGTGTGTGGGACGACAGTAGCCAACTCACCAGGGCCTCCTCAGAGGAGAATGCAAGCGGCTTCTTCCTCAAAACAGACATCATGTTGGGAATTGCACCTATTGCCACCGTCTCATTGATATCAATCAGGCAGCAGAGCTGGATGTCATAGGACTCCTGGAGCTCAACTGCAAGCCGCGCAACGATACTCCCGCCAAGAGAGTGACCACACAGCAGAATAGACTTTTTCTGGGCATTTTCATTTGCAGGCTTGTACATATGTGTGAAAAGATGGTCCAAAACTGCTTTACAGTCAGCTACAAAATTCTCGATTGTCATGCTATCTCCTAGTGCAGTAGTACCATCCTCATTGACCGTAAGACCGTGGCCGCGCAAATCCAGGGCTGCACAGAATCCTTCTGTGTGCACACGCTTAACTAGAGGCCCAAAGGAAAGACCAGAAAAGCCTGCCCCGTGGACGAAGAAAATTAGAGGCACGTCATCAAAAACCCCCTTAGTGTATACGTTGACTTTTTGTCCGTTTGCCTCAACGAAAAGTCTGCTATCATAACATTCTGTATATGAAGTAGAGAAAGTGATGGCCGCAGAGGCAGGTGCTGGAGGAGCTTCTGTCCCTGGTCTATCCTCAGGAACAGGGTCCAGGTTGGCTGTTTTGAGAAGCAGTGGATGGCCCATTTTTATTTTCGTTGACAAAACTCTTGAATGGATAGCATTTTGCGTTTCGGAGACAAGGAGATCATTGTGGGCCAAGAGATTGCAAGGGGCGGATCTGCACGCATTTATTCTGCATCCTGTGCGGGAGAACAGTATGTATTGAAGCATCTTTCTGTGTCAGACCTGAAGGTTTATGATGATGCAATAACAGAGATCTACTTCCATCTCCGATTCAACAACGAAAAGTGTGTTGTTAGATTCCACGGATTACTTCTAGATGATACTTATATCCCTGCAGATTTTGCGTGTTTTGATGAGTATTTAACCGTAAATGGCATGCACAGTTCCCAGTCCTATCTAGCATCAAGTATCACATCATCACAATTTGCGCCCCAGGAACGTGAACTAAAGCTGTCATCCTCCGCGCTCCCCGTCCCCGGTGTGGGACATGGAGTCCAGGACGGGGGAAAGCATAGCATGAAAAGGCTTCCTTGCACCACTATCCGCCTACTGCTTGAATATTGCTCGGGCGGGAACTGCGTCAAACTCCTTATTAAATGTTCAGAGCGCAAGGTCTTTCTTCCAGAACCACTCATATGGAGGTTTGCATACAACATCACCCTTGCTATTCTCTGTCTGCACAGCAAGGGGTGCTCACATCGAGACCTCAAGTTAGAAAATATTCTGATCTTGGAGCCATATGATTTGGACGATATACTGGCCAATAATGGCTGCACAACCAAGTTTCCAGAGCTTCTTAGGCTTTGTGACTTTGGATCCTGCACCACAGAGTCTTACGATTCCGAGAGGCTTCAAGATCTAATGAAGAACAATGAGCAGGGGATGAAGGATTTGATGAGGTCCTTGGAGCTGAAGACAACCCCGTGCTTCCGGGCCCCCGAGCAGATCAAGATCGACCCTGAATTTCCCCTGGGCACTGCTGTTGATGTCTTTGCCTTCGGAATATTGCTGTATCGACTGATGTATAGACGGTTGCCATTTCCAGACAACGATCTTCGCTATAACTATCGCGCAGAGTTCAGCTTTCAGGACAAGCGTGTCAAGTATTCAGACGCACTCAAGAACATTATTTCCCTGTGTCTTGTCCAGCGCCCCAAGGACCGTGTCAGCATATTCGAGGTGCACAAGCTTGTGCGTGACGAAGTACGCAATCTAGGATTTATTGAGACTAATATCTTTACGGCCATCGGACACCCGAACTCTCTTGCTCGAAGCACCCGTGTAAGCATTCTTCACGCAGCCCCGGAGGCTGCACAGCCGCCTGCTACTGAGAACACGGTCAACATCGTCTTGGCATACAAGCCAATGATCATGAAGAATACACATGGTGACATCACCGTTGTTCTAGACAAGGAGGACTCCGGGGGCCTTGACCTCTCGCAAGCGTCTATGGGGAATCTGAGCCTTCTGGAGGACACAATTGCATCGGTCACCTCAGCATCTCAGACAGTCACGGGCATCGATACCGGCCAGAGCTTATCACATTCCAAGTACGCCTTCACTCGCTCCCTAGCTGGAAGCGTTGGAGTGAACGTGAACTTGGGCCTCTCCACATCTGGAATGCCTGCAGGTAACGAGAGAGGGCACACAGGCATTCGCGATAGGCTTACCGTTTCTGCCATTTCGGGACTGGCTGATCCCCGGGCCGCGTATCCAGGGCGCTTTTTACAATCACCTCAGTGTGACGTTGGGCTTTCAGAATCCATACTGATGGCACTTGGGACTCCAGATGCTCCACGTCTGGTTGAGGAGCTCAGAGCTAGTGTTTCAGGTGGACTTATAGATAGTTGCACAGCTGATCAACAGACACCAAAAACCGAGCAAGTGGAGGCGACACTTGTGACACCACAAGTCCAGGCTTCTCCACCAGCAATCCCAGAGGACAGCCTTGCTTTTAAGGCATATTCCCTTCTTCCAGAAGCCGTTAAAAAACAGCCTCAGACAAGTGCATTGTACGAAAGCCTGCACTCCAGATTGCAGAGTAATAAAGGTGCTTCACACCTCGAACCACTGTTGCCGCTATTGCTGGAGATGGCGAATCTTTTCAAAATTTAACACCCTCTATGCACGAGCGTTCTCTTAGACCCCCGAAAAGCGCTCTCGGCCACGTTCAGCAGGCTCTTTACATCCTCTATGATACAGCTGTCCTGGAGAAGGCCGTCTTTTATTTCCTCAAGCCCTTGTCTGACGACAAAGCCATTCGCGACTATGCCTTCGCCGTAGTACTTCTTTATCACACAGCGAGAAAGATAAGAGGACTCTTTCCTCTCTGCCTCATCGGGTCACTGGAGATAACAAATCGCCTTAGCCAAGCGTTTGGGCTAACGACTTGCTCTGATCTCGAAGAGCTTTCTACCTGCTTTCCAGATAAGAAGCTTTTCCTCGAGGTAGATTGGTCAAGAAACAGTACGTTGGGAAGAAACTGGTTCCTAGAAATGTTTTCAGCAACGACCGTGGCTGGGCCATCACGAAATAGCATCATGTATGTGTACCTCTACATAGCTGATACCCAGCTTGACTCGCTCCAATGCGCTCCGGATTTCGATTCTTTTATCAGTGGATGCACAGGTGAAGCTCATACTGTCCCACAGCCCGCCAGGAAGCGCTTTACCGAACCTCCTGGTGATTCGTTGAAGATTATGTCGTATCTCACAAGTAGTCTAGAGATAAACCCTCATGCCCTGAGAAATATTACTTCAGCCTTTGCTGCGTTGCTTCGAGGACATACGCTGCAGGCAAACAGTGATTTTAGGGTCAATTGCTCTCCAGAGTATTTTGCCTCGGCGTCAATTCAAGATAAGTTAGCTTCGGTCAAGATTATCTTTAGAACTGATAAAGGGGACGTGGTCCACAAGTCCTTTTGTCCATCAACCTCTGTCCTGTCCGCTATTGCTGCCTTTATGGTTGGAGAAAAGCGCGTTCGCAACCTGCGTCGAGTAGCTGTGGCCTTTTCAGGAGGAAAAGACAGCCTCTGCCTTCTTCTTCACCTTTCCCTTTTGTCTCTAATGGCCAGACGAGGATTGCTCGACCCCATCGGCCTAGGAGACCTGGGGGCGCTGGAAGTGACCCCTGTGACCTTCGACCCAAAGATACCCGGCTTCATCCTGGACACGATACGGAGCCTCTGCCCGTGCGCGCTGTCGATCGACGACGCCGCAGAGGGAGCCATGACGTTCGAGCAGCAGGTGGTTGGGATGGACGTCTCGGCCAAGATCGCCCGCCTGGATGCATCGGGGCAGGAGGCCAGGAAGGCGTCTGCGTGCAGCGTCTGCTCTCGCTGCCGCCGCGGAACACTGGCGAGCTTTGTGTCCGCCGGCGGCTACGACGCCCTGGCCCTCGGCCACCACCTGCTGGACGACCTGGAGACCCTGGCGATCACCGGGGTCCACGGGGCCTCCTTCTTCGGGCTCCGGGGGTACTACAACTGCGAGGTCAGGGACTTTGCCAGCAGGGCCAGGCATCGAGTGTGCATCCTGCGGCCCATGCTGTCCGTCCACGTCAGCGAGATCTCCCGGGTGGTGCTCCACAACGGCCTCTCCTGCGTCGCGTCGGATGCCGCAGAGTGCAGCGTGTCGATCTCGAAGACGGCGGACACCGAGCCCTTTCCGGGGGAGCGCTTGCGGGTGCGGAGGCTCCTCGGCTCCGTCGACATCTCCGGGATATGCGCGTTCAGAGACAGGCACCGGCAGGCGATAGCTCCGTTTACTGGGGAATCATATTAGAGACTGGCGGTAGTCGTAGGACTCGCCCCGCATGAGCGATGTGTACTTCGCCCCGCGCTTGGGCCGGCCGCCCCTCCTGAAGACGAACCACCAGACGAGGAAGCCGGCGACGGCCAGGACGAGGAGGACGACGATGACGATGGCGGCGATTGCTCCCCCGCCGAGCCCGCCCCGCCGGTAGTAGCCAGGGTCGAGGCAGTTGACGCTCCCGCCGCCCTTGTCGGTCAGCTCGCAGGTCGTGCACCCCGCGAGGCCCACCCAGCCGTCCATGCCCCCGGTGTCGCTGCAGCCCATGCACGCCGTGTGGTAGACGTCCGGGGAGATGGGGACGGCGCTCTCCGCGCAGCTCTCGCACTTGAGCCCCGTCGCGCAGACCCGGCAGTTCGCGATGTCGCACGGCTGGCACTCCCCGAGGTCCTCGTCGGGGTACATCGAGCCCCCGCAGCTGGCGCAGTCCTTCGTGCACGCCGCCGTCCGCGGGCAGAGGTACGCGCCGGTCGTGCAGTGCTCACAACGATCTGGGTTATTTTCAACACAAACCGAGCACATTGCGGCATTACATTCTGGAGTTGGAGGCTCACAAACAACTTGAGATCCATTGTGTTTTTTAATATATCCTTCTTCGCACTGACTGCACCTAACATTCTTTGCCCCATTGTTTCCTACGGTACTAAAGCAAGCGATACAATTTGGAATTCCAGTGTAGTCGCTTTCAGTAGTGTTACATAGAACACACTTTGCAGCTCTATTTGCTTTTGACTCACTTGCAATGTAATACCCAGGAAGGCACGCTGTACAACTAGTGTCAGTGCCATCATTACATGCAGAACAGCCAGCAGCGCATTTCTTACAAGTACCTTGTGATGAATTAGCAGACGATAGTTCAAGATAATATCCTTCGTCGCACTGGGAGCACGTGGCCCCGTCTGTACAAAGGAGACAGTTCTCTATGCATGGGCTGCATATCCCAGAGTTGTTGTAGTAGCCCGGGCCCAGCGCCAGGCAACTCCCGAAGCACTTCGTCTTGTCCTCTTTCATGATGAGAGGCTCGAAGCAGGCGTCGCACGTCGTGGGGGAGTCCTTCGAGCACGCCTGGCAGCCCTGCACGGCGCATCCTTCAGGCGTTGTGGGCGGGAGGGCCTGAGGGCACGTGTTGTCTTTGGGTTCCGTCGAGTCGGTGCACTTGCTGCAGACGATCTTGGAATCGCCGTCTGTGCCGGTCGCACACCCTCCGCAGTTGGCCACCCCAGTAGCTGCCTCGTCCCAACATCCAAGACATTTTGGTTGGCCATCTGCAGAATTAGGATTAGCTATTATATTCGATGTCTCGTTTGTATTGCAAGTTGAGCACGCTCCATTAGACGCCTCCTGGCATATTAGCTTTCCGATTGCAGAGTTTGCATCATAGCAGCCGTTATAGAACGGGAAAACCTTGGAGTTGTCGACGGGGGTTGTGCTGGTGTCGCATATTGTGCAGATACCCGCCTCGCACGTATGTGATCCCTTATCAGCAATGCATAAGCCGTTGATGGGGTAGTGGTCTGCCTGGGCGCACTGCTTGCAGAAGACCCTTCCCCCAAGGTAGATCTGGTTCTCGGTCTTGCAGATGGCCTGGGCGAGGGGGCCGTTGACAGAGTAGCAGCTCCCGTAGAAGAGCATGTAGCCGGAGGAGCACGTTTCGCAAAGTCCCTTTGTATTCTCATTACCGCTATAGGTAGAGCACCCTGCAAGAGCCGAGGTGGCAGAGTAAGTTGACACACAACGACCATCCACGGGCACGTAGCCTATTTTGCACTGTGTGCACAGAGTGGGCTTCACGTCTGCGCTCGTGAGCACGTTCATCCGGCAGCGCTCGCAGAAGAGGGTCCCGTCCAGGCCGTAGCACGCGAGGCAGGAGGTGGCAGATGGGCTCGCACTGGGGTTCTTGACGAACTTCGACCCGCAAGAATCACAGACAGAGCCAGTAGTGCTAGTTGGCTTAGGACACACAGTGCTGCCTGGAGATCCTCCGAATTTGTAGCATGACCCGTAGTGGAAGAAGTATCCGCTTGCGCATGTCGTGCACACGCCCTTGTCGCACGTGTTTCCAGAGCTATCTGTGCTTGCTGATACGCACACCCCGTCGATCGGGACGTCGCCCTCTATGGCGCACGCCCCGCAGTACATCCCCTCCTCGACGATGTGCTTCTCCTTGCATATGGCGTTGATCAGGGATGCCGTGCGGTAGCACCCGCCCCTGTAGAAGAGGAAGTCACGGATGCAGCCCGTACACGTGCCTGGATTAGGGTTATTGCCCGTGGGCACTGTGCATATGCTCCGTGAGAGGCTCAGCAGTCTGCATTTTCCATTGATGGGCACTCGTGCTCCCGCATCGCTACCTGCGCACTTGGAACAGTATCTTTTCCCATTTATTGCAACGTCACAAACTCCTCCATCACCACCACATTCATTATCTGTGGTGCACTCGAAGAAGACTCCGCCTAAAAGAAAAAGCAAAACGAAGATCATCACGAAGTCCTATGTGAATGAGTTTTTTATTTCTCCTCGTTCAACGAATAATTCTAGCATAGTGTTTCTGCTGTGGGACCCTCAGAAGTTGGCGTCCACCTAGGCACCCACAAGTGGTACGGTGGAACTGAAATTAAAAATGGGGGGTTTCCCCGTAGAAGGGGCGGTTAGACCACTCGCTCTTCTTCTGGCATTTGTATGCTTATTACTCAGCACTTTAGTGCTCTTGCAGAAGGTCATGCCTCGCGGATTACCTAGGCGGTGTCTGCACGTGATGGCGGGGGCAGGGAACCTATGTCATCTTGCAGTGCTCCCACAGACTATCGGTGCAGCCTCGGTATCAGCAGCGTTGCCAATAGCATTTGGGATTTTACTCTACATCTTTGCGAACACCTCATGGCTCCGATCTGTTTCAGTGGGCTTGAACAAGAAAAATATCATCAAACAGCACGCCTTACTGGAATATGGGATCTGGTCTGGAGTAACAAACTTCCTCTACACAAGGAACAGAAGCATCGGGCGTGTGTGTGTCGTGGGCTTGATTTGCCTCGTGTTTGGAGATGGGCTGTCCTCATTAGTTGCATTCTTCCCCTCTGGGTGGCGGCGCTACCGAGCGCCTGACTCTGCAAAAACAGTTGTAGGTATGCTTGTAGGATGCGGCGGAGCAATGCTTGGTCTTTATCTATCTCAAAGTTTTCTCGGTCTTAATTTGGGCCTCAACGTGACACAGATGATCATTATCGCCGTCTCTGCCGGGATCATTGAGGCTCTGCGTATATCTGGCGAGTGGGATAATACAACTGTCTTCATAGGGATCTTTGTTCTGCGATATTACATTATCGCTGATTCTTATTATAAGTTCTGTGTTATTTGGGCTATTATCCTGATGGGTGAGCTGTGTGTAGCCAGACATTATCTGACTGTTCACGGGGCTCGGGCTGGAATCCTTGTGTTCTTTGCACATGCGCTGGCCGGCTATGAATTCTTAACCCCTCTATTTCTTTTTGTCATCGGCAGCCTATTTGCCTCTAAAGTTTTTAAGCACCGCATCTCCACCTTCGTGGCTGATGTATTTATCAGAAATGCATATCAGGTTCTTTCCAACTCCTATGTAGGGCTGGTTTGCTCCTTAATATCCCGCATATATCCGAGACAACACCGTCAGACTTTTCTCTTTCTCACGTTCATTAACTATGCAGAAGCATTTGCTGATACCTTGGCATCTGAGGTTGGCCTGGGCCTAGCGAAGCCTGAGTCCAGAGTCTTTGTCCTGGGAAGACTCAAGCTTGCACCTCCAGGCACAGACGGCGGCATGTCTCTTTGTGGGACTGTTGCATCTATTATTGGTGCGGGAGCCATTGCATATCTTTGGTGCCTGCAGGGAGGAAGACCATTTCCCGAAGCCGTCTATATCTTTTGTCTAGGGATACAAGGATCTCTTACAGATTCTCTTCTAGGGTCACTCTTTCAAGAAAACCGTGTCTTACAAGATGGAAGGCTGGGTAGGAATGAGGGTATCCGTGGCGCCGTTTCTCTGAGGCAGGGCAAACTGCGATTATCTAACACAGCTGTTAATATGCTGAGCGTATTATCAGCATCGCTTTCTGGACTTCTTCTTGTCCTACGGGGCAAGGTTTTGTGACTCTTCAATCCAACTCCAACCCGGTAAAAATACATGGCTCTCCAAGACACCTTCACGCGGGCATTGGAGCAGGGAGTTGCAGAGTCCCCTGCAACGGTTCCGCTGTCCTCTATGGTGTGTCTACTAAACGAGTACTTTCAATATGCGCAGCGGACCTGCAAAACCGTGGAGGAGATAGAGAACAAGATGTCCAAGCTTGGCGTAGATGCTGGGCGCCCACTCTGGACATACGTCCGCATGCTGGACAGAATGCGCTCAAAGACCCAGGACACCGTTTGCAAGCTTACACGACCGGACACGGTTCTTTACTATCTTAAGGAGACCGTGTGGCCCATTCTTTTTGGGAAGCCGGCAGCAGACATTAAAAAGCCAGCAACAGAGGATTTGGAGTACTACCTTGTCGACGAGTGGCCAGTTTTGGAATACTATACGTCCTATCCCCCCAACTACGGCGGGGCGCTTCCCTCTATGTTCGTGGCGGGGCTCGTTGAAGGCTTTTTGACTTGCTGTGGCTTCAGGACCAAGATCTTGGCGTACAATGTGCTTGATGAACCAAACCCAAACATCACATTTCACATATCGTTCACCAAGCCATAGCCTCATAGAAAGAATAAATTCAAAAAATTGGAACATTGAATTTCAAGACAATGTTTGTTTTAAGGAATGAGATCCTGGTTGTCAAGGAGCACTTAGGCGTCCTGCGTCTGAAGACCCGAGCACCCGGTATCTTCAACTACTCCTTTGAGAACGAAGTCCGGATCTCCATCAACGACGTTTTAGTGTCTCACGGATTGACCATGGTTTTCATAGTCGATAAGAGGCAGCAACGTCTCTATCTGATCACATGCAGAATGGAGGAGCCTCTGGACTCTATTATTGTCCGCGAGCTCGCTGTTCCTCGCTTCAATGAACAGTGGTTAGATGCCTGCCACACGAATCATCTCGTCGGTGTTCTAAACGCAGACTCAAAGCTCACTATTTTTGAGTGGAAATTTGGCAAAGACCGGAAGCCGATGCTAAGTAACGTGCAGGCTGTTTCCACTGGCAGCCTGCACGCACAAGGCTTTGTTATACCGAAAAACATGAAGCTCACCGACGCGCCTATTTCTGCAAAACTCCTGGCATGCAACGAATGCATCTATTTAATTCAAACAGTGAAATATAAGGTCTGCTTGAATGAAGACACCGCAGATCCCTCTGAAGCTCTCAGTGGCTTAGCTGAAGTTCACACCGTGTTTCTTCTTGAAAAGATACTCGGGGAGTACACCCTTATCCCTAAGTTTTCCTTCTCCACCAAGGTACCATTGACACTCATCTATTCAACAGCCGTTGACAGGTCCAGCTTGACAGGAACGTCTCCATACAAGGGAAGTCTAAGAGAAATGCCTATTCTTATAAGATTTATTTTTAATAATTACATAATTGACCTAGATTGTCGCAATTACAAATATAGCAAATATCTCGTTAAGGATCTGAGCGCACGGATAAACAATGTGCTCTTCAACAATAGCAAGAGGAGAGGCATGCCGTACTTCTTCAGCAGAAACGAAGTCGTCTTTTCCGATTTCACTAGATACGAAATCTACAAGGACCTGCCCGTGGCAGAGCTTATCTCTGGTCTATCAGAGGTCGATATGGACGCTTCTGCCATTACCGTTCAGAGCTTCTTGGCAAACACCGAGGGCCCAGATATTAGTGTGTTTAAGGAGCGGGTGCGTACCCTAGACTTTGAGCCTCATCTCCAGTTGGCAGCAGATATAGATTCATCTAATGTCATAGCCACTGGGAGTGTTGACACCCTTGCAAGCGACGTTCTTCCAGCTATCACGCCTCTAGAAGGTACAGCATCCACGCTGAGACCGTCTGTCGCCCTAGAGCTTGATTCCCAGGCATCTGTGCCTCCAGGGGATGACAGTCTTGGTATATCTATCAGCACAAATGTCGCGTTGGCAGGGACTGTGCCGAGCATTACAGGGTCGGACCTACAGATGCCACCTCAGATGCAGATTTCTTACTGCGATAGTCACACCGTGAATGAACACATACTTTCTGAAAGCATAGGTCGGATTCAAACTCCACAGAATGACCAGCAGAAATCACTGACCATCCACCAGTTAAAACGGTCCATTGATACAGATAGTCTGAATGCATCTGTGCAGCACCTTGGTCTCAGCCAGGGTCTCGGCTCAGCAATCACCGATATCTCCACAACCCTGCACAACCTTCTGGAGCGCCAAACATATGTTGAAACGGTCATACTACAGGAACTATCGACCTATCGGCATGCATATGAGTACTTTGATTTGCGGTTTGCACGTCTAGAGTCGATGGTGGAAGCTCTCTGCGCAACAGAAGGTCTGGGAGTAGATCCGCTGAGTGGGATACCAGCTGCATTTGTTCCTACAGATGGACTCTATGATCCAGCTGATCCAGCAGAGCCGCCAAAGATTCGCCGAATCCAGGATTCACGCGAGCTCAAGGAGATACGCGAGCTCAAAGAGCTGAGGATTTGTGACTCTTTCATCGACGGTGCTTCAAGAGATCGCACAGATGCGGTGGATGAAATTAAAAGTGTTCGTGACGAGATAAGGAAGATGCTGACCAGTGCTCTTAGTCGACAAGCGCAGCCAAAGACATCTATTCTTTCTGATAGCATCCCAGCTCCAAGTGGGGTCTCGCCGCTCCCCGCTCGGAATCCCATGACGTCTAGTATGCCGCCCTTACCTCCTAGGCCCAAATCAGCAGCAATACATGCACAGCCTCCACGAGCCCCGTCGTCTCTCAAACCCAGCTCGTCGTGCGGGGATCTTTCTGCTAGCCTCCCGGTGTCACTGTCTCCTCGTACCACTAAAGCCAAAGTACCCAGACAGCCACAGGTGCCAAACATGGCAAGCTTCAATACCTCACTAGACCATTTTATCAAGACCTTTTCCTTTTCGGGGCCCATAATCGCCTCTCCGTCTATTCCATCACTTCAAAAGACAAGCACATACTTGTCCACACTCTTTTCTTTACTAAACTCTGGATGCTACATGTCTGCAGAGAAAGTCCCCCAGGCATTTGTTAACAACGATACATTGCACGCCTTCAGTACACGTCCAGACAACTACCGAACGCTGACCCGTGATGACTACCCTACTCTCTTAACCATGTTTATCAGCGTTGTGGACTTCATCACACAGTTTTTCAAGTTGAACATCTTCGACATCCTATTTGACAACACTGCAGGCCTGAATCTTGATATTGATGGCTACTCGTTTCTCTCTATTATGCAGCAGTCTGTAAGTACCGCGAGTGTCTGTCGAAAAAACAGCGTAGTAGATGAGGACGAGGAACCGCTGTCTCTCGAGAATATCTTCGTGCGTGAGACCAACTGTCTTACTGAGCTTCTCTGTGAGGATGGTATCGATACGATACACGAGAAGATTGTAACAAGCGGGCTGGTAAATCCCATCGTCCTGCGTTTTCTGAGAGCCAATCCATTTATAAAGCAGATACCGGCCGAAAAGATGATACAGTTTCTAGAAATAGCGTACTCTCAAATCCTCATGAAGTGGAGCAAGAAGCTGGAACTGTACATAATTAAGCTCATGAAGCCCCTGTTTTTCACAGTGTTTCCGCGTGTGTTTACTCGCAACACAAGCTACGCCAGTCAAGCTCTGAACGTCCCGTCCTCCTATGAGTACATGGATGTCATCTGGCTATCGTGCCTTCAGTACATGCATCTATTTGTTCACCAGCTACACATTGTTCCAGACTCTAACAAGGAGTTTTACGAAGGCTATGAAAGGAGCTCAACTGATAGTGACAAGGTCTTGGTGTCTCCAGCATGGCAAGACAAAAAGGGAGTGACTAAGGTGCCTCCGGTGTTTGTTTAGACTCAGTGTTGTTCTGTACTGCAGATCTGTTTCACTGCCGGCACATCGATTGCGTCCGCAGACACTGTGTGTAGAAAGCTGTCTTCCAGCTTAGAGAACCCAATGAGCCACTTGTAGGAAGACAGGGTTGTGCATAAAACGCTAAGCACATCTGTTAGTGACAATGCGCTTGTAAGAGAAACGCGAATGCAAAGAAGAACAGCCTCTTCTTTATCCATCGAGTGCTCTTTCTTAGACATGCTGGTTCCACGGACACTGCTCTCGAACTGCTGGAAAAAGAGATGCAAGAGTCGTGGTGCTTCCTCCTCTGTACATCGTAGTTGAACAATACACTGGGAAGCAGGAGTGGAGTGCTTCCTGACATCATTTTTAGAATTGTAGCCCAACTTACGGGTTTCCCCAGAATACACCATGCTTCCCCTATGCAAGACAGACACGTTCATGCAAAAGAATTCTAGCTCATGCATGTCATGAGAGGTCAAGATAACCGATAGCTGCATGTCGGTGATGACTGCCAGCACAGATTGCCATACGGCTCGCTTGATGTTAACGGAGAGCCCCGTAGTAAATTCGTCCAGGCAGAGAATATGTCGACAGCCGAGAAGCGCAATGATTAAGCTCGCTCGTCTGCGCATACCGCCAGATAGCTCGCGAATGCGCTTGTGCCGGTGTGCGAAGAGGGATAGCGTAGTAAGGAGTCCGTTAACATATATTCCGCTGTGCTTATATCCATAAAGCGGCGCAAAGAGTCGTAAGTGGTCCATGATGGTTAGTCCCGGATATAGTAGATCGTCTTGGGGTATCAAAGACAGGGGAGCAGGGAGTTTATCAGAACCAGAGGCCTTTCCGGTTGAGAGCAAATCTGCTGTTCCTGAAGCGTGACGCAGAAGGGCTGTACCAGTATCGGGAACCACGATATCCGCAAGACAGTTGATCAGAGTCGTCTTTCCGGATCCAGAAAGCCCAACGAGTCCAGAGATCTCGCCGTTACGTATGTCTAGTCCAACCCGTTTGAGAACATGCTGTTTCCCATAGTGATGGGAAAGGTTGGCGACGTGAAGCTTTATCTCGTCTGTGCTGTGTGCCTGAAAGAGCGTTTCTAGTGCAACATCTGCATCCATCAAATGACTCTCGTAGAGACTGGGACACGGCTTGTCCATTTTAGACGGATCTGTGATCAGCTGGGTCAGGGTAGATTCACCACCCACACCTTCCAAAGGAGTACGAATAGCAACGCCGGTCGAGGAGTCTAAGACTTCTGATTCAGAATCTACTACAGACGACTCTGATATACCATCTACATAGCTAAGCCAACCCTTGTTAAGCACAATGATCAATTGCGTGGTTGTGATAAAAAAGCCAATCACAAAGTCCAGCCAGCTTGTGGATAGATTCGTGAGTATTGTGCCCTTTTGTAGGAAAACGAGAAAGTAGAGGGGGCTAATGACAATGCAAATGGGATTAATATCTGTGAGAAAGACCGAGATCATGAAGCAGATAAGAATGAAACAGCAAGCAACAAATGCTGCAACCTTTGGATCCCTGAGAATTCGTGCAATCCATGCTCCAACGACGGCCGACGAATAGCTCAAGCCGATAAGCATGCTGGCCATGTATCCTCCAGTCTTTCTAAAGGACGAAATGTTGAGAATGAGACCAACTACAACGGCCAAGATGACTGAGAGGAGAGATGCAACTAGATAGTAGAGTATGATTGTAAAAACCTGCAGTTCTTTGCTTATAGAATGAAGCTTGAGCATCTTAGCCATCTGGCTCTCTTGTTCCCGTAATATACTTATTGAGACATAAAGAATCGGCGCCATGAAAACAGGAGGGAGAAGGAGAAAGCTAATAGAAGAAATGAGCTGAGCACCGAAGAAATTGATGTGTGTGTCCGCAACGTATGGCATCGCCTGGACTGTCGAGGAAAAGAAAGGAACCGATTGATCCCTGAAGACATACTCTGTGGCATTGTTAATAGAGTTGATTCTTTGCGTTTCGAAACGCATATGCAGAACTAGGCTGACTATCGACGTATAAGCATTGACGGGTTCTGTAAGATAGCGATCAGGGAAAGCCGTGGACAACAAAGACGTAAAGTCATTCTGGCTTTGGAAGCCCCGCATTCGAAGGTACTCATCACCGACAGGCTCTGTTACGTTAGCTAGTTGCACAAAGTTAGCATTGTCCGGGTAGAGCCCAGCAAGCTCTTTGGGATAAAGACTTATATTTTGAGTCAGCCCATATGGCAATTGAACCTGGGCCTCCATTGAGCTGTAGCTGTAGTCTCCACCTGCCGTATCGGGGAGTATTCCATAAGTTGTAAGACCACCAGGTGTCCAGTTGAAGAATAGAAAAGGGCTCTGCTGAGCGTATTTTTCATGTGCAAGATGCATATAATATGCACGGTTTCTCTCCTCAGCCAATGGGGAAGTAGTGGAGTGGTCCTGGAGATCAAGGTAGCTGAACCTGAGGCTCTCTTTCTGTAACTGGAGGTTTCGGAGAAAAACATCCTCAGCATGTAATGATTGATTGAGTACAACCCCTGAGCACGTCTTCATTGAGCTACAAACGCCAGTATAAGGGCTGGCATGGTCGCGGTTTTGCGAGCCGCTTGCTGGTGCAATTCCATAACCAATTTCATCACACAGTTTTTGGCAGAGAGTTGTGTTATAAAGCCCGCTGGACTCTGAATCTAAAAGAGCAGCAGCAACCTTGCAACCATTGGCACATATTTGAAGAAACTCCAAGCATGTAGGTGAAAACGTATTATAAGTGCTTAGCTCAACGACTGCGTTCTGAGAAGATGCGTGCAACGTTGCCTCCACTAATGGCTCGTTGCTAGCAATGAGATAATGAGGCACTTCATTGTTGGTGAAGTATGGCCACAGCGCACTGGTACCTGTAGTCCGGGTGCGTGGGTTCATAACATCCCAGCCATACAACATTAAGAAAGATTGGCATGATGATGGCACATAGAAACTATCGGTCGAGTCCGAAAAGCATCCTGATGGCCGTGTAGCAGAACAAGAAATGAAAACGATTCCATCGACATATGTGTCATTTTGTGCTAGGTCGCTCCGTCCGGCTGCAATAAGCCCAGAGACCACTGTATCACGATAAAGAGGGTTACAACAAGAAAGACACTCCATCAGTGTTTCTAGTTTTTGCTTCTCAAGAAGTGTTTGCATGGATGAGTCTGCAAAACTACTCAATGATACAATCAACCCCTTGCTGACGGCAACTACAGCCATAGCAGCGACAAAGAAAATCACAATGGAGGGAAGAAATCCCAACTTGAGCATGCGAACCTCTAGAATACACAGGCGAAGAAGACCCGCAGCGACCGTTCGCCAAAACGATGATTTTGTCGAAAGGAAGTTCTTCGAGTCTTCTTCTCTCACGTCATCAATAGTCACACGACCAGAGGCACCACTGTACGAGACCCTAGGGTGCAAATGCTTAGCATTGCTTTTGTAAAGAGTAACAGGAGCAGAGCTAGAGTATTCCGTGACGTCCTTATCAGCAGCAAGCTCCACAAATGTGTCATCAAGAGTGGCAGTTTCAATGCTAAAAGAGGATATCGCGTCAAAGAACCCGAGGATACTATCCAGATACTGAGAAACACAAGGAAGATAGGGCATGGCTTTTCCCGAGAGACGGAACGTGTACAGCGTTCGTGAATTCAGAACAAGATCGACACAGGAGCAATCTGAATCTGGTATAATCTCAGTTATCTTGACACTTACCTTGTGAGACACCTCCTTGCATTGCTGGGGAAAGCAGGGATGTGCGATGACGGGCCCAGGCCGCGAAGAGGTCACACTGGAGGCGTAGAGGGTAATGTTATAGCAGTCTAACGTGGAGCAAATCTCATCCACAGTCCCCTGAGCAACTGTGACCCCATGCTTCATTAACACTACACCACTTGCCAAGGCCTCAACATCTGCCATATTATGGGTGGTCAAAATGATTGTATTTCGTTGCTGATTGGCCACATAACGTATGTAATCATGAAGGCTTCTACATGTCAGTGGGTCAAGGCCGGTCGATACCTCGTCCATGAACACAACCCCGTCGCAGAGGCCAATCGTGGCATTGAGAAGGCTGAGGCGCCGTCTCATGCCTCCAGATAAGGCTTCTGCACGCTTTCTGAGAGCCGAACTGTCAAGATTCAGCATGGCTGCATAGTTAGAGAAGAGCTCCAGCCGGGCATTGGTACCAGCGAAGCGACTTTGGATCTCATCGTCAAGTATTGCTGGGGATGATGAGTTTATAACGTTCTCGCTACCCATTTTAGGCTCGCTATGCTTCATACAAGCGCGAGTAGTATCTAGTGCTCCACGATAAAGTGCACAAAGGTAGATGTTGTCCAAGACCGTGAAGGATTCGAAAACGTTCTGATTGTGCTGGGGGCATTTCCCAATACAGCCCCGTGCTAGAAGTGCTTCATAGTCAGAACGCATATCATAGTCATTAACAAGCACTGGCTCAGACGTCTTTGTAGGTGCCTTTTCTCCAGCGAAAACAGCCATCACCGATGACTTCCCCGCCCCATTTGTTCCCAGCAACGCAAGGATCGAACCTTTACGTGCAATGAACGTAAAGTTATCGACAGCAATAAGCTTACGCCTCCCAAAACCGTATGCCACTTGCAGATTCTGACATGCCACAGATACAGCGGATGATGTATTGCTTGACTCGCTTCTCATATGCTTTCTGCGGTACCTCTTGTAGCGCAACGCTTGATGAAGCACTTTAATAAGATTTATGCCTCTATACATGGGCTCAGAGAGAGAATAACCCAGAACTACTGCTAGTAATGTGTAAGCAATGCACTGAATGGCTAGAAGCATGCAAAAAATAGCCGCAGACGGCACGGTGTACGTCCTGACTGAGAAGCCAGTAACTGATGAATCTAGTGCGCTCTGTTTTGCTCCGACAAGCTCGCCCAAGTAGACTGAATTGGCATATTCTGGGTCCGCGTAACACTTCATACCACAGGCCAGGAGTGATGCTGGATCTTTCCGCGTCGAACTGGTTATTGAGACGAATTTTCCACGCAAGGAATCATCCAGAACAAGCATCATGAAGTCAAAAATATGCTGAATATTGAACGAAGGAAACAGCAAAGAAAGGATCCACGTTAGAGGAGAAGGCATAATTGTAGGGTCAAGGACACTGCCGGTGTTGTATGTGAGTCGGAAGGTCGCCGTAACCACAGCCCCGCAAAGAATCCCAATCAAGAGGGAAGCTACTAGAGGCATGATAATTCCACTGCGACCCAACAGTGCAGAGAGAAACAGAGAAAAACCTGCAGTGTGGAGCGTTAGTAAAAATGCTAGCAGAAGCAAAAATCCTACCGTGAAGCCAGCAAGGGGCAAGATGTGAGAACAGTAGCAAGTGAGGACAAGAATTACGGAGGAAAAAAAAGACATCACTACAGTGCTTATCCATCGTACAAACCAGTATACGCCTTCAGAGACCCCCAGGAGGCGCAAGGTAGAGTGGCCTTTACCTCTATCACGAGCTGCAAACGTGGTTGACACCACGCTCAGAGCAACCACAGAAAGCACTGTGATAAAGGTACCTGATTGGGATGGGTATATCTGTGGAATTATTCTTTCCGGCACAGGAACAGAGGTCAACAGGGGAAGATCATATGAGGAAGAGGATGCGTTTTGGCGCAGTCCCATGTCTCCATAGACGTTAAGGACGTAGACTGCGCGCTGGACAGCCAAGTAAAACACTGTTCCTGTGGTAGAGTAAAAGTCTTTTGCTAGGTATTTTGTAAGAGGATCTTTTAACTGAGAAAATAGCGTACTATTATAGTAAATAATAACATTTCCACCCGCATCTATCTCAGAGAAGTCTAGCGCAAAGAGGGCAGGCTGGAACAGCTCGGCTGGATGCTCCTGAACATATTCTTCTGTGAGATTGTATCTAGCGTATGTGTCTGGGGTCACTATCATTGTCCCTGTACAATTAAGAGCAGCGTGCTGAGCAATAAGATCCTCTAGCGTTGTAGCATCGTAGCTCCTATAGCTACAGTTTGTCGAATGAAAGATTGGCACTGAAAAGTACTTGCTCATCTCTTCTGGGCTGTCGAACGCCCTGTAGAACATAGGGTAGTGTGCCTCGGTCAGGGTGGAATAGAAACCTGCTGTATCCTTGATGCTTCGCCTCGCCAAAAGGCCTCTGTTGTAGGTAGAAATAGAATCAATAATCTCAAAAGCCAAACGTTCCGCTTTCTCTGTAGCAGGAGAATAATAGAAGAGAACGGGGGCTGTGTAAGACGCACCCAACCGAAACCGTTCCAGCGAAAGGTTGAGCTTTTCTAGAGGAAGGTAGACCGGAAGAGCAACCTCACTTGCTATAAGATTGGCGTTCAAAATGTAAAACAGAAGCCAATGTAAAACCAAAGCCATCAGTGCGGGAGTAAGAAGTACAACAGCAAGAATAACCGGATCACGCTTCAACGAAATACTCTCATAAGCAAATACTGTCTTAAAGCTATGCCTGAGCTTGACCTTACTATCTGGCATGCTGTGCCGTGAGTTGGCTATGTCCTAGTAGGGTTTTTTAATGCGGAGGATGGCCGTTCATTATGCTTGTCTACAGCAGCTACAATGTCTAAAATATACGGATTTTTCGCATAGTCTAGTGACTTTGTGAAGAAGAGCCAGAGATTACGATAAGGAAGGGCGGCTAAATCTAGGCTAGAAGAGTTGCACTTAACCGCCTTCTTCGTCATAAACTCAGAAGCATGAGTAATAAGGCTTTTGTAGCTATCACTCGGCATGCTATGGAGAGCGCTTGATAACAGAAATAGATGATAGTCACTGGGTTCACGGTAGGTCTGTGTTAGCGGATAGAAGGCCTTTGTGCTTTCCTTAGCTTCTGCAAGAGTCTTTCTGACAGTTTCGTTCCCTAGAAGCTTGCTGGGGTCCATAGTCAACAAGGTACGGATCTCAGCGTCCTCCACGGCGATGGTATGGGACCGCACAAGAGGTGCATGTGCAGCTCCGGGTGGAGCTGAAACAGCCTCTCGTAGACATATTGCAAATGGGTCCTCAATGGGAAGTGCGTCTTCGTACCGCTTACTGAGGGCAACGAGCTGATCATATTGCTGAAGGGCATAGGCTTGAACAGTCTTGATAAGAAATAGATTAACTTTTTCCTCGAACTCGTCTGAATACCGAAGAAAGCTGTCATCTTGCTTTGTCTCTTTGATGAAGAATCGGCAGTTATCGGGTATTACAAAAAAGTCTGCGTACACGTCCGCAGTGAGAACGTACTGTGACTTGTTGGTCTGTAAGAGTGCCTTCTTAATCATTTGAAGCGCCATGATCCGCTTTACCTTGGCTTTATAGTTTGCCCTGATTTGATCAAGAGACTTTTCACTGTAATTGGGATCTTCGGTTAGTGCCAGGAAGAATGTTCGCTTAAGCTCTGGAACCGCCTCGATGTCATTGAAGAGAGGCTCAAAGTGGCCAAGAGGATTGTGATAGCAATGGATGGGGCAGTAGAAGTAGCAGTTCAAGGCCTGAGAGAGGAGCGCCCCGAAGGTGACGACGGCCATTTATTTTTGCAAGTCCTCATTTACTCGAGACCCGCAGACGCTACAACGCCGATCAAGAGTGCAGCTGCGTCGCAGGCAACTGGGGCATCGTCGCTCTTAGCAGAAGATTCCTCCGCCGCGACAGCGGGGGTGGTTTCTAGGCCAGCAGCAGAGACCGCCCCAATCATGAGGGCAGCAGCGTCTGTCTGGTTTTCGGTAGCTAATGGTTGTAGGACCTCTTCGGCTGGTTGCGGCTGCTCCTTAGATCCCTTCTTTATGGTGATAGAGATCGACTTGGGTGCCTTGGGCTCAGCCTCAAGGTGCTTTAGCTGCTCGTCCTGCGTCGTCCCAACATCCATCTCAACCTTGCGAAGGACAGGTTGTTGTGTAGAACTTGACCTACTGGCAGACATCGCCTGGGTATCAAGGATAGAAGTGAGCGAGGAGACGACGGCAGACTGCTGCATCGCTTCCGCTCTATCATTAGTAAAGACGGAGGAGCGAAGTTTAGAGACATACTCCATCGAAGAGACATCCTCGTTCTCACCGACTGGTTCAATGCTTAGGGTCTTCAGGTCGAGTTTATACACAGATCCTTCGTTGTCTGTCATGTAGAGGGCATTCTCATGCGAGAAGTTCGCTACTAAGTGCTTTTCAGCAACCTTCTTATGAGTCTCATTAGGGAGCTCGATCTTTCTCATATCTATGCTATTGTCCTCGTTGACCGATGAGACACCACCCGACTCTTTGGTCATCCTCCAGCAGATGCTCGTCCCTGGTTGAATTATAACAAGTTCCTTCTCAGACTCCATAAGCACGGGATCAGAGCCATCTGCCGCGTTCTTCTTGGCGCTGAAAGCCATAGGAAGACTGCTAAGATTTGCAAGATACCACGAGCGATAGGGCTTGACGGGGTCAACGTGGAAGGTGACACGGGTAAGCTTCGTCTCGGCCTTCTTGAGAGACGTGATGCAGAGCACGTGCTCGTTCGAGTAGAGGGACTGGAGCTTCCCTAGCCTGTCCTCCTTCTCTGGGGTGGACTTAGCGATGGACCTGACGAGTGTGTTGTGGTTGCAGTGGAAGCAGACATAGTGGTGCATATTGGACTTCGCGTTGAAGACCTTGCGGACATACGCGAAGCTGTGGTCACCGTAGTAGAAGACAGACTCCACATTCTTCTCGGGGTTACGGATGCGGATGATCGTGTTGTCGAGAAGGATTGGTTTGAATCCACGGCAAGCCGGATACTTGAGGACAAAGAGGTAAGAGTTGCGTGTTACGAAATACGTTCCGCAGGGGCCTGGAAACGCGTAGATCCCGTTGAAGATCGTGTCCTTGAATTCGTAAGTGTAGCTCTTGCGGCCAATAGCATCGTAGAGATCAAACTTGGTGCACTTGTCGTTGTAAAAGACAAGCTTGAAGTTCTTATTCTTGTAGTAGAGGACGGTTTCGCAGAGTTTCTCCTTGTATTCAACGGCTGTCATCCCTTTACTCAACACGAAATTGCGGAAGTGGAATTACAATTCAATATTCATTAGCCGCTTGGCACGAATAAAATTAAGCAGGCGTAAAATTATACGATATAGTTTAGATTACTGATTGCCATGGCAGAGTCTGGCCAGACAGGACCCCTGAGCAGCGATATCTTGGCGGTGGAGTCCCTTATCGATAAGCTCGGGGCTCACCTGGGAGAGGCTTCTGCCCCAGTGACCAAGAAGAAAGGAGAGGGGAAGAAGAAGGGCGCAGCCCCGTCTGAGCCACCTGCAGCAGAGCTGCCACCGTCTGTTGCGGCCTTTGAAAAGTGTGACATTCGTGTGTCTCAAATCCTCACGTGTGCAATTCCAGACTACTCTGAGAAGCTTCTAGTCCTGACCATTGATATCGGGGGTGGTGAAACGCGTGAGTTTGCTGCAGGAATCGCCAAATACTACACTCCAGAGGAGCTCGTCGGCAAGCGAATCATGACAATCTTGAACTTGAAGCCCCGGCCTATGGCAGGAGGTGCCATCGTCTCGAACGCCATGCTCTTTTGCGGATCATGCGGCACGGAAGACGAGAAGGAACTTGTCAAGCTATGCCTTCCGCCTCAGACAGCGCCGCCAGGGACTCGAATAGTGCCTTCAGGCTACACAGATAAGGACCCAAGGCCTCTCGCACCAGCCCCTGCTACAGACCCCAAGAAGAACTTCAGCCGTATGGCCGAGCACCTTACCTCTAAGGATAATATTGTCATGCTAGGTGACTTAACACTTGTGGCTGACGAGTACGGCCCTGTTTTCGTCGAGGTTCCTGACGGGTCTCACATTGGATGAGCTGACAGAGCCAGTAACGAGTGAATTTACTTGCGAAAGTCTTCGACATTCTGGTCGTTTTCGCTGTTGAAGCCCAGCTGTCCTCGGGTTTCTTGAAGCATGTCTGCCGCAAGCTGACGCATCTGATCACCCATAGAGAGTTCGGTGCGTCTTCCTTGTCTATCTTTGTCCGTCCGCATCTTTTCACTTGCTGCCCGGGCGTCAAAGCTGTCTGGGGAGCAAGAGTCCGGTCCTGGCTCTATCTCATGGAAGCCGGCGCTGGCCTTGGCCAGCTCTTGGTTCCGTGACAGCTTCCAGCCGCTTTGAATGAATTCCCTGGCATCGCTCCCCAGCCTGGAGAACCTTGTGTTGAAGCCGTTGAGCTTGAGGGCCAACTCATGGTTTGTTTGCTGAAGTCGCATAAATTCTTCTGGGTCTATAGAAACTAAAGCCTTGTAAGCATCTATCTCCCTATCCTTGAGATCTAGTTCGGCACAGCTCCGCTCAATGATCCGCTTGAATCCGTCTATCTGGTTTGCGCTCATCTGGTTCTCCTCCAATGCCATAGCCAGCCTCTGCTCCAGGGTCTTGAGGGACGCTGCGTGTGTGTGAGCTGCTTCCTGTGAGGCAGCCAGCTCTGCTCGGCACTCATCTAGCTTGCGAGACAGAAGTTCTTGCATGCTCTTGATTGAGTCATTAGTCTTCTCCAGGTACTCTTTATCTCTCAGCAGGTCAAGATTCTGTGCCTCGTAGAATTTCCTTCGAGACTCTGCCTCACCTATCTGTCGCTTATGCAGCTCTGCCTGGGTCCGTGCATCCCGCAAGAGGTCTGTGGATTCGTTATTCAACTCATCATACTTCTTTCGACTGAGGGATTCCTTAGTGGCGAGCTCCTCAAGCTTTCTCCGAGCCTCTGATAAAGAATTAGAAAGTAGCTTATTTTCTTCCCGTAGATGCTTAACAGAGGAATTAAGCTCGCTGATTGTTAGTTTGTGCTCCTCGATTGTTCGATCCATTTCCCAGCGCATATCTGATGCCTTTTTCTCAGACGCTCGTGTATCGTTAAGCTCCGTTTGGAGGTAGCCCATGTCTGCCTTGAGCTTCTTCAGATCTGCAAGTGCTTCAGCAAGACATCGCTCTCGCTCTTCAGCTTTAGAAGCAGAAAGAAAGTTACGCTCTACGTCATGGACCTGCTGCTCCAGAATCTGCTTTTCCCGACAGGTATCTGCAAGCTCTGCTGTCCGCAGCTCAAGCTGAGACTTGGTCACTGCGAGTTCATCACGGAGATGATCTATGTCAAGGTTCGCCTCCTTCAACTGGGCATCCAATGCCTCACGCTCCTCATTTAGCTTTTGAAGTTGTGCAACCATCTGGTTAGATGCTCGTGCTAACTCCTTCGGGAAGTCTTCCGTCTTCTTCTTCAAATAAGCAATTTCAGCGGTGGCAGCGGCTAGATCATGCTGTGCAGCCTCATACTTACTTTTCAACTCCTTGGAATCTGCTTGATACTTAGACTCCAACTCTGAATAAGCGTTACGTAAGCCTTCTATGTATTCCTGAAGAGGAAGAGCTGCATCAAGAGACTTGTCAAATGCAGGGTTTGCCTCTACTGAGCGTGACTTTAGTTTTGGCCCTGCGTCAACGAGTTTGTCGCGGAGCAGCTTTGACTGGAGCTCCAAGAAATAGACCTGCTGTTGAAGATTGTATATGAATTCCTTTTCGACGGCACTGGCCGGCACTTGAGCTCGAGCAGCCTGCAGGGATGCGGCGGTGTTTCCTATGGCTGGGAGCTCCGTATTCGGATCTGCTGCGGTGAGTGGTTGGCTAGTTTCGTTAACTCTTGGGGTCTTATACCCTGGCAGTAAAACGCTCTCTTGTGGCGTAGTCTTGCTCAGCGTTGCGTTGGGATTTGGTGGAGGTCTGGGCAATCGCGGCATGTCTCAGCAACCCACGAAGAGAAGGGCGTCAGAATCCACTTTTTGATTTTTTACTTGATCCGCGCGCCTCTGAAGTGCCACGCATCGTACAGCTGTAGACAAAGCCTGTAAGCTGCTCCCATGTCTTCCGGAAGCAAACGGAGAGGTCTTGGCAAAGAGCGATAAAACAAAAATGAACTCGAGGGGTGTATGGCTAGTTAGTTTGACGTGCCTCGCCGTCTTGCCTCTAGCGCTTACTGCGGCTGTACTGATCGGAGCATACTACGGCCTTTCTTCTTTCATGTCTCGAATCGATCTGATCTGCGTCCTTGTGCTTCTATTCATAAGCTCGATCACTGTGCTGGAGCTTTTTGGATGCTTATTAATATACCTTACCCTGCGGAAAATTCAGTCCCCCGCCGTTTATACCCTGTCATGCTCTTCACAAAGCGCCAATGCAACTTAAATCCGTTAAGGTAACAAAAAACACCCTCCTCACTTGAGCATGAGCTGTCACCCTACTCTCATCAAGATACAGACCCTGCTTACATTTTTTGTTGGACCTATTCTTCTGGGTCTACTAATAGGAGGAGTCGTTGGTGGCACTCTCTCCAAGACACACCAGACGAGATTTGCTTTCACACGACACCGTCACCTTCTTCCATCAGACCATACCTTTTCTTACCTCGATTCTTCTAGCATCCCACCTGAGTCAGATTCCGTTTCGCCCAACGCACCTCTGTATTACGAGGTGAATTGCCACGGTGTTACGCGCCACACAGTATGCTATAGTGTTTACCGGTGTAATTTTTCTGACGCTATTCTTGACGCCCCCAGGACAATGCGCTTTTCTGGCCGGCGACAAGCCCAGTATGAAATCGATTTCTGGGAGGATCCTCGAGTGCTGGAGTACATACTCCACAGTACACGTGGCACACAGATTGACGGATACGATAGTACCGAAGCTATTCTATTGGGATTTACTAACGTAGGTTCTGAGGAGATTGTTCTCCGGGGGCTGTCTCCAAGCGGCGACCTGGCGTTAGAGCAGCAAATTCCTGTGTCAGGCTCGATCTATGTGGACTACTCTGCCTATTCTGGGGTTGTGCTATCGTCGGCAACGCGATCAGTGACCGTAGATATAACTAACATCCCAACGATAAAGTCTGCAGGCTGCTCTCTCCTTGCCACTGTGGAGACTCTGTGTGCGGATAACAAACGGATCAGAGCGCCTGTGTCTTTGACCCTCCAAGACCTAAGCTCAGACGAGGACGAAAGTAACAATGCTGATGCTTCTTTTATTCTATTTAAGGATTCAATAGCAGCCAATCAGTTTGATAATGGAGTCATGCTGTCTCTCAATCTGACCTCTGAGGGGTCACTGTTGCGATGGGAAGTGATACTAATTGCAGTGACGCTTGGGATAGTTGGGTTTTTCGCTCTCCACTGCTCCTCCTGCACTATTATTAACTTACTCTACAGGACGTCAGACCCCGTGGCAGCTCATCATGGTATGGGTACGCTAGATAAAAACGAAGTATCGCATCTCTTCACAGAAGCAGACTCATACAGCTCCGGGCCATATGCATGATAGTGCCACGTCAAGCCTTGTGAGACGTAGCTTTGCGCGTTAGTGAATACCAGTAAATGTAGTAAACTCTATTTATGTCTGATAAGCCAACATATGATGGAACGCGGTACCAAGGAGTAGAGAGCAACTGTCATGCAGGACGTCAAGCCAACATGAAGATGGGCACATAGACCTAAGTACTTAAAGGTCTCGTCAACAATTTGCTTCGTGGTGAGTGATAAAAGCTTAGTGTGACCGAGTTTTCGCGTGCGAGGAAGGTCGCCGAAGTGCATTTCTGGCCTCTGGAAGAAGTTAGAGTCCTTGATTGTCCCTGGGTGTACCGCTAGAACATCAATGCGGTGCCTTGCTGCCTCCATGTAGAGGGACGATGCCAAGGCAGAGACACCGGCCTTCGAGGCGTGATAGAGAGCAAAGTTGGGGCCAGGGTGCACAGCGAGACAGGATGAGATGTAGATCAGTGCAGTGCGGTCACGGGGCTTTTTATTCCTAGCGCAGAACTGTTTGTAAAAGTAGTCTGAGACTTCAACCGGAAAGACAAAATCGCAATTGAGCAAAGATAACTTGTGCTCGAGGGTCGTGTCCTCGAAAGAGGAGTACTCCCCAAATCCAGCAGCCATGACGACCACGGCAATGTCATCTTGATCGATGGCATGAATAGTCAGCAACTCATTAAGCTTTGTAGAAAAATCCCCAATCGTGGCAGAACTTGCATCGTACGGAAAAGGAACAAGCTTATTATCAGGCACGTCGAGTCGGCTTTTCAAGCCACTGATAGACTGAAGAGACCTGCCAGATACGATGAGGGAGTATCCCTCGTCTAGGAGACGCTTGCAAAATGACGTTCCAAGACCGCCTGTGGCACCCAGGACGATTGCATAGCGGCCCGGATATCTGCGTAGAAGCCCTCTTCCTCTGTGGCGGGAGAAAATGTACAAAGAGATCCCCAGCACTAGAAGAATAGCAAACATCTTTAGTTTTAAACCTCTTTTGGCTCGGACCTTTGCCCAGATTTGGTTGAGTTGTCAGCGCATGTACTGCACCTACTGGTAGATGGTAATATGGTTCCTCTGCTTTTCAAGTATGATCAATACTTTCCACAAGCCGACAAGTCATTGGCCTATCCCACTGACCTGTTTACAGCTGCATTGATCCAGGAACCGGAAACTATGCAAAGATGTGCATTACCCACTTGCTCAACGGTGGAAGCAGATTATCGTTGTGATCATTTCACTCTTAACACTGCCTACTCCCAATGGCCGGTGTCTGCAAGGTAATCCCCGCTTCTTGTACCGTAGTTCATAACAAGGACAAGCGAGAAAGCTTGTATAGAGGCAAACTGGAAGAAAGTACGGGGGATTGTCTCGCTTTTTGTGTGCCAACTTCTTCAAAAAGCCCCAACCACAGTATTTTGCATGGTCCACTCTTTCACAATTCAGTCTAAATTCATGAGGAGACAATTTTCATACACAGCTGTCGAGATTGGCTGACGGGTAGGAACCCCTGCTTTAAATTAATTGCATATGATTATAGCTCAGCTTGTCACAGACACAGGAGACGCCTTGGCAGAGACATTGGAAATCCCCGAGGATACAACAGGGGCAGACCTGCAAGAAGTTCTGCGGACTTTTCGAGCAACCGATCCGGACGATGTCCCCATCAAGTACTCCTTCTTTATAGGTACAACTGAGGTGCGTGGATCCCTCAAGCAAGCTATTGAGGCTGCCGCTGTATCCACGGAAACGACAGTAATAATCACGTGCCGGCCACTGGCTCTCTTTGCTGTAAAACCTGTATCACGATCGGTCGCTACTCTAGAAGGACACACAGAAGGCGTTCTTGACGTTTCCTTCAATCCTGATGGTCTAACATTCGCCAGTGCTAGTGGAGATACGACCATTCGGATATGGGACTCGCTGACCCTTACATGCAAACACGTGCTACGAGGACACAAGAATTGGGTGCTTAGGGTTGCATATTCCCCGTGCGCCACTCGATTGGCCTCTGCTGGTGTCGATGGGGAACTTCGGATTTGGGACCCGGTGACAAACCGGGCACTCCATTCACGCGCGCTGATTGGTCACAAGAGGTTCATCAGCAGCTTAGCTTGGCAGCCGCTTCCTTTACTACCCGTCGAGAACATTCCGAAGAATTCCAAGATGAGTGATCTGATCTCCACGAACACCTCACTGCGGCTTGCAACGGGGTCAAAGGATGGAACCGTGCGGGTGTGGAACACTGACGCGGGAGTTGTGGAACATGTGGTACACTCTGGAACCAAGTGCGTTACAGATGTTCGATGGACGCGTGACAACTATTTGCTAGTAAGCAGCGAGGACACGCAGACATATCTCTATTCCACGCCCTACGTCAAACACCCCTTGGTAAAGACCGACTCCTCTTCATTACAAGCGCAGTATTGTTGTCTAGCTGTCTTGAAGAACCATGGTCATTGGGTTAACAGCCTGGCGCTAAACACAGACTATCTGCAGCGCTATGGGCCTCGTATCTGTCTCGTAATGGGGCCGGCTTACTACAAGCAAATGCTTACGCAGCGGGAGATGGTCCTCACGTGCTCAGATGACCAGACCATTAATCTCTATGATCTAGCTATTCTTTTGGATGATGCTCGAAGGGCAATTCTTGACAGAGCAGATGGCACAGATAGACACTTTATTGCACTAAGCTGCAAGCCTCTTACGCGACTGACTGGCCATGCAAAGCCAGTGAATCATGTCTGTTTCAGCCCAAATGGACAATATATAGCAAGTGCATCCTTTGATCGAACGGTGCGCCTCTGGGATGGAGTTACTGGCAAGCACATTAGTATCTTTCGAAATCATGTCAATCAGTGCTACAGGGTTAGCTTTAGCTCTGACAGCCGGTTCCTCATCAGCTGCGGAAAGGACAGCACTTGCAAGCTCTACTCCCTGTCCAAGCGCACAATGCTCCGGGACCTACCCGGCCATGAGGATGAGGTCTATGCAATTGATTGGGCCCTCGACGGAGACATCGCCATAAGCGGGAGCAAAGACCGAACAGTGCGCGTGTGGAGAAACTAGTGCGCTAAGAGACGTGTTAAGAGAAACGTGCCGGGAAAAGTAAATAATCATGCTGAACCGGGATGTGCTGTGGGGCTTAAGCCCTGCTGCAATAGGCTCATGTAAATATTGTAACAGAGAGTACACCCCTGAAGTTGCAGATAAGCTCATCCTTCTTAGTACGCTGGTTTCTTGCCCCCGTGGCCAACAAGCTGAAGCACAGCTTATTGCCTCCTTAGGGACCAAGTTAGTAGCGTATAGAATCGCCACGCTTCACAATAAGCTTCGATCGCTTCATCTAAAGCAGACTGTCTCAACACTATCCTCTGAAGATGAAAGCAAATTGGGTAGCCTGATTTTCAAGATTGGCATGGAGAAACAGCTGCTTCAAGCCACCCTTGTGACCCTCTTTGAACGGACAGTGACAGAGATTATTCATAGATACGACTTTAGTTCTAAGACTCTTCCTGTCTTTGGGCTCAAGGTATTACACGCAGTCGTGGAGAACATTAAGCACGCAGGCGTTTCCTTGCCCATTTCCTCTCTTGATCTTATGCTAGAGTTGACGATTCTCTCTAAAGCCTCAGCGCATGTGGCACTATTGCCCGTGCTGTTTGACTTTATCCGCATCTCGTTCTCCACAAGCCAGCGCGATAATTCAGTGCTTCACGAAGTCCAAGCAAAGCTTACATCACAATATGTTGAGCTGCTCCCCTCTTCTCAAAGCTCAATCAAATCCTTTGCCAGTACACTATTTCTTGTACTGGCGGTAGCGGAGGAGCTCCCATTAGGAGCATCAGTCTTTTATTCTCTAACGTCTGTCCTGGACTCGACCAGTTTGGATAACTTTCTTCAGTCTCTTTCACGAGGCCCCGCTGAGCTCGTTAACAAAGAAACAATAAGGTGCCTCACTGACTGCATGCTGCTGATAGAAGTCATGGTTCTCAGCATGCTATTTTACATGAAGGAACTTTCGAGCCTAACCTCTCCTCATGCTGATGTGCCGCACACCAAGCCTAGCATTCCGTGCTTCATTCAGAAATATCTACGAGACTGTCGCCAACTATCTTCCAGATTTACATATTATGTTCAGATGGCCATCCGCGGAATGACAGACAATCCACACATCTTTAGATACGTGAATACAGAGGAACACGTTGATTTGTCATCGGGCAAGATACACGTCAGCGAGCCAGAGGATACAACTACCAACTTATATAGCGATCTGTGTGCTGGAGTTTTCAGTGAGCATGGATTTATTTCCAGCCGAGACATCTACCACATTGCATCCTGGTCCTTTGTCATCTCCTCTGCTGAGCTCTTTTGGAGTACCTCTCAGCTGATAAGCAGTCAATCGTTGAGCCTAGTTAAGACACACATGCTCACTAAAGACATCACCACAATGGTATGTACCCTTGCACCAATATTCCACAAAGAAGTTATCGGTTCGTGCAGGACATCATTTCAAAGCCTAATTGCACATTTGGCTAGACACCCATGCAACCACCAAGAAGCGGAATCATCTCGTATTGTTCTAACCGCTATCAACAGAACTCTTCTCAGCTTGATAGGAAGCCAACAGGTACCTATTTCCCGCGGCGGAGGCTCTCTACCATCACTTATTTTGAGCTATGTTAACGGTATTGTCTCACAACTTCAGCAAAAGTATGCCTCCAACGATATAATAGCTTACGAGTTTCTTGCGCAGAGCACCCTTGCTCCAGATAGCGTCGACAACAGCTTTGCCTCCAAATCACCGAATGACCCTGTAGCTACCAGAGAGGATAAGGGACATAGACAACGTGCGCTTCGTGGACAAGGACCCAACTTGCTCCAGGAAGATTGGTATCTGTATTTGAACAAATCGGTAGGTAGTATTCTCAACGCTCTCTTGCGGAACCTGGCCACTCTCAGGCTATTAGGACATGAATCAGATCTTCGGTCTGGGCTTCACTCCATGCTTGTTCTCCACGTATTGTTGTTGGAGGCCACTACGCCATTTGAGTTCAGAATTTTCTCTAGAATAGCAGGGGAAGTAATTGTGCTGTTAGAAAGATATGGATCTAAGCACTACTTATTTAGATGCGCGGCATTCTCTGCACTGATGGGACTCGCAACGAGGGTTGCCAGGCAAACATCGAAACACCAGAAGCGGTACCACATCGAGGATCTCTTTCTTAGCAGAGTATTCCGTAGCAGTACATACATAGTGAGGTCAGATCCTGGGCTCTTCGCCCTTCTTCAAATTCTTGCTAGCTGTGCTCCTTCACACACAACGGCCTCCTTTTTGCGATCCTCTCACCCACACGTACTATCCACAGTCATTACATGTCTTTCTTCTCCAAATATTCACCTTCGTGTTTCAGCTGCACGGGCCACATCGCCCATTTTCGGCACGGGATCCAGCGCCCTGTCATGCCTCTTCACTGAACTGGAGTCTGTGCGATCCATAACTCTCAATAGTTTGCATGGAATCATCTTTGCGTGCCGTGTGCTCATTCGGCCCTACACACCTTTTAAAGAGGGTAGGGGCTATCCCCTGTTGGATTCCATTAAAGTAATAGCAAGTGCAAGCGAGCTGGCAGCATGTAGATCAGTGATAGAAGCCTTTCTTTCTCAATATGCAACGGGGCTACAAGTCCTAGCAAACGCCAAACTGTGCATCTCTGAACTGAATGGAATAATCGCTGACCTCGCCTAAGACACAAGCATAGAATGGCGGCGTTATTTACTATTGTGACCCTTCAGGGTGTAAGAATGTGTCTCGGATTCTATAGACTTATTACTGCGTATGACTGCCACAGCTGCAAGCAGATCCTCTTGATGTATCTCGCCCCGCTCTGCCCTGAGAGCACCGAGCCCTGCCTCTGTTATCACATTTCGCAGATCTGCACCGTTAAACCCATCCGTCGACTTTACGATCCCAGCGAAGTCCACGTCCTCCCCAAGAGAAAGCCCCTTGCTGTGGATCTTGAGTATTTCGTATCGGCCTGTGGGATCTGGAAGTCTTATTTCTATTTTCACGTCGCATCTTCCAGGGCGCATTAGCGCGGGGTCGAGAGCCTCTGGCCTGTTAGTGCAAAAGACTATTTTTATGCTCTCATCTAGGCCCGTGAACCCATCTATCTCAGTCAGGAGCTGGAGGAGTGCGCGGTCGACCTCACGGTCGTTATGAGTTCCGTCATCTGAGCGCTTGGTCGCAATGGCGTCAACTTCGTCAATCATTAGAAGGCATGGTTTCTTGAGTTTGGCATATGCAAAAAGGTCTCTCACCAATCTCGCAGACTCTCCGATGTACTTTCTAATAAGCTGTGAGCCGACACACTTGATGTAAGAAATTCCCAAGGAGTTGGCTAGGCACTTACAGATAAGGCTTTTGCCAGTTCCCGGGGCTCCATAGAGGAGAATGGACTTGGGGGGCTTAATGCCTACGCGTTTAAAGATGTCTGGGTTGCGGAGTGGCAGCTCTATGCTCTCCTTAATCAGTTTAATTTCATCGTGTAAACCGCCGATGTCAGCATAGGTAACTGCATCCTCTGGTGACACACCGGTTGTCCCTGCGTCCGACATGGAATAGATAGACTCGTCCATCTGAGGTGGGAGGATGTGCATTATGGAGTAGGTTGAGAGAGACACAGAGACACGGGTCCCTGACTTAATGTAGCGAGGATTAATTCCAGACCGCCTGTTGACCAAATAGCGGGGCCCAGAGAGGAGCCTAATTAAGATGTTATCTGCGTCGATAACCTGGATGACAGTGGCCAGCTGTTCACCGTATGCATGCAGACTCAACAGCAGCTCGTTGCTGTCCTCAAGGGTCTGCGTTATCTCCTTTTCCTTGGCCCGTATAGCCTTCAGGTCGGCGTCTATTTTGTTGTGCTCCCTCACAACGTTACGATACTCCTGCAGCTTCGCTTGCGATGGGGGCATTTTTAAAAATGACCTCTTCTCCGGTCATGTACGTGGCCCTGATCCAGGACCTGCCTCCTGTCAATGGGGAGGAGAAAACCGTTGCCATAGTTGCAGCCGCACACGACGTCTCGTCTCTCTCTTTGGTGACCCGGGGATCTGCCAAAGAGATCATGCGTTTCTCAGCTCGGTCCGTCGCCCTTGCTCTGCAGCCTGGGAACATGATAAAGGCGTCAGCAAACAATGACTTTGCGTACTGCGTCTATGGACTTAAGAATTCAAGCGGTACAACTGCAATCCTAGTAGCCAATACTTCGTATGCCATCCGCTTCGCAAACCATTACCTTAAGGAGATGCTTTCTCTAGCGATGAATTTACCGCCCAACAAGCTCAATGTCTCCAAAGATGCTGTAGGGCCAAAAGAGGATGGTGGTCTTGTAGACTTAGTTCCTCTTTTAAAGAGAGCTCAGAGGCCAGAAGAGAACGATCAGCTTTCTAAGCTGGCCAAAGATATCGATGAAGTGCGAGACATGGCGTATGCAAATCTAGAGAAGATTGTTGAGCGTGGGAGGAGTCTTGATGAGGTCATGAAGAAGTCCGATGACCTGTCTGCAGCGTCCAAAATGTTTCTCAAAGAAGCCAAGAAGACAAACTGCAGACTATGTGCTGTTCTATGAGCATCTGTTGGCTACCTTTTGTCAAAAGGTTCTAAAAGGTTTCCCTGTCCAGTGTCGGCGAAATGTGGCTAGTACGTCAAGATAGATTCCGCGGACAATTATATCTCAAATGTATACAAACCTTGCTCATCAATCTCAAGGACCCCAGTGTCCACTAGCTCCCCAAGAATAATCTTTAGAGTATCCAATTCTATTGACCACTTCCTACTTATTTCGCTGTGTATTTTTAAAAGTGAACTCTTGGATCTTTTGACACATTGAGCTATTGCCGCCTTTAGAGAAAGATGGTGTTGAGCGATGTACTTTCGACTTTGAGGAGTGTGGACATCAGCAAAGGAATCACTGTTGCACTGTGACGGGACGCCTGGCGGTGAGCGAGGGTCAGACTGAAAGATATATTCAGGGAAATGCATATTGATCAGGTGCCTCTCAGGGTCATAGAGATCAAAGCCTTGCTCAATAAGAACCGTAAGCACATCTGTAACGTAAGGATTGGCATAAACGAATAGGGTTGCTAAACGATCGATAGAATCTCCTCTTATACCAATCTCTGATATTGTGCTACAATTCAAGATCCCAGATATGTCTGTGAAGGAGGTGATGAAGCCGTCTGTGTAGTCCACTTGCTTAGCTGAGACAGAATGGCCGGTCTTGCTTAAGCAAATAAACGGCACATCAAATACCAATCCCAAAATCAATCTGGTAATAAGTACGCGCGAGCTAAGGGTACTTTCCATGGCAAATGATGTAAAGAACTTGCTCACGAACTTGTTAAACCGCAAGGGAGGCGCAAAGTCAGCCGACTGAAGGAACAGGAGAAGAAGCATCACAATGGTATATGTGCTGATGTTGACGCTGAAGGAGTTCAGAGCGTACTCGAATATCACCCTGGAGCCTGTATCGATAAGTATGTTTCTTCCTCTGAAAACTTCCTCCAGGCGTGCGGTATAGAGTGTGCTGATGCAGAGCATTACATTTGATGTGAGCAGCTCGTAGCGGATCATGGGGAAAGCCCCCGTACTCGACTCACTCCTATGTCTAACCAGTGTTACGTATGGACAGACAAGGGAAAGAGGTGTATCACTTGTGCTGTTGTCATCTATCATGGCTCGATAGCAAAGCCTCAGCTCTTGAATACACTGCAGAAGCTTATCAGTCGCCAACATATTGCCCTTGCAGAGAAGCTTTAGGGCTTCCAAGAGATCAATCTCAGTTCCTAACATAAAAGCAATCATATCTGCCTGTCTGTGCAGTGTTTGCAACGCGTGCGTCTTCACTGGGGCCTCAGACTCCTTGTGTCTCTGCCACTGATCAAAGATAATAGCTAGAACCCTGCCTACCCTCTCGAGACAACGTTCTGCCAACTGCTTGGCTTCAGCACACTCGATAACAAAGGATCCTCCAAGCTGAATGATTGCCTGCACTAGAAAACCGATCAGCTGTCCTGCAGAAGTTTCTGCGTCATCAACTTCGTTTTGGTCAGACAGTGGGTCACGTAGAACACGTAGTATATTCCTATATGTCAACGAAAGCGAAAGTTCTATCATGTCAATCAAAAAGGTAGGTGGATGATTCAAGAAGAGAAAAGGCAAGATGGAACGAATGTCAGCCACCGGAGAAAGAAACTCGTACAGAGGGCCCTTTGCTAGCTGCTTATTGGCAGCAATCCGGATGTTTTCTAGAATCTCCTTGCCCACCTGATGCCCGGAGAAAATGACCTGCTTGTAAAATGCGCATAGAGTAGCAATCGTTGTGCATCCCAGCTCCTGGTTAGTGTCTCGATCACGCACTAGGCTAGGAAGGTCCTCATCAGATACTGAGGCCAAAGAGATCTCGCGACACAGATGCACAAGATGGGCGATGTTGGTAGATGGAATCACTAAGAGCTCTACGTATCCCTGGATTGCTGTGACGTCATCCTGCACCAAGCGTACCAGTGGGTCCTTCTGAGCAGAAAAGAAAATATCTCCATACACCTGTGAAAATATCGTGGGAGAACAATAGAGAGAAGATTGTATTTTAAACAAGTTCTCAACCTCAAGTGAAACGCGGAATAACATAACCAGCTGGTTGAGCCGGGTCTTAGTCAGTGGGGTATCCTTCTTGTACGCCTGCAGCGACAATCGGATGCCGGTGGCAAGTGCAGACATGTCATCGTCGGTCTCGAATGACACCATGGAGATAGCCCCGACGATTCCCCATGCTACTTTGTGGGGTATCTTATGAATCAGTAAGTCGTGTGGAGCCTTTCCTGGTAGATTATAGACACCCAAAAGCACATCGACGAGTAGCTGCACGATAGCTTCTTTAGCGGAGTAAACATAAATTCCGAAGGAGCTGATGCACCTTTCCAGGTAACCAAGCGCAGCATGCTCCAGGCGCGGAATATAAGTGGAGGAGATAACCACATTCTTGAGAAACTGGAGAATAATTTCCCTAGCGTTGCCAAGATTCTTCTCTTTCAATTGTAATGCTAGTGCATATACTTTTCGCGAAAACACCACTGGCAACTTATGTTCGTAGCCTGACGCCCTTACAAGGAATGATGCTTGCTGAAGGTCCGCTGTATCTCTATTGAGTCCCATCACAAATTGCTCCAGTTTGGTCTCGAATTCTGTTTCTGCAGTTTCGAAGTCTACCGACAAAGAACTGAGCGCCCCTGGAAACATGGTGTCCACCGTTAAACCAAGCAGATGATTTATCTTAAGGTTCACTCATGCACAATTTTGGTCATGAACATGCCTTACAAGAGAGTAGGTTGTGAACTACTTTGTTCTGAACTGAGATATACTAATTGCGGAACAGCACACAGAGAATAGCATTGAGCGTTGTATGTGCTCCATCATAGTTCTCAGGAGGTTTAGTAAGGCTTAGAGAATGTTGAAGGTAGCAACCAGATACAAGAAAATGGGCACCAACTGACGCGCTGTGTAAGTGCAACTGCTTGGAGAGAGTAAAAGTTAGTAGCAAATTTGAAAAAAGTTAGACTAAAAAGTAAATCTTTGAAACGGTAATTGGCATTGCTCACCGATGGAGAACATGTATGACGACTTTATAGACGAACCCAACGACAGTCAGAGTCTCCTGCCGGTTGAAAAGCCCGCTACAGGCAAAACGGCCACTAGTTCCGGAACGAGTCCTGTCCCTAAGGAAATACTCACTGCCTACGAGGCCATTAATAGCGCCATTAAGCGGGTTGACGATGCAATCGTTTCCCTGTCAGAAGCGACACGCAAGGCAGAGTCTATCAACACCGAAGTAGAGCTGAAAGAATTTAAGAACACGATAAATGGTAAGGTCGCGGAGATAAAGGGCAGAATGCTCAGAGAGGTTACAGAGTCGATTAAAGATCTTGGGAAACAGCAGGCAGCGCTCCAGCGCAAAGGGGCTCTAGACGATGCCCAGTCAGTAATCATTGCTGGGAAGAAGAGATCCTACCAGCAGACCGTGGCTAACAAGGAGACCCAGCTGGACAGCATTATGAAGAAGCTTACCCATCTCTTGGATAACATCGGAAACAAAATCCGCGCCGCCCAGTATGACGCACAGAGACCCGCAGGCGAGGCAGAGAATGAGAAGGCCGAGGAGCAGATGCTCCGCCAAGAGCTTCAGGAGATGGAGCTCGTGGACGAGCGTGAAGGAGAGCTGATCCAGAATATCCACCGCGATGTAGCAGAGGTACTGGCCATGATGGGCCTAATGGCAGAGGAGGTGCATGCGAACCAGGAGACGATCAACCGGATCGAGGCCAATGTGAAAGCCGCGGATGACGACGTGGAGGCTGGCGTGGAACATCTCAAAAAGGCAGAGAAGCACCACAAATGCTCGAAGAAGTGCCTTATCATCTGGGGCGTCATAATAGCAGTCATTGCTATCATTGTCATCTCCGTCCTGAGCACAATCTTTAAGTAAACCTTTGCAAGCTCTCTTCCTGGGCCGGTGAGGGCTGCCATGCCAGGGCAGACGCTTGGACCGCCTCTTCTAAGTCTCTTTCATAAAATGAATAGCGCTGTGGAGGGCTGCTTGCGTAAAGGCTTCAATGAAGGCATAACCGAGCCTCACGGGCCCACGCATAAGCGTTTGCAAGTCGTACGCTCTGGTGACAGGGTTCTTGCCCAAGCAATCCATGTCTCAGAGTCATCCATAGCCCTCAGGGTACTCTGTGTCGATGATGGGCTACGTTTAGACGCCACATATGGAGTAATCCGGTATAAGGACGCAGGGGTCTCTCCAGGAACTGCACTGCACACGATAGCCAGGTCCGGTACCTACTTGATATGTGAGGTCCTTACCGTGAGCACGCCCTGTATTCTCCGGCCTTGGCCAGAGACCCTTTGATGGACAACCTCTCTTGCTGATCACTATATCCTGTTGGTAAATATTTTCTCATGGCAGCTCTGGGTTTACCATGAAGCCCAAGTGCTGGAAGTGGAAAGTAAATATTGAAAGTAAAAAATGGACTCGGTCATGAGTGGTGGCGTCGAGGGCACAAACTTGGTGCCGGTCGACCAGGAGTTCTTGTATTTCATTCTCGATATCATGCGTGCCTCCGGGGGCTATAGGATCGAGCTCACGGACATGGATCCATACCACGAGCTGTTTTTAGAGTTTACCAATCCGACAGACTCCGCTCACTGCTCACTCTTTTTATGGTTCAATGAGAAACTACACAAACTCGAGGTTGTTCACTCTCTATCCAATACAACAGACTTTTCAGCGGCAAAGTCGGACACTTCTCAGCCGACGCTAGCCTTCAGTATCTACTACTTCGTCCGACTTGAAACAATGCCGGCCGACTTCACCGACTGGAGAAATCACATTCAGATGGGGACGGTGTCTCCTTGCGTCACAGAGTCCTTACTGAATGCCATGAATTCTGTTTACTCTCCCTGGATTCGTTCCTTCAACACTTGGCCATCTAGTGTTAGAGACGACTTTCTAAGCCAAATTGAGCGGTATATGGCCAGCTTGACTGAGACGACTTATCTTGCAAAGGGGAGAACCGTTCTGTATATCCCTAGCTTTGAGGATCTAGACCCAGTAGAGGGCTCGCGCAACAAAGAGCTCATACCTCGGTTAGAATCTCTCGTTGTCCATTGGACACGCCAAATCAAAGAGCTGCTTTCGGGTGTGCACTCCATGGCACGGACCTCAATGACTGCTCAACAAGCAATAACGCCAGGGACGGCTCCAAAGACTGATGATGCATCTCGGCCCATCACTCAGTTTAGCAAAAAGGCAGCACGAGGGCTCAATGCCTGTGCAACGAAGTATCACCCGTTTCCTCGCTTGCAGGACCCTCTGGACGAGCTGTGTTACTGGAAGACTAGGGCTGCAGACCTCACAGCGGTTCTGGACCAGCTACGCTCAAGGGCGCTGTGTAATGTAATTGAGACCTTGAAGCTGGCACACTCACAGTACGCTGACACCTTCGACGAGCTTGCTGCAGTTATCAAGGAGCGCACAAATGAAAGCATGTCAAACCTAAAGTTTTTGGGGACTATTGAGGGCGCCTGTAGATCCCTGATGACCACAAAAGATCTAAACGATATCGCATCAGTTCTTCCGGATCTTCTCTGCCAAATAAAGCTAATAAGTGCCCAGTCAGCATACTATTCTAACGTGGCTAACTTGTCTGGGCTGTTGCGGCGTGTCTCGTCGCTTGTGGTTAATAGCCTGGTATCCATGGTTAGCCTGTATGATATCTTTGTCGGGGACAGTCTCCGGTCTATTCACGATCTTATTGGATGCAATGCAATCATCAATTCGTGGATATTGCTATATAAGCAGGCGTGTGACAATACAAAGGAGCACGAGGACCTTGTTACAGAAATAGAAACGGCCAAAAAGGCAGCCATTGAGGCAGAGGCACAGATGGGCGCGCTGCCTCCTCCTGAGCCGGAGCCAGTTCCCGAGCCCGATGAGAGAACTGAAGAAGGCGAAGGGACAGAGGATAGCTACGATAACCCTGCTGCACTTAACCATATTCCTCCACAGTATCACAAAACGGTCTATTGCCTGCTTCTGCGGAAACAAAGACCTGACCAGCCGTTCATGGAGTGGTCCTTCGATTCTTCAGTGGTCTCCTCTGCAGAGGCGTTTGGCCAGAGATGCATTGACCTGTGCGAAATATGTCAGGATAGGCTCCAGTTTTCTCGTGCAGACACGTTAATTGCCTCGAAGGATGGATTCTTACAGCGCCACACTAATTCCAATGCGGGTGCAGAGCAAAATGGGAAGCAACATATTAAGGAGAACACGTTCTCTGCCACACCTAAAACAGAAACAATAGAGCTTCCTAATGGATTGACAGTCGACATGAGTCTCCTCTCTCAGATTGGAAAGCCACCTTACGATAACCTTAACACGGCATCACTTGCAGACATTAACTCTGCTGAGTATCTTCTTCCTAAATTTGGAGGAAGTTTAGGCCAAATGATCCGGCGGTCCTTTAGGGAGATTCAGCGCACATTCTTACGCCATCTCGCCCTTCTTTCTCGTGTTCCATACAATCACTTTGACGTGCGATCAAACTCGTGGCACGAGTCTGTCGCAGCCTACCGTCAGGGGATCAAGGCGCTCACTATCTTCACTGAGAACATTATCTCAACAAACTTTTCCCAATCTAGCCACTCCGTTGTTGAAACCTGCGCTATCCTTGAGGCGTTTAGCCATTTATCTAGTCGCCCAGCGTTCAGACGCTCTGTGGAAAAGAAAACTCTCGATACTGTGCGCCTTTTCATTGAGAAGGCAGGACAGATAAAAAGCCAGTTTGAGCTTTTAAGGACAGCGTCTAACACTACCAATGTTGAAAGCAAACCGTCAGAGGCTAGGGACACTAAAAGGACTACCAAGCTGGCAGCTGCAAAAGCCCCACTGGGGACAAAAGCCAGGTCGACGAAGGCTGTCAGTGGAGCTAATTCTGGAACTGCAAAGGCATCAGCAAAGGTGGCACTCAGTGGCACAGACGAGCATGCTCAACCCGAGCGCAAACTGGACGTTGACCAGGCCTCGGCCAGTATGGCGACGACGGTGGCACACTCTACGGTGTTGACATTTGCTTCATTCCAGCCGCGCATCGCTATGAATTCGGTGAATATTAAACGGTTACTCAGCGCTTTGGAGCGTGACTGGGATGCCCTTGTCATATGGCTTTCCCCAGGTGCTCGCCAAGTTGCCTCAGAACTCCTAAACAGGGAGCGGAGGAATGCTGCAGCCGCGGCATCTGGTGTTGGAACCAATGATAGCAGGCAGGCAGTCGAACTATTAGTCAACTACTCCCGCGACGAACGCGAGGCCATTGAGATTTACGCCAAAACTAAAGCTCTTTTTGAAAGCTACATAGACAGAAACTTCCGCGAATGGGTTTCGAGCATCAAGTCGTACAATTTCGAGGCAGAGCTAGAGAAGCCGATCATGGCTCTCACGCCCATTCCAGATGCTCTTAAGGAAAAACTAAACGTCGACTCGGCACTTAACGCCCTGGACATGGGGACATCAAGTGACAAAGCTAAGAAAGCACCCCAAGCAAAGGACGAGCCCCACGAGGAGACGACGAACACAATCCTTCTTCTGAATCGGGTTAGCCTTCAGTACCCTGTCTCTATCAAGAACTGCTTGCAGGAAGTCATGTACTGGAGCAAGTTAGGATACGACATCCCTGAAAACGCCAAGCAACTGTACTCGCGCCGAACTGCGCTCCATCAGAAAAAGGAGCTTGTATCTCTCTGTGTCTCTGAGGTCAATCGTGTTGTGGATAACCTAGCGCCTGATGAGATCCTTTTGTTCCGCTCGCGCCTCTCCGAGCTGTCTAACTATCTCTCGGATGCGTGGACAAAAATAGGCTGGAATACCCGTGGTCTTCTCCAGTTCATTATGAAGGCGCGAAAGCTGGCTATTGAAGCGTTTGCACTGACGTGCCTATTCCACAACAAACGGAAGACTATCGAGGACTGCATCAGGTCTCTAAGCTCCATTTCTCTCATCAATTGCAAGCTTTGCGCGGATACATCGTCATCCAGTTCCTTGAGCCATGCCCAATCGATGGAGCAAAGCCTTGCAGATGACGACGACGCCCAACTTGGTGAGAGATCGTCCACTAGTGGGCCACTTCAGCTTTCTGAATTTGTGTCTAACCAACGTGTTACTTTGGATTCAGCCACACGCCAATTCTTTGAGACCCTTAACCTAGCGGAAGATTCTCTTGTAAGCTGCTATAATATCTTCCGGAAAGATGGCCCTTCAGTACAAGCAGAGTGGATCCAGTTTGTTTCTCAAATAGAATCCCGGATTGAGGTGTCGCTGCTCGCTCTTTTTGTCCAGAGCTTTGAGGAGCTGGCCTTCATCATGACTGGACGTCGTTCCAGGCCGTTAGACATGTCTGCCTATAAGCCAGAGGCCATCCCGATCTTTAAACTCTTCTTGGTTCTCACTAAGCATCCCATTATTAGCCCATCTGTTGACGAGCTGAATGGCGCTGTTGTCACTGTCCTGAGATCCGCCATTCTGGGTATCGTTGAACGTATAGAACGCTTCCACATATCCCTTTCAGCGAAGGAGCGCCGTTTGCGGGAAATGCGGATTGCAGAGGCAGAACGTATCTTTCAGGAGAAGATAGATCAGCGGGAGAGAGAGGGCCTGCAAACATCTCCTGCTGAGATAGCCGTGCTGCGTGCGGACATAGATGAATGGGCGTCTCTGAAGATGCCAGAATACAAGGTTCGAATTCCGTATCTAGATCTCTTTAGATTTGCAATTAACATTTTGGATCAGCCAGCTAATACCGTCACAGTCTATTCGCCCAGCAGCTGTCCCGATGAGGCTACAGACCAGCAGGCCAAGGGAATCAACACCAATGCACTGGGGCATGCCATAGCCTGGATACGCTATAGCTTAGATGCGGTTTGCAAGCAAGCGACAACCTACGCCGGGAACTTTGCTCGCTATTCCGAGCTTTGGCTGGAGGATATGCGAGGGTACGAAATACGCCATAACCTCTTATCGCAGCCTCTGTCTGTCTATGAAGATACGCTCAAAAGCTTCCAGCGCTTAGAAGCTGACCTGCAGCAAGAGGAGTCACACATACACTTGTCTGTCATCCAGCTTGACTGTACCAATCTCAAGACAGAACTTGCGCGCAAGAGCGCCGACTTCCAGAGTTATCTTATTGACGTTCTCCAAGAGAAGGCGTTTTCCGAGCTCAAATTGGTCACTAACGATCTTAACGAGATGATCCTGCTCTTGGACAAAGAGTCTCGCGACCTGGATGACCTCCAGCGTCAGATTACAAACCTAGACAGTGCAAAGGTACTTATTGGCAGCATTAATGAGCGCTGCCAACCTATAGGGCAGAAGTTCCAACTGCTTATGACCTTAGAAGCGAACGTGTCTGCAGATAAGCTTGTTATCTTAAACGGTCTTACAGATCTTATTACAAAGGCGAAGGGCGCCATCGACTCTGCGCAATTGAAGGTGGCTGTGGAACGAACCAAATTCAGAGACCAGGTTACGAGAGACCAGGCCAATCTCACCCAAGCGTGTATGGATCTGAAGACGTTAGTCCAGAGCGAAGGACCATATTCTCCCAATGTTGTAACCAAGGCAATCGAGGGTGTTGCTCTGACGGCCGAGGACATACAGCAGGCGGAGCGGATACTTCATCGCTTTGAGAACAAGTATGACGACTTGCTCCAGCTGAAAGAACAGGTTGAGCATGGGTTGAGGATTTTCCAAGCTGAATTCAAGGACGTAAAAGAGCTGAGCATAATACAAGGAATGATCAAGCAGCTCAAGAGCATATGGTCTATTGCTTCCGCTTGGAACAATTACTACAGCAGCGTGAAGCGAACTCAGATGCGCCACATTGATCACGAGCAGCTCGATGCTGAAATTAAGAAAAACCAAATCTCGGTAAGAAAGCTTCCCAACGATACAAAAGCATTTCCTGTTTCGAAGACTCTTGCTCTGCAGCTTGAGGAGTACCGACCTGTTCCCGCTGTTAGCCAGGACCTCAAAAACACCGCTATGCGTCCGCGCCATTGGGCACAGATCTCAGAAATAACTGGCATCTACCTGCTGATCCCGAAAGACACTCCCAATATTCTGGGACCTGCCTCAGGAGGAGAGCCAATTGCCAAACTATCTAACCTTGTCTCAAGCGGGGTCAACCTTGATTCTTCCACAACATCGGCTGGGCTTTCCTCCTCTGCCGTGAACAATGAAGCCTACGACAAAGTCATCATTGATCCGGACTCGATGCACTTCACTCTACATTTTATCATAAGTTCCGGACTCATGGTGCACGCTGAATCCATTGCTGCGATATCTAGCGGCGCCACGCAGGAGCTCTTCATTGAAGAGGGAATGCGTGACATCGTCAAGAAGTGGCACATGCTTGAGCTTAATGTTGCAACGTATCAGAGCAAGTCGTACGGCGGGGATGTACGAAACAAACCCACCTATTACATTTTGAAGGGCCTGGAGGACCTTTTTGCAAACTTAGAGGAGCACTCCTTGTCCATATCAACAATGAAGGGATCCAAGTATGCACGGGCATTTGAGCAGGAGCTGGACACGTGGGACGCGGTGCTCTCCCAGGTCTCTGAAGGAATCGAGATTATCCTGAACTCTCAGCGTGCCTGGATGTACTTGGAGACCATTTTTGCCGCCTCTGATGATATCCGTAAGCAGCTTCCGGCAGAGTCCCAGCTTTTCGACGAGGCCAATGAACTTTGGAAGAAGTCCATGACACGCATTCACCGTGAGAAACGGGTCCTCGTTTGTTTCGATATTCTAGAGCTGCTGCAAACAAATATCGGCTCTAAGATTAATCTACGACGATCCTCTGTGATTATTAAATCAATGCTAGAGATTTCTCAGACGCTCGATCAGATCCAAAAGAGGTTGGAGGATTATCTTGAGCGAAAGCGCGTTTCCTTCCCACGGTTCTACTTCCTTTCCAACGACGAGTTGCTTGAGATTTTGGCTCAGTCGAAGAATCCACTTGCTGTGCAGCCACACATACGCAAGTGCTTTGATGCAATGAAGTCTCTTGACGTCACAGACAAAGCTGGGACAAATATCAGTCAGTACACCGACGTCAGCCAGCTTAAGCCAAATACTGTCGTTATTGCTTCGGGCATGAGGGGGGACTGCGGAGAGTTGGTGCCATTTCTTCGAAATATCATCTGCACAGGAGTTCCCGTTGAAGTCTGGCTCGGACAGGTGGAAGATTGTATGCGCGCAACTCTAAAAGACATGGCGCCGCGTTGCCTCTTGGACATGGTCAACGGAAAGCTGCCGTTAGAGATATTGCTTGGAAAGTGGCCGGGTCAACTTACTATAGCAAGCAACCAGATCAGATGGACGCAGCACGTTGCACACGCACTCTCTAGCGGGGCAAAGTTCCTTGACAAAACCAAGCTAGAAGCTCCCACATTGAGGAATAAAAAAGATACTTTCGACAGACCTGGAGAGGATGGCCTTGATGGTGGAGACGAGACAGCAGCAGAGGAGCCTCAGGAAGAATTGGATGACGAGGCCTTTCTTATGCAACAACTCATGCAAACACCTGGGTTCCAGGACTGCCTTGACACTGTTCGGCGTAACCTTAAAAACTCCCGCAAACGCTCTATGATCTTCCTCAGCAAGCTAACTGAAATCGTCCGCAAGCAACGGTCGGAGTTTGTAGTGCCACAAGCAGCGCCGTACCCATGCAACTTCCAGGGCTCCCTTATTCAGAACAAGGTGCGTTCCCACATTACCCTAGAAGTCCATAATCGTGACATAATAGAAGAGCTCTACCATGCTAAGGTTTACAACGACCAATGCTTTGAGTGGTTCAGCCAACTAAAGTATTACCTGGAGTTGGTGGGCAGTGACTTTGACCAGCCGAGCAACAAGAAAAAAAAGAAGGAGGAGAAGCGCGAGGACATGACTATGTGTATAGTCATTCGCCAAACCACATCAATTCTTGCCTATCAGTACGAGTACCTGGCAAACACTGGCCGACTTGTTTGCACACCTCTGACAGATCGGTGCTACGTTACTCTGACCTCTGCTCTACAGTTGCGTAAGGGCGGTGCGCCACAAGGACCTGCTGGTACTGGAAAAACCGAGACCACGAAGGACCTTGCCAAGGCCATAAGCATCCAATGTCTCATCTTCAACTGCTCCGAGGGTCTGGACTACAAGTCTTTGGGTCGGATGTTTTCGGGTCTTTGCCAGACAGGCGCCTGGAGCTGCTTTGACGAGTTCAATCGTCTCTACGTCGATGTTCTCTCAGTTGTTGCACAGCAAGTCGGAACCATCCTTGCAGCTATCTCTAAAAATGCGTCTAGATTTGTTTTTGAGGGACGTGAAATCAGTTTAAAGCGCACGTGCGGCGTTTTCATAACCATGAATCCAGGCTATGCCGGCCGCTCGGAGCTGCCTGACAACCTCAAGGCCCTTTTCCGCCCCATTTCAATGTGTGTGCCACAGATGCAACTCATTTGTGAAATCATGATCCTTTCCGAGGGCTTCGCCACAGCCAAGTCCTTAGGAATGAAGGCAAAGACTCTATTTGAACTTTCTAACCTTCAGCTTTCCAAGCAAGGCCACTATGACTTCGGTCTGCGCGCAATGAAGGCGGTTCTTCTGACCGCAGGCATGTTGAAGCGCAGCCATCCAGAGTATCCGGAGGATATGATCATGATGAGGAGCCTCAAGTACAGCACGGAGCCGAAACTTGTTCGCCAGGACACACTTCTATTCACAGGCCTAATTAGCGATCTCTTTCCGGGTGTAGAGCTGCAGGACGTTTCGTACGGGCTTGTGGAAGCAGGCGTGGATATCGAGATGGCAGTACGGAACATTCATATCAACACTAAGCAGCGCGACAAGATCTTCCAGTTTCTAGAAACACAAGAGTCCCGGCACGGAGTTATGGTCATTGGGAATTCTGGCTCCGGCAAAACAACCTGTTACGAGGTGCTTGCGGCTGCTCGCGCTCGCGCTAAGAAAGCATATACAGAGTATCTTGAAGCAACTCAGCCCAAGGGGGCTGTACAGGCCAAGGCCTTTCTTAAGAACCCCTATTGCATAATGATCAAACACGTCGTCGACTCACAGGAAATTCCATTCAAGGCTGTCTCCCCATACCTTTACCTTCTGCAAAAGTTGTACAAAGACGAAACAGGAACGTCTAAGCATATACAAGAAACAGTTTACCTAGCTAAATGTATCCATTACATGAAGGATGTCTACAAATATGACTCTAACACAGGTGCGTATGCCTTTACTCCCGCACGAGATCAGAAGGACACCACCGTCGGTGACGTGTTGGTGGAGCCAGTCTATGATGAGAAGGTCCGCACCCCATACGATGACGCCTACGACGTTGTGATAGACTACATAAATCCCAAAGCCCTCAACATCAACCAGCTGTATGGGGCGTTTGACATGGCGACCCAAGAATGGGTTGATGGCGTTGTCTCCAATTGTATCCGCAGCAGCTCAGCACTGGGTAATGATCCCAACAATAAGACCTACTACACTACGCTTTTCGATGGCCCTGTGGACACACTGTGGATAGAGTCCCTCAACTCAGTGCTTGACGATTCAAAGATACTAACACTTGTCAACGGTGAGCGTATCTCGTTCCCTAAGGCCGTCAACTTCTTGTTTGAGGCAAATGATCTCTCACAAGCCTCTCCTGCTACTGTCTCCCGTGCAGGAATGATTTACTGTGATCTCTCGGACATAGAGTGGAGATGGCTCTATAGGCACGGAATAGACAAGTTTTATCGCTCGAGGACAAGGAATGAGCTGGTTAGAGAGCGCTATGGGACGTTTCAGTTTAATTTGGAGCGAGCAATAGCCAAGGTCAAGGAAAACGAGGGCGATAGTTCCAACTATAAGGAGCTCATAAAGCATGATGTACCAGCGGAGACTAACCAGTTGATAATAGATACTCTGGAGGGTTATGGAATGAAGCTATTTAATAAGGTGTTCGATGCAAAAGAGCAAGGCATCCTGACCCAGTCCATCGACTATTCTGTATACTCCATGATGCGGACATTCTTCAACATGTTTGAGGCCCTTGCGCAGCCCCATAATGGTGTGTGGATTGACATTTTTGATAATGATGGGATGGTACAACGCGTTGTTGAAATGTATATCGTCTTCTCACTGGTCTGGGCGTTCGGTGGCAGTCTGGATTCGGACGGCAGACAACACTTCGACTTGATTATCCGTGAAGTTGAGGGTGCTCTTCCAGTGGCAGACACCGTTTGGGATTATAAGGTGGACCACGGCCGTCGCAGCTGGGTACACTGGAACGAGGTCTTGCCGAGAGGGTGGCGACCCAATCCAGCCATTCCCCTGTACTCAACTCTTGTTCCCACGGTGGATACTCTCCGCACCGAATACGTGGTTAAAACAGCAATCCTTCACGCAGCGATAGAGTCTATCGAGATCAGGAACTACCACACAGTCGGGCCTGCCAATAGCTACACCACTTCGTACGGGGTAATGCTCTATGGAGTCAGCGGAACTGGGAAGACGTCTATCTTTAAAAACATCATCATTCCCGCACTCGAGCAGGGCCTGATCACAAACTCTGCCTATGAGTACTATTCCACTCTCCAAGTAGCCTGCGATGGGGCCACAAATCTGGAGAAGATGTTTGTTGGTGGAAATATTGGAAAGTACAACATAGTGTCGCTAGGTCTTTCTGCGCAAACATCTCCGCAGCGCCTTCAGGCTGTCTTGGAATCTCGATTGCAGCCGCGCTCGACGACCTCCATGGGACCGGTCGGTGGTAAGCGGCTTTTGGCCTTCTTCGATGACTATAACCTTCCACAGCGCGATGCATTCGGTTCCCAGCCGCCTCTGGAGTTTATGCGTCAGGTTATGGATCGCGGGACAATGTACAGACAGAAGAAGGATAAGTACTATTTGTCCTCTATTCTAGACGTGGATATTGTACCTGCTATGGCTGTCCCCGGTGGCGGGCGGAACCCCATCTGTGCGCGTAACCTCTCCTTGTTTAGCATCTTTGGAATAGATTCACCCAGTGAAAATGTCCTGAAGGGCATCTTCCACACCCTCCTGAACGCCCATTTTGCACTTGGCTTTGACGAGCAAATAAGGCAGATGGTTGATACCCTAGTGACGTCTGGCATAGAGATCTACGCTCAGGTCTCTTCTTCTCTTCTGCCGACACCACTGAAGCCGCATTACGTGTTCAATTTACGTGACTTGTCCAAGTTCTTCTTGAGCCTTATGAAGGCCGACCCGCAGCAGCAAACAACGCAGGACTCCATTGTTCGGCTTTGGACACACGAGTGCCTCCGCGTTTATCACGACCGGCTGGTTGAAACGGACCGCCCCTGGTTCTTTGACCTGCTCAGCTCAAAGCTCGGAAACCATTTCAATACAACCCTCAGCCGTGTGTTCTATGAAAAGCAGCCTCCGCTATTTGTAGACTTCTTGGAGACAAAGTGGATCTCGACAATTCCTAACAATCAGGATCCTGACACAGAAGTAGGCGTCTTCCAGGAGATAACCAGCAAGAAGATGCTCAAGACCTTCATGGAGGAAAAGCTCAGAGAATACAACAACTCCGGTGCAGCATCCATGAATCTTGTTCTCTTCAATGACGCGATTGATCATTGCTGTCGGATTGCCAGAATTCTCTCCTCTCCGTCTGGTCACGCACTGCTGATTGGATCAGGTGGATCAGGACGCAGTAGTATGACACGGCTTGCAGCGCATCTCCAGCGGCAAACTGTCTTTTCTATAGACCTAGCAAAGAACTACGGGGTTGCCCAATTCCGCGAAGATATGAAGAAGCTCTTTCTCATGGCCGGCGTTGATAACCAAGCAGTGTGCTTCCTCCTTTCCGACCAGCAAATCGCCGACGAGGCGTTTCTAGAGGATGTCAATTCAATATTGTCTTCTGGAGAGATACCTGGTCTGTTTACGCAAGACGAAATGAGCCAGATACGCGACGCTTTGTCTCCTGTATGCAAGCAGTATGGCATGAGCGAGACAATGGAGAATTGTTATCAGATGCTCCTGCAGAGATCGAAGGTCAACCTTCACATAGTTTTAGCTTTCTCACCATCAGGAGAGGTGTTTCGGCGCCGTCTGCGCATGTTTCCGTCATTGGTTGGCTCGTGTACCCTCGATCTTTTCGGAGACTGGCCCACTTCGGCGTTAGAGGAAGTCGCGCTCTACTTCCTCTCAGATTTCAAGGAATTGGATGAATTTGAGAACATGCAGCGCGTATTGGAGATCGATGAGAATGGAAATATCGTTGAAGAAAAGGCTCAGCCACCTGCAACTACTGCGCGAGGAGGAAGTTCTCAAAACAGCAGCAGAGACGAGTCAGACACTACAGACCCGACACGCATGTCGCTCCGCAGGAAGCTGGCGAAAGCCTTTGTTACGGCACACGACGTATCCCACAAGACAGCCCTGGAAATGGAGCTGGCTTCTAAACGCAAGGTCCACGTTACTCCAGCAGGATACCTGTCCCTTGTCCGATTATATAGAGATATCCTTCTTCAGCAGCGCCACAAGATTACCAATGATATAAACAAACTTAAGGGCGGTATCAATAAGCTCATGGAGACGCGCGAGACTGTCGAGGAGATGCGGAAGGAGTTGGAAACGACGAAAGTGGTTGTTCTGGAGTCTCAGGAGAACTGTGAGAATCTGCTTGCGAATATAGCTGTTCAGCAGCGTGAGATAGATGAGAAACAGAGGCTAATCCAGATCGACTCGGAGAAGCTTATGAAAGAAAAGGAGGTCCTTATGGGACAGATGAAAGAGGCCCAGAAGGACCTAGACGAGGCGACTCCTGCCCTGGAGGCTGCTCAGAAGGCCTTGGAGAGTCTTGACTCTAAGGATATCTACGAAATTCGCTCGTTTACACAGCCTCCAGAGCTTGTTAAACTGGTTCTGGCCGGTGTTATGACGCTTCTTAATCGCGATACAGACTATAAGTCTGCTAAAATAGTTATGGGAGAAGGTCAGTTTTTGGAGAAGCTGATTAACTATGATGTTAACAATATCCCTGAGACGATGCTCAAGAAGGTTAAGCGGTACTACATGGACAAGAACTACACTGTCGACGCAATCGGGCGTGTTTCTGTGGCTGGGAAGTCCCTTTGTCTATGGGTTCGTGCTGTTTATGAGTACGCATGCGTCTACAAAGTTGTTAAACCAAAACAAGACGCCTTGGAGGACGCCAAGAATAAGTTGGCCGAAAAGGAGCGTGCACTTCAGGCAGCGCAAGATGAGCTTGCTCGCATTGCTGCCGCCGTCGAAAAACTCAAGAGTGAGCATGCCTCTGCGGTTGCTGAACGCGACCGGCTTCGAAGGCTTGCCGAGGAACTTGCCCTAAAGCTCAACCGCGCCGAAAAGCTTATAAGTGGTCTTGGAGGCGAAAAGGAGCGGTGGACGAAGAAGATCCAGACACTAACCTACAATCTGTCATCGCTGCCCGGAGACTGCTTGACAGCGGCTGCCTTCATATCTTACGCTGGCGGACTCACTGGGCGGTTCCGCTCATATGTTCTGACCGAGTGGGTCAACGCTGTCAATGTGTGGATGATTCCGTGCACAGACCCTGAAAAGTACAGCGTCTCGGAGTTCTTAGCCGGGCAGGCCCTCATCTATCAATGGAGCTTGCTTGGCCTTCCAAAGGATAACTTCAGCGCAGAGAACGGGATACTTATTACGACGAGCAACAGAACGCCACTTATCATAGATCCTCAGCGCCAAGCAACCAGATGGATTAAGAGGCTCTTCTTTGAGGCTCCTGAGTACAGCAAGACAGACGTAGGGAATGTACAGCAGAGCGAAGAAAGTGAGGGCGGAACGCTCAAGCTTGAGGTAGGTACTCAGCAATCAAAGAAGCCACCGAAGCAGTCCAGCAACCCAGATGAGAACCTCAAGATCATAAATGCAAAGGATGCAGACGCAGTGAAACAAATTGAAATGTGCATACAGTACGGGACACCCGTGTTGCTTGAAGACGTCGGGGAGCAAATTGATCCGTCCTTGGACGTCATTATACGGAAGGACATTATCAAGAAACAAGGTAGGCGGTTCATAAAGATCCGCGATAAAGAGGTAGAGTGGAATGATAACTTCCGGATATTTGTTTCGACACGCCTCCCCAATCCTCTGTACACACCAGAGGTCTTTGCAAAGGCCTGTATCATCAACTTCACGATTATCAAGGAGGGTCTAACAGACCAGCTGCTGGGAGCAGTCGTTTCAAAGGAACGCCCAGATTTAGAGGAATCTAAAAATAAGATCGTTCTCAACACAGCCAATATGCGGGTGAAGTTGCAGTTTCTGGAAGATGAGATATTGCGTCTCCTGGCTACATCGTCTGGCAGTCTTCTCGACGACGAGGAGCTTATTGCCACTCTTGAAAATTCCAAAGTCACGTCTGCAGAGATTACAAAGCAGCTTGAAACCTCTGCGATCACTGAGAAAAAGATTGATATGGCACGGCGGGCTTATCAGCCTGTCAGCGAGAGGGCATCGCTGCTGTACTTTGTTCTCGAAGATCTGGGCTCAGTAGATCCTATGTACCAATTTAGCTTGGAGGCATACATGAAGCTCTTTATTAACAGCATCAATAACAGCCAGAAGCATGAGGACGTTAGCGCCCGAATTAGACTCCTCAACGACTACCACACTTACGCGGTTTATAAGTACTGCTGCCGTGGTCTGTTTACTCGGCACAAGATTCTCTTGTCTCTGCATATGTGCGTGAAGATCCTGGAAAGTTATGGCAGGATAAATATGAGTGAGTATGCCTTTCTGCTCAAGGGCGGCCAGGTGTTCGACAAGTCTCAGCAGCCGCCGAACCCCGATCCCACTTGGATTAGCGGCGCAATGTGGGACAGCCTTTGTATTCTTGATAAGATGCCTGCCTTCAGCAACCTTCTTCCCAGCATTGAGCAGCGCCTGAAAGACTGGTACACTAACTACTACGTCCACGATACGCCTGAAAAGGCGCCTCTTGTTGGCGAATGGGACACTCAGCTAAACGAGCTCCAGAAGATGCTTGTGCTGCGCTGCTTCAGACCTGATCGCCTTATCAACGCGATCTATACTTTTGTTGCAAACAGTATCGGGGCTCAATACACTAATCCACCGCCATTTGACTTGGGATTGGCATTGACAGATTCTTCCCCCCAGATTCCTCTGTTATTTATCCTTTCCCAAGGCGCTGATCCCACCTCTCAGCTCTTGGCGTTTGCCAAGTCATGCGGCCGCGCAGATAAACTTGATCAGATCTCTTTGGGCCAAGGCCAGCAAGAGGTTGCAGTGAAGGCCGTCCAGCGGTCCATGAAAGAGGGCCGTTGGGTGTTACTTGCCAATGTGCACCTAACTCCGAGTTTCTTCTCCGTCCTGGAGCAGCTAGTGGAAGATATACCCCATTCAGCGCCGCACAAAGACTTCAGGCTTTGGATTTCATCAGACCCCACCAACGTATTCCCTATAAGTGTCCTTCAGACTAGCATAAAGATCACGACAGAGGCGCCCTCTGGTGTCCGTGCCAATCTTCAACAACTATATACGTACATTGATAAGCCGATTCTCGAACGACTACAAGTCCGTGACTCGTACCATGTGCCTCAAGAGGAGCAAGAAAACATGTTTTCCATGACACCCGACGAGAAGGATGACGCCTATAGGAAGCTGCTTTTCGGCATCTCGTTCTACCACACGCTCCTCGTCGAACGTCGTAAGTTTGGCAGTTTAGGATATAACATCCAATACCAGTTCACGCAATCCGATTACGAGACTGCTGTCGAGGTTTTGTCCATGTATCTCCAGCTGTATGATACTATTCCGTGGAACGCCTTGAAGTACCTTGTCGCTTCCATTATCTATGGAGGGCGAGTCATAGACGATCTCGATAGGCGCGTTCTCAACGTCTACATAGACCATGTGTTTTGCCAGACTGCAATCAAGCGAGACGGATATCTGCTCGCGCCCCCGCTTTCAGAGTATGTCATTCCGCAACGAGGAAGCCTGCAGGAGTATCGAGACTATATCACCACGTTACCCCAGGTTGATCTTCCCGCTGTTTTCGGGCAACATAGTAACTCAGAGGTCGCTTCTCGGAAGGTGGAGTCTCTAACCCTTGTCGAGACTTTGCTAACGATTCAGTCCATCGACGGCAGCTCTTCTGGCGAAGTGGATGATAAGAAGAAGGAGAAAGAGAAGAAGGCCAAAAAGGTAGCAGACGACGGCGACGGCGACGAGGATGGAACCAAGAAAAAGAAGAAAGAAAGCACTGGTTTGTCAGCGAGAGACGAGCGTATGATCAAGCTAGCCCAGGACATCATTCACAGTCTGCCGGCCCCAATAACCAACCTCCCTCCCCCAATAACAGACATCAATGATCAAACTGCACCGCTGAAGGCAGTCCTGCTACAGGAATCTGAACGCCACATGCGGCTCAGGAACATTATCAGTGACGACCTCACGACTCTCCAAAGAGGTATCAGGGGGCTGACGATGATGTCGGCGTATCTTGATGAGGTGCTCAACGACTTGCAAGTCGGTAAGGTTCCTGCATCCTGGGGGATCATTTACAAGAGCACGAAGTCTCTAGCGCCATGGTCACGCGATTTCATCAAGCGGGTGGAGCAACTACAGAAGTGGGCGAACGTCGGCTCACTAAAGAGTTACTGGCTTGGTGGACTGAGTTTGCCCACCGCCTTCCTAACCGCGTTGCAGCAGCAGGCATCACGTAGAATGAACATAGCTATCGATCAACTCGAATGGGGCTTCCAAGTCACGAGGTACCTTGACCCTCTTCGCGACATCGACGATAGAAGCGTGCCTGCTTTTGGAGATGGGTTCTATGCCCATGACTTCTATCTTGAGGGCGCAAACTGGGACTTAGACGTAGGCTACTTAAAAGAGCCTCGCCTGATGGATCTCTATCTAACGCTCCCAATAATCCGGTTCAAGCCCCAAGAGGCGAAGAAGAAAACGGCGAAGTTCCAGCAGGTATTCTATGAATGCCCGTGCTACTACTATCCTGTTCGCACAGGATCACGTGAGCAGCCATCGTTCGTTATCAATATCTGGCTCCACAGTGGCTATGATAAGCCTGCAAAATGGGTCAAGCGTGGAACAGCAATACTCCTTAATCTTGGTGATTAGCTCTGAACGAGCCTCAGTGAACGGCCTTTATGTTTAACGCTGCCAGGAAGTCCGCCGCTGATAGTGTCTCTGCCTCCGCAGGGTCATCAAAGTGGCGCTGCTGCGCATCTACACAACGAGCAATAGCATTAAGGGATGCTAGATTGACGACCGCAGCTATCTCGGCTCCTGTAAAGCCTATCATCTTTTCCGCATATAGAGGTAGGGTTTCTCTCAGTTCAGACGTCAGTGGCAGTCCTCCCAAGCAGGCAGTAAAGATTGAAAGCGCCTGATCGCGTGTAGCTGGCCGTGTAATCTCGAACTTGTGGGAGAATCGAGAAAGAGCGTCACTGTGGATAGATGCGGGCTTATTAGTAGCCGCAATTAAAAAGACCTTAGTTCCTACGATATCATCAATGCAACTGGAGAAGGTGGTGATTGCGCGATCCATGTACTTATAAAAAGAGTTCGTCGGAAAGACGGCATCTATCTCATCCCAGAAGATGATCACGGGTTGAGAAGCCCGTGCTATTCGAAAAACACGCTCGATTGCCTTCTCTGTCTCTCCTACATAGCTGCCGATTAACTGTGTGCTAGCAATCGAGAGCAGCGGATAGTGGAGAACGGAGGAAAGGTATCTACCGATCTGAGACTTTCCGCAGCCAGGTTCACCATAGATCAGTAAGGAGTTTGTGAAGGGGGAAGACATCATCTTTCTGATAGCATCCAGTTCGTCGTCAAGCCCACCAATCTGTGCTTCGTGAATCTGTACAATGTCAAAGGAAAGGAGGGACGACGGCCTTGCGGCACCAGCGAGTTGAATTAGTTTATCCTGGATCTCACTCACGCTAAGATTGGTAGCCTTATCGGATAAAATGTGGTGACGCAGTTGGACAAAAATAAAGGCTATGTCGGCGTAGGAGAGGCCTTCGAACCGCTCAGCCAGAACTTCGATGGACGTAGGTCCCGTGTCTAAGCAAGGAGGTGGATCCGCATTATCCTCAACCGTTTCCAACGCCCATTGCTTGTGTAGCATATCTGCAATAGACAAATAATTGCTTCTGAGAAGTTCCAACCGCTGTGCATACTCAGGTGCGCGAAACTCAACAGATAGAGAAAATGAACATGTAACGACACTCAACGGGAGGCTTGCCAACCTATTGGTTGCAGCGAGGATAAAAATGCGGTAAGGACCTTCCCGAAGAAGCTTTATTCGTGTGTGGAAGTTTGTAAAAGCATGCTCTGCTTGTTCGCTATCAATTTCATCAATGAATAGAAGTACTGCCGGGTACGAAGGCCGATCTAATTGCGAGGAAAGCACGTGCGTATCTAGGTACTCAACGGCCGTGGCCAAATCGAGAGTAACGAGGTTTGTGCGAATGGCTAGATGGTTCAGCCGAGAAACAGCTGCATTTGCAAACATGGATTTGCCATTCCCAGGGAGGCCATAGAGCAAGGCACTGACGATTCCTAATGAGCGAGGATTACTGAGGCGAGCTCTGATCAAAGAAAACACCTCGTGAACCTTTGGTGGTGCTGTACGGAAATATGAAGTAGCAGCGTCTGACTCAGCCCCCTGTGGACCTATTGTGTGCCGTTGTATAGAGAGTGCATCTGTGAATAGAGTTGTGGTTGAGGTGATAGCATAGAGGCAGACGTCCTCGACATCTACACCAGGCGGAAAAGTAAACGCAATGTGGTAGGTGTGTCCAGCAATACGAATGATAAGCCTTGTCCGCGGAGTGATAATCGCCCCATTTAGTAGTTGGTGGAGACGCGCAATTAGCCTGTTCCGCATCCCTGAGCAACCGCCAAGACCAGTTACTGTAACCTCATCTAAGGGGCATACAGATCCTAGTGATAAATATTCAGCTACATCTATCCGGGTTGCGCTGGAGAAGTCTTCAAGATAGGGAGAGGTCTCCGGCACGTCGTACGTTCCAGATGCAATAGGCGCGCCTCTCAGTTCGACAATGTGATCATATCGCTGCGGTAGGTCCTTTTTTGCGTAAAAGTTGAGTCGGCAAATAGTGGACGGCGCCTGATCAATAAATTGAGGAGAGACAAAAACGATGGGCCACACGGGAACGGATGTCGCTGCACCAACCGCCTTGCCGCGACGAAGCCCTGGAAGTGACGAACGCTTCCCCTTTGAGCCTCCCAAGACCTCCAAGATCTCGGGATTCATCAAAGAATTTTAATTGATAGGCAGGAAGCAGGGGTCATCCAGATTGAAGTCTTCTCCAACGTAGAACCCGCTATTTGTGTGCTGAAGATAGTCAGTTAGCCACTGATCCACTTGGTCCTGAGATGCGTTGAACGGATACGAACCTTCTTCGATTCTTGTGGAGGTTTCTGAAAGCTCCTGGGTTCCCGAGGGAGTAAACTCGCCAACACTTGTGGAATGAACATCAGTACTACGCACATTTTTGGACACACTAGGGGGCGCATCAGTCTCTCCAGCCTTTGCTGTGTTGGACATGTCTCTAGATGTTCTAGTATTTTCTTTGGAAACCTTCCTGACTACACGCCGACTAGTAGCACGTTTCTGCTCGCTGAACTGTGCCTTACGTTGCTCAATGTATCGTGTAACAGTCTGAATGGCCATGGTTATGCGATCTTGAATTGTATGAACAAGTGAAACGATAAAGGTATCATTCTTAAAGAAGGGTTGCAGACAACGGTAATAGCGATTCGGGGGCACACCCAGCTGCTTACTTTTGGGTGTTCGGCCGACCTCATGATACTGTTTCACACACAGCACAATGAGTCTTTTCATTGAGTCTCGCTGGCTAAAAATCTCGGTAAGGTGGTCTGGAAGCGTAATGGGGTTCCAATTTTGCTTTTGAACTGACTGCACGAGCACGTTAAAAAGGAAAAAGGCGGTGAACACAATGTCACTAGAATATGGGTTGGGGGCCATTCGATAGTTAAAGTGTTCTCTAAGGGATAGAAAGAGGTCCTTTCGAATTCTGCGAAAGATCAAGTTGTTGTGATAGTCTGCGATCTTATTTGCCTGGCTAACAAAGTCGCTTACAAAGCTATCCAGAAAGCGGAGGAAGAGCAGCAGCCGATGCTGTGACATTTTTTTGTGAGTTTGTGCAATCGGCCCATCTGCTATTCTGTGGGAAGCGCTTGAGTTGCGGACACCCAGAAGCTGATCACTATCCTCTTGTCCCTGCAGCGCATACAGTGGTTGATGTAGTGCAGGTTTAGGACTTAACAGAGATTCATCAATGGTGCCCAGAAAGCAATCATCTGCATAGCTGGTGTGTGACCAGTGCATTCCCAATGATAGCGTCTCCATTTTAATTATTCTCAGCTCTCGCTGGTTGCTTACCTGCGCCGGTAACAAACTTATAGACAAAAATTCACATAAGAGCGATGTCTTTGGACGTCCACGGTTGCATCTTTTCATATGCGTCTGCGTAGGGGACCACAAACTTAGAAAGATATGCTATTGATACCTTGCCAATCGACGTCTGCAACTGCTCAGATGCCATCTGGATGTTGGGTAGCTGCGCTTGGCGTGCCTCGTTCACTGGTGCTACCTTCATTCGAATGTCATCTGCCTCTATGTCCTGCATCTGCTCGCCTCCGAGGACCTGGACGTTGTCTGTCTGCATTGGAGTACCTTTGCTTATGTCTGCAATTTTCACGTAAAATATCTTTTACAATGGTGTTTTGCAATGAACTATCGGGCTTTCGGTAGGAAATCCGAAGTTGAATAGATGTGCAAGCACGTGAAGAACGTCCAGACACAGATTCTGGCCAAGTGCTGTAAGCGATGGTTTGATTGTGCAGAGTGCCACCGGGAGCAGTCGGACCATGAGATAGAGAAGGACATCGAGCTCATCCTGGTCTGCAAAAAGTGTAAGAAGGTCTTTCGCATAGATGTGACGAAATTTGATCCTCAGGCCGACGGCTTCTGTCCTCGCTGCGACAACCAGTGGTACCTAGAAGCGGACACAGGGGATTCCGAGGCGAAGATGACGGTTAAGGTTGAGCTGATGGACGGCTACGACGAAGCAGATGCGATACGCGATACACGAGATCCTGCCAAAGAGGCCCGGCGGAGGCGGCTGCTTGAGGAGCGAATGGCACGAGGTACAGATAACGTGGACATCAACTTTGATGAGCTCAGTGATCTCTAGTGCTTCAGTATGCTAAGTGAATGTATAAGGAAGCAAACACTTGCCTTGTGTCCTGCGTCTGAAGGCTGGTTACTTTCAATAAGCGTCTGTCCAGATTGCCTCAGCGAAAAGGTCAGATTGGCCACTGCGCCCTTCTGGTTCACATATACTGCAGGTGGAGGGGTGCTACGCATCAGGATTGTAGGGAAGGGTTGTCGTGGAGATCTCTTGACCCACATTCACTACGAAGGACCTTAGGGAAGCACTGGCTACCTCCTCATTCTACCTGATTTACGCGAGTAATAGTTGATAGGCGTATCTTGGTGACACCGAGAGTAACTTTGTGAACCAAAAAAGGATTCTTGACGTGAAAGATTGAATGCGGGACCCGGTGAGTGACTCTATGAGCAGTAGCGGGTATTGTGAGCTCCCATCTAGCCTCGGCCAGGAAACCGAGGGCCTGGGGCCAAGTAAGCTATCTGGGTCCGTTCATAGAAGTGCAAAGCAAACGCGATCTCAACGGAGGGTCACATTTGATGGCTACCTGAGGCCGATAATGAAAGTCCAGATACCAGGTCCCTGCACTACAGAGTCAGTCGAGCATGTTCCACCGGAGATAGAACTTCCGGATGCTACCACACATACACAAGCTGCATCGGAAGCTATTGAGAACGTGGAGCCATTGGAGCGATTCCAGATCCTTGTCCGCTTGGGATTTGACGCATACTTTCGCGGGAGCGGCTCCACGCTCGCCCCTCGACACTTCTGGGTACATGAAGACATGGACGAGGGTCATATCCTACTATGGGTTGATTGTGAGCGGACATCCCTCAAGGGGGCGATACCTCTGCGTGACATATTGGCCATTTCGTGCACAGAGGAAACTGAGCTCACTCTCAGGGCCGGTGAGAGCGTGGCACACATTGTCTTCACGGCTCCCCGGGAGCGTGACTTTTGGAGGAGCAAGCTCGAGCTGCTCCGAAGTTTGTCCTAGTCATCAGAGTATGCAACGTCGGAGGCGGAGTGTTATCTTGAAGCAGTGCATAGCTTCTAACCATCAAGGCTCCTAGAATAATACGTTATTCAGATGTTACGCATTCGCTCATTGCTAGCCGCAAGCTTTGCGTCCTTGACTATATGAGGCAATTGTGGCATGTAGACCCTGTGCGTTGCAGTTGAACGGCAAGGGACAGGACAACCAGTGTCTGATGACAAACGTCTACCCGGCTGGACACCTCGCTACACTTCTATCAATAGATCATGATTTTTGTCTCAAAGCAAACACACGCATATGCTACTATTGTATGCCCTAGAGTTGCATTGAGATGGTGAGCCGCGATGTGCGGACGCGGTATGCACTCCGTCAAAACTACAACATAGAGTCAGGCTCGTATCACAGAAAGCACGAACTCTTCTACCTAGATTGGCTGGGATTTGTAAATCATAGGCTTGACATGGAAGGAATACAACCAAACACCTTTGGGTCCGATGATAGATGCCCATCCATCAACGCAAGCTTAGATAGAAGTCTGGATAGAGGCGTCAAACCAGTCAAGAAATTGTCTGGGAAAGACCTCTACTTGCTGGCTAGACTTGTCTGACCACTAGACCAGCCTCCCACCTCTCAGCACTCCGTACAAACAAGAAGAGCCCAGCCTCTAACAGAAGCTCGGTACATCTGTAATTTACTAAGCCGCCACGTGACACTGAGGCCGAAAGGGTTTAATGGAAATTCAAGAACTCCTTAACTTCGAGAATAGACGCTAGGAACTTGGCATCTGCATTACTATCCACGATAGACTTGAGCTCTTGGAATGGAGGAATTGTTGTGTCCACGACCTTAAACCCGTAGGCTGCACGCCCCAGTTGGCTCAAAATGGCAGCCACGTGTGCATCGAGTGATGTTCGTCGGGTCTGCTTCATAAGCCTTGCTTGACATGCAGCAGTTATCCTCTCCTGACTCGCATCTGGCATTGAGTCCTCATTTACCAGCGCCTGCTTGCAATCGCTGAAGAACTTGGCGTCAAAGAGGTAGAGCGAGATCTTCGGGGCGAAGTCGAGGAACTCAAGGACCTGAGTGGCCACAACACTGCAAGGGTGGTGGACAACGGCCTGCTCGGGAGACGCTAGCATCTCCCTCATCGCCATAGACGGGATCCCGCTCTCTAAGAGCAGAAGAGTCAGGTACGCACTCGACCCATAGATAATCTCTCCATCCGGTCCCAGTGTGTGTTGAATACCTATAGTCTTCTTCATCGCTGCGTTGCCACCAGATATGGCTTTGTTGGCCTCCATGCAAACCTGGGCGACATTCGAGGTAAAATTGTACTTGCACGTCGCTGTCAGATGCGTATAGACATCCTGAAAGATGTATGAAAGGCCTATTGTGAAGGGGAGTAAGGGCTTAGCGCTGCCATCCCCACGAGCCTTTGCTTTGTAGTACTCCTCAATGAACTCAACCGCCACATCAGGCCTAAACGTGGTCTGGAGCGTGCGCTCCTCCTTCTCCTTGATGGACTCTTTGTTGATCTCGCTGAGACGCAGAAGTTCAGCAAGCGCGCTAATAACGTGTTGCTTCAAGAGAATCGCCATCCCTGCGTTGGTCGCCTCTTGGGTAACAAGGGGCACCTGGAATAGCATGTGAGGAGGAGAGCCCGGGGGAGGCTTTGAGATAGAGGGCTGAAGTGAGAGAATTTCCGTGAAGCCGGGGATGCAGGCCTTGATCAGATTGTCAACTACGTTGGCGTAATAGCGGCTCTCTTCCTCTTTCTCTGAAAGTATGCCAAAGCGTATCGCCTCACGAAAGCCCGAGACGGTGATCTGGAGAAGAGTGCGCACAGTGCCAGGATGAGATCGCGGATTGAGCGTATTCTTGACGAGCTCTGGAAGATTCTCCAGAATAAGATTTCTCACGGGGCTTGTGCAGCCGTTAGCCAACAGGGAGCAAATAATGAATGATGCGTGCATGAGAGAGTCGAAGGGGGCATTGGAAAGGAACAGCATAAACATGGACTGAATTATGCCGCTCTGAAGCACTATTTCCGTCTGAAGGTGTACAGACTCGCTGGCTCTGTCCTTTCCGACTATCAAGTAATGAATGGCCTCTGTAGAGGGCGCAGAGCAGATTACCTGACAGAACAGGGTGAGAATGTATGTGTTCGAAAGAATGTGCTGCTGCAACTTCTTTAACCGAACAGGGGAGCGGACGAGCATGATTATCAAGCGGCAGAAGTTTTCAGCAACATGCAGGGGTATGCGCCGTTGCAGATATTTCGCCGGAAGCCCCTTCTGCCCGGTTCCTACGCCGTTGTTGCTCCCAGCTGGGACCTCCTCTACCATTGTAGCCTCCAGCTCCTCCGTGGTGAGGTAGCGACCAAGCTCTACATTGTACGGTCTGAGAGCCATAAAGAGACTATTCATTAGCGAAACATTAGACGTGATGGCGTCCAGGAGTATGGAGATATCGGCAACGAAGACGTCGTTAGCAGCAGAAGAGAGGTTTTTCTTGCTCTCATCCGGGTCGTAGGCATACGCAATGAGCTTGGAAATGGTATCAATTTTTGAGAGATACGCATGAAGGGCATTCGAAGTTTGCTGAAGCTCGTTCTGCAGCTTTTCATGGAGAAGAATAGCCTCCAGATTATCGTTTTGTATGTACTCTTCAAACTCATTACCTTGGTCTGGGGAGTAAAACATGGTCCAGAAGAAGGAAGACATTTTGAACTATTTTTCGTTGAATTTTGAATTTTATAATTTCTTTGACGGATCCGGCAAATTTATCGCTTAATATAAGATGTTTAATGGGGCTTTTCTCCACCGATTGCGGCGGAACTGCAATGCCGGTGACGCTCTCCGTGAGTGTGACCCTCAACTGACACAGCTAGTCGATGCTGTCTTTGAGGATGTGCTATTGTATCCGAGCCAGCATCCGAATGTGGTGTCATCTGCCTCAGCAACTTCCAGCGAAATCATAACAGGAGACATAAGAGCTCGGTCTGGTTGGTCTGCTCCGAAAGTGGACCAGCATGCCCTTGTAAGCAGTTTTCTTACTCGCTCCAAGTCTGCCCGCTTGATCAAAAATATAGTCACGTGGCTCGAACAAACATATGTTCCTACCATTGAACCTACCGCAGGGATCTACGACAACGTTCTTGAGTACCTCCGCGCAGGTCAGGCTGAGGAGGCAGTAGATTTGCTAGAGAAGCATGGGTACGGCCTTCAAGCCACTATGTTAGCAGGAGCCATAGTATCCCACGTTTTTGTAGGCGACGCTGCCGGAGCCTCGTCGCGGAAATATGTTGGGATCGCCGGTAACCTATCCTTTGTTGAGTGGATGAAGAAGGCACAGGCTTACTCCAATGACAGCCGGACACCCATGAACGAGCGTGCAATTTTTGGGCTACTAAGTGGGAACCCGTCCTATTACTTAAGTATGCGTAAGACCAAGAGTCCTGAGAGCGCTCTGTGGGCCGAGTCCCGGGCCTCACTCATGAATTTCATTTTGGCTGCTTGTGAGGGAGGTGAAGATCCACAGCTCAATCAGAAGGCAGACTCTCAGCTGGCCGAACTGCTCAGACACTTGCCCGAAGAAGAGCGTCTAATAGCCTCCTGCGACTTCCTTGGTCTGGCTGCACATCTCTCGAACCGTTGTGTCTCTATCCGTGACGGTGCAGCTTCTCCTGCAGACTTTATTGCCCTGAGTAACCTATGTCTCCTTGCCTTGCACGTCCTTGCTAGCTTGATAGCCGTCTTGAACTCTATTGCCAACCGAGGCACGCCTGGCATGTACGTCCGGTCATCTAGTGGAGCAGAGTGCATCACCAAGCTCCGCTCCGTTGTGGGATGGTACGGTCAATTTGCTCTCAAGCTGTGTAATAACGAACGAATAGTTAACACATCGGGGCCTATCAGTAGTGACGTCATTCGTGCATCGTCCCTCGTCCTGCTTATCTCTGCTCACTTAGCTCCTGCAGAGTCTGTGGACCTCCTGGCGAGCTTCGTTGCCCTGCTGGATGACTCCCACTCTACTGCAATTGATCTCTGTGTAATGGCTCTCGAGGCAACTGCAAGCCATGAAGTCATCAATAGCATTCAGCTCGCGCAACTGGTGAAGGATTTACGACTTACTGCAATTAAGCGATTAAATCAGCTTGCTAATGAGACCACTATCCATCCCCTTCGGTTGTTAGGATGCTCCCAGATAGCCATATCTGGTCGCATGCCCCTCGGGCACTTGCTTGTCTACTCTGTGCACGCCTTTCTGATTCGCCGATTCTTCATGTTTGAGCAGTACACTGTGGCGTTGAAGGCTGCAGAAGCCGTCTCAATCTATGCCCAGGCGAAGGGCCTGTTTCAATCCAGTCAAGGCACAACTGAAAGCGTGCAGTTCTCTGAGGACGACGGAACCGTTTTATATCAGCTGCATTCGGAGTGCACGTGCTTACTCAGTGCTCTAAAGGGTGTCTATTGTAGCAGGTGGACTGAAATATCCCGAGACGCACCTCTTTCTCTTGTCGAGTTTCCCGCTGCTCAGGATGTGTGCACAGACGCTTGCGCAGACACAGAGCAGCACCTCCTGGACACCCTAGAGTTCATCAACAACGGACAGCTGAACAACTATGATGCTAACGGTCGATATTCCAAGAGAATGGCCCAGCTTGAAGAACAATTTACAGACGGAATAGAAACTAATGGAATTAAAATAGATAGATTCATGTCCTTACGCAGTATAGAAACTACTGTGACAAATCAATGCTGCCTTAAATACTGTGAGCTCATGTTTAGAATGGGTTCTCTATATGCTAATTCAGGCCACATGGACGAAGCTCGCCTCTACTATGACAAGCTGGGGGAGTTTGTTGTGTGGATTGTCGCTAAAGATAATGTGACGGGCTCTGTCCTTGCAGACTTCTTAAAGAGGCCCGTTATCAAGGATATGCTAGGGTACATATCTAAGGGCATCCTCTGTGTGGAGCCTATGATGCTTAAAGAGGAGTAGTCAGGTCTGGTATCTCTTCAACTGTCGCATTGAATGTGGATATAACTGGCCGCCTAATGAATTTTGCAGAACCTGGCACATGGTTGCTACCTAGGGCAGCCCTGTCTCCTACCGGATCGTGGTCACGGTCTCGAGCGCTGTGTACCGCGCTCATATCTGAAAGGTTTATCATGCCGCAGGGGCGTGCGTTGCTACGCACTACCTCACACGCCGTCCCGTTACTATTATCTTGGTTGTCTATCTCATTACAAAGAGACTCTGCATTCCTGATAACTTCTTCTAATTGCTGAGTATAGCGCTCGTCTCTATGACTGGTTTTCGTTGTTTTCGGGAGCAAATATGCAGGCTTATACGCCTTTCCAAGCTCTAGCAGTATTTCTTCTCGGTCCACATCAGGCAGTCCAACCTGCAGCTTCTGCATGTGGGACATCTCTGAATTAGAAAGATCGTTGCATATTCCCATCTCAACCAACAGTCTCCTGTGGGCTTCTATTCTAGAAGGCAGTAGCATTACATCCCCGGCTTCTGCGTCGGCCTCAATAGCTGTATCTGGTGGCTTATTGCTGGTTGCACTGCACCTGCGAATAATGAGTCGCATGACGGCAAGAAAGCGGTCACGCTCGATCTCAGGAATACCACAAGAGGGCCGGGTATCGAGAGCGGCAGCAGCTTTAGTCAAGTAGTGGCTCAAGAATTTGCTTGGGGTTGAGTCGGTGGCTAGCGTCGCGGGAGGAATCCTCTCTGCTGAGTAAGCATCACTGTCGCGAGACTGGAGACATTCTAGGAGAACCAGCAGCTGGCTATAGTTCTGGGATCGTGCAAAAATGGATACGGTTATCTGAATGCCAGAGTCTGATATTCCAGAGACGTTGATCTCTTTCTTGGTGTAACTGACCAGAGTAAACTCAAAGAGCTTGAATGTCTCTCCAGTCGCTACCTCGGTAAAGCACAGGGCCGCGACACCCAAAGGCTCTACGAATCCCTTCTGCTTGGATTGCTTTGCAACCTTCCACTCAACTGGGAGTATTCGTACGGTGAAATCCCTGTACCACCGATCGCCATAGGGATCAAGAGCCATGGGCAGAAGTAAAAGTTTATTAATTACTATGCCAGAGCCCCTAGATGTCCAAAGTGATATCGCCGCGTTACAGACAGTAGAAGATGGTCGCCCGAGCGTGTCCATTGCGCCAGTGGCGGCTCTTGAGGAATTGTCGGCAGTCCTGATTGCTCTGGGGCTTCAAGGCCTCGATTCGGTAGGCACACTGGTTCACAGCCTCCACCCGCAATATGCTACTCACCAGCTGACCCCCGTCTTTGCGGCAAAACTAAAGGTGCTGGTGGAGGCGTTTGATAAAGACTCTGTGAACCAAGAGTTAGAAAAGAAGGACATCATTAGAATAGCCGATCTGCTTGCCAAGTATAATTATTTAGTCACTGAAAGCTGGAATGGTGGAGAATTTGCAGGCATCTATGCCGCCCTTATGCCTATCCTTCCACCTCTTACAGCCACTTCCGTCATCATGCATGCAAACAAGAAGGAGGACACACAGTGCGCTTATTATAATTGTCCCTCCCTCTGGGCGCTTTTTCTGCTTCTAGAAGATAGCGAGGAACCCGGAAGAAAGACAAGTGGGATCCCACCAAAAGAGCTCTTCTCATGCTTTACATTGTTCCACGCCCACTCACGGTGTTCTGTGGCACATGCTGTCATAGCCACTTTTCGCTTCTTGCTGATCTATGCAGAGATTCCCGGAATTAAAATCATATTGCCAGCAGACCCCACAAAACGGTCCAATCGAGCCATAGACGTGATGAAGAACAAATGCGCGCTAATGTATGCATATATACTCAACACAGTCGACAGATCTGCCCTCAAAAGCGCCTCAAAGAATGCCAGTGGCGACATGCCTGATTCGCTGGCGGAGTACATTGAAGTCCTGATGTGCCAGCTTCGAGCACGGTATAAGCAGCTATTCTCCATTTCTCTTTTAAAGGACCACAAACCTATCCGTCCTGCTAGACCCGTTACGAGAAACAACCGAGGCGGAAGTCGTTTCAACAAGAATAAGGATGCCCTTGGGAATAGACCCCAATACAATCAATCGGATGCTTGAGCGCACAACACCTTGGTGAGAAACTCCCTCAACTCTGCGATACTTTTTGCTCTATTGATCGGTTCATTGAAGCGTTTTGCAGACACATTCTGCATAAGCCGCATGGTGTGCCCAATTATTTCTTTGTGGCTTGCCATGGGGGTAACCTTCAGTGGGTTTTCTTGACCTATGCTCTCCTGGGACAAGCTTTCGCAAAGATCTAGGTATTTCAGGGCCTCATTGACCCAAAATGCAATCCTGTTTTTCCCAGGTATTTGGGGGGCATTTTTCAAAAGACAGGCGGGATTCTTAAGCAGACCAACACCCAGCATGACGCCGTCTGCAGGATAAGTGGCTAGTAAATGGTCTGCTTCTTGTCTGTTCTTGATGCCGCCATTCAGAATTATAACGGGGTAGACATGTGGGTTCTCTTGTGCAGTTTCAGATCCACCCAGGCCAGTGAAGAGTGTGTCTAATCGTTGTCTGAATGCGCGAACAAGCTCTTCAAACTCTTGGTAGGCAGGTCGTACAGCCTGGGCGTGCTTACCTTGCCGAGTCGTATGGCGCATATGGATTGTGATGCCAGAAGCACCAGACATTACTAGGAGCACCATGTAATCTATGGTCTTTTCTATAGAGTTCAGCGGCCGAATCTTGCAAGTGACTGGGAATAGGCGTGCTGACGACGTCTCTGAAATTATCTGATGCACAAGAGGCCAATTCTGAGCTACGTAAAAGCCATAGCCCTTGCTTGAAGCACACGAGGCGGGACAGCCTAGGTTGATGTCCAGTGCAACAAGTTGAGAAGCAATGGGGGAGTCGTGAAGGAGTTCTGCAGCGGCACGAAAGGTAGATGGGTTGTTTCCACAGAGCTGTAGGATAATCTTCTCCCCTGGAGCTGCAGTAGACAGCACGGCATCTCGAAGAGGAGAATTATGAAGCAGCGCATCGGCCGTATACATCTGTGTGAAGCCGGTATACTTCGTCCGTTCATTCTCCTCGGCCATATGGCCCTGAATTAGCTGGCGAAAGGCGGCCCCAGATGCATGGGTCATAGGAGCAGAAAAATATCGCGTCTCCGCTAATCTGGACCGAAGCTGGATGACTGCATCGTTGAAGGCCGAGACAGAGAAAAAAGGAAAGTCTGCGGGGAGTTCCTGTACACTCTCGAGTGGACAGTTTTTACAAGGCGGGACCCCCTTGTTGACCCATTCACGGTAGTCCATACGCCTTCAAAATAAAATTACTGGAGCACAGATTTAAAAAACCCTGCCCAGACTGTAGGTAGATGGAGGAGAGAGCAAGAGATCTTATCGACAAGTGGCTTCAGCTCGACCGCTGGAATGAGACGCGTGAGGAGGCATCCAAACTTCTGGCCTCTGGAGAGTACGAACGCATCTGCAGGGATTTTAATCCCGAAAATAGAGTACAATTCGGAACGGCGGGATTGAGGGCTTCCTACGGGGCCGGGTTTACAAAGCTCAACGAGCTCGTTGTCACGCAGACAGCCCAGGCCATGTATTATTATTGTCTCCGCATTTATGGGGACTCAGAGTTGAAAAAGCGCGGTGTTGGGCTTGGATATGACGCCCGCTTCCACTCTAAGGATTTCGCTGAGATAACTGCTGCGACTTTCCTCTCCAGGGATGTCCCTGTGTATTTATTTGATGGATTTGCGCCGACGCCCTATGTGAGCTATCTCAATAAGTACTACAAGTGTGCATGTGGTGTCATGGTCACGGCATCTCACAACCCTAGCAAGGATAACGGTTATAAGGTCTACGGCGTTGGGCACGGGATCCAGATTATAGATCCACATGACGCAGGCATATATGAGCTCAGTCTCTCTGGTGGCAAGCACGTCGAGGTTCCCTGGGAGGAGACAGCAGTACCAGGAGATGTCTTGAAGGAGGGTCTTAGGTCTGGGCTCCTCACGATGATCACGGAGGATAGTGAAGTTATGAACGCTTATCGCGAGGAAGCGAAGATAATGAAGTTCTTCTACCGTCAGTACAATCGCAATACTAAGGTGACATTCCGCATAGGTTATTCTGCCATGTGGGGCGTTGGTTATGACCCCCTCATCAACACACTTGAGCGCCTATTCGGTTTCTCCAAGGATGCGATATTTTCTCGTTTTTACTTCTTCGAGGATGAGTGCATGCCAGATCCTCTTTTCGGCGGGGAGTCAAAGCCTAATCCAGAGGAGCGGCACAACATGGTGCGTCTGTGTCAACGTGCAGAGGAGATGAACAGTCACAATCTTGCTATTGCAGATGACCAGGCACCCATCAAGGTCATCCTTGCTACAGATCCCGATGCAGACCGCATTGCGGTGGCCGAGCTGGTCAAGCCGCACGCAACGACGCTAGACGAGAGGTGGAAGATTTATCACGGCAATGATATCGGCCTTATTCTCGCAAACTGGTGCTTGGAGAACTTTCACAATAACCCGCTGACGATTAAGGTCCTCAAGGAGCGTGGCTACACACCCGGCCAGCAATTTTACATTAGCAACAGCACTGTGTCCAGTAAGGCACTTGAAGCTATGAGTCGCTTCTACAAGGACGTGGTTTACGAAGAGTGTCTTACCGGGTTCAAGTGGCTCGGGACCCTCAGCGAGAGTGCACGTAGTCGTGGCCTCATACCATGCTTCACATATGAGGAAAGTATAGGTTATTCGGTGGGCGGCGTCGTTACCGATAAGGACGGAATAGCCACAGCAGGCGTCCTAACAGAGCTCCTCATAGACCTCTACGAGCATCAGGGAGAGTACGACAAGGAGAACATGCTTCTCTGGGATTACTCTCTTCAAATTGCTGACCGTTACGGGTCATACACCTGGGCCTGCAGCAACATATCGGTTGCCAGCATGCAAGATGTTGCCGGTCTCTTCGCGAGGCTCATCTCTGACCCCAGAGCGCAAGGCTCGTTTGTGGCTACTAACGGTTCTGGAAATCGATACATTACAACGGTGGGCCGCTTCACTGTTAAGAACGTCAGAGACCTTCAGCTGCCAGGCTGGGATACACGTTCTTCAGCTATTGATAACAAGCCTAATCTCCCACTTAGCAAGACTCCCATGCTCACCATGTGGTGCAGCAATAACATTGTCTGCACCCTGCGCCCCTCAGGAACCGAGCCGAAGGTGAAGTGCTATGTTGAATGCGTGGGAGACACGTTTAAGCAGGCGGCAGAAACGGCGAAGGAGTTTCTCGACGCCTTTATGGTTCTGGTCAATGACAAGGAGCCTTAAGTGAATTTACAACCAAGCTCCGACTAGTAAGTCACATCTCCTCAACTGCCGAGGACAAGGGCTGGTCATCCTGTAACAGGTTCTTTATTTGGATCTTGCACGACTCTTTGGTAATAACCGGCTTTCCGTTGATCGAAATGGAGATATCCTCCTCTGAATCGTCTAGTTCATCCAGACACCCAATGATAGGCCGTAACTTAGCGAGCACCTCGGGCTTCGTAAAGTCACAATTGAGAAACTGGGAGTCTTCTTTATCTTGGAAGTACCCCTCGTCGAGCCGCTCCAGCTCAAAGCCCAACATGTCTTTATAGACATGCTGAGCACCCGCGTTTGAGACGCGCACATTGAGCTTGCATGATGGAAGACCATATGTCGTCCGCATCTCTTGGAGGACCTGCTGCATTAGTGCCTCTGCGATCCCCATTCCACGGTAATCGCGGTGCACCGCCACAGAAGTTATGTGCCCGTGAGCCTGCTTTGGGTTATCTTCGTCATCAATCTTACCCATGACGTACCCGACAACTTTTCCGGCAACGCTACAGACGTAGGTCAATTGGGGCCACTTGAGATGGTGCTGAAGGAAGTACTTTATCGGGTAGTTTTCTGGGAGGCATGTAAGGTTACATTTCTGGATCTCCAGAAAGTCTCCGCACGTGGCTCTGCGGATAGAAAACATTCGGCAACCAATTGATTTAAAGATCTATGTGCCTTCTTTTTTGAAATAAATGCCTGCCAAGCCGAAGACAGGTGGAAAATCCTACAAGAAGAAGGCTAACACCGACAGCCTTGCGCGCGACCTCGTTTATAAAGGCGAAAGCGAGGTCTACGGCGTCTGCACTAAGGTTCTGGGATGCGGATACTACACGATCTATTGTCTCGATGGGATCCGCCGCCGATGCCACCTGCGTGGGGCTCTTAAGAAGCGCAGAGTGATGATGCATGCTGGAGACTTGGTTTTGGTGTCTCTCAGGGAGTTTAGTACAGAGACAGATGCAGACATTGTGCACAAGTATCAGCCTGATGAGGTCAAGGAGCTGAAAAAGTATGGCGAGATAACTGTAGACTTGGATGAAATCTTGGATAGGGAGGTAGAGGTGTTTAGAGTCGACCAAAAGGACGCCCAGCGAACTGGAAAGGCCGATAGTGACAACGTGGAGGCTGACGACAAAGAAGACAGCATTGACAGCGACGAAATAGACGACTTGTGACCCTAGAGCATGTGAATTAAAGTCTTTTGATGTTTGGTTCTCACTTCTACGACGAGATCTATGCGGACCAGGGGCATGTACGCTTGATTGCACGGATATGCCGACTAGCAAAGACGGAAAAGGATGTGCTGAGCTTGCCGACAACTGTTCTCACTGACAATGGTGCACTCAGCGGCAGCCTGAAACCAGCTGATATCAAGGACTATGATGTGCAAAGGCTTACAAGTGAACTGCGAAGGGGCCATAGAATTACGGCCATACGTCTTCTGGAAGATCTTGAAGAGTGTTTGCTGGCTGAAATAGAGGCTATTCCCTATGCAGCTCGTCCGGCTTCGGTAAGAGCCATACGCTCATACTCGCAAGCCTTTCTCCGTCAAAATGTTTCCGCTAAGGACCTTAGAGAATGCTGCGTAGTTCCTAATGTACAGCAAGTTCATTGCGAACCTAGATTTAAGAATCGGCACTATTGCATTTCAAAGGACGGAACACTTACCTTGGTTCCAGATAGGCTCTAACGACTGCCTACTTACCACCCATTAAATGTTAAAGAATGGTAGTAAAATGCTTCGTGAGAGAGGGGCCTTTTGTGACAATCGACCCGGCCCGCCCGCAGTTACAATATCACCGCGTGCTCTACGACGTACGCTTCTGTCTGGACTGCTAATTACAGGGTTTTCAATGGCAGAGTTCGCATACGTCCTCCCAGTAACGTCCCGAGCAATACACCCGTGGATAAGCTACACTATAACCAGTCTCACATATGGTCTGTCGATTCTACTATGGCTTCGCCTGATTTTTATCGATCCGGGCCGACTTCCTCGTGGCTGCCGGTCAGATGAGGCAGAGAGTGGCACGGAAGCGCCCATGCGTGCACGGACAGGAGTGATTTTCCAAGCCGCTGGAATTGTGTTTGAGACATCTACATGCGCTGTCTGCAACCTAACGCTCCCTCCAGAAACTGACCATTGTGAAGAAACAGATGAATGCATTGTTGCCTTGGATCATTATTGTCCGTGGGTCGGGCTGCCTATCGGTCTCCGAAACATGCTGCCTTTCGTTGTGTCTTTGTTGGTTCTCTGCATCCATTCTGTATGGTGTTTTTCTCTGGCTATTCTCGCCCTGGTTCACGCCAACAATATTAATGAGCTGGCTATCGCTGGTGCTTGCCTTCTGGGCTCCTTCTTTGGAGGGGCGTTCACTGGAGGCATGTGCGGCTGGACTCTTTACGACGTTTTCCGAGACAAATCTCCTAGACTGTATACTCTTCGTAATCAACAGTCTGGAAAGGGGATAAATGGTAGTAAGTCTGCGGATGCAGATCAATTTCTCAGCAATCTTGTAGAGGACATAAACAGTTCTATTAAAGATAGGATGAAATGGCTGAAACATACGGGGCTCCGTCGGCTTATATTTGGAAGCCACATGCCCGTCCTTTACTATCTTTCACCGGACCAGGCAGAACAACAGGCCTGGGCATGGACCATAGTTCTCTGCGGAACAAGCCAATTATAAAAGTAAATTGCTGCTACATTATGAACCCAGAGTTAGCATGCAAGCAGGCAAAACGGTTGATACGCGTCGCAGAAAAGAAAAAACTCACCGATGCACAGGTAGCAGAGCTGCAGGCATGTTTGGCGCGGCTTTCTCAGTCTAAGCGTGCACGACTTGAGGGTCTTCTCAAACGTGTCCAAGGCCTTAGCGGACCCACCACTAGACAGGGAACGGAGGACAACAAAGAAACTAATGTCCTCAGACCGCTGTCGCAGTTCTCTATTGGTCGAGGTGAGAGTAAGAGCCCCGCAGCTGTGCGCGAAACCATCTTGCGGTGCGTGTCCTTTAGGCATCTTGCTAGAAATAAGACGGCATTCGAACTATACAACGAGTTTTCCTGCAAGGGAGTCCTTCTCTTAAAGTTGGAGCTTACCGATGATACTAAGCCAGACGTGTTTCCCATACTGAACGCACAATACCCATTCTCGGTTTCGCTGTCAAGCGGAACCCAAATATCCAATACTCACTATTTTGAAACCATACTGGAAGAGGATATGTGCTTGAGAATGCAAAGGATAACCAGCATCAAGGATTTACTTTTGGAGTCGGAGCAATTTACTCCATTCCTCTACTTGCCTCCCCAGTGCATTATTAATAACTTAGCAGATAATTGGAACGGAGTACTTTTGGCCATTGACTGCGAGATGATTCATACGTCAGTGTGTGAGAATGACTTGGCCAGAGTGACTGTTGTTGAATGCAATACGAGGACAACTACTCCAGTAACGAGCATATTCTCCCTAGTCTATGATGCGTATGTTGAGCTACCGAGCGATACAGAAGTAGTAGATTACAAGACACAATATTCTGGGATCACGGCACAGATATTAGAAAATGCAAGTTCAAAGCACCCAAAGGATATCATAAGAGATCATATTTTGAGCTTCATTCTGCCATCCGAGCTGCACGAACTTCTATATGCTGAGCAGATACAACACTCGACAGACTTGTCGGCACTGAGTGGTGTATCTCTTCCGTTCATTGTTGGTCACGGGGTCGAGAATGACCTACGAGCATTGGGATTGATCTACCCTCTTGTAATTGATACTTGTGTGCTTTACCAGCACGGGACCCGGAAGCCTCGCCTTCAGGATCTAGCACGACGTTATCTGCTAAAGGACATACAGACTAATGCAGAAGCAGGGCATAGTAGCATAGAGGACGCTGAGGCCGCTCTTCATCTTGTCCTCCTGCGCCTTGAGCTATCAAATATTCATATTTCCTCAATACTCTCCCGCTCTCTAAGCTCCTCTTCGGCCGGAAAGGCTGTACAAAAGTATTTCAATATGTTACGTGAAAGACAGATAGCTACGCTCAAAGAATCGACGGCTTCTCTCTCCCAGTTAATATACAAGTATCAAGTAATGAAGAGCGAAGCCATTTCGCAATATGCATATGGCGTTCTTTCGCTCTATAGTTTTAAATCTATTCAGCATTTTACTCTCTCAGGAGCAAAATCTCCCCCAACGCTAGGAGAACTTTTACTATGGATATCGACGCTTCCGCCTCAGAATAGGAAGTTTTGTATCGCAACACCAGCACCAATCCCCTGTTCAGAACTACTTCCCTACCTACGGGACATCCAGGCATATGTCCCGCCGCAGATCCTGGTGCTATGTGTTGTGCATGCAGGAGACATTACCATGTGCCCATTTGTATCGGGCGCTGATTTTGAGGATGTATCTTCAAAGAATCTTTTGGCCAATAAAATAGACTAGCAATGGATTGCCTCACCTCTGTTGGCGAGGCTATTCGGATCGTCAGGCTACTTATTCAGCACTTCAAAGACATAAGCCCCGAGACGAACTCAAATAGGCTCTTTCTCATCAACAAGATGAAGCGTGACAAGGTGCAACCTTATCCCAACTTTTGCTCCTCCTCTATCTACCCCTCTATTACTAACCCTAACTTTGTAGCAGAACTACTACATTATTGTCGTGCTGCATTCGCTGTTTACGGCTCTTATGAGTCAAGGTACACCCTGAACCACGATCCCTTTAAGCTTCCTACTCTGAACGCCAGCCGAATCAGAAAGCAGGCATCTCGCTACTACAAGCACCGGAACCGCAGGTTCGGCCCCACACTCAATGGAAAGTGCGCAAAGAATACATTTGAATTGAATACATTTTCTGCAGCAATGGGTGTTTCGCCTCTCGACACCCTCTATTTCACTACTAAAGCACGTTATTTCATGCCATGTGCAGCCATATATTTGGACCATCGGCGGTATGAGATAGTTGTGGCGATTAGAGGCAGCTATTCGCTGGCGGACATGGTAACTGATATTTTTTGTTTAAGTACCGAGTACACAGCCCCGCCAGAGAAGTTTGAGCTTTTGGTCAAGGCATCTTCTCGCGATAAATTTGTTACCAACATAGACACAGAAACGGCCGTCCAACAGCGAACAAACGTTGAGGGAATATTAAGCCTTCAACCCCGAACGTACGTACAGTCCCAGATGCTGAAAAAAACGAAAAGGGCGACAAAGACACGTGCCTCCAAAACATCTCATATGAAGTCGGGAAAGGACAAGGCTTTTCATAACCCACCTCTACACAGTCCAATCATAGATAATATGACTCTATACACACCTGGTATGACAGAAGAGAAGAAGAACCGATATCAAATGCTTCGGAGGAAGCTGAAATCGAAAGATTTGCTTATCAAGCCCATTACCGAGTTTACAAAGTACTACGGGCATGCAGGAATCTACGCTGCAGCAGCATACATCTACCATGACACGTACAAGATACTACGAGATACGTTGGAAAAATACCCTAACTATTATCTTACATTAACGGGGCACTCGCTGGGCGGTTCTGTTTCCATGTTGATGGGGTGGTTTTGGTCCTATCACATCCCATATCAACGTATAAAGGTAATAGGGTTTTGTTCGCCGCCATGTGGTAGTAAGTCCCTCTGCGACCTTCTATCTAGCTATGGCTTCATCAATATCTGCATGCAAAGCGACTTCGGGCCCAGAATTAGCACCAAAGGCTTTCTTTTCGCATTCAGGAGGCTCGGACTACTTTCGGAGATATCGAAGAGACGGCATTTGCGCAAAGAATTTGCAGATGCACGGCACCAAAAGAAGAAAAAGAAAGCTTCGTCCGCATCCTTGTCAAACATCAGCCTTGCAGTACCAACGAGCAGACACGTCACATGCGGCGTTGTTTCTGGACTTGATCAACCGCCTATACTGATCACTGACAGTGACAATGATGGTTCGTCTAAGTGTGCTGCCCCAGGTTCTTCCGCTACAGAGTCTGCAACACCCACCCCGGTCCATGTAAAAGGCTCCCGCACAGATCGCAATACAGAGAAACTTCCACGTAACATTCTATCTACAGGCGATTATTTGTCCATTGGAGCCGTCGAACATAACCCTTCTGATGCTATACTGTCTCGATCTTCTTACAAGGCATATGACCCCAAGGTTCCAGTATCGCCTACACCAAACCCACTATCTGCAGATATCTCCGAATACTGCCCAGTCAGAGACAGCCATTCCTTGCGCACTGGTGCCGATTTCATTGAGAAGGCCCCGACAGAGCTTATAGAAGCTGTTTCAGAGCGATTAATCGAATGTAATTTAGTTAAGCTAGATGACTCATCAAGCACAGAAGAATTCTCGCGAATTACCGATATCTTTACCAGTTTCTCCGAAAGCAGCACGGCAACGCCATCATCGGAGCCATCTGTACTACCGAACAATGAATTCATCACCGAATCGGAACTGGGAGTCTGGGTCCCAGGTTCGGAGTTGGCCACTAGCTTTGCTGTTACCAACTTTTCCGTAACGGAGTCAACAGATGTTGCTTCTCCGGAGATCAGAGATGAGAGTACTGATGCAGTGCAGAAGCTCAAGAAGATATTTGCTGGAGAACTGAAGAAACTGAAGGAGATGAGTGACAAGGAACTTAAGCAGGAGTATACGGCGTTCACTATGGACTACGCTTGTCCAGACGAAGATATTAATACATATGTCCCCGGCATTCAGTACGTGATCTCATTCAATTATGGAAATAAGATATCTACACTGAAAGATCTCGTAAAGCGCCAAAAGGAACTTGGCGTTGAGAATTATTCTGTTCTTCGGATCTTTTCTGCGCCTCCGGAAGTATTCAACGAACTCATTTTCGACTCTGAGATGTTTGATCATCACTTACTCATTTATCAATGGATCCTTCTGCTTTATTATAATCTATTGGATGTCTACCTGCCAATACCATTGGGCTACACTACTGGCGGGCCTGTGAAAAAGTACCCGATCATCTACCGTTCAGAGGACGGTCTGTCGCACAAGAAGTGTTCCTAAGAAGCCCGCTCTGTCGATGTACATTTGCGCTAACTTCCTATCTTGTTATCTTTCTTACAGACGTGTATCGTCCCCCAAATGTTTAATAGACCACGAAAAAAGACTATAGACCCTTTCAGTCGCTTAGATCTCATGCTTGGTTGCATACGGCTCTCGACAGCTCTTAGATATGTAGAAGCCTAGATCTCAGTAGCTTGCAGAAGCATCTGAACTTGTGGATTGGCTGAGTGCTCCAGCAGTGAAAATATGGAATAGCCCACCTCTTCCTTTTCGTGTAGATTTCCTTCTAGGTGGAGAAGGTATTGCAGACCCTCGAAGTAATTGTTCTGAATAAGGTATGCGATCGCACTCCATTGAATATTGTTAAGCATTCCACCTTCATCAGCGGCAAGAAGCTCTATGCACTCTATGTTGCCGTATATCGCTGCCCTCATGAGAGCCGTGAATCCCTCGTGGTCCTGCTCTCGTCGCTCTGATGTGCGTAGCAACCGAACGCACTCAACGTGGTTTCCTATTGCTGCATACATAAGGGCCGTTGTGCCGTAGCGGTCCTTCCGTCCCCTATATGTCTTAATGTGTGCTTTCACCCCTTGGATGTCCCCAACTGTCGCTGCCTCCATTAGCGGTGTAATCCCCAGTATATTGACCTCAATTAGAGGGAGATTGGCGCTTTGTATTTCGTTCTTTCCTATCTTGTTATGCTTGGATAGAAGCCCAACCTTCAAGATACTGTCGCTGTCTCCCGTTAGATAAGTACTCTCTGCATCAATTAGATCTTGGCACGGCATGTCGTTACACATGGCCGAATACATTAATGCGTTCCAGTTATCCTTGTCCACCATTCCCTTTTCAAACGGAAGCAAGGCGCGAACGCATTCTCCAAACCCTTGCTGAGCAGCATACATTAATGCTGTTTTCCCCCTTTTATCGTGGATCTTTGCTTCGCCCCACACAAGCAGTTTGACAGCCTCTACATGACCATAATATGCCGCATACATGAGAGCTGTCATTCCTCTGTTGTCCTGTCTGCTGACCATGTGCATGTATGTGCTTATTTTGGTCAGATCTCCCTTAGCCGCTGCATGCATGAGTGGGGTACTGTTGATCGCGTCCCTATGAATGGCCTTGTCTTGTTGCGCTGTATCACTTGTAATACTCTTGGAAATGGAGACTAATAGAAGTGAGGTGTTTGGCGGATCTCGCGGACTTTTAGATTGCGGAATTGTGGGTCTAGGCCCTGTCTCAACTATGCTATTTGGTCTCTTATTGTGACTCTGCGCTGCATCATCATGTCTCACAAAGTTGCTTCCTATGAGCCCAAGAAGGGATGCTATGCCTATCGCCTTCCAGGCCATATAAAATAAAACGAATTGCAATTGCGATTGCAATTGCAATAAATAGAAGGCTTTTTGTTTTCAACTTTTGGTAATGCTAAGTAAGACTCTCCTTCTTTCAGCATATGAGATAGGCGCCAGCCAGGTGCACTCACCAGCTGAGGAGGGGTTAGCTGAGAATCTCCAACAGGAGCAGCCTGAGCCTGTCTACATGATTCCTGATGGGTGTCCACGTCTTCCCATCTCACTTCCCTTCGCTTTGCCTAAGACTCGTAGCATTGGTTCCTGTGCAGTTACTAACTCTGCGCTTATCTTATCTACGCTTAGCACTGCAGCTCCAATCGCTTTCACATCAGATGGCAACGCTATGCAACCAAGCTCTGACAAGGCTATCATACGCCTTGAACGCATCGATACATGTGACATGACATCCATAACTTTGAGAGAGCGAAATGTTCTTACTGAGCAACCTTACAATGCTGCAGATCTACCGTATTATCTACTGATGTTAAGGGAATTCTACAAGGCTAGCGTGCCGTGTGCCTACTCCTACACAGATACGAGCGTCCCAGATCGTGCTCCTACTACCCACTTATTTAATTTGTGCTACCTTTCTTTGTCTAACCTTGGCATTAGACACGAGTTGGATGCCAACCAATCTTTACAACCCCACATAGAGAAGACGGCGTTTTATTTGCTTATGGCCCTGGCCCTTATTCAACCCGCTGGTGCCAATCACAAGGCACACTTCATTGTCAATGTGATGTGCTGTCTCTACGCAAACAACCCAGCAGTCATCTCACAAACAACGAGTGCTCCTCTCTTTGAGGGACTTCACGTGTATACAGAGACAGAATATATTGATGATATTCTCCAGCATGGTGGGCTGGAAGACAGTGAGGCTCTATCAACTCGCTTACTAAGGAATAAAAAAATATCAGGACAATCCCGGAAAGGGCTTCGGAACTCTACCAAGGAGGTGGTGTCCAGAAAGTATGGGCTGCAGGCATTATTTACGGGAGCTGCATTATCACTGACCAAATATGCTGATGCAATCAGGGTGGCCGATCAGGTTAGCACGGGCAGTTTTCAAGAATTGTCTCCACAGGATATTAATGCTTCGTTAGCACTACTTCTTATAGCTGGCAAATACGAGAAGGTCGCAAGTATTCTTAAACTCCTGAATATTCCCAGTCTCTCTCTGATAATCGTTCAAGGTTGCTCGCTCAATACGCAGACTCACTGCGAAAAACTTATACGAGAAATAGCCATGTCTGGTGACGGTGCCCAGCAGGAAAGCGTCAGGACCCTACGTGCACAGTGCAGAGAGGTGGGGATAGATCCTCTTTTGTTACTCAGCGTCATGAGTGGGCAGATACATTCACTTAGGATGTACTGTACGACTGTTTTGGACTGTCTCCTGGCAGGTCTGCATCTGTGTCCTGGGACCGTCGGAGACTCCCTGCATCTCGCTGAGCGGCTGAGCGAACAGTGCAATCTTCACAAGGAATTCTCTGATGATCTCACCGTGGTATTAATGAAGCACTACGCTGGGATCTCGTGTCTTACGTCCCTTGAACGGCAACTCATAGACGACCAACTAGAGAGGGACAGGGATCGGAAGTCGCATCCGCTTGCACAGAATGTTGCCAATGCGGGTCCCAGCGGGTTCCAAATGCCTCCTTTTGCTCAATCGCAGTATCTTAAGCTTACAAAGGCCGATGACGAGAGCCCGCCGTCAGACCTTTTTATCAAGCTTACCATGGGCTATTATGCTTCACGATATAACGAGGTTCTCATTTTCATTGTCGTCTCCGTCTTGCTCGGGCTGGGCTTCGGACCCAAAGACTTCTATGAAAGACAAGTTTTACTGCAACCTTATTCGTTAGCAGCCTCTTACTATTTGCAAAGGCACCATGCCTATGACTTCGCATGCATTCCCCTCCTCACTATCCCTGACTCTATCTTTGGGGCTGCGAGAAATGACATATCTGCTGAGGTTTATACTGTTTTACAGTCTTGCATCGACAAGGTTATTGGAAGTTATTCTGCTAGCTCCAGGAGGAATCAGCCCCTTGATGCTCGCAAGCTGAACAGCGAATACAGTATTTCTCCTGAGCTAGTTGCTAGCGCCTTACGAAGGTATGAGTGCTGGGTGAACAGGAGGATTCCTGACCCCCACATGCTCCTAGACTGCGCCCAAGTAGCCGACTGTGTAAATTATGTGTAAGAGGATACCCTCTTCCTCCACAAATTTGCATTTCAACAAAAGCAGGATGCGTATACTCCTCACCAATGACGACGGGCACAACTTTATAGGGCTGACTACTTTACGACAAATAATGTTAGATAGTGGACATACAGTAATCGTTGCAGCGCCGGCTCATGACCAATCAGGAAAAAGCCAAAGTCTGCACTACATAAAGGAGCTCAATGTTTCCCGTGTGGCCCACGGATACGTTATCGAGGGCTCCCCAGTGGATTGCGTGCGTCTTGGGCTGCAACTACATCCGGATGTGGAGCTTGTTGTTGCCGGGATCAATAATGGGGCCAACTGCGGCAGTGACGTTTGCCACTCAGGAACAGTAGGGGCGTGCTTTGAGGCTGCAAACATGGGATATCATGCTATCTCTTATTCCATGGACACCCGAGGCATGCCTGGAGACTGTCTGCATCACCATGAAGAGGGGATGTGCATGCTCAGCAATTGCAAGGAGCCTGTGCAGACGACTCTGGATGCATACATATCTTACTTGGCGCAAAACGGCTCCAAAAGACAGCGTTACACACGATTAGGCATGGTCTGGAACGTAAATATTCCTGCCCCACATGTTCCGGTGCTTGGATGCAAGGCAGCCGTACTAGGGCACAGGTACTACTCCGTAAAGTATGCATACAGTATCCCTATTGATCTTCTAAACTCGTCTTCCAGCTGGACCATGCGAGGAGAGCTGGACCCTGATTCTTTACCCAACAGGGGGGTCCCCAGCACTATCGAGGCCGACTTCGATGCCGTGGAGAAGGGTTGGGTCACGGTAACTCCTCTGAATCCGGACAGATTTCATACCGATGAATACGACTCTGTACTCCGGGTTCTTTCAAATCTGGGTCCCAAGCGCCCACCAACTCTTAAAGGAACAATCGTCTGCACAAACAACCCATCGTGCTCCATTCCAGATGGCTCACAGCTATCTCTGAAGCTGGTTGACGCCCGGAGAATGGACGTGCCCTATATAATGCTTTACGAGTATACGACGACCATCTCCGGTCAATTCCCATTCACGATTGAATTTCCCTGTCCACAGCTTGACTGGGACTTTGACCCATCTATATCAGTAAGAATATCGTACCTAGGTTCACTAATATGTATAAATGATACCCATTTGGCCGCTCCACTGCACACCATTCTAGCAGGATCCCTGCCAACGATTGAGGTAGTAAAGGTGAAGTAAATATACAGCTAAGCACTTAGTACGACGCAAGAGTTGCTGTAACGGTGGCAGTGCGATCGTCAACCTCATCTATGCGTTGAAGGAGCATGTTAACCTGTGCAGTCATATTCTTAAGCTCATTTGTATAGCGCTGTTGGGACTGTGCAAGATAATTGATCTTATTAGCCGTCTCCACCAGTGACTCCAGGTCTGTGACCTGCATATTGATTTTCATTTTTGTACCTTTCATAGTCAAGCTTTAGTTACGTCAAGCACTCGCCTCTTTAGAGTTCTACTAAATCAATGAACGCCTCTTCCAGGCGTGCATGCGTCAGTGCCCAGGCGTGCGTTAGGCACCCGACCGAGGACAGAGAGGAGATGGCCGTCTCGAGGTCCACACCTTGAGGGATCCTGTACTTGACTAGCCGTGCAACGCTGTTGACTTCGGCGTCTGCAAGCAGCCCACCAGAGAATTCACAGGCGCACTTGTGGGGGCCAGCAAGGTAGGTGTCGAATGCCTTCAATGATCCGCACGCGACAGTGAGCGTGTAGGCCACGCGACTCTGTGCACAGAGATCATCGACAGACCCGCTGGCGATGACCCGGCCCTTCCGGAGGACGCAGCATGTGTCTGCCAGGGCCTCCACCTCGGCCATGTCGTGGCTCGTGACGATGAGCGTCTTGTTGGCGCCCTTGCTGGCAAGAATGGCGTCCCAGACCCGCTTCCTCAGGCGCCCCGAGAAGCCCGTCGTCGCCTCGTCGAGGCAAATGAGCGAGGGAGACGAGACTAGGACCATCGCGAGCGTGAGGCGCCGCCGCATCCCGCCCGAGAGCGCACTGGCCCTCTTGTCGGCGTGCTCGGCCAGCCCCACCAGGCGGAGCACGTGGTCCGTCGACTTGATGTTTGGCCGAAGTGCCCTGGGCGTGAGCCCTCGGATGATCTTCACGTGGTCGCGGACCGTGAGCTGCGGCCAGTAAAGGTCGTGCTGGGGAACAACTGTGATGTACCGGCTGTGGTGGACCCGCCGGAAGAGGTCAACCCATCTGCTGTCGGCCTCGTTACGCACGCAGAGAGCGCTTCCAGCAGTCGGCCTCAGGACTCCGGTCAGGGCGTGCATCATCGTAGACTTCCCGGCCCCGTTGGCGCCGAGCAGGGCGAAGATGCTCCCCGCCGGCACCGAAAACGAGGCGTTGTCGAGCGCGTGGGCGCCCTTGCGATAGCTGTGCGAGATCCCCTGCACGCTGAGGTGGTTGTCAGGGTGTCTGGGAGGTGCATCCTTCCTCTCCAAATTGAGGCTGGTCATGGAAGTTGTTTCTGACAGCCCGCTCAGCAGTCCAGACTCCTCTGAATCTGATCCGTCAGGGGTCCTGTCTTTGATCCTCTGGCGGACCCGAATCTTCCTGAGCAGCAGCACGCCAAGCGAGGCAAAGACCTCTAGCAGCGATATCAGAAACGAGAGGGCAAGGGATCCCCAGCTAATGCGGCTAAGTCCTATGGCGTTTCGCAGCACGGGCATGTACCCCACACCAGGAGCCAGAAGGCCCAGGACGGCGGCCACTGCTCCCTCGGCCCTGAGAGAGCCGGAGACAAAGACAGCGATGAGGATCTGGAGAACCACGGTCAGCATGGCGTTCTGCTGAGAGCGAAGGAGCACGGCCACTAGGACTGCATTGAACACGCTGGAAAGAGCTATCATTCCCAGGCAGGTATATGCGACAGCGGCCACTGCAGGACCGTGGATGAAGAAGGCGTCCTTAAAGAGTGCTGTCAAGGCCGCTGCAATCAGTATTGTGGGGATGATGGTCCAGATGCTGAAGTACAGGATAAGAACCATGACAACGCGCATTTCAGAGGCCCCGTGGAGGTGAAGAAGGGTCACGGTGCGCTGCTGAAACTCCCGGGCAGCGCGGCCAGCTACAATAACGCTTCCTAGCAACAAGAGGAACACTAAGTAGTAGTCACTCATTATCTCCATCGATTGCAGAGCTGCCCCCGGAGTTTCGAATATGAGATCTCTGTTCAGATATCGTCTAGGGATACTCATCACGGACCCGTCATAGGTGAATTCTGTCCCTTGGCGCCACGCCTCCTCTACGCCGAGCGTGTCCCGAAGAGACTCTATGAGGTGCTGACGGAAGAGAGCGCCGGTCATCTTGGCCATCGCATCCGCCCCAATCGTCGTGAATGTGAACCTGACACGATCGGTTTTCGTGATATCAATGGCACCGTTAGCATATTTGTACAGATATTGAAATAAAGTGGGGATGAAATATTTCGAGGTAGATGCTGGCGTATCGACCCGCTCTTTCGATGGAGTAAAGGTAATGACCCAATCACGATAGGCCTTGCCTTGTGGCCCGAGAGGAGGAAGCATAGCATACATCTTAAGAAGCAACGCACTGCCTGCCTCGTGCTGGCCTGGTTGAAAGATAACCGCAGGGATGCTTCTGAACACCCTGCGAACCACACGTGCTTGTACAGCCGGCTGTGAATCGAAGCAGTCTGGCTTGGTAAATGTGCTGCCAATTGTGGACGTAATCCCCTCGAAGAAGTCACTTGCCGTGGGTTGGCGAAGAATTGTCTCCTCAAGCAGAAGTGTGCGATTCTCTGTATCCTTCGGGGGCGGAGATGTGTCACTGCGAAGATACTGAGGTACAGTCATGCGGGGGGCCACAAGCGAGAACAGGTCATCGGAGTCCAAGGGGTGTCTGAGGCCTGCCTCCACGCCCCTCCTCCACACATCCCCAAAGTTCTGGGGAGAGAAAGAGATCTGCTGGGGTTCGTTTGCGACATAATAGTCAAGCCCTCCCGTTGGAGAGCTTGCTATAAGGGGGTCGTCCAAAGACAGACTCAATGATACGCTGTCTGAGGTCTCGACCTTCGAGGCGTCACCTACTACGCCAATGTAGTACCAATTGAACTGCGTCTCGTTGGTTCCCAGGGATCCTGTCTGACGATCTCCAACGGTCAAGTAATCGTAGCGATATGTGTCAAGGCCCAAGTGATTCATGTAGCTAAGACAAGCGGAGAATCCGTCTGGATACTGAAGCATTGGCTCGAAGAGTCGCCGAGGACGCTTCACCAGGCAGCGCTCCATGACCTGAAGGGCATCGATTCCTGGGTTGGCCTTCAAAAACTCGCTTACGTTTTCAGTTGTGACATTGGCGTCTGTCAACAAAGGGTCTGCACCGGGATTGGCGTTGATGCAGTCAGCAAGGCACGACAGAGACCACTCAGTAAGTTGCGCTGCCTCTACCAACTCAATAGCACTTTTGACGCTAGTAAGAGTATAATGGACCCCCATCCAAATTAGCACAAACAGGGCGGTCAGTGCAGCAAGTATGGAAACAAAGCTTCTGCAGTGCTCTTGAAGGTCCAGGGAGAGGAAGAGGAGCAGCAGGTGGCGCGTCACGGAGGGCTTTCTGTCCTCGTCCAGAGTTACTGAGCGCAGAGGCTCCGGCTGCGCGTCGTCTTCGCCATCCAGCAGGTGCTCAAAGACATCCTCCAGCCGGGCCCGTGAGACGGCAACCTGGACGCCCTCTCGTTTCTCGAAGGCGCGGCAGTGCTGTATCAGACTCGTCAGAGTATGTGCATCTGGGACTAGTGTTGCAGGGATGGATATGCTGGCGCGCCGTGGGTCCATTGTAACACTTAGCTCTTTAGCGCCAACTCCGAGCAGAGTCCCTAGCTCCGTCGAGAGCAGCAGCGCTACTCGTGAAATGGCGTCGCGGCTTTCCGATGTCACTGAAACCACGTAGTCTCCATGCTCCTCAAGGAGTTGCACGACAGGGGCATCGGCCTGCGTCCGACCGGCCTTGAGCACGACAACGCGAGTGGCTAGCTCTGCTATCTCGTTGGCGTCGTGGGAGGACAGGACTGCTGCGGCGCCCTCTGTGACCAGTGCGCGAACGTACGCCCAGATCTGGCGCTTCAGGATCGGATCCACGCCCACCGTAATCTCGTCGAGAAGTATCAGCCGCGGACCTCCCGCCGTTGCGTTTGCAAGGGCCAGGCGACGAAGCATCCCCCCAGACAGGGCAGACGCCTGCTTGTGCGCGTGGTCGTGCAACCCGAGGCGCTTCAGGAGTTCGTCGACGTATCCGTCGAGAGACCCGCTTCTGTGCTGGAGCTCGCCGAGGCGGCCCGTGACCCTGGCCCGGATCTCTGCGCACAGAAGAACGTTCTCCCTAACGGTGAGGTTGATCCAGAGGTTGTTCCACTCCTGGGGACAGAGCGAGATGAACCCCCGCAGGGACCGTGCGGTGTACGGACAGAGGAGATCGTGCCCGAGCCCTGCGCACTGCCCGCCGGAGGGCGCCAGTTCGCCAGCCATGATCCCCAGGGCTGTGGACTTTCCCCCGCCGCTTGTCGCGACGAGGCCCGTGACCTCTCCCTGCTCAAGGTGCAAGTCCAGCCCGCACAGCGCCTCCTCCTTGACGACCGTGCATCTCTTTGCCTTACGGTATGTCTTCCGAAGCCCTGAGACAGACAGAAAGGGGAACTCTGGATTGTCCTTGGGGCACCTTGTACGGTAGAACTTGCGGCTACAGAGGAAGCCGAGGGGAAGTCCTTGCGAGCCCGGCTCGTGCTTGCAGAAGAGGAGAACCAGAGTTAGCAGCGGAAGAGCTAGGGTGCTCTGGATCAGGGACATGACGACAAGAGATCCAAGGTAAGGAAGCTGAAAAGTACACTCAGATATACTAGCAACCATTGTACCTAGACACGAAAAGTGCTTTGAATGATATCCATCTATGTCATTAAACAGGAGCTCAAGGCCGTACATGCTGGCGCTCTGTCCAACAAGGAGAGTCGACATACGCTCCGGTCTCAACGTTATCATCATGTCGCAGATGGCGACGAGCCCCAAGGGGGGAAACAGGACGTAGAAGACCTTTGTCAGCCAGGTTGGAATAGCAAATTGTGTCCAGATCGTGGGGTAGTCTGGTTGCTCGAGGAGGATCAGGAAGGGGAACGCCACGAGCAGAATCAGGGCCACCGTCCCAAAGGCAATTGCCACCGACGTGTTGTAGAAGAACATGTGCAGGAGCAGCACGGAGGCGGTGGTGATGAGGGCGAAGGTGATGCTGACAAGGGCGTTAAGAGAAGGGGTGTAGTTCGAGAAGGGGAACAGCTTGAAGAGCGAGCCAGCACCGAAGAGAAGTCCGTATGCCAAGAGGTTGGCGATCAAAAGTGTGCCGAACGTGAGCCCGTACATGCAGAACTCCGAGACACCCAATCGGCGGAGCGTGGTCTGAAAGGGCCCGCGGAAATGCGCTGCGAAGATGAGGGTCAGGATGCACTCGAGGAAGATAGAAAGCTGGAGAATCATGTACGCCTGCATCCCGGCAAGGGTGGTGGTAGAGCCTTGCGACGGATACTCTCCCAGGCTGTACGAAATGGTTTTGCCAATAAAGGTCCCCGTCAGGGCGTTGTGAATCGCCTCGAAAATGCTGAAGGACACCGGGCTCCACACATACGACATGGCGTACGAGTTAGGCGTTGAGGACCTTGTCCGTGGACTAGGGTGTTTGACAGCGTACCAGGTCATCATCTCCTGGCTGTACCAGAGCGAGTACTGGACGGCCTGCGGGATGTCTGACGCTTCCCGGTTTGAGATGTTTAGGTCGAGCGCGAGGAAGACGCTGTCGGCCGGTCCCATGCTCGCGGCCCACTCGTCATCGAACGCATCCAGGGTTCTGTCATCAAGCCCATACGCTGTGTCAAGCATCTCTGCAACGACGCCCCTGTCTGCAAGGACCCCCCGCGGGGTGAGGATCGAAGCGAGGGAGCCATCGGCGCCTAGGAGGTGCCTCCGCACCGTCTCTCCCAGGTTGGCCGCAATCACGTCATCGACAAAGCTCGGGCCGAGATTCTTCCCGGCCACAAGCCTCTGCATTGTTGCGCGGTCCTTTACAGCAACAATCCGCTCCGACTCTAATCCGTTCTGTTGGGCGAGTCTGTCAACGACCCGGCGCGCTTCGATCGTGTCGGGGGAGAATGCAAGGTACACGGTCTGGCTCGTGCAACCAGGCAGGTCCCTGCACAACGGGAGGCGCGGGAGAGTCCCTTCGCCTAGGCCGCTGCTAGGGCTTTGCAGTCTATCCTCGAACGAGAAGAAGAGGGCGACAGCGGCCATCACAACGACCGGCATGACAATCATGCAGATGTAGAGATAAAGATGGGCCCTGGCCGTCTTGAGATACAGCCGGAGCACTGGGAGCATAGGTATCTCCACCAAATTAATTCAAAGGCATAAGTTGTCCTTTAAGTTTATCCATTCAAACTGTGCATTTAAAGCCGCAAACCCAGACATGCAGTCCATGACAATGAGTAATCTGGGAGTAATTGCTCTGGTATCGCAAAGCACGCAAATTTACTAAAGGCTGTTGAAATGAGGAAATCAGGAATTCTTTGTAAATAAATCAGCTTAACCAATTGCGAAGGTTGTTATCAATAGCCCGGTACTTTTAATCTAGCAAAAATTTGAGTATACATCAACTATTATAGTAGCAGATAAGGTGATATGGCTATAACCTATCAATTTTCCATGGGGAATTCAATGTAGCAACTGAGAGTGTTGAGGTAGGCTTATGCTTGACGATTTTGGCGGCCTCTATCTTGTCATAAAGCCTCAGTATTTGTCACTAAAGTCACTAAATAGCTACAAGGACTCCAATTGCATTGTCAAATTGTAGAAATTAAAAACATCATAGACCATCTCGACCAATGATTCAAATTACAATTGATGTCATTCTTGAAGATCCAACACTCTGTGTTGTCCAACTTTATACTCAAGTAAGTTCTCAGACCGTCTTTGCTTTGCTGTCAGACGGCTCTTTGGCAGTCCTATACCCTAACGATAACAATGCACTTGTTCTGGCTTCCAAGACATCTATGGCAAATCAGCTTCCAGTGGATATTCTTAGGAAAGTGATTACCACAGATGAAGGACAAGTTCAGGTTCCTATTACTGCACTTGCTTGCCATCCCTTTGTAGAGAATTTAGTGGTTGTCGGATTTAAAGATGCCTCATTTTCTATCTGGTTTCCGACTGATTCTGACCCCAGCTATAAGACGGAACTTCACCAGGAGGAGCTTTGTCTCATCAAATGGCTTTCACACGGTCGAATATTGGTCACCTGTGATGTCTCCGGCCAAGTTATCCTCTACAAGTTCTCGACAGACACCTACTCCTTCGAGTCTATTACAAAAACTAGAAAATCAGGTCATGTAGTTGATATTGTTGAACGCACGTGTTGCACTGACAATATAATATATAGTATTGACCAGGAGCACAGCGATCACCCCATTGATGTTTCCAACTACGCTGGAGTCGGGTTATGTGAGTTCATTGTTATGTGGTCTAAGGGGGATGTAGCAGTCCTTACAGACAACGGAGTTATTCGACATATAGGGACGGTGAATCTGTCAGCTGGACATGCCCTACTCTATAAGTTATATTACTGGAGCTGTAGCGACACCTGCTGTGCTATTTCTACATCTGGCGATATGTTTCTGTTTGGCTTCAAAACCCTTGCTGTCGGCGCATATAAAGATATTCTAGCAAAATATAAGATAGAGTATAAAAGAGAGAATGGGATTGTTCAGCTTCCCGCCACTAAGATTGCATATATGGCCCCCTCCGATGGCCAGCTCCGTGTCCTCAGTTTGCTGACTCAGGAAGTTGCATACATTGACCTGGAGGATCACATTGAAAACTTTGTCGGCGTCAACGGTGGATTGGCAGTGATCAGGGACTATGGCATACTGATACCCTTGCGGGGCAAGAATGGCTATGCAGTTGTATCTTGCCACCGCAGCACAGGCTCTTGTGACTCTAACGGTAATGAAGGGATGCATATTCTTGCTGCCTCTGATCATTATCTTCATGCCAACGATATGAGATTTGCAAGGGTACAGGATTCTAATGGTCCAAGTTCTGGTCCTAGAATACGCCCTGGAAGCGATGAGTTTATCGTAACTGAGCAACACTTCCTTCACGCAGAAAACCCTAGATGCAGCTATGCGAATATCTACATGAGTCAGATCGTTGTAGGGGACAATAGCTTCTCACAGACCATGATAACAAACTACTCCATTACTAATAGGAACGTCGTCTCTAACAAGATGCTTCCTATCTTTCACGACGAGGGTGGCAAGCCGATCAACTTGCCGCCTGGATTCTCCCCAGAAACAGCTTCCACTCCAGAGGGTGTGGATGACGCAACCATTGATTCGTTTAGTGCAGAAATTATCTCGTCCAGAGGTAAGTTCGTCTCTCTATTGCTATTCTCTTTTGAACCGAAGGATATGCAGGTAGCCTATGCCAATAACACTAACAGCGCCATCATGGCTCAGGATTTAACCGGAGAGGGTTTGACACACATGAAGTTTTTGGATCAAAAGTTCACTGACAGCAGGAACAGCTTCATCAGCGCAGTCTTAATAGGAGCTAGAATAATTAAGGTCAGTGTCAACACAAACGCCAATCTCTTGCAAGAGCATACTCTGGAAATAAAGCATCCTATTAAAAAGATTTCTATTCTGACAAATCCTCTTACATCAGTTTCTTCAGACAATTTATCTGGATTTGTCTTGGCTTTTGGGGATAACGTGTTTACCGTTTTTGAGGTTGCCATTGGAAAGGTGCCTCACCTGGCGGGGTCCTTTAAACTGGATGAGCGATACACCTATGTCGCCGACTGTGTTCTTTATGGGAGGTACATCCTTGCTTCCCAAAACTCTCGTGCGGATCTGGAGTCGGATTATCTCAAGGTTGAGATAGTCAAGTATAGTATTACGGGGAGCAAGGCAGGATCACTGGTCCTTAGTGATGACCCAACTCACGGAGCCACTGTCGAACGTATTGCACGCATGACTCTCGTTAACCAGCACCTTTTTATGATCAATAACAATTTATCTCTTTTCTACACCGATTGTAAGACCTTTAATTCAGTAGTGAAGATAACGGATATAGGGCAGTTGATGTTTAATACAAACATATACTGTGCCTACCTAGAAGAAGAAGACCTGGATGATATCCATCTATCTACTCCTGATACCGGTTCACCTGCGGTAGAGGCAGAAGAGAGTCCCCAGCGTCAGACCAGGGAGGAAAAGATCAAGGATTTACTGCTAGTGGAGAACACGATGCAAATTAACCAACAGCTACATGATCGCATAAAGCAGGAGAGGAAAGAACAAAACGTTATCTCAGTGTATACAACCTTGCCTACTCTCATTCCCCTGGACACTATCTGTGTGCAGTCATGTAATGCGACGATCACTCTAGATAACGCTCACCACGTGCTATTCACTGTAGTGTTTAAGGGGTACAATGTGGTCACAGGCCTTCCATGTTTGCTGCCATACGTAGTTGCATTGTCAATAGACACAAAGATACTTGGGGAGATGATAAGTGCGGGGTTGACAGCTACGCCTTCACAGCCCACTGAGAAGGTTGGGAGCCGGCCTACGACTGGATCCGATGGAGGCTCTGCTGTCCTCAAGTCGCGCATCTTTGACATGGCACCGTACACCGTCACTAATGCCATACCTGATTGCTTTGGAAATATTGGTCTCGAGCTAGTGCTATCGACCTCCCTGAATCTCCTCTTTGTCGGCTCGAGCATGCTTTTCGCACTAAAAACAGGCACTTTCACAAAGCGGGCGCTAAGCTCCAAGAATCTCTCCGCTTATCTCAGCTGGTTGGACTCTAAAGAGAAAGGATCCCAAAGAAATGCCGATCTTGTCTTTCAGCAAGAGAAATATGAGGACCAGATCTCTCTACTCCAAAGCATATACATCTCCTCTGAGCAGCGGGCTAAGGTCCCATTGCTAGTCCAATCACTTGCTGAGACCACTATTTCCATGAATGACCGCATTAAAGGGAGCTGGCTTGACTTTAACGACAAAATCTTCCTTTCAATACAAGGTGTCTTTGCTCCCTATGTCAATTCAAAGTTAGAGACACTTATGCAACCATTGTCCTCGACCATGTTGACCCTTTTATCTCCAGCTTTCGTTTTTTCTGAGCGTAGTGGAAAGTCGGAAAAACCACGCACTTCTAACTTTGTCTCCATTAATTCTGACCGTTTAACAATCAAGAACTTAACAGCTCTGGGAAGCAGTAAGAAAACTGGCTTTCAGCAATCGTGCACTGCGACGTATGCACTTAACAAATTCACCATTTGCAGTAGTAACGGTCAGCTTGCAGAGGCGTATTCCCACGTATTGGTTAGTGAGAACCTTCACGTTTGGCGCTCCTTAGCGACACTGTGCATCCAGAATGGCTATGTTGATCTTCTAAAGACATGCACGACGCACCTCAAGTCTCCCATATTGTCCCTTCTGATGCGCCTAGTTACAAATCGCAAGCGTTCGGATGCAGCTGACACAGGCCAGGATCAGTTGAAAACCAAACTTGCTCCGCAGGATGAGTTGCTTTTGGCCCTGCTAAGCATTGCTCTTGGGGCCTCTGCCCAGGGTTTAGATAGATTGCAAGGGAAACCTCTTCTGTTATCTGGGGTGATGAATGACATAGGGCTATCAATAAGGTATCTGATGAGCGACGGGGCGCATAGTTCTCTGCAACAGACCGGAGGATTGACGTCTCTGGCTAAAAAGTCATCTATCTTATCTCTTGCTAATAGATTGATCCACCTCAACGACCTCGAGAGCTCAAAGATTTGTTACTCAGAAGTCTACAAGGCACCTGTGGCCGCGCAGGGGGAGATAGACAGCCTAAACGCAAATCCACAACAGCTTTTGCAGCAAAATGAGAGCGTTCAATTCCTCAACGACGAGTATAAGAAAAAGGGGGTTGCTGCATGCCTGACTCTAGCTAAGAAGGGGACCGATCCTCAGTTTCTATACGTGGCCGCACGCATGATAGAATCCGAGGCCAAAAGTAGAGATGTGAAGTCGGATATACCTGGCAAAATGAAGGACGAGCTTGATCAGCAGACCTTGTGGCTAGAGGCAGCTAGACTTTACAAGCGGTGTAGCGCATTCACACACGCCTTGGCCTGTGCACTCAAGTGTGAGGATGATGAGCTTATTTACAACATAGGTACTACCTCACAGAGTCAGAGACTCAGCCTAGTGGCTGCAACTTACTTTTCTAATAAGTACAAGAGTGGACTGATCACCATTAGCGAAAAAGGAAGAGACAACGTCTCGGAGGACTTTTGTGATGAGCTCCAGGCGACTATAGAACACGCGCTGGTTCTATACAAATCTGCGGGGCTTGGAGCTCAAAGCCTGGAGCTCTGCATTAAAAGTAACCGCATGAAAGAACTCTCTAATCTTTTAGCTGATATATTATCCGAGCCCTCAAAGTCTCTTGATCGTGAGCTAGATGATGACGTGGTTCTCCAAGAACAGAGCACCACGACTCAGGGCACAGGTGATGTACTTCAAGGGATCAGTTCAGACTTACTGCTGCGTGCCGGTAGGGCGCTCTTGGACGTGTCTCCGGAAGACTATTCGCTGAACGACTATAACAGCTTTATTCGCACAGCCGTTATTGCTTTGGCAAAGGCTTCTGCATACCAAGATGCGCTACAGGCCATACTAGATGGCAAGATCCAAATCTCAGAGCGGATAGCAGACATTCTCACACCCGCTAGTATAGAACACGATGAAGAGGCGGTCAGAGTCACTGAGACGCTTGGGAAGCTCCTGCACAAAGCGGGCCTTTATCAATCAGCTGTCAAAAAGTTCATTCTCGCTCAAAATCACACGCTAGCCATAAATTCACTGATAAAGCAAGGTGATCCGATGAAGGTGATTAAGTTTGCAAACATGGCGCGACAAAAGCAGGTCTATATTGCTGCGTCAAATTTTCTTCAGACACTAGACTGGCGGTCCAATCCAACCTACATGAAGGCGATTATAAGTTTTTATGAGAAAGCAAACTCTCTAGAGAATATCGCGAAGTTCTTTGCTAACTGTGCCGCGGAAGAAATCTCAGAATACCATGATTATGTAAAGGCTAAGCAGGCGATCATCGAGGCCATGAATAGACAAAAGGTAGCAATCGACTACGTTGAGCAAAACGCTTCTAGTAAAGAGAGCGAAAAGGTTGCAACAGCCAGGGCAGCCAAAGTAGCCTCTCTCAAGAAGACCCTCCAAGCATATGAGCAGAATGGAAAGTTAATACATGCATTTTTACAGCTGTGTGACTTTGCCCGAGACACGTCCCAAGCGCATGATAGTTCTGAAACGCTCACAACAAATTCCTCAAAGCTTCTGACTGCAGTGCGGAAAATGGAGAACTGCTATGTTAAGCCAGGGGATATCATGGGGCTGTTGGCTGAGTTCCACGGGGTCAGAGGAGAGAAAGCAAGAATAGTTAGTATTATTAAGGATATGTGCAATGAAGGCATAGACCCCGAAAATTACTTGGCCGCTGATCTGTACGCCGCGCATGCTGCTGAAGCAGGTCTCACTGTTGTCAATAAAGCCCTCGAACTGGAAGATATAGACCTAACAGCCGAAAAGAGCGATCACTAGCTGTAAACTCTCGCCACTGGCACTTCTATCAGTTCCGAAAAACTCGGGGTCGGCTGCATCTATGACACTCTACTTGCCCCCCGCATATGAAGCTGTAAGATATCTGAACAGTGATATTTATGGGATAAGCTACTTGGTAAGAGATAGAAATCTTGATCTGTCTGCCACGTGTCGAATCGTCAGCGAGGCAGATGTTGGCCGTGGGCGGTATGCTCTCATTCGGGATTTGGCGAGGCAAGCCCACCGCTTAGATCATGAAAGCATAACACCCTTACTGGAGGCATTTGTAGATGACGAACAAGAGTGTATATTTCTTATATCTAGGGGAGCAGGGCAATCTCTCTATGAATACAGTGAGGAGCTATGTTTTCTCCAAGTGAATCTGGAAGAGGAGGTGATCATAACAATATTGGTTGAGCTAATTAACGCTATTCTTTACGTATATTCAACGAACCGCAAAACCGACTTCACAGACGCACTAGCAAGCAACCTACCATCAACTGGGTTGGACCCTCTCTGCATTAGACTAAGCAGCAAGGGGCGTGCATTAGTGGACTATTCAGCCTTCGCAGTCAAGCTTGCTGCTCAACGACATTCGGCATTTACTATGGCATACCTCTGTCCAGAAGTGTTACACAGTCGACACAGCGGAGAAGACCGTGCACGCCTAAACGTGTCTCCGCTCAAAATGCTTGCCTACAATGTCGGTCGCTTATGTTGCGAGCTATGCTTTGCAGGTTCTAAGTGCAAGGCTGTCAAAGGAGAGTATGACACTGCATACATGTTAAAGAGTATTATAAAGGAAAACGCGTATTCTAAAGACCTTGTACGCGTGCTCACGTGGCTCACTAATCCTTGCAATAACTCACGGCCGTACCTAGATGAGGTCCTGGCTCATCCGTTTATATTTGGTTTCATGGTTAAATCGGGCTCCAGAGAGAACGAAAGAGTGTTCAGAAACGCCTTAGGATCAACGCAGCTCATACTATCTGCCAATATGAACAATGTGGAGTACGTCCGTGCGTTGGTGGACAAACAGAAGCGCTTGACTAACTACGACGGGGCCACTGCACTCATGGCGGCCGCCGTTCTCGGCAATATAGAGGTTCTGAAGATCCTTATTCCCCACGAGTTCGGCATGAGGATGATTACTGGAGACTCATTGAATGGTGCCACAGCCCTGATCCTCGCCGCTCGCAATGGTCAGACAGAAGCATGTAAGCTGCTAGCACCACACGAAGCAAAGCTTAAGAAGCGTGACGGCTTCACTGCACTCATGGAAGCAACCGTGCGTGGACACAGTTCTGCTGCTGATGTTCTGATGAAGTATGAGGCTAAATCAGTAATCCAACTCGATGATCTAAGCAATCCTAAAAATGGGACCACGGCTTTAATGCTTGCGTGCGAATTCCACCAACTCCACATAGCCAACAGTCTAATTCAGTATGAAGCGGGGATGAGAGACAGCTCAGGATACACCGCTCTCCATAGAGCCGCGGCTTTGGGATTAGTATCTGCAGTTAAGCTTTTGATCACAACGAAGGAGTGCGGCCTTCGAGACCCCAAAGGGCAGACCGCGCTCATGTTCGCTGCGCAATATGGGCACTCTAAGTGTGTAGAGCTCCTACGCAAAGAGAAGGAGGCAGGACTCGTGACTGATAAGGGCTGGTCTGCTCTGATGTCTGCGATAACAAATGGGCACACAGAAGCAGCCAAACTCCTTATTGACTACGAGGGACATCTTACCCTAAATATGGGCTACACACCATTAATGTGTGCCGTAGAACATAAACAGTATGAGGTCATCGATCTGCTGAAGCACAGCCAGGCCAGAAAAACTATCGCAGCTGAAAGTGAAGAGGACTCATGGCACAACGGAGCTACTGCACTCATGCTAGCAGCATACAGCAATGATGCGGACGGCTGCAGAAAGCTAGTGGAGCTGGAAGAAGGTATCCGTAACGCCGACGGAATGACTGCTTCCATGATTGCGGCAAGCAACGACTCTGCGGCAGCCCTCTCCATCCTCTGCATGTCACAACGTGAAGCTGAGAGCAAGCTTATCGGAGGCTCCATAGACAACAGGACATGCCTCATGATTGCAGCGTTAAGTAGATCTCTGAGCTGCGTAAGGGTTCTAGCAGAGCAAAGGATAGGGATGGGGTGTCAGGATGGCAAGGGATCCACTGCACTTATAATGGCAGCCTTGTCTGGATACGCAGACATATGCAAAGTCCTAGCACCGCTTGAGGCACGAATACAAAGAAAGGATGGCTTTACAGCCCTGATGTCAGCAGCACAAGAGGGCCACAAGGAGTGTGTGTCTATCTTGCTTTCAAAAGAAGGAGACGTCCACAAGCCCGGGGGCTGGACCGCATTAATGAGTGCAGCGTTGAAAAACAAGCCAGAAATAGTGCAAATCCTCTCTAAAGACAAGAGGCAGATCAGACAGAAACGGGAAAAAGATGGAATAACGGCTCTAATGATAGCTGTCCAGTCTGGTCACATAGAGTGCATCCGGATTCTGGCTCCGCTGGAGCGCAACCTCACAGACAAGAAGGGCAGGAAGTGCGAGGCATATGCTCGAACAGAGACCGTGCGGAGGATCCTGGCTAAACTTCGGTAAAGTAATTCAGTGATTAATTGATTCAGTGGAATTGAATCAAATTGATCCTCTCCAAAAAAGTAAATGTTCGATAACAGTGCCCCAGAGCCGGCTGGAGAAGTGACCGAGGTCTTTATGCCGACCTTTTGCAGCGATGAGGAGCGGGAGATATATAACAAGTTCAAGGAGAGCCCTGAGACCATCGACGTCAAGGGAAATGGTGCAATCCTGAAGCAGGTACTTGTCGCGGGCCCAGAAGACGCAGAGGTCTGCCCGCAATCAGACGCTACCGTATATGTCCACTACACCGGTAAGTTGCTGAACGGGACCGTTTTCGACTCGTCTGTTACACGAGGCCAGCCCTTCAACTTCGACATAGGAAATATGTCTGTTATACGCGGCTGGGACGAGGGCGTGTGTGGTATGCGGGTTGGAGAAAAATCTCTCTTCACCATCGCTTCGGATTATGCCTACGGGAGCAAGGGTTCCGGATCTATTCCTGCAGACGCTACTCTACAGTTTGAAATAGAGCTTTTGGATGTGGTCGAAAAGGACCACGAGTATCCTCATACCAACGAGGAGAAGCTTGCTGCTGCAAAGGTTCGTCAGGAGGCAGGGAATGCTCTTTTCAAGAGCGGAAAGTACAAAAAGGCAGCTGCCAAGTACGACAAGGGCACGCAGCTCCTGGAGTACTTCATTGACAGCACTCCAGAGGTGGAGGAGGAGAGGTGTGTCCTCCGTGCAACCCTCTTTGGGAATTGGGCACTCTGCAATCTGCGCATGAAGGACTATGCTGATTGCTGCTCCCACGCACGCGAAGGCATGAAGATTCTCGAAGAGAAGGAAGAGAGGGCGTCGAAGAACGTCGAGCTGCGTCTCAAGCTCTGCCAGAGAGTGGGGCGCGGTGCGATGGGGGCTGGCCGCAGCGCGGAGGCCAGGAAATATATAGACATGGGCCTTGACATTGCAAAGGCCGCCGGCCAGAACGACAAGGTACAGGAGTTCGAGAACGATCTAAAGAAGTGCGACGCCCAAATTGCCCTCGAGGCGCGTAAGCAGCAGGACATCTACAAGAGGCTCATGGCCAACATGGGCAAGTGACGGCAGCAAGCAAAGGTAAACTTACTTTCCTGTACACTTTATGTGCTGGCTTTGGGCTCGTCCGCAAATTTTGGGAACTTTTCAAATTTTTGAGCCCAGAATTTGGTCCGTTTTTCGGTTTTTTAATCCAAATACCGCCTTTTTTTAAAAACAAAAATGTCCGGAGGCATGGACGATTACCTAGTCGGAATCGATAAGCTTGCAGCCCCGGAGCTCCGCGAAAAGCTTCTACGCGTCTGCAACGAGCTCAAAGACACCAAGGAGCAGTGCAAAGCGCTCCGTGATTTGTACACTGAGACGGACTCTAGCTGCAGGATTTTTAAGCAGAAGATATCAGAGCAGGGAATTGACCCCGATGAGCTTTGTCCAGCATCGCCTACCTTGCGCAACGCAGCACAGAGGAAAGGCGTGGGCAAGGGTAACCGTTGTCCGTACTGCGACCGGTCCATGGACACAGAGTTGGTTGCGGCCGAAACACTAACTGCAACGGTAAGAGAAAAGGACGCCGAGATCGCGCATCTTAAAGAGAGCATCGAGAATTTGCGTCTTCTCCACGAGGAAAACATGCGAGATCTGGTTGCACGTGCACAGATTCAGGGCGCAAAGCTCCTTGAAGCAGACAGCCTGCTTTCGCAGAGCAATCGTGTTCACTCTGACGCCGACATCAGTACCCTGAGCCCGGAGGAGATGCGCGAGAAGCTGAAAAGCATCCAGACAGTTAACGACAACCTTATTAAATCTGTAGCCTCTCGTCATGACTCTGTTACAAACCTCATCAGCGCTAAGGAGAGTGCGATGGCTGGACTTGACGGGCTTCGCTTGACAGCCACGAGCCTTAGTGGGGAGGTGAACAAGCTCCAGGATGCGGGGCAGGCCGCAGACGATGAGGTAATCGAACTTAAAAAGTCTCTAAATGACAAGACTTCCGCGCTGAGTCGCATGATAAAGATTCTTGCCGTGAAGGAGCGCACAATTAATAAGCTTCGCGATAGTCTAGGAAGCGGGAAGCTCTCGGGCGATGAAAAATATCAGCCTGAAATCGATGCGCTCAATGCAGAGATCAAGAAGTTGCGTGAGCAGGTGCAGACATGCACGGAGGTCGAGCGACCAGCGTTGCGGCGCAAAATTGCTGACCTTGCCAACACAATTGATGAGCTCCAGCGACAGTTGGAAAAGGAGGGCGGCGACAATGCTGTCTTTAAGAGATCGGCCGCAGGGCCCATAGATACAAGCGAGGAGCTCCGTGAGGCCAAGGAGCGAATCAAGTTGATTGAGCGACTTATTGCAGAGTCACCTGCTAGCGAGAATAACGAAGACTTTGAACGGGCACGCAAGGAACTTCTCGGTCGGATAGCTGAGCTGACCAAGAGTGAATCGGACTATCAGGAAAGGCTCCGGGACATGCAGCGCCAACTCTCAGACAAGGCTGAGAAGGTCAGGCAGCTGTCGGAGGAGCTGGACAGGAGGCCGACCGGCGAGGATGAGAAGGCCCGGCTCCGCTATCTGGAGCACCTTGTAGCGTCCCAGGAGCGGGCAGCTGGTGCAGCCGTTGATGATGCCAGCCGAGAGAGAATCAAGCAACTTCAGGAGCAGGTCAATGAAAAGACAAGAGAGATTGACGACCTCGTTAACAAAAATAACTGGGAGCTGAAAGAAAAAGAGGACAGAATTCGCGAGAACATGAGCCAGATTATGTTTCTCAATGAGGAGCTTGACCGGGCTAAGTCAGCTGCTGTGGATGCCAACGCGCGCATCCGCTACTTTGAGAATTTTTATGCCACGCTTTCGAATGAGACGACTGCTGCCGCCGGTGCTAACCTCGAGGAGAGGATCCGTACACTCAACGCAGACAATACGCAGAAGGAGGAAGATCTCAACGCTCTCACCTCGAAGCTCAAAGCTAGCGACGGTAAGCTACGCGATCTAGAGCAGAAACTTTTGCAGGAACAGCAAGGCAAGGAGCAGCTTCGCGAGCAACTAAGCAACCTTCAGGACGAGTACGAAGATCTTAGCAAGCAGCTGAGAATGAAGGAGGCTGAGATAGAGGACAAGATCATGCAGATAAACACGCTCTCCCCTCAACTGGATGAAGCCCGCTATCGCATCAAGCGACTCGAGAAGGAGTATACTGACTTGAAGAGCACACATATCCACAATTCTGAGCTCGATCCTTACCGCCAGCAATTGACAGAGAAGGACATTAAGATTGACGAGCTCAATCGTGAGCTTCAGACTCTTCAGGAGCTCCAGGCTACCGGGGAGCAGGCCCACAGCGACCTCATGCGTGACTTCAAGGAGCTCACGGACACGGCTGAGAAGCGCGATAAAGAGCTTCTCGAAAAGGACCTTACCATCGACAGGCTTCTGGATGCCATTCGTGTCCAGGAAGACTCATTTACTAAGCTTCGCACGTCCATCATCTGCATGGAAGATGAGCATCGGATCTCAGAAATGGCCTCGCAGCAGCAGAAGGAGTGCCTAGAAGAGCTCACAAAGGCTCGGGAGGAGCTAGAAGCCCAGGTTCAGGCGCTTATGAAGGGAGTCGACCAAGCCCGAACGGGAGAGTCCGAGGCCCGTAAGTATGTGGAGGAGGTAATGCAGAATAGCAGGAATCTGTGCGACAAGCTCAACAGAGAGATTGAGGATCTTACGGAACAGTTGAATGCACGACCAAACGTCGACCCGGCGGTCTTTACTATGCTTAAAGAGGCGCAGCAGCGGATCAAGACTCTTGAGGCAAGGCCTTTGATCCCAGAGGAAGTTGAGCGTGAGCTGATGGCACTCCGTGAGCAGCTTACTGCCTCAGAAAAGGATCTCATTGACGCACGTGAGTTAGAGAGAAGGCTCAAGGAGCTCGAGCAGCTCTTGGAGGAGCGAGACCGGGAGATCGAAGAGCTTAAGCGGGAGATTATGGAGAAGAACGCTCGCATTCAGGAGCTGGAATACAAGATTTCTAATGCGCAGAGCACCATTGATAATCTTACTACGCTGACAAACGAGGCGGCCCAGAAGATCAGGGTCATGGAGAACGAACTGTGTGCCCAATTTGTCGGTGGCGCGTCGTACGTGGATATCAGTAACCTTGAGCGTGCGATTGATGAACTTCGTCAGTATCACGGCGAAGCTCTTGACAAGCTCCTGAAGACTAAGGCTGATGCTGCCGGTGACCAGGAAGAGCTCAGCAAGCTTCGCTCGATGTCTGATGCCGATGAAATTGCACGCTTGCGCGAGCGCCTGGATCTCAAGGAGAAGGAGGTTGCGACTATCAGACCTCTCCTTGAAGAAGCTCAGGCCAGGATGAGGATCTTCGAGTCTAGCTATGCAGAGAAGGAGAACGAGCTGCTCAGAAAGCAAGAGGAGTTAAATAACATTAGGTCGGACCTTGCCAGCGCAAAGGACGAGCTACACAGGCTTCGAAATAACCAGCACGATAACGTCGACACCGCACATGAGTACAACCTACAGGTCTTGCGAGATACTGTCGATTCCCTCACAGACAAATTAGTAGAAAAGGAAAAAGAAGTGGAAACGCTCAAGGGTCAATTAGCAGATGCTGACGACCTGCAATCTCAATTGAAGAGCAGAGAGGAGAAGATTCGTCAACTAGAGGAGGATCTGCGCACAAGGTCTCCTAGCGTAGTCTCCGATGCGGCTCGCGATAGCACTGCTCTGGGGACGCAACTCGAGCTCCTGGAGCAGAACAGAAAACTCAAGGAGGAAATCGACAATCTTATGAGTAGGGTGCGCGATGCAGAAAGCGTGAGCAACGCTCTTAGGGCAGCTGGAAATGCAGGAAAGAATGTCTCGGAGGAGCTGGAGCGCAAGGATGCAGAATTGCAGCAACTTCGGGCAAGCCTAGCAGAAGCACAAAGGCGTCTGGCGTCGGTGGAGGCCGCATATGCTAGATATCACAGCATGAACGATAAGGATGCAGAGATAAAGACCCTCACGGAGACGCTAGCCCAGCAATCCCAGGCAATGGCGGCCCTGAGAGAGGCCAACATGGCAAAGGACCGCGAGATCGATGAGCTGAATGACGCGCTTATCTATCAGGAAAGAACCGTTTCATCTCTCTGCATGAGCCTTTCACCGAAGTTGGCTGCCAAATCGCCAATGCGGTCGGTTGTAGGCCCGATGTCTCCGCCCATGCAGCCTGTCATGTCCACCGATGCCGCAAACGAAATTGCCAACCTTCGCGCTGCCTTGGAGCGAGCAAATGACACCATTAGCAGCCTAGAGAAGGCCAACACTTCCACAAGCAAGCAGGTCAAGGACCTTCAGAGCACGATGGAGAGCAAAGAGAAGGAGTGCGAGAAGCTGTTGGCAACAATCAAGAGCATGTCTCGTGACGAAACGATTAATGCGCCTGGCGAGGGCGTTTCTGGCGATGGAGCTGGCGCAGATCCGGCCGAGCTGGCAGCACTGAAGAAGGATTTCGAAGTAGCCAAGAAAGAACTGGAAAGGCTCAAGCTATTGCATCACTACAGGTCACGAGCCGACGAAGGAGCGCTGGAGGACGTTTTGGACAAAGATATGCAGATCCAGGAGCTACTGGCAATAATCTCCCAGCTCAACAAATCTAATGAAGCTCTTGAGCGAGCCAACACTGCCAAAGACAAGGAGCTAATGTCTCTTAAGGATGCACGCTTCTACAACGAGAACGAGATGACTGGCATGCGCGAGCAAAGCATGTCCCAGACGGGAGAGGTCAGGTCGATGGAGGCGAGCCTGAAAGATAGTGAGCAAACCATTATGGGCCTGTGCGCAGCGCTATCCCCAGAGCAAACTGCAAAGGCGTATCTGCGGGACTTGGATGAGGTGGATCCCTCCCTCTACGCCATTCTCAAAGCTGAGTGTATGCGCCTTAAGCAGTGCCTTGACTTCAATAGCCTGCCACCTGATGCCAAGGAAGTTGAGTTCAAGGCCATGCTCGAGCAGATGGACCGCCTCCAAGCGGAGCTGCTCCGCAAGGATGATGCGCTTAAGAATGGCCAGGGCGACGGGCGCGATGCCGCATACGTTAAGTCCCTGGAGGACCGGCTGAGAGAGTACGAGGAGGCAGGCGGGAACATCCCGAGCACAATTCGTGAAAAGCTCACGAGCGTCAAACAGCAGATGACAGAATGGTTCCGCGATCGCCCAGACAAGAGCATGGCCCCGTCTCTTCTAGAAATCTTTGATTGAGGGTTGAGGTGTATGTAAACTATAAAAGGTTGAGATTTGAATGCCCCCTACGCAGCCATCTCAGCAGAGAGGCCAGGAGTTTGTGATCATTCTCTCCGAGGAGGAGTATGCGGAGTTGCAGCGGCGAAAGCGGGAGAGGCGTGCCCCACGGCGCAGAACGGGGGAGTTACAGTAAATTTACTGAAGCATCCAGCATTAGCAGATAAATGCGCAAATGGCTCTACTGACAAACGTCTTTAGTGGATGTCATCGCTATCGCTGATTCTCAAGGTGTCCCTCTGTGAGTCCAATGAGTCATCTTTTTGAAGAACTTTAATAGCAGATGTGTGCGGCCTCTGCCTCGATGTCTGGTGGATTAGGTTGTCAAAATCTTCTTCAGAGCCAGTAACTCCCACCATCCTCTCGAATGCAGACGAAGAGTAATTTGCAATGACTTGGGCTTTCACCATTGCATTAATTCGTCGGAGTGTGCGGATCGGCGGAATGGGTCCAAAGACTTCCCTATTCCACCTGACAAACTGACCTGCTATGCGTCGAGCTAACGTCACCCCAGACTCTCTATCTGCTCGCGCCTCGTCCACGCACTGGCAGATCTCTTTGATCGCTGTTTGAAGACCCCGTGGAGCAAGTAGGTCCTCAAGCTTCACGGGCTGGCGCTTAAACGGCGGCATTATCTTTTGGTTGCCAAAATTTGAATACGCAGCAATTCACAGATTCAAAAGATATCAATCAATCTATGGAGGGGAGGATGTCACTGCTGATCTAGTGAATTGGTCTAAGAAGCATCCTTATTATTTTCTTCTTCTGCTACTTCAGCAATTGTTGGTAGGCAAGAAAAGGCATTAGAATTGTCAACGTGTGTTTTTACTGTTCCGATCGCCAAGGGACGTAGCATTGTTGCCACATTTACCCATTTGTGGACGGAGTCTGCCGCGTGGGTCATGTCCTTTCCCATGTATTCCTGCATACATTGTAGCCCTCCTGGGTGATAACGAACGTAGTGTGTAATGTCATATACCTTCCCTCTGTAGGACATCCACGCGTCGTCCATGCTTGCGTGGGAAGCAATTTCTTCTGGTGTATAAAATGTGCTGTTGATTTCTGCATCTGTCCGCTGCCTTACCTTTGATAGAATATGCGCTCTCATCATGGCATCCCGGCGCTGCGCAATGGTCCCACCTTTCATGTAAAAATTTAAGACTATGGAGCCCTCGGCCTTTTCAGGGCGTCTGCTGACTGCATCCTCGGACGCCAGTCTAGGGGTCTCCGCCTCGACAGCTTCTGCTGCAACATCTAGAAGGCACTCGGATGCCACGCCCTATCGCAGAAAAAATCTCCTTGTGGAAAGGAGTATCTATCAGCGCCAATCACCCCTGACGCAGCGCTCACTAGGACACAGTATTTCAGAGAGCAAGTCCGTAGATATACGGAAGCCAAGCCTAAGCTTGAGGGACTCTTTGCCCTCAAGTGCTGGAACCCCTACCACTTCACCAGGAGCATCTGGACGGCTAAAAATACGCAGTGGAGACGAGAAGGCAACGATTTCTCGAATATGGGAGGCCTTATATCTGTCTGAGGGCGAGCGGCGGTATGCATGGAATGTACTAAAAGGAGACACTGCCGCGCAAAAGATCTATGGGTGCCGCTTGCGAGTTATTCTTGGTCTTAAAAAAGAATATGTAGATCTTACCCACCAAAGGCAAGCAGCTATTCGCAGCTTCTTGATGATGCTAAATGAGAACCACACAAAAGCGAGTACTAGCTCAAGAAAACGTATTGCAGAACTCGTTCTCAGCATTAGATCGTTGACATCAAGAGTAACTTTTGCCTTAGAGAGAACAAGAGCTCAATGCAAGCTGCCCCTGAATCTTCCTCTGTTTTCAGCTGAAGCAATTAGTCAAAACTGCACAGAATCATGGTATGCACGTCTTTTAACAGAAAACATCTTCACAGAGGAGGTTGTTATTAAACTGATGCTCCTCATTGGATTTTTCGATGACCCTGACAAAGGTGAATTTGTGGGTATTGACACTGTAAGCGATGCCGTGGCCGCCTTTTATAAAAGGTCAGTGGAGTACGGTGTTTGGATAACCTCAAATGTTGATGATTCTGCCCCGAAAGAGCAAAGATCGGACCAAACGGGGATATTTACCTCTGCAGATGTTTCCCTATTTTTACTCTTGGGATTACCAATACCGACTCTGAAGCCTATGGACTTCAGTTCTCTTCCTGAAATGCTCTCACAATTTCTGGAGACAGCATTTGGGGCGCCTGACATGCCTGTGTCAAGTGACGAGATAAGGCAGCTATTAATCAAAGAAGGACAGCGTATTACAGAGTTTAGAAAGGTAGCCGACGAGTATCTCCATCAGGGAAAGGAGATTGTGGTAGTCCCTGTCCAGCACAGGGAAGAGACCGATCAATACGAGGTTTATTCAACTCGCTCCGCTCCATCACAGCGTAGTGGCAGTGGCTCGCTCTTTACCAAATATCACGCCCCGACAGACGGGTCTTCTATGCCAAGGAACGCCAAACCTCCGGCGCCCGGGGCACTTCCGAGAAAGAGCAAAGCCAGCACCGATGGTGGAATACACGCAATTCTAAAGAAGATCCAAGGTGAGCTTTGTAGTCTCCCACGACCACTCTCCAATATCGATCGTGTCTCCATGCCCGAGTTATATGACGATGCACCTTCTGAGGTTGTGCACACCTACCGTCAGTGTGTCCATTCGTCTGGACTATGTGATACTCCAGATGCTCCTTCACTTGATGAGGATATGCCTACCTGCACAGATGTTTTACACAAGATTCCTCCAACATCAACCGAAGATGAATGTCAGCATCCTCCTAATGACGACGACGATGACTTATTTCTTATGCCCGCCATCACTTCCTTCAGAGAGACTGAGCATGAAACTGATGAAACCTTCGCCTCTGAGGTACCTACTGGAAAGGCAAGCCCCGACGATGTGCGTCCCGAAGCCCCTGTAACTGTCACTAGTGAAGAGCCAAGCAATGTGTGCGGACTGATTATTTACAGAGCCACGTTTCTTTCACCCACTACTATTAGTGGAAGCTCCTACGACCTCACCGTTGCCCTACCATAGTGCATTGTGCCTTACTCCACTCTGTCCAACAGCTTGAGGAGCCCATCTCCATCGGAGCGGTCAATCGGGACAACCTCATATAAAAGAAGAGATCTACTCTGGTCCTTGTCCTTTACACTCACTACACACTCGAGCGCGACTCTCCCCGATATTGCTTCTGCACCGGTAATCAGCTCATAGTACTCAAACACTGTACCAATCAAGCTGCTGAGCTTCGCGTACTGATCCACTAGGATAATATCGCCCATCTTAACGCCTATGTGCACAATCTCAACCTGCTTAAGCACGCTCCCAATGATATCTTCAAAGATTGCACCATCGAATATGTGGTTTTCTGCTAATTGCTGCGTCATGCATGCAAGAAAAAGCAACAATACAATAGCTGAGCAATCTAGGAAATCTTTGACAGATATGTAATTCAAATCTAAGGTTGTATTTGACGAGAAGTTTATAATATCATTACGAAACTCTACGTCACTTAATAAAATGGATGTTATTTCACTTAGGCACCTAATTGTTGTGCTGAACATGCCTTTAGCTTCTGTATTATCAAATATGATTCTAATAATATTTTGGAACAATTCAAAGCATGGCTGTTTGTTCCGAGCTAATAGCAGGACATCTATAGCCATCGTTATCTCACCATTAATAATACTGCAGGATACTATACGAGCTAGCGTTGTGCCAGATAGATTTTCGGTGATCAACGTTCTTGACGCCATTGCCCTCAACACCAACCTGATTGTACACGGATCAAAAAGCATAGGATCCACTTCTTCTATAATTGAGAGTATCCTGTCAGTAAACCGTGCACACCTGGGAGATGTAAGTAGCATCTGCAGAAGGCCTTCTACTAATCCGAAAAGTTGGTCGAACCTGGACAGAATGGTGGGTAGGCAAACGCTCAACAAGTACTCTACACTTTTAAATGCTTCAGGTTCAGAGGGGAAGCGCTGAAGGAGATGCTGGATTGAAGAGTAAAGCTGAACAAGTTGCTCATCAGATAAGCTATTAGACTGATAAGAATGGCTGCCCATCGATAGTACTAAATTTTTCAGCACTTCTGTGATTGTAGTTTTTCTAAGCACAAACAGCTCAGATTCAATAATGAGCTGGATAACACTGAGTCTGTCAAACCAGGATTCACCAAACAGTTGCACCGGGCTCACAATATTAAAGATTGAACAACAACCAGATTGAAAAATTCTATCATCTACTTGTAGTGTTAGAAGAGAGTCATATGCCAATAATAGGCAGAGTTCGGTAACACCCAGCGAAGGAGCTGTCTCCAGGTTAGTCCGAGCAGCAAATAGAAGTGCATAGATTGATTTAAAGGGTGACTCACTCGTATTATTAACAGGGCTAGAGACCAGCGTTTCAGCAAAGAAAAGAGAATGAAGGCGCGGCTGCATGAATTCGTACAGCAAATAAAGACGATGTAAAGCTAAATATTGTTCGCTGAAGGAAGACAGAGTTGGAAAGATTAGCGTGAAGATCTTGAGCGCACTAATAAACAGCTTTCTTCGATTAAACCCAGATTGTTCGATAAGCTGCTGAAGAGCATTAAAGACAAAGCACAGAGGGTCTCTGGCTCCAGGAATAGAAGCATAAGCATGCAGAAGCAAAAGCGCAAGCTCCTCACATTGCTGAATAGAGCTATAGCAAATTAGTTGCTCTAGACTATCAACTAGAGTCTTAAACAGGGCCTCTAAATGGCTAGGAGAACCATGCTCGAGTACCCTGTTCATCCAGTTCTTAACTAAATGCTCTATGTCTGCTATAGACAAAAGTGGTGCTCCATCGTGCGATAGGAAGCACTGTAGCATGGAGCGATGTAATCTTGTGGAAAGGGGCTGTTGCTGGATAGCACGGGTAAAAATGTCCAGCTTCATGGAGCGTGAAGGAGACAGTTCTGCATAGAGAAGCCACATATCCTCAGATGGATCGGCGGTAGAGTCTAAGTATCTTTCACAAATGACGCATGCAGCTCTTACTCGGCCTTGAGAAGCCTCCCAACGAGCATACTGGCTCCACAGCTTATTGCTAGGTGCCTCCCGAAGCCTTATTTCATAGTCTAATTTCAGTTTTTCAGCGAGATTCATAGTAAGAGGAATGTGTGTACAAATCTTTTCTGCCCAAACCTTGTGATAAAATTGTTTACTCTGTTTCATCAAAGTGATCTCATCACTGATGATAGAGTGAGTAGCCTAGCGTAAGCTGAACTGCTGGATCTGAAGCCTGGATATTCTCCAGCGCTTCTCATAGATATGTCTTAATTCTGTTGTTCCTTCAATATTAGCGGGTTATCTGCAGACAAAGACGAAAGGATTGCACATTAAATAGTAACAAGTACATCCGTACCAATGATTTAGCGCAATTTTCTGTTGACTATGCAAGCATTGGTGATGCCTAGAAACACACTAGGTTCAGTAGCAAAGGTGTAGTTTAGCCAATAAAACAGATAACTAATAGTAGGGTTGCAGCAGGAGCTTTAATTACTGCAAGTATAGAATGGATCCCCAGGAAATACCTTCTCGAAGTATTGAACCTCTTCACTAGCTGTTGATGCTTGTGACTAAGAAATGCAGCTCTTATATTAATGGGGCACTAGAATGAGTGCATGCAAGGCTGACAGTAGTTCCTAGAGAGATAGCCTTAGACATCGACGGCAACCCGGGAAGCTGATGTACCTTTGAATACTAAATAGCGTTTGCTTCCTAAAGGTGCTTAAGTTGAGAGACTAGGATATTCCACATGCCATTGGTGCAGAAGCAAGTCCATGCCTAAAAGGAAGAATTACAGAAGCCCATCCAAAGTCAGATAATGTCGGCTGCTAGACTTGCGCAGAGCAGGTGCCAACGAGTTCTTCGTGCATCTTGTTCTGTCCTGGTAACGTCTACACAGGGGAAAAGGCCCTGTACAGGTGGACCAGGTTGCATCTCCAAGCTAATGATTACTTGTGTGAGGGATAAGCTCACAACGGTATCTGATGTGATCACGTGCCTCGGGATGGCAACTAGCAAGCAGGGTACCTAAGGGTATCTGAAGCCGCTTCTCGCTGATCTCACACGGATTTGCAGATGCAAGGCGAATAATGTGAGTAGACTTCGCTTTTCTGCCCCGTTAGCTAGAATATGCCCAGGGGTGCCGCAGCAAGACAGCGTGGACGCAGATCAAGTTGTTCACTGTAGAAGGACACCGAGAATGGTGCTCAGCACAATATGGGCATAGCCCTATCATAGACACGTATATCAACAAGTTCTTGGGAGCGTTACATAGACTTGGATTGAACGAGTCCCACAGTACTCAAAGAGGCACCAATTCGCTTGCCCCGGTAGAGAAACCACCAGCAAAGGAAGCCAACCAGGCTCCCAATCACAATGACCCCGGCCACCGTCCCTCCTGCGATCGCCGCCGTTCTCTTCTTGGCCAGCTCCTTGGTCGAAACACAGATGCCCTTCTGAGGACCGCGTCAAGCTCGCACATGCACAGCCCCTGGTTCGATGAGGCCCTGGCGCCGCACCCCTCTGCACACGTCCGCTGATCTGTCTGGATGTTATGATTCGAGGCGGCACACGAGAGACACTTACCCGACGTATCGCAGGCAGCACACCACGACATGTCAGGGGGACACTCGGTTGGGAGCACACACCCGGATCTGTCCAGTGCCGGTAGGAAGCCCCGCTCACACCAGCACCTCTGCACGCCGCTGGACACCTCTCCCACCACCTTGTCCCCGGTGCACTCCTCCAGGCACGACCGCCCGTCCAGGCTCACGAAGAGCTCCCCCGCGCACTCTGTGCAGAAAGAGGCATGTCCGCAGGTCTTGCACCCCGGAGTGGCGCAGGGCAGGCACGCGTCTCCGTCTGCATAGTACCCGTCTACACAGGCATTAAGGCCGACGCAGCTCCCGGTGGCGGCACCCGAGACCTTCTTCAGGAGCTTTCCAAAGGGGCACCTGGTGCAGCGGCCGGGGCCAGGGGCAGTGCACGCCAGACATGTCGGATCGCACTCCAGCAGCTTTCCATCGGCCGATATCCCGTACCCCTCCTTGGTCTTCTCACACTTTCCGTTTGACTGCTTATCACAGATAGTGCTTCCTGGATAGTGCTCCGTTGTGTAGCAGCCCCCGTTCATCAGGAAGGCCGCTTCTGAGCAGGCAGTGCAAGCACCATTTGCCGTGCTGGTACAGTACGCGTCTCTTTGTGTGTTTGGAATACACACGCCATTGAACGGATACGTGCTTGCGTCCTTGCAGCGCGTGCAGTACCTGCTGCCGTCGATGGTGATGCCGCACTCTGCACACTCACTACCAACAGAACACTGATCGACACAGTCTGCACTCTCGCTAGAGACGATCGAGAAGCTCAGGATCTTGCCGGGGCTGCACTGCTGACAGCCGGTTAGTGTGCCATCCTTGCAGACAGCGCACGAGTCCGTACATGGTGTACACGTTCCGGAGCTGTTGTAGAACGTCGGCCTGCAGACGCATCGACACGACACTTCAGTTGACTCGCTCCCCTCTGTTACCTTCGTGCACACTCCCCGAGTGTCTCCGCTGCAGCCTTCACTGCAGGACTTCCCGTCCACTCCTAGGCACCCTGCCGAGCACCGCGTGCAAGTGACAGCACCGCTGGCATAGTTACACGTAGCACAGCCAGAGATGCCACCGTTTGCAATATCGCCACACAGATATCCATTTTTATTGTTATCGCCATTCTTAGAGAAGATCCATTTGAAAGCACTATTCCATTGTTCACAGGCATTTGATCCAATTCTTGAACAGAGTTTTGAGCTAATACGGGCGTCCTCGTCATAGCAGCCGCCGTAGAAGAGGAAAGATGGCGCGGAGCTAGAGCAGGCCGTGCATAGTCCTTTAGTTGGATCCTTTGTGCACTTAAAAGCGATCTCTTCAATAGATGGATTTTCCTTGATAAGAATGCATGCTCCGTTCCTGGGTGCGTATGATGCATTTGCGCACTCTTTGCAGATAGTAACATTATCTAGCTCGTACTGATTCGCCCCCGCGCATATGGCAAATCCAGTCGAACTGTGCCGACTATAACATCCATACTCATAGAACAAATGTGTCTTGTAGCATGACGTGCAGTAACCATTGACGCAATTGTGAGGCCCTTTGGCTTGGCATTGATAGTCAATCGGATAAAAATGTCTATCCTCGGTAGTATAGTGACACTTAACACACAGAGCGATGCCTATTTTATCAGTGATGGGAGGAAGGCAGTCTAGGCACCCAGAGGCGCCTTTGTACCCATTGAACCCGACCGTATCGGAGCACAGGATGCACTTCTCAGCTGCACTTGTGTCTGGATTGGTAAAGACATATCTTTCAAGCTTACTTTCAAAGCATTTAGTGCACACACCATTCGATGCTTCAGAGCACAAGAAATTGCCCAGATTTCTGTTCTGTGCTGTTGTAATTGTATAGCAGCTGCCATAAAAGAGAAAGACATTTTCTGTTGATGTGCATCTGATGCAGCGAGTCGGTGAGTTGGGATCATCTGGAGTACATGGAGGGGAGCTAGCTCCGGAGTAATTCTGGCATTTTCCATCTATTGGAACATACCCAGGGATACATTGGGTGCATGACGTCCATGACCCTATGGAAAAGCACCTATCCTGGGCGCAATTCTCCTGCTTGCCCTCACATCCCACGCCGAACTTGTTGTAATACGCATCTCTTGAACTTTTGCAAATAGAAGCAAGGAGAGCCAGTGGTAAAAGGCCGAGCATTTAGCGTTTTTCATAAAGCGTAGCACAATATGTACCAAAGGGTTTCTATATGTGCAAGCCTGCCACTCATTGATAACGTGACCACGATGACACTATCCCGCTGAGCTAGGACTCTATCTGAGTTCCCTTCTCTTCAGTCCTCATACTCTCTGCCTACCCCTGTAAATTGTATAGTTTAGAATAACACCGTCTACAGAGGCATACGCCAGCCAAACAGCTCGGTCGTCCGTAGTAACAGTGGAAGGTTAAGAATGGATCCATGTACTTAACAAAATCTGTTATGTAAAGGATGCTATCTGAGAGTGTTGAACTGAATAGAAGATACAGCCAGAGGGGAAGCCAGACACACTGGTTCATCGATCCGCCTCGGTCTTGTCTACAGCTGCTCTAGTACTGTGTAGGCGGCTAGCATGTGGCCTGTAACAGTAGGGAACAGAACTACGAGAGACCGTGGCGACTATGCCCAGATAGCCGTGGAGGACACACAAGAATCCATGTGTGAGCGCTCTAGGCATCCCAGGAGGACCAAGCAGAGGCAGTGGTTGGTGTCATTGCTAAAAAGTGACGGCCAGCCGACTTCTCGCCCCTGTGTGGTGGTCCTGGACAGAGCACAGCTGAGGCTTGTCGGTGGCTCTCTCCTTTATCCAGGCAGCTCTTGTGAGGAGCATCGGTCCAGTTTCATAGCAGTGGGTGCATTCATTACTTGAGTGGACCTATCCACGTAGTGATGATTACTGTCATAGGTACCGGTGATGTGCGAGGGGCCGCTCTTGAGATGCCATAATGCACATTCTCTCCTTGGTCCCTAGAGACGCCACACATAGGAGAAGCCACTAGGACACCAGAGATCCGCTACACCGGGGCATCCTCGTAGGGTGCACATTATCCTCACTTACCACGTGGCAGCGTCGCCTGGTGTTGCGTGCTCTATGGGCTGCCGGCAATGTTCGAGAAAATCATCTTCGGAATCGCCATCCTGCAAGTGGTATGGGCAGCAACGACATGCACAGAGGCTAGCAGTGACCCGCAAACAGGACAGTGCGCAACAGGAAAGTGCGACGTCTGGATTGGGGGCTCAAACTTCTGCTCCCAGTGCTCGACAGCAGCAGAGCATCTTGTCAATGGAAAGTGCATAACTACAGGCGAGGATGCTGAAGGAGCATGTACAACAAAGAATGATGGCACATGTACATCTTGTAAAGCCGGCTTCTTCCTGCACAGGGGAGGGTGCTACGAGATGGGAAGCGATATCGGGCTCCTTGTGTGCAACGATAGAACTGCCACGGCTGATAAGGATGGAATATGCATAGCTTGCCACGACGGGTACTTCAAGAATCCTGCATCTGACGCTGATAAAACGAAGGAGTCCTGTATTGCATGCAACAACACGGCCGGTGTGGATCATAATAAGGGGGTTCAGAACTGTGCGACGTGCGACGCCCCGAAAACTCCCGGACAAAGCAGTGCAGAACAGACGGCCACATGTAAAAGCTGTGTGGACGGATACTATGGCACTACAAGCTGTCAGCAGTGCCATGCAGATTGTAGAACGTGCACCGGCAACGGTGAGGATAAATGCACCTCCTGCAAGGATACTGGTAAGCAATACTTCAAAGAAGGGGCCAATAGCGACGGGACAGGCACGTGTGTTGACGAAAACGGATGTGGTAACACACACTTCCCAATAGCAGAGGACAAAAAGTGCCATCTCTGCGGTAGTGTCAGTGAGGGCGGTGTGGCCGACTGCAAGACGTGCTCAAAGACTGGAGATTCCGTTAAGTGTCTTACCTGCGAGGGTACTAAAAAACCCAATGAAGCCGGAACAGGCTGCTTTGTGTGTCCCATGGAGCATTGCGAAAAGTGCAGTAAGGACAACGTCTGCGAAGCTTGCGGATCAGAAAAGAAGCTGAGCCCCTTGGGAGACGCGTGCTTAGATGCCTGTCCCGCGGGAACTCGCACTGACGCTAACGTTTGTAATCTGTGCCACGAATCGTGCGCAAGCTGTAGTACTAACGCAGAAACGTCGTGCACGGCCTGCTATCCGGGATACGTGTTGAAGCGTGATGAGACGAATGCTAAGGGTACCTGTATAAAGGAGTGCACGGGAGACTTTATGGCCCACTGCAAGGCCGACGGCTGCTCACTGAACGTCGGAGGCTCGAAGTACTGCGATCAGTGCGAGGAGGGGTACGCCCCAGTCGACGGCGTCTGCACATCCATACCTGCAACAGCGAGAGATGCCTCCGGATGTAAGGCAAGTGGCGGGAAATGCACTGAGTGTGGGGCAAACTACGCTCTGTTATCGGGCGGATGCTACAACACACAGAAGCTTCCTGGTAGCTCTGTGTGTACGGCTGCACAGAATAAGGGACAATGCCAAACGTGTGCCAATGGACAAAGCCCAGCTGGAGGAAAATGTCCGGCGTGTACTGAAGGATGTGTGAAGTGTGCGGGTAGTAAGGAAACCTGCACAGATTGCTTAGCAGGGTATTACAAAGGTGCCGGTGATAAATGCTTCAAATGCACGGATAGTGATAAGGCTAGCTCTAATGCAATAACTGGTGTAGAAAACTGCATAAGCTGTGCCCCGCCAGCTGGTGGCAATGGCCCTGTCACCTGTTACGTAACGCAACAAAAGGCTGACGATGGCACCGGCGGAGATACTGGAGGAGACAGCACCAACAGGAGTGGCCTTTCCACGGGGGCCATCGCGGGGATCTCCGTCGCTGTGATTGTTGTTGTAGGAGGCCTCGTCGGATTCCTCTGCTGGTGGTTCATCTGCAGGGGCAAGGCGTAGATGTACTTAGGTAGTAAACGCGTCACCGTATGTAGCTCATGTAGATGTGTTGCTGGGGCCTGCCCGCAAGTGCATTCAAGGATCTCACGGGTAAGCTTTCATTTAAGTCCTGGTCATCCAAAGATGAGGGTTGGTTGCGAATAACATGACGAGAGAGTCCTCTTTAGTGACACATTCAGAATCTGGGCGCTCCTCGGCTGCTCCATGAGGATATGCTCTGTCTGGGTGTACACATCGATCTACCTTGAATTCAGGCCTTCTTGTAGACTCTCTGGTCTACCGGTGGCGCCTATCCTTGGTCTTCCTTCGTGGTGGGTGAAGTTCGAGTCGCCGTTTCTTTTTCAACAAAGTCCCCTGATTTACTCTCATCTGTTATCTGAGTGATTTCTCATGCGAGCCGCCACCACTCTTCGGTGCAGGCAGGATCAGTCCGCCTCTGCCAGCCAAGCACCCCAAGGATCCCGACTTGCCTGTCGAGGGATTCACATGGGTCACGTGTGGGTCCATCCCGGCCAGCTTGGCGAGTGATTGGTGCCATCACTGGCTTCGGCCTTCGGTTGTCTTGGGGGATCCTTGAGACCGGCCAGGAAGGAGGCCTCCTGCCCCTCAGTGCTCCTACACCCAGTGCTGACCGTCAAGCCATGTTGCTTCGCCAGGCCTGTCGCCTCTGTGACTGTCCCCATCGCGTCACTGTCGTCAATATAGACACTGAGTGGAGTATCTCCTTCAGTTCCTGGTGAGCAGGCTCTGTCCCCCGCAGCACAGAAGCATGCTCAGGGCCCTGAGGGACCGAGTCCAGGGGTGCAGCGTGGCGCAATTAGAGGAAGGCCTCGATGTAGTTCTCAGGATGAAGGGTACACTCGCCTGGCCGAGGCCGTCTGCTGTTGGGGCTCTCGTTATGTCGAGCGAGGCCGCTGTGTTCCGTCAATCTGCATCTCCATGTATGCCATGCGGACACCACCCATGTGCGTTCAGGTGGAGTGCATCTGCTCGGTCTCTAGAAAGGCCAGTGTCTGGGTCTCCAGGGGGCTCAGCAGTATCTGTGAAACACAGCCATGATCGTCCACTGATTGTGCTTGTCCTGTCTCATCATTGGGAAGAGGGTAGAACAAGAGTTCTTCCGCTCTCCAGACCTGGTTGACATCTGATCTTCGGGCTCTGGACGTGGATCTCAGGCGATGTATGGACAGGAGGTACCCGCTTGCCTAAGGCGGTGGCTCGCATGAGGGGATCATCCAAGCAGCAGGTGACAACCCTACCCCGGTGAACCGGAAAGTAAACCTAAAAATAGAGGGACTACTCAAGGAAAAGAAGGACCTCTTTGCCCAGGGCTGGTCGTCCCGTGAGGTGGAGATTCTCAACGAGCTGCAGTTGCTTAGTTGCAAGCCTGTGGTCTACCTTTTGAACATGAGTGAGGCAGATTATAGTAAGAAGAAGAATAAGTTCCTTACTAAGATACAGGAACGGATAACGGCCAAAAACGAGACTGCGCATATAGTGCCGTACAGCGCCAAGCTAGAGGCGACACTTTTGGAGCTAGGCTCTGCAGAGGCTAGAAATGCTTACCTCAGAGAGCTCCCCTCAAAATACAAGCTCCCTGACGGTTCCGTTGTGGAGTTGGCTCTCGATAAGATCATCAAGACGGGATATAAGGCATTGAACCTCTGTCATTTCTTCACATGTGGTGCAGACGAAGTTAGATGCTGGACGGTCAGAAAATACACCAAGGCACCGGACGCAGGCGCGGTTATCCACAGCGACTTCCGCGACTATTTTATATGTGCAGAGGTTTACACTTATAAGGATCTCAAGAGGTTAGGGTCCGAAGCAGAGGCCAAGGCAGCCGGGAAGGTCCGCACCGAAGGGAAGAACTACGTTGTTGAAGATGGGGACATAATCTTCTTCAAGAACAACTCACGTGGCGGTAAAAAGAAATGAGTTCCATAGATACCTCACAGGCCTGCCTATACAGATTGAATGGGTACTTATATGAGAGCTTCACTTCCTATAGAGGTTTATCATCTCAACTATCTCTGGTCGCGTCTCTGGTGGAATAGTAAACCCATTAAGGGATTCGTATTCGTGAGGAAGCAAGATGCGTACTGCCACTCGTTTATTCTGGTAGATAGCGTAGTGGAGTGCCGTGAGGTTGTGGTGATCTCTCATGTTGGCAAGATGTGGGGCTAGAACACCGATGTCATAGTACCTACTGGCGTGGACAGCAGAGATAAGATCGGTGGAAAATACCTTCGCGTCTTCAGGCAGTGAGCCTTCTTTATTCACATCTACAGTAGTGTGCTGCTTATCTTGTGTTGAAGTAGTGGGCTTGCTCACAGTGGAACCAGAGAGAGCCGGCTTAGGGCTACTACGACTGGGGCTGGGCCTGGATATGCGTGGCGCTAGCCACCCGTGACGAAGCAGGATCTGCTGAAGAGAGTTTCGTGAAATTCCTTCTGAGTCCTCTAAAAGATCTATCAGCTCCATATTGTCGAAGAGCTTGGCATAATCTATTGCACGCAGACCCCTATGGTCCACCAAGCCCGCTTCATAAGGAATGGGCGCCTTGCAGGCTTGATAAAGGTTCTGCTCTACGGCATAGATAAGGGCTGTTTTGCCCTGAAAGTCTTGGTTGCTAGTCTCACACTTGATAAGTTCCTGAATAATAGGCTGCTTGTTTGATAGTACTGCATGCATCAGCGCCGTCCGGCCTGCAACGTCCTTCAGACCAACCTCATACTTTAACAGCGTCTGGACGAGCTTTAAATTTCCCTTGTTCACGGCGAACATCAGGGCCGTCATTCCAGCAGGATCTTGGATCTTCGCCTCGTATTTCCTGAGTATTGCCGCAGCGGACTCATTGCCTATTTCTGCCGCGATCATGAGCGCAGTCTTCCCCTCCCTGTTCACGCTTCTGCACAGGATAGAAGAATAGTCGGGCATCTTCTTATAGTTGAAGGTCATGACTGCCCTCATCAAGAGAGTGTTGCCGTTCTCATCTACTTTGGGGCCACCCTTTACAACATCTGGAGTCGTTGTGATCAGTGTGGGAGAAGCGTGTTGGCGCCTTGAGTCATCCCGGTGTGCGAATCCGTCAAGCACACCCATGAGGTACGTTATGCAAAAGGTTGGGCCGGTAGCTGTTTCGAGAGAAAGTACTTCAGCTATATCGCCCGCAGGCAGCTTATGACAGCGACGGATGGCATCCTGCAGGAGCCCGTAGTCGTTCAGCTCAGTAGCAAACATTAATATCTTTCTAACTCCCCATCCTTCCCTTGAGCCAGATCTTTAGACGAATCCATATGCTCAAAGCACATATGTGCAATGGTGTCCTGCTTGCGCTTCAATAACATAAGGAGTGGAGAAAGACCGGAAGAGGTCTCAACAGAGCCCTCATACGGAAGCAAGACTCCTGCAGCATCAATCGAGGACGCGCGGATTGCGTACCTAAGAGCCTTGAACCCCTCAGAGCTGATTTCGCACGCTTCACTAACCAGTGCTTGGACATACGATGCGTGACCTGCATCCGCTGCATGCATCAGCGCAGTCATTCCTCGGGAGTCCACGGCTCGCCGCATGGTCGCTATATGCTGTTTTAGATAGGCGCAATCTCCGCGCTGTGCAGCAGAAAACCAGCGGCCAAAGGATTCTTCTGCCGCTTTGCCCTCGTCCTGGCTCATCAGGGTCGTTTCCTCGTTTTTTGTGATGGCTTTGTGGGTCTATAGAGACCACAGTGTACACTGTTCAACGCTGTTAGCATGTGTAAGACCGTTTTTTGGTTCTTCGTCATTCGTCCCACTCACACCGTAACACGCGTCGGTACTTTATCCCATCAGGACCCCTCTGCCTCGTACAAGGTGCAGAACGTGTGTGCCGAAGGGGCCAGCTTGCATGTGTAGATAGAGCGGGGGCCGTCTGCGCCGCTCTCCACGGGCATCCTGTGGAAGCGGCTTCTTTCGTGAGAATTCAGTGGACTGCGTTCTGCCGATGGCGCTTTCCACTAGTGTAGGGCTTGAAGTGCTCCCGCAACGTGCCTTCTTCAGGAGAAAGCGTAACAGGCGAAGAGCGACTACACTCTCTGCACAGCAGTCCACTGAGCTTGGGCAGGCTACGTCCAAGGAGACCTGAAGGTCCTGCAATGGGCATAGCTGCAACCCATGGGAGAGCCCCCCGCTGTTCGTACAGACACTTTCTTCAACCATAGAAGACTTACAGATGTAAGCACAAGGCATCTGAGATCATGGCTGCCACGAGGTCCAACGACAGCGGCAGATGAATTAGCACTGAGCACGAATCCTTGGTTACAGTCTCAGAGTAGTCTACATCACGCAGCCCATTCGGGTAGTCAAGCATGAGTGCTCACAGACAGAGCATAGCGCACTGCACTTTGCGGGTGAGATGAAAGCCCACCAGTGTTCCACGCTGTTAATGGCTCTAGCCTAGTACTTCACAAGATCCCAGCTAGCCGCAGCACGAAGGAGCAGAGGCCGGGCATGGACGCATAACACTACATACAGTTATATGCAACAGAAAGAATCAGCAAGGGCCAAAGTTATATAGGAATACATGTATGGACATCATTTGACTGAGCTGTAGATTACAGTGTGAATTACAGGTGTTTTAGCCCCTTTCTTCGGCAAGAAAAATAAGGAATGGCACGCAACGAACGCGGAGGGTCGCGAGTAGGCAGTTCTGGTCAAGGGGATGTCGATGCAGGACCTCAGTTCACAAGGGATTTGTCCTGGACGCCTCTCATGCACGCTGCTGCGGACGGAGACTTCGAGGCAGCCGAGAAGCATCTCTCAGACAAAGACAAGAAGAACAGCGAGGGGGATACAGCGCTGATCATAGCTGCGAGGGCAGGACACAAGAACATCGTTGAGCTCCTCGACCCCACCGACAAAAACGGATTTACTGCCCTCATGAGAGCTGTTGACAGAAATGATGTAGGTACTGTGAAGGCGCTTGCTCCCCTTCAGGAAGGACAGAAGGCGTCCGGAGGCTTCAAGATAGATGAGATGACCATGTACAAGGGGGGAACCGCGCTGATGATGGCTGCGGCACATGGATACGCAGAAATAGTAGAACTGCTAGCGGGTTACGAAGGAGGTGCGAAAGTAGGCGGTTGGACCGCTCTCGTATTCGCGGCACGGAGTGGCCGTTCCAATGACCCCCTGGTAGACTATCCTAGGTGCGTTGAGCTTCTGGTGGGGTATGAGAGCAGTGTCTCAGGGTGGACAGGACTCATATACGCCGCTTACCGTGGTGATATCGGTGCAGTCAGAAACAACCTTCACATGAGGAGGGGCCAGGATGCTGGTGGATGGACAGCGCTTATGTATGCGGCAGCGCAAGGGCACAGAGGGGTTGTAGAGCTGCTCAAAAAAGAGAGTGGCATGGAGAATAATACCGGTCAAACTGCTCTCATGTGGGCAGCACGTAATGGCCATCCAGAGTGTGTCAGGCTTCTGTTAGGAAGAGAAAGTGGCATGAAGAATGATAAAGGATGGACAGCTCTTATGAATGCGGTGTGGGGTGACCACATAGAGTGTGTTGAGTTACTCTTAGGGGAGAGGCAGCTGATGACAGTCTATGACTACTGTGGTTACCCGCCCCGTACTACTGCCCTTGACATCGCTAAGAAGAAGGGTCACAAAGAGATAGTAGATATCCTCTCGAAATGATCCTAGAGTGAATAGCGACCATTTCACTACGCTTTCGTGCTGTTTGTGGATGTGTGTCAGTTTTTGTGTACATTGCTTCCTTCTCGGTGTCTAATGTTACTTTATCGAAATTAATAGAATCAAGTTCTAATGTAATATCACAGCTGAACAGCAGTAGATATAATGTAACGGTTCCATCTTCCTGGAATGATCCCCTCATGCGAGCCACCGCCTTAGGCAAGCGGGTACCTCCTGTCCATACATCGCCTGAGATCCACGTCCAGAGCCCGAAGATCAGATGTCAACCAGGTCTGGAGAGCGGAAGAACTCTTGTTCTACCCTCTTCCCAATGATGAGACAGGACAAGCACAATCAGTGGACGATCATGGCTGTGTTTCACAGATACTGCTGAGCCCCCTGGAGACCCAGACACTGGCCTTTCTAGAGACCGAGCAGATGCACTCCACCTGAACGCACATGGGTGGTGTCCGCATGGCATACATGGAGATGCAGATTGACGGAACACAGCGGCCTCGCTCGACATAACGAGAGCCCCAACAGCAGACGGCCTCGGCCAGGCGAGTGTACCCTTCATCCTGAGAACTACATCGAGGCCTTCCTCTAATTGCGCCACGCTGCACCCCTGGACTCGGTCCCTCAGGGCCCTGAGCATGCTTCTGTGCTGCGGGGGACAGAACCTGCTCACCAGGAGCCGAAGGAGAGATACCCTACTCATTGCCTACACTGACGACGCACTCAGCTTCCATGCCAACGACAGCGACGCGACGGGGATAATCACAGAGGCGACAGCCCTGGCGAAACGATATGGTTTGACAGTCAACATTGACAAGTGCAAGAGCACCCAAAGAGGACAGGAGGTCTCCTTCCCGGGGGCCCCGGTCTCGAAGGAGAAGCAGTCCATAGCCCCCAGGGCGATAGAGAAGGCAGCAGAGAGCTTGAAGCTGGTGATGGACGCGCCGATCACCCACCACGCCAAGCTGACGCTGGCCAGGATCAACGCCATTCCGATGGCCGGCTACGCACCGCTCGTCGAGATGGACTCACCAGTTGAACAATATGAATCCTTCGACAGGCAGGTCGGAGAGGCCCTTGGAGGGATACTCGGCTCTGACCCGAAGAGGTGGATCGTTCCTGGCGGCACCGAAGAAGAGTGGCGGCCTGGGAGTCCACCTGCCGGGCGTCTATCACAAGCAACTGCGCGATGCATTTAACACCTTCGACGTGACGACGGAGCATCGCGAACCGGTTGCTGAGCGAGACGACCTAACGGTGAGCACAGGCTCGTACATCAATCATGTCTTCGGATCGTTCCTGATGCTTCCGGACGACGCCTTCCGCCGCCTCTCGAAAAGATGCGGGCTTGGACCGACTGTCTCGGCAGACCAAAGCATCACCTCCAAGTGTGCTGTGCGATGCAAGGAGATGCAGACCACATCGTCACTGAGCCAGACGCACTGCATAGGGTGAGCGTCGACATGATCTCGTGTTGGATGACTGATCACATAATGTCGAAGAAGAGGTGCACTGTGATCCACGAGCAGAAGGTATGGGTTGACCATGACAAGGAGAACCAGAGCCGGACCTCTTCTTTCCAGACACCAGCCAGGCCGTCGACATAGGAGTGGTCCAGCCGGCGTCCATGAGCTCGTACTACCACTCTAAGATAGAGGCATACGGGGAGCACCCTCCCGATCATACTCGGGACTGACGGCACCCTCCACGAGAAGACGAGGGAGCACCTCAGGGACCTAGGGATCGACACCTGAGGTTCGTGGCGTATGCGATCTTCGTGATAGAGTACCAGCACCAAGGCGACTCTGGAGTACATGGCCAGGGTCAGCTGCTTCTGAGGCCAGACTGCTGTGGCTGACGGAAAAGCCCGAGACAACGGGTGCTCACTAGATATCAGACGACAGCTGACCCGAAAGGCCAGAAGATGGGAGAGCCTCGGAAGGCACCGCGAAGAGCGACAGAGACTCCCGAGAGGGAAAGTGGAAAACTTCTTCTTCTCCCACCGGAATCGCTTGACATCTGAGCTCATATTCTCAGATTTTGGTTTCTAGACTCTGGACTCTGGATCTCAGCTGGTGCAAGGGCGGGAGGGACCCGCCTACCCAGAGTGGCGGTGGCTCGCATGGAGGGGATTGCTCAGGTGGCAGATGGCAACCCCACCTCGGTGAAACGGAGAGAGTAAACGTACAGATCCAAGCACCTGGCTCAGCGAATGATGCTGTCTCATCTGAAACGGCATAGAACCCTCTAGTAAATAGTCTGAGTCATGAAGGGTATTAGTGTCGTTCTTCCACGCACCACGTTCATGATGAGGTGAAAACGTACATTCGAGGTTAAGTAATTATCTACTCTGGACATTCAGATATTAATCACGTACATACGTACACTTTATCTGTGCAAATACGCATTGATAAGTAAGGAGATAGAATAGATCTATTTTTAAAATGGAAATAACCTTCTCAGAGGACCCGCGCAGCCTTTCTCACCAGGAGGCTATAGATGAGATAACTTTATTTGAAAGCCAGCTAGAGAAAACGGCATTTACAGAACCTCGTGCCCTTTTGCTCAGAGAATTCAGTGACCATTTAGCTAGCGAGCTTAAGTCCACCTAATACCTTCACCAAACACAAGGTCGGCCACGATTGCTATGATGGAGTTGCATACGCTTGTGCAGCATCCAGTAGGACCCAGAATGCGAAGGAGGGCAGGTCAGTGAGTTCTAGATTTAATTGGTTCCCATTGAGGATTATTTCCTCGGGGCGCCTCCCTATCTCTCTTAAGAGTTTACCAAACACTAACGCTCGGGCTTGTGCGTTAGGGAGCTGGTCAACGTATTCGCGTAGTTTGTTAAGCTCATCATGGGACGGAACCTGGGACATTGTATCGGCATCCAAGTCATGAATGGTCTTGGGAAGCGCTGGGGTAAACTTATAAGCTGTTTTGAGAATCATCTTAATCCGCTTCACGGGAATCCCCAAATCTTTGAAGCTACGGGATTGGTGCATGAGGCTACTATAAGTGTCTGTTAGGAGCCACAAAATATGGCCTTCGTATTGCTCGAGAGACGGTTGAATCTCTGTAATGACCTCATGAAAGGAGTCTGCTACAGCAAAAAGGCCACTAAAGACCTCTCCGATGGTCATAAAGGCATGGTCAGCAAACAGGGGAATCCTCCGAAGAATGTCGTAGAGACCTATAGGTGCAGCAATACCATAGTCTGACTGTAGTGAGCAACGGAAGTGGACGAGCTCGGGCATGGTGAGCATCTCTGTGACCTTGGTTATGAGCTGCGATCGAATCTCGTCTGTCAAAGAGTGATTTAGAAACAGCTCCAGTTCGCGTATCGCCATGGACGTACACAAGTCGAGCTACCTGAAGCGGAGATTTTTTTAAGACCTTTGCATCGCGTCCTGGACTAGTCAGCTCGTGTCCTGTCCCTATCCTGTTTGAGCATATATTTCAGTCACTCAGGGCGTAAAGTTTTCCTAATGAGTGTCAGCTTTCGAATTCCCATAGTCTTTTGCAAGTTATTGCATATAGGCCAGCGGGAGCCTTCGACCCTTCATCGCGCGTCTCCAACACAAACCTCCCCTGCATCTCCATCTCTTTCATTAAAGAATATTACTCGGTCTTATGCAGAGCTCCAGGAGAGCGCACCTACCCTCAGTCTTACTACTATTACAATTCGTGTTGTTCAATCTTCAATTGACAATCCAGCTCTTCGTGGCCATCCTGCATTTTATGAATATAATCAATTCACCCTTGTTCCCATCCGCCTCCTAGCAATAGATGTTGCAAGGAACTATGCTTTGGTAGCCTTGTCCACTGGCAGAGATTCTACAGATTGGGATGCGTGCACCAGGTCATTCCATGAGGTTAATCTGCAACTTATACATTTAGACTGCTACGGTAGCCTCCAGGATGATAAGGACGCACGCTTCTCTTACAATCTCTATAATAATGGGATATACTCCTCATACGAACAATCTGCTCGCTACCTGATTGATAACTTTCTTGTTATTACCACTGCAGATACCTTACTAACTCTTAGAAACCGTTCCTCCTCTGATCGCTTTGTCAACGAGGACAAGCGGGTCACATATCTGGAGCATACGTTACATACACACATACGGCGCTTGGTTATTAATTCGGTATGCCTCCTCTTCAACCTTCACTTATTTTCTAATGACTACGTCAAATCGCAACTTCAGGTGCAGAGTCAGCACTTTAGCTTGGATCTTTCGCCATCATTAGCTGACTTCGAACGAGCTAAAAAAGATGTTGAACGATCGACCTCCCTACTGATTAACCCAAAAACAATTTGGCTCTTTCTTAGAGACAATAGGGCAGTCCTTCGTTCACTTCTCTCTACCCCTCTATCGTCCCAACTCACTACTGAGCAGAAGTCCCTTCTTCTTACTGGTGATCTTTATAGCACAGAGGCACATGGCCTACTTCTTTTATTGTGTCCTGTGTTACCAGCTGCGCTAGAGGGCATTATCTCTGACTACTCTGTTTTCTATTCTCAAGCAGTGAGCTATACGCTGATGCGTCTCTGCACAATTGACGATGTCAATGAAGAAACGCGTGTGCTTGCACCTCGCAAATCCTGTGATCTTCAAAAGATTGCGTTGATTTTGAAGGGATTAAGCGATTTGTTACCAGACGGTGAAGACCAGAACAATGGTACCAATACTACCAGCTCTTATTTTGCAAATAGCACACCACCAAACCTCCCATGTGCAGACTCAACTTCTATTAGTGTAGAGTTGCATGCGCTCTACAATGATTGTTTACGGTATGGTATTATTCTGTACTCTCGTGAGACCAGGCGGATCTTCCACTCGATGGTTAGTCGACGGGCACGTGGATCTACCACCTTTTCGTTCTATTCCAAATCAGCAATTTCTCTCAGCAAAAGGCCATTCATAGCTCAGCACACTGTTCTATTGGATCTTCCCAGGTATTCGTCAAAGTTTATAAAGCTGTCAAACACGTTTCTTCAACTTCTATCAAGGTTTTGTGCACCAATCAATCTCTCTATTGCAGGGCTATTAGATGCGTTTTCCTCGTCACGGATTCTTTTACGACAATACAATGAGTTGTTCGCAGAACTGGAGCTAAGGTATAGAGAGCTTGGGTATAACTTCGTCTCTGTAAAGCGACAGATCTATGAGGTGATCAAGCGTGAATCATCGGAGACCCAATCCTTGCTAAAGGAGTTCTCCGCTTTTCCTCGCACAGTTGACTTCTTGTTAGATCCCTTAATTCTTCCCATGTTGAGACGCCGTACGCTAAAATCTCCCCATATATATGTCGAAAAGTACATTTCTCAGCGAATACATCTTGAGCCACCTCATGTTTATCACAATCTGGATGTGATATCTGATGATGACGACGACGAGAGTAAGCCTGCCCTACAATTGAAAGATGAGCATGCCAATGTGGCTATTGTTAAGGAGGCCCAAAAGAGTATTGTGAAGAGCATTCTTGAGCAGTCTACTGGTTCGGCGCACGCTGATTTCTACTATGATCTTCCTCTCGATAGTGATCAGTACTCTGACACATTAAGGTACGCATTTTTGTACAGCAAGCTCTTTGCACTCTTCATCACCGATGTTGTCCCGCTTATTTCTGCGCTATTCTTTAGGGACTTCAACTTAAACAAGATACAAGAGAGTAATAGACGCTTGGAAGAAAACCCAGTTCTTGCCTACGAGATATTTAACTATCAGGTCGTTCTCTTTCTACAGCGTACATTCTCTGAAGACCTAGATATGATTCAGGAGAACCTCTTGGAGTTGTGCCGTGCAGAGTATGCCTATGCAACCGAAGAATCTATGAATCAATTGCGATCCACCAGCTCCATAGAAGCAGCAATAACGACTCAGAATGTTTCTACTATTAAACTGCCTCATAAGCCACTTGTTAAGCTGGACTTCGTATGTTTTCGAAAGCCAGATGTGTTCAAGCCCTACCAGCGCAGAGAAGATCTTAATGGGCTGGCTAATCTGGTAGTTGGATTCACAGTGGATTGCGTTGCCCAAGTTACTATGATCCGGACTGTCGTCACCAATTTAGTGCACTCCTTACATCGACTTAATACTGATCTCGAGTACCACCTCACTACCAATTTGATTTTCTTATCTAAAAGCATCGTGAAAGGCTACTCTGAGCTACCGCCACTTAAGCGATACTGCAAACAACTGGTTCATAAGGAGCTTGAGCTCATACAACAAGATCTAACCTCCTTCAATATTATTAAGCCCAAGACATTTCAGGATCGTCTTCAGCGAGAGGTGTACCTGGAAGATATCATAGCATCACGTTATTCGGACTTTGAGCTAGCCTATTTTGAGGAACGGAAGAGGCTTCGACTCAGCTATGCGCAGCTCCTCGAAGAAAACTTCAACAATATCACGTCATTGAAGGAAATACTATACCGATGCCCGCCCAGTTCAATGGGATCTAAGTCAAATTTGTTAATAATATCTTACAATCGCCAGTTTTTTCGGCAGTTTGACCAGTTGCTTTCTAATATTTATTCAGCTGCCTTTCTATGTTCAGAGAACATCACAAGAGAGCTAGAACGGAACAAACTGCACACTATTGCATTGCATAATGTCCTGCGACATCGATATCTAACTGCAAGCGAAGATGCCGAACAGCTCAAGAGGTTACTGGATGATGCAAGCACCCAGGAGACAGATAACTCGTTACCGGAGTCTATATTTACTCCACCCCTCTTCCTTTATCAGAGTCCTGCCAAGTTAGTCGTTGAAGAGCAGGCAGATATGACTAACATATTACATGATGAAATACTTACCTTTAATAACCCCCTCTTCAGTGTACAACTCACTACAGGCGAGTATCTAAATTCATATGGTCTTTGTGACCCTACTAAGGAGTCTTCCTCAAGTGCTGCCACTCCAATTCCTGGTACTGTTGAAGAACAGGATAGCGAACAGGAACAGCACTCAGACAGGTCAGAGACGGCGTCCTTAGCTACCACCACCCAACAACAGAGTTCCAGCAAAGAGCCGCACATATCTGACTGTCCTTTCCCACGGCTGGGGAAGCCTTCATCAGAGAAGAATTCTATAAGAAAGCGGCACCGTGAGGCTTCCCTTCTTTACGTGATTGTTGATAACGCTACTATAGTAATTAATAGAATACTAAATTACATTAGAAAAGAAATCTTGCCAATCAATCCGCGATTCTATATCAATTTTATTATGTATGACACCACCCTAATGAAGAAGCAACTGATAAATAAGCTCATCGCTGTAATCGAGCACGTTCGTGAACATGTTCGCCAGACAATCAGTGAGGTTTTACAGACACCCTTTGCTACCATTTCCTTCTTTGAGAACAGGATCTGCCTCGACATGGACACTCCGGATAACTTGGATATGGTCATCACTGGCCTAGATGATGCCCAGAAGTTCATATGTGGCTGGATCCCGGCGATCAAGATGCTCATAGATCTTCTACCTCTCTTGTCCTACATTGAGAGTACTGCGTCTATTACAGACGTCCAAAGCCTCTTTGAGTATCTGGGTGTTAGTGCCAAATTAAAGGCAGGTGTCCAGACTGAATCACAGGGGACGATTCATCAAAGCGACGACTCAGATTCTGAAGGGTCCGCTGATAAAAAGGAAGACATCACCGTACATACAGACGGAGCTAGAGAAGATAGTCCAGCGGAAGTCGAGCGTACCAATCAGCACGCTGCTGCTGACATGGACTCGCTTCATGACCTAAGTGTGCACCGGTATCTTCTCCAGAAAGATCTACTATTTATTCCAGAGGACCGTATTACGTTTGAGCAGATGCTTGATCATGCCTTCGACATCCAGCTCTGGACTAGGATCTCTAAGGATCGTAGTAAGTATGAGCGAAGGAAGACACGCTACCTGAAGCGTGTTGCAAGCAACAAGATTGATCCTGCCAAGCTCCCCTTCGAAAAGGCAGTTAAGTGTCAAGCAACTCTGCCCAAGGTCTCCATTCTTGTTTCAATGAGGCTTTCTCAACTGCAACTTCGGGGATATGCGCATAATTATCTTATTCTTTCGTTCATAGAAAAAATCCTCAACTTCAGGCGACTTATTAACACCTGCAAAAGAAACATCGATCGGAGACTCCAGTCGTTTTCTAATTTCATTTATCTCAGTGTAGAATATCTTCTCTACTTGCGCCAACTGTGCATAGGCCTTGCGAACGAAGTAACACGGCTCACAACGTCTGATCTGATATCTTCTGTGGCTCGACCGCATGAGTTCAAGGAAAAATATCCACGCCTGACGAGCAATATTGTGTTGAATAGACTCGAACAGTACTTTAAATCTCAAAACGGGGAGGACGCCTATGCATTCATAAAGTTTGTACAAAGCCACACCAATTTGGCGATAACGCGACACAGTTCATTTCAGAGGCATATGATCACTCTTTATACTCGGCCGACAGACGACTATCTATGCAGCAACCCACTAATTACCGATTTGGAGTCGCTCTTTCGATTCCTGGTAAAGTGCATATATGAATTAGACGAGGACTCGAGATCGGGAACGATAAAGATGAGTCATGCCTCGGGTAACACACTTATAATGAAGCAGTCTGCAGACCAAAAGCAGACAGGTAATACGTCGCCGTACTATGACCTCTATGCGATCTTCACGGAGGTACATGTTCTCGTTAAGGAGACTGTTAAGATATTTGGTGCAATAACCCAATGGAGCGAGATTCTCGGGATCACCTTGGCTATCGAGGAGCCAAGCTTTCGAGACATTCTTTCAGTGGTTGAAAGCCCTTGTCAACTTCTCGTTTCAATTGTGGATATGTTTGCCTCCTACACACGAATAATGCATCAGCCAGTGACGGCTTTTAATCCGTCACTTTTCCTAACATATATAGACACAATCTTTTTGTGCAGCCGAAAGATGCATGTGGCCGAGCGTAGCAACATTTCAATGTTGGCCCATGCAGCACCTAGCCTTAATGACAGACATGATCAATACAACTCGGAATATTCGTATCATCAGAGCACAGCCCACAGACTCATAGAACCTAGCACCGCAGAGTTTTTAATCAATGAAGACTATGATCCTAGACACCAAGTAATCCTTGAAACATCCATTTTTACCACTGATGGTATCGATGCCGATGCCCCTAAGGGCTTGACGACCAACATTGATACACCCCGTCACGAAGAGTTACTTTCCAAAGGTATGGATGACCTCACCGTATTAATTTCTGAGAAGAACACACAGAGCAATACCTTCGTAACAAGAGGGATGAAGTTTATTCTTAGCTTGCTTGATGGGGAAAAAATTTCGGCAGGATATACACTGAAGCAGCAGAGCACGCTCCAAATCTCGCAGCGTTCTAAGGAGAAACCGAAAACCTCATCGCTTCCATCTATACTTACAGCACGAGCTGCCAAACAGGAGCTTTCCGTTGTACAGGAAGAAAACCTTGAAGGAGCGGGCTCCATGATCGATTCATCAGTTGCTCCAACAGCTGCTAAGGTTAGGGATTCTATTTACAAAGAATCTACTTCACCACCGTCTCCGTCCCAGTCGTCTCAGATTATCACGTTTGATGATAGACTGCTTAAGCATGCCCAAAACTTGCACGAAGACCACGATCAAGCAGCCTGTGACACCACCTCTGAGATATCTACCGCACAACTTGGACTGCCGTTGCCCGCTGGAGAAGTTTCAGCAAATAGCTTTTCAATTGATACTGCACGCTCTGTACGCTCCGCTAAATGCCAATTCAATCAACACGTCTCAGTTGGAGATACGCCACCGAACGTTTCAAGCATTCATGGAGCTCCAGCGAAGACTGTGATCACTAGCGTTGTCTCTGCAATAGCAGCTGGCTCGAGATTGGCTATATCCAACGCCAGTCGTGCCAGCCAGTTTATTCTAGATAACTCTATCCGCGATGCGCCAGTGCTTACCTTGCTTTCCAACACTGGCCTACAGTCACTGCGGGATGTTGCTATGCACATGAACGTAATCAAGCTTCCCGTCAAAATAAAGTACTTCCAAACGCTATATGTTAAGCAAAAGGACGTGCGAACAGTGATCAAACTGAAGGATAACTCGCCCGATATCATCTCTGCAAAAATATTAGAAACGATTAATAGTTTTAAAAATACCGCACTCTTTGAGTGTTGTCGCTTAGAATGTAACTATAGGACATGGATACCCACACTGCGCCTATTAGTCGTCTCACTTCTTCTGTACGGTATCCAGCATTTTTCATTTCTCTCCACCATTCGGCTTCTTTTCAATTCTAACCACTTTGCTTCCTACTTTCTGAATCAATGCTTAGAGCATGCATGTACATTTGATGAACCAACTACCTTGAGCCAAGACTGGAAAGGCTTTTCTGATCACTCCTCCATAAGCATCCGGGATAGTCTGGAGCTCATTTCTCCATTTAATCATCAGCTGGCAAGCCAGATTAATAAGCAATATCTCCTAAATTATTCTGCAGAAAATAGATTGCTAGAAATATACTACTGGCTGCATAATATAGATATTTTTATAACATATTACACGATCAATCTGCATCTAAATGACGAGATTGCACGTGTGCTTGGAGATCTTGACTTCACTTTTGGTGAGCACAATGCCGATGCAGCAGAGGCTATTAAAACAGAAATCTCTGACTCTAATTCTCTTGTCCCCGTAGTTCAGAAAAGTGGCATTCTTTTACCTAGAAGGACTGTTGGTGTCACAGAAGTGATTGAAGACGCCACTGCACCAGGAAGTGAGACCAAGAGCGATTTGGCGGAGGCATTCAAAGACCAGCACCGGCATTGCACCGATTCTTCAGATGAGGACGCCTTTGATCTGTTTGAGACACCGTTCGGAAGGATAGCTGGGTGCACCAACAGAAAGACAACGCTTCCGTTGCTAAAACCTCGCATCAAGGCTCTCACCATTATTGCACCTCAACCATCGATTGCATCCAGAGATGATGATGCTTCATTGTCGCATCAACCGGGCAACTCAACACTTAGCTCACAAACTCCCATTAAGGAAACGAACGATACTACTAAGCAGGCACGCGCTAAATCAATATTAATCTCCAGGGATCAAAGGCACGTCCAATCCAAGGTCTTGCTGGGCAACCAACGAACCAGGGCACCCCTTATCAGGAAGAGGCGTAGCTATGATGGACCCGCACGCATTACACTACCATTCTTTAACACACACCCCTATCTATTGAAGGCTCTGCGAGAAGGTATCTTCATTGTGACAGCTATTTTGGCTGACAAAGGAGTTATACCTAAGGTTGCAAAGATGGCTCGCATAATAGAGGACAAACTGATCTTCTGCAGAAATTTCGTCATAGCTATTGGCAATGTTAGAAAGCTTCTCCCAGAGCTTATTGCCCTGACAAACGCAATCTATGATGGGATAGCCGACCTCACGCTACTCAAGCTTTCTCCAAATGATGTTAAGAAAGTGACGATTGAGATATTAAGCTGTTTGAAGCATATCTGTATTTTTGCAAAATCAAAGCATGAAGTTGTGTGGAAGCTCAATAGTATGGGACAGCAAAACGTTCATGAACACGAATCTGTTTACACCCTTCCGTTCATCTCATTTCTGGACAACCTTAATCTTCTGGACAGAAGACGCTGCGGGACTCGGCTTTCTGTTCCGAAATTCTATACAGATGAGAGTCCCAATCCAAACTGTTTCCAATTTATGAATCTTTTTGCTCGCGATATTCTTGCAAAGGTCCAGTCATTTATGACAAATGTGCTGGCCGCAGAGGAACTACTCTCACGCTGCAGACGCAACCTCTCTTCACATCCAGTGGTGACAACTATTTATGCCAATCAGCAGTACAGAATCTGTGCACCCTACGCACGTCTTCCGCTTTCGTTTGCGGTCCTCTATTCTCAACTAACTACAGTTCCACTCACTGGCGTCCTGACTGATGCCTTATTCAACTCTGTTTTTTCTCCATTGATTGTGGACACGGACGAATCCAGCGTGGAAGATGGCTTTGAAGACGAGCCTCCTCGCGACATGACTGACGTAAAACACGGCCCACAGCTGTCATATAGTCTTCTCTCTAATCTCATAGATTCCACTGGTAACTTCTTCGGTATATTCAAGGGCCATGAAAACATCTTTTACCAAACAATTATCAAGGCGAATGCACGCGTCAAGGATTGCTACCTCTTCACAGAGGGCTCCCTTCACTCTCAGCATATAGTTCATAACTATCGCAAGGCAGCACTACTTTTCCTCAACGAGCGCTACCGCGAGGCTCTTCTGTTTTGCACATATCAAGCCATTGTCTATGCGCTCTCCTGTATCGTCTACTTATATTGTGATGGCCGCTCCGAATCGTTCATCTATTGCTACGAGAATGTAATATGCTCAATGATACGGATTCTTGAGGAAGAGACATATGACTTAATTAGGGGCACAGGGAAGTTGAGGGCACAGGGGTCGTTTCAGGTGGGGTCTACGTTTTCGGCAACAAGCTCCAGGATTCTTATGCTGAAGGCTCTCTATGCACGGCTTCTCGAGCACAAAGAAACACTGGATATCATGGCCCTTACTGTTGTCCAGCACGTCATTGCGCGCAATATCTTGCCACCAGAAAGGATTCCATCCCTAACAGATCAATTCGATGCTCGACTCTGTTGGGATATCCTTTTGCTTTATGGGCGGAATCGCGGCCTTGTGCTCAGTGGTTTGGAACATGGAGTCAGTCTTTCCATTGCAACCAATCGGCAAACATCTGCTCTAGTCTATAGCCTTGCTTCCGATACCTTGCTTGGAAATGGAGCTAATCGCCGCGTAGATTTACCTATGCTGGATCTCACATACACAGCAGAGGAGAAGACCCTGATCAAAAACGCAAAGGCGCGGCTACAAGCACGCACTGAGTCCGTCAGCCTGCTAACATCCAACAGCGATGCACCTGAGGGAACGGAGCCTCGAGACACAAAGGGGAATGATAATGTGGCTTTCGATGACTTCGCTGCACTTACTATGGAGCTTTTTAGGACCCCTGAGTCCTTGTCTAAACTCAATCAAGCCACCGTTTCCACTGCAAATTTAGATGATAAAATGGCATACGCTACACCCGTCTCCTCCATAGCTTTGAATTGCGACACAAACATAACCGACTTCAGAATGCCGACAGCGCCACTCAGCGAGACCTTAGTTAACATTGTGTTGTCGGGGCAGCTTATTAGTATATCTTCGTCATACTTTAATCCTGCCAATGAATACGACTCCATGTACATATCGCACACCATGAGGCTGAAAGCAGCACGATTAATATCTGCTCTGCGTAGCAAATCTGTCGCACTTCTTCTCACCGACTGGGCTAGGGGATACTTTGCCCTAGAGGTTTATTACTTAGCGCATCTAGTAGCTAGATATCTATCTTCTCACGTTCTTTTTATTCCAATAACAGATGCTAGCTTTTTACCACAGTATAACCGTCTTCGCGAGCTACTCATCTCGAGATACCTAGTGATTTTGTACGGAGTTGATACCTTGACAAAGGAGCATCTGGAAATGCTCTCAACCACATTTGCAACAACAACTCTATCGTACGGGTTTGAGGATTTTTCTAGTTATTCGATCTCTTCCGAAACAAGGCTGGAATTTAATCCCTACAGCCGCAGCAGTAGATCATATTCGTCTCAGGGCTGGATTCCCATCGATAGTGACATAGACCATTCGTTTTGCAGACTGATTATTTGGCTAGCTGGGGCAATGCCCCAGGAGTGCAGCGTGACCACGACTATGACATCCAGCCCTAGTTCTCACAGCCAGAGATCGTCTTCAGGCCCACATATCGTTGATGAGCACTATATCTATCAAGTACATCCCCATGCAGAGCGAGTAACTCAAAAGTTTCGAAAGGCATACATGATGTATCTTCCCTTTATTCCTTATATTTCTACCTTGCAATCTACACATGAATTCAGAACAACTCAGTTAGTCTGTGCATCGGCATCTCTTGTTGATCAAACAACCTTCACCAAGAACTTTTCTGCCTACAAGAGTATTGTTTTAGAAGTATACATGGAACACGTAGAGTCGCTAAAGCACCAAATAGTCGTTAGAGCCGACAAAAACTTGGGAGATAGTTGCTGCACAATTTCTCCATTTCAACGACTCTTCAGATCGCTGCCAGGACTCTATCAGGACTCGTTTTATCATCTTCATGTGTTTCTTAGCAACTTGTCTAACGATTTTCCAAAGCTATTGGGGCTCGATTTTATGCTTATTCAGCATAGACTGGCACCGGATGCAAACAGGACTGCAGCGTGCACCCAAACGTTTGTGTACCTGGTCTCATGCATGTACTTAGCCACCGAGGAGTCGTTTTGCTTAGTCGATGACATAAACTCAGATCTCCTCCAGAGTGATGGCGCAACTCATGAAGAAGTCAAATCAGAGGCTCCGCATGCAGCTATTAATCTGCAACACAAACTCAGCATACTCATCTCGTGCCTTATTTCTGTGTTTGGCCTGTCACCAGCTAATGCAACCACGTTTGAACATTCGGGCTCTCGTGTCACATCGGATTCCATGGCTTATATGATAAGGCGTTCTTCTTCCCCCAAGTACCTAGAGTCTCTACACGGCCTTCAGCGATCAGCAGGCATCCTCTCTGAGTTTGGGGCGTATATGGCTACAGTGATGATGGACCTTTTGGCAGCCAAGGAACCGTTTGCTATTCTAACCACGAGCATGGCACAGCAATTCTTTGAGTATGTCCATGCAATCCTCTCCAGGGCCTCGGCGTTGACATTTCTGCTTGCCTATTCATCTGCAGATATACACTTCTATGCTGACCTATTATCTGCCTTTCCAAATCGCTATGCACTGGCTATTGTCTTGGATCAGCACTCTGATCTCCTACTTTACCAAAACATTCTTGGCATGTTGGCTGCAAGGCAGACCATTTACTCCGAGAATAACAAAACTTATACATTCAAGGCTCCCGTTCATGTTATCATTGTAGCTCGAGCTCGTGATGCAAGAATCCTCCAGCTTAGCATCAGAAAGTTTTCGCTTAGCAGAAACTTGCACCTCTCCGACATAGGCTTTTATTTTATGAGTTTTGGCAATCTTTCACAATTGAATATAAGTCACTTGATTTCAATCCAAGCACCTACCCTGGCAAGCATCTCATCGTATGATAAACTAATGCAGTATATCTACGCCAATTTTGACGCTGATTATCACATCTACACCAGCTCTTTCTTGACACGGACGAAGCTCGGCCTCTACATAAGCTACTTCAATTTCCTCGTGTTCAACTTTGTTATGTTCATCTCCACTGAGATTGGTGCACATCTTACTCTTACGCTACGCCACTGGCGCATTATCAAGGCGCTAATACACCTTTTCTTCCGGTACTATGGCATTCTAGACGTGCAGACTGGGAATGACTCTCATCGCCCTACCCTGTCAACTGAGGAGGAGCTTTCTACAGACACCATGAATCTGTATCATGAGCTATCTATTCGATCTTACACCGACGCAAAGAACCCAATAAGCTTCAAGCAACAGAAGGATTTGAGAGAAGCTTCTACCAAGCCCTTAGAGTTCAACATTAACGATGCCTTAGGGTCCCACTTTTCTTACTTCAGCGAACCCATTTCTCTTGCCCATTCTTTCGCAGACCTCCGCGGTGAATCCTTGCAGTCCAACCCCGGTGCCCACAATCTAAACCACAGATCGGTGTCATTTGAAACTGCATACAGCACAATGCTAAACCAAACATCGGCCCAATTCACACAGTCGTTCATTTCACGCCTGCTCCTGACATCAAACAGCCGCCATATTGCAGACATCCTGCACTATAGTGTTATTAGCACTGTTTTTAGTGCATTTATGTTATTATACCGCATGGAATACATCAACGGAGGGCTGCTCTTCAATAGCTTGTCCTACTACCGACTATACGCGTCTCTTCTGAGCTATATACCTACATTTTCTCTAACTTTGGAGTCCGAATTTTTCGAGCAGCATGTTTTTTATAGAAAGGACGGTTTTCGCTTGAGCAAGTGGATGCATTTGTTCTGCGACAATGCAATCATGTCCCTCCAGGACCTTTATGTGAGCCAAACATATTTCTTTACGAATGCTGAAACCTATCCTACCTTCTCAGCACTGTTTGCGAAGAGGCATGCTGAATCGTTGAACCCTAAGGTAGCACATTCCACTGGGTCCTCCACTGGTTCGTCAACTCTCAGTAGAGGACCAAACTATTGTGAGACATACGCTAATGTGTCAGACATGGGGGCTGCGGCACGTGGAGAGGCTTCTGTTGAGGCCTTTTCCGTTCCAGATGACCAGTTTGCTGCTAAGCCAGAAAAAACAGTATCTGATTCTAATTTCAAGTCGATGTGGGGTGGCAGTACATATAGCTTTATAGCGATTACGTCATACTTGTCGGACAGGCTTTTGTTGACGATTGCAAAGAAGCTCGGGCTCACAGCCGAGATTATCTATGAATTGGAGCAAGTGTCTCTGCCACAATATAGAAAGAAGTGCATGGAAAGTTTGAGCAAAAGAGCCGACCAATTAAGAATCAGCAGATTGAAAGAAACACAATCGACAATTCCCACGGGAATGTCAGCGTCATCAGTCAACAAGATCAAGAACAATTCTCAAGCACAACGCCTAGACATCTCTCGGCCTGTTAACAACACTTCTTTGTTGCCAGAAAAAGCAGAACTGAACGCAGACTGCACTGACTTTTCTGCAGTGCTTCGGAAGGTTGCTTCGTCTACATCCACGGGGCAATCTCTTCAGCGTGTTTCAACAAGGGTTCTTACATCTTTAGAGTGTCAAAGTTTACCTACCAAAGGTTCTCGTATTTCATCTGCTCCTCACCAACTAGAAGGGGATAACCTTGCTTCTGCTGGGACGCCAAAGACGACATCACGGGCGCGCTTGGGAAGGCTGAAGCATCTTCAGTTAGACTCAGTGCCCGAAAAAACTGGCTCACAAGATGATAAGTACGTGGTTTCATTCATTAGAAGGTACATGCCTATATTAGAAGTTCCCTATAGAGTAGGGGAAGAGATCTTTGTTAGCACCAGCCTCCTAACTATGCAGAATAGCTACGCAGATACGTCGAACTCTCTCCAGCTAGTGATCACCAATGACATGTCTGCGTACGCAGTCTATTACGCAGGATGTATGTTATCTGGAGAGTCCTTTGTTATTCTGGGGGACTCCTTTAGCGGAAAAACCACTATTTTGCAGATTGCCGCTTCGCTGATAGGCTCCGACAGGGTGTCCCTCCAAACGTTCTACGTGGGCAATAGTACTATCAAGACCATTGCTGATTTGCAAGTACAAATACTCAGAAAAAGCTATCTCCTTCGACCAGAAATTTCTCGAGCAGGAAATCTATACACAGCACAATCTGTTAATGGCAAATTTAATATCTTACATATCTCAGGCCTTACTCACGCAAATCTATTGGAGTTCCTAAGCCTTCCGCTCCTCGAGCATGTCATTTACGTCGATATTTCACAGCGTGATGTTTCAAAGGCCATTGGGGGCTTTTGCGGCCGCATATTCCTCCGTGATTCTGTGGTGATCTATGAAGTATCTAGCTCATGCACAGAAAGGACGGCAAGACGCTTGATGGACATGTCTGTATATGTGTCAACGTTCTCTGCGACTAGTAAGCCCACATTCTTCCACAGCCTGGTCTATCGCAACTTTGTGTACGACCACCTAATACAAGATGCCTACTGCTCGATGGAAAAGAGCGTCGCCAACTACCATGCGATCCACTATGATGTAGACGACCCCCTTACTGCACTCTTGCCAGTCTCCCCCCGCTTTCATTATCCGAAGGTCTTCCAGCCCATAACAGCAAGAGTGTTTGCAGCCAGAGGCATCAAGCGCTTTCCAAAGCTATCTGCCGAGTCCATAGCAGGAAACATAGATGCCCTTCAGAGCGACCACAGACCCCAGTTGACTAAGTATGCGCCCATGTCTATCGTAATACGTACCCTCGTCAAGTCCTTTGCCGAAGGGTTACTACTAATAAGGCCTCTCCTCCCTATATCTCTTCTCGAGCTCTTGTGCAGCATGAAGCAGAATGTGTACTTTGATGATACCGACGTAAGAAACGTTTTCGGCTATCCTCCATCCAGTTTTCTAGAGAATCTACATATGCTAGTTCCCTCTGCAAATAGTCTTTTCTCGGCGCTTCTTCGACATGGTTCTGTCCCTATATCCGTGTCTACACGGGTCTATTCCGAGTTAGTGTCTGCATTCTCCGTTGGCACTCTCTCTTCGACATCTGTTTTTAGCGTCCTTACTCCGGAGTATGCAGAAGCATTTAAGCGCATGTATCCCTTTCTTATCCCTTTCAGTTACTCCGACAATGGTAGAGCAGATACCATAAGTATAATGCTACACTTTTCGTGGGAGACTTGTCTCAAAACGGTCATCGATCCGGATGGGCCATCCCATAGCGCCCTCTCCATGCCTGTATCTAGCAGAGATTCTAAGGTTTCAACGCCTAACTCAAGGCATGCCCCTGTTTTGATCTTTAATGGAGACTACTTCACTCGTCACAGATTTGAGCTACAACGAAGGATCCCAGTAAGTGCACGAAAAGACTTTCGATACAACAAGATTCTTAACATAGACAAGGCGTACTCCGTTGACGTGCTGAAGTTCACCGGCGATCTGATTGACGAGCTATCTGTGGATGACGGCCCGAAGCATGAGCCACTGCTGCCTACTGCTGTCAGCGCTGCTGAGAAACCAAGAGAGAGGGCTGAATCTAAGAAGAACGCTGCACTTACCATGCTAAGCAAGATGTCCAAGTTCCAAGACATCCACCTTACATCTATGCTCACCAGGGCTGGGCTAGACTTCTTCGACTCCGATTCCAGCTCTGATGACTCATCTAGTATGACACTCGAAAGCACCGACAGATCTGAGCATAGACCCGATCTTCTCGAAAGGCGTGGCGAGCTTACCTCAGCTGCTAATACTGCTATTCGGGCCACATATTCTGACTATGCCCAAGGCTTTTTGAGGAATGACAACGTTAGCACAGCTAGAGACCGATCAGAGCAGGAGCAAGAGCAGAGTCATGACTTGGACCTCACTCAACATCAACTAGTCCAGGACTTCGAAGATAAACGCCCCAGTACCACCATTGTTCGCCTACTGGTCAAGTACAGAGATATCCGTGAGGTTACACATCTTTCAAGCCATGTAGCTATAATACTTATCCGTGCATACCTCATCACAGAGATAATGTGGCATCGAAACTGCATCAAAATATATGAGTATCTATCTACGCTCAGATTTGGTCCAGCCAATGGCATGACCCAATTTAATCAGTTCAGTCGAGTCTATAATCCTCCTAAGATTCTTATCTCCTACCTTCAGCTAAGCAATCTGCACAATTATGTAGAGGACACACATCATATGCTCCAGTTTATTGCCCTTCTGGGCAATTTCAAGCTTGTCAATTCCCTGGACTTCATGGGCTTCATCACCGGCTTATACTATTCTCCACACGACGGTACTGTGCGAATACCAAAAGATGGGCAGCGAGGATCGATGGCTCCGACCTCAACTAAATCTAAGCCTAAGCAACCCAAGGATTGCAGTGTCTCCTTGCTCAACATTCATCAAGGAATGTATACGAACTTCGCAATTCATCTTCTCTTTACCAGATACCACCGATATCTCATCAATTCCTACCAGCTGATTACCCTGGTTGGGATCCTTGCAATTGAGGCAGAGATAGGAGACGTGGAGTTGTCTATACGCAAATCTCTGAAGCCAATAAAGAGCTCTTACTATTCAGACTCGTCTGATGAAGACGACTTTATTGCGCAGACCAATCCGCGCATCCTACGAACTCTCAAAAAGAAGTCCGTCTTCACTCCAGATTCTCGCCCATTCCTTAGGGCCGAAAAGCCAGTCATGACCTACTCTGGCAAGCTTTCGAAAAGCGACCCGTACTATTACATTTTCAGGGAGGTCAATAAATACTGTGTCGAGCGAGAACCGGTTAACGGGTTTTCCCTTCCACTAACCGGGCTGAGATTGGATTTTCTCGTAGACCTCGTTGGTGTCTATAAAACGTCTAAGGATGTTTCTGTGCTTACATACTACATCGTTAGAGCCTACCTGCTGATGGCCTTGGGATTTAGTCCATCTCTGGGGCTCAAGGATCTTTCTCTTCTGAGGATAAATGAGTTTTACAACACAGAGACATCCTCAGGCATGGGTGTGTGGAATTCTATTGATTCTTCGCTTGTGAAGAAGCACCTAGGAAGAGCATCCATCCGAGACTTCTTTCTTCCAGAGCCTGTTGATATATTATTGGTTCTGCATAGTAATCTCCTCGTTGGGAAGCTGGATATCCTTAGTTCTATTGCTTCTCTTCCTCATACACTTACTGCGGTTTTTCTGGAGGAAGAGCTCCGGTTCATCAGCCTACTTGTGAGCTGCTATTATGAGCTTGATTTCTTACTCTGCGATCAGGAGCTAATGTGGCTTCTCTCTAGAAACTTCAGCATTTTGGTCCTTAATGACACCGTATCCATTTCCCTAGATATTTTGAAATGCCTTACTATTCTCCCGTCAATTGGTGACCAGGCTATACAAAAGTATGTCGTGAACGGAACGTGCTTGAGCGGAACAGACAGCTTTACCAGTGTCTCCTTCACGACCAACTACTTCCATAACCTGGAGAAGTCCCTCAACATCATGTTCTCTTCTGTTGCAGAGCCTCTTTTGAGGTGTTTTTCAGTAACAAGCAAGAAAACTCTTTATCTACCTGAATCAAACTCTGTGCTGCCACCCGACATTTTCGGCGAGTTTAGAGGAACGCTTATTCTTGCATGCACGATAGGCTATGCAATCTGCCTCCAATACCTCCAGACCAGCACTCTGAATTATACCTTGACGTTTAGCGCATACACAGAGCATGTTTGGCGTTTTTGTTATTTGCGCATGGGGATGTATAGTGGGTTTGCAATAACACTATATACTCTGGCCAATAATCTTCGCTCAGAGGCACTCAAGAGCAAATTTCAAAGGGTGTGTCTGGGCGCTACTGCTACAGACGAAGCGCACATGCAATCCAGGCCTGGCATGCAAGGACCAAGCAAGACTAATATTCTTGCAGCAGTACCAGAAGGTACGTGTAATACTAATTCCTTACTCCCCCTTATGCTTGAGTCTAAACAGCACGCCAAGGCACCATTAATTTCTCCCGAAGCTGCAGATGATTCCATCACACCTCGGGGTATCCTAGGAAGATTCTCATCTAAATTGACAAGCATTTCTCACAGGAGTCGAAGCTCAACCAAGTTCAACGACATTGTACTAGCCACACAGAGCGAAGATATTTTGACTATTATCAACGAAATTATGGATGACTTTGCGGCAATTGTTCGTAGGGTTATTGTTGATTCGGTAATAGCGGTCAGTAGCCTTGTATTTAAGCATCAGCTTCTTCCCACCCTTCAACACAGTAACGCTCTTGAGGTCCTTATTATGAATGCTGCTATAGACGCAGACCTTGTCAAGTCTATCACTACCAGTGAGTACAGCACCCAAGCGAATCGTTATTTGGCTCATATCGAAGGAGGAGCTGTGGAGTATAAAGGCTTCCAAAACAAGGGCCAAAAGCCTGCTGAAGTGAGCAATAGATCCTTCATGAATCACTTTGTTACTGAGATGGACTCCGCTGGCATTGAGCGCTCGTTAATGTTGGCCTTAGACACGTTTCAGATAAACCTTCCACTCCTTCTCCGGTACGCAGACCTCGCTCTAGAGATGCGGTTTGGCATGTCGCAAGACCTTTTAAATGGTAGGATTTCCATTGAGTACTCCCGTTACCTTCTGTTTCGTAAAAGCACTGTGCACAGCTTTCTATGTCACACGCTCTTCAGCAGGGGACAGGAGAAGATACCTGTTCTCCCGTGTTCTCTCTTTCTTCCTGTTCTGTACATGGCTGAGACGCTCCGCCACATTGAAGAGACCAAGAACTTGCAGCACCCAGCGTCTGCTGACCAGATCAAGAGAGCATATAGCTTTGAGTTCATAGATTGTAGTATGCAACATGATGAGTTTATCTCTCGACTGCGTCTGGCACTCTCCTGCTCCGGCGCCGCAGACCATCCGTTATGCTTATATAACATGTTCGCCCCGTCGTGCACAGATAATAACCGTAGCCTAGCACGATTGTTGCGCTCGTTACTTACGTTGGTAAATTCTCCGCTGCCACAGCCGGATGAATTTGGGGATACCAAGCCATTTCACGCGTCGCTAAGCATCGACGACGCAGTGCAGGCGACCCTTGCATACCACCCCAGAATGCGCCGGATGTACCTATCTCTTGCAGATCCTTATGAATCGCTGTATCTCTTGGAGTTTAATCACAGACTCCATATACTTCATAGTCCCGTAGCCACCTTACAGTACTACGTTGGATCGGAAACGTCAACTTCTGAAGGGACCCCGCAGTCCAATTTTCCTGCAATAGGCTTATCTGCAATTGAAAAGCTCCAAAGGCACAGGCAAACGGTCCTTTATGACTATATTATCGAAGAGCTTACTATTATTTTTACGTATGAGGCAATCCATTTGAATCTTCCAATCATTCGCATAAGTCAATTCTTGCTGAGAAAAAATAAAATCGTTGGCGTCCTAAGTGAGTTCAATAGGTACCTCGAAGGTCTCTCTGCACCTCAGAATCCTGTAACACTAACTGATGTCGAGCTGTTCTTAGCATACATCAAGCACATACACGCAGAACTTCAGAAGCTTACTGACTTTACTATTATACCGCTATCTATCAAGCAAGGAATAAGAACACGTGCCAGGACCCTGCTCTCAGTCTACGAGCTTCTTTGGAAATTGTCCGAGAGATTTGAGGCGCTTTCAGTGGCCTTTACAGATACATTTTTCTTCTCTTTAGTAACGTCCGTGATCGTAGACCTACAAGGAGTGGACCACTCCGCCTTACACCATCGCCGCTTGCTTCCGAAGCACACCTCTGAACGACGCATGACTGAGTTGCTCCCCACGATTGTGCATCATCTCTTATCAAAGATATCCGCTATTGTTCCGCAGGCATATATGAAGTCGCTTCTGGGAATGATCTCATGCTTGGAATCTATTTCAGGACAGTGCAATGTACAGAAGCATATGCTGCTCTTCTCATCTATTGTTACCGATCAGTCACTTTCTAAGCCAGTAGGCTTTCTAGACAACGGACGGGCCATGGACTCATTCTTGCCAAACACCGCAGATAGCCTTGCAATAGAAAGGTGGAACAAGCTCTGCAGCTTGGTCTTCATTGCCCCAGATCTTGCGAAGGAGTGGGTGGCCTTCTTTTCTACCCAGAAAACGCAGTATTTGACATATGTTCGGGGCTCGAGTTTCTTCCGGAAGGTGCTTGGTCACTACGCCTACGTAGAGAGATCTTCCAAGCACTCTAATAGGCTTTCTGCAGAAACTTTCCTGGCGCCGCATGCACTTCTTAAGTCAGCCGTGCATGAATACAACATCGTTGAGCTCTTTGGAGGCTTCACATCAGAGACAGGGATCGTTCCTGCTTGGAGCAGTACTTCTAACAAAGCTGTATATGGGTCTGGAACAGTGCCTGTAAAAGAGCCAATCGCCAACACGCACCCAGGGGACTATAACTCATACAAAGTCACGGATAAGAAGACTATCAATTCAGATGATGACACTAGTTCAGAAGGTTCGGTGGCTTCGCTCACTGACGAGGATTATGATGCTATGTTTGATTATGATTATGCAGACAGTGAGAATATGCACCCAAGCTTACAAGCCAAAACAGCAACTAAGGCAAGAAAGCACATAAGCATGTCAAGGAGATCTATGACAGCCATGCTAAAGAGGGCAGAGACCGCCGGTTTCTCTGTAAAAACCACGCACCAAGATAAGGGAAAGTCGGCTAATTTTGAAAATTCCATGCAGCTACATAACAATACTGACTCAGTCTATGAGCGATTAATCCCCGATGAGCTGATTATGGAACTGAAAGATGATATGACCCTGGGTAATTTTCCTATTTCAATTCAGTCACCTTCAGCAAATGGCGTGTGGATAGCTTTTCTTTTAAGCATATGTCTCAATCCAACTCATTTGCAGGAGGACCTCAACCTTCTTATGAAGGTAAGCAAGCTAACGAACTCCGCTAGCTTCAGTCTAGTTGACGTATTCAGCTCTGACCGAGATGACGAGCTCCTCTCTAAGTTCTTGCAGTGTCCTTTAAAGTCTCTCACTGGATCCATCAGCAAATTCATTGCTGCTTTTTATCGCAGCCAGCTTTGGTCACAGGATTTTCCTCCATCTGAAAAGTTATCCTATGGAATGTTTTTCAGCGATAATGGGCAACCACTTTCTCATGCATCCAAGCAGTCTTTGTTAGAAGAGATGTGTCCTATGTGTGCATCCAAAACAGTCGCCATCTTCTTCGATTCCACGTTGGACATTCTTACACTCATCTCTTTTGCGTTCGAATATCTAGTTGATCAGCTTCTGCTGACTGCTCCTGTCGTTTATAAAACAAAGCCCACTCACGCCGACTTGCTCTCCTACCTTGTTGTAGTTCTATCTGATGGGAACAAGAGCGTAGAATGGTTGGTCCAATTGTTCATTAGCAAGCCGGTAAGGCCTAAGCATGGGTTGATAATCTTAATTCCAACTTCTTATTCTGCTCCAGCGCTTTCCAGAGTGCTTATTGGCCATCTTTGTGCTGCATTTGCGCCGGAGCTGGTTGTCTTTAACGCTCCAATAGGTAAAATCGAAAAGATTCATCATTATTTCACCCTGTTTCGCATACAGCAGATACACTTTGCCACTAGACACTCCACTGATAAGGCCTTGGCTTTAGAGGCAGGTACGCTCAAGCTGCCGATAATTTCTAGCCGCACTCTTCTAGGTTTGCTCATCTTCTTTGTCACGCAGAGCCCCCCTCCAGATTGCCCTCACATTCGCATATCTGACACGTATACAACTTTAGACTCAGCAGCAGCCCTCTTGTTTCAGGCAGTGATAGAGTCAGAGCACATGCAGGCTTTGGTAAATACACTCCGGACTCGTCTTCGCGTTCACCCTGCGATTATAGAGAAAATCCAGAATCTATACGCGGCTATCTGGGCTACCATCTCCGCGATTCGTCGATACGACCCCGAGAGGGCATCATATCACCCACTAAATCGCCGTCTGACAGAGCTCTACAACCAGTTGCTAGTATCATATGCACGTGTGTTCCACAAGCTAGACCACGTGTCTGTCTATGAGAAAATATACACATCTCCGGGCTCGCTGCTGCACTCTCGCTTTCTGAAGCATTGTATTTTCTCATTATGTCACGAACTGCAAGACAAGGTTACTCTGGCCCACAACCTGATTGTTGAAATGCCACAAGGAGCAACAGTAAGCGATGAGGCCATCTCAGAACTTGCTGTGAGCAGTGACTCAGACTTATCAGACTCATCTAACTGCACGGCTAATGCTTTGACATCCTTGCACACAGAGGGGACCCAAGGATTGTCTGATACAGATACCTTGAAAAGCGATCCTCAACACTCAACTGAGCTTACTAGAATTTATAGCGTAGATGACGTGGCGCGTACATCACAGCAATCTGAAGTTGACATGTCAAAGGATGTGCTACTAGGGTCACATAGGCTCGGGTCAGGCCTGGGCCTTAGCATATCTCTAGAAAAGAAGTTCATACGCAAGGAGAACTTGTGTGACACAGAAAGGAATCGGTACAAACAATCAGATGATGACCTACAAGTAGTAGGCAATCCACGAGAATTTCGAGTGTATGGCCCGTCAGCTCGACTGTTAAACCTTCATCACGCGCTAGTTTTAGAAACAAGTAGATCCCAGCAGTCAAAAAGGGAGGAGAGCGGAGAGCAAGCTATAACTGCGCTTAACAGTTATCTGGAAGAAGTGCAAAAGCTATCACAACAAGCAGTCCAGTTACCATGCGTGTTCACAGAAGAAAGAGTAGCTGACCCCACTGCCTTTAAGGAGCTTTGCAAACAGTATCTCTACTCCCTCACTCTGTACTCTGACGAAGGAAGGCTAAGCCCTTCGCAAATTGTGTCACTAATTCAGAAGGATGATACTCGTGATGTGATTCCTCTATCAAAGCCCCAGAACCTTATCACCATCAAGGAGATAAGGTCGTTTCCTGGCTTGCGGAGCATGGCATTCACTGAATCAGCTGACATCCTTGACAGAGTCTCTGTACAGGCTATGCATACACCTCTGTCAATAGGTCTGCAAACGACTTCCGTACACAGCGCAGAGGGCTATGTTATTAACTCATTGCTTGCTAACGCTGTCATGCTTGCAAAACCGATAATAGACCTGAGCATGGCAGTCATGGATCATGCCGGAGTTCTTATCTGCGAGGCAAATCGATGCTGGAGATTTCTAGACTTCATATTGACCGCCAAGCGCCATCAGCTAGCCCGAGGTAATGTCCCGTATGCTAATCTCTGCTCTGTTCTACTTCCAGAGCCTCCGCAGCCCAACACACGCTACGTTGTCTATAAAGGGATGCTCTACACCGGTGGAGTACTTAGGCATGTATCGGAAGCTACAGATGCGATGGCTGATGCGTCGAGACTGGGGTATGTTCATATCACAAACATAGAGCTACACAATGTAGGGTATGACACACATAATCAATCAGTGGTGGATTGCTCAATGGACCCGTGGCCAATCGTCTACAAAATGAGTGTCTACGCAGCTACCGTGATACGAATCAATTCGTGGGATCCACAGCTTTTGCCTTTCCGACAGGCATCTCCTAAGTACGTCGCCATCAGGGCTAACTTTGCAGCGGACACTTACCTGTATCTGGAGAACAAATCGACCCTTTCGCGAGCAGAGTTGGCTCAGCGAAATCTCCATTTATCCCCTGCGTCCCAAAAGTAGATCAATAAATTGCTTTGCATAAAGTTTGGCAACAGCTATTGCCATGTTGAGAAAGTGGGAAATTAATTATAGTTATGATATTCGTCTGGATTGTCCTCGCCGGTGCGCTGGCATCATGCAGAGAGGGAATCCTTGACGGTGACTGCTTCCTACTAAGCTGCGACGTCATCCTGGACCAAGTTTATTGTTCTGTTTGCACAGCAATGACAGAGTTTCTAATCGATGGCCAGTGCCTATCCACAAATGTAGACAATACATGCCGTCACTCCTTCGGAAACGGGACATGTGACTCTTGTGCCGGGCCATATTTAAGCTACCGGGGTGGATGCTACCGGGTCGGAGAGGATCCAGGTAATTTTATCTGCAAATCTGAAGACGTTTTTTATGTTGACGGCACAGCGCTTTGCAGAAAGTGCGTTGTCTACGGGGAGTTCCCGATTGACGGATCCTGCACCAAAAAGGCCCAGGGGAACCGCTGTGGGACAACCGGCTACGAGGGAGTCTGTGAAACTTGCGGGACTGGGTACTTCTACCACAACGGGGGATGCTACCGGAAGAACCGCTTTCCTGGGAACAAGATCTGTGCCGACTCTTCTGCCGTAGAGCACATTGGACACTGTGGAGCTTGTCTTGCTGGTTATGAAACATATAAAGGTACGTGTTTGGCCTGTGAGGACATAAATTGTCGCAAGTGCGGAGTCAGCATGTCTAACTGTGAGGTTTGCCACGACGGATACTACCTCGATCGCGACATGCACGACGGCAAAGGCGCATGCGTACCGTGTAATCCCATCAGGAACTGTGAAACATGCCTTACAGATGAAGAGTGTACTTCGTGTGCGAGGGGCTTCTTTGCCGGATTCTTGAAGGCATCTGGTCACTGTGTTTCCTGCGACAAGGGAGGAGATGGATATGCAGGTGTGCCGAACTGTCAAGTATGTTTGCCACCACACCCGGGTACTTCTGATATGGCTGCATTTTGTACTGAGTGCGCCGGTGGTTTTTACTTGCTGATCTCTGAGGACAGAACTCAGACCAGCTGCGTTGTCTCCTGCCCTAAGAATAAGATACATTACTCCAACCGCTGCGTGACCGAACTAGAGGGATGCCACAGCTATGGCCGCAATGATGAATGTGTTAAGTGTGTGTCGGGCTATCGCCTGGCAGAGGGCGTCTGCGAAAGATGTGCCGTGGATAACTGCGAAGTATGCACCTCCAGCTCGTCAGTTTGCAATATATGCAAGGCTGGCTATGGACTGGAAAGTGGTATGTGCAACTTGTGCGGTGAAGGGTGCCGGACCTGTGATGGTGACGTCTCTGTCTGTACTACCTGCCTCTTAAGGTTTAACTACATTAGCCCAGGTAAAAATTGCTGCATCTCTACGTGTCCAGAGCACTCCCATGAGGTCTTTAGTGGGGAGCTGGGCTTCTGTGAGTGCTATGGTGACTACAAGCCATCCGCAGACGGTCTCAGATGCGAGAAGTAAACATCCGCACCCGTAAAGAGCAAGGCCACGCTTCACTGATGGCGCACTTCACGAGGATATTCACTTTGAAAATCTAGGAGACGAAGTGCGACTGATAGGGTGCAACCCTGACAAGATAAGTGCAAACAGCGGTCACTTGATGAACGAGATGGGGTCACTTTGATACAAGAAGAATAGATTGACATTTTCAAATAATTATAGAGAGAATATTGGTTCCAAGAGTAAGCATACATAGATGCAGTATATTCTCATCGGTGTGGTAAAGGTCGACGCACCAATACGTACATTAACGAAAAGTTCATTTGGCTTTGCTCAGCGCCTCAAAGAGGTCCAGTTCCCGTTTTCGAGAATTTTCGAGAGTAACCTCTACTAGCTCCTCTATCTGCAGAAACTCCCGGTCCATCGAATCTACAACGTCCAGCGCAGTGTTAAGCTTTGCTTCGAGCCCGTCAAGAGCCTCTTGAGCAGTCTTTTCCTTCTTCGACACGGCATTGTCCAGAGCTGCAGGAATGGTCTCTGCTGTCTGTTGTGAACCTGCACGCACGGCTCCATGGCCGGCAGCAGATACGGGCTTGGGTTTGGCAGATGACACCCCTGCTGTCGATGTTACTGTTTTCTGTCTGGTGCCCGCCCCTGATACGCCGCCTAATGATCTCGATGGCGGACCTCGTGACCCGCTGAGGGGAGCTTTAGCTGTCACGGCTGCTGCTGAGGCTTTTTGCTTTGTAGATGGCACAATGATATTATGATCGGAATCAAACCGCACGGTATCGGCGGCCACGCCCGTGCCTAGTACAGCGTCCTTTTCGATCTTTTCTGCTATGGCATTCACCACCTGGACACCTTCGTGGCCTTCCCCTTCAATTAGAATAACTTCCTTTATGTTAGGGCACTGGTTCTTGATGACATCCTTGTCGATAGTTGCCAGCTGCCCCTCAGAAACACAGAGAATTTCTAAGGAGCGCGGGAGCCGTGACACATCCAAGGCCTTGATAGGGTTGAATGCAATATTCAAGTGTCTGAGCTTGTGGTGCTCCGGCAGGCAGGACAGGTCGAGACTATTGGTCAGTTTATTGTGGGAAAGATTCAGAGTTTCTAGAGTTGGTATGATCTCCAAAACAAGAGGATCAATGGACGAGATCAGATTGTGGGAGAGATCTGCGCACTTCAGCTGGGAACACATGTCCAGTCCATCAAGAGAGGTTAGGCTCTTCCCTTGCATATTGGCACGCTCCAGCTCCATAAGCACCGGAATAATATCTTCTCCGCCCACCCCCACGCACTCTTTGAAGATGGCGAGAGTGATGGGGCGCTCATAAATAGTGTAGTTAAACATTTTTGGATTTTGGAACCCTATTTCACGGCCGTAGAATAAAAGCTTGTGTATGCGTGCAGGTCCCGCTCGAGTTCTGCAAAGAACGAGTAGCACTCGTCTTCCTTTGCACGTATGGCGTCGCTGGTTGCGTTGGATCCAGTGATCAATACATCTCCGAGACGCTCCTTTTCCATGGCAGCTGGCCCATTGTCTAGTTCTCCGTCGCGGAGTGCTCCGATCTTATCAACACCAGCGTCCCTAATGTCATCTCCAAGCGACTTGTGGCTTCGTGCATCACTTATTACCACTTCCCTCCGTTCTTTCTTGCTATCTGCGTTGACGTATATGGGGTCGTCAAAGAGTTCGTCGCGACAGCGAATGCTAATGAGCTTCTCAATGTTTTCATTCAACTCTTCAGAAAGTTGGATTCGCGGCCGCTGCTTCACATCAAAATCTATGTCATCTATCTTGCGAAGTAGAGCATCTGTCGGACGCTGATGCGCAGAAATTTCTCCTGCCATGTCCCATGTGGGCCTGTTCATCATGTCATCCTCTATCCTCTTTATTGTTGCTTGCAGACGCATCCTTGCCAGCTCAAAGTCTGAATAAACATCTGGCTTGCGAGGTTCTGTCTGCTTGATATTTGGTTCTTTGACATAAAGTTCGTCATCTAGCCCATCAACTGCAAGCTTGGTGTCTTCATTCTCTTCATCCTCTTCCTCCGATTCCTCCTCATCCTGATAGTCGTCTGCTGCTCTGATTTCGGCCTCGATTGCGCGTGCTTGTGCTTCTGTCATATTTTCTTGCCATAGGTCTTCCTCCTGTTCACTGGAATATGTCATTTCTTCGTCGTCTGCCTCTTCTAATTCCTCGACTGTTTCGAGGTCTGAACCGCCAATATTATCTGTCTCTTCGTCTCCTGCTTCCATTTCCTCTTCTTTCTCAGGTAGCCCCATATAGTTAGTCTCCATCTGTTCCCATATCTGCTCTAAGTGGAGATCCTCAATGTATAACGGCTGAGGAGCAATGGAAAAGGAAACAGCGTAGTCATGAAAGGCGTGGAGTGCGTTTAGGAGTGCAGCTGTATCTTGCTGGTGCATGGCCTTGCTATCCCTGATTCTCTGAACAAGAGGAAGGTCAATAGAAGGCAGATCCTGCTGCATTTATTTATTTTCTTTTGGTAGTGGAGGGGAATAGCGTCTCAAGAGTGCTCCTTGTGTCCAGCGACAGTTCGCTAGGTGTGGTATGCGTGAAGCAATGGCTATCTCTTCTTGCACAGGAACTGCAACGGGGCTGCTCCATAGAGGGTTCCGTAGTAGATGCGTCTAGTCTTTCTGCTCCTGCGCTCTGGGAATACGATATGTTTGTAGTGGCCTCTGAGGCTATTCAAGAGATGAATGCAGATCTTCTCTCATGCCTAGTTGAGCTATCCTTTCATCGAGCCTCTATTGTCTTTTCGTTGCAAAATCTCTGCTACCGGTGTTTCACTGGCATATGGCCCCTTGGCGTTCAAGATGCTGTCCTTGTGGATAGAAGCCTCAAAAGCTCAGCCTGCGACCTTCTTCTATCACGAGCGCCCACAGACCTGGACCATACTCCTGAAGCACTGAGGGTATTGCTGTGTTTACTGGATTGCGCTAAAGAGAATACATTGCAAGGAAAAGCTCTTGCCAGTGGATCTATAGAGGCATCTCTGGAGTCATTCACGAAGGTTCAGATGAGACGCGCGCTTGCATTAAGAACTGTTTTGTGTCGTTCGCATGATTACAGAATAGAACACACTACTCTTTCTGAGGTGGCACTAAACTTATCAATAGGCCAGACGGAGAGCAGCATAATGAGTTCTAGAGTCATGCTGTTTAGCCTGATGGGGGAAATTATCAACTACTGCAACGGGACAGGCTCTATGAGCAAAGGTGTTGTAAGTATTCAAAGCCTCGGTTAAATTATGAGACCAGAAGCTGACCCCCTTTTGATGGATGTCCGTAGCACTTCATATTGCTTGCTTGGAATTAGTGGGTCAACTTGCTCCTTGATAACCTCTGCAAATTCTGAAAGGAAGCCACTAGCGTTGGCTACGGCGAGCGAGAGCATGGCAGAGACTATTTTGGGCTTGACTTCCTTGTCAAGAGGGCAGTTAATGGCCAAAGACGGGCTGGCATTAAACTCCAGCAAGTGTGCATGGGGTGCCCTTGTCTTTGCATCATATGACAGCAATATATCGGCGCCCAAAAGCTCGAAGCAGGCCTCCATCTGATGCATACCTCCAATATTGGAAGTGCCGACTATGCCAGTTAGTATGCCGATAATGATAACTCTCTTGATTAAGGCCTCCATGATGGCCTTATCAACATTGTATGTCACAGAGAGAATTGATAGAGCGTCTGTGTACGGCATCCGTGCCTTCAAGAAGGCTGTTTCATGCTCACCGTTGATACTTGTGTTGGTCAAATGAGCACGGAGGCACTGGATGTTATTTATATCATACTCTCTGCTACAGAGGCGTGCGATACCATCTCTAAACAAGAACGCACTATATGAGCGTTCCTGAGCGTTAAAGAACAAGCCCACATAGAGGCGAAAGTCGACCTTGCGTCGGTTTATCAGCATGGCGTTGGTAATGTAAATCTGGGCCAAGGACGGGACACTGTATTCTATTTCCGATGGGTCCCGGAAGAGCTGTATTTGGCGACCCCGTGATAGAGCAAGAGGCTTTACTATGAAAATGAGCGAATCCCTATTGAAGCTGGGGGGCATCTCTCCTTTTCCGGCAACATAGGCCTTCAGCTTTGGGTAGTCTGCTGGCAAGAGAAAGGTCTCCGGCAAAGCTTTGGAGGCGGCAGGCGTGCAGGTACGTAAGAGCTGATAACCCTTCCAAAGCATGTCCTTACGCGTTATATTGGTGATATTTGGAAAGTGGTTAACCAACTGGTCTGGGTGCAAGGCGCTATAAAAGTCGCGATCCAGTTTGGTCCGCCACGACCAGAAGACCCGGAAGTCGTACTTTAGTATTGCAGAATAGGTATAGAAGTGCGACTTATGAACAAGGGTGAATACTGGGGGCAACACATCCAGTCCTCTTGTTACTATGAAGGTCTCCAGAGACTTTTCTCGATGGAACCAGTCGAGCCCTATCAGAAAAGTAGTTACAATGTCGGTTGGGCACTCTAAAAGGAGGAGCTGATACCCACTTTCTACCTCCTCCGTGTTAATCAGCGTCTCATCAGATGCCGACTTGGTTGAGCCGGGTTGCCTGATAAGGTGCAGGCGATTGCTAACAGATCTTCTTGCTGCACTTCTCGGCGTTTTACAACGCGCTTGTGGTGTGTTGACACGTTGAATCTCAATTAGGCTGGAATCTGTAACAGTATCGCTCTTGGTTTGTTCTGCTACTAACATCAGATCAGCCCCCAAGCTATCCACTGAGTTGCCCACGTCAGTAAATCTAAACTCCGCCCTAACGTTTTCCGATGACACACCCCCGCAAACGGTGTGTGTCAATGGCAGCTCTGACGTAGGTGAGCTTGGGAGCTCTGTGGGTGTGACAGCTTCCTTCTTCAACTGCAGGAGTAGAGCATCTATCCCCTTGTAAGACGGCGCATCTGCACCACATCTAGATTCAGTTGCTGATGGTGGAGAAGTGGAGAGGATACTGCTGCAGGGCTCTATATTGCAATATGCATGGAGTGGCGAGCATGCGGGTGTGTCGGTGGGGCTAGGAGTAATTACACTCTGCTTGGTTGTGAGTTGTGGCGTTAGGTCTACTTTGCCCCGTGCTCTCAAAGTCCTGCTAGCCATTATAGCAGAAATTGTAGTAGCTGTGCTGGGCCGCAGAAGAGGGGTTTGCTTGAGCACCTGACTTGCTATCCTCAGATCGTTAGCTGTTGGTAACGAGAGTTTTGGCTCTACCGTATTGTCATGTGCTTTGTCACGTATTCTATCATGTGCTAGGCTTTGGGTCAAGAGCGGCCGTACGGCCAAATTGGTCGATCGTGGCCGAGGAGCAGGTCGTTGTAATGGTGTTCTAGCAACGGTTTTAAGACTCCCCTGTGAAGTGTTTGGTCTCGATACTGTGATCTTCTGCTGCTTCGAGCTATTACTCCGTGCTTTCACATCGGAAGCTGTCCGCGAAAAGTGGGACTTTGACTGCCCTCCCGCCCCGTGCCCTATCACTACCATGTCATACGAAACGGCAACACCCAGGTTTGCTGATAGCGGTCGCATAAGACGGCGTGGAGACTTGCTGGCTGGTTTGGCGGAGTACATTTTAAGTTTTTTCATGGAGCCAACTGCAGAGTTTCTGTCGGAGGGAGCACGCACTGAGCGCTTGTTACGGGAGTTGCACTTACTCAGTAGAGAAGCAGGAGTGATCTTGACTTTGCCATCAAGCGGCTACATTAACACCTTCTATGTCACCATGAAAGTTTCCAAAGGAGCGTATTTAGGGCGCCAACTAACGTTCATGGTAGACGTGCCGCACAAATGGCCGCAGATTCCTCCACGGTTTCTCTGTGGCTATCGACGAATGTTCCATCCAAATGTATCATCAGATGGTCGCGTTTGTCTAAACTTGCTGCGGGACGACTATGAGCCTAGCTATACGCTGGTTAGTCTACTGATGGCTATCTTGTGTGTTGTCGAGGAACCAGGACTTGAGCATCCACTGAACCTTGATGCAGCGAAGGCCGTCGAAAGAGGAGAGTGGGAAAAGATTGTGTCTGCGCATTTACAACATGAACAAGGCATTAATACATTTCCGTTACCGGACGAACAGCCTGTCGCCCAGGCTTGAGAGTTGGTAGCTCATTTGTTCGTCCACCCTTAACGTTGACAGACGACGTTGTACTGCGTGAGGGCGTATGTCTACCGAGCTGGCTTTTAGGGGTCTGCACTACGTCTGGATGCACCCTTCCGTTGGCTCCAAAGCCATATGAAACCATCTCCTCTTTACGCTCACCAACCCCAGGAGTTCGCGGCATGTTGCCTGTGCGTGGAACCCTGGTTACGCTTCCATATGTACCAGATGCCCCTTGCCTTCCTCCACGCCCAGAGGCTATGCCCGGCCTATTTACGCTACTCGGGTACATTCCACCGCCTAGATTCATGGGGCTCCCAGGGGCTCCCGTCCCTGGGGTCATAGCGCGGACTGATGAGCCTACTCTTCCCGTTGTTAACGCGCCTTGGTAGGAGGACTTGGATGTTGCCCCATCGTAGTTTGACGACCTTGTGTTCGCTGTGCGTGTAGGGGAATTCTTTAGATAGTCAGCTAACTTCTGTCGAACTCTATCTGTTCCGGATGTCCTCGCAATATCTGGCTGTCTAGACGGCGATGAGTTCACCACTCCCCTTGTTGGAGAGCTACGAGATGGGGAATGCATGGGGTTGGATCCAGAAGCGCCAGAGCGAGACGTTGCTGCATGCCTATCTGGGCTTGTAGTGTTAGCCAAGGCTCCAGTCATGTTGCTGGATCCCAAACCTGGGTGCGCTGCAGTACCCCGAGACGGACTCGCAGATATGGGAATAGTGACAGCCTGGTCGTGCTGGTCAGCCGCGCTCCCCTCCTGAGCCGCAGCGGCCTTCTGCCGATAGTACGCCTTGATCTTGCTCTCCATAGATATAAGGAACTGCTGTTGCTGACCCAATATAGACCCAGGGCGAAGAATGCGGAGCCATGCGATGATCTCGCGGCCAGTGAAGTCGTATCTCTGCATCATATAAAGCGCAATGAGGGACCCCGTTCTCCCTAACCCAGCCTTGCAGTGGACAGCAACTCCTCCCGTTTCTTTGTCTGTAATCTCAATAAACTGCTTTATAATCTTGTCGGGCGGACAAGACCCGTCGGGAAATGGCAAATCATAGTGGTGGATCCCTGCTTTGATGAAATCTGTCCTATTGTAGCAGGCCTCATTGAGTCGTATTACTGCCGTGATGTTTCTAGACTGGAATAGCGGTATGTATGACGCCGGAGTGAAGGGGTGATAGCGAAAGAACGGATGAGACTGGGACACCGGTCCAGCAAACGCGACAAATTTATCGAGAAGCATCCACGTAAGATCACCATTTTCCACTTGAGAATAAAAGTAGTAGTCATCATACTTAAAGGTGTTGAGGTTGAAGAGACCCTTGCTCATCGCCTTCTCCATCGCAAACAGGCAATCAGCCACGGTCATCCCGTACGAGCACGGACCCATGCACGCGTCGCGAAACGGAACCAGAGCCGGTTGGACATTCTTGGATATTAAATCTGCAATGTCTTTTGCTGACTTCTGCAGAACGCAAACCATGAATAACCCTATCAGGGTCACTGAGTTGGCCCGATGGCTAAAGTTTGAGCTAGAATAATAGACGATCTTCTTCGCTTTCAAGTTAGGATCCTTTAACTTGTTGGATAGCTGCGCAAAAAACACATAGGTCTGTCCCAGGTTCAAGGGGCCAAAGTCCTGCTCAAAAGGATAGTATACTAGCGTGGAGTCTGTGGTAAAATAATGCGTATCGGCTGTATCGGAACTGGATCCGGTGATGGTCGCATAATAAAGCCGGTCTGGTATAAATTCAACCATCCGTCCTTGGACTGGCATGCTATCTAGGGAGAAATTTTACTGTCAAAAATTTCATTATTAATAATCATTATTAAACTGTTTTAAAGGACATAGCAAATTAGCAAGCGAACGTATAATTTTAATGCATCGGATTTCATGCTTCTGGATTCTTCTGGATGCTCCAGTGCATGGAACGGACAAAGAAGATATACAGGCAAGCCGGGAGTGGGTGTAGTGTAGGAGAGCAGGCCTCCTTATGCAAGATTAATTAAAATTGGGCCTTGACCTGTTTCCTGCCCCAGCAAGCTTTCCATACTCGCATACTTGCTTGGCGTTGGAAGAGTCGTTATGTCTGTAGACACAGATGCCTCTGATGGACACACTGCAGATGTAGCGGAACACCTAACCAGGTATCACGAGGTGTTACACACTGTGTTTGGATTGGCCCAATTCAGAGATCAGCAGCTAGAGGCAATCATCTCCATTGTAGAGGGCAATGATACGTTGGTTATTTTCCCCACAGGGGCCGGCAAATCACTAATATACCAGCTGGCCGCAGTATACAGCAAGAAGACAGCGGTCGTCATTTCTCCGTTGATTTCTCTCATGGATGACCAGGTGACCAAGCTTCGTTCTCTTGGTATCACCGCATTCACCGTTAACTCCTCCACCTCCATGAATACGCGGATTCAAGCATTCGATAGGATGCGAACAAACCCTGGGTCCATCTCCTTGCTCTATGTCACCCCAGAGACATTCCGCCTTGAAGAGTTTGTGCATCTTCTCAAAGCCATGGTGACAAATGGCATGGTGGGCTTCATTGCAGTGGATGAGTGTCACGTTTTAACCGATTGGGGCAATACCTTTCGATCTAGCTACCGTGGACTGTCTTCGCTACGCACAAATTTTCCTGAAATACCAATCATAGCGTTGACGGCAACAGCCACAAAGTACACGGCCATCGACATTGTCTCATGCTTGCAGCTTAACAGTTCGTTTAAGCTCTTTATCAGGTCGTTTGATAGAAGAAATCTCTACTATCGTATCATGTATGTTGGGCCCAATTCGTCTAAGATTGCGCTCCTTCTGGATTATCTTAAAAATTATCAAGCATGCGTAGCAGGTCCCCGTGGCCTTGCTGCCTCGAGGCACACGCGACCTGAGCAAAGAAGTAGGCACAGGTCCTGTTCGGCGGAGTATCCTAAATCGCTTGGTGCAGTCATAGTTTATTGTTATACCAGAGACGAGACAGAAGCCGTTGCTAGGCGCCTCGCTGATGAGGGCTTTAATGCGCAGCACTTCCATGCAAAGCTTTCCCAGGACACTAAGATGCAAATTCTCATGGATTGGGTCAAGGACGATTCAAGCAAGCAAACGTCAGAAGCTGGGGACCCCAGTGACATGCAGATAATCGTTGCCACTATTGCATTTGGCATGGGGATAGATAGATCTAACGTCAGATTAGTGGTTCACTATAATATCCCCCGCTCCATGGAGGGGTTCTATCAGGAGTCTGGGCGAGCAGGGCGTGACTCAGAGCCAGCCCTCAGCCTTGTCTTGTTTGACAGCGCAGACGTATCCGGCGCTGTCACACGTATCCAGAGAGATGGATCCGATTTTGAGTTGTATTCTTTGTATAGCTTCTTCTCCTTCTGCTTACAACGGAAGTGCAGACGCCGCGTTTTGTTAGATTACTTCAATAGTGGTGTTGAGGACCATTCCACAGACCCAGCATGGTGCTGTGACTTCTGCAGTGGACGGTCTCCACCGTTGACCACAGCTTATTCAGACATTCTTGATGGTGTTGTAGGAAAGCTCTCCTATTATAAAAACGACAAGGGGGACAGGTTTTTGGGGTGTCTCAGCCAACTCTTAACCACTCAGAACGATCAGGAACCGTCGTTGAAGCAGAAGAACCTAAAGGCACAGTGCCTCACGGTGCCCACCGAATGCCCTGGTGTACAGAAGATCGCAGCATCTAACGCTCCTACTGACACACAACCACGAGGTGATAACGTTCAGAAGTACGAGCGTGCATTTCGAGCACATATAGGGAAGATCCTACTTCACCTTTCCCCTGAGTTGTTAGCGAAGAAGCTAGACGAAGTTCATCTGGCAATTTCCACCCAAGCAAACGGCGATGGTGCAACTATAGAATCATGCTATAAAAAGCTATACGCAAAAACAAAGGCAATGACCACATATCCGACAGAGGACAACATCTACGCTTTGATCTTTTCCTTCTTTGGATTTACGTGCCTCTAAATTCATCTGCTACTGAGTCTCCACGGAAAGCTATTGGCAACTGCATACTTAACGCTAGATTAATCTCACTCGACCCCAATCCCGAGGCCAATCTTTAATCTTTGAATTTAGAGTTTAGAGTTCCAGAAAATGAATTTCTTCAATCACAAACTCTTGAGCTCGGCGACCATCATCGTCAACACCACCTCTGGATTTAGCATATATCTGCGCTACTTCACTGACGTGGCCACAGATGGCCTTGAAGATTCCCTTTCCTTTGATCCCTTAAAGGGTAGCTCAAAGGTCTACGGTGGATATGGCAGATCAATGTACAATCAACTTTCTTGCTTCAGTGGCGGGTCCCATATATCGCGAACGAATAGTTACAACGACATTCTGGTCGACTATGACCACATTTCCTCTAATCACATCTCCCACCATTCCAAGTTGGTGAGAAGTACTACTGCGTCTATCGCAGACGAAGGTGGCCACCGCAGGTACCTGATTGTCGAGGAGGCGGCGCGCCTTTCAGAGCACGAGTTTGCGCCCTTCTTGGTCGCCCCTTTCGACAAGATCATTCTACTCGGGGATATCCTCCAGCTCCCGCCCCTCATCCAGGACCTGACAATCGCGAGCTCCGGGGCCCTCGACTGGTCTGTCTTCCACCGCATTTGCTACTCTCCGCGGGTCAGCGTGCCGATTGTGGTCCTGGAAGAACAGTCACGAACGTTCCAGGAATCGTTCTAGAGATTGCTGACTTTTATGTTCAAGTTAATTATGAATCATCATCTAGAGACACCTCTCACGCGAAAGACATGTTTGTCATTACTGGATCGTCCGGGAGAGAGTAATTTACTGCTGTGTAACAAGCAGCCGCTAAGATAAGCTAGACAAAGGGTTTCAGGATTTCACAACACTATATTTTCACCTCCAGATTAACCGGTTTTAGATGCTGTTGAATTATATTTTTCCATAGAACGATTGATAGAAAATCCAAAAGCCCCACTTTATTGCTTACCAGGGGGGCTTGCATTTGAGGATAATTGAGGGCTCCTCTTCCGAACCAAGGCCGAGATGGTACCAGCCTGCATCCTGATGGTGTCATGAAGCTTCCTATTTTCTGCTTGGGTGGCCTCTGAGGCCTCGCGCAACTTAGTAAAGGAGATCTCCTGGTGCAGTATTGCTTCGCGTAGTTGCTGTATTGTTGAGTCCTTTGCTTCTAGCTCCTCTGAGAGTGTTTCCTTAATTTGCTCCAACTCATTGATTTGGAATACATACTGTGATAGCTCAAGGCTCGGCATTTTAACCACAGTAAGCGTGCTTGAAGACAAGCTGCTTTGCACTGGGCTTTGCAGTGCAACCTTTTGTCGAAGAGAGTCTATCTCGGCGGTAGCTGCGCGGAGAGACGCGGTCAAGTCTTGGATGATGCACTCCTGCTTGATAAACTTCTGTTCCCTGAGGGCGGCGCTTTCTGCCTGCTGCTTGATAAGCTCGTCCTTCAAGTGCTGGATCTCCTGCTCCTTGTCGGCCATATCAGAACTGTATAGTGAATTTCTACGGGGACGCCTACCTTCGGGTGTGGCAGACTTGCTTCTGTCTGTAAATGAGCCATCTGTGGACATGCCTAGACTTCCCCTTCGTTTGGCGGAGTCCAACAGTGTACTATTCTTTTCAATAGCCTCGCAAAGCTCATCAATGATAATGTTCTTTTCTCGCACCTCGGATTCTAAAGTATTGATGTCTTTATAAAGAGCATCTATAAAGACCTTTGTTCCTTTGGCATCTGCTTCCGATTGCTTCTTCATACTATCAATAATGGCGTCCTTGGCTTTAATAGAGCGTTGCAAGATATCTATCTCTATATTCGTCTTCAATCTATGCTGATTTGCAACCAAATCATCTAGCACAATCCCCATGCTGCAATCAAAAGACCGTGGAGATGGACAGATTGATTCTTTCTCGGTAATAGTACCAAACTGTGTCGGCTCTTTGACAGTGAAGTCTATGGACTCTGCATGAGTGTCAGTGCTCATGCAGATCGGTGTCTCTATACTGGGGCGTGCCGTGGACAAGGGGAGTCGTTGATTCTGGAAACTGAGCAGACCCTTGAGCTGAGCAATCTCGTTGTCACGGGTCTCCAAAGCAGATGCATACTGTAACAGTAACGATCGAACCAGTTCTGGGTCTTTGCTGGCAAAATCTAACTGCTTAAGGATAGATGTAGCCGTCAATTCTGGGACTTCATGAATGACAGACGTTGCATCCAATTGAGAACAGTGCTCATTGTCGTCTTCAGCTTCTGTACTATGTGTAGTTGGAAGAGTGATGTTTTGGTCGAAAAAGACCAAGGATTCCATCTCGGCGTCTGCTTCTGTTCTTGCATTTTCATTTTCCTCTACTACCGCCTCTGCGTTGCATTCCTGCTGCATCTGTTCCTGAGCGCGGATCTTCTCCTTCTGTTCTCGTAGCTCTAAGTCCCCCGCGTCCTCTTCAGTATCTTCGTCATTGTCATCTAAACCATAGTATGTGGATGGCTTGCGTGACAATGCTTCGGACTCTTGCGTCGATAGTAAGTGGAGCAGCCTAGCGCTGGATATGCGATCGTCTGGTGAGACTGTCAGACAGTTTCTAAGTATTGATGCTAGCTGTGGTGAGTATGCCTCCAGGATGATGGGGTCGCGGGGCTTTGGCTTATGAAGGCTGCACAGTTCCAAAATGACGCATCCTAGCGACCATACGTCTACTTTTTCATTGTACTCGCCGTCATTGACCTCTGGAGCCATGTAAGCATCTGTTCCTACTCTGCTAGAGGCCATCGACAGTTCGTGCAGCCCTCGAGAGAGGCCGAAGTCACATATCTTAGCGATACCATCCTTGGTAAAGACAATATTGGTCGGTTTAATGTCTCTGTGGATGATTGCACCCACGGTGGGTTTCTTTTCTGGGGAATGAAGATAAACAAGTGCTGAGGCCAATCCTTTGAAAATCTGCCAAATAGTCCGCTCGGGGAGGGGTTGCTTCCTCACTCGTTGGCTCTTGATCAGGTCTGAAAGAGATCCACCGGGACAATATTCCATCTCGAGGTATAGCTGTCCGGACTCCTTATCGAAGTGTGTTGTATAACATGTGACAACATTAGGATCAACAATGTGCGGGTAATATGTGTATTCAGCGAGGATAATCATCCGCTCTGCGAGTCCAGCACCAGTTGTGTCAACCTCCTTCACGGCCACTGTTTTGCTGTCTGATACCCGTTGGGCGCTAAAAACCTTTCCAAACGAACCATTCCCTATGACGACGTGGTTCTTGTAGAGCCGTCCGATCGTCTCGGAAAACATGCCACTTAACTTTTTTAGAGACAGATTCACTTCTGCTAGTAACCTTCCTATCACGGATTGGAGATCCAGCTAGTGCTTGATCGTCAAATTTTCGATATACTGAGTGATATTAGCATCACGCAAAGTCGGGTCCTGGAACATTTCATCTGTGTTTTTGTGTACGTTTAGTTGGTTGACCAAATCTGTCACCTGAGACGTGCTGAAGTTGTCTAGTGACGGGACCGTGGGGTCGGGCCTTATATACTGACGGTTAAGAGACTCTATTTCTTCTGCCTCAGTGGGTCCAGCCGAGTCGGCCCCGATATCGTACCTCTTAATCAATCGCGAATAGTCGGTAGTAGTGGAAGACAGAGCGGGGGCGTCTGGAGCCTTTGTGTTTGCAGAAGCTGCCTGTAAAGTAGAGGGGGCGGGATATAGAGGTGGGTGAGGGGGTGCCTGTGGAGCAGGCCTCGGAGGAGCATGAGTGCTTGGCGGTAGCTCGCTATTTGGAGCGATTACGATGTCCATGTCAGCCAGGCATATGCTATCGCGAGTTGAGCGGAAGGACGCGCCCGAATTAGACGATAATGTATCTTGTTCAAGCGTGGAGCTATCAGATGGAAGTGAGTCAGCGAAGCGTACAGTTCCGGGACCAGTGGCTGATTGACTTCTTTGAAGCTTCTTGTCTCCAGATAACCGACTTAGTAAATCCTTCGCACTCTCCTTAGAAAGGGACTGGACAGGCTTTGTTTCAAGAGTATCCAGGGACTTATGTGAGCGTTGCAGTTTAAGATTGAGCTCCTCAACCTCCATAGACAGCCTGGATTTCTCTTCCCGAAGAGTCTGGAGTTCAAGGGTCATCTGGCTGAACCCATGCTCATGCTCCTGCTGAAGGGTATTATGGAGTGACCTCTCGGCATTCAGCATATTGGTGGTATCACGCAAGCGAGACGCTAAATCCACATTCTCGGCTTTTAGTGCTCCGTATTCCTCTTCTGTGGGTAGCCTGCTCTTTTCAAGGGTTAGGGTCTGTACTTGAGACGTCAGCTCTGTAATTTCATATGCTTGCTGAGCCCTTAGATTCTCCAGCTCAACGATTGCTCCTTGTGAAGCCAGTGCCTGCTGGTATGTTACTGTATAATTCATGCGTGCTTCTAGGAGCAGGTCAGTCTGGGTATTGAAACAGAGGTGAAGGTTGTTGACGAGAAGCTTTAGATCACATAGATTCAGAGCTAGCGAATCGTTAAGGTGCGCATTTGCAGAGGTATAGTGGTTTGAAATAGATGTTATATGGACAGTTGCTTTTCCTAAGCGGTTGGAGAAGTCAAAGAGATTTGAAAACATAAAGGAGTCGGTGAAAATTGAGGACAGGTATCCAGTCACCTTCATAATAGCTGCCATTTCTGTCTGCAAATAAAGTGGCGTACTCATTGTACCCCCTGCGGGCGATGGGCTAGGAAGGCTCATCAACTCTAGGATTGAAGGGCTTCCTGCTTGTTGTACTCCAGCGAGATCTCTCTCTTTGATGGTTCCATCCATCTGAACGGCATCTGTACCAGAGATACTGGAGTAGCTGGTTGAGAAACCGTAAAATTCCACGGGTACCGTATTGTTGCGGTTTAAGATGGAGAATAGCCTATCCAGGCCCACAAAGAAGTCATCACGAGGCCCGTGACTTTGCTGCAACGAAGCTGACATGGTAGTTCGCGGTCGCACGAGACTAGAGCCACGGGGGCCATGAACAAGAGTATCAGCCGAGAGAAGGTAGCTACAGAATACAACCATATGGATAAGTGCTTGCTTCTTTCGCCTCTTAATGATGTCTCTTCGGCTCTTTAAGATGAAAAGATACTGTTCGTTTTCCCGTTCAACCTGCACACCCGTTGCAGGGTCCACAGCAATAACTATTCCGTGAATGCTTTTCTCAATCTTATCATTAAGGTGCCTCAGCTTTTCGATAGCTTTTTCTTGATGGTTATACATTCCAAGGAGTAGTTTGTAGTCAAGTAGTATACGACGCAGTGAATAACGATCAAACTCAATTACCTTGCATAGAGAGTATATGACAAATGCAAATATGGATAGCTTCTGTTGGCGATGTGCTACATCCTCAGTAAGCGACGCGACCTGGGCAGCGTATGACTCAGACGTCTGCTTGATCTCCAGTTCCAGTTCCTTGATCTGTCTAGTCATGTCGCTTCTCACTGTCTCGACGGAATCATAGCCTCGCTGTTCTATCTCTTGGCATTTATTTTGTTGAAATAGCAGATCGTCGGACACAGTTCTCAGACGTGCCTCTAGAGATTGCAGCTCCAAGGCTGCAGAGACCTTGCTTTCCTGAGCATCCTGAAGCGCAAGGCATGTGTCAACCAAAATGGAGCGAACATCGATTCCTTTTGAGGAAGCATAACGGATACGCGTGTCGGTTGGGCCTGAAGTTGCACTAAAAGCATTAGAATGAGATAGTAATGGACCCTTATTTTGTGACGATTTAAGCACTGCGGAAGCGCTAAGGTTCGACGTGTCTGGCATTGCCAATTGATCGACCAATTTCAGAGCGACAATCTTGATGCCATCAAATTCGTCAGAAATAGAGCGCAAGGAAGAGAGCTCTGCTTCTTGAAGTGAGAGCTTATCTTCACATTCTCGACATGCACGCCTGCAGTCTTGAATCTCAGTGTCCTTGGATACTAGGTGGGACTGGAGCACGCCAACCTGTCGCTCAGAGTCTTCAAGACGACGAGTCAATTCAAGCACTTCGTCATCCTTGGCGCTGTATGCTACAGAAAGCTCTTTATTCATCTGTGAGAACTGCTGCACATCATCTAGCACCCGTGCTAGACGGAGACATACCTCGCGGACTAGCTTTTCGCTCCACGAGAGAGGCCCAGAGTTTGCTGACAATCCCAGTTTGTAATACATTTGCTTCATGCCTTCAGACAACTGACTAATAAGTAAATCTTGCTCTAGATCTGCACCCCTAGAGCCTAGATCATCGCATCGCAGGGAAGCTCCCAAGGACGCAGAGGTAGCAGCTGTTTTTCCTGAGGCACCTCCCAGGGTGGCTGCTTTGCTTCTATAGTTACACATCCATGCATGTAATCTATTAAATTCCTCCACTATTGATAAAAGGAACTCCTCATACTCTGCCTTAAGAGTTTTACCGCTTGATTCTAGCGAAGAAATGCGTGCTTGCATGTTTTTAAGCTCGAGCTCTTGGGCCTCGACTTGCTTGTGCAGTCCCGGAACATTTTCAAACTCAAACTGCTTCAATTGCAGCGCCTGCGAGGCATTAATGGCGATGAGCTCTTCGATTTGCTTGTGCTTCCCTATGCTGAGCACTCTGTTCTCATTCTGCTGATCAATAAGCTGAAGCTGTAGCGTCTCAAGTTGTTTTTCCTTATCAGCTAGGCAATGTTCAAGCTCTTCTATCTGATGCCTATTATTCTCTATGATTGCCCTAGCATCCTTATATTGAGAAAGCTCTTCGCACTGACGAATGGCTGCCTGGAGTTCTCCATCCAGCTGTAATACTTTCTGCTTAAGTTTTTCATTTTCTTGGACCACCTGATCTAACTTTAGCTCAACCATCCTCTTTTCGGTAAGGTCATGAAGAGAGCGTGACTTTGTCTCCATGAGCTGGACGTGTAGATCATTTGCCGTTCGATCCTGTTCATACCCATTGATGCTAGATGCCTGGGTATAGACTGTGCTAACTCCTAGGGTAGTGCCATTCGCTCTACCAGCCTGCTGTGTTGCGGGAAGCCTGTATGCTGTTCCATAGAGGCTTTCTAACCTGCTCTGTGCCTGGATGCTCTTATATAGTTCTGCCCTGAGGCGGACACCGTCAAGGGGAGCGCTGTTCATGATTGCAAACCCCCAATTGTAGAAGTTATTAATTTATGACGGAGTAAAAATTCCATGGCACTCCTCTACCTCTTCCTCCAGAGTCTCGTGGGGACTTTGAGCGCTATCGGAGCCTCTTACTTGTTGATGTATCGGCGAAAAGACTTCCAAGAGTTAGCAGGTAAGATGAAGGAGGATTATGTAATTCTGGATAAGATTGACAGTTTTGTCATCATCACAGAGGCACAACGCCTGCAGAAGGAGCAAGTAGTCAAGCGCCTTGAAGTGTTATCGGCCAAGCTTACACGTATGAAGTGGACCTCTTGGATCGGGACGTACATTATTAGCGCTGTTATCCTCCGTTTATTCAACAAGCTACTCTCTGTGAAGAACGATACACTGGGGGGCTACCTTCCTTTTTACTTTCCCCTATCTGTCCCGCCTTTCAGTCGCTTTCTGCAACGTGGTCTTCCCGAAGGCCATGATCCCAGTGCAGTATCCGCTTCAGTTATTGTGCTTCTTCTGAACCAGGTGTTGCGTCCTGCTCTTCTAAAGTTGGCCAAGTGTGAGATTCCCGCTCAGATGGCCCCTAGAAATGCGGGAAAGCGGATGTTTGGAGGCACTCTAATGGCACCGGAAGACGACGCTGCTATATTTACATAGGAGATATCAACTGACAACATTCATTTCTGCATGTGAACCATTCTCTGCTGCTTTCTCTCTTAACATCTCTTGCAGCTCTTCACTGAATGGACGCAGCTTCCCAGAGAGTTCGAAGAGTTCCCGCTTCGTCAGGAGGGGAAGGCGGAGGCAGCCCATAGGTGCGAAGGTTCCACTGCATGTAGATAAGGTGGAAGGCTGATGCAGGAGGGCTTCAACAAAAACGTCGAGGGGAACGTGTCCTTGTAGACCTAGCGTCTTCAGGCCGGAGACGCGGATTTTAGTATAGTTGTTTAGTAGAGGTGTCAGAGCCTTGTGAATGTCCAGAGAGGACCAGTAGCTGCGGACGTGAATGGCTGCGAAGGCTGTTGCATATGCAAAGCCCCTTGCGGAGAGTATTTCATGGACGATGGATCTGTCTGGACGAAGCATATATAGCCGTACAAGCGAACATAAGAGCCGCGAAGGTTCTTGGCCGTACTCTAAATCTATGTTACGAGTCACAAGTACATCTTTGAGAAGGCCGATAACACCAAGGTGCTTGAATTCCATTAAATAAAGTGGGCTATTGAGAATCGCTCGTCGTGTAGCGTGCTCCATCTAATGCCTTTTAAAAATGAGCTCACTGACTAGAGCCTTAATAGAGATCCACACTTTATTTTTTCCTCATGAGCGCGCTCCAAAGGTTCCTATTGCTAGGGCAGATCGCCCCACACAGCTGATGCATGCCGCTCGAGCAGGGCAGATAGACAAGGTTGGCGCCAATTTGCATGAGGCACGTGTGGCCCGTCATGATAGGACAGCGCTAATGTTGGCTGCCGAAAATGGACACCTAGAATGTTGCAAGTTATTAGCAGAAGCGGGGGAGGCTGGAATGGTGGACGAGAGAGGCGTGACAGCTCTTTCGAGAGCCATAGCAGCAGAGCGGTTTTCGTGCGCATTCTTCTTGTGTCCGTATGAGGGACAACTATCTGGCATTACTCCGTTGATGCAAGCAGCCGCACTAGGTGATTGCGACCAGCTACTTCTAAATACTAGATACCTCGATAAGAAGGACCTTAATGGATACACGGCAACAATGTTTGCTTCCCTTTACGGCAACATTAAGTGTTTGGAGTACTTATTTGTGAATGAGCAAACTCTAGAGGATTTTTCATTTATCGGCGTGCTTCAGTTGGCCATAAAGCAGAGTCAGCTGCTGTCTACATCATTCCTTATTCACCAAAGACCGCATTTGTTTTCCAATCTCTTCTGTAATAACGACATGGAGCTAAGCATTGGTTGGAGCATGTGCCTTACGAACGCACTTACAATGCTGAGTAGCACGAATACCGCTCTTCAAACGACACCCTTGATGTACAAGGTAGCTCTTGGGCAACCCATAAGTACGACTGATCTGGATACCTGGGCAACGAAGAGGGACTTTCACAAGCGGACAGCACTAATGTACTGTGGGCAAACAAACACCAATCCTCAGCACACTATCGACCTACTTATAGAAAGGGAAGCAGGCCTGCGAGATCACTCGGGATACATGGCCTTCTGTTATGCGTTTATGACGCATAACATGCCCCTAGCAAGTCTTCTCTATGAAAAGGAGATGGAGGCAACATTTGGAGATAGAAACAATGCGTTTGCTGTTGCCGTCTCTTCGAGAAATCTAGATCTTATGGCATTTTGTCTCGATATCAACATAAGGAAGGGATACAAACCTGAGCACTACAAAATCAGCATAAGAGACCCACTCAGTATACAAGGCACTGTCACGCATCTGATAGAATCAATTATGCAAGGAACTCCCGACGATTATATTTTCTTTCGGGAGGAAATCGGGATTGTTTCTACCAATCTATTTCCATTGCCGCTTTCGGCCCTCCAAGTACTGATTTTGACTGCGAACTATGAATACATTCCCTTTTTACTTGGGGAGCTGGGGATGACATACTCCCACCATAGGACTTCGCTTATGCTGGCAGCAAGCATGACTGACTCTCCAATCCTATTTGATGCTTTCCCGTATCTTGTTGCCGAACACGGAAATAAAGATGACCAAGGGATGACTGCTCTTATGTATGCTGCACATCGGGGAAATATTTCTTATTTGCGAGGTCTTCTACACCTGGAGGTGGGCGCCCAGGATCTGTCTGGGCGAACTGCTCTCATGCATGCCGTCATCCATAATAACTTGGAGGCAGTAAAGCTCTTAGCTAGCTATGAGCAAGGAATACCCAATTTCAATGGATATACATCGTTGATGGTGGCATCCTATAATAATCACATAGAAATAGTTAGAATTTTGATGCATGAAGAGGCAGGGTTTATCACCAGTGAGAAGTACACTGCTCTTGCACTGGCTATGCAAGAAGGACACGTAGAAGTAGCTAAACTGTTATACTCATCAGATGCAGAGGTGAGGAAGACCAAGATAAATCCATTGATCTGGTCGGCATTTTGCGGGGACGTAGAGGGCACGCTTCAGTACAGGCAAGAGTACGTGATGAAGCAGTCGGCTGTTTGTTCTACTGCGCTCAAGTATGCTGCATCGGCTCGCTCCCCGGAGACAGTCTCCCTTCTTCTGGAAGAGGCAGGTATGGCTGATGACACAAAGAATACCGCACTCATGAGTGCAGCACGTCTGGGCTCACTGGAGTGTGTGCGATTACTTAAGCCTTACGAGCTGGGGATGAAGAACGATAGCGGAGAAACAGCCCTGTTCTACGCAGCTACCAGAGGACACGCCGAGATTGTGACGGAGCTGCTAGAGGAGGCGTCCATAGTGGGGCAATCTACCCTGATTGATATGATCATGAAGTACGTCACCGATTTCAGACCAGAACCTATAATAGTGGACCTGATTCTTAATGATTTTATCCCTCGTTTGCTCAACTCTCAGTAAATGCACCAGTTTAAAAAATATCAGTGCACCTCAGCACTTCAATGAAGCAAACCCCAAGCATTGCTGAGTCCGCTCTTTCACTGACAAAGTCAGAGCTAGTGTCCTCAACGCACAGGGCTCTTCCGGTGTTTAAATTAACTGAGAAACACACATCTCCTCCAGCGATTGCTCTGTTTCAGGCCAAAAATGCTCAAGGGAAGCTTTTCGGGTGCACTGGAGCTAGTATGAAAGAAAGTGATGAGCCATGTTTTGTTTATACCGTCTTTCTAAGTGGTTTTTCCAAGCCTGTAATTGCAGATACAGTACGAACCATTGAAGCACTTGCACGCTTGGATGGTTACAATTTTCTAAAGATATATGGAATACACAGAGATGAGGAGACCAATTCTCTGTTAATTACGACCGAGTGTCCCCCGACAATCACACTCCAAGCCATCCTTCAAGATGGCGTGATAACGAGACGAGCAATGACTGAGCAGGAGTTGCTTCCATTGTATTTGCAATACCTACATATTGCCGAGTACCTTTCAGAGCAAAAGTCTCTTCCTTCAGCGTTAATGCCATATCTAATAGACCCAAAAGTGACTTTGTTCAAGACTCGCGAGCTTATCAAAATACACACCGTCGAAGCATACCTAGCGTACCTGTCTTCGACTCTCGAATGCCTCGCAGATAGTACCGGTTTTTCTGAACTAACTCCCGTTTTTAATGAACTATCTTTAAGCAGAGGTCCCTCCATAGGACCTGGGCTTCGTGCAACATCAACTATCTACGGAGGAAATTCTTCTGCTCGGTCGGACTCCGTCAACTCACTATTGACCACAAGCTCCCTGAATCGCACTAACCTATCTTTATCTACCACAAACCTTGCAGGGTCATATTGCTCGCTTGGGTCTTTGGTTTCTTCGCACCGCTCACTTTCTAGGGCAGCGTCTACTGTGTCTAACAATAAAGCTGTTCAGGCACGAAAGGCTGCAGAAGAGGCTCTTCTCCAACTTATCAATCAGCTTATGATTATGATTATTGTCGTGCCCCAGCTTCCCTTCCAGCTGTCTTGCGAGAAGAATCCAGATATTGCGCTCAGCATTATCCGTGGATCTCTTTCGAGCAACTTTCGTCAAGTTTTAAGGCCTCAACAGATTCTGGAGGAGATTGCTGGAAGAACAGTCACCAGCAGCTTATTATCATGTTCTTCAATTGACACAGATTGTTGCGAGAAAGTTGGCTATGCGGGTACACTAATTCTTAATAGCTTGAATTCTACCGTATGTGTGGCAGTTCAACCATGCGGTATTGTCGTTGAAGGGTCAAGAAGCACTACTTATAGCGAGGATAGTGAGGACAGCGAAGATAGCACAAAGAAGAAATGGCCCACGATAAATGAGGCTGTTCTAAAATATTTCCCCGACAGATTTCCATGGATTTCCACAATGCTCGTCATGGAGCCTCTCCGAACTGTTGAAAACTTTCTTCGAACTACGTTTTATCCTGATGGTATGGGAGTCACCTCGCTAATGAAAGCAGCCATAAGTAACGATGTTCTGCTAGCTCAAGACTACATTTACCAATCAGGTATACGCGATTCTGCAGGAAATAGTGCTCTAATGTATTGTGCCCGAACTGGCGCGGCTGATGTGGCGAAGCTTCTACTAAAGTCGGAGGCTGGCCTACGGAATAAAAAGAAAGAAACGGCGTTGCTAATAGCTGTAGAGCATTCTAACCTAGAGATAGTGCGTTTGCTTGCAAGTTTAGAGCTAGGCTTGCGGGAATTAGGAAGCCGAAGCCCCCTCATGATCGCGCTTCAAAATCAGAACATCGACATTTTGCGGATTTTGCTCAGCGCAAGCCACGCGCAAGGAATTGTAGCGCAGCTCACAACAAATGAGGCAACAAACACAACGTATCTTATGCGTGCCGTAGAAATGGGGGATATCGAGCTAATACGGACGCTGATTCCTTACATGGCTAAGAAGATGAATAATAATGGGATGACGGCTCTTATGTTGGCTTGTGAAAGAGGGCGCACAGAAGAGGGACTCGAGCTAGTCAGTGTTGAAGCAGGAATCAGAGGACCTGATGGGATGACAGCTTTAATGTACGCATCTATGAATAACAATAAGACGTTGGTGAAGGCTCTTGCCGAGATGGAGGCAGGCATGGAAACAGATTCTGAAGAGTTTGCGTTGCATTTAGCATTTACTTCCAGAGCTGAAGACTCTATCAGTGTTCTACTGAGCTATGAAAAGGACCTTTTAAAGAAGTGCAAGTTCACACCTTTGATGAAGGCAGTTGCCTGTTATAACATCAATTCTTTCAAAGTGATGCAAAAGAGTTTTGCGGGGAAAACAGACTCGTTTGGTTACACCGCTCTTATGTTTGCGTGTATCTTCAATCGCAAAGATGCTGTGGAAGCTCTATTGCCCGAGGAAGGAGATCTCGTGCTAGCCAACGGAACCACCCCATTTATTCTTGCACTACGGCATGGAAGCACAGACGCAATCAATACAATCATTAACTATTACGAGGAGATTCTACCTAAGCAGGACATTCACTCTAACAGTGCATCTATGAAGGGCGTTCTAGCAAGCTTCATTAGCAATAATAGTTTGACTGATCCGTCCAGTAGTTCACACACAATGACAAGCCCACAGATTCCTGGTAAGAATTCCCCTATTCGTGAATCTTCACAGTCATTAGCCGGTACGCCATTTTCATTGTCTAGATCAACCCCGACTCTTCCTGGAGCTAAATGCACCCTTGATTCGGAGACTCTTCAGTCGCCTGGATCGGTGAACAAGGGCGATGTCAAGAGAGCCACAGCACAATATCTACTCAGCCCCAATATAATGAAAATTTGGAACACGGCTATCTCTGCTCCTGGACCGGACGCATTATTTCAAGCGGTGGCTAATAACGACATTGATGCTGTTTTTTCGTTAAGGAAAACACACGCCAAACGCCGTGACGATAAGGGGTGCACAGCACTTATGCTTGCGCTCCGCAAAAGCTACTACGACATTGCAATGATCCTGGCACGGCATGAACACGGAGTCCAGGATTCTCTCCAGAAGACCGCTCTTATGTACTGCATTGACCGCCAGTCACTGCGTCTCATTGATGTCCTCGGACCTTATGAGAAGGGCCTTGCCGACTTCAAAGGAAAGACTGCCCTCTATCATGCATATGAGAACAAGAACCTAAATGTTATGGAAAGGCTCTGTAAGTACGAAGCTGACCTACCAATACCTATTCTCGAGGGATCTGCAACAGGTAGAACCCTCTTGATGTTGGCTGCACGGGAAGGAGACTGTGCGAGATTAAAGATTCTGATACCGTACCAGGCCGGAAGACGCGATAGTATGAGCTGGTGCGCTTCACGCTACGCCATAGAGATGGGTCGAGTTGCGTGCTTGAAGCTGCTTATCACACATGAAAAGTGCCTGTTGGAGGAAGATGGTTTTACGCAGCTGATGATAGCCGTAGCAATGCGCTCTGCAGAGCCACTGGTGCAATACAAGGATAGCATTCGCCGGCGTACAAAAGATGGACACACAGCCCTGATGATCGCTGTGTATAGCAATAACATCCCAGCAATCAAGCACTTGATCGCCAGTGAGAAGGGGATGCGGAGACCGGACGGTCGAACTGCGCTCATGATTGCTGCGGAGAAGGATAATGCAGAAGCATGCCGGCTCCTGGCGCCTCATGAGTCAGGGATACGCATATCCAGCAATATACACCTGAGCAACAAACAAGAGATCGGAAAGCCAGTAGCGCTGATGCTGGCAATCGTCGCGAAAAGCGTACGATGCCTGAAGTGGCTGGGCGAGTATGAAAAAAAGATGACAGAAACCAAGCAGCAGATGACGTCTCTCATGATTGCAGCGCAGGTGGGGCACGTCGAGGCAGTTCAAGTTTTGCGAAGCGCCGAAGCGGGCGAGCAGGACTCTTTAGGCTGGACAGCGCTAATGCACGCTGCGGCGTGGGATCATCCAAACATAGTCAAGTATCTCGTCCCCTACGAGCTAGACCTGGTTGATGAGAATGACCAATCGGCTCTCGATCTTGCAGTGAAGTACGGACAACTGTCGTGCATAAGGATCCTAGCTCCAGCTTGTGCCCCACAGTTCGGAGAGACAGCACTACAGAAGCTAGCCGCAGGCTCTACGGCGCCGGCGGCTCTCCGACCTGAAATCCAATCTGAGATATGTCGCTATCTTGACCTTGGTAGAGTTAAGTAGGCCACCCTTCATTTAGTACGGGGCTGTTATTAGTTAACGCCGAAGCGGAGATCCGCGCATGGAGACATCAGCTATGCTTCATATGCTCTCCGTCGACCACATTATGCACGCGCTTGTAAGTAGGTCGGACGTTTCGGGGTTGTGCTTTTATTTTTACAAACTTATTGACTGGAAGAATGTAAGACTCGGCTGCATTTTAGGTAAAAAACAAGCACAGCCACTTCAGTGGTAGCTCCCTGGAGACCACGCGTAGTAACCGACGATAGATTACGGGGAAATTATCACGTTGCTATTTGTTGAAAACCGCAATAAAATGTTGATGTCTATGTCAATCGTGCTTCTTCTGGTGCGGTCTTCTGCATCTGCCAGTTGTGAGGTTGACTACTGCACCGAGTGCGTCCCAGACTACCCCGATAACTGCATGATATGCCAGGATGACTATAAGCTAGACGTGGAAACGGGCAAGTGCGTTCCATGCCCAAAGGGTACATGGGGTCCCAGGTGTTCCACACGCAAGTGCTGGTTCACCACACGCGTACATTGTCTAGAATGTGGCTATACAGATCGATGTTGGACCTGTGAAGACGGGTACTATGTGACGTGGTATGGGGGCTGTGGTGCGTGTGCAGAAGGCACCGGAGGCTATGAGTGTCAGGACCTCCGTTGCGGTAATGTTACACTACCAAACTGCGAAGTTTGTAGTAGTGCAACGAGAGATGCTTGTGGTCTTTGCAAGGATTCTTACAAGCTGATTCCAGAGACCAATAAGTGCGAAGCATGCCCCGATGGCCGAATCGGACCAGAGTGCATTTCGATGAGGTGTCTGGCCACAACCAGAGACTATTGCCTCGAGTGTCTTTCTGGGACGAATCGTTGCAGCCGGTGTTACGACGACTTTCATCCTAATGAGCTTGGAAAGTGTGTTCAATGTCAAGGGAATACCGGTGGCTACAATTGCGAGAAGACTAAATGCAATGGAAAGATATCCGAGAATTGTGCGACTTGCTACTCAGCTGAAGATGCAATCTTGGAGCCAGGGGCATGCAAAGTTTGCAAAGATGGGTACTACAAGGAGTCTAGTAACTCCATTACTTGTACACCGTGTCCAGACAATAGATTGAGTGATGGGATTACATGCAATGCGGTGTTGTGTTCTGGGACCCGCCAGGAGAATTGTCAGACATGTGCAGAAAGTGGAACGGCATGTCGACTTTGCTTCAATGGTTATAGTCCCAATGAGACGGGCTCTTGCACGCCGTGCCCTGATGGCAAAGGCGGGCCAAACTGTGTGGGGACAAAGTGCACAGCTGATCAACTAACCCTTGTTGACGACTGTAGATTCTGTGGAGATGATGGAGCGTGCGTTCAGTGTGCTGCAGGCTTTATGCTCGATAATAAGGAGTGCGTTCCTGTCAATGGATGCCAGAGCCCCAACTGCAGAAGCTGCACCGTCACAGAGAGAACAGAGACTTGCAAGCGTTGCCAAAAGGGATATTATGTTGTTGGGGGCAGGTGTGCACGTTGTGTCGGGAACTGCCTCGACTGTAAGAGCGCAAGCATCTGTGTTGCGTGCGAGGACGGTTATACGTTGACGGCCGACGTTTGCGTATTGAATTCCCCAGACGTAGACGTGGACTCCTGCAGCATCTCAAACTGTCTGGCGTGCCTGGCCAACAGCCGAGACGTTTGTGCCACGTGTTCTAGCGGCTACCTATGGAATGCAAATGAAAAGGCCTGTGTTGTAGCTTGCCCAGATACTAACTGTATCGATTGCAATCAATCCACTGGTGAGTGCAGCGCCTGTGGCGTTGGATATGGAATGCAGGGGGCTCTCTGCTATCCTTGTACAATTAGTGATTGCTCTAGTTGCAGCTTTCGCACAGATTCCAGAACAGGAAAGAGTATTGAGATCTGTACACAGTGTTCTTTCGGAGAGCTGACTGCTTATGGCCAATGCAAAGAAATTGTGCGCGTAGGAAGAAGAACGGTTTTAATATCATCTGTTAGTGCTACCGTTTTGGTTCTCTTGGCGTGCATTGGTATTGGGCTTTTCTTCATCTTTCGCCGCAGATCACCCAGACTTGATGCCGCTTCGGAAGCACTTTCTGTGGAGACTCTACAAGAGCACGAACTTTCCCGTCAGTGTTGACAATGGTCCCGAATGTGTGGAGCATAAAACTGATTAGCTATTTATCATAGCATAATCTACATTGATGGTCTCGCGGTACGTGCTAGTAAATGTTTTGTTGAACCGGGAAAATGCAACATGCCTTTGCGGTTATCCAGAGCTTGCTTGAACAGGGAGACCTGCTCGGCGGCGCAGCTCGTCTTAGAGCTCTCATAGCATCGCCGACTACCCTGGCAGCACTGGTCGACGAAGCAGGAGATGGCTCTACCGTGCGAGAATCCATTGGTCTCCTGATGTCTCTTATGGATGCTCTATGGCTTCTCTCGAAGGATGTCGCTCGTCCCATCTTCAAGGAGCTATTGGATACGCATTACGCACCAGCTCTCACCCCACCGTATACTAGTCTACCTGAGGAAACCACAGCGCTTAATATTTTCCTTGCTGTTCTTAGCACTCTGGATACCATCTTGTCTGAAGAGCTAGAGCTTTCAGCCGGTGGCGTGCCTGTCTCGAAGGCCACTGCCATTCAACTAAAGATTATGGAAGCATATCTCGCCCTTAGGCCCTGTGAGCCGGCCCTCGCCATCTGGGCCGACTTTGTCCTGGTTCCGCTTATTCTAACGGGGAAGATAGATGAAGCCAAAGTCATTGAGCGCGCCCATCCAAAGCTCTACCACTTCCCTAAGGGTACGGCCCTGCACGATCTCGTCTCTACTTTGTATCCACTGGATGGATGACACCTTATTTACTTTCGACGTGACTGCTGATGCCTTCTGATGGGGACACGTAATTCTTAAGTTCATCCTTCGCCACCTTTACCTCAAACGTTAGGGGAGTCATTGACTTTCGCCTGACTCCTCCTGCAGGCGCTTGGTTAGTGGTTGTGCGTCGAGAGGCCAACTTCTTGCTGTTCGCAGGAGCTGCGATGGTGACCTTTGCGTCAGCGTCAGTGGCGAGGGGCTCACTTCGAGGGGTCAGAAGTTGATTTCTAAGCGCGATATTCTTAATCGGAAGCTTATCGAAGTTGCCACCTCTGGCTTCTTCATTGACTAGCTCCACCAAGCGGCGCAAACGAGAAACGGTCAAGTTGTACGCTTTAAGACCACATCCGATGGTGCGGTTCAAAGGGTCCACGGGAACCATGGCCAGTGCAACATTTCCAGGCTGCACAAGCTCCTCCTTGTATCCAGGAACAAATGCAGTCCTCAATCGGTCGAACGGTATTGTGTTAGGGTTGAGGGACATTTCCTTGATGGGATAGTCAGACTCCAGCATGGCTGGCTCGTGGCTGTGTGTTTCCGCGCCCCATAGCTCTGTGTTGCTTTGACTTGCGGGGCCGCAGCTTTCTATCTCATGGACATTGTCTCCGCACGTGAATGCGTTGAGGCTCAGGTAATTTGCAGTGCTAGTTCCTGACTGCATACTGCCGAGTTCTTCGTCCTCATCAACGCACTCTCCAATCATGTCTCGTTGCTCAACAAAATTCATGCGACGCAAGTATTCTTCAGAGAGTTCTCCTGATCCCCCTAAGCTCTTGTCGCAGAGCTTGGCAATGTCATCCCACTTTTGCCTCCGTGCAGTCTTCAGGTGTTCGTGCGCAATCAGTTCTTGGAAGAACATGTCGTCAACACTTTTACAAACGTCGGGGTACGCCTCAGCCAACACTTTGAAAAGCGACTCTGACTGTGCGCGAATGTTTTGGCTCCAATAATTTTGTGCATTGAAGCTGAGAGGCTTTGCAAGGGTGTATGGGAAATTATAGTCGTTTAAAAACACACAGTTTTTGCTGGTTACAACTACCCCATAGCTATCGGCCACCTTCTGATAGCTTGCCGTTGCAAATTTGAGATGGTTGGCAATCTTGGTGTTGAGAAGCATATTTAGTGCCCGCTCGGCAACCTGAAAATGAGAGGAGGAGATGCACTGAGAAATGTGATAGAAGATGGACTTGTAAACGTTGAATTTCTTGATATCCTGCAAGAAATCTGGCTTTAAGTCGAAAATCGCCAGATCAAGCTTCGGCGTAGGGAAGGTTGGGAGCTTAGGCACAAAGTCATGGGGGCAGGAGTTCTTCGTAAATGCAGACGATGGCTTCTTGAGGTCACTACTGGTGATAGTCGCCTGCTCCTCAGTGCTGCTCTGGCTCTGAGTAATTGTCTTGAACCGAACATATGTTGACGTGTCAGTGGTAACCAAGTGTTCAGGGGGTATGGCCTCCAGAAGTTCCTCCAACTCCTGCAAAAAGCTGACCTCCTTCTGGTTGGAGAGGCGCGGCCAATAGCTCAGAACGCCCATGACCACGCCGGCAGAGAGCGTGGGGTCTTTCTCAACAAACTTAGATACACAGTAGCTGAGCTGCGGCAGTATTGTCTTGACATACATAATACGGTGCAATGGAAGGAGGACCTGCGCCATGAAAGAGATGTGCTCCACTTTGAGGGGAGTGGCAAATCCGTTGATAATAGATCCAAGTATCTCCAGGATTTCACAAATACCGTTGTGACGTTGAGAATAGTTCATGTAGCACATGATCTCTGACTTGATAATGCTCCGAATATAGGAGCGCATCATCATGAAATTAGCGTAGATTCTGTGTAAGATTGTCTTCACGTAGTCACGCTCCCGAGGATCGGACGTGTTAAAAAGTTGAAGAAGCTTCAGAATGAACTCCGTGTCGATGAACTTCTTAACACTTTTGTGATACTCCGAGTGCTGGGGATGCTGATTAGCTGCAAAGATGAATCGCAGGAGTAGCTCGTAGATAAACTGCAGATGATACCAGTTGTTATCTATAGCTGGCTCGTCCTCGTCGTTGTCCCAGGTATAATTGTCACAGGCAGGCTTCGCCGTGGCACGGAAGATGTTTGCGCTAACGCATGCAAAAAAGTCTGGGACGGCGATGTCTGGAAAGATGTTGTTAGATGAGTTAATGTAATCCAAAAGCTGGTACAGGATCATGTGCTTGACCTTCCTCAGCTCTGTATCCTCCTGTCGAACAAACTTGGAGCACTGTCGAAGTTTGCATATCAGGAGGAAGGGTCTGGAGTCTTCCTGAATGTCCTTGAAGCTGGGCAGGCTGGAGTAGAGCGAGACCTTCTTGGGGATATTGGCGATCGTTGGCTTCTGCCCGTCCCCACTGTCAAGGAAGCTCTTGAAGTTAGCAGTGTGCTGCTGCTCGTCCTTGTCAGCCAGGCCCCTACCGCTCATCTATCTTTTTTCCGTTTAATTTGTCCACACAATAACATAAGCATTTTAACTCTGTATTCCTTTTCCCGAGCCAGCTCGCAGGGCATCTTCCAAGTCCCAAAGAATAGCGTGGGCAGAAATTTACTTGTGCTCCTACTTGCCTTTCTCGATTTGCTTGAGAAGGTTGGCAATATACGCCTCCATCACGGGCTGCCCCTTTGCTGTGAACTTAAATCTGGCCTTCCGGGCCCGATTCCGCAGCTCTCTCTTTTCCTTTATAATTTGCTTTTCTGCTGCGATGCGTTCCTTTTCCAATGCAATCCTTCTCTGGCGCTCTTCAGACAATTTGATGGCGTGTTCATATGATGTCGGCTGTATCTCTGCTAACTCTCGAAGTCGCTCTTGGTTAGTCTTGTACATCTCCTCCTTGGATTTCTCGGACAAGACCTCAGTTTGCGAAGATTCTTGCGTTATCTGCTGCGCCTCCTGCGCCCGCTTCAGTTTCATTTGGACTTGGATCTGTTCCTTTATGCGGTGGTTCTCGAGCAGCTGTTTCGTAAAGTTCATGTCCCCCTCCTTGAGAGCTTGGGCATTCTTCTCCATGGCCCGGGTGACATCCTGGCGTTTGGAGTGGGCCCTGATGTATGCTGGATGTCTGCCACCCTTCCCCATTATCGGGCCTTGAGCCTCTGCCAATAAATCGAATGAGTGATAAATTGCAGTTTTTAAATTGCGTTGCACAGCGACCAAACTAGAAGATGCTGAACAGGATCCTGGACTTCCAGGACCGATCTGTTGGGCTCGTCCTCTTGGGGTGCGGGCTTATGTTCAGCGCTCTTGGCCTAGTGTTACTGCTGGACCGGGGCTTCCTTGCATTAGGTAACCTGGTATCAACAGCGGGCGTCATAATCTTTTTGAGTCCTTCCAGGTTTTATAAGCTCTTCTTGCGCGGGTCATCCTTGATCGCGACGTCACTATATATGCTCGGGTTGATTCTTGTTTTGTCACGCTACGTTGTAGTGGGCGGCGTGGTTCAGATGTTGGGCTTTTTGCTTTTGTTCAAGCCGTTTATGGCCATCTTTGGATTTTTGCTCAAAGGGCTTCCGCTTGTTGGGGGAATGGTAGCGGATACGGCCTCCTCTTAGACGTCATAGTCAAGAACATCTTCGATGACATTATATATTAGGCCTGTCATCCCCAGAATCTTACCGTTATGGCGAGCCAAGGCGGAGTTTCGTGCTACAAAGTGAAGAAATGTGTCTAAGGGAACATTGGCGGACGTATTAGTTGTCTGCTGGATCCAATATCTGCGACTCAGCATCTCTAGTTGATGCGCTCTGTTTTGGCAATTGCCATCGTCTTCTGTTATGACTAAGGAATGTAACTTGGTCACCACCGAGTTGTTAAGCTGTTCCTTTATGGATTCCAAAAATGCGTTATCGAAAATGTTATCTGAAATAGCTGCTTCAGGGCTTTGAGATACAAGCACCCCGGACTCGGATGTACTTGCCGCCTCCTGAAGAAGGTTCTCCAGATTGCACTTAAATTTTTCCTGATGGGCAGTATCGTTTACCGTGTCATATGCTTTGAGTACTTCAGCGAGGGGAATAAGACCGTTGATGAGTGTGTGCGACGACCCTAGCTCTTGAATCCCGCTAGAAGTCGCGCTAGTCCCTAGCTCAACAGTCTGATATGTTGCGTATTGTTTCCAGAGCCTATAGAGCTTAATGAAGCGACGGTAAATGGTGCCTACATTATACTGACCAAAAACATCAATAGATGTTCTAAGGATGATCGCCCTATTGAGGATGTCGGCCAATATTATTTTGTTGCTGGAGATCATGAGTGACCTCTCATTGGAAAAGACTAAGCCCTCAGCCAGTTCCACAACTTCAAATGGTGGAAGGCCACCCAACACTATGGGCATCAGAGGAGTTGCCTCTGTTTTCTGACCTAGTTCGAAATAGTTTCTAATGGGGTGTTTAGGCGGAAACAGCGTGCGCTCGACTCTCTTTTGCATACATCTGTACAGGTACCGTATGATAGCTTTAGGAAGCTGGACTAGGCCCCGAGGTGTGGATGTGATATGGCTGACCGTCCTCTTTGGGTTTTCTTCATATTTGTTCACATTTTCGTGCTTATTCTCACAGCCTATTCGAACGATATGAAGCATTTTCTCACGGAGGTTGGGCTTTTCTAGAGTGCAATCGCATAATGAGAATATCTTCCCCAAGATGTTCACCAGATGGGTCCCTCTCATATAGTATATGCCGTTAAACTCTGCATAGGCGCGCGATATAACAGTGCTCGACGTCAGTGGATTGAAGCTGGCCAGCTCACAAAGGATCTTGCCGTAGATGGAAATGTCGTTTATCACGGTCCGTATAAACTCCTTCAACTGCTCTGGAAGAAAGCTAGCTGTGATAGAGTTCTTGATAATTAGGCATGTGTATCTGCTTGCTTGTTCAATCATCGCGTGAGACTTAAGTGTCATTGCATAGTTAAGCTGATACTCTTTCCTAAAGAGCTGATCCAGTAAGTATTTTCTCAGTCTAATAAGCCCGATGTGTAAGAGGGAGCTGTGCCACCGAAAGTGGTCCTCATCCACATTTGTATGAATGCGAAGAGCAGATCCACTTCGGTGGGGATTGACGCCGGTTACGTATCCTGTGCGCAAAGCATCTACAAAACCATCCTCGAAAATGACGAGCTTTTCCTCGGCCATCATGTAGTTCATGGCACAGCTGTCGAAATAGCTGTGGAGGAATCGCCTAGCGGGGAAAAGCATCGTGTAGAAAAGGGTTGGCATGAGAGTTTCTGTCAAATTGCTCAGAGCCGCTGACTCGTGTATTGCTGCTATTCCACTCTGGGCTTGGGCTGTCAAATTAAGAAAGTCTGCGACACAGTTGGCACCCGGGTGGCCGTAATGCTCGGGACACTGGAACAAGAAAAGCTCGGCTATTTCTTCTGCTTGCTGAGTAAGGATTCTGTGCCCGATGTTGCTTGACAGCTTTGTTCTATACGAGTTGTTATCGTGTGAGGGCAACAAGGACGCCACTTGTAGATTGTTGGGATCCGTTAGACCGATCATGTTGATGACATCACGCTGAGTCAGCTTCTTATCTTCCGAAAAATGCTGGGACATGATTGCAGTTAAAATATAGTCCACTAGCAAAGGGGTGAAGTAAATAGTTATGTCTTTGGAGCTGCCAGTATTCTCAAGGGAGCTCTGCAACACCGCCATCAGCATTCCAATGGTTATGCAATTAGAAATAGCCTCGGTTTCTACTTGTAACTGCATGTAAAGACCGACGCGAATACTCAGAGTAACTAGCTGTGACGCTGGATCGAGTTTGAACGTAAGATCTGCGATCTGAGAGGGGCCGCTGAGAAACTCTTCCCCAGAGAATGAAAGGCTGTACAACAGAGAAGTTAGTCGCCAATCCAAGGAAACGACATCGCATATGTTGCAGGCAGATGAAAGGACCCTCCGAATACGATAGTAAAGCTCCGCATTTTCCGCGTCTATGTGCTTGTTGAGAAACATGGGCTCTGTAAATAGCGAAAACATTGCTTCATTCACCCTTAAGTCAGAACCATAGCATTGGCGGTCCCTGAGTATTTGCTCCTGTATCTTAGTGTGGGCCAGACTTGCTGAAGGAATATTATGGGAAGGAAGATAGAGGTTCATAGTGGGCCAACTTGGGAAGAGAGCTCGAGGAATGGTCTGGGATGGCATGTCGGTTTTGTTTATGAGGAGAGACTTGATGTAGAAGGTCTCATCCTCTACACACATTTCTAGGATTTTCTTCTTCTCAACTAGGCCAGCAGTTACCATTATTCCACCTCCAGACGTTGAGTAAGGAAGCTCTCCCCGCAAGAAACAAGGAGGTTGCATCGCTACAGAACGTTCTGTAGTACTTAGACCAACTATTCTTTCGTTCATCGTCGCTATTGAGTTCAAAAGGCGGGTCCCACTTATATCCATAAACACAAGCTGACCAGCCGCCATAACGACCGACGGAGAATATGCGTACGGGATCCTGCACGCTATCAACAATCTGATGAGCCGAATTTCTGCATCGATGATGTGGTTTTCGCTCTTGCATTCCCGTAGGTAAATCCGTGTGCCCGGCGGTTTTACCAGATCAGAGATATATTGAAACCCGTATGACGTTATATTATCGTATAGTAGTCTGGACTGAGAAATACAAACGCCTGTCAAAACACGTAAGGCCTTTATCTCGTTTTCTATTCTCCGGTTTATGGTGCTCTCTGCTAGAAGATCGACGACATTGAGCGAGCCGTTTAGGCACGAAGACATAAGAAGCATCTGGAGACAGAGCCGAGCAGAGACAGGTTTGGACGAAAACAGACTGCGCGTCTGAAAGTCTGTCAGCGAAAAGTCTTCGTAAATCTCATTATAAAGCGCTAAATCTGGAACACAGCCCGCTATCAGTAGGTGCTCTTCATCCTCATAAGAGTGCACACCAGTATCACATGACGACTTCTCATTTGCTTGAGTAGTCTGTCGTGTCTTGATTGTAGTTGAAAACGGAGTCGCGGAATCTAATTCTTGCTTGGGTGCTAGTGTGAAATGACAAGTACTCTTCCGCGAAGATATAGACCGATTTGAATAATCACATCGCAAAGACTTAGGAGGGAGCGACATCTTCTGTCGCGCCAGTTGAGTTTTGGATCCATACTTAGATCCTCTGGCATTTACCGTAAAGCTTCTACCTGGAGTGGAAGTATCACGGATTATGTTCCTCTCAGAAAAGAGACGATCACCCAAAGGACCTTTCCTTCCTCTTGCAAAAACTAGACACTTGGTTTCCGTTTGACTCGTAGAGTGCTCTTGCACCGAGTGGGATCTGTCGGGTGCTAGTTGAGATCCAAACTTAGTTATATGCTCATCATATTTAGACTCTGATAGAGGGTTATCAGACTTAGAGGACATCTTGTCCTTCTTTGCTGCTGAGTAGTATTGCATGTATAATAAACATCTTCTAGCTAAGTATCCGGATACAAACGTCATGTTTGGCAGTTGAAAGTAGTCTGATATGATGTTTCCAGCGGTGTGGTTCAAACAGTTGACGGCTGTAGCATAAAGATACTTACAGCCAGTGACAACATGAGCAGTCACAGAAGATCGTTCCAGGCCAAATAAGGCGACATATCCAAGTTCGTAAGCAAGTTCTCTGGGAGCTACTCGTGGCTCAGTGATAGTAAGCGTGATCGCAAATGCGATTATGGTATGAAAGAGTTGCGTATAGTGAGAAACAATTCTATCATCAATGGGAAACGGACAATACCAAAGGTTATTGCACGACTGTTGTGCGTATTTAGTCCATCCGTCTGTGAAACGACAAAGAGGGTCCTTCTTCACAACATCCTCTGTGGATACAAGGTAGCTTGCACGCGCACTCAAATAATCGACAAAATAAGATGTCAACGAAAGTGGCACTACCCTGATTCCAGACGTTTCTGTGCGGTGAAGGAAGGGAGCTAGCTTAGTGACGAGAGCATACATATCGCAAACTCTATGCATCCAGACCTTCTTACCAAGCATAGTTAACATTTCAGAAATTGCTATCTTATTCTCTTCCAGAAGACAAGTAGTTGGCTGAGCGCTAACATTAGAGCTAAAGTGATACTCCTTGCCGAGGATGTCTAACGATGGAAGAGACAATTCTGAAAGAGTGATCTGGCTGTGGTTTTCTGTGGCCTTAGTCCTGTTTGTCAAATTCTCTAGGATATCGGCTACAAAGCAGCTATTTGTAGTATTCGCATCCAAAAAGTCACAAATAGCGTCTTTTATCAGCTGGTGACAATCAGGTAACACACCCTCAATAAAGTGTTGCATGGCTACCAGCATAGTGTTTTCGGCGACGTCTTTTTCCCTTTTCCGAGAAACTCCGAGAGAATTAGTTTCTGTGAGGGAATAAAGGATGGATTCAGGCGTGGGCTCAGAAGACCGTATAATGTAGTCGGTTGTTGTAAGCCTTTGCCATCTGGAGAATAGTAACTTAGCTCCTGATGTAGAAAGCTGCTCCGTGATGTTTCGGTGCCCCTTGGTCACAATCATTAGGCTTTGTAGATCATCAGGAGTGAATGTGTCTAGAACAGTGATCACGCGTGCAGAATTATCTTGGAGGATATTCTGCAATTTTACCCGGACAATCTCATGAAAAATCGGTTCGTACTCGGGAATGACTTCGATACCTTTCTCCGTTAGCTCTTCGCAGATCAGTTTGGTAAGTATGGATAAATCGGGAAAGTCTGGAGACGCATCAACCTCAAGAATGTTGCATATCAAAAAGGCCTGCTCATAGGATATGGTTCGTATCTCTCCCCACGAACGTTTTTTCAAGAAGTTCGTTGAATAATCAACCCACTTTTCACGTGTCAGGGGAGGTGTGAAATCCTTTCTTCGAATGAATTGAGCGACAGAGTCAAACACGCTGCATGGAAGCATGTTCTCAAGGAGGCGAATTGACTCCTGCTTATGGTCTATTGTGAGAAGGGGAGTGTCCTCGGCTGAGTCCTTAAGTGTGCTTGGTATTTTAGAATCACAAGCAGTGTTGCCGGAAGAACCCTCAGTGCGGTCAACGTCTTCAATCATCGCCGTGGTTACAGCAATCGTATTGAGTTGCTTCATAAGATGATCTTTTGCTCGTACCTGAGCTAACTTGTCGAATTGGCCAGTGCATTTGGGTCCTCCGTTGGCCGACATAGTTCCCACGCCCTTCAAACGTATATCTGCGATTTCATGGAGGACATGGGTACTCAAGCGTTTCTTTGCACGTGGCATTGCAGGGCCATTAGTATTTGGGATGCTCCGCCCGAAGTTCTTGTTCAGCTCATCGTGCTCGTCCTCTGAATAGTCATCAAAAACGCCTGTCTCAAGAAGCTCCGTCACATGATAGAGTCCGGGAAAGTGATGGATATCGAAAAGGGTCCTGAAGAGAAAGCGCTTCTTAATGCTAGAAACAGGGAGGCACGGTAAAATATTACAAGGGAGCATATAGTAATAAGCAATTGGCTCTATGTTATTGATGGCAGCTGCGTAGAATTCAGGCAGAGGTGGGTCCGATTGTCGCTCTCGTTGAAAGTCCTTGCGTAGATTGAGCGCCATTTCACAGATCCTTATGCAGTTCTGGTGAAGGGTATGCTCTATGCATCGAGCACGGATATCCCCGCCGTATACATGGCTCAGGCGGCTGGCAACCTGCCTAGAGAGAGTCAAGGGAGCTGTGTCAGGGAGGGCCATTCCTATGCACCAAAAAATAATGATCATCCCTGTTCGGTGCTTCACCTGCGGGAAGGTCATTGGAAGTCTATACGAGAAATACCTTAAGCTTTTAGGAGAATACGGAGCAGAAGAAAGTGGAAGCTCAGAGACTCCTGCTAAGCGGGCGCTGGATGAACTCGGCCTTACTCGCTATTGCTGTCGGCGTATGCTCCTCACGCATGTTGACCTGATTGATGACCTTCTTCTCTACACCCCCAAGGCAAGACAGGCCCGTGCGGCGGAGCAGAAGTAAACTGCGGAGTTTCATTAGAGATGGAAGATGTATAAAAACAAATGCCGCCATTCATTATCCAGCAGACCAAAAAGGAGGCTTCTGCCCCAAAGCCGGACATGTTGGTACAGATTCGGGGAACACCAAGGGATGACGACATCGTTATTAACGGACAGGTGTATCGCTTTCTAAAACCGAGCGATTACTCTTGCGCCGTTGAAAATCAGGAGGTGACACGCTCGTGGGCAATTCCGGTTTACCCCTCTCGTAGCTGTAAGGATGTCAGCATCCCAGAGCTTTATAATCTACTGCAGGATAGTGAGTACCAATCTTTATAGCCAATTTTATGTGCTCAAACGGCCGCTTGAAGGCAGCTCGTACCGAATTGTTTAGGCAGAAAACAAGGAGTGAACCACATTCACTTGTCACGAGTACATACCCGAGGGTGGAGAGTTCGCTCCGCCTCCTCCGAAAAGTCCACCAAGTCCACCGAGCATGCTAGAAAGCTGTGGCCCAAGCTTTTGGACGAGGCGCTGGAAAATAGGGGCTAGTTCCGGGTCTGACATGGCGCCCATAATGGCCATTGGATTCGAGTTAACTTTAGATAAAAGGTCAGCCACCTTGGGGTTTTGCATCAAGGCGATAATTTCAGGATCATCCCGAAGCTGCGAAAAGAGAGGGTTATTGGCAAGTGCTGAGAGGTCAGGGGTGGCTTGTTCAGGACGGCCCTCGCTGACACGATCACGGGCTTCGCGATACTTCGGATTGCTAGGGTCTGCCGTCAGGGCCTGGCTGTACGCCCTGTACGCCTCAGGCTTATTACCAGCACTCTCACGGATATTCCCGAGGCGGAACCACGCCTTGTGGTAGCTTGGACAAAGGCGCACACTCTCCTCGCAGTCCTTGGCAGCAAGAGCGGTCTCCTCCTCGGCCTTCAGGCCCAGGCGCGCGGCGGCCCGGTTGGCGAAGTAGACGGCGCGCTGGTCTGGGGGCTCGTTGTTCGCGGCCGAGACCTCGATCGCCTGGGTGAAGAGCCGGATCGCCTCCTGGAAGTCCTCCGCCTTGAAGGCGGCGTTGCCCTGCGCCTTGAGCTCGCTGGAGCTTGTGCTGGAGACCGCCGGCGCCTTCGCCCCGCTCAGGATCTGCTCCAGGTCGCCGTTGCCGTGCCTGACGTCCTTGAGTCCGAAGCAGTCCCGGAGGCAATCGATGGCGACGTCCAGGTTGTCGGTGTCCTCAACGGCTTGCGCAGCCCTGAGGTAGAGGAGGTACTCGACGACGAGCCTCTTGGCGGCCAGCCTTGTCGTCATCTATTTTTAAGCAGTCGTTCACTCCCTCTCAAAGTACTCTCGCTGGTCCATGATCACAGAAACCACCGCGTTCATGTCGCGCCCGAGCCTGACATATGCCTCCCTCACCCGGTTGTAGTTCAGGTCGCCACCACAGATCCCGATGATCGTGGCGATGTTGTCCTCGTCGTCCGCGGTCAGCGGAGGGGGCTGCTCTGCAGGCTGCGGCGGCGCCCTTTCCCTTGGAATAAGGATCCCTCTCCCGGCCATCCCTGCCTCGATCATGTTCAGGTAGAGGTGGAGCACCTCAAGGAGCAAGTCGCGATCCTCGTTGAATCTCAGCACCAGATTGGGGCTCCAGTCGGATATCTGGGTTGTAAACATCTCCAAGAAGTTCGGTGTCTGGAGTATCTGCTCTAGCTCCTCGGTGCTGTACATGTGTGGTCTGTGGCTGTGTCTGGCCGCGCCCATGTGCCGGAGGGTGTCCTCGAGATCCTCTTCTGTCGGATCTTCGGCGATGATGGCAGCTGCCAGATCCATGTTGTTATTAGCCAGCTCGAGCGATATCTGCGCCAGCCGTGGCCTACAGGAAAAGGTCTCTACTAGCTGTGCGACGAGGTCCGAGTTGTTGCTAACTGGGTCTAGTTCTAAGGCATCTGAATTGGATCCGGACGAGGAGTCTTGCACCTCAGCATGAGGATCTCGCGAAGCAGCCGATTCAATTTGCCGGGCCTGCGCGACCCCTGCGGCAGAACTGCTGGGAGGCGCTTCAAGGATCCTTCCGCGAGGTTTAGCCTGAGTGAATACTACGGTATCCTGAGTGATATTTGGAACCTTCGACAGTAGAATACCGTCATCATTCAAGATAGATGCGTTGAGAATGAGACGGATGGTGGGCGCCTCTGCGGAGATGGCCTCAGCAACCTTCTTCCGCAGATCGCCGACGGTGCTATCTGGAAAAAACTCGAATGTCCTTGGCTCGAATTCCTTCACTGTGGACCTAACCGCGATCCTGATGCAATCAGACATTTTTTGTTTGCATAGACTAATAATTCACTTTATCTCAGAGGGTGCGGTCACGGTTATCTCACCGGAGTAACAATCCGTTGTGCTCTGTGAGTGCCGATTGCTCTGCGGAACCATTTCCAGCGCCCTGACAAATGAACGGTTAGAGCGTAGGGCCTTGTTAGCATACTGTGTATCCTCGCCTGCCACAAACTCTAACCCTAAGAAGTCGGCCATTTCGACATTGTTTGCTGATGTTTCATGCCTAGACGCGAGGTGCGGCGCCTTCGACTGCGCTCGGCTCTTAGGCTTGAAAGCATTTGCTGCATGTAAATCCCCAAGCTGCCTTTCCTCTCTTCCGCAGGCGGCAGTGTTTTTCCGAGCAGGTAAAGAAACATCGCCAACTGATTGATGCCTTGCTGACAACTCAAGTTTGTTCTGAGACATATTGCCTTGAAGCTTACTCCCGTTATTAGGTAGGATGTTTCCCCCTTGAGACCTATTAGAAGTTAGTGAATTCTTGACTGTCGGGACGATTTCTTCTTGAGTTGAGCAGGAAACTACATCCCTCGCCGAAGCAGAAAGGTGACCTTGCTTGAGTGAGGCACCAAGCTCGCCTGCAATAGAGCTGCCACTCAGACGTGTACACGCAAGATTAGCTGAGCTATCGTTTTGACAGATGATGATAGAATGGCTCTCCCCTTCTGTGTGAGGAAACTCAACAATGGTGTCCCGGCCGGAAAAGGAAACCCGGTCCTTTGTGGAAGTCGCTGGTTGCCCTTTAGCTCGTTTCTCGACCGCTTCAACACCTGCACTGGCCATGTTCTGCTTGCTAGTGTACCTGCTCTCCGAAAATAACTCACCAGAGGTAACATTAGCATCATCCTCACTCATCGATGAAGTGGAATGCTGAGTCTCGACCTGCGATAGCCTGACATGTCGGCTTTCAAGGCAGTCAGCCGTAACAACTGTGTGGCCAAGCTTACTCAGGTGCTTCCCGTCGAAGTCGACGCTTTTGTTTTGCCGTAAGATGGACTGAAAGTTGGAATTGCGTAGTATGGAAGAGTTAGACAGCGCATGTCGCACACTCTGCTGAGATGAAGGATTGTCCGCGTCACATGTCCTTGGCGTCTTTGCACTAACTCTGAATTCATTGGTAGTCGTGGCACTATTTTGTGATAGAGATGTTCTGCTCAGCGAGTAGGGATCTTTGCTTTCCTGCCCCAGCGGAAGCGTGACCAGGCTTATGTTGCTATCGCTGGAGGGTGTCTGTGGGAGGAGAGGGGCCGGACGCAGACGCTGAAAATCTGTTGAATGAGGTGCTCTGTCGCTATAGACTGGTGGTGAAGCTACTGAATCCCCTGTCAGAGGGAGAGTTGGCGGTATATAAATGGGGGTTATAGAAGTGTTTTGCCTGTCGTTCCTCATGTTGCTAAGCGGAACGTGCTTCGGTATCTGAGTATCCTTGTAAATCGTAGAATCTTCTGTCAGGTGGCTTTCATTCTTTACATCCAAGTCAATCACTGTGGTCGAGGAAGCATGCGCCGAATGGACATCGCCGGGGTCTTCCGACGAGGAATCCGAATAGTAATAGTAAGACTCTTCGTCGCTCTCCATTGAGTTGTAGTCCAGTTGACTGTGGTCACTGTCCTTCTTCTTGCTAACTGGTTCCTGTTTTTGCGCAGCAGGAAGTGTTGCCCTGGACTGAGTAGACGACGTAGTAATGGGCATTATGTCGGGCATTTTTCCGGTGATGATAGGGAAAACCCGGGTAGCTTTTGGCCGAGTAGACTCTGACTTGGCAGAGTTTGTTACAGGGAAGGGCAAGCTTGCTATCTGCGTGATTAGGGGGAGCTGAGTATATGGCACCTTTTTCAACGGCAATGACACTGATGTTGCATTTTGCAGGGTCGTCAGTCGGTTTGGAGACACAATGACGGGCGCGGGCTGTACATCTGGGCATAACGGAATTGATCGTTTTGTCGAGATCGACTCTGATGTATTTAGTGGAAACTTTACAGACTGTTCCTGCAAACAAGAAGGGTCTTGAGCATTAGTTGTTCGACGCGCAGAGCTCACGTGCATCCTATACCGACGATCCTTACTTGATGTAATTCGGGGCGCCCCCTGTAATTGGTACGGAGGAACAAGTTTTGGTACGGAAGTTCGGAACGGGATAGCCGAGCTTATCTCACTAGCTTCGTCTTGCTTAGTTCGTCCAAGAGTGAAGCAAATATTCCCAAAGTTTTCCGGAAATTTCGTTGAAGGAATGACAATAGAGAGTGGAGGCGGGCGGAAGCTGGAAGAGTCACTAACAGTGCAATCGCTAGTAACCCTACTAAGAGAGAAGTTTGCTGGGCGAGCCGGCTCATTCGGCATGTGGAGGGATATACTTGAGCCCATAGAGACGCCAGCGGCTTCAGGAATGGGCAAGCCACCAAGCTGATTCTGAGAAGCACCGAGCCCCACCTCCCTCTCGGATCCGTTAGACTTAGACTGTCTTTCTATTTCCCGAGAAGACTTCTCGTTACACACAGCACTACAGGAGGCTACTTTTACCTCTGCAAGGTCTGGCCTAAACGAGTCGGCACTTTTCACCTCTTCCACGTTGTTTAGGGCTGTTGCGTGACCTGCGCATGTCTCTTGGCGGCCTTCAAAGGACGACGTTTTGCTAGTCACCTCCTTACACTCTTCAAGAGACGGCGGCGCGTCCGAGTCCAGCGCGGAAATCTGTCCGCTGCGCCCCAGCTGAACGACACTTCGAAGGTATTTACAAAGCTAGACATTGAGATTGTTATCTCGCACTAAACTAACAGCCCCCAGCTTTACAAGCTGCTCGGCGTCTCTCCGCTCACGAGCAGTTACAGGGATGTTATCCAGCTTGGTGATCTGAGGGAGATTGTGGACGATCCATGGTCGAAAGTTCTTCTGTGCAACTAGTGGATTTCCGTGAATTGTCAAGGATGTTAAGAGAGAAAGTGACGACAGGGGAGCTAGATCCCTGACGTCCTGGATACGATTCCCCTGTAGATATAAAATGCGTAAGTTTGGGAAATTCGCCAATTCAGTAACGGTGGTGATTTTATTGCAGGATAGATCCATCATGCACAGCCGCTCCGGATACCATATTGCAGCGTCGACAAGGGTAGTGATCCCAGATAGCGTGTTGAGCTCGCAATTTGCAATGCGGAGTCCCTGGTCCCCAGGTCGCGGTTTCTTAGCGTCCTGGACCTTAACCGGCTTGCGAGTCTTGCAATTGGACTCTTCCTCCACAAGCTCCTGAGGAGACTTGACGTCTATATTGGAAAAGTCAACGATTCCGAGGCGCTGAGTCATATTTAGTTTTGAACCAAAAAAGTTACCCTAATGACTTCAGATCTTGAGTTGGATAAAGATACCGAGGGGCGGATATCGATGTTCAGTAAGTTTGTGGAGGATTCCATTCAAGAGATGTTTGCATATCTGCTGAGCCGGGAGCACCGGCTCAAGGAAGCGCAGATAGGAATGTTTGAGCATCTCATTGAAGAGGCGTCGCAGCAACTGCTTAGCCCAGAGCGCTGCAAGCAGTACTCCAGCCAACGCCCCCTTCTCAATGATCTCTCTTCAGAATTGAACCCCTATACTTCTAAATCTCTAAATGACGCCATTCAAAATGGCGAGGCACTACCCAGACTAAATGATGATAGTGAACAGGTACACAAGGAGCGCTATCTAACTATCATGAATTCTCTGGCACTGTCGGACACTCAGCAGATTTCACTGACTGACTTCATGAACACGATTTACATACGTGAATCGTTTCTTTTGCGTTCTCGGCGGTCTGGTATTTCAATGGACTACTTCTACCTTTTAAAGGACATTGGCTCTGGCGCTTATGCGTCTGTCCACCTTGTGAAGCACAAGTTTTCGGGTCAGCTGTTCGCCCTCAAGAAAATCAACAAGAGCAAGATGAAAAATCTTTCAGACAGAATACGTCTTCGCATAGAGCGCTGCATAATGATGCGCATTCGCTCGTCTTTCATCGTCGGCCTCCACTATGCGTTTTACGACGATGAAAACATATACTTTGTTATGGACTATGCTGCTGGAGGTGATATGAAATCTCTTCTGGACATAGTCGGGAGTGTCAGCGAAGGCTGGGCCAGGAGATGGTTTGCAGAAATAGTTTGCGCTGTTTTAACTTTACACGGTCATATCGCACATCGAGGGGAAAGGCATCTGGATCTGCACCAGAACCAGCCTAATGCAGAGGTAGTGAATGAAATCATGGCAGATGAGGCCAGGCGTGAGGCAAATAGTCACTACCATTCCTCCAGCAGCTCCGACTCCAATTCTTCAGAATCCAATGACTTGGTAGCCTCTGCCAAGACTAGCGAAGTATCGTCTCACTTCACCGACAGCATCTTGTTTGAGATTCAAGCCAAAGCCTCCGTGCGCTCAGAGAGTGCGCAACCTAAGGTTTCCTTGCCTTTGGGGTCGTCACCCATTCTTTCAGAATCTCAGCGATCAGCAATAAGTAGCCTACAAAAAGCAAAACTTGCCCTTAAGAATTCTAGGGCCAATACAAATAAGATCCCAGCCTTTTCCACAAGCAAATCAGCTCCGCTACCGAATGCTTCACTCCACCAAGTATCATTTGACAAGATGCTTCTCAGATTTGCAATACCTCCAATTCCTCCTCCGGTGGTCGATGTCACGCCCATGAACCTTGTGGAAAAAAGCGACATTTCGAATCTCATCCCCCCTGTTCCTCTTATCTTTTCCAGCAAACAGTCCAAACAGGGTCCAAAGCCTGTCGTCCAGAGATCGTTACTGAGTCGCATGGAAACTGCTCCCACCACCGATCCCGACGACTCCAGCTCCTCATCGAAACAAAATCAGAACTCTAGCCATCTTTTGTCAAGTAAGCGTTGTCCCTTGCATACCTCTTCGGAAACGCCCTCTAGTTCTATACAACGAGGCTCTGCTAGCATTTCAGAAAATGCTACATCTACTCTGAGCGGACCGTTGTCTGGACTCACTCAGGCCTCCTTCTGGCAGCCCGAATCCGAGGACTGTATAGAGGTCGCAACCCCGGCTGAAAATGTAGAGATAACGGAGGCAAGCTTCTTAGATGGACGCGATGCCGACTCCTCCTTCATATTAGCATCTAGGACTCGCGTTGAGAATAGTTCACAAAGAAATCTGCTAGTCCCCGGGCTTTCCTCCCCTGCTCTTAGTCGGCCGATGATGATCAGTGCGCTGCCTCCAGAACAATCTGGGGCTGCTTCTTTAGATAGTACAACCATGCAGCATCTGCCTAATCCAGTAATAAATGGATCTCGAATTCCGTTACATCCTCTTCCTCCTGAGCGTTTCAACCTGTCCGGCACTACTGCGCAGAATCTGTCCCGTACGCAATCGTCAGGACATACCGCGTCTCTTTCCACGACAAATGTTCTCAGGAACCAGCAACCTGCAGCCAAGTCGGCGGCTCCTAAGCAGTCACAGCTGAGAGTGGATCCTCATCTCTCGCAAGCTTTACCACCAAAACCTCCTGCACCTCCGCAAAATCTTCCCTGTGACGAGTCTAAGCAACTCATCGATATCTTTGTGCATAGAGATCTCAAGCCGCTTAATTTCCTCTTCCGTGATGATGGTCATATTCTCTTAGCGGACTTTGGGCTTGCAGAGCAGCTTCCATCCGTTGACGAGGGTGCTTCTCCTCTTATCGAGGCTGTCAAGGTATCCGAAAAGCAGACCAGCACCACGAAGATTTCTTCAACAAGAGAAACAAGCTCCCTACTGGTTGGAGAACGTGAGATAGTTGGCACCGTTGAATATATGGCTCCAGAAATCTTCAATGCACCGGCCTATGGGCGGTCGGTGGACTACTGGGCCCTCGGGCTCATATTATATGAGCTGCTGACCGGCGAAGTTGCTTTTGTTGCATCGACTCCTGACGAGCTAGTGCAGCGATTGGCTGCTATAAAGACAGAAGAGGACTATGATAAGTGTGTGTCTCGGCCTGACTTCATCAGCGACGAAGCTTGGGATCTGATCCACGGCCTCATGGCCCACCCTACCAAGCGATACGGATGCTCGGAACACTTGCACTCGCTTATGGATCATCCCTTTTTCACTCGTGGATACTCGCGAAATCAGATTCTCAACTATCAAACGCCCGAGCTCCAAGAACTCATTTATGCATACAAGAGTTACGAAGAAACAGAAGCAGTTGAGCACACTAATGAGCCCTTCCAGTTCGATGAGGACCTTCTCGATCGCCTTCCAGTCTATCCCGACGAAGAGTTTCTATATACGCTTCCCACCCACTGGAGACCTCGCATAAACAACGACGCCGATCTGAAGCTTTTCAATGAGCGCGAACTAAAAATTTGTGGGATTGTTGCCAGTAACAATGGTCGGTATCAGGCTGAATCACTTTCCGAGCCAGACACAGAAAACGACTCAACCTCTTCTGACCCGGTGCTGCTGGTTCCTCGCAGTCGTGATGGAAACCTCTCCAGTCGTATGAGTGTACGCAGATCCGTCCACGCTACTAAAAAACTACGTGAAATACTTCGCCATGTTCCAGTTGAGACCTATAAGAAGGCCCGCGTTCGAGCAGAAGATTCTGGCGCCTACTCGTCTGTATACCGTCATACTGCTGGTGGCGGGCTGGACGAGAGTCTTGCTCCTTCAAACGTGTCTTCCTTTTCTATAGATTATTTAGCCGACGCGGCTAGCGTCACAAAAGACCTTTCTCGTGACACCTTCTCGTCTACTTCAAGGACAGGTCGCTTAGACGATACTAAGACCAGAACTGTCGGGTCATCGTTAAACAACATGGTCTGTAACATTTCTAACAGCCCTTTGGCTAACCAGACTTGCGACTTTCCTAACCACATTCGATACAACTCTGAAGACTCAGACAATCAGAGCTTGATAGAAGACGAGGGGGTTCGTAGTCAAAACGTTACAGACCTTTACTCCCTCTCCAGCAAGACTGAGTTGATTGGGCTGGATTCTTTGGAGACAGCAACATCAAGCCTTTCCAAAGTAAAAATGGCATACAATCGATCCGTAGCTGCGCCACACATGATTGTAACGGACGATTCGGATCAAAACAGGACATTTACAACAGACGAGGAGGACCACCTCAAAACCATATCTCGGGTTTCGTCAAAGAGTAGCATCACGACCTTGCTCCCAGCGTCAGATGACGAGCACCTTTTTGCCTCTCTTGTAGAGATCATTTTGCAATTAGGCCTAGATTTGGATACTGAAGACATGGAAAGCTCCGCAGAAGAGGCTATGGTAGGTTTGAAGTCGTTTGCCCTTTTAACTATTGTTAAAGATGCACATTATAATATCCCACCTTGTACTTTTAACACCGTAGTTCAATCTCTCCAGACCACCTCCTGTCTGAAAGATGGCAGAGGCGTCACAGGGGTTCCTACGAGCAAGGATAGCTCGCTCTTAAAACATGGACAGATCTATTCAACTTCCCGCCTCAGTGGCTCCGTGTTTAGTTACGATTCTAAACCTCCTATTAGGACCATATCCGGACATATTTTTAACGAAGGTGATGCACCGCAGAATTCCGCAGATATGCCTCTATCTTCTGCAGTTACTTTGCCCGATCCATGCACGCAGGCAATGGGGCAAACTTCGGGGGTTTGCTCTGACTCTTTTGATGTTCAAAGTTTCCGCTCCGTGCCCCTTTCTGTGATGAGTCGTAGTGTTGATATTAAGCTTATTCATATTCGGGAAAAGATGCTGACCCTTTCTAACAAGTACTTACCCAACTTGTTTGCCTCCTCACTAGAATCCCAGAAGGTTGCATCTCCCATCAGCAAAGACGGTGTCTCTTCTACGTCGTGCACTCCCTACAATAAGTGTACTTGTGCAACAAATACTAGATCTGGCGCAGTTTTCGATTGGAGACATTACACAGGCTTCGTTACCTGCATTCCAAATGCCCCCTACATATCACTAGAGGCGCAAGTAGGCTATGCACTGGGGGCGGCTGCGTCTCTGGCCATTCATCTTTCTCAGCTTGGTCCGAAAGTCTTGAAGGATCGCGACTCTGTGTTCACCTCCTCCCAGAATATAAGCACTGCCTCCATAAGTATCTTATCTTCTCCGATGCCAAGCTGCTCACCACAATACGATGACGATGAGCTGGGTGCGGTAGCGTTGAGTGATGCTTCATCGTGTCCATCGCTAACCTCCCTTGTTTTGCGGATTGAGTCCGTTTCTTCCTCCACGTCACAGCTTTGCGAAATCCCTGGTCTGGATGATGTACCTGAATCCTCGATGGTGGACTGCACACGCGCCCCAGTCGATGCATGCCAACAACGAGCTAATATAACCTGCAACGAACTCAGCCAACGCTCCACCTCATCACTCAAGTCTCTCTATGAAGCTGCTATTGAATCCTCGTTTTTACTTCCCACGCCCCTAAAGGGCTCGTTCTATAGGGAAAACACAGGCTCTCTAATCGAACTGCGTATAGACACGCTAGTTAAGAACCTTCCCAAAGACCAGAATCACTCTGTCAAGGGGCTGGGGTATGCTCTCTCGCAAACAAGTTCTCCCAATGAACTTCAAGCTTTCATAGACACCGAAGTTCGAACAGAAGGAACCCCAGAGAGTATAGGGATTTTGGGGCAGAAGACGATTACAAGCTCATTTGAAAGGCGCAGCGGACAGATTTCCGCGCTGGACTCGGACGCGCCGCCGTCTCTTGAAGAGTGTAAGGAGGTGACTAGCAAAACGTCGTCCTTTGAAGGCCGCCAAGAGACATGCGCAGGTCACGCAACAGCCCTAAACAACGTGGAAGAGGTGAAAAGTGCCGACTCGTTTAGGCCAGACCTTGCAGAGGTAAAAGTAGCCTCCTGTAGTGCTGTGTGTAACGAGAAGTCTTCTCGGGAAATAGAAAGACAGTCTAAGTCTAACGGATCCGAGAGGGAGGTGGGGCTCGGTGCTTCTCAGAATCAGCTTGGTGGCTTGCCCATTCCTGAAGCCGCTGGCGTCTCTATGGGCTCAAGTATATCCCTCCACATGCCGAATGAGCCGGCTCGCCCAGCAAACTTCTCTCTTAGTAGGGTTACTAGCGATTGCACTGTTAGTGACTCTTCCAGCTTCCGCCCGCCTCCACTCTCTATTGTCATTCCTTCAACGAAATTTCCGGAAAACTTTGGGAATATTTGCTTCACTCTTGGACGAACTAAGCAAGACGAAGCTAGTGAGATAAGCTCGGCTATCCCGTTCCGAACTTCCGTACCAAAACTTGTTCCTCCGTACCAATTACAGGGGGCGCCCCGAATTACATCAAGTAAGGATCGTCGGTATAGGATGCACGTGAGCTCTGCGCGTCGAACAACTAATGCTCAAGACCCTTCTTGTTTGCAGGAACAGTCTGTAAAGTTTCCACTAAATACATCAGAGTCGATCTCGACAAAACGATCAATTCCGTTATGCCCAGATGTACAGCCCGCGCCCGTCATTGTGTCTCCAAACCGACTGACGACCCTGCAAAATGCAACATCAGTGTCATTGCCGTTGAAAAAGGTGCCATATACTCAGCTCCCCCTAATCACGCAGATAGCAAGCTTGCCCTTCCCTGTAACAAACTCTGCCAAGTCAGAGTCTACTCGGCCAAAAGCTACCCGGGTTTTCCCTATCATCACCGGAAAAATGCCCGACATAATGCCCATTACTACGTCGTCTACTCAGTCCAGGGCAACACTTCCTGCTGCGCAAAAACAGGAACCAGTTAGCAAGAAGAAGGACAGTGACCACAGTCAACTGGACTACAACTCAATGGAGAGCGACGAAGAGTCTTACTATTACTATTCGGATTCCTCGTCGGAAGACCCCGGCGATGTCCATTCGGCGCATGCTTCCTCGACCACAGTGATTGACTTGGATGTAAAGAATGAAAGCCACCTGACAGAAGATTCTACGATTTACAAGGATACTCAGATACCGAAGCACGTTCCGCTTAGCAACATGAGGAACGACAGGCAAAACACTTCTATAACCCCCATTTATATACCGCCAACTCTCCCTCTGACAGGGGATTCAGTAGCTTCACCACCAGTCTATAGCGACAGAGCACCTCATTCAACAGATTTTCAGCGTCTGCGTCCGGCCCCTCTCCTCCCACAGACACCCTCCAGCGATAGCAACATAAGCCTGGTCACGCTTCCGCTGGGGCAGGAAAGCAAAGATCCCTACTCGCTGAGCAGAACATCTCTATCACAAAATAGTGCCACGACTACCAATGAATTCAGAGTTAGTGCAAAGACGCCAAGGACATGTGACGCGGACAATCCTTCATCTCAGCAGAGTGTGCGACATGCGCTGTCTAACTCTTCCATACTACGCAATTCCAACTTTCAGTCCATCTTACGGCAAAACAAAAGCGTCGACTTCGACGGGAAGCACCTGAGTAAGCTTGGCCACACAGTTGTTACGGCTGACTGCCTTGAAAGCCGACATGTCAGGCTATCGCAGGTCGAGACTCAGCATTCCACTTCATCGATGAGTGAGGATGATGCTAATGTTACCTCTGGTGAGTTATTTTCGGAGAGCAGGTACACTAGCAAGCAGAACATGGCCAGTGCAGGTGTTGAAGCGGTCGAGAAACGAGCTAAAGGGCAACCAGCGACTTCCACAAAGGACCGGGTTTCCTTTTCCGGCCGGGACACCATTGTTGAGTTTCCTCACACAGAAGGGGAGAGCCATTCTATCATCATCTGTCAAAACGATAGCTCAGCTAATCTTGCGTGTACACGTCTGAGTGGCAGCTCTATTGCAGGCGAGCTTGGTGCCTCACTCAAGCAAGGTCACCTTTCTGCTTCGGCGAGGGATGTAGTTTCCTGCTCAACTCAAGAAGAAATCGTCCCGACAGTCAAGAATTCACTAACTTCTAATAGGTCTCAAGGGGGAAACATCCTACCTAATAACGGGAGTAAGCTTCAAGGCAATATGTCTCAGAACAAACTTGAGTTGTCAGCAAGGCATCAATCAGTTGGCGATGTTTCTTTACCTGCTCGGAAAAACACTGCCGCCTGCGGAAGAGAGGAAAGGCAGCTTGGGGATTTACATGCAGCAAATGCTTTCAAGCCTAAGAGCCGAGCGCAGTCGAAGGCGCCGCACCTCGCGTCTAGGCATGAAACATCAGCAAACAATGTCGAAATGGCCGACTTCTTAGGGTTAGAGTTTGTGGCAGGCGAGGATACACAGTATGCTAACAAGGCCCTACGCTCTAACCGTTCATTTGTCAGGGCGCTGGAAATGGTTCCGCAGAGCAATCGGCACTCACAGAGCACAACGGATTGTTACTCCGGTGAGATAACCGTGACCGCACCCTCTGAGATAAAGTGAATTATTAGTCTATGCAAACAAAAAATGTCTGATTGCATCAGGATCGCGGTTAGGTCCACAGTGAAGGAATTCGAGCCAAGGACATTCGAGTTTTTTCCAGATAGCACCGTCGGCGATCTGCGGAAGAAGGTTGCTGAGGCCATCTCCGCAGAGGCGCCCACCATCCGTCTCATTCTCAACGCATCTATCTTGAATGATGACGGTATTCTACTGTCGAAGGTTCCAAATATCACTCAGGATACCGTAGTATTCACTCAGGCTAAACCTCGCGGAAGGATCCTTGAAGCGCCTCCCAGCAGTTCTGCCGCAGGGGTCGCGCAGGCCCGGCAAATTGAATCGGCTGCTTCGCGAGATCCTCATGCTGAGGTGCAAGACTCCTCGTCCGGATCCAATTCAGATGCCTTAGAACTAGACCCAGTTAGCAACAACTCGGACCTCGTCGCACAGCTAGTAGAGACCTTTTCCTGTAGGCCACGGCTGGCGCAGATATCGCTCGAGCTGGCTAATAACAACATGGATCTGGCAGCTGCCATCATCGCCGAAGATCCGACAGAAGAGGATCTCGAGGACACCCTCCGGCACATGGGCGCGGCCAGACACAGCCACAGACCACACATGTACAGCACCGAGGAGCTAGAGCAGATACTCCAGACACCGAACTTCTTGGAGATGTTTACAACCCAGATATCCGACTGGAGCCCCAATCTGGTGCTGAGATTCAACGAGGATCGCGACTTGCTCCTTGAGGTGCTCCACCTCTACCTGAACATGATCGAGGCAGGGATGGCCGGGAGAGGGATCCTTATTCCAAGGGAAAGGGCGCCGCCGCAGCCTGCAGAGCAGCCCCCTCCGCTGACCGCGGACGACGAGGACAACATCGCCACGATCATCGGGATCTGTGGTGGCGACCTGAACTACAACCGGGTGAGGGAGGCATATGTCAGGCTCGGGCGCGACATGAACGCGGTGGTTTCTGTGATCATGGACCAGCGAGAGTACTTTGAGAGGGAGTGAACGACTGCTTAAAAATAGATGACGACAAGGCTGGCCGCCAAGAGGCTCGTCGTCGAGTACCTCCTCTACCTCAGGGCTGCGCAAGCCGTTGAGGACACCGACAACCTGGACGTCGCCATCGATTGCCTCCGGGACTGCTTCGGACTCAAGGACGTCAGGCACGGCAACGGCGACCTGGAGCAGATCCTGAGCGGGGCGAAGGCGCCGGCGGTCTCCAGCACAAGCTCCAGCGAGCTCAAGGCGCAGGGCAACGCCGCCTTCAAGGCGGAGGACTTCCAGGAGGCGATCCGGCTCTTCACCCAGGCGATCGAGGTCTCGGCCGCGAACAACGAGCCCCCAGACCAGCGCGCCGTCTACTTCGCCAACCGGGCCGCCGCGCGCCTGGGCCTGAAGGCCGAGGAGGAGACCGCTCTTGCTGCTGAATTTAACACTAGATGGCTAGTAAGGGAATCAACCAATAATGACTTCCTTGTGCTAATGAGAACCTATCTACAACGTTGAAAAGATGTGGCAAAGAATTAACTTCATTCCAATCCTCGTGGAACCGAGTAAAAAAGGTAGAGCCTATCCCCGTTAGACAATCTTGCCTCTGCTACAGTTTGCTGAGGATCAAGGGGACATCCTTGAAAATGAAGATCACCGTGAGTGACGGAGACAGACAGACTAGAAAGCGCGCGCTCTCGGAGAGTCTTAATTTTATCGTCTAAATGGGCTTGCACTATGACGTCCTTTGCATGGGCCACTTTACATCTGTTGAACGTGGTGTCAAAGATGGTCATACCGAGCTTAATGTGCAATTCCAGAGTTGGTCTCGTCATTTTAAATTTTAAAGCTCTCACTACTTCGATCGCCCCTAGAACTGCCTATGTCTGGCTTTTATCTAAGATAGCACCGAGTGCCCTGTTTTCTAACAATGGTGATAACGATGCTAGATTAAATAGCTGGTTCGCACGATTCCACCCTCAACTCTAGTGCGCATCCCACTGCCAGCACCCTATGAAGTCCCTACACCACTCACAGCGTTTGCTACCTAAGTACCTACGCCTTCCCTCTACACACGAACCACCAGCAGAGGAAGCCCACGAGGCCCCCCACGACGACAACCGCCGCGACGGAGATGCCAGCGATGGCCCCCGTGGAGAGCCCGCTCTTGTTCGTGCTCATAGACACACACTTGCCATTGTCTAGACTGAAGCCACTGTTGCACTCCCCACACACACCGTCCACCACACAGCTCTTGCAGTTGGTGTCAGAGCATACTACACACCCACTGCCATCCTTGTTGGGCTTCTTACCACTGTCACAGGAGGTACACACAGCAGCAGTCATGCCAGCTGTTGTTAGAGCTGTTGGTGCTGTACACCGGGAGCAGCCATATACTCCTACATATGCCTTAGCGGTACTATCAGTGCCTACTAGTGTGCCAAGGGGGTTCTCGCAGACCAGGACAGACCTCGCTGGCCACGTCCTTCCCGCAGTCCTTGCAGAGGACGTAGTGCTTGCACGGCATGCAGACCAGGTTGGGGGCGTTGGCGCGGCACTTCACGCACTTCGTGTACTTCTTCGAGTTGAGGAGCTTGCGGATCTCGCCCAGGCACTTCTCGAGGGACTTGTTCAGCTGCTCCTCCGAGATCTCCGCCCCCTGGTCGATCCCCGAGCAGGAGAGGGAGTAGAACGCCTCGAAGAACGAGCGGAAGATGGCCATGTTGTGGCTCTTGACCTCGGCCTGCTGCGACTTCTTGGCCATCTCGGTGTAGGTGGCCGCGACCCTCTGCCGGAGCTGCTCCAGCATCGCCGCGTCCATCGTCTCGATGGTCTTCAGCCGGAGGACCTTGGCCGCCTCGAACTGCTTCGCCCTGGAGGCGTGGTTGAGGGCGGAGAGCTTGCCGGCGTCCCGCAGCCTCCCCTCCTTCTCGAAAAGGGCCTGGATCAGCTCGAGGTTCCCCCTCTTTGCCGCCGCAATCAGCGCAAAGGACCCGTCGTTCGAGACCAGGCCCGCCTCTGCGTCGACCAGCTCCAGGGCGACGGCGGTGTGCCCGGCCTCGGCGGCCCACATGAGCGCCGTCTTCCCGTCTGCGTCCCTCTGGCCTGCGTCCGCGGCCTTGTGGGCCCTGACGTAGTCCAGCCTGTTCTCCTTGGCCGCCTCAATAAATGCCATTCTTTGCCTCCCAATTGCGATCGCGGCTCCTCAGAAATACCGTGGGCGGGCAGCTCGGAGCACCTGCTCTATGGTGCCGGGCGCAGGCTAGAAACCCGAGGCACCAGCCTGCAACGCTGCTCCTCCAGGCCTTGCCCCTCTAAGAGAGCGGCAGTTTACTTGTGGGTCGCAGAGAGCCTAAGAGTCATTGTGGCCGCCGGTGCTAGATACACTACTGCTAAGGAGAGACACCATCTCAGGATAGACCATAGCCTTAGCTATATCAAGGGCAGTCTTATCATACTTATCTTTTATATCCCTTTCCCTCTCTACTAAAAGTTTAGCACATTCCAGTTGATTATTACGTATTGCAGTTATGAGAGCAGTCGCTCCAAAGATGTCCTGCATGCCTCCTTCATGATCAATTAGCAGTTTCACAATTTCTGAATGGCCCCAGGACGCTGCTTCCATGAGAGCAGTTGTTCCAAGTATGTTTTGTGCACGGCTTTTGTTTTTTATTAGGAGTTTTACCGCATCTATGCGACCACATTTCGCTGCTTGCATAAGCGCTGTACACCCATCCACTTCATCCGGACTGAGAATCTCTGCAACAAGTTTGTGTCCTGCTTTCTCAGCAATCATCAGAGCCGTGTTGCCTTCACTGTCGATTAGGTTATCCTCGTACGGGCCCAAAATGGAAGCAGCTTCTGCACTGCCATTCTCTGCAGCGACCATTAGAGCAGTTCGACTGTTCTTGTTTCTTCTCCCACGTTCGTAAGGGGCGAGAATCTCGACTGCTTCAGGGTGGTTGCAGTGTGCGGCGTGCATGAGCGCAGTCCAGCCGTTCTTGTCCTGGAGGCCCCTCTCTTCTTTAACAAGCAATTCAATGGGACCAGTGTGCCCCTGCTGGGCCGCATGCATAAGAGCCGTCATCTTTTTCTCGTCACGCTGACCGATGTAGACTCCCTCATTGACCAGCATTCGGACGGTCTCTGTTTCATTCGTGCGTGCGGCGCGTATAAATCTGGGTAGCAAGAAGAGGCTGAATTGAGAATTGGATAGACCTAGCGCAATGCTAATCTGTGTAATTCTACTGTCTAGTACTTTTATCATGGCTAGGTACTCTCTACATTGATCTTCAAGCATGTCGATCCTAGTTAACTTAATTCTGGGCTCCTGTCCCAGGGCGTCGACTTCACTTGGCCTGTTCTCAAGGGTTGCCTTAAGAGTAGCAATCTCGTTCAACTTAGTTTTGACCTCCTCCTCCAAAAGCGCGATCTTGGCATGAGTATTACTCGCAGTGATCTTCGAGGAACCATGCTTACTTTCCAGCGCCACTTGCCAAGGTTCCGGCTCGTTATCCGAAATATCTGCTGTGTCGAGCATCTCATGCAGCTCCCTGGCCGTCGGCCTCCTCCCAGGATCCAGCACGAATATCCTCTCCAGAACATTCTGCATGAAGCCATCAGTGACACCGCTCAGGTCTGGCCTCCACCCATCAACGAAGACATCCTCTGGCTCCCTGTCCTCCAGGAAGTCCAGCATCCTTAGAGTTACTAGTTCATAAATGATGACCCCGAGGCTCCACACGTCGGAGGCGGGGCTGGGCTCGTTGTGGAGGAGCACCTCGGGGGCCGTGTGTGCCCCTATTCCTATAAGAGTGCTTCCACTCCACAAGATGTTCCTGCAGAGTTCGAGGCCGGCGATGATGAAGTGCTCACCGTCTGCACTGATGGAGATATTGGTAGACCTAAGATCGCGGTGAACAAGCCCCTCAGCATCTGCCCTTTTGACACTGTGAAGGTAGGCAAGGGCGGTAGCGATCTGTCTTATAGCTGAGAGGATCACTCTGGTGGGCACAGGACTCTTCATTTGCATATGCTCAATGAGAAGACGTCCGAGAGTCTTGTTGTAACGGTCTGTGATAAAGTAGACGAAATTCATGTGCTCGATCACTTGATGATACCTGAGAACCCCTGGGTGGGAGAGCTCGGGGAGGGCAGCCAGCTCGAGTCGGACAGCGTCTGTGTTATCCTTTTCCAGGCAACCTAGTGGGGCGACCTTTACAACGAGACTCGGATAGTCCTTGAGAGAGTAGACTATACCCGTGATATCTTTGCTTAGTATATCACCTAACCGTTCATAGAGGTCATTGAGGGTAAACTGCGGGACACTAGAGGCCACTGTTGCAGGCTCAGACGAGGCAGTGTCCATCCTGGTTTTATTTTGGTAATCTACAGTTTTGGAAACGATCCGTTTCCACAGGGGTTTGTGTCTACAGATCTGTAGTGGTCCAATGCTTGCGGAGGGCTACTGCATCAGGGGCAAGAAGGCCACCTGCGCGACCGTTTCACCCACCGGCGTTCCAGTGCCGGCCGGGGGTGAGAAGGCCTGTTCCCCTTGACCTCTGCGGAAACGGGCAGCTGTGTGACCCACTGACGGCCAGCACTTCGCCCTATTGGCTGGCCGTCCCCCTGCACAGCTGGAGAGGCCCTAGTACATTATCGAATGCAATCAACAAGTAGGCAGGTTCACTCACGAATTTCTTGGGCGGCATCTGCAGATAGGGATCCATAATACCCTCACTCTCAAGAAAAGATACCACCTTGGAACAGCCGTGCATACCAGCCATACGAATGGCAGATCTGCCGCTTATGTCCTTCTCCTTCTCCAGCAGTAACTTGACACACTCCAGGTGACCAAAATTTGCTGCAAACACGAGGGCAGTAAGGCCCCTGTCCTTCTCCATGCCTCCCTCAACATCCAGGAGTAGTTTCACGACCTCGGTACAACCGTTGCCCGCCGCCCACATGAGGGCCGTCCATTCATTACTATCCCTCATGCAACGCTCGTGCCTCATCAGCAGCTTCACTGTCTCGACGTGTCCAAGCACTGCGGCGACCATCAGGGCCGTCCCTTCGCGTATCTCTATTGTCCCCGCCTTGACAAGCTTCGCCACCATCCTTGCCTGATAAGGGATGTAGCGCTTCACCGCTTTCACGTCGTTTCTGCTGGCTGCCTTCATAAGCGTGGTGACGCCGTCCTCGTCCACACTGCCTTCATCATCTGTTTGTGGAGACTCGGCGGGGCTGCTCTTGCCTGCGCCCTCTTCGCTCGTGTCCTTCTCGGGCATGAGGGGCGGGGCGCAGTCGTGCTCCTGAGAGCAGTGATCCGAATCATCTGCAGACGACATTTTTATTTCATAATCACAAAGGAAACGCGTGTACTGGTAAGCTTGCGATTCACGGTATTGTTTACAGATCATCCAGATAGCGCACCAAACACAGATTGTACACCCTGGATTCCCTCTGCCCTTCTTGCCTTGTGTGGTAAGTGCCCAATGAGAGATGACTTCAATTGTGGGGTTGTAGCCGGCTGGGCACCAGTGCAGGGTGGGCACTAGAGCTTCGGACTTCTTCATTCCACCTACCAGTCACCTTCAGCGTTGTGCTGCTAGGACCTCTGCCTACGAGCACACCCCAAGGATCCCGTGAGTAACTTCAGTCAATGCTCGATTGTGTCAGGAAACGGAAGCGAGTCATCGCTGATAGAGCAAGGGTCTTCTCTGTTGCACTGCTGGAGACCTAGCTATCTTATCACCACCTTCTTTCTGCCGGGCCTCTGCTTCAGAAACCCTGTGATGTCATGGAAGAAGCCTGACAGCCTGTAGTAAAACAGCTCCTGTGAACTGTAGACGTTGGGGATCCTCTTACCCACTGTCCATGCACATCGGCAAGGCCATCTGACGTTCCCAGGGCCCGGCAGCTCGCCATGACTGGAGAGGAGGGCTTACTGGGTCCTGAGCAGCACTGATTATGAATTCCTACCATCAAGCTTCCCTCTCCATAGTCTTGGAGCCTTTGAGATAGCCTCAGCAGATCATCGAAGAAGAGCATAAGCTCTGGCACTGCATCGGTAAGCTCTGGGGACTTCGCCTTTCCTTGCTGCAGGTCTTCAGGAGCAGTCTAGAGCTATGGCTAGCTGATTGCGTTATTACTGCCTGGAGTGCTTACTCAATGGGCCTCTGCAAAGCTAAGTTGCCAGACAGCATCAGTGGCAAGTGTCGATCACAGATACTCTGTCCGCCACTTGTGGAGGCTTATCTCCATTTAGGTTCCCTTCCCACCCTTGCAGTGCTCACTCGAGCGAACCAGAGCCTGAGATTGATAAGCCCAGCGAGCCTAGTACAAACCTCAGAGGGCTCAGGAGGTCATGGCTCCTTTGGTGTCTGCCATGTCGTTCTCCTCGCTCGGTTGACATGCGCGCTGCTAAGAGGGCCCTCATTCACTCGAGCTCGTGCCCCCCTGTGGTGACTCTGCTCGACCATCAGCGAGGGTCCCGGTCCTCCTCCCAACAGACCGGCCTCAGACCCCTCGTGATCTGCCAGACCGAGCAGAGTGATCGCGGCGCCCGTCAGAGACCGGCCCGACGGGCCCGCAGTGCAGTGCGCCTGGATCCACTGAGATCGTTCACTCCCCCAGTGGGCCACAGCTTCCCCTGCCCTGCAGGTGTCCTCCAGCGAGGGCATGTCGTTGTGGGGCAGTCTTCTCATCCTGCCGTGCACACAGGGCTCAACCGGCGACCGTCGGACAGTCCCGATGGCATGCCTGAAGCCCCGCTACGGCAGAGGGGGCAGCACACGGGGCGGCCCCCACGCTGCTGCAGATTGCAGTGGCAGAGAGACCCCCTGCCCTGGAGGCCCGTGCAGTGGCTGTGGCGGCCATCAGCTACTTCTGTGCACTCCTCTGCCGCCAGCTGGAGCGCGAGGTCGATCAGCAGAAGTGTGTAGAATGTTATAGCCTACAATGTGCTGCCTCAGAGCAGTTGAGCTCTTGGGGTCGGCACTGGCTCTGCCTCACAACCGGTCTATCAGTGCTTAGATTACCGATATTGAACTGGATGCATGCCTACGAGTTCAGATGGTCTGGGCGCCCTAGATATACAGGGGTCTTACATGAGAGGAGATTGTTTGCCTCTCTGGCTGGTTCAATATGTCACTGTGTGCTAGCCCAGTCACTCTGTCCTAATATATGCAGGGATTCTCAAGAGCTGGACTGCTGCAATCTGAGTTTCTCAGCCCCGTGCTCCATTGTCTGGTGACCCTGGGACTGTGAGCATGGCGCCATGTTATTGGATCCCTACGTTGGTAAGCACGTAAGATTTCTAATCTGCATAGAAACAGTTCACGGGAAGTCCTGCAGTATAGACTCTTCCAAGACGACAGAGCCGGTGGCAGAGTCATTTGCGAGAGTACGATCACCTGGTGAAGGAAACGGACACGTACTGCGGCGACACAGGAGCCTGTGGTCCTGTTCTGTCAGCCATTAGAGGGCTTTCCAGGAACAAGGATACATAGCGAACGGTCCATGATAAATGAAGCCCAGATAGCTGCGAGCCAAAGACCCGCAGGCATAAGGCCAGGATGCATGAGCAGGGATCAAACGCATCTAGAGCCTCGAAGAGCAGCCCACGGCTTAGTATAGACACGCCCAGTCGAAGGCTACTCCGGTCGGTGGCTGTGGAACGTACAATCGTGGACTACCCGTGAATCGCCGCTGTCATTACACCCATGGGCATTCTTCTACTATTCGGGCCCATCCAGCAGTAGACGCGTTGAACGCTGTGACTGGGCTGCTCTACCTTCGCGCCATGCACCTGACAAAGGGAAATAGAGTCGTGCACAGCCAGATGCGTCAACTGGAATCCGAGAAGCCGAAAGAAGGTAGGGGCCGTGTGGCTGTTATGTCCGCGGCTCTCATAGTCCTCGTAGTCTGGCCCAGCAGGCTCCTCCGGTTGCCTCGCACAAGTCAGTAATCTGCAGTCTCCCAAACAGACGGGCTACCACGGGGCCTGGCAAGGCGTTCTTCCCTCGCTTCGTTCTGAGACCGTAGCGTTAGCACAAACGTAGGCCAGAGACGGGCATTTCTTGCAACCTCTGAAGCAGGTCACAAGGTCTCGCCGGGGTGCACTAGTATCCACTGTGTCGCCCTGCAATCCAAAGGCTGCCCATTACGCCCAGCCTTGGGACTGTGTTGGGGGCCATTCTATGGAAAATGGGGGCGCTCTCGACCAGGTCTGGCGAGGTATGATAAGGATCGTATCAAACTCCGCGCTGGCTGTTCTCTGGGGCTCACTGCAAGGGCGCCACCTACGCCTGCTGGCCCTGAGCTGTGGGGATGCCTATGGGTAAGGCCGCTCGACAGTGAGGGCTGTAAAATTCCGCCACACCCATAGGGCGACGTTCAGAGCTCAGAGCACCGTAGCCCCGGTTTCATGTCAGATAGAAGAGGATGTGTGATACTGGAAAGGGCCGGACTATCTGGAAGCCTGGAGCCGCAGCAACGAAAGAGCAGCATCGGTGTCTAGATGCATGATCTCCCGAGGCAGGGGGCACCTTTGCCCGAGTGCATCGCTTGCCGGTGTTGTGGATTTTTTGTACTCTACTTACCGCATGTCGCTGCTCCATGGTCAGCGCCTTGGTTCGCGAGTCAGGGCACGCGTCTTCTTGGTGGCGCCGTGAATGAAGCGACCGGGAGGAACTGGTACGAGGGCTGAGCTCGTTCGGACGCCCCCGCGGCTAGCGCTGGCCACTCTTATTGTTGGTTGGAGAGATGCTGTGGGGTCTCGCTGTCTTGCTGTTGATTGGCAGTTTACTGTCTTGTGTGACGAATGGGTACTGGTGAAACATGATACATTTACACGCTGCCTCTCCCAATCTGCCTACTTGTGCACTTTCTGTGAGATATGAAAGTGTGTCCATAGGTAGAAGATTATTGCCCCATGCTTAGCTGAGGTGAACAGTAGCGTGCTCTTGCATTACAGTACTGACCCTTTCTTCTGGCCCGTGATTTCTTTAACATTTGGCAATAGATGTGGTTATACTTACTCTTGCTTGCTAAGCCACACTTCGTCCAACAGCAATCACGTACCTTCCTAGAGGACGTCTAGGAAACTGACCACATTGTCACGTGCAGTAAAGGGTGTAAATGGAATTACCTTCTCCTGCCCACTCTTGGGCTGCTCGACGTGGAAGACCTGTACAGGCTGCAGATCGATGTAGCTTCGCTGATCGTCAGTCTGACCTGTATCGCAGGCTACGCTGAAAACTAGTGGGCCTTCGCTACCAGTTGTAACTAGAGACTCTGGCAGTCTGGAGACGCCCCTACCTATCTTTCCTGGACACGGCAGCTCTGACTGAAGTTCCTCTTCTATACAACGTTTCAAGTTAGCGTTTCCAGACTTCTCGGCCAAATTGGTAAGAAGCTGGTCTACCGAGGATGCTGCAAAGCTGGTGTAGGATAGATTCTGAGCGCATAAGAGGATGACATTCTGCTTATAGATCCAGTTGTTTCGGACTATAGGAATCGCGTTAACCGGATACGGATTGCTACGACACATGGCAACGATTGAAGTGTTCACGCGGGCCGTTACTAGCTTCGGGCTAGGCTTGGTAACAAAGAAGTGAAGTCCCGAGACGAGACTGACGTGTGGAGACTCATCATCATGAAGCGCCATAACGCTCGGGCCGTCCTCGTCAAAGGCAGACTCATCAACACAGTCCGTTACCGGCGCTGGATCGTTGGTTTCAGTAAATGCAATTCCAGGAGTCCAGAACCTCAATTTATCAAACTCCTCCTGAGAATAATAGGACTGGTAGCATGCAAGAAAAACGGGACAAGTAACCATGAACGTGTCCGAACGAAAGCAGTCTTTCTCCGTTGTTAGTTCGAAGCACTCCTCCTTGGCGTTACATGAACCGGCCAGGCCAGCCCTCCTTATAAGGAACTGAGTGGCCTGATGCTTTGTAGCAGATACAAGGGGCGTGTGCCGCATGATCACGTCGTTTATGCTCTCCATAGAGAGAATTTTTTGGAAGATCTACTATGAACTATGCCTTGGAGTCCTGCTTCCGAACGCAGAACTCTGAGCAGCTCAACACGTTCATTCGCGATAAGATAGGGATATATGCACACATGGAGACAGATAGTAGTAGGAAGACTAATAAGACCGTCTGTAAGCACTACATCCGAGACCAGTGTAAGAAAGGAGATGACTGCGAGTTTATCCATGAGTACGCTATTGACAAGCTCGATCTGTGCAAGTTTGGAGATAATTGCACCAACCACTACTGCATTTACAACCACAAGAGCTCTAAGCGTGCCGATGTCTGCTATTCATTCGCACGCGGTGTCTGCCTCAATAAAACATGCGATTCCAGGCACATAGTGTACACGCTCTGCCCTCGGTACCTCGCAGGCTTCTGTCCCGAAGGCCCCAATTGTACAATGCAGCACCCCCAGCTGTCTGGTCCCATTACCATATACACGCGCCAGGTCATGAAGAAGCCGGGCTATATTGGCCACTGCAGCCACTGCTGCAAGTATCACGGCGATGCTCATGAGCTCACCGACAACGACAAGAAAGATCGCTACAACGCTCATCACGGACAGACCTCAATAGAGGATAACACAGACTTCACTGGGATGTTGCTACAATGTCCTGCTGCCAAAGACGGGTCCCGGCTCGTCCGTGACCACGCTATGATCAACAAAGTCTTTGAGCACACGCCCGAAAACTTCCGCCGCCTCTATGACATTTTGCGCGAAATCGAAGCCAGCGAACGCGCCGATCGGGCCCGTGCGCGGGCAAACAAGGAAATCGAAGACGAAGACGCCTAGTAAACGTTTACTTGCCCTTCCTGTACTCGGGCTCGATCCGCTTGCCGATCCGGGTCGCAAGCTCCATGTCGGGCTTCATGATCGTGACGCGCTTGGCGTGCTCGGCGCAGAGCTGCGTGTCGACGAAGAGCGAGATGATGTAGTTCTCCGCAGACTCCTGGAGGGCCTCCACCGCCGCGCCCTGGAAGCGGATGTCGGACTTGGAGAGCCCGGAGGTGACGATGTCACGGACGAGCTTCGAGAAGGGCAGCTTCCGGATGAGCAGGTCTGTGGACTTCTGGTACTTCTTGATCTCCTTGACCGCGACCATGCCCTGCTTCTTGCGGCCGGTCTTCTTGATCCCGCTCGTCGAGGACGCCGTCTTGCGTGCGGCCTTGCGCGCGATCGTCTTGCGCGGCGCCTTCGTCGCGCTGGTCGTCTTGCGTGCCGTGTGCTTGGTGCGTGCCATTTTGTTCCCCGCCCTTTTTGGCCAAAAAGATTGATCCCAAATCTGCGCCCTCTTAAGTTAACTTCGCCCTGTGATAAGTTGCTATACGTCGAAAGTGTCAATACAACGAAGTAGTTACCTAAGAGGTGTCTACCACGTTTTGTCCCTGAACAGGGCTGCACTACCAACGAAGGGCTAGTACAAACTAAGATAAAAATGGTCAAATGCATGGTCTATCAAGACGAGAGCTTTCTCCATGCGTATGAGATCGCAGAGACACGCATACTAGTGGGGCGAGCTGCCAAAGACGGCGCCCAGCGCTCTGCTGAGCCAGGGTCCTTCTTCATTCCACTCCCCGGGCCTGCTATCTCGTCTCAGCACCTCGAAATGGTGTTCAGCGCAGAAAAGATTATCATATCTGATACTTCACGTGCAGGAACAACTATCAAACACGGTGGAATTTCGAAGACACTCATGAAAGACACTTACGAGCTTGATCCCAGTAGTGTCAATCGGTTCCACGTTGTGTGCGAGTCGAAAGCCGTTGTGTTTAAGATCGTTGTGACTGTGAATGAAGCTGCTGAAGAGCATGAGACAGGAGCAGTTCTGGCAGGTCTCGATCAACAAGAAGCAGAACAAGACTCTGCCTCTGTAGCAAAGCAGGAACCACCGAAAAAGAAAACAACTCCAACCACGAAAAAGCCACGTACAGAGTCTGCAAAGACCTTAGGCCCCGCTAGCAAGGAAGACGCAGGGGTAAAGAAAACTACTAAGAAGACGCCTGCTGCGGCCAGTGAGATCTCTAAGCCAACGGTAAAAAAGACGACTAAGAAAAAAGCCAAGAAAGCAGATGGACTAGATATTGACGGTGAGGAACACGAATCTATCCGCCCAAGCACTAACGAGTCGTTTCAGGAGTTCACTGGGGATGACAGCGACACTAGCGATGAAGGACTAGACTTGCAAAGTACTGACGAAGAGTCTGAAAGCGACGGGGTGGCAGAGAACCCGGAAGAGTCTGATCCTAATGAAAAACTTCAAATAGACGCGTGCTTTGAGAACTTGGACGATGCGCCTCCATTAGCTTATAACATCGATGACTACACAGCACGGCGAGCACTCATGCACACTATTCATTGTGACGAGTACAGTTTCACAGACATCCTAGATGGTCTTGGGCAGGATGTGAAGGTCTGCTGGTGCAATTATCTTAACGAAGAGATGAAATCCATTGTTGAGGAGCTGAACATCCGCCAAGATCTTGGATATGCTGCCGATAAGGTCAATGTATTCTTTACGAACAAGTTTCGGAGGACGGCACGCTATCTGATGGCGATCCACAGGGGCATCCCCATTCTCACAGAGACGTACCTTCAGAGATGCAGGAAAACTGTGCTCAGAGACCCAAGTGTGGACTTTCCTCGGGCTCGAAAGTACTTGATAAGCGTTTCTCGGGAAGAAGCAGCTGCTGGTGACCAGTCGCTCCTCAGCCGGATGCCAGAGGATTGGTCTCTTGCACGTGTAATGGCCAAATCTTTCAAATACCCTGTTGTGTTTGTTGACAGCTATCACATAGTAATCGTTCCAGAGGCCATTCTGAACGTACCAATGACAAAGCAGACGTCCGCAAAGGATTTTATTGCCCTGTACAGCTTTGGTCTCGTTGTCGCGGGCATGGGTGTCAAGACCGTGAAGATTGTTTTCGAAAGCGAATTCGACCGATGTCTCCACAAAAGAGAGATCGAGGAGGACCTCCCAGAGCTCCATAAAACCTCCTGCCGCGCCTTAAACCCTAACTTACATCTAGACACTCTTGACGATCGCATACTTGATGCAGCAATGCTGGCCAAAGAAACCGATGGTGTCGTCATCCTGGTCGTCCCCCCACCAGATAGCCCTCATTACGAAAAGTATCGAAAGTTCAGGGGCGTCTATGCCGACACCGGGCTTAAATTTATCCAGATGAAGCGCCAGGGGGTAATAAATAGCATCTTACTGGGTGAGCCAGCCTTTAGAGAGCAATATGTGGAGTAAGCAGTAAATATAAATGCGAGAATGGGACTTTTTTGTGATTGCTGCTCTTTATGAGAAGGTCGTCGAATGGGGAGGTACTGTCGACACGCTAGTATCTTTTTTAGCTAACGAACCCATACAAACAAACCCAGAGCTGGGGAGTCTAGCAGGCCTCTTTGAGCTGAACCTCCAAGAGTATGCATCTCATGAGCGACTGAAAGAGGTGCTTGAATCCGGACTGTCGCTTTCGGAGCACAGGAAGCGCTGCATGGCTGTCCTTCAGCAGGCATATCCGACGCAATATGACTTTCTTTCCTTCCCCCCTGAGCACCTCAAAGGCCTTGTGGGTGTGCAGGACGAAGTATCCACACCAGATGCTGACGAGCAGACTCCAGAGGAGTGCTATTCCACGGTGGAACGCATGAACAAAGATACCTTTGAAAAGCTCTGGTGTTTCCCCACGGACGGCGGCTTCAGTGGCATGTATTTTGTATCAATTCGGGTCTGCTTGCAACAATATAGAAACGTGATGGATCTATTGGTCGATATCTATGGAGCTACAGAACAGGGGCTGCGTGCTGATCTCATTGGCCCTGACGACGCTGACGGCATTTATCGCTCCCTTATGTCCATCTATGCCCGCGGTGTCCACAGAGACCAAGATGAACTAATTCCTAGTTTACATAACTAACGGCCTTCTTGGTCTCCTTTAGCGCTTCAAAGTCGCCTTCCTCTGGAAATACTAGCTCTATAACGCTTTCATAATAAGTATACTTCCGCCAAAATGCTTCATAGAACTGAGTAGCGTTTTGTCGCACTACAGGCTGCTTGGATGTGGTTAGGCGTTTCAAATTCAGCAAGTGTCTCGGCAACTCAGAGCTCATATCGAGCAGCAAAATCTTAGCAAACAGGATCATAATAGAGAGCACCCCGTTGCACTGCCTCGAGTCCTTCTGCTTGAATAGCTGGAGAAGGATGTCGTACGTCTCCCTGAGTACATCCCTGCTCATTGCGCTGGCTATGTTAATAAAGGCGGAGAGACCCTGCTCTTTGATGACATTGTGCTTGCCCATCGCCGTGAAAAAGGGTATGCGGAAGTATTTTTCAATGAGCTCAGATCTCACGGTTGTGTGAGAAACTAAGTGATCGCTCGTCAGTAGATACTTAGTAACCAGACGCGAGAAGTTTCCAAGGCAGAATGCGTACTCCCGCGGACCTAAAGTCCCTGTACTGAGAATCCTAATGAAAGTTTCGCAGGTCTGCGATGACGGGTTTATCAAAGTGTCGACATACGTTTTAACTATAGCGTTTAGCTGGTCTCCGAGTTCATTAGAACACACGTCGATCCCCTTCAGGTGGATAATAGTCTCCAGAAGTTCGTATTTGTCGATGATAGACGTAGGACCCCGCAAGGAAGAGACACTGTGGACAATGGTCACAAGCAGCGCTGCCTCGTGGTAGCACTCGATGTCATCTAGCGTCTGTTCAGACCTGGAATTGGGGTCCGTATCAATCCATTTAGCTATGGCAGCCTTGAGACGTGAGAATAGACTTTCCACACACCTGAGACCTTTTTCCTCGGAAGAACTACAGGCGTGGCCTTCGTTCGAACCCCTAAGTAGTCCGCAGAAGCTTGCACTAGTCTTAGATAAAGCCAGCAGGTCTCTGTGTACGGCTACTACGCAGAAAGCAAGTATCTTGGCTATATGTGGCACCACTAATCTAGAAAAACTTAGCGCTTGGGGCGAGGTCTTGTCTAATGCTCCAAGCACTCTTAACGAGACATCCTCCGCCATCGGAGCATCATAGATAAATATGCCATTGATCAGGCCCTCAAGCACCACTAATCGTGAGGCTGCTTTGCCACTCCCTCTATACGTGTGATCAGAAATATACTTCACAAACCACTTCAGCTCTTCCTCTATGAAAACACGCGCCTCTTCGGTATTTCCGTTACTCATTGTCCTGGTCAGTAATCCACGCCAATACATCTTTATGTCTGAAAAACTGGATCGTTCTTGGACTGACACTACAAGATCAATTAATCTTCGCATAACTTGGTGTATTTTGATTGTGTAAATGCTCGGCGATAATGAGCGTATATAGGGAAGTGACTCGAAGACACGCCAGACTATGTTGCACAACATTTGATGTTCGTATACCTTGAGCTGAGCAGACGACGAACCGGCAGAGTCCCTCGCAACCATCTCTATTAGCAATGCCAAGGTGGTCTTGACGACGCCAAGCCCGCCGATTATAAACATTTGTCTCCACATGATGGTGTTCTCCTGCTGCCCAATCGCACACTTGGACGCAGCGTCATTCTGCTCACACCATTCATGACAGACAAGAAGCGTGGACCTGATAAGCTCTTGTAGATAGGGAATTATCTCCTGTTCATTCAGGAACGCTTTCAGCTCGCTAATCGGTGAAATGCGCTCAACTAAAGGCAAGGACGCGTCCGAATAAGCAGTCACAGGCATGGCGCGCGAAGTCAGTGGATGCTGCATGGTCCCGTGCTCCTTATACGAGTATGCCAACAAGACTGATGTGTAAAATATTAGATAAATGTCTACAAAAACTAAATGATTCTCGGTTAGGGCAGAACACAGCTGTCGAAGGACTCCAACAAGAATTGGGAGCATCGCAAAGCGCTTAATATAGTACACGAGTATGAAGCAGAGAGAGTGCCAGTTGACAGAGTCGCTGCTTTTACAAATGGTGTCAATGGTTTTGTGGACAGTCGCGGCCATTGCTGTGATATTATTGTAAGCACCTTCCACCGAGAATTCAGAGCCTGACACACACACTGGCATCCATCTCTGTACATCCAAGCACACAGGACCGTCGATGGGGATGACCCGCCGGAAGTCTGAGTCTTTCTTGGTCCCTTTCTCCTGCAGGACAGACGCACGCACAGCCTCAGCAAACGATGTGGCCGAGACAGTCATGAGTGAATTGTTGTATGCGTTAACAAATGAAAAGAATTTGTCCATGCCTTCGTGGTCGTGGTCCCCAAGAAGCACATATATGGTCAAGTACTTTTCAAAGAGTATCTCTGTTGAAATACCTCCCACTATATTAAGAGCTATGAGCTGCACTGGGAGCTCCTTGTCGAAATACGCGCTCAACTGCTCGATAAACTTCCTCGCGGCGATAGGATTGAAGGCAAGCGCCTCGCGTCTAAGGATAGCGGCAGCTCCATCGGCACATTCGCTTCCGAAAGTATCTGTAAAGTACTTAGCAAGTGTCTCCAACACAGCCTCTCCTCCAAGAGGTTTCCGAAGAAGACCTGCAAAAACGTCGCAAATAAGCGTGTGAACGGCTCCATAATGGGCCGGAGCAACCGACGCCAGGCTGGTCATGATGGAGAGGCAATTGACCCGTGTCTCGGTGGAGCCAAAGATATACGTATCCAAAACTAAAGGGATGAACTGGAGCGCAGACGGCTGTGTAGTCTGCTGCACGGTGGTAGACTTAAATAGTAGCCGATAGTAGTAGATCATCTGCGCTACTATGTTGAGCTCTAGTTGCGTGCGCTGAGTCTTAGATCGAGGCCTTTTGGGCGGGATAGCAGAGAATAAGGATGTGAAGAACTTGCCAAAGGCGGTAGTCTTTGTCTCAATGCCAGCAGACGCCAATACCGCTAAAAAGTCCTGGGCCTCTTTGCCAACAAAAAGGCCCTCCTTTAGCAAATGATTGGCAATCTTACGCAGTGTTGTAAAAACTAGTTCTGAGTCAACCTGAATCTTATGGGATGTAACGGGAATTGGTCGGCGCTTGTTGGCCAGTTGAGGCGACGGGGCGAAAAGAGCTCGAACAGCCCCCGGTTTGCAAGATGGCTCTGAAAGGAGACGCATGCTCTCTTGCATCATTCCACCTCCGCAACCAGAAAAGGTATAGAAGAGTGGGAATCTAGGCTCATCTGATAAAAGAGTACCTGGGGTTTCGTCTGTGAAGTCGATAGTTACCAACTTCTCGGCAGGAGGGATAAGTGTCCTGGTAGATGGAGAGATCATCGTTTGTCTAATATCCAGGCAATCCAAAAGTGTTTGGAACTTATACGAGTCTATCGGTACATTGGCTGGGGCAGATATTCTGTTACCTTGTACGTGAGGAGTCAGGAGCGAGAGTAGCGCGTAAGAGATATCTGTACTAGTTGTGATATTGGTGCAAATACTGAGTGCTTCAGAAACGACGCTGATAATACTTTGATAAAGTTCTATGGAAGCATCTGTGGGAACGCTCCATGCGACCTCGCGAATATCACCGTCGAGGCAGGGGGTCCACGAAGAAGGGAATGCAGTCACGCATGGGGTGGAGAGCGCATGGGCCAAGCAGACAATGTATGTGAACTTCTTTTTAGCTGGTTCCAACTCATCGTCCTGGTCTGGACACGATGGAAATGGATCTGCCGTCTTGTTCTTCTGCAATAAAGCAATCTTCTCGCTGGCCTCACAATAGCTCCGGTACTCTTCTGCACAGAAGTATTCAAGTATGCGTGATCCAAGCGTATTCAGACGAGTCTCACCAGCTGGAGAAAGCAACAAGTGATCTACTGAAATGACTGCTTGCAAGCATATCAAAGCGACAGTGGGCGACTTGGTGGTATCAGATTTCTCTAGCCAAGCACGGATGTGTTCATCCAAGCCATCGTATAGCGTATCCAAGACAAGGTGCACCATTTTCGCTTCATCTGCAGAGTGATTACATCTACTCTCCAGGCCTGCTATGCACGCAGATAAAAAGGAGCGGAAAGAAGCTACGCGTCTTGGAATGACCTTGTCAAACAAAAATGGAAGCAGTTGCTTGCTAAAGATCTCACAAGTCGTGCTAGTATCTAAAGCGGCAAGTATACTGACGATAACCTTCTCCGCCGTAGCAAGGTGGGGCGCAAACTTATTTGTCCCGGTCACTGTCCCGAAGGAAGGAGAGAAAATGCGCGTGGTGTTTTTAGAGGAAAAAGCTACGCCATACTCACCATGGTTAGTGGGCGATTTGACTCTCTCCGTTTGTGGAGAGCGAACAGCCGACAGAGGATCTGCATCGCAGCTTGCAAGGGTTTCTACGGAAGCATCTAAAAGAAAGGCCAATAAAGAGTCCAGGACTGCGAACAGAAGATCCTTTAGTGTGTCGTACTTGGAGCTGGTGTAGCAACCTACTTTCTGACATAGGTCCTTTGCAGTAAGAACCGGTAAGCTGAGGGAAACAGATTCCAAGAAGAGCAAACAGGCCTTCGACTGCACGACGTGCTGAAGGGTCAAATAAGGCAGACACATAGCTAAGGCTTCTGGAAGTGTAAGGCCTGTCGTATCAGAGGAGATAAACCAACGATCCAGAAGCTGATCTGAAACAATAAATAATAGGGATGATAGTCCATACTTATGGTGCTTCTTCGTCGCGTCGATGTGTGCCAGTTCATAAGCCATTTGCGTAATCATGGGCCAAGTGTCAGCAGAAAAGAGGTTAACTGCTTTGATAAGTGCGTCTTGAAATAGATCCACAGTATCCGGGGAAGCACCGTCAATGTAGAGCTGCAGGAGCAGGGTCTTGGCCAACGAGGATCCCAGGGGTGTAATGGCCTTCAGACTTGCAGAAGTAACGGGGAGATAGAGTACGTGCGCAAGGGGCCCCTTAACAAAGTGTACGATGCGAGCCTGGAGGTCCTGCTGATGCTTTTCATCTGGAAGAACCCGCGCGGAGGAAAGGTCGGTGAGGAGCATACTGACGTCCTTGATGACAGAGCATTTAGGCAAGTCACCAACAAAGCACGCATTTACGATGTAGCGGAGCATAGAGATTGCCGGGGAAAGGTCCACATACTCTTTTGTGAGTTCGTTGGGTGGTGAGGGGGTGGTATTTGGCAGCATGCCCTGGAGATAAAGATAACGACTACGGCACGCCCCTGCCTGAACCAGACACCACAGAAGGGACGGGCGCCAGACGGATGCCTGGCTGATAGTAAGAACAGCCTCGCTCATACCTGCTGGCCAGAACTCAAACCAGTCTGGTAAGGAGAGAGAGGACAGAACGCCCTTCCTTCCTTCAGATGTGAAGTAAGAGCACGACTTACTGAACTGTGAGGAGGTCTCGACTGGGGTGGTCTGGAAGCTGAGTAGAATGGAGGATGAACTTTCACTGATGTCCAGATAGGGACAGTCCACGAGCAAGCGGTATATTGAGTAAAGTATGGAGTAGCCAACTTCCTTGCCCAGTGACAAGTGGAGGAGGTCCTCAAGGTCCCGGAGACAGCTGGTGTGAAGCTGCTCTGTAGATCTATGGAAGGAGAGATCTACAGAGAGTAAATCAGCTACCGATGAGTCTACAAATGTCCCTGGCAGCAGAAACTGAGCCTTCTCCACAATACTAGAACGAAAATCCGTCTCTGATTTCTGCTGGCAGTGTGCCTTCACATACTTAGCACGAAGGTGAGCAGATGGAAGAACAGGCAGCCAGCATCTGGTCAGGGCGAGGTACTTGAACAAGTTGGTGGGTGTGGAGGTGTCTTTTAGATACCCATGCACAAGTGCATATATCTGCTCATAGTCTTCTGGGTCGTAGTAGGCGCCTATGCACATAAGATCTTGTGCAGCATTGTTGAAAAACTCCTTGGAAAGGCTCCCGATGTCGCCAACCGCACGCGTAGAAAAAGCGTAGGTGTCCACGCAATCAAAGGTGACCCTCCATGGAACGGAGATCGGAAGGGGAGGCTCTGCTGAGCACAGCGTTGAAATGGCCTTTAGAAGCTCTACAACCAGGGAGACTGGGTAGACCCCGATCCCGCTGGAAAGAAGATCGACGAAGAGAGATACCATGGTGGCACGCTCTGCCACTGTGAACGTGGTTTGCATCATCACCAGCGAGCCGAAAACGTCAAGAAGCATGGAGAGCTCTTCGCCTGTTCCCACAGACGAGAGCATGCGGACGAACTCCGCAACATTCAGGATCGACTCGCGGTCCAAATCTATCGGCCCCAGGCAGACATTTCCCGGCAGCTGGGTCATTAAAAAAAGGCTGTAACATGTAGCAAAAAAGAATTTGATTTTGCCTCTCCAATTAAATGCAGACGTGAGTAAGTGCGGAAAGAGCAACAGTGGCGAGAACGGTCCTTCCAGGTACGGGGGTCTAGGTAGTGCTTTTTGGCACTAGGAAGATAGTCTCTGGGCGGGTCCACCTGTTTCAAGACAACACCTCACTTTGGACCTGCAAAATCTACCAATGGCGGCATGCTTCTGCTCTGATAGTAGGATGTCGTATATTGCAATTCTGGGTTAGGGGAACTAGCTACAAGATAAAAGCTATAATTCCCGCTTATGTGGGAGTCTGACTTATGACCCAGGCAGGGATAGATAGATTCATTTACTCCGTAACCTTTGACTTAAAAATGTTTGGAATTAGAGTGTGATTCTCGTTAAAATAAAATGCTGACGGGGCTTGTTTTGTCCCTTGCCCTCGCTAGCTTGGAGCTGCGCGCTTCAGCAGCGTCCACTATCACAACGGCGGCGGAGTTCAGCGCCATACGTGACAATCTTGCTGGCAGTTACATACTTGGCGCGGACATCACCCTGGATCCATCCTATGAGCCTATCTCTGGTTTCACCGGAACCTTGGATGGTGCCAACTATAAGCTCACTATTAGTGGGCAAACTGGATCATCTGGCGTCTTCGGAGACCAGTTCTCTGGATCTGTGCGCAACTTGAGGCTGAACTACGCCGCCACTATGTCCAGCCCTCTGACGAATCCGGTTGGTGCACTGATTGGTGTCACTACTGGGTCCGCTACAGTCGAATCCGTCTTTGTCGAGGGAACGATGACCCTGAGCGGTACGGGAGATGCAACTATTACCGTTGGGGGCGTGATAGGGTCTGCTACCGAGACCACTACTCTACGCAACATCACCTCAACGGTCTCGATCGCGTGTACTGGAGGGTCTCATTCAATTGGTGGGGTTGTTGGCACCTCCTCTGTTGGCTGCGCAAAGTGCTTCTTCGGAGGAAGCATTTCAGCCACGGCTGCCGAGGCATCTGTCATCGGCGGTGTGTTTGGGACTGCCGGGGGCGTTTCTCTGACAAACTCTGCCATGTACAAAGGCTCTCTGTCTGCTACCTCTGTTTCCACCAGCCAGGCATCTGCTCTTGGCGCACTTGTTGGAAATATAACCGCTGCTGACTTTACCCTCTGCGAATGCTATGCAGAGTTCACTAGTCTCTCTCTGACATCCAGCTCTGTGGCCTATTTGGGCGGTCTCATTGGAAGCTTTTCGTCGGCAACTTCTAAGGACACAGTGACTATCAGCGATTCGTATGTGAATGGAGGCACTCAAACGCTCACTGCGACAGGCAGCTTTTCGACGTCTGCAGGGCTTCTGGGGTACTCTGCCAGCGGAAAGGTCACAGTTAGGTCAAGCTACGTCAACCTTACCAAGTTCGCCATGTCAGGATCTTCTCAAATCAATGCAACTCTATCTGTGGGGACTGCAAACACAAACACAGGCCTCACTCTAGAAAATTGCCATCTCAAGGCTCAAACTGTCGGACTGTCCGGGGGTACAAGCAAGTCGTCCTTCGCCCCTATTGCTAATGTTGTTAACGTCCAGGCTAAAGGAATCAGCATCTTAGAGGTGGAGTCTCGTCTTGGTGCTCTCGTACTTACTGATTTCAAAGGATTGGTGTCTCTAGTTGTCGGTAGGTTTGTGACCACGACGGGCGGGAAGATGCAAGACTGCTTTGCATCCTTGGATAGCTGCACTCTCGGATCCAGTTCCAGCAAGGTTGCCCTCTTCTACACCTATACCGCCGCAAATGCGGTGTCATCATACATCATTGCAAACGTGACTTGCGCGGAAATTACCAAAGCATTCAGCAGCCAGAAGAGCGACGCCGGCATAAGCCATAATTACTTCAACTCTAATGCGGCCTGTGTCGCGACCGTGGCAGATAAGTACATTGGCCTAACCGATAGTACGATGAAGCAGTCGGCGTCATATCCCGGGATTGATCTGGGCACTTGGAATATTGACGGCTCGCATTATCCTCATCTGAAGCGTACTCCTCACTACCGGGATGGGGCCTACACCCTTGACGACCGGAGCAAATGGGCTGTGGACGTGTGGGAGATTGGCCAGGGCATGCGGCTGAAGCGAACAACCCCGCCGTCCTCCTGCAATTCTGCAAATTTGCATTGTGACAGAACTCAGTATGTAGATCTATTTTCCTGCCAGTGCGTTGTGGGGTGTCCAAACCTCATCAACGGTCAGTGTATTGGACCAGATGAGGCTAGATGTGATCCGGGCTTCAAGCTCGATGATGCCAAGAACTGCACTCTTTATTCTTGTGTCACTGCAACCGAAGAGTGCCGACTCAGTGACGGGTCTTCTGGTGCTACCTGCAACGTTGAGTTTGACACCTGTGTTTGCAGTGATGTCACTAAGTACTACGATCATACTAACAAGATGTGCGTGGATGGCTGCACAGGCTTGGTTGGTGGTATTTGCATTGGGCAGAATACTGCCACGTGTTACCCTGGTTGGGTTGCAGATGGAAACTCTCTTTGTGCTAAGTACGATTGCTCAACCCTACCAGAGGGAGACTCGACCATCTGCGGTGGCCCTTCCATTGCAACCTGTGACTTTACCTCGAAGCTCTGTGTTTGCGAGGACAAGCGGCAGTATTACGACCCGTCGCTAGCAAATCCGGGATGCAAGTCGGGGTGCTCGGGCGGTGTCCAGTACGGGGTCTGTTCCGGAAGCGGGCAGGCGGTTTGCATTGAGCACGTTACTTCCGTTGCAGGCGCTACAGCCGGGGACCTTCTTTGCACCGAATACAGCTGTGACACCATAAGTTGTGGTGCACAGGCAGAGTGTGATTCCGAGCTCAAGGTCTGTCGCTGCCCTCTGAGCTCTCAGTACTACAACCTTAAATCGCACGCTTGCGTTGAGGGCTGTCTAAGCCTGGCCGAAGGTGTCTGTGTTGGCCAGAACCGTGCCAAATGCAGACCGGGATATGGATCTCACAACGGCGTACTCTGCGGAGCATATTCTTGTGCAAACGACAACTCCAATAGGAAGTGTGGCGGTCTTGGCACGTGCGAGGGCGGACAATGCGTTTGCAGTCAAGGAGCCGTTCTCTTCCGAGGGACGTGTAGGGAAGGCCTCTGCAAAAATGGAAACGTGGTCAATGGTGTCTGCCAATGCTTGGATGGCTGGTCCAGCCCTGCCACAGAGGACCAGATAGAAGCGTCGGGATATTGTAGCGTTTACACATGCCCTCCAGACGGAACGTTGATTGAACTAGCCACGCCCGGGAGCCTTTTGGCCATTAGAGCGTGTCCGAGTCACGGCTTCAGGCTGACAAGCGATATTGATGCCCGTAGCTACGAATGGGAAGGGGTTGACTTCTCTGGCACCCTTGATGGAAATAATCATGCAATTAGTGGAATAAACCTGCGGGTCTCCAGCTTGGGCTCTGAGTACAGTGCGTCCTTCTTTAAGCATCTAACTGGCCAAGTGCGCAACATAAGGCTAGTTTTCGCCAGCTCCCCGGATGCAAGCGCCATAGGGCAGGACAGCGTATGCAAGTTTGGCTTGCTGTCCATCTCGGCCGATGCGTCAGCTGTTTTGGAGAATGTGGCCATCTCGGGTAGTTTATCTCTGCAAGTTCCGGCGAGCGTCGCTGCCGAGGTTGGCGGTGTCTTCCACACGTGCCCCTCTGCTCCGACTGCGGTGTCAAATAGCGTGGCGATGACCTGCAGTGGCGCAAACTGCACCATGGGCGGGTACTGTCACACCGTCTCTGCTCCCCTAACCGGTGGTACCTCAACGGCAACCCTGAGGTGTCAGGCAACTGATGGGACTGTTTGCATTGCAGGAGGGTTTGCTTACGTTGTGCGCGCGCCTATCTCCAATATTCTTTCTGCGGCTACGATCTCACTGGTGCCAGCGGCTGATATCGCAGTGCAATCTGCTAGAGTATCTGCTGGAGGAATCGCGGCTGTTCTTAGCGAGGGTGCTTCTGCCTCCGATTGTCAGTTTTCAGGATGCATCGCCAGGGAGCAGGGGAGCTTGAATCCTGCCCTAGTCGTGCATTCCGGGGGAGCTTTCTACATGGTGAGTGGCACAGCTGCAGCCAAAACCGTCATTGAGAGGTGCACTGTAACGAGCAATGAGCTCTCTGGCATAGAGATGGCCGGCTTTGCTGGCAATCTTATCCACGCCACTGTGCGGGATTGTAGTGCAATCGTAACGAAGATTGACGGACTCCAAGGTGTATCTGGCTTTGCACAGTATGTTAATGACAGTGTTATAGAAAGGTCATTTGTGAAGGCGAACGCTTCTGTCACGGCTGAAGGCCAGAAGAAGTGGATAGTTGGTGGGTTCTGCGGTCTGGTTGCCAATTCACAGATCCTCAATACATACGCAGAGCTCGGCAACTTCTCGTCTCGTAATACTCCTGCAGGCTCATCTGTTGGCGGATTTGTTGGAAGAGTTGAGAACTCCGTAATAAGAGATTCGTTTGTCAGAGCCACTCTTCTGGAGGCAGTGTCTGGGATGTCTGGTACTTCGCAGTGGACTTTCGGTGGTTTTGCCGGCTTTGTGGACCACGTAAGCGCAGGGCCTATGGAGATACAGCGCTGCTTCGGTGACATAGCCAACCTTTCGATGTCCACCGCCGTTTCTGTCTACTTTGGCGCTTTCGGTGGTCAAATCCGCAAGAAGTCTTCTTCCAAGGCGGTCACCTCGAAGACAATATCCAACGTGTGGATCAATGCAAATGTTGAGTGCACGTTTGTGGTCCCGAAAGATACCAGCAAGGCGCCTTCCAACGGCGTGGGGATGTTTGCAGGGAAAATGTATAACGGAGTGGCGCTATCCCTAGCGATGATCAATGGCAGTCTCACGTGCCGTGGAGCTAATCCTCCCTCTATGGCATCAAGCCTGTATCACATAGGCCTCTTCAATGGGGCTAAGACAAGTGACAGCTCCACATCTGCGGAGTTCGTCATCATTAACGTGACCGCTGGAGACATTCCTGGCATTGGGCTGAAGGGAGAGCCAGAAGACAAGCTTATCTGTCTCACATGCTTCGCAAACGGGGATCTGCTCACCCCAGTCGCTCCTTCCTCCATTGCTGTTGATCCCGACCCCAATTTGAAGACGGCGGAAGAATTGCGTAAGCTATCTACCTATACTGGATTTGGTATTGGCATTAGCGAAAGCAAGTGGACCAAGTCCCCCGGAGAGTTTCCTTTTCTGAACAGTCTGCCGGTCAAGGTTCTCATCGACGACCAGGACAAGTACATTTACCCTACGTGCACGCAGGACTGCTGGGATTACACCTCCTTCTGGGTCCTGTCTTCATCTGGACCGACAACCGATAATAATAAGAACAGCTGTGCAGATATAGAGAATTGCATGGTGTACTCTAGCGACTGTACCTGTTCTCAGTGTAATCTGAAGTACTATCCTAGCGGAAGCGAGTGCTTGGCGTGTTCGACCGGTTGTCAGACATGCCGTTCCACCGACTTTTGCGAAATCTGTGAGGATGGCCAGGTGAGCAATGGAGCAGGCGTCTGCATAGCTCCTTCGTGCGACTTCCGTTATTGTCAGACATGCAGTAATGACGGCGCTACGTGTGAAACTTGCAGTATAAGGGCATTCAAGGCAAGCACTGGACAATGTGAAAGGTGCAGCGAAGGGTGCAAGCAGTGCACGGACTCCACAGTGTGTGCAACGTGTGGTGATGACAACTACAAGCCTGATCCTGAGAACAACGTGTGTGTCTGCAAGGACGGCTTCTATTCCTCGGAAAGGAAATGCTTGCAATGCAATAGGGCGTGCCAGACATGCACAGGCGGCACTGAGAGAGATTGCATAGCCTGCAGTGAAGGATGGGTCCGCGACGATGCCACAAGCACCTGTACCCCGCAATGCGCAGAAATATCAGGATGTCTTCTGTGTCCAAGTCCGCCTGCGTGCGGGACATGTCTCAGCGACTACGATCTAGTGGATGGAAGCTGTATCTTGAGAGGCTCGTGCAGGGTTGATAATTGTCTGACTTGCGTTGCCGGAAACGTGAATAGTTGCGCTTCTTGCAGGGATGGCTTCTATGGTTCGAATTGTGCTGCGTGCCCCGAACGATGTGCTGCATGTGTCAGTGCTGAGCGCTGCACTGCGTGCAAGAGTGGTTATGTTCTGTCACCTGGAGAGCAGTGCGTTTCCTGCTCCATAAGTAACTGTGGTCAATGCTCATCCGACAACTTCTGCTTCAGCTGCAACGATGGATACTACCTTAATGCAGGAGCGTGCCCCCCGTGCAATGTACCCTGCAAGACCTGCGTCAACAGTGCCGACAAGTGCACATCTTGTCAAAGTGGTTACGAGCTCAGCGTCAATACGTGCATCTCGACCACTGCATGCGATGTGGAGAACTGCCGCTCTTGTATCAGCGCCGGAGTCTGTGGGAGGTGCAACACGGGATACTATCTGAGCGGATCTCGCTGTAGTCGGTGCAACTCCATGTGTAGAGAGTGCTTTGGGCCGAACACATGCACAGAGTGCGCTGCAGCTAACGCAATCCCAGACGAAGATGGAATATGCGTCTCGACCGTGTGCAACGTTAGCAATTGTCTGCGTTGTGACCTAGTCACGTTGCGTATATGCACTATGTGCGATAGTGGGTATACTCTTAGCAGTGGCAACACGTGTGAGCCCAACGCACCTCCCGCGAACAAGACTAGCGGGGTCGCTGTTGGTGTGTCTGTTTTCGTGGTCATTGTAGTCATTGCTGTTATCGTCATTATTGTCGTTTTTCTTAAAAAGGGAATTATTAAGGGCAGGAAGCCCAAGCACAACCTTGGTATAAGTAGCAGACACAGCAACTCGATGCTGAGCTACGACAACCTCAATGAAAGCGTGAGCGCCCCGCTGTTGTAAGGTATACTCTCAACGTTTGGTTCGTCACGCTTCGTCCTTCTCTAGTCTCTTTCACAAATAGTAAATTTCTAGGTAGTAAGGCTTACCGTTTGTCTCTGTCAGCGAACAGGTGCGTGAACCCTTCGCGGCTGGAGACACGTATATGCTTCTGCAACCCGTCCTAGGCCATTTGCAGCCAACTTCAGCAAACAAACCACTTTCAGGGGCAGAGCTTTCTGCCTTAGCAAGACCCCGACTCATTCCAGGCTTTGGCCTACTAATTAAGTCTGCCTTCCAGTAGTACAGAGATAACCCTCTAATCTTTATGTATGATGCTGCTAACAGCTACAATTCGGTTCGTTTCCTCACCAGTAAGCCTCACAGCCTGACCACGGGAGCTCTTGGAGAATAGCATGGAAGGTATCTGTGTGAGTTCCTTTAGGATAGTGCTTTGCTGTCATGCAAAAGGTGACGATAACGGGCCTGACAATTCATCGTTCTTGCCGGATTTAGCAATGGACTGTAACGTCTTCGCTTGAAGCACTGTGCGACCAGTTGTAGTCTGGCATTTATAGCTGGAGGAGACTGTCAAATACTCAATGCAGGTAAACCTCGCATAGGTCGCGGCGTTGTGCACCGCTTGATTAAGAATGGCTTTTGTACTTGCAGGACCACGGATTTCAGGCAAAAATTGTCAGATCTGCATCACCTGGCCTCGCCCCAGAGTGATCTCTGTCTTATGCCCGTTAATCAGAGAGTGCTGATAGCAAGGAGCAAAGGTGAATGTATAATGAAAATTCGGCTGAAATCCAAAAATTTCTAATCATCACATAGAAGATTCTAGGGACATGAGCGACACAGACGTGCGTATCAAATATGCTGTCACCAAAACATCTAGCCGCGGGAAAAAGCAACCTCGCTCACTGGTGTTGACATCGAAGTCCGTGCAGAATGTGATGGGTAACTCCATTCAGTGGGAAAGACCCGTTCAGGAGATATATGGAATCCACCGCTCAACAAAGGAGCCGAAGGCCTTTGTGATCTCCTTTTTGCAGACCTACCGCTTCGATGTCGAGTCTGCCGACCAGGTCTCCTCGATAGTCTCTGCATTTCAAAGACTAAATCTTGGCGAGGTCTTTGTTGATGACAAGATCGGTGCTTATGGCCTCCAAACAGACAAAGGTAAGGGCTACAAGAAGGGTCATGTTAATGTCTCATCGGATGAAGACGGAGACATTGGGGCTACTGGAGCTGTTTCTCAGGCGGCAGATGCACCTGCTTCTTCAGGTCAGAAGGATAGACCTCGCACTACGATACTGGAGGATGACCTGGACGAGAATATAGAGTACGTTGAGGACACACGTGTTCTGGCGCACCAGATAGAAACCCTTCCAGAGACAGAAGTCCTTGAAACTTTCTGCAACCCTGTTGCCGCCTATAAATTCGTGCGGCCCCCCATCTTTCCGCAGGTTCCTCCCTCGCATGCCAAGGTGATGAGGCCTCAGAACTTTGAGCTTGTCTCTGTCGTAGGCAAGGGTTCGTTCGGTAAGGTCTTTCTGGTTCGTCGCGTTGAGGACAACCGCTTCTTCGCCATGAAGGTGCTTAAGAAGCGCAATGTTCTGGATCGCCGACAGCTCGAGCACCTCAAGGCCGAGCACAACATTCTGCAGAGCTTCAACCACCCGAACATGATCAAGCTCTATCACTCCTTCCAAACGCGAACGCGCCTGTTTCTCGTGACAACGTTTGCAACTGGTGGAGAGCTCTTCTATCACCTGAAGAAAATAGGGAGATTTCCAGAACCCCTTGCTGTCTTCTACCTGGCTCAGATAGTTCTCGTGATCGAGTACTTGCACAAGCACGATATCGTCTTCAGGGACATGAAGCCGGAGAACCTCCTTTTAGATAACCATGGGAACATCTTGCTCACTGACTTCGGTCTTTCCAAGACTGGCATTTCAGCTGACAATTCTGGGGGCGCAGGGGTCTGCTCGGGAAGCTTCTGCGGCACCCCTGACTACCTCTCTGGGGAGATTATCTCTGGCGTACCGCATGGCAAAATGGTAGATATCTGGGCCTTGGGCGCCCTGCTCTTTGAGATGCTTGTTGGGTCTGCACCGTTCTCCTACGCCAGTTCGACGAGTACCCACGGAGGCAACGCCCGCTCTGAACTATATAGACGCATCCTTAAGAATATCATCGTGTTCCCGGTCTTCATCAGTGCAGAGTGTAAGAGCTTTATAGCTAAATGCTTAAGCAGGCGTCCCAAGGATAGGCCAAACTTCGATGAAATCAAGAAGCACGAGGTCTTCCGAAAGAATAAGATTGATTTCGATAAGCTATACAGGAAAGAGATCCAACCTCCGTTTAAGCCCAAACTTGAGCAGTCGTGTATCCTTGCGGTGGACGGGAAGCTACTGAAGAATCCTCTAGACAATATATATCGCTACATAGCCCCGGAAGCGCTTGTCGTCAACTTTGATGCTAAGTTCACCTCTGAGTCTCCTATTCTGCCTCCTTCCACACAGACCGATAGCGTCACGATGCAAGAGGATAAGAATTTCAAGGACTTTGCGTGGACTGCACAGGACGCATTTGATAAACTATAGCCCAGGATTGCTTAGCTACTCGTAAGTAAATACAGCCCAGTGCCACGGCTCATTGATGCGAGGCATCTATGCAAGAACAGATAACTCCGAGTTGGGGATGCTTGGTGTCTCGATGATGACAGGGGTTGGATTGGCCTGGTCTATATCCTTTGAGATTAACTTATAGGTTGATGGACTGTTTGTCTTGCTGGTCTCCTTCTCCGATGTAGTATTCTCAGCGGATCTGGCCTTAATGGATTGCTCACGCTGCTCATGAATATTATTGTCGAACAGAAATCCACCCAGCACTGTCATCCCGATAGAGATGAGAATTCCAGATCCAGCTGAAAACCTTAGAGACGGCATGTCGGCCGATGACTGGGTTCCAAAAAGCCTGGCCGTGATCCAACTGCATGCCCAAACAGACACCAAACCAAATGCAAAGCTAGCACAAACGATACTCAGACAGCCTTGAAGCAACACAGCGAACATAAGAACTAGCGAGTAATCGGCTTCGTGGAGGAGGTCAACAAGAGAAGAAGAGGCTGGAGAGTCCGGGGACATCCAGAAAGAGTATTTGACGTAGCAGAAGCCAGACAGTGTCGTAGCGAAAAGAATCCATGACGTATGAGTGTCGATTGCAATGCGCACAAATGGATGGACATGACAGTATCGCGCGAGCAAGCTGGCGGCTGTGATAAGAAGCGAGTAGAAAAGTATGAGGAAGAATTGTGGGCCTGTGTCATCTAAACCAAACAAGTACATCCACACTGCACCCAGCACAAAGGCGGACATCATTAGGACGTTGAACGCGTAGTCAAGCTTACTGGATCCGTACAGATTGGCAAAGAACTGCCAAATGATCAGTGCAATCGTGAGTAGATAAATGATTGTCCAAATTTGAAACGCTGCACTAGGCGGTGTGATGGCGGTATCATATCTGTTGGAAGCGACGTTGTGAGTACCCGCTACTTGAGCAGCAATACTTCCAACAAAGACTATGACCATGAGGGAATGGAGTGCAATTTGTCCTTTAGATTGCTTACCACGCAACATTTATATTTGAGTCTACGAACATTCCTTTCATTATGTTTCCGGTCACATGCTTCACATGTTAACCCTACTCTCGAGTCATAAATAATTGAAATGTCCGTGCTGACAAGAGCGTCCCTTGTCGAGTACAACCTTCTCCCTATCGGAAAGGGTGCGGATATTTCGAAGGTGATAGTCGATGCTTACGCAAAGAGCGGAAGGGAGGCCGTCTGCGTCCTCAACGTCTCCGAAATAGAGAGGCACTACAACATCTGGAAAACGCATCTTCCCGAGGTTCAGGTCCGTTATGCCGTCAAGTGCAACATGCACCCGTTACTCCTACGCTCCCTGCACCTTCTTGGAGCAGGGTTTGACTGTGCCTCTCCCGCTGAGGTGCGCGCTGCTCTGTCTGCCGGCTGCCCTCCCTCGAAGATAATATATGCAAACCCGCAGAAACCCAAGCGATCCATTGAAGAAGCGTTTCGCCTTAATTGCAATACCTTCACGTTCGATTCCGAACATGAACTGCTAAGTATGCTTGAGAGTACCCCTCCTGGAAAGGTAGGCCGCTTTGTGCTCAGGCTTCTCCCTCCCGATGAGTCCTCCTCCATTTGTCGCTTTGGCGTGAAATTTGGGGCTTCTCCCAGTGAGTGCTATCGCTTGATCAGGCTTTGTAAGCACCTGGGAGCAAACTTAGTTGGTTTCAGCTTTCACGTTGGCTCAGGGTGCGGCTCTGTTGACTCCTTCCGCTTAGCCGTCCAATATATGGGAGAGGCAGCAAAGTTTGCCAAGGAGCAGGGCTTCACCCTCACAGTCTTGAACATAGGTGGTGGGTACATGTCCAAGGGCGCAGAGCGTCATTACGATGAGCCAAACAGACATGCACACATAACTCCTCCTAGCTTCGAAGAGATAGCCTCTGCCCTCAGGGAGGAGATAAACAGGATCAAGGTTTACTTTACTAACAAATCTGAGGACCTAGAGATTATGGCGGAGCCGGGGAGATTCTTTGCAGGGGATATCATGACCCTGGGAACGCGAATATATGGCAGGCGCATCATCTTTGACAAAATCGAAGACAACAGCTGCCTCACTGAGAAGGAGATTATGGAATCAGGTAAGGCGTCCATTAATGAGGTCAAGTACTATGTCGGGGATGGTGTGTACGGATATTACAACGCCATTCTATTCGACCATGTTGTCCCGCATCTGCGTTTTACAGATAAGCATGGCAATCGCAAGGAGCTCTCCGGGGCTCATGCAGGGTCTAGCCTAAATACGTCTAGCATCTTTGGTCCAACATGCGATTCTCTGGATTGCATTCTGAAGGAGCGCAAGCTCCCCCTCTTGGACGTCGGGGACTGGGTGATCACAGACGCATTTGGAGCCTATACTTATGCAGCAGCAACGGAGTTCAACGGAATTCCCCATGTTAGCGTCGTTTGTTGTATAGAGGAGTGAGTGCAGCTTATGCTGAAGTGAATCGTTGGAGAAGCTCAGAAGCGGTAGAGACACGGAGACTGGCTGTTCTAGAGCTTATGGCCATGGGCTTCAAGGAGATCACCTCCTTGACAAGCTGTCTAAGGAGCTGCTTGATCTGGAGAGATGTGACATCCGATGCTTCTATTGAGGGGCGCATGTCATTTTCAACTGGAGAAAGGCACTCATTCATGAGTCTGTTGACGTAGTTATGGAGCCCAACTAACTGGGAATTATGAGTCTGAGCCATCTCTACAATAATGAAAAGCTCCTCTTCTTTCTCATTCAAGTATCGTGCCATTCTGAGCAAGGAATCATGCGGTACCAGGTGTTGTCTCTCGACTTCTTTGAGACGATGTTTTATTTGGATATTTTCATGTTGAAGGTGTTTGTTTTGCAGAGCTAATTTGTCCATGGAGTCAGAAACTCTTGAAAGCTCCGCCTCTACGCAGCTGTCGCTAGAAGGATGCTTCTGGTTGAGAACTATGTCAGCCCTCGCCAACGTAAATAGTAACCTACTATTGGATGCTCCTTCACAGGAGTTAGGGGTGCTGACACAGATCTTATCTACCGTTTCTGTGGCTGTCCTATTCGTAATACAGGACGCAGTCTGAGCGTCTGGAGAGTGCCGTTGTGGCTGTTTTAAGACTTCTAATTGATTGATCAAATTGCCATTTTCTATGGTAAGGCGTACATTCTCCGTGGACAGCCCGTCTATATCCATGCAAAGAGCTGCTTCCTTCGTCGCTAGCTTGACACGCTCCTCATGTAGTGTTTCTAAAGCTTTGTCTCTGGCCAACAATTGCTCTTCTAACTTGGCTATGTGTTCGTTTAGCTTCTCGTGAGCGTTATCTGAGGGGGCGAGAACGCACATCCGAAGAAGAGTCTGTTGGTGGCGCTGTGCCTCGTTCTGCAGGGCAGACACTAAAACATCTCTGCAGACTGCTTCAGTAACAAGCTTATGATTTTCTAGCATGAGTTGAGTGACACATTGCTTAGTTCTAGCTTCGCTGAAGATGAGAGTCTCTATCTGGCTTGATAGACTAACATTCTCCAGACGAACTGTCGCAATTGTCCGCTTGAGGCTGCGAATGATGTCATTAGCTCCTTGTGGATCATCACGAAAGCCGTTGACGGATGGCGGGCCACTTACACTACTCCTGCGACTACCAGCCCGAGATGCAGATCGCGATCGACGACAGTCATTGAGTTCCTGAATCTCGTCCCGCATTATTGTACATCGATCCTCAGCTCTGGCGCGTCGCCCCTGCTCCTCATCAAGCTCTATCTTAAGCGCCTTGTAACTAGATACTAGCTTGTCGTGCTCATTCTTAAGCTGAGAATGTTTCTGCTGGATGCTTACAAGTTGCTCTCTCAGAGCTTTGTTATCATTAGTTAACGTAGTGAGTCCGACGTTAGGATTTACCACACCCTTCGCTCCTAGAAGGACAGAATTCTCTCCTGCAAGGAAAAAGTTCTCGTCGGACAGACGACGAAGTTGCTGCTCCATGTTACGAATGACACTAGTGTTGCACGCCTCCCGCTTCAACAGCATCAGATTGGACAGTCTCAACTTTTCGGCTTCGAGCTTCAAGGTATCAATCTGTTGCTGCAAGAGTTTAACAATCGTGACAGAATTCTTATCGTGTATAGATAGGGATTCAATGATGGGCCTGGCTACTGGCTCTACCAAATCTAGTGACTCCTGAGCGATCGCAGCCGTATCGAAGATGGGAGGGTCCGAGCATGAATCGAAGTTTATAATGGCCTCCATCAAGTTGTGCAGCGTCTTGCTCATACGCTTGACCTCAGCTTCTGCACGTGAAAGCCGGTCCTGATACTCGGAAGACTTCTTTTCAGCTAGCTCCTTATCGTGGACAGCATGTTGTAACAGGGTCTGAGCACTCTGGGCTTCAACTGTAAGGAGAGTTAGTTGTTCTTTGACCTTTTCAAATTCCTGCAGGCGCTGCACCACAGCTTGCATTGGCAAAGGTGTACTCTCTGCTGATGTTAGGTCCTTGCTTGGTGGAGATAATGAGTCACCGGCAGTCGTTGTCAGGGGCTGCTGGATGACAGAGTTATGCGTCAGTGGCGAGTGCTCAGCGGTTGGTGCTGGCTCATCACAGTTCAGAGGCAGGCCACTGGAATAATCTGCGGTACCTGAGTCACGAGTTGAGGTGGCATCTAGGAGTGGTGCAACAAGTAGATGGAGCTGCTTGCAGTCCTCGAGTATCCCTTCAGAATTAATATCGTAGGATATCGCACGACGCATTCCTGTGGCAGCTGCGGCTGACACTGGACGCGCAGACCTGTGAGAACTTGGCTTTCTTCCAAATAGGCGGAGGACCGTGCTTACTCGTACTCTAATTTCATTCATGGATCCTGTGAGATGACGAACTCGTTCAGCTAGCTTCAAGTTGTCGTCATATGCTGTCTCAGCAGAGGTGTCCATCTCATGTATCTGTGCCTTGAGGGCCCGGATCTTATTATGCAACTCAGTGTTTTCGTCATTACACTCCTTAAGAGACTCGGCTTGCGACCGTATCTCGCTCTGAAGACAGGTGTTAAGCTTCTCTGAGGCCACGCGAAGATCGTGCTCCTTACTAAATTCTTCTTGTAATACAACTACTTTCTCCCTCAGAAGGCGGAGTTCTGCGGTGTAGGTGTGTACGGTCTGACCTTCCAGTGCCTCAGAGACCCCATCAGTCTGTATTATGAGGCAATCACGCAAGATTCTTGGCATCGGAGACGATCCAGAGCCGTCCACCCTGTCAGAAGCTAAGATAGATGGCGCCGTCCTTTCTGGGAGTTGATCATGTTGTGATAGACGATCCTGGCTTTGCAACTGGCACCGCTGCAACGCCGTAGACCAAGAGATATATAGGTCCTCCAGCTCTTGACTTTCGCAGGGATCCAAGGAAAGCTTTCCTTGCACTGCAGATGTATAGCGTGATGCGTGGAAGAGCGCCTCCTGAAAACAAGCGTTTTGCATCTCCAGTCGACGAATGTAATCACCTACAGAACCATTATGAAGTGAAACAGGCGAGCTGCCCGGGCCATCCTGGGTCATCAACTGCGTCTCCAGTCTGGATTGCAATTTTAAGTAAAATGTCCAATTTATATTTAAAATATCTCACGAATGTATTTTAAATCCAAATTAGGATGGTATTCTGGTTTAGCAGCGAATGGCCCGTGGAGTCCGCAAGCACCTTAAGCGCCTCAACGCACCGAAGCACTGGCTTCTAGACAAGATGGGAGGCATCTGGGCCCCCAGACCTACAAACGGCCCCCATGGCCTCCGCGAGTGCATCCCACTCATCCTCATCCTGCGTAACCGCCTCCACTATGCTAACACCTACGCTGAAACCAGCATGATCCTCCAGGACAAGAATGTCTTGATCGACGGCAAGCCGCGCACAGACCCCACCTTCCCTGTCGGCTTCATGGACGTCTTTGAGATCCCGAAGGTGCATAAGACCTTCCGCGTCCTCTACGACGTCAAGGGCCGCTTCACCCTTGTTCCCATCCAGAGCAACGAGGCCGGATTCAAGCTCTGCCGAGTCCAGAAGATCTTCCTCGGAGACAAGGGTATGCCCTATCTTTCTACACACGATGCACGTACAATCCGCTTCCCACACCCTGACATCAAGACGAACGACACCATCAAGATCAATCTGAAGACGGGGAAGATCGACGAGTGGTACAAGTTTGACATCGGCAAGATTGTGATGGTCACTGGAGGGCGCAACTGTGGACGCATCGGAACAATCCAGGCTATCGACAAGCACATGGGCTCCTACACTATGATCCGCATGAAGGACACCGAAGGTACCGAGTTCCTTACTCGCCTCTGCAATGTCTTCGTCATTGGCAATGACTCGCCCGCCGTGGCCATTCCGACGACGAAGGGTATCCGCCCCGACATCATCAAGAACCGCGAGCTGCGCCTCAGATCGATCGCCAAGCGCGGCGGCGGGGCCTCTTATGAGTAAATAGCCGGTGCTTGTTTACTTGCGCCGGAGCAGCTTCTCCAGCCCGTAGTCTGTGTCCGGGGGCGGGACCGGTTTGTATGTGACGCTCAGGCTGGCAGGGGGCTGATGGAGGCCTAGTGACGCGGGCTTGCACGGGTCCACAGACTGGATACTCCGTATCTGCTGGGGCTGTGGAGGCTTAGCCGTTAGGCGAGGACGAAGGATGCCAAGCATACGGGTAACGCCGGACCCAATTAATTTTAATAAGGACTGCATGCATCCCCCGAAGCCTCGTAAGGCTGCAGGTGAGTACCCGCAGCCCCGAGCACCTTCGCATCCGCGGCCAAAGAGCCTGCCACAAACACAGGAGAGCCAATTATTAAAGGCGTTCTGCTATGCAAGAGATAACTACGGGGAATATCTCAATGATCTGGCAGCAGCAAAAAGGCTTCGAGCACAGTATGGTCCTAGTTTTGATTATATTCTCGAGCGGATGACGAACCTGAAAGACATGCTGCCCACGTCTATACAAGCCAATGTCCAGCACAGCACCCCAGGAAACCGTGGGCGTAAGCCGGCTAACCGAGACAAGCTGATATTGCCTACGACCAAAAGCTCATGCTATCTTCGATTGGGACACGATGCTACCTCCATTGTAGACTCTATATCTTTGACCAAAAACGCGGTTAACATAGCAACCAATGACGGCATTGTAAGTATTAGGTCTCGAATTCTAACCCAGGGGTAACACGTAGAAGCTGTGACCTAGCAACATTAGCCCCCGTGTGCCTGAAGCTTAGCATAAATTTCCTCGAAGCTGCTCGGGCAAAACTGATCAGCGGCTGCTTCCAGTAGCTCCGGACATATACTTGCTTCGTAGGGAAGAAGCAGCTCAATCAATCTATCATTGTGGCATTCGCCTACAGCATAGTACAGCGCTGTATAGTCACCGTCTTCTTGCAGTCCCGCCTCATCCAATAGTAACTCAGCAGCTTCGTATGCACCGCTCTTAGTGGCTGAAATCAAAGCTGTTGTGCGATATGCTCCTCTAATCTTTATTTCAAATGGAGAAAGCATCTGGACACAGGCAGTGTGATTACAAGCAGCGGCTATCATCAGTGCGGTCCTGCCGCAGTGATCTTGAAGCCCAAGGCCCTTCTTTCGACGAACTAAGACGTCCACAAAGCTATGGAGATTCCTCTTGCAACAATACATAAGGAGAGTGGTCCCTTGGGCTAATTGGGCGTTAGCCTCTTCAGTGTTGTCTACTAACCATGTGAACGCTTCAAGGCTCTCGTTGGCAGCCGCATGAACAATAGCAGGAATCCCTGCATTATCGCGTGCGTTGAACATATACTCGTACTGCCGCTGTGAGCTACTGTGAGAACATATTCTATGCATGATTTCCAAGCACTTAACGCGGTTCTTTTTCGCCGCAATCATCGTAGCATTGAGGCCAGTCTTTGTGCAGATGTGGGCCTCATAAGGGAAAAGGAACTCGACAACATCTGAGTGACCGTGGTAAGTGGCTATAGCGAGCGCTGTGTATCCATCCTGATCTCTAAAACCAACGAAGTTAGGGAGCAGAAGCTTGATAGTGGCTAGATGCCCTGTTATAGCGGCAAGCATAAGGGGAGTCCTGTGGTTGCGAGAAATGGAGTAGAAGTCATTGATCCCCAAAAGACTCTGGACAATGCGTGTAGCACCCCGGTAGGCTGCGAATCCTAGAGCCGTCACCGGCCCCATCGACTCTCTAGACGCACAAACAACAGAATCATCCTGTGTTCGTAGAATAGATGTGAGAATCGCGCGCGGGTATGAGATGCTCTGTATGATGTTCTGCATCAGGCCTGTACGGCCATTCTGGTCCCGAAAGCACTTATGTTCGCCTGCAAGAATAGCTCGTATCTCTATCGCATCTTTCCGTATAAAGTTGCTGGCACAGAGGCCATCGTGTCTGCGAATTCCCTTCTCCCCTACAAGCAGTCGAACTAATGTAAGGCTATTCATGGCCACCGCAAGCATTAGTGCAGTAGTTCCGTTGGAAGATTGCAGACAAAGCTCATCCCGATAGTACAGGACAGCCGGAGGGTCATTGGCCAGGACCGCTAGCATAAGATTAGTAATCTTTGGGTCAATCTGAGTGAGCTGTAGAGTGTGCCCAGTCAGGGGCGAAAGAATTAAATTGGACGGCGACCGTGACATCGGGCTAGACCCCCCTGTCTCCAGTGGCCAATAGCAGTCTTCATTGCTACTAGTGTCGGAGAAAAGCAGCTGCTGCTCGAACCAGTGTGCCAGCTGCCGATTGCTAGGCTTGCCAAGTGCTGCAGGTCGAGCAGGCTTATTATTTAATGCTGCTACCGGGATTGATGAACCGTATGAAGGCATATTATAAATCACCTGCATGCACTTGATTTCATGCCTACAATCGTGGCTCATTCCTTCGTTTGCGAAACTTAGATGGCGTATGTTATCCATTGTTGCTCTTACAACCCTGGTGGAGGACGTGGATTGGCTTCGAGCTGCGTGAGAGTTGTCAGGGTAATCAGCAGAAACAGATGTTCTAGAAAAGGTGTACTTGGGAAGCAACACTTGGCGCGACTTACTAGTGATTTGATAGTGCATGCTCTTCAGAGGAAGATTTGGTGCAGAGCCGTTTGCGCTGGTGCTGCGTGTGCTTGAGCAGGAAAATGATCGAGTTGTTACAGATGTGTCAGAGATGCTCGCAACAGAGTCGTGAGATCTAGTCGATAGCTTCTTGTCTTTAAGGACCATGCACAACATAGTCTCGGGGGAGCATGTACTACACGTTTCTAGAGATAAGTCTATCAGCCCTTGACCAAATAGCTCCGAAGCCTTTTGCTCAAGAATCTCCCTTGTAGGGGCAACGTATTCAGAATGATCCTCCAGTCCAACAACCATCAGCAGTCTTCCATCTGTCAAAGCAGCGACGAAGGGCTTGACCTGATATGGATTAGGGTGTGTTCCTTCGTACGGCGCAAGAAGTCTAACTATAGCACTGTTGCCCTGGAGGTAGGCCAGCCAGAGAGAGGTAAGCCCTTCGTGCTGCTGACTTCGACAGATCTGCATAGATCCCTTTCTGAGCAATATTACAGCAGATAGTTGATTGGTCAAAACTGCGTGCATAAGAGCAGTATAGCCATCAGCGTCATAGCTTAGTTGATTCTCTTGACATCTTAGACGAATGATATTGATATCCTTAGATAAGACGGCGGCAATAAGTGGAGTGGTCTTCTTGGTGTCCTTGAGGAACAGCCCCTTCTTTGCATACTCTTCCTTATGCTCATAAAACTTAAGAATGTCGAAGCAGATAGTATGACCGTTTGCTATTGCCAAATCAACTGCAAAGAGAAGTCTGCCAGAAATAGTCGAATCCCTGCAGGCTATGTTTGCTTCGTAAGGGGCAAGGATCTCTACAATCTTAGCATACCCTAAGCGAGCAGCCTTGTGCAGGCAGGTCTCTCCGACGCTGTCGCGCTTCTGTGCCTCAAACCGAGAAAGAATGAGCACAAGCTGCCAATTATTTAGCTCAACTGCTTGGTGCATGAGAGGAATGTGATGCTTCGTTGCTGTGACTTCCGTCATGGTAAGGTAGTGCACATCTACAAGGTTCTGCGCTTGCACAGCATGCTGCATCCTTTCTATCACTGTAAGTCCAGGATGAGAGGGAAAGGCCGCTGGATTTGCTGCGCATTCCACCTGGTACTCATCGCCATACAAGGAATCCGCTATTGCTAAGTTTCCAGCAGCAAGAGAGTAGTAGTAAGCAGTGTGTGAGTTTTTACATACTAGGCCAGTTTCAGCAGGCCGCAGAAGATGGACCATCTCCGCCTGGTTATAGATTGCTGCCAACATTAGTGCAGACATTCCAGCGGCTGTCTGCTTTCCTGAAAGAAAAAGATTTGCCTTCACTATTTTCTCATTCTTCAGTAGCACTCCTATCTGTAGGCTTGTGAAGTCGGCAAGCGAGCCAGGAAGAGCTTGATCGGGGATGGCAAGGTCAATGCATGGGTTCCGTGGCGCAGCCGAGTCTTTCTCTGATGGCAAAGGTGCGGCTCTGGCGACAACAGGTACTGAGGTAGGAGCAAAGACAGAAACGGAGACAGGAACAGAGCTAGCAGAGGGGGCGGACACCGAGGAGACTTCTTTAAAATCCACTTCCGTGTGCGCCGAGTAACTAGATCCCCGCGAGATGTACTCCGTGTCTAGCTCAGTAAACTTCGGATTTTGCAACGCTTCTGTGGCAGTGGGACGAATTCGATCATCCTCGACGAGTAATTTGTCGATGAAATCAGCTATTTCTTCAGAATAATTGGAACGAAGATCACCTCGTGGTACAGCACAAGCTTGCAAAAGCAAGATCCCTAGGCTCCATATGTCTACAAGGGGCTCGTAGCCGGGAGTGATGAGAGGAGGGAAAATGCTACTATCTATGTCGAGTGGCAGATAAGGCTTGAATCTTCCTCCTGTCTCAGCATTCGGGAGGCAGCAAGAAGTTAATGTACAACAGTGAAGGCTTCCTATTCTCGGCATCTGGTTTGTTGAAAGGAAAACCGTGTCTGGGGTAATATGGCCGTGGACAAAGCAGTACTGTCCTGTCAGCTTTTGCACGCTCGACGATGGTGTATGCATAAAAGCCAACGCCTTCAGTATTCCATACGCAAGTCTCCAGATAGTGGATTCCGAAAACCTGGTACCAGACGCGACCTGGGTCTGAAGAACAGAGCGAAGAGAGGTTCCAACATACCATTTTTCCCGGAACTTGATAACCCCAGCATAGGGTGCGGCTACTGTTTTTATATCCACTAGAAAGGGCGAAGAAGCGACAGAGAAATGCTCTATTACGCACCTCATCATCCACACAGCCTTGTCTGGCATAAGATCGGTGGGAATAAGCTGAGTGTGGACTAGGGCTGGGGACGACTCCTTCATGATGTAACAGGAACTTTTTAGAGCACCAAGATTGGTGATGGCCTGCTCTGTCCAGGGCATATCTATACGTGCACAAGGCTCTTATTCCAAGTCAAGGAAATTCTAGGAGACAGCCTCAGATAGGAAAATAAAATGCCTATCGAGTCTCATCCCGCAATAGGTTACGGAACTATCACCCAGCTTATGCCGGGGATGCAAACGATGTCCCTTCCTCCCCAGTGCCGCTGCTCCATAGTCGTCAAGCCCTTGAAGATGGTCCGTGGGAATGCGTGCAACGACGTGATGTTCTTTTACATCGGAGACCGTTGCCCGGTGGAGAAGGGCAAGACGTACCTTTTTGGCGGAGAGGAGGACGAGGGCATGCTTGTGTTTAAGGCGGCGGAGGCTGTTGCCTCGGAAGACGAGGCACGCAAGTTGGCCGAGAAGATCCTGGCCGTGCCCTACGGCTGGGACAGCGCAACCAAGTCTCCCTTCACGAAGAAGTGGACCGGTGCCACAACGGGAGCAGTCTCTGTTTGTGCTACTTCGGGCCGCCCTGCCTACGCTGTACCTGCGGGGCTCGAGATGACCGTTGACCAGATCATTCCCCCAGATGCGACTGAGTACGGTAATCCGTTTGGCAACGGGGAATTCAAGATTACCGTCACCAATAAGACCGGCGCGGGCGTCATGGTTCCTGTGGTTCAGGTAGGATCCAAGTACGATTTTGAGCAGAGCCTTGTGATCACAGTTGTGGCTTCAGAAGAGGACCCCAGCGTGCGCTGCATCTTCCCCGAGAACGTTCCTGCTGGCGCAGAGATGACTCTGATCCCTGCCGGTGGGTCCATCTCTGGGACGGTCAACACCCTCAAGCTCAAGGGCATCGAGTGGCCCTCTGGGGGCAGCCGCGTCTACTTCAACTTTGGGCTTGGAGGCCTTGTTGCCCAGAACTTCTTCTACTACTATAGCAGCATTCACGACGCCATGAGAGCTAAGTAAATGGGAGCTAAGTAAAACTCCTCCCTTTTAAATAGAAATGCCGAGCGTTGCTGCGCAGTACTTGGCAGGGGCCGTCGCTATGCAGTCTGGGGTCCCGTCCGAGAACGTGCTTGAGAAGATGATGGCAGACACGACGGCGATTGCTTTTCTTTCAGGTGGGAGTATGTCTTTCCACCTTTCCATAGATCTGGCCGGAACTATTGTCATCCAGCCTATCCATTCGTCAATCCTTTTAGAGCCTGAAACCCGCGCACTTACAAAGGTCGACCATAATAAGCCTAGCGATGTCTCCCGAACCTCTTTGCTTATTCTCAATGTAACCAATGCTGCCCCTGCAAGCATGAGCGCAATACCTGAGCTATCACGCTCCATCCAAGTGATAAATGCATCTAGAACTAGTGTTCTTGAGACGTTCGCCGGTCTTATTGACAGAATTTACCTGGACTCTGAGGCCTCCAGCACCGATGCATCAGTTGCCGCCCAAAGCTCTCTTGGTGCATCAGTGCTCGCTCTCATGCGTGAGTTCTCCCAAAAGCTAGCAGATAAGACCGGATTTTTACGGTATAGCAAGATTCCCATTATCCACTTCTATAGCTCTGAGTCAATGCGACTAAACCTAGAACACCTGATTACATCCTACCAAGAGCACGGTCCATCCTCTCTCAATCATGAGCAAGTATCTGCCTTCGCCAAGCTTTTCATGAGCAACGTCTCTCGGGTTCTGGGAGAAGTATCCTCTTTAGAAGACTTGTCTTTCAACGACTTTAACCGACTAGATGACTATATCATGGCGTTAACTAGTCCTTCTGGCAGTAATTCAGTCTATAATCTGGCTTGTGCGGTTCACAAGGTGCTGAGCCTTTTCGAAATTCACGTGTACTCCCTTGCCTATGGGTACGAAGCCTTACTAGCAGATATCCGCGAAACTCTTCCACACATTGAGGTTGCGAGGGTTATTCTATCCGAACTAGTCGAACAATTCGCCGTCTCCTCTTTACCCCGTGTTAATGAGCTGCTATCACGCTACAACGGTGTAGAGGCTAAGATCTCATACTATCGAGAACTCGCCTCGTTAATAGAGCACTTTAGATCGCTAACGGACATCCTCCCGAGTGCCCTGGCATCGTGGCAAGTGTTCAGACAACTAGATGCCAACAGCAGTAATCTGAAAGAGATGCAAGCTTTTAGTGCATCTGAAAAGTCGGTGTATATTCACTTCGTTCACTTTTACATGACCTATCACTTTATCCGTCTTGTCTGGAGCACCATTCGCGCATTCGATCCACTAGAGACCAGCTTTCTGTTTGGCGCTGGAGCTATCTCCCAGAATCTAATCTCTGAGTTGGCTGGCGTAAAGGCTATTGAGAAGTATACCTCTCTTACATTCAAGCTAGCTGCATATGCCCCGCCGTACGAGATTATGGATTCGGATATGCTTGTTGACTTTTCCGCCAGGTTAATTGCTCTTTCTGGAGCGCTTGTAGATATACAGCGACTCCGAGAGCATGTCCAACTTCTCTGTACATCTGTACCCCATGTACCTGCGTCGTTGATAGACCGGCTCACAGACGTGCTTAGGCTAGCCCGGTCACACGAGCTAGCTTTCATGGCACAGCTGTCTCCTGAGCAGGATGATGTCCCTGACTGTTCTTATCAATATTTGCAACAACTTTCCTATCTTTTTACTCGCTCATTTATTCACCCAAAAGCGCCATCCTGTAGCCTTTTCCCAAACAACCCAGCTGCAGCCACCGTGCTTCGAGGGCTTACATCTATCCCCGGTCTCCTGGCCTCTATGAATAGCTACGAGGATATATACAAGGGCATCCTAGACAGCCTCTTTTCCACAAACAACATCCACACGTTTATCACACGATATGGAGAACACTTCTCTCGATTTGCTATAATTGCGTCCTTGCAGCCAGGAACCAAAAATTATTACAACGCCTTGATAGTCAAATTTACCGCAGAACTTAGCAAGACACTTAGCTCAACAGAACAGAACGTGTATTTGCAGCTCAGAACTCAGAGAGAACACGTAGAAATAAGAGAGCTACTGCTTTGTGAGCTGATTGAGTACTACAGGAAGGCGGTGGTCAGCAATGAAAACACTCATCTTCAACAACTAGAGATAGACGATATCAGAGAGGCTGCCGGAACCCTCCTGATTAGGAGCACTATCCTTCCCAATCTCCTGACTGCTTCCTTGCTTTTGTTTTCCAGAAGCAGGCATGTATTCAGCATTGAGCTGCTCGGTGTTCTACTAGTTCGTTCGTCTGTAATCAAAGCAGATTCACTCAGCTCCATTTCCAAAATTAGCACTGCTCTTGCTGCGAACTTAAATACGTTCTCTTCTAAGTATAGCAAGTGGGGCGAGCTTTGGACTGAGCTCCTGATCTCATCCTTTTACTGTCCTGATACTGGCCTCGAGGCCACTCATCTATCTCAATTTTTGTGCGAGCACGTTCTTGCATTTGAAAGAGATTCCACTAGATATCAAGAACTCTCTACGCGTCAGGCTGGAATTCTTACAGTTTCCCGTCTCCCCAAGACCCTTCACCTGTTGACAACAGACTCGGCACTAGAGGCATCGTCGCCCCCTGACTTATTGGTGACTACGCCTGTTCCCTCACTCTTCAGTGCCCAGAGTCTCTGCAGCTCCTTTGCTGTCGCTGGAAGGCTGCCAAACGCTTCAAAGATACTCCACAGCTCTATCATGCAAAGGTACCAGTCCCTGTTCAACGCTATTGTTGGGATACTGCTCCCAGCACTAAAGAAGTTTTCGCAACTGATTGGGCATCTGGCCGCCTGGATGGGCACAACGGGAAACTCCAAGAAGGTCATGGATAACAGCTCGCTATCGTACAATCTTTCCGTTAACATATCACAGATTTATGCAATCCTTGTACGATTATCTATTTTTGGAGAGCTGTGTCCAAATTATGTCAAGTTTTACTCTATAAGCGATATCTATGGCTCCGAGAATCGCCCCAATGTTTCTCCCTTTTATGAAGCTCTATTTTCCCCGTACTTCCTGTCTCTTCCTCTGCAGCTAGTTCACGTCGATAACGACTTTTCAATGACTTACGCCACACATTCCGGCTCCCAATGCGGCGACATGGTCCGCCAGGATAGCTTGCCCGAGAATGGTACAATTGACGCATACACTGCTATCCTCTCTAATCAGTTCCGCAAACTTTATCGCTCCGTAGCACAGCTTGATGTGGCATTTATATCTATTGTTTCGGAGACAGAGATTATCCGCGAAATTATTTCTGAACTTATAATTTCAAAACAGTCCTCAGTCGCTAAACTTCTTGACAAGCTAAGATACTCTCTCAACCGTCTAGACGCTAACGGTGTACTCTCCACAGAGACGTCTAGCCAGAAGCGTTCTGATCCGGGACGTCTGGCGACTCATTACTCGCTTTCTGTTTTAATCTCGCGCATCATGACGACGCGGCTAATCTATGCCCTTCTTATTCTTAGGGAGCAGTTTCTGGGCGACTCCAATGCCCTCCAAAACTATCAAACCTCACTTACCAACACTGACTATCATCAATTTAGAGCTGCCAAACAGTCACTTTTCCCATTCGTGGCCAACGCATGCAGGCACTTGACTGTTTCTCTTGATGATGCGTTAATGCATGTTGAGCCCAGAGAAGCACACGCTCTTGCCGCATTGAAGTCTCCTGCCTTTCTATCAATCGTGGACACTATAGTTTCTGGAATCATAGGGTGTGAGCTTCCAGTCGATCCGTCTGCACTCTGCCTGCTTTCAGACGTTGCCCCTTCTCCAGCTGACGCTGACGTTGCATCTCGTGGGGGTTTAATGAATACACAGCATCTTTATAAGGCACACGTTCCAACAATAGAGTCCTTTTCTCGCATGATCTTCGCCATCCAAGTGGATACGCTACATGGCGGTGAGCTAAAACTCCACAATAATGTTAACCTAGTAACTCAACTGCTGAACGAAATTCGTGCGGATGCTATCAGGAGCTCTAGCAGATTTACCAGGCGCCTTGTGCGTATCCACGTGTGTGTTGACACGTGGGCACTGGATAGGGCGGAAAAGTTTGTTCAATCTCATAGTGTGACTAACTCACAGCTCCACTCGTGGGTACATGTTCTGGATCATGCAGACAAAGATTTTCAGGAAGCCTATTACTTCTTGTTAAACGATGGCGAAAAGGAGAGCTTTTTACGTCTGGTTGAGCTATCTGTCTCGGATGACTTCAAGAAGGCCTTTTATAATAGATACAAAGCGTTCCAGAACAGCGTACTCGCCAAGGTGACAGAGTGTACACTAGCATTGATCGATCATTTGACACGCCTCTTCTCTCGATTGAACACCGAGCTGCAGGATCTCAGTGGTCCTCGCGGTAATCCGCGCGACGAAGTGGACTGGAATGATTCTGTGGCTGTTCTGAAGTGTCTTGCTCACTCAGCAGACGCGGATGGGCTCTATATCAAACATAAGGATCTGCTTCCCCGTCTCCGTGCAACACTTGTCCTGACAGCTAACGAGCAGTCTATGGTGGACGCTCTCATCGACAATGTTTATCCCACGTTTGCCGAAAGATATTCGTATCTGAAGGCACGGGTGCTGGAAGACAAGGTATCCTCAGCAAGGATACTAGCAAACCTGCAGGCCACCGAGAACTTGTTCCATGAATCCAGTCTTGTCAACATTGCAAAAGTTACTGATCCCTCCCTCATGTGTCCGGACGTACTCACGCCAGATGGCAGCCTTGACCCAGGAATTCTCTTAAAGCATGTTCAGGAAGTTCGGCAGCGGCTTGCTGATCTGCAGAAAGACCTCACTGACATTCTTGGAGTTGCTGCGTCAGCGTCAGCGTTATTTGGCATCAACATGTCAACGTGTACCAATGCCGACATGGAGGCCCTCATAGTGGCGACGGAGGTTATTGACTCAACCTACTTGCCTCTCTGTCACAAGCTGACTCACCTGTTTGACGGACTAAAAGGGCGAGATCTCAATTCATCAGTACTAGACTGTAACTCAGCAGCAATCGACTCTGCATTGTCAGCTTTTTGCCACGAGCTAGAGCATCTTATTGAAGACTATTTAGAGCTGGGTGGGGTCTTCCAGGGCAATCAGAAGGTGGTTAAATGGCTAGAACAAAACAGCACTACCTGGAAAAACCCTTCCAAACTTACTGCCGCCTTGTCGGGGTACACCCATACGCTCGCTACGCTCCAGCCATATCTAGTCCAGCTGTGCAATCCCACCTCTTTCCATCCCTCTCACTGGCCAGAATTTCTTGCTGAGCTTAGATTTGTGTGCGGCACTCAAGCCAATTTTCCTCCCGCTCTAAATATTCAGACACGGCTTCAGACATACACCGTGTATGAGCTTCTCGATCATCTCCTGCTCTTCCTGAGCTTGTCGCATCAGTCACTAACGTCTCAGAAAGGCGCCTCTTCTGATTCCGGCTCAGTTGTCCACACTCAAGACAAGGAGCCTCTCAGGGTTCTTACTGGCATATGTGAAAGCATTCTATCTCAGGCACGAGCACGTTCCTCTGTGTACGGCATGATTAACGCACATACTCTACTGTCCAAGAGCATACCCCTAACATTCGTACACCGAAATGATACTCACATTATTAGTAACCTTGCTGACATAACAAAAAGTTTGGAATCGGCACTCCTTAGCATTTCGGACCTGTCAACTACCCCATTCTATACGGAGTTTAGCTCTCAGTTAATAGTACTCCAGGAGACCTTTATTCTATATCTCGCGGCCGTGAAGGCTCTGACAGAGACACAGTCAGAATATATTCAACTATCCTCTGTGCTTGCACAGAATATGGCCATTGTTAAGCGCTACATAAAGGATGCTGTGCTTAGGTATGAAACTGCTGTCGCCGACCTGGCCTTTATGTATAGCCACCTGTCTGACATGCCTTCCAAAGGTACGACAGACAATCTTGTTCATTTCTTCTCTTTCCTTGGGGGTGTTGAGGCATGTACATCCAAGATTCTAACTATTAAAGATTCACTCCAATATATAGCTAAGTCCCTTGCTACGTTTATCGAGCAGCAGCGCTATGTTTCGCCAAGGCTCTTCTTCCTCACCGACGACAACATCCTTAGTGTCATCACTGCGCTTTCATCACTGCTTATGCCTCATTGTTCTGACCATTCAAACAGCTCTCAGGTTATTGGTGTCTCAACAAATAACAGCGACATTTGCATGCTTGAAAAACACTTGAGCAAGATCTTTCCCGGTTTTGCCCACTTCATTTTCGCATCAAGCAGCGACTTGTGTCACTGCGCTGAGCCGTGTGAGAATGATGACTTTATACCATCGTCTCTGACTGGAGCCCGCCTCCTGATAGTTGGGATTGTATCACCTGAGGGTGAAAGGTTTCACCTGGATTCTTCTCAGTTCTTCAGCATCAGTGACCTGGTGGCGAGTTCCGCAAATGAAATTGCTATTCATCCGTTTCTTCTCAAGCTGGAGACGTCTATTAGGCTAAGTATGTACGAACAGATTCTTCACTGCAGACGTGTTCTTCTCACCTTTCTAAGTGACTCTGTGGCTGTTGCATCCTCGCAGATACCCTGCTTGTTAGAGTCACATACGTGCCAAGCGTTTATTGTTGGGCTGCATCTCGTAGTTACGGAGATATTGGACCTATATACAGATGATCCGGATAGAGTGGATTTGAATCGCACAGGTGTTGCCCTCAAGGAGCTTCTCGCATATATACAGGTGACGTATAAGGGACTCTACAATATACACTGTCTTTTACCCGAGATAATCTTTCTCCAATCAGTTGTCTCACTTGAGGCGACACAGGGGCGAAGCGATGAAAAACGCTTGGATCGGTTCTTTGCAATGAAGTACTATGTCAGCGCTAAGCCGTTTAGATCCCTTGTCCTCAACCCCAGCCCCTGGCAGAAAATCTATGAGTGTCCAATACTTGTGAAGGTTTTGTCCTATTCGCACGTCTATAGCTGTAACTACGTTGGCTCATCTCCGCATTTGGTGCAAACAGAGCTTACAAGTAGTCACTACACCCAATCACTGATAGCCATAGGATCGCAGTTCTTCATTAGCCCCGTTGGTCCAGCTGGCACTGGGAAGACGGAGTCAACACGTCAACTGTCAGCACACCTAGGTAGGCCATGCTTTGTTTTTAACTGTGACGAGGCCTTTGACTATGCTTCTGTGGTGCGCATAATGATTGGTGCCTTGCTGCTGGGGTGTGTGGTCTGCTTTGACGAATTTAATCGTTTGGCAGTCGACAATTTATCATCGATTAGCCTTATCGTCGACGCAATTCAAGAACTCCTATCCAAGGAGGAAAGCTACAGACGCGTCCTAGAACTAGGGAATGACACCCTGATCGAGGCATCTACCCACGAGCTACGGCGGACAGCCAATAGTTTCATGGCTCAGTTCTCGCTTAACTCGCAGAAATATGATCCGTCCCGCCTTTCTCAGCTGCGTGAGTTTGCATGCTTCATAACAATGAACCCTTCATACAAGGGACGCCGTACTCTTCCAAAGAACATCAGTGCTCTCTTCAGAATAGTAATGATGTCCCAGGCAGAGGTGGAGAGCATTGTTGACGTACTACTGGTCTCCTTGGGTTTCACGTTTGGGAGAGTTCTCAGTCGACTTGTCTGCATGTTTTATCAACGGCTGGAGGCAGTTGTCGCCCACATCCAGTCAGATGCTGAACAGGCGTCCAAATCATCCTTCCATTTTGCGCACGACTTGGGTTTGCGTAGTATTCGCATGGCATTGCGCGCAGGCCAGTTGCTTATTGAGGACGAGCCATCGTTAACGCAACTCCTCAGCTCCGATTCTCCGGACATTCGTGAAGCAGCAGAACGATATATCCTTGTCACAGGCATACGTCGAACCCTCCTTCCAACGCTTTCTCACCATGACATTCCTCAATTTAATGATCTCATCTGCTCCACCTTTGGGCGTTGTGAGGCCACGATACGGGCACGCTTGAGTAGCGACTGCTCTAGGCGGCAGATTACTATCCCTGAATCGTCTAACTACAGGCATGCTCTCAAGCTGCTGGAAAGTGTTAGTCTTGATGACCTGTTGACGAAGTTTGTATCACAAGTTACACTGCAAATGGGGCTCGTTCCTAATCAAGCCTTCCTAGACAAGGTGCTGCATCTTCACATGTGCCTCTGTCTCAGCCCTGGAACCATTATTGCAGGCACCTCATCCACAGGAAAGACAGCTGCGCAACAGGTCTATTATGGTGCTCGACGGGCCTTGGCGTCCTTTCTTACAGAATTGACGGGTGTTTCGCAGGGAGCTTTGACTACATACACCGTATCTCCTCTGGCATTGCAAGCTAAAACTAAGCTTCTCGGCACTTTAATTGAGCCTTCACGTGAATGGATAGATAGCAGCTTTCTTCGGGCTCTACGAGAGGCCATTGCCCTTAGCGAAAACATGGACTCAGGCACTCCCTGTCTTCTCAGCCGATGGCCAAGATTCTTCTTTCTATTTGATTGCGATATTAATCCAGACTGGATTGAAGCCTTCAACTCCGTCTTGGATGGAAATCGTTGCTTAACTCTTTGCACAGGCGAGAGAATTCACATACCAGACAGCGTCCGCTTTGTTTTTGAAAGCTCTACACTCCGGCATGCAACCTTGGCCACCATCTCACGGTGCTCTGTCAGCATTCATCACGCAGATACTGTGCCAGCATCAGATCTTGCATACGGCTGTCTTAAGCGTCAACTCGTCATGGACAACCCGCACGCATCGAGCCTTCTGTCTTTGATTTCAGAAACCGGGCACTCTAGGCGAACCGAGCAACCCCCGGCACAGACACGGACTCAAACAGGGCTCCCTTCTAGAGCCAATCTTTCCAACTCAATCCCTAACTTGCATACACAGAAATACGTATTAGCGTGCCTTAATGCGGTAGCCTTCGACGTTTTTAGCTCTTTCCTTTTCGCGAGTACGCCTCTATACGTTACATTTCACCAAAGTTTTATCGCGTGCCACGGGCTCATTGATCAGTTGACTAACACACAGCAAGCACCATCCGGCACAGTAATCACTCACAAGACGGGCACTTTGGGACGCTTGTTCCGCACGGGTAAAGGCCTCGCAACGGGAAGTGGAGAGTTCATTGATGGCATTCTGAAGGGGATTTCTGCTGACATCAACACTTCATCAACTAGCTTTTCTGGCACGCTATCCGAGCTTCTGGACCATGCTAAAGGTCGCTACAAGCAATACTCTCCTATTGACTTTTCTGTAACAAGAGTTCTAGCAACCCTTGTGATGATGCTTAAGGCAGCTGTGGCAGAAGCAGAGAAGTATTTTCGTACAAAGATAACGCAAATTGAATTAGGCTTAGCTGAAGCTCGGCTGTCTCTTCGCACAATGGATCTGCAGAAACTGGTGAGCCCTCAGACTGTTTCTCGCGTTCTGTCCTTCTCAGGAATCTCATATAACAGGCTCATTTTGTTTTACGTTAGACAATTCATCTTCGGATTGGCTTGGTCTCTCAGCTGTCAGCTACCTCTTGCAGAGCGCCACTCTTTGTCCAATCTTGTTTGTAGGTACTATTCAGACTATCTTGATCAGCCTTCTAGTGAGGTCTCCACGAAGACCCCTACTCACTCTGGCTCTGGGGATGCAAGCAATGCTGACGACGCGGACGACTTACAGTTTGATCTCTTGGCGATTACGTACTTCAATACAAAACCGTCAGCACCGGAAGTGTTCGCTGGATACTGTGTCGAGCGCACTTCCGACACAACGTCTTCTCGCTTAAATACTCAGGAACGTTCCTTGGTCACAAAGGCGCACACAATTCCAGATTCGTCCGATCTCAATGCATCATCGTCCCTATGGTTATCAGCAACTGTCCAACACCCTCCGCCTCAATCCAGCTATGAAGAGGATGGCCGCAGACCACCAACTCAGCCTGCTCACACCTCTTTGCTAACATACGTCTGCTCCATAAACAGTGAGTATTGGCAGCTAAACGATCCTGAGAATTGTGAGCTACGTAGCTTCTTTGTTTCTACAATCCATGAGAGCATGTCGACGCTTATGGAGAGCTCACTAACAGCCCACACTAGAAGGGCGCGCTTTGAAGACGCGAGTATGCCCAGGAACAAACTTACACACCCATTACATAACCCTACACTGGAATCGACGTCTGCGGGGTCTCAGCTTGTTCCTAATGTGGATACGCAAGCGTACGCAATGTATCTAGGCTCTCTAGTGGACCAGGGTAGACACGTACTCTTAATAGGACCGGCAGGTAGCGGGAAAACAGTACTTCTGACGCATATATTGAATCAGAACCCCAACTTGCGCGTTGTTTTCACCTCCTTTTCATCACAGACCTCTCCAGACGATTTAATTTCTATTTTCTTCAATCATTTCGATGTGGTTCCAGAGGACGATCACTACATATTGGTCTCTCCGGCAAGACAGACCTTCTGCCTGATCATAGACGAGATTAACCTGGTTGATAAAGATTGTTTTGACAATCAACCCGTAATAGAGTTTCTTCGTTTCCTTTTAGAGCATAGATACTTCATATATGACGGGGTTCTTCCAGGCTCCAAGGATAAAAAGAAGCCCGGTGCCCACGAAGCAAAAGAGTCTCCACTGGAAACATCCGCAGTCATTGTCTTACCATTTAACATAATTATTGCCTGCAGTTGTAATCCCCCAACAGATGCAGGACGGTCTCTTCTAAGTGAGAGATTTATGAGGCAGATATCTACGCTGTATCTGGACCATCCTAGTCATGCAGCGCTCCTGAGCATATACACCGCCTATACTGACGACATGCTTGCGGACATTCTGACCGAATCAAACTTGTTGAGCGTTCTGACTCCTGACACCACCACCTCCCTCTCAATTTCCCTGGCATCCGCAATGGTTTCTGCTTATGAACAGATTGCTGCAGCCGCAGACCGAGAGCACAGTTCCTCTGTCTACTCCCCCAGAGATCTGACGCGGTGGATTGCTTCCGTTAAAGACCATTATGGATCTTATCAGCTTACTGATGCTACTGGGGTCTTCTCATGCAAGAGGTTTGTCCAACTCATTCTATACGAGGGGTCAGCTATCTTTTCAACCAAACTGATGACTCAACCAGAAAAGAAAGCAACAATCGCCATTCTAGCAAGGTCACTTCACGGATTTCTGGAGTCTCTCTCCAAGGCTCTGTGCACCTGGACCGCCGACAATCCTATGTTAGAGCTATCAACCTTTAATACGCTCCTTCTTCAGAAGAACTTTAAGTTCAATATAACATCAGGGGCTTCGCTGACTGATTCAGCTACCCACTTTGCCTCCATTTTGACAGAACAAGAGGCATGGTCTAATCTTTGCTACTTGTTCTCTAAATACCATAATAAATCAGCGAATACGCTGACACTATCACACATGGAGTTTGTTAGCGATCCCATCTATCACATTATGCGCACCCTAAACACCCCACATGGACACCTTATTATAAGTGCTGAGCCAGGGGTTTTTGACGCCTCTCTGCTCCAGTTCCTGGCGTGGCTCTCTGAATCAACCATCTTTGAGCTCAAAACAGTCAAAAGATACTCCCTTACAGATTTCCGGGAGTTCCTCAGGGGCGCTATTGAAGCCGCGGTAACAAAACCTGGCAATGTCTTGGTTGTTATTTCTTACGAAACTGGTCTTCCTATCAACTTCCTAGAGCATCTAAACAATCTCTTGTGTAATGGAGATGTGACTGGATTTTTAACCAAAGCACAGCTTCACAAGACTATCTCGTTAGCAGGTCTCTCAGATCTGGCCCAATTACAGCAGATGGTCAAGCAAAAGCTCCATATACTCTTTGTAGTCAGCTCAACCCTTGAGGGCTCCGGCATAACTTTCAGTCCAGCTTTGTATAACAGATGCCAATTGATTAGTATTAGTAGGATGCCTATCTACTTCCTAGTTCTTAAGGGGACAGGGCATGTCCAGGCCTTGGCGTTCCCGAAGTCTGTCTCCGACTGTCTCGGACGGGTCACAGATACAGAGCCAATGCTTCAGCAGAGCATAGAGGCATGTGATCGGGTATCTACAGAAACTCAGCAGCTGCTTGATATTCTAAAGCAGCAGCAAGACGATAGCGTCTTAGAAATTCAAGACACGCTCACCATCGCAGCACAGGGCTTGGGGCCTCAGCAGCGCCTCTGTGCTGCACTAGCCTTGCTTCACGAAAGGGCGCCTTCGATTGTGCAGCAGTACCACGATGTTGTTGGATCTCTTTCTCTACCCGAGATGTTGAAAACTAGTCATGTGGCGCGATCTATTACCTTCCACTCCTTGCTTCATTACGAGAGATTGTGCACACGGTTTGCACTACTGTACCTGCAGGTGTACACAGATTTCTGCTCTCAGCAGAACCATCTGGTAAAAGGCTTGGAGATATTAGACATCGTGCAGGGACGCGTCAGCGAGCTCCAGGAAGAGCTATGCACAAAGAAGGAGAAGCTCGCAGAGATGACCGTACTCACTCAGGAGAAGCTGTCTGAGGTTATTAAGCTGAGAGAGATTACCATGGCAAGTAAGGCCGAGTCAGTGAAGCTTTCGACCGAAATCACACAGAAGCATGAGTACATTCAGGCACGCATGGAGTCTGTGCAGTCGGAGTTGGCCGAAGCAGAGCCTGCACTTGTAGCAGCCCGAGGCTCCATTCGCACAATAAGCAAGGCTGCCCTAGAGGAGATTCGACGAATGGCCAGGCCAGCAGAGGCAATAACTCTAGTTATGGCTGCGGTAGTCATCATTATATCTCCTACAATCGCAGGAATTAACACAAGCTGGGAGGCCGTCCGTAAAATAATGCAGAGAAACAACTTTCAATCCTCCATTCTGATGTATAATCCTGCTGAGGATGAGCACGCTGCTTATCGGCTGGAGCGTTTGGCAGAATACCAGTCCAATCCCACCTTCAAAAAAGATATTGTCAGCCACGCCTCTCAGCCGGCTGGCTTCCTGTTCGATTGGGTCATGAGCATTTATGGATTTCTGAAGATAAAGGCTAAGGTCCAACCGCTTGAGCAGGCGCTTCTTCAAATTAAGGAGGAGGCTAGTGGTCTGGAAATAAGAAGAGCCGAAATTATGGTGGAGCTTGTCGAAATGGAGAAGAATATTGATAGCTTGACAGCGGAGTGTAGCGAATGTGAAGCCCACCAAATTCGGCTGCAAAACCAGGCAGACGAGTGTGAGAACAACACCAAGCAGGCAACTATCATCACTGAGTTGCTCTCTGACGAAATTAAGCGGTGGACTGAGCAGCAGGCTGGGTCTGAGCACATCTTGGACAAACTTATGGGAGACGTGCTCCTGGAAGCGTTTTACGAGACTTATGCCGGGTCCTACACCGACAACTTGAGGATTGAGCTCGCCACGTTTGCAGAAGAGATACTCGATGCCTTGTCTATTTCGTACAGTAACGGGACGGCTCTTTGCCTCAGAGGTTCATTGTCAAACCACATTCTTATAGAGAGGGTTCTGTCTCCGGTAACGCCCGTTTTGTTGTTTGACTACACCAAGGGAGATTTAGACCATCTCAGGGCTACGTATAAAAAGCATATCATGGTATCTGCACTTGCAGACGACTTGATGGCCTCTGTGGAGCGGGCATTGAAGTTTGGCTTCACTCTGATCATAGAAGATGGCGACTCTTTGGATCCAGCCCTTTTTGTGTTACATCGAGTCGTAGAAGAGCCAGCTACGTCTACTAGTTTGCCCACTAATTCATCTCCTGACGCTAGAAGATCCTTTATTGTAGAGTTGGGAGGCGTTGTCATTCCTGTCCACCCAGATTTTGGTGCAATTGTTTTATGTCAGGTAGTTGGGCGCGCAATCCATTTTGCGGCAAAGTGTACCGTGATAAACTTTGCTCATAGTGATGAGAAAATATTTGAGATATTGTGCAACCACTTAATTGAATACCTGCATCCCGATCTGTACTCTGTGCAACAGAAAATAGAGCAGGACTTGTCGACCCACGCGAAGACTATCGTCTCGCTGGAAAAAGAGTTACTTTGTACTCTAAGTGCAGTTGACCATAGCTCCATCTTGACAAATACCGGCTTAATATCTCATCTACAAGCTACCAAGGCCCGATACAGACAAATTAATACGCAAATAGAGACACTCAGACACCAGAAGAAAAGCTATGATGCCTTCAAGGACGAACTACACGATTGCACAACAGTTCTAGCTCGGATATTTTCCGTACTACGACATCTGCGGGACCTAGAGCCGGGCTTTCTCTTTAACCTGGAGCAGATGTTGTTTATTTTAGATGCAGCCCTGGAGAGATTCACGACGCTGGCTGCGAAGAACTACTCTGACTTGCTCATTATTTTCATAGAGCTATGCTACGATAACACCCAGTCGTCGCTGACCCTGACTGCACGAGATGCCACTTATAAGTTTCTGAAAGAGATAGCGACATCGGAGGCGCCAAAAGCAGTAACGCGCAAAGAACTAAAGCTTCGGTCGCACACAACCTTCACAGAGTACTATTCGTTCTATCAAAAGCATACCCATTGCATGCTCCTCAACATTATTGAGAATACTGATCCAAAGAGCATTGTTCAGGCAGTGATTCAAGACGTAAAAGCGGACGCCAACCACGGACCGCTGGTGCACTCAGTTCCCTTCGGGGTCCCTGACGCACACATTTCAAAGATTGCTGGTATCCTCAAGGCAGCTCGAGACCGTGATATTATCCTATTGACCAACATGCATCTGGCCTCTGCCTCATACTGTGAAGATCTTTGCAAGGTTATACAGAGCCACCTTAAGACCTACAGCAATAACATCTCGATTATCATCTCAATCCAGGGTGCAGATGACAATAGCCTAACAGAGGAAATGCGGTCTTTAGCCACGTCACTGGGCTGTGTCTCCTTTTTATCGCAAAAGGAGCTCAACCCGGTGGCTCTATATGAGCAAACTAGGCTAGATGCAAGGCAAATAGCGCTCAAGCAGACCAGTATTATCCTTAATACCACCACGCCTTCTGCAGAGGCTACTGAAGTCGATTCTGAGGCTCAGCAGGCTGGCCAATTCTTTGATTCAGAGTTCAAATGCCTTCTTGATAAGCTAACATACATATTCGTTATCTTCAAACTGAGGGCAAGCATGAGGCCATACGGCTTTTCTGGAAGCTACTCCTTCACATCTGTGGATCTGCGCTACGCCATAGAGCTTCTTGTGAAAGAGTTTGCAGCACAGCTCGCCAAGGATAACAAGTCGTTCTGTCCCTTTGCCAATCAGTTCTTTGAAAAATTGCTCCATGAGATTTGTTTTGGGAATAGGATTTCAGCTCTACACGATAAGGTCATAGCAAAAAGGCTTATTGACAAGATAGTTAATATGGATGCATTGCCCACAATGGTGGAGTCGTGTACAGGGGTCTTCCTGAACGAGGCCCTGGACGGAATAATGACAGCTGCACAGCAAAAGAAAGTCGATGATCTGCACCAGGTCATTTTAGGAAGAGTGGGATATAAAAGCACAAAAGACCCGGATAGCAGTTCTTGCATAACTATGAGCATTGTGAGCGCGATTATCAGTAAGCTCTTAAGCATTCGAAAAAGCCTTCAGCAGGTAGAGGAGGTAAGCGCCACTCTTACCTCTTCACATAGGTGGAGCTCATTTTCTCTTGCAATCTTTAAGGTCAAATGTGCAGCAAGGACCACGCTGCTAGCCTACATGCATGCAGCAGAGAAGGGCCCCACTGCTCTCGATGAACTACAACGCTTGCTCAATGAGGATGCGCTACAGCATGTCTCACTTCTCGTAGATCAATACCAGTATTGCACAGATGTGCTTGAGGCTATGCAAACTGGTAACGACGACACCATTACGTTGCTGCCTCTGAAGCTTGGGTCTAACGCACATCAGTGTTTTGCTGCCTTGTTCCAAGACCTATTGAGTCAAGGAAGTCCAGGTGCATCTGGATCTGGAGAGATGGCCGCGTGCTTCACGACAGTGGCTGCTAGCAGCACGGTATCAGTAACGGTCAGGTCATTCTTATTCGTAGCCGACCATGATGTGATCCAGAAATCACCCAGTGGCGGCATTTCAACCCTCTTCCTGACCCTTGAGCCCGCGGCAAGCGTAGCTCACTTGGCAGGCATTCCGGTATTCCTCGATGATTCGCGTAGCACGTTCCTCGGATTTGCCCAAGGTATGGACGAAGGTGACATGATGTGGGACGGGTCTGCGTTTTATTTCCTGTGATGCGATCCTTAGCAATGTAAACGTATGATCCTTGCGAATATCAGTACAGCAGATGTAAAATGCACGAGACATCTGTTATTATGAGCACCCCGGAGTTCATCATAGAGAAGCCACGGCGGTCCATCGCAAACCATGTCCTACCGATTATATCTCTAGGAATGGTTGTTGCTGGGATGCTTTCCACAGCAGCGTTTGACTACGCCCGCAGAAGGGCAATCAGGGACCATCCAACGCTTGTGACTCCAAGTAATTGGTACTGGTACCTGGAGTACCCAGTGCTTGCGCTCTCTGCCTTGGCGCCTGCCTTACAGCTGCGTGGTGAGCACATGAAGCTACGGTGGAATGTCATTTACAACGGAGTCGACCTGGTGAAGCACATTCTCGTCACTGTGTGGCCGGCGCTTTTTCTCGCCAAAGCTACAATATTACTGGACAGTCTCCTTGTTTTAATCTTTGGTTGCAATCTGGCTCAAATTTGGATTGTAGAAGTCTATTGCATTAAGCGAAAGAGCCTGCTGCGGCAAGTGTGTCATGCGGTAACAGCCTATTTCGTTACACTGCTCATTCCTGCCATCTTCATCTCCGCGAAAGCCATCCGCAAGGAGACGGCCACGCTCGCGGGCGATGAAGGCCCATCTATCGTTGTTCTTTCGTTGGTCTCGGCAATCTTGGCTGTGGATGCAACGACTGGGAAAGTGGTTGGCCCTCCGCTGGTTCTGCTACTCTATTTATTGGGAATTTTGGGAACATTCGATGCAAGAACGATGGCAAAATTCCCTATCTACACTTCTCTGCCGATTCCTATCACACTGGTTGATGTAATAGTGCTTTCATTCGAAGCCGTTCATCTGATGGACATCGCCTTCAAGGCGCTGCAAAAGAGCTCCAGAAACAACCCACACACAAGCTTCACGTCGTCGTTCTCGTCTCCGCTGTCTGCATCCTTTACTTATCGCTTATAGAATGTCCACAAACTAAAAGTATACCGGTCAAACTTATTCTGAGGGTTACGGAACAAGTGTGCGCGTAGAGAGCCGGGGGCTCCCGAGGACCTTCGGGGGAGATGGCTGTTCTTGAAAAGCTGACCACAAATAACGCCTTTAATTACAGGCGCCCCAGATTTTAAAATGCCTGCCCAGACGATCGAGGAGCTCATCGCGGTGATCAAGCAGAGGGATGGCCACATGACGGAGTTCCGCCAGGCCGTCGAGGAGGTCGTGGACTCCCTCAAGGTTATCTTCGAGCGCGAGCCGAAGTATATCCCAATCTTCGAGAGGATGCTTGAGCCGGAGCGCGTCATCATCTTCCGCGTGCCCTGGATGGATGACGCTGGACGCATCAACGTCAACCGCGGCTTCCGTGTCCAGTACAACTCTGCTCTCGGCCCCTACAAGGGTGGCCTCCGCTTCCACCCCTCTGTCAATCTTTCGATTCTCAAGTTCCTCGGTTTCGAGCAGATCCTGAAGAACTCCCTCACCACGCTCCCGATGGGCGGCGGCAAGGGCGGCTCCGACTTTGACCCAAAGGGCAAGTCCGACAACGAGGTCATGCGCTTCTGCCAGTCCTTCATGACCGAGCTCCAGAGGCACGTCGGCGCCGACACTGACGTTCCTGCCGGCGACATCGGCGTCGGCGCCCGCGAGATCGGGTACCTGTACGGACAGTACAAGCGCCTGAGGAACGAGTTCACAGGCGTCCTCACAGGCAAGAACGTCAAGTGGGGCGGGTCTTTCATCAGGCCGGAGGCCACGGGCTATGGCGCTGTCTACTTCCTGGAGGAGATGTGCAAGGACAACAACACTGTGATCAGGGGTAAGAACGTCCTTCTTTCTGGCTCCGGCAACGTTGCCCAGTTTGCTTGCGAGAAGCTCATTCAGCTCGGCGCAAAGGTCCTCACCTTCTCAGACTCCAACGGGACCATTGTCGACAAGGACGGGTTCAACGAGGAGAAGCTGGCCCACCTCATGTACCTCAAGAACGAGAAGCGTGGGCGTGTTTCCGAGTTCAAGGACAAGTATCCCAGCGTCGCGTACTACGAGGGCAAGAAGCCTTGGGAGTGCTTCGAGGGCCAGGTGGATTGCATCATGCCTTGCGCCACTCAGAACGAGGTTTCCGGGGACGATGCGACGCGCCTGGTCGGCCTCGGCCTCAAGTTCGTGGCCGAGGGTGCGAACATGCCCTCCACGGCAGAGGCTGTTCACGTCTATCACGCCAAGGGCGTGATGTACGGACCCGCCAAGGCCAGCAACGCGGGCGGTGTCTCTGTCTCCGGCCTCGAGATGTCCCAGAATTCCGTGAGGCTCCAGTGGACGGCTGAGGAGGTCGACCAGAAGCTCCGCGGCATCATGAGGGGCATCTTCGTCGCCTGCCGCGACACTGCCAAGAAGTATGGGCACCCCAAGAACTACCAGATGGGCGCGAACATCGCCGGGTTCCTGAAGGTCGCAGACTCTATGATCGAGCAGGGCTGCGTGTGAGGGCTGAAGTGAATATTTACCTTTTCCGGGTTCGACGGGCGTGCTTGACGATGCGGAAGTCGCTGTCCGTTCCAACGGCTATCTGCCCCAGGACCCCCATCCCGGCGCCGATCAGCTGGCTGCCGAGGGCGATCTTGGTGCACGCCCGGCTGGAGCTCACAACCCCGGCCTTCACCTTGTCGAAGTTCCAGATTATTAGGTACTTCTCCGTTCCGGTGATTATCTCTGCCTCATCTAGGGAGAAGGTCGCAGGCCTGAGGCCAGACTCAGTTGTTGCGCCGATCTCCTGAGCAGTCTCTGGAGAAAGACGCAAGATAATCGGCTTTGGTCGCTTGTCGCCTGGGATTCCATGCCCCGAAAAGCACGAGTGCTCCCCGTCAGCCGTAGTCGTGGGGTATACTAGCAGAATGGTCTGGGCAGTCGCCAGCAACCACTTCTCATCCCCTGTAATTGCCAGATGAGTAATGGGGTAACCTATCCCCGGGTAGCATGTTAGAGCACGCTGCCCCATTTTGTTGAATATGCGTATCTCCCCCGCCATGGACCCTGTGACCACATGGCCCTTCGGAGTGACCAAAATGGCGGAGAAGCGTACACTGGACTTGTACGAGTACGACACGCCAGAGCGCTGCGAGCTCCCTGCTATCCGCGTGTCAAGCATATGCACACCCATCTTTGTCAGGACAACGATGGCGTTCGACGGGTCTATGGAGCATGCGCCAACACTACTGGCTCCAGCCTTTCCTGTGTCGAAGTCTACAATTTCAGGATGATAGTCTATGCCTGTGTCCGTCGCCGTGTAGTACTGCAACGCATCCGGCCGCTGGAAGTCCTTTCTGTAAATTATGTCTCTCTGATCCTCCGGGCACGAAAGGCTAGTGGATAATAGACACTCGACATTCGTGCCAAAGCGCAGAGCCCCCGGTGCAAGGATGCTCCCAAACTTGTCTCTGAGCTGGAGGGATTCGGTGCGCAACTTTGGCTGAACATGGCAGAGCTCGAGGGCATCGTCTCGAGACACCACTGCCGTTGAGCCTTGAAACAAGAACTGTGCCACCAGATGGTTCTTCAGAAGTGCGCTGCTATGCGCTGGATCCTTATAGTTTAAGAGTTTAGGGTCTAAGTAGCCTGCCTCCATCTTCCCGGGCTCTACTTTCTCTAAGGGGGTCTTCATGATCCCGTTGCCACCCGCTTGGCCGTCCATAGATTCAACATCGCTGCAGTCATCGCTATCACTATTTGCCTCAACGATTGGAACACTCTTCGAAGACTTCCTCGGCTTCCGTTGTGGGCAGAACGCCGTCGAAACAAACTGGTTGTCGTCTTGGGCGTCTTTTGCATCTATCTTGTAGCCGGCTTCCTTGCGGGCCGCAAGTGAAAAGTACTTTGCAAAGTTCTCAGAAAACTCCTGAAATTCTGCCCCCTCAGAAAAGACGAATGCTAGAGGAAGGAATTTTGCCTTAGTGGCCTGCTGGCTGAGTGCCGTATATGGTAAAGCTATCGAAAACTGCCGCTCATCAGCTAGTATTTCAAAGATTAGATCTGGCAGTATTGGGATCGCCGTTGTTCCTGATTCCCCCACATCAACAACGAGCCAGTGTGCTGAAAGGTACGCCGATGGCACTCTGCCCGTTCCAAATTTGAGCCCCTTCTCTTCCAGTGCCGACCCTGATGCTAGTGCTAGAACAGCATATTCACCGATACGATTTCGACCCTCATCCCGGCCAAGGAAGACGCTGATGGCAGAATACTCCTTAGCAAAATCGTAAGACTGCGGAAGCCCGTATGGAGCAGGAAGAGAAGAAACGTAAGGCTTGGTTAAGTCTGCCTTGATGTGCGTTGCGGACGCCAATATAGACTTAAATAGGTTGATCTTCTTATCTACAGGTGCTTCGCTCCCGTCGCGTGCAAGTAGCTTACTGCACTCGACGGTAGTATAAACATCGGCACCATTGTCCTCTTCTTTAAAAGTCAGGAATATCTTCTGAAAAGTCTCGTTAGACCCGCAATCAGTGAGATCCATCATTGTGTAAAGGTGGATGACGGGCTCAGAGCCAGAGGATGGGTCAGCTTCGCAAACCTGCAGCTCCGGAAATACAAGCTGGGCATTAATGTATATGGATGCCGGCTTGATCAAAGTGGTCCATTTGGAGTCTTTATACTGTTTAGCCTGGCCAAGGATGTGAGCCATCGCAGGTCGACTTTTTTCTTTCATTATTGAGTCTGCGTCTGTGGGCACGCGATCGGATATGCTCCTGATACACCTTTTCTCCCGTAATGGATACCTTGCAAGTGTCGCAATAGAGTATTTGCGGGCCTAGTGGTAAAAACGTGTAGTTTATCTTTGCATAGCACGAGACCTTAGCGACCTCGTCTAGTATCAGAGGCATAATGTTGTCCTCCTTCCAGTCAGACGTATCTATGTGCAGAATCGAGAGACCATGGCGCTCCAATTTGCGAGCCCATTTTCTTTGCTGTTTGGCGTAGGCGACAGTATTATCAAACACCTCCAGCAGAACTGTCCCTAGTTGCAGCGCTGCCTCCATAGGTATTTGCAGCAAGTCGGCAAAGCGCAATATGCCATCAGCGCGAGCAGATGTGTCTTTGAGTATAGAGCAAAACAATGCATCGGCACAAGTGGATACAAGCAAAGGGTCTAGCTTCGATAGCGACCCATTCTTGACCAAGCCCCTGAATGCGTCGCTTTGCTGCGCAGCTAAGACAAACTCACGTAGGCCTATTGCCTGCAGGATGCCATCTGAGACTCCGTCCCGCACATAGCCATCAACAATGCGAGTGACTCTGTTCGGCTCTAGATTGGACAACAGTAGCGAGACCTCGTTCAGCAGCCCCTGTCTGATCATGGAGACCACTCTAGTAGCTACGTGGCTAGTCAGGGCTGCATGTGCGTCACAAAACAGTAGGATGGGCTGCAGGCCAATACTGCAGAGGAGGTCTTTTGTGCCTGGCTGTGACAAGAAAAACAGGAAAAAGTAGTGCGTCCCCCCAACCATGATAGGGATGCTAGGGGGGTGTATTTCGCGAAGAACATTGCACACATTGGCATACCAGTCCCTGACCGTTTTCATTTCGTAAACGAACTTGGAGCCGTCCTCCTCTTGAAATGGAGCATACAATCCGAAAAGATGGTGCTTGATTGCGGTCTGCTCCGCTAGAGTGGGAGCTGCCGATAAAATAGAGATCCCCTGCCACAACTGGAGTGCATCTCCGCAGATAATCTCGCCATTCAAGGCCTGTGCCAATTGTAGAGCCAAGCGTGTTTTGCCCGAGGCCGTGGTTCCCATTACCAGGATCAGGGGCCGTACTTTCATGATGGCCGTCTCGCCGCTACAGGACAGGCGACTGCCTCGTTTGGCCTCCAATTGATGAAAATTTCATTGCAATTTTCTTTAAAAAATAAATACGAATGCTGAAAATTTAACCATGTCATCTACGCTTTGGAAGATCCTCTCGTTTGTGGGAATCAGGAGACAGGATGATTGTGACTTGTCGCCGATTCCTGACGCAGATCCCATCATGTACAGCACCCCAGAGAGACTCCCAACAAAGACTACATCTCCTGGCCTGCGTGGATCAATCACCAAGAAGCACGTAACGTTTTCGCCCAAGGCGGAGAATATCCCCATATATGATCTCGTTCATGCAGATATACCAAAGGGTGAGACCCCAATTCGCCTTATGCGTGAATGTGCTGCGCGAGCCAGCCCCTCTGTGAACGATGAGCTTACCTCTAGAATTAACGATCTCGAACAGCTTATAGCCGATATAAAGGGTGAAAACGAGGCCCTCGTGGCTGAGAACAAGCGCTTACACACCGAGAATAGAATCCTGCACGATGAAAGAAGGCGATTGGCGAATAGTACTGCAAGCGACATATCGTCGTGAACTCTCATCTTGGATAATGTAAACTCCTGGTCACGCTTCCTTCCTCCTCCTAAGATTTGATGAAATGATGAAATATAAAAAATAAAATGGCTCAGCTTGTCAGGGATGAGGGCAATGAGAAGCAGGCAGACGTTCGCGTATCCAATATCCAGGCAGCCAAGGGAATCTTTGACCTCATACGCACCTCATTAGGGCCTCGTGGTCTCGATAAGATGGTCACAACACCGAAGGGAGACGTCCTTATCACGAATGACGGTGCGACAATTATGAAGCAGTTGGAGGCTCGTCACCCGGCTGCACGCATGCTCATAGAGCTTTCTCAGAGCCAAGACATCGAAGCGGGAGATGGCACGACAACTGTGGTCGTTCTCGCTGGGAGGCTGCTTGCTAACTGTCTAGACCTTTTCAAGCTTGGAATCCATCCGACAGCAATATCGGAGGCCTACCAGGTGGCCTGTGACGAGGCTGTGAAGGTTGTCATGTCCATTGCCCGCCCCGTTGATCTCAAGAACCGTGAGGAGCTGATCAACATTTGCAAAACAACACTATCAAGCAAGATCATTTCTCACCATTCTGACCACCTTGCACCCTTAATCCTCGACTCTGTGCTTCGCGTGTCAGATTCGGACAACGTTGACTTGAGTCGTATACACGTAATCAAACGATTAGGAGGGACCGTGGACGAAAGCAGATTAACCACTGGTCTTGCATTTGCAAGGCGTCCCACAGAGGGGCCCGGGTTCTGTGAAAAGGTGAAGATAGGTATCGCAAGGTTCTGCCTGTCCCCGCCCAAGACAGACATGGAGGCTAATCTTATTGTTCATGACTCCGACGCAATAGATCGCCTTTTAGAGCAGGAGCGTAAGCTGACTGCTAAGATGTGCAAGAAGATCGCAAGCTCTGGGTGCAACGTGCTTCTTCTGCAGAAGTCCATTATGCGTGAGGCCGTCAGTGACATGGCGCTTCACTTTCTGAAGAAGCTGAAGATCACCGTCATCGATGACATAGAACGCGAAGAAATAGACTTCATAGCCACCACTACCGGAGCTACGCCAGTCGCTACGATAGATGAGTTTACCTCGGATAAACTGGGCTCAATGGGTGAGCTGACTGTCGTAGATGGAGTTACATATATCTCCAGGAATCAAGACGAGGAAAAGAGTGTCAAGACATGTACCATCATAGTGAGAGGCGCAAACAAACTGATCCTCGATGAGGCCGTGCGCTCCGTGCACGATGGCCTCTGTGCAATCCGCTGTCTCATTAAGAAAGGATTTATAATCCCTGGTGGTGCCGCTGTCGAGACCGAGATCGCTAGGTGCTTATATGAGCGCAGCCACTCCCAGACAGGCGTGGGTCAGTACTGTATGCGTGCCTTTGCAGATGCATTCGAAATAATTCCCCTTACACTGGCTGAAAACGCCGGACTCTCCCCAATCACAACCCTTACGGAACTGAGGCGCGTCCATAAGAAAGGCGGAACGACCTACGGATTAGATATTAATAGGGGCGGAGAGATCTCAGAGATGTTCGCTCTAAATGTAATACAGCCTGCTCTAGTGACTATCAGCGCCATAACTCTTGCGACAGAGACGACGCGTATGCTCTTGAAGATTGACGATATTGTTCTAGGCAGATGAGTAAACCTCGACCAGCTGAAGCTTCTCGCTGAGGTATTGGGCGAACACGCCTGCCACGGAGCCCTCAGAGACAGGGTGTGGGAAGTCAGGAGGGTGTTGTAGGAAAGATCGTCTGAGAGATTGAAGCTGTGCAATAGGAATGATTGCATAGGGCAGGGCAACCGATATGGAGGGAGGGTACACAGTGAGCATCATACTGATAGCTCCCGTCGATGCCTGGGCATTGAAGATGGTAGCTACGATATCTTTTGTAATGCGACGTATTACTTCTGGAGAAGCGGCTTCTGAAGAGGACAGCGCAACGGAATCTGTTGCCGCAGAGAGAATAGACTTTAGCCCAGCCTTCCCAGGTGCCTTCACTACGTTATACAGATAGTCTAGGATAAGTTGGGGACTGGCAGAAGCACTGAATACGGGCTGATCTGCCTTAGCTCCCACCAGAAGGGACTCGAACCGGGAACATATATCTGCATAACGAGGGTACGTCCAAAGCCGCTCCTCACCGACCAAAGGGTTTTCCGGGCACATAGAAAGCTCGGCATCGTCCATGGGCCGGTCGGTATAGCACGAAACGATGCAGTTCGTTGTCTTCCTCTCACGTGCAATACAAAATAGTTCATAGCGAAAGCTCTTCGTGTGATTCGTGTGGTCTACTATCACTAGGCGCTCTTTAGACAAGTACTGAGCAACAAGCTGGCGCAGACGCGTGCGAACAGTGCCGATGTTTTCTGTCAAGTCTTTGCTTGTACATCCCATAAGCCCCAAGTCAATTACTACCGAATCCAGCTCGCGAGCCACAGCCTCTTGCTGGATCTGAGCGGCGACCCTGGACTTTCCTGTGAGAGGTTGGCCGAAAAGCAGGAGTAGGGGCATTTTTACTTAATTTGGCGGCAGCAGCTCCATGAGAGCGGCCTTGTTGACCTCCGGGATGTGTGATGGGAATTGCACATTGAACTTGATGAGGAGAAGACCACGTTGTCGCGGGTCTGCACTCAGAGGCATTCCCTCGCCGTGGATTGTCTTCACGTTGCCGGGGATGATGACCTCTGATACAACTATGTGCAGCGTACGATTGTCAAGGGTTTTGAGCTCTGTTTGATAGCCACAGAGGGCGTTTCTGAGGGGAACGTTACACGTCACAACAAGATTGTCTCCTTCTCTTAGGAAGTTAGGATGGGGGAGCTCCTTGACAACAAAAACGAGATCCGAAGGTGTGATGTTTGGTGCTTCATCTCCTAGCTCCTTAAACCGGATTTGTGTGCCCTCCGACCAGCCCTGTTTGACGATTATCTCAAGCATCTCCACCTTGGACTCTGACGACCCATCTGCCATCATTACGCGCCTAGTAACTTTGCGAAGCTTCGTGGCCCCGAAGTATAGTTCTTCAAGGGTTAGTTCCAGATCAACGAAAACATCCGGATCCTTACGCTTTTTCTGAGGCCTTGGCCGCCACTTGGTCTCGTTCATGGACGGAAACGTGCCAAAGTCAGTCATCCCCATATCAAATTCAGAGGCAAACGGATCCATGCTTCCAAAGACTTGCTCAAACAGCTTGAAGGCTTCATCTAGATTGGCAAACGGCATGCCAGAAAAGACAACCCGCGGCTGCCCTGACGCTGCCACGCTTCCATCTGGCCCGACCATCCTGATACCCTCTTCTCCAAAGCGGTCGTACACGGCGCGTTTCTCTGGATCCGATAGTATACGATATGCCTCTGAAATCTCTTTGAACCGAGCCTCTGCCTCCTGGCGATTGTCACGGTTTTTGTCGGGGTGCCAGCGCAGGGCTTGCTTACGGTATGCCCGCTTGATGGCGTCCGGGGCTGCCGTATGAGGGACTCCTAGCACCTCATAGAAACTCCTACCCATACTTTTTTGAAATTTTTTTGAAATTATGGAGGCGTGCTCTAATCCCAAAAGATAGGAATCAACACTTTGCGAGTTTACAACGGCTACGGGTTCTCTTTGAAAGAAGTGCTAACATGCTCTTCTGGATACCGAGTTAGGAGGTCAATCACAGGCCTTTGCTTGAATCTGATAGCATGAGACAGGGCGGTTCTTCCAGCATTATCAACGATTCCCTTTTCGTGTTCAGCTAAGATCTCTACTGCCGATATAAACCCCTTCTTCACAGCGATCATTAAGGCCGTCATCCCGGACTGGTTTTTCAGCTTGCACTCGTACCCGGCCAGAAGGGCTACCAGCTCTGCTGAGCCTCCTTCAGCAGCTAGCATAAGTGCTGACTTTCCGCTCTTATCGCGCTTCCCGGCTTCAACAGCCAGTAATTCCTTAGCGGCTGCCAGTTGGGCGTTCTTGGTCGCATACATTAGGGCTGTTCGCCCACAGTTGCATCTCTTGTTTGCTTCTAACGGCAAAAGTAGCCTCACTGCGTCCAAATTCCCACACTCTGCAGCAATCATCAATGCCGTCATCCCAGAAGCGTTCTTGGCTCCAAAGCCTTGGCTATTTTCTATAAGTTCCCTGAGACCCTCCTTATTGCCTCTACGAACAGACTGCATTAGCTGCGTTTCCCCAGTGAAGTGAGTAGGTCCGCTCTTAGTGAGTACACTCGAGCTGGCAAGGGGTCTGATATCTGTCAGCTCATGAGACGAGGACTTCTGAAGTTCTCTTATCTTGAGAATAGACAAAATGTGAGTCTGCCTGTCAAAACATGTCATCTGGAACAGCTCCTCAGCCGTAAGTCGCTCCAAAGGATCGAGCACAAGAAGATGCCCTATTATAAGGCGAAGATCAGGATCATAGATATCGCCAAGGGGGGCTTTCCAGTCCTTGGTAAAGACGTCCTCTGGGTTCCTCCCCGCAAGGAAGTCGGGCCTTTTTCCCGTGGTCAATTCGTAAATGATCACCCCAAGGCTCCACATATCAGCTGATGTGGCATACATCTTACTTATTAGTGCTTCTGGAGAAGAGTAGCATGGGGTAGCAACCGACGACATGCTGATGTTAGCAACGCCCTCAATACAGAGCCCAAAGTCTGCAATAGCAACCTCTGTCTCAGTACTATTGACGAGGATATTTGTTGGCTTCAGATCTCTGTGGATGATTGCGGGGAGTGGCTTACCCGTGCTGTCTGTCTTGTCTGGGCTATGGAGGTAGGCGAGACCCGATGCTAGCTGGTTGACAATGATAAAGATTTTCTCAGGGGACAAAGACTTATCAGAGCGAATAGCGGTTTTTATGAGTTGATCGAGCGACTTTGGATAGTATTTCATCACCACAAAGAAAAACTGATCTGTCTTCTCAATAGCCTCATATTTGACAATGTTGGGGTGCTCCATGCGTGGAAGAACCCGTGCTTCTATCTCCAGCGCGGTAAGAGCACTAGGCCGGAGGCCCCTGATGGGCGTCTCCTTTACCACCTTGTGTGGCGAACTTTTCAAAGAATATACTGTCCCGTAGCTTCCTTCTCCAACAGGCCGCCCTATGTCTCTCAATAAGCCATCCAATGAGCGCATCTCCGAGTCCTCGTGTTCTATGTCGCTCATTGGATTAACGGTTTAACATTTTTTAAAAATAAATGTTAGTAAATCTTTCTACAGAAGAGATTGCAAAAGGTTAGTACACCCTGCGAAAGGTCGGATAGTGGACTGTTTGCAGCCAGCGCTCCACGGGTTCAGTACCAAGCCACTGCTACCAAACGAGTTTTTATTAATTGATCACAAGGTCACTAGACCTGGAGTCACTGCATCTAGCAAAGTGCAGCCAGACTCACCACCTCCGGCTTCATCTGTGGGGGAGAAGGCACTGGGATAAAGGAATGAGTACTTTGCCAGATAGTACTTTGTCAAATGGCACAGTGGATATCTGCTATACACTGCAACACATTAAAGCAGCCTTTCCTTTGGATCGTGGCCTATATGCTTGTAGGCCTTCCCTGGCCTTGAAAGTGGGGCGGTTGGGACGAAAAGAATACTGTTACTGTGCGTCTTAGTATGAGGTTCTGTCAGTCTGTCTAGTACACTGGTTCCATTTCTTTTGATGTCAATCTTATACTGGGCCTTAATGGAAATGGCCTTCTCTTGCGTGGTAGATAATGATGGTTTAAAGGTGCATTCCTTCAGTGTTTCTTGCTCAGCCAGTCTTTGGAGGCGATCTAGTTTTGTTTTCTGTGCTGTTGGTGCATTAACTGTCAACCTTTGGATAACGTGGTCTTTGGTATCTAACTGTTTTGAGTAGCTAAGAATTGCAGGCTTAAAGGTACATTCCTCTGGGAGCTCTTCCTGAAGGCGCTTCTGCTCTAATTGGTTCCGTTCCATACGAGCGTGTTGTTCTAGTGCCTGCCTGTATAGCCGCTCTGAGGCAGAATTTGGCCGAGTGGACACCTTACATTTTGCAACCTGTTGTTCTGTGGTCTGCTCTGACAGTGCCTGCCGTTTCTTCATGGATGACACTCCAGAATTGTACAGTCTGGTAAACACCTCTGACCTGCAATGACCTGCAGAAGCTAGGCCCTTCCCAGTGGAATGCTGCTGCAGATGTGTACAAAAGCTGAGTGAATCGGTATGCTCATTGATCCGGGATAGTTGATGGGAGAAAGGACGAGAAAGACGAGTAGATGCCTCATTCATGCTTTCTACAGTGCGCTTCGGCTTTTCAACGGTGTGATCAGGGATCCGCTCCAAGGCCTCCTGGATGAACGCTGTCAGTGGCTTCACATAGGATTGGCTGATACACCGCTCCGCAACAAAGAGCCGCGCCAAAGCTTCAGGGTCGTCACCTTCTTCTATGTGTATAGTTCCCAGCGACCCGTCGGGGAGCTCTATCTCAATGTCCAGTTTCTTGGGCATTGCTGCCAGGGGAGCAAGCTGCAGTTGTAAAGGAAAAATTAAAAACCGCGCCAAATCCTGAATGTTTACTAGCAGAAGCAAGCGCGACTCCTGCTATATAGGTAAGTCGGATGTCCCTCCGCACCTCGGGCCGGGGTATTATAATACAGACACTAGCACACTCCGTCGCTCTGCGTATACTGGTCAAGCCCCCTTTCAGACAACAGCAGTTAATGACAACACGTTTGATCAAGAAGTTAAGCGAGGAGCGTTTGTACCTGCGCCTGGAGCTTATGACGCATACACTACTCCAGTATACATTAGAGGCGCAATCCAGGAACACAGCGCCTTTGCCAGCACAGTTCCTCGATTTAAAGATGTACAGAACGATGTCCCGGGTCCTTCTCAGTACACGAACATCCAGCCAAATCTATCAAAGGCTGGCCACACAGACAACATTAGGAGAAAGAAAATTCAGCTTCAAAAGTCTCTAAAAGCCAAGGCAGAGCATCGACACAATGCCGATCTTAGTGCAGCAGTGCAATCCATTCCTTACAAGGCAAGACTGCCAGAAAAGCCCATAGCAAGGACGGGGAGAGACGCATGGATAGTGGACACCGCTATGAGCATGGTTGAAAACCCCGGACCAGGGGCGTATATAGAGCGTGAGGACTTTGTTCCTGTAGCGCCGAGCGTATCAAAGAAAGGACACAATGCCTCCACTGCCCTTATTCCCGTCGGAGGTGCGTCTAGCTCCATTGCTAAACCAGGGTTTCTACCGAAAATGAAAAAGATGCGTTCATTCCCTTATGCAGGAACGAACTGGGTGCGAGCAAAGGGAAGGGAGCCACTTTTCGGTGGAGATCCAAGCATACAAGTGGGGCCAGGAGACTACGACACATCTATCAAGAACATATTGCAATCTGCAGATCTTACAAAGCCGTCACCTGCATTTGCAAGTGCAGTAGACAGATTTTCTATCAAGTATGACAAGGACATGCTCGAGATAGCCCCAAACACATACAAGGTGGAGGACGTTGGATCCATTTCACAGAGGCAGAATGAACTACGGCAACAGGCAGAATTAAGACAGGAAGTAAAGAAGTCTCTACAAAAGGCTATAAAGCTCTCTGAGAAGCTGCATCCGTCTGTGTCTGCGGTAGGGGATGGTGCTGGGGGCAACAAAGCGATGGCAGAGTTCCTGAGGGGTGTGAAGAATGCAGAGAAGTTGCCACCTTTTCTATCCATGGAGGAGAAGACTAGAGTAGCAAACCCCCCTGTCGGACAGTATAGTGTACCACCTTCCAAGTTCGACAAAATAGCGTCCCAGAACAACGTCACGGCATTTGCTGACAACGATATATCTATGCTTGCAGTTAACCGGCTTGCGCTCAGACAGACATTTGGGGTGCAGAAGTGGCCAGAAACAGCGAGTAGCATTCCAGAGAAGGTGATAGTGGACGGCGAAGCAGAGGAGATCGAGGAGAGACCGCCACCATACAGAATTGGTAATGTGGATAATCTCAGCGCAATAAGGGCTGGTGTGTCTAACGCGGCCAATGTGGCTAGCTTTTCGAAGGCAGTTGACAGAGATAAGGTGAGTGAAGTGTGTAAGCTGGGTCGGGACAGAGAGCACCTTGGTCCGGGGTCCTATAATGATACCCAGAGCTTCTCGGCGATATCAAAGAAGCATGATTTCTCAACGACGCTATCTGGTCCGTTTGCATCGACTGTTCCCCGGAATACCATCCACAAGGACGCAGAGCAGAGGCAGCGTGAGGAGACACTGGCAGCTGAAAACCAACAACGGTTTGCTGAAATCAACACTGAGAAGAGGTCAATGGGTGGTGCCGAGACCGCAGTCAGCTTTGCAAAGGCTCGTTATGATGGTGCAACCGACATGGAGGGTCGGCCCAAAAAGATGTACAACAATAGCGGTACAGACAGGAATACTTCGGAAATCATTATGGCTCAGTACGACATGTCGATTCCAGGGGTTGCTGTATACAATACAGCAACTGAAAGACGACAGAATGCTGCTAAGCTGTATACGCACGACAGAATTAAGAGTAGCACAACTCTCCCCGAGTCCTTGCGTCCTGAGATAGCAGGCCCATCGGCAACGAAAGCGGCGCGGGTGCTGCTCGAAGATCGGATGTGGACTGCACCCGGGCCAGGGTATTATTCTAATGAGAGTACGTTGGTAAAGAGGAGCTTCAACGTTTTAGCAGAAGATAATATGTAAATAGTCCGTTCAGTGAGGCCTGTAACGATGATGCAGTCTATAACTATCAGCTCAATGCCCTTTCAGCGGTCCCATCTTAGAGGAGCCTTCTTGAACGCTAGACCCCGGCCACATATTTAGGTCCATCTCGCCGTCCATCAACTGCTCAAACGCTGTCTTCCCTCTTCTGATAATAACTGGGGAGTCATTGGTCTGTGGCGTAGTAGGCATGGCGGAAGGCCGACGGTTACGTAGCAACTGCTGCTGCTGCTCTTCACAATCATCTATTATTGCACGAATAAGGCCCCTCTGGAGGAAATGCCCACCAGGAACTGTTTCCGCATCCAGTTCTTGGAATGTTCGTGCACGTATCCTGTGGTCTCTTCCAGAACGCTTGGCTGGACCTGTATAAGCATGAGAAGAAGAAGTCACGGAGGAACGGGTGTTGGACACCTGCTTAGATTTTGGTGGCGGTGCCACAGGAGAAGCTGGCTGCTGGGGCTTGTTAGATGGGAGGTCATAGTTTAGCGAAAAGAAGGATGTTATGGGTGTCGTGCATAACGGACATTTCCGGTCATGTAATAGATTGTTGCAAAGCTCACAGATGGAGAGATGTCTGCACGGAAGATACACAATCGATGGCAGAGAGTCTAGACAGATGGCACAGCTGCCTTCATCGAGATCGATTGCCAGAAGGTCGTCAAGTTCAAGAAGACAGTCAGATAACACAGTGTCAACATACGCCGACGAGCCAGTGAGATTCTCCATAATCAAGGCGCAAAACCTATCAAAGAACGAGAGAAGCGCAGGCATCTCTGCATGTATTTTCCGATATGCAATTACAGTTCGCCGCTTTATCTTCTTGACATCAATAGCACCTCCCGTGATAATAAAGTAGTGCTTCAATGTATTGAGTATGGGAGTGTAATGTGGTATGTTTCCGTAAGTCAATGCTGTTGCACCCTGCTTGGTTGTAAGAGAGCTCTCGCTAGCCAACAGTAATGTAACTATTTCCACATTGTTCTTATCACCTGCTATCATGAGAGCAGTGACTCCTTGCTTATCTTGTTGGCCAGCTTCATAGGTTGCAAGCAGCTTGGCACACTCCATGTTCCCCGCATTCGCAGCATACATAAGAGCCGTGCGCCCGCGTTTATCTTGACGGTTTGTCTCTGCTTTGAGGAGGCACTCGACTGATTGTGTACACCCTGCACGAGCCGCACGCATCAGGGATGTCGTGCCATTTTTGTCGCAGAGCCCTGCCTCCTTGCTCTTCAAAAGCTGAACAACTAAATAGTTCTTCTCTCTACAAGCAAACGCTAAGGCTGTCCACCCATTTCGTGTTTGCAGCCCCGCCTCTTTCTCCAGAAGTAGTCTGCATGTCGCCAAGTCACCGCCTTGTGCAGCAACCATGAGAGCAGAGACCCCTTCCACGGTCTGAACGCGTGCCTCCTTCTGGAGGAGAAGCCGCACAATGTCAGAATGCCCGCACAACGCGGCTGACATGAGTGCTGTGCCATGGGATCGGTCTGTCAATGTGGACTCGTGGGGAATTAGCTCTTGCACACATGCTAGATGACCTCCTCGTGCTGCTAGCATCAGTGCTGTGACACCGTTACCATCTTGCATCCGGGCTTCGTGGCCGAGCAAGCCCTTAACTATTTGTAAATGCCCTCTTTCGGCGGCGAACATTAGGGCTGTGCAGCCCATATTGTCTGTGCACCCCGCTTGCAGGGGAAGCAGGAGCTTACAGGCTGCATCATTACCGAGAAAGGCTGCGTGCATTAAAGCTGTTTGGCCTTCTGCATCTCGCTGTACTCCGCTTTTGTTAATCAGCGTTTTTAAAGTGACCAGGTCGTTGTGCCGGATGGCTTCCAAAATGCCGGCAAACGATGGACGATTAGCGATCGGATTGGCCTTTTTCATTATTCATTAAAAGCTTTTGACACTGAAGCCACGGCTCTCATGGAGCAGCCCAGCTTTTCCTCTGGGCAGATTATTGGCATTGAATGCTACCACTTTAGAGGTGTTGGACACGCCAGAGTATACGCCCTCCCTACCGTCAACTATTTTGTCGCCCCTAATGGCTTTGGTAAGACCACGCTCCTCTATGCGGTGGCGCTTTGTCTAGGATCGCGGCATCCAGATCTGTGCGATACAGACTCATTGATACAAGAGCATCAGTTATTTTCATGTGCTTTGGTGACCATCTGCAATGTTAGCAAGCTATCAGTGCCAGACGCCCACAATCTGTTTACCAAAGTTACCGACGTGTTTTGCCACAAGACACACAATTATGTACTGAGTAGATTGACGCATGAATCTATTTATACTGTACACGTACTATTGAAAAGAGGCAAGCACGTGCAATTCTACGCAAATGGGAGGGCAATTACGCAAGATAAGCTATGCAGAGACATAAGAAAGAACTTTGAAATCCAGGTAGACAACCCTTTCCAATCGATGATGCAATCTGATGCTCAGAGACTAACTCTGATGACACCCAGCGAGCGATTAATTAAGTTCCTTGATCTTATTTTCCCCGATCTGACCAATACACTGGAAAGCCTTCAGCCACAGGCCATGTCCTTAATGAGTTTCTGCCGAGCCGCACGCGAAACCTTTGAGACCTCCTACATTAGTAAGCACGACGACTTTCTAAAAATGGTACAGAATGCAATGAAGATTATAGAGCTAGGATCCTTGAAGCAAACCGTCAATTTAGGCCGGCAGGCTTTGTTAGTGTTAGAATTTCTAGAAGTCAACACAGAGCGAACCAAGACACTGCATGAATACAAGAAACTAGTGAGCGACATGCAATCAAAGGAAGAGCCACTAATTACCCTGAAGAGAGACATTGAGAAGACCCAGCTTGAAGTACAACGGGTAACAGAAGAGATGGAGAGGAGGTTTACTGTCATGAAAAGTTCCATAGTTTCGCTAGAGCGGTTATCTCGAACTATTACAGCAAATTCAAAGCGGCTTCTTGACCTCCAATCAGCATATGAAGCAGCTATCACCCAAAAACAAAGCCAATCTGATGAGGATCACCTCGCTCTACAACAGCGAATCAATTCGCTGAATGACCAGATTCACGAGTATGAAACCTCCATCAGCGAACTCGAAGCAAAGAGGTCAGAGGCGTCAGTAGCACTATGCAACATGAACTTTGAAGCATCATCACTATATGCGTCGACCGAATATAAGGATGCGATGGTCAGACATCAGCAGATAGAAGATGAACGAGAACAGCGAGAGCAGCTGGTGCTTCAATGTAGGAGTCTGCCCCATTATAGCTGGCTTGCAGATATCTACCAGGCCTCTCTTGAGTTAGAGCTTGATAGCTCAATGCGATATTTTTTATTTGTTCCCATAGCAAAGTGGATAGGCATAAAATCGGATACGCCAATTCCTTTTAATATTGTTAAGTTCATGCTTCAATCCGCCCTCGGCCAATCCTTGTATACTGTACTAACCAACTCAATAGAACACCAATCAAACCTTAGTAGGAGATTTGATCAGTACAGGGATAGAGGCGGCGCAACCACCATCGAGCTCCTTCAAGATTATCTCGAGATGGATTACCAAGAAGCATACAATCGCGCTAATCGAGAGCTGGAAAACCAATATGCTTCACTAAAGACTAAGACCATCAACACGGCGGGTATTAGAACTCTTTCGGCGTCGGGGTCCTCAGTACAAGCATCCGCCATGGCTAACATCGCGTTTCTAATAGATTGCCTAGATGGAAACCCCATCGTACTGAATCACTTTTTCCAGAAGCTAAGTGTCGCAGTGTATGTCCAATCTTCATCAGGGTCCAAGCTAACAAATGCTGAGATCATCCGATTCATGGAGTCTAATGTGGGCACCTTCAACATCTTATGTCATGATGGAATGCTGCATATCGGGACGTCTAATAACCAGAGGCAGCTCCTGGCCCGCACGTCGTACGGTCTTGACCCTACTAGGGCATATGCTGAATGTGTTCAAGGCTATGCAGAACAAATGAGATATCCACGGTTTATGCACAAGATTCTAGAAGACAAGAGAGCCGTTGAAAAGGAGGTCAAAGAGCTGCAGGACTCGTACAGCGATAGCATTCAGGCAGCGAGATCACGCATGGAGGAGCTTAAGTTATTTATGAACCAAAGCAGAGTCAAGCTAACTGAGACTAATCAATTGCTGCGTGAGTGTCGCTCGGAGCTCAACACCCTAGATGCCAGGATGAAAACTTATAAAGTCGTCACAGAACAAGACATCCTTGCCGCCGAAAATGCATACACAGATATGTCCAACTTACTGAGCACGTCGGCCATTTCTGCACTGGCCCAGAGTAAAGCAAGGCTCGCTGATATTCAAGTTCTTATACCTCTTGCCACACAGGTCAAAGACCTCCACAAAAGGGGGAATGATCTTAATATCAGTTTGACATCTGCGCAAGATGAGCATCAATTAGCACAAAAGCGGGCCAGTGTCTTTAGAGAGAATACGTTAGGCAATATCGAGGACGTATTTAGGGTCAGAAAGAGCCGCATACTATCAATCCTAAAGGTACTCTGTCCAGACATGGCACCTGACCCTCCCCTTGAAAGTCCTTGCGACTCTTCGTCGCTGGAAACAACAGTTCCATATCTTTTAACACACAGAGAATTTGCCAAAGAGTTGACAAAGCACGTTGCGTCTGCAAAGCTACAGGCTTCGGCAATGGACCTTACCAGCCCATATACCGTGGATTTAACATGTTTCAAAGCCTTTGTCAATAATCTGGAGAACAGGTTTAAGTTGCAGCAATCCAAGCAAGACCAATCGATCAAAGATACCTTTCTAACGGAAAAGAAAAAGTTTTGCGACTTTCTAAGTGACAGGTTTGCGTCAAATGCGTATATACTTGTCCACCTTTTCCGTTTGCTTGAGGTGATCCGCACAGTTCAAGATAGCGTAGCTGAGGTGATAGCAGAGGTGAGCAAACGATTTGGAGATAACATAAGGGAGTTCGGAATCTCCGGAGAGGCAGTACTCACGGGTCTTTTTACCTCAGACAGAAGGAGAAATGCATCCGTAGTCTCACCAGAGTTTGACGCAGCACATGCGCTTCTTAAGGAGTACGATGGGGACCATCGACGCTGCTTTGAAATGGATAAGTTCACCGCCTTCCTGATAGAGAATCCTTCCTTAAAAGCAGTATCCATTTCATCTACTAGTAATACATTAGAAATAGATTCATATACTGCACTAGTGTTGAATGGCCAGAAAACCGGGGACGAGGGCAACGACTCAGAAAGCAGCACAGCAGCGTCAGAAAATTCTATTGCTAACACTGAGCCAGCGGAGCCTAGCGCTAAGAGGACGGCCAGCTACGTTCAGCGAAAAGCTAGTGAAGATGGCTCTATTCTTATGTTAAAGCTGGAGCCTTTTCTCGACAAGTTGAAGCAAGCATCATACCTTGACCTCGATGTATCCGACGAGTCTTCCGACAGTGATACACACCATCACAAGCAAGATACCCGAGCGAGTCGAGCGAGCGATGCATCAGTAGATATGTTCTCAAGGAAGTATCAAAAGAGCAAGCACATTTTATCTGCCAGAGTATCTTTGTCTACCTTCTTGACAAACGAAGTCCAGGAGAGCCAGCTCATTGCCCTGTCAAAGGCATTCAAACCCGTAGTCAAGGAGCCCCAAATCCAAGCCATAGTACCGCTTATGACTTCCCTAAAGCCAGGCCTAGAGCTCAGGACGCAGTTCGTTGCCAACGAAACACTAACAGGCATCACTCTTTCTGGCGGAGAGAGCTCGGTGGTAGCTCTCTGTCTTGTCAATTCACTATATGGCCAGAAGGCACTGAGCTCCATCAGGTTCAGGCTCGTAGATGAGATAAACCAGGGCCTCGACGATAAGTTCGAGAAGGTAGCTCACGACATGCTTTGTTCGCTTCACAATGATCAAATCCAGTACTTCGTAGGCTCTCCAAAGCTCCCATCTTATCTCACATTCGAAGACCCGCGAATACGCGTGCACATCATAATCCGCCGGCCGCTCCTGGCGGGGTCACCAGGTTCTGCTGGCACAGCATATGAGCGTAATGGAGACGCTACACTAGAAACTCTCTGCACTGAGGAGCTCTATTAGCAGACTTGCGACGAGCGTCACACGAGGGTTGCATTCACCGTTCCCTTTATGATATTATCAATTTCTTCAAATGACTCATTAGGCGCACCCCTCTTTATCAAATCTATCAACATTATGACCTCCTCAATAGAGATAATGTCAGTAAGATAAACTAGGTAGTTACAATTGGCATATACCTCACTCAGCTTCTGTGACTTATGGATAGAGATATAGCTGGCGACGTCGTGCAGAGTCGGTGGGCAGGGACTCCCCAGGCTCGGAAAGTCTGATGAGCATATCTTGGTCTTCATCGTGGTGATGATATCCTTGTGTGTCGTGACAGCCACGGGAACAAGAAAACATACAGCATCCACCAACTCAGATGCCTTAAGTTCAAAGATCTGCTTTTCACTGAAGCGAACAAAGTTGCCAGGGTCCTCCACCTTGTTTTCGACGAGGATGTTGTTACGCGCGAGGTTCACAAGCTGTCGCGATGCTGCAAAAGCGTCGAGAACTAACTCTTTGCGGGTCTTGTCGATACAGCCGCGCAAGTTTGTCATAAACTTGGCGTGCTCAGCGCCACGGGCCTCTAACTTTGCCGTCCGCACAGCAAGCGAGCCTATCTCGGCTCCAGACAGGATAAAGCCGCGATCGTTAAAATGGGTGAAGGTGTGGCCCATGTTTATTAAGCCAAATGCATTGGCAATTTTCTCAGCCGCTTTATTCTTTGCTTTGCTGCACGGGTCCGACAGTACAACGACGGTCCCAGCTATGCACTCCTGAGGTGGGATGTAGATCCACTCTATGAACACGTTAGCCTCGAGCCTGTTAGCCTCCGAAAGGTATTCATAGCGGCCGTACATGACTCCGTAAAAGTTCCGGTTATACATTGATTCCTCCACCAGCTTGCGCACCTCCATCATCTGCGTTTCCGACACAGAAAGGCACGCAACCAGCGCCTTTTTCTGGCGCTCAATATTCAGCTGGAACTTGGTTATGTTATCTTTAAGGTGCTGGATATTATTCACGCTCTGATAGCTTTGTAGGCCCTTTCGAGGACTGTGCGTCCCCGACTTCGAATCCGGAGATGTAGACCACGGATCGAAGGCTGCCGCTGCCGCATCCATAGCGTCAGTTTCGCTGGCCCTGATGTGCTCATTCATCTGGAGGTCCTCGCGAGTCTTCCCTATGTACTTGAGAAACGCATCCTCCCACTCCATGTAGCAGCGTGTGCATCGCATGGTAGAGTCGTGTGTACAGTGCTTCCCTTTTGTTGGGGGACGAGGGAGATCCTTAAGAGACATGATGTTGCGGAACAAGGCCTCCGGGCTTACGCTATCACTGTCACTGTCACTATCGCTCCCCAAATCTCGCTCCATCTTCAAATATAAAAGGGCGCCATGCTGCAGAGATGAGTGCTTAGATAATAGGTCTGCTGAATGGATGTCGTGGGAATAAACCAGGTTAGTATACTTGACGTCAAAGTACAGAGCGTTTGCAACGTCCTTCAAGGACAGCGAAAGCATATTGCTGATCTCGCGGAAGAGGTCTTTCACAGTAGCAGTGCTCTCCATATTTGCCCTTATTTGGCCCTCGGGAGTTTGAATGCGGATTACAACCATGGTCCTGCCACCCTTTTAATTTTTAAATTCTCAGATCAATTCCCAGCTCAGTTTCCAACTCAGCTGTCTTGTGGCAGTTTCTGGCGACATCTTATCCTTAGTACACATTTACTTTACCTTATAAGCAATAGCCGGTTTAGAAATTTTAGAATTAGTTGGCATCTGGCCCCTTGCATTCGTCTTAAGTATTAGGGTTCTTTGGTTACGTTTGACTTTTAATAAGTTAAGCTCGCAAAACCTCCCGCTTATGTAAAACCAAACAACTGGCTTCTTAGGGCTGAGACAGGCTGCAGGCGGAAGCCCCTCAATGTAGACCTTTTCATTGCGATAGACCGTGCTACATTCTTTGTTTGAGGTCAGTATGTACTGCCCATATGTGCTTATCGGAGTGCTCAGTTTCAAATTTTTTCCTGTTGATGAGATTGTGAAGCGATACTCTCCGCCTGCATGCCCTAGTCCGAAGCGTTGGGGATAAGCAGTCGTTTTTACAAACTCTGTTTCGTATGTAATTAGGTCCATAATATACATTTCGTAATTGGGCATGACAATATATAGGCGTGTTTGATCGGTTTCGAAATAGCTTCCCAGCACAACCGATCCACGGAGGCGCTGACTCACCACCCTATCAAGGGAGTACGGAGCCGTAAAAGTGTTTCCGTGCACGCTCTTGTTTATGCGATATATGTTAACGGTGAACTCGGGCTCTATGCTCTTATTAGGGGTCAGCTGGTCCACAGGAGTTCTGACCTCCTCTCTGTCAAGGAAGGAAAGGGTTGCACTTTGGGAAAGAAGGGGACTCTGATTAATCGATAGGGGGACAGTAGACACCAGCCTGTGCTGGTCACTCAGCGATGATACCTCTCCTTTGGACGAGGTCCCGTCCATTGAGGTAGCAACGGGGCTGCCACCTTGCTTACGGGTAGACAGCTTACTATCAAGTGTGTTTCTACACGAGAGCATGTAGTCACGGTCTCTAGCAAGACTCATAGAAGTATAATTCTTTAAGTGTTCAGAGCTCTCCGAATCATCGGAGTCATCGTTCAGCTCCACGCTGGTAAGATCTCCCGCGGTGTTACTGATAACATTCAGTTGGCTAAGGCTTCTGCTTAAGAACCCTGGATCGACATCTTTCTCAGGAATCTGCGCGGTGTCCAGGTCAGAGTCTCTTAGGTCCCCGATAGCCCCATCGTCCATGTTGTCACCGTGATCTGCGAACGTCTTGACCTCGGACTCAGGGTCATTGGCTTGTATATCATGGTCGCTTGTTGCCCGGCTAAGACATGTCTTTGAAGAAGCTTTCCCCGAAGACTTGGCCCTCTTTGCTGGTGGAAGCTTGGTGTAAATGATCGCTATGTAGTCCTGCATCAGTGCAGTGCTGAGCACAAGGTGATCTTGGAACTCATGGAAGATGAGGAGGCGCGGAATGGCCCAGTCACGGAGATAAAGTGACTGGCTCAGCGGGTCAATGGCGCACCACAGCTGCGAGTCGTGAGAAAATGACGAAAGGGCCTGGCGGCGCTCAAACGTGTTGATAACTGTTCCCGTGTTCAGGTTTACCACATTATGGGAGCCGCTAAGCGTTTGCCCGATGATCACACGATCCATGTGCGTTGGAAATAAGGTTGTGTAATAGTTAATGAAATCGTTCCGTCTATCAATGACCATGGATTCGCAAAGCATTTTGACCGCATCTGTCTCCAGCAGTTCTACCAGTGAGAATACATTTGCGTCATCGGAAGCCAATCTGCCGGTTTTTAAGGGAGATTCCATTTTGTAATCTAGAATTTTTCCGCAGTCATTGCTTGAATGTCAGTGCTCGTCGGTCCTTCCACTGCCCGTCCGGTAGCTAGAGTACAGAATATTGATGGCAAGACAGTCAGCCAGTCGCGTCTATTGCTCGAGGATTGCCATCCTGGTAGATTTGGTCTAAGTGTTTTGTATTAATTTCACTTTTAGCAGTAATTTTACACAAATGCTTGGTCCGCGATGGAATTAATTCAATGAGGCCTGTCGCGACGTCCATCCTCCACCGGGCAAAGTGGCGGCCCGACCCGTCACTCAAGCTCCAGAACGGAGACATACATTCTGGGCTCGTCAGTCTGGAGACAATTTCCCATAAGGAGCTTTTTCAGCAGAACCTCTTCGATAAGGCCAAGAGCTCCCCGCAGAAGGCATCTTCTGCAGAGAGCAGTGAGGATTCAAATGCTTTTCAGAGTTTTCCTGAGGATGAGCTGAATGTTATGGCTGATCACAGTTACAAGCAGGAGTTTGTTGATGAAATATGCTCTCTTGCCGACGTTGAGGGCATAGATGAATGGGTTAGACTGGGCCTTCATCCTGTTCTCTGTAAGTATTTGGTGCGAGCAGGATATACCAAGCCCCGCGCCATTCAGACTCAGACAATAAGGGCTGCCCTCCATAACAAGTCCCTTGTCATCGCCGCTGAAACAGGTTCTGGGAAGACCCTTGCATATCTGCTCCCAGCACTTCACAAGGCATTTACCCTGGTGACCAATGCCCTCAAGCGCCCAGACCAGGCCCAGAGGCGAGCCTTGCAGACCCTTATCATTGCACCGACACGCGAGCTGGCCACGCAGATCAATACTGTGATGACAACAATATTTGGGGACATCCAGAAGTGTTTTCGCATAATGTACACCATTGTGGGCGGGATCTCTCCCCAGAAGCAGGAGCGCTTCATACGGGAGCGGCCCCTCATACTAGTGGGCACCCCGGGCCGTTTGTATGACATTTCAAGGTCTAATGCGTTCTTCGCCGACACCAGCTTGATAGACAGACTGGTCATAGATGAGTCAGATAAGATGCTTCAGAAGGGCCGGTTTCATGAGCTCATAGACTTGTGTAGCTCTCTCACAAGCACCGTGGTCGATGGTTGTACAGCAAAAGTCACAATCAGCTCAGCAACTATGAGCCTTCCATCGCTGCTCAGAGAGCGGAATATAAAGTTTTCAGAGCCCGATGAGGAGACAGGGCAGCCATCTAATCAAGGAAGAACATGGAAGGAGAAGAAGTGGGGTTCTCGCAAGGACAACAAATTCGACAGAGCTATTCGCTCATCGAAGAAGGCGCTCGTGCTCGAAATAGCTGATAACGCATCAGTAACCGAAAGCCAGCGGCAGATATACATGTCGTGGTTGAAGGTTCTTAGCAATCTAGGCTTTTCGGGCAGCAAATTGGTCATTGTTGACATATCTCCAGATTGTATCGTTAATAAGGCTGTTTTTGAACTGTGGAATCACGTGTTTGATGAGGCGGAGAAAAGCGTATTAATGGCGTATCTCGTGATCCGATATCGTTACCCCACGATCATCTTTGTAAAGACTATTGATCAGGCTAAGAACTTCACGACCATATTCCAGCTCCTTGGCATCTCCGCGTGGTGTGTACATGCGTCGATGCCTCAGCGTCAGAGATATAAGAATGTGGACAGACTCCGTGACCGTGATGATACCGTTCTAATCACTACAGATGTGTGCGCCCGAGGCCTTGACATTCCCCATGTATCGCTTGTTATTCAGCATTCGGCCCCGGACTCCACCTCCAGTCATATCCACCGGGTTGGTCGTGCAGCACGGGTGGAATCGGGCGCTGACCAGAAGCATGTGGGAATGGCAGTCTCTCTGATTTCTCCAGCTGACAACAGTCGCTTTGTCCAAATCGCATCTGTGTGTGGCTACACCCAGAAGACAATGCCTCCAGCTATTGACATCCAGAGTGACATTCTAAAAAGCATCAAGCACATCTGGCTTGCGGCCTCTAAGGCGGCAGACGCTCTTGTCGAAAACCAGAGCTTTATGAGGAGACAGTCGTACAAGCGTCGCGACGAGAAGAACTTTAATAGTTCCTCGGATGAGTCAGATGGGGACTTTCGAGAATTTACAAATAACCCTGAAGCACAGGCCGTCTCTCAAGAGCTCTCTGAGCAAATAAAGATCTCTAGGGCCCGGTTAGAGTCTCTGCTTTCAAAGCCTCTCAAACCCTTATCGAAGCTGAGAAGACCACCAATGCACTTGGTCGGAGCAGCCACCAAGGTAAAGGAAGACGTTGCCGATCTACTAACAGAGCATCCACGAGAGCTGAAGTTAGGAGGATCTTCAGGCATTTCTTTAGACAGAAGTGAAAAGCGGGCTGTCTCATCTAAGGTTTCTTCTCAGGACATACCGAAGAAAACGAGTGGCGTCGTGAGTAACGTTGCAAGGACAAATAAGAGCACAAAAGGATCCAACAGCAGGAGGGCAATAAAACTATAGGCACTTAATTTGGATTGTCTCTTTCATCTCAGCGAGCTTGTGAAGATCCAGCTCGTAGAAGACTCCGTTGAGGTAGAACCACACAAAGGCAGAGTCTGGCGACACACAGGTCGCTGGTGGGAATCCCTCAATGATAGGCTCTCCATTTTTGTATAAAGTGGACGACTCGCGGTTTGAACTTACCACGTATGTGCCATAGCAGCTTATGGGCACTGAAAGTTTCATGGCTTGTGTGCGCCTTCCAGCCACAGGGACACGGATGCTGTACTCCTTGCCGTATCCTGCGGACAAAACTTCCCAAGGGTATCCATCGGTCGTCTCGCGATACAGTTCGTTTGTTGTGGTGTCGAGAGTAATTAGCTCGTCACTCTGCAGTGCAATGTAGAGCTGTGAGCTGTCTGCATGGTCGAACGCCGTCGATATAATGCCAGATGCAGCGAAGTCTAAGTGTGATTGGCGCACTAGTTCACACTTAGAGACCACCTGCCCGGCATACTTGGTGTGTGCATCTTTACTTTCTAGCTTCCTAAACCGATATATACTGATCGTGAAATTGAGGAGACCTGACTCTGTACTCTTTTCAACACCCGGCCGATTGACCAAATCAGGCAGCCCCTTGCGGGCCCCTTCCTTTGTCAGAGCGTACGCAACGTCGACGCTCGCAATGTGGCCGGTGAAGTTGGCCAGTGACTGGCCATCGCTAGTGAAGGAGCCAGCAACTGAGCTTGTTTCAACGTTGTCTAAGGAGGTAGCTGCATCAGGAAGCGCATGGATTTGCTCAGCGGAGATTCCATCCTTGCCGCGGTGCTTTCTATTGTACGGCACGCTGACGATAGCCACATAGTCCTTGGACAAAGCTATCGAGACAGGAACTCTGTCAGTGAATTCTTGGTATATTAGTAGCTTGGGGGCCTCCCAGTCGCGGATGAAGATGGCATTTTTCGCCGGGTCGATGCTGCACCAAAGCTTGGTGTTGGTGTTTGTGGCAGCAAGGAATTCTTTGCGGCCAAACGTATTGTGGATCTTTCGGGCCTTCATGTCGATGACGTAGTGAGACCCGTCGACAGATCTTGCGATGACTGTATGGGGAGCTCCAGCCGGATACAACGCCGAGAAAAAATGGATAAATTGATTCTCATTGCTTGAGAGGATAAAGCGAGCGATGCGAGTCACCGCCGGAGAGGCAATAATGTTGAAGAGAGAAGCAGACGAGCGGGACATTTGAAAAAACTCCGGAGGTAATTTTTAATTGCACTAATGGCGTACTCTTTCAACAACCTTTTAACAGATATTCACACGGCTGGAAAGATACATTGTGCCAGTGGAGACATATATACGATAGCACACAATCGCATTCGCTCAATCAACCCCTTTTCCAAAACATCCATCACACTTCCATACGAGGCCAGATACAAGCTCAAGCGGTTCACCATCACGGCCAATGAGCGCTTTATCTTTGCTGTTGATAACCGTAACAACGGATCACTTATTTCCGTTGAGTCTGGCTTGAGTTTGTGCCGTATGGCCTTCGGGTATCCAGTTGAGGCTCTTTGCTTCAATTCTGATGGATCCATTCTAGCTGTATCATCGTCTAGGTCAATTCATGTGTGGGCAACCCCGCTGATGAATCTACGCTCTGGAGTGACTACACTCAGCTCCTCCAAATTCGAGCTAATAACTACCGTGCCATGTGGCATGCGCGTGATGTCTATGCGCTTCACACCTGATGAGCTATTTCTAGTAGTGGCTGGAAACTCCAATAACGTTAAGTGCTACTCGGTGCTCGACCCCACCCATCCTCTTCGCCTAGTACTGAACTACAGCACAGCTCACCTGGGTGGCCACAGTGGAGGGTCCTCTGATGCCTACTGCATCCAGGCAGTGACGGAGGATGCAGCCCAGCGTGGATCCTTGCTTGACATTCGCTCGTTTATAAAGAACCCACAGATGAGTCTGTATGAGTTTATGAAGTTGCAGGTGACAGGGATTGAGTTAGATAGTGAGGACCCTACTCAAACAGAGTTCTCGGAGGGAACAACGTCGCGCATTGCAGACATGATTGATACCTACGTGAACTTGGAGCACGTCGACCTAGAGAGGGCTGCAAAGGGCACCTTGCCTTCATATAGTATAGTGACAGTTTCGAGAAAGGGCTTTCTAAATGTGTGGGCCCCAGGAGCTGGCCACGAAGATGAGGAACATGAGCAAGAATCGAGCGAGGAATCAGGAGCGCCGGAGGCCACAAGTGCCTGGGCCTGGCATCTAATTGAGAAAAGGGACATCCTCAGAGACACGCGGCTTTTATATGACAAGGAGCAGGAGCGGTCCGATACGGATGAAAAGGACGATGAAAGCAAGACTGAGGATGCCAAGAACTTTATCATAGATCATGATGGGAATAAGATATCTATTGATAATCTGGAGACAACAAAGCTACTCGAGAATCCGGTGATTGATTACAATCTCGAACCAGAAAAAGTATACACTGGGTATGATAGAAAGAGAGCAGAGGAGCAGGCATCAGCAATCATCCTATCAGCAGGATTTGAGATAGGAAACAATGACGACCCCCAATCCATTGCACCATCTGCTGGGACTATCGTAGTGGGCTTTGCAGATGGCCACTATAGCCTATATGCATTTGATACCTTGTATTTTAAGCTTGCTATTGAGCGAGAGTCTCTATCGGTGGAGGACGTTCTGCTCTGGAACGAACAGTGCTCGAAGTCAAGCTCCCGTATCTCTCACTTCAAGCACATTCATAATCTCAAAGCCTGCACATACCCTATCACTTCAGCATGTATCTACAAAAACTACTTAATGTTGGCTTGCAGCCACGATCACTCGCTGTGCGTGTTCGATTATCTGGCCGAGACGTTTGTCATCCAGGAGGTACCGCCCCCTCAAACGACCTGTGCAGATGTTTCCGAAAATGGTGAATTTTATGCCATAGGGTGTGTCAATGGAGCCGTGCACGTATATGACCTTGCTTCTGGCTTCTCATATGCTGTTGTAACAAATCACTTAGCGGCTGTGACAAAGGTGCGATTCAGTAAGACAAGCCGCGTGCTGATCTCTGCAGGCGCCGACGGTTTGGTCTTTGCATTTGACTTAACCAAGAAAGTGACATTCCGGAAACTTTCTATTAATACAAGGATAATTGCAAACGATCTGAATGCGCTAACCAATTCAATTAGCCGCGGAATCATTAGGTCTTTCTCTGCCCTGGCGGTAGAGCCTTCCGGGGACATAATAGCAGTGGGATGCTCGGATGGAGACTTTGAGATATATCTATTCCAGCTCCGCACATCTAAGCTCTTGGAAGTTCTGTCTGGCCACACAGGTCCCATAACGTCTCTCAGCTTTTCACCCTTGGGGACAGGAGAGCTTGCAAGCAGTAGCTGGGATGGAACAACGCGTGTATGGAGCACCTTCTCACCGAGTATCCCGTGTGAGATCTTACCCGAGGGTGTGGAGGTGTTGCAAGTCGACTTCACCCCCGACGGGTTGCAGCTCTTGACCTCGACAAGTAACGGAAGGATCACCATATGGAGCGTGGAAGGTGGAGAGCAAACGGGAGTATTTAACGTTGGGAGAGACATACTTGGTGGGTTCAAAGACGATGAACATAGACACTATATGTCAAGCTCTTATGGGAAAGCGTGCAAGAACTTCTGCATCGTGGGTGACTTCCTTATTTGCGCTGGAGACTCCAAGTACATAATCGTGTATTTATACAAGACATGGCCATACACACTTGTGGGAAAGTATCAGATCACCATCGATAAGGGCATAGCTGGTGTTAGAAAGAGAGACATTCTGGATAAGAATACACGTGAGATACTTGACAAGCATATTTCAGACTCCAGTGATGACGAGGCCGGCATGGCCGTCCGCAGCCTTGTGCAATTGACAAAGATACGGGACCGTGAGTCACGGAGAGTCGTTGACTCGCTTCAGGAGGTCACTGGAAAGCGGCTGGAGGCACGAGTGATTGACCTCTGTGTCTCTCCGGATGGAATGCGCTTCTTGGCCCTTACGCCCTTTGGAGCATTGGAGTACACTAGGGAGACTACCAAGTACAACAGGTATATAGACATAGCTGATCTAGGAATTGAGGTGACAGTGGCTACTTCAGCAGGGATCATTTTAGATTGCTACGAGAGAGAGCACGCAAACAGTATCGTGTCCGGCTCTCTTAGAATGGAGAAATTTGATCATAACAACATACCGTGTCTGGCCCATGGGCTTCAGATTGCCATGATTTTGCACAACAAGGAGTTGTTTGAGCTTTACATAACAACCATCTATAAAGCGTCTAAATTAAAAGCCGACATTGAGAGGATCATTTTACACACAATACAGCTTTTAAATTCCAAGCACTATCGGAAATTCATAACAATGTTGGCACAGTTTGTTCGAGAAACTCCATATATTAGCGCTGGCATGGAATGGGCGCAGACCTTTCTGCTCCACACGGTTCCTCTTTTGGAGCAGACGATCAAGAGAGACGCTGGGCTGCGGAATGACCTGAAGCTCCTATCAAAATCTGTCATAAGCCGTTCAGAAGGGCTTGTAAAGTCACTGGGCGAGGCTGTCACAATATTCCAGGGCACAAGCTATATTGGGCAATACGATAGAGACTGTGAGGTCGAAGTCGCCCAAGTCCGCGGCAACGAGCTTCTCCGCCTAGAAAGGGAGTCCGTGCTGGCTCATCGGAAACGCGAAGCTGACGCTGCCGAGGCCGCTCGACGAAGGCACAGATACCAGTTTTGAATAAATAAACCTCCTGTGCTCTTTGCTGAGATGGCAACACTGGTCATCGGGGGCCTGCTGTGGCCTCTTCTTGGAGGCGGGGTCGAGCAGGAGGAAGTCCACAATTGTTGGTCTCCCTTCAGTGAAGTTATCTATGACATCCCAACAGCCAGTATTAGTGTTACAATTACCCCCACCATGCTCATTGCTTGTAAGGTATTCACAGACTCTGTGTCTATGCACTTGAATATTTCTAAGTTCAATGAGACGATCATTGCCTCCGTAAGTGCTTTCAATTATTCCATGGACCAGACAATCACCTTTGCATGTCCACAGACCGACGATGTCGTCCTAAAGCGCTGCATGGAGGCATTCTTCACATCTGAGTATGCATCACTCTGCATTCAAACCGTTCGCTACAGAGCCAACGTCAACTTTGCATCCATATCAGGTAACAGAGAGCATCTAACAAAGTGCTTCTCAGAGACACAATCCTTAGCCACATTTGACTACACAACGGGATCGGGGAATCTCAAGCTCGTTGAGACAGGCCTCTGTGATAATCCAGCTAAACCAGAAGTAGTGTCTGGCACACTGGCTGTGAAAAATGCTGCCGGAAACTTCATTCTAACGACCTCCTTCAATATAAAGCAGCCACCTATTCAGCCCGCAGATCTAACCTTCCCGTTGACGACCATTTCATCTGATCAGCTCACCACGCTCCTCTTGGCAGTTAAAGATCCCTGGGTAAGCGTTCAACTAAACTACACCATTAAGGTAGGTACAGCGAAGGATAAAACAGTGGAAATTCCCTTATCAATGGAGCTTCTTAGTCTTTATAGCTCAGCCAAGGCTTCCTGTACTAGGTCTATCGCGGCATCAATCTACGGAGATAGAATACGTATGCTTGTTGAGGGAGCAAACAACCCTAGCAACCAAGATTGCCAAGTGTTGGCCAACGGGCAACGTGCCTTCAATTGCCATCTGTTCTATACTAATGCCGGTTTAAAAGCCACAATGGAGGGCATCTCACTTTCTGCATTCAACTTCTCAGATACTCAAACGATAGACTTTCAATGTGCCAATGGAGATCTGACGTGCAAGTTGCTTCTTTCCAATGCATTTAGGCTAACCAATTTGGACTCTATGATCCTAATTCTGGAAATAGTAGAGACAGGAAGTAACGGGGATCTTTCGTTCTATTACAAGCAGCAGGTGACCAATAAACAGCTGGGCTGCTGGCAGGACGCATACCTTTCCTTTTCTAGCACAGACATCTGTGTCCACTTTTCCTCCGCTACATCTGACACGTGCCCCATCAGCTTGAAGTATAGCCTACTATACACATTGAGTCTGTCCCTACCCGACCTAGGCACATTCACCCAGAACCACTACTTCTCTTTGGCAAATTACTCTGTGTGCTGGACCTGTAATGACTATGCCACAGTGCAGGTGGAGGGGATTCTATCCTGTAAGTCCGCAGTGAAATCATTTACTTCTTCATACAAACAATCAGAGCGGAATAGGAATATAGGTGCTGTTAGACACTTCACAGAAGCACTTTTCACTGCCACATACCCCATGTCAGGGATCTCCGTCACGATGCCGATCAAACGGCTTGTTTTCTCGGACACATCAATGGTTTACGTCACTGTATTTATAATCATTGCTGTTTTTGTTCTGCTTGCTATTGTCCACCTCGGTTTCGGTTTGAAAAGGATCAGGGTAGAAAACTTGAAGCTGCGAAGAGCAAAGAAAATGCATGCACAGAAGACTTGAGGTGCAGCTTCGCTGTTCCAGATGAGGGCTGCTCTTTGCCTTTGAGTAGGGCGACTTTCAGTCTTGAGATCTACCAGGCCAAGGGCTCTACTTTTTCCTCTAATCTATGTACAGATCTTTTATGCTAAAAGCATTAGCTTGTATACTGTTGTAATGAGAAAGCTTCTATTCAACGAAATGCTCTAGTAGATAAACATATAAATAAATGTTTTCACAATTGTAATTACACAATCAATTGTATCAACAATCTGGATTGTCATCGGCCCAGTGCCTAATGAGGAAGACTAAACTTGCAAGCAGTCTTGGACTAATTCATTGACAAAGGAAAGCATCACTTTATGTCTGTCTGGAATTGTGGCTCAGAAGCACGCACGAAAGGATGCACTGCCAAAGTAATTACGTGAAGAGGCACCGTAAAAATGTACAGAAGAAGCTGGAGAGGTTGCTAGTCAGAGGGCCGGTTGCTGCTATAAGGATTCAGGTATCCAAGGTATCCAGGCAGTAGGCCTCATTATCTGCTATCTTCGTGACACGTTGGCGAACCGGCTATTCGTGGGACTTGAGTTACTAGGAGCTACTAGTGGAGAGGTACCTGATTAGAAACGACGTCTGGCTTTTGCACCACATAGTGTGGCCACCTCCTTCACGAATACTTCAGCTCTTTTGCATGATATTGTCAAGTTGCTAAAGGCACTGAATAGATCTCTTCGTAAATCCACTATGGTTATTATGATTTGTACATAGGTGAAAAGATATCAATTTCTATTTACTCGGCAACAAGATTGAACACCGAGGAAATGGTTACAGTCGTCCCATAGCTTTTGACTAGTAGTAGATTCCGTAGTATTGTGATTCTCGGTTTCAATCTGTATCTCGGCTGATACAAGTCTATAATTAAATTAACACAAAACCTGCCCCTGAATCAAGAAGGCGGGATGTTGGCAACTGATAATGCAATTGGGCAATTACCTGGACTTTCTAGCCTCTCTGATGAGGTGGATGCTTGTTATCCAACAGTATATGAAGACACAAAGGGACTTGTCGATGCCTTTGTTGTTTTCACTTCTTCTTTCTCTGCTCACATTATAGGTCAGGATGGCGCCATTATCTGGAAAGATATAACTACATACGGGATTGATAGCAGTTCTAATCTGAGGATCACCGTCTATACCTCGGAGACTAGTCTTTTCACTTTATCGTTTACTGACGCAGGGGTTTGGTCCACGTGCAAAGAAAAGCTGCTATTCTGTCAGTTATCCACATCTGCTGATGGAGATGGCCCAGGAGGTTTCACTCTGCCCCACAGAAGCACGTCCACACTTTGCAGAACAGAGCTCGCTAATCAGCTGGACTCACACTTAGACTCCCCTACTATCCTGTCAACAGAGACGTCTGCCGCACAGTCTAATGATGCTGGTCGTGCATTTAGCCCAGAGATTCTGTGTCTGTATATGCACACGTCTGTATTCGATGAGTCCTTTAGTCATGTGTTCAGACTCTTCTATGATGTGGTTCTCCTCAATAACAATGTGCTGACTACTCTGATGATGTCACCCATGAAGGAGGACATTCTGGACCGGACTCTTACAAACCTATCTGCACATGCTCTCTATCCCACGCACACTAGACTTCATGCCCACGATCTTATTGGCCTTCTCTCTGTTGTTAACACTTTCGTCTTACGCAATGTGACACTGTCGTATGAACTGCTTTCGCACGACATACGAGTAACAGATTCTCCTGGAGCACACCTCCGTGGACAGACCCCCAAGGACAGCTTTTCAATCGAAGAAACGTCTTACCCTTATCACTCCATCCGATACTTGGACATCCTTCAACAGATTCTCAGCCATCGAGTTATCTCTTTCTCTAGCGCCCATCAATGCGTTATTTTATCAGATGAAAGGCTTGCTGAAAGCATCATAACCGCATTGGTGCTATATTTTGATAGTGTATGTAGCTTTATTGGGATATTTTTCGGTGCACCTGCCCTCGCGCCTCTCAAGCGCTTCTTTAGTACATCAAGCAACGTGGAGCTTAGCGTAGTCCTGAGCACATCACTGTATCAACAACTTCAAGAGATTCTAAAGCTTATCTTTATTGTTCTATCTGGGTGCTTCCCTCGGGGAGTGTCTGAGCATCTGCTGGAGTTTAGTCCCTTTCACGCTGCACCGACATTTGATTACCAGGCTGTTAGTAAGTACTTCCTAACCCATGTACAGAATGGTGACAGCTTAGCCAAATCTTACCCGTCACACAAGGACACTCTTGAGGCCATAGTGTATGCCCATAGAAAACCCATGGATCGAAGGGATATGGTCTATAATCTTCTCTATCTCTCATTCATTATCATTGATACATTTAACCAGGCTGCCACTCTTGATGCATCTATTTCCCAGCTGGTAATCCCCAATTTTAGCGAAAAGGACTCTCGCCTTCTCTTTGGCGGTCTTCTGCATGAGCTAGATGCACAGATTACCATATTTTTCTTATCATTGAGTCTTTATGAATCAGGAAACGATTCGTTGGTTAGAGACTTGCTTTTTGGAAACGTTTCTTGGTTAATATCAACAGAATCAATTGGTCCAGGCTACAATAGGAATATTACTGAGCATGACATGGAACTTTCTGTTGATGCTGTTGTCTATAACGCATCAAGGCGCTTTTGGCTTAATGCTCAACCACTAATCATGTTGCTTCGCACACTTATTTCCATTTTCCAGTCATCGGCGCTATTCCTATTTGAATTTGATCCTGATTTGTGTGTGCACTTTATGAATTGTATCCTTCTTGTCTTTATGGACGAGCATCTTGATCTACTACACCAAGCTATTGCTATAGAAGCTGAACGACATCTAGCACTTAACCAACGAGACTCCAAGGCCAATGACGCCTCCTTGAGGCTCCACATTCTTCTAGTAATGGAGACTTTGCTTCGAGACTTTATTCAGCGAATAAGCTACGTGTTAACAAGTATTCTAGAAGCTTTCACTTCCATTTCCTTGTTGGCAACTTCTCCTCCACTATCTCTCATCCGCCAATCCTGCTATCGGGCTGCTCTGTTGGGCAGTGTCTACTTAGGTAGGCGGGTTGTGCGATTCTATCGCTCTGCACAAGAGTCTCCTCTTACTGCTCCACTCACTACCTACACAAGCACATGCGTGAATAGTATCATTCACATATTCAAGCAATTAACAGATGCCAGCGTGCAAACCTACCTTGATCTGTCGACATATCTAATGCTTACGCAATATCTAGCGGAGTTCTTGAATGATACCACAGAGTCTAGCACTGAATTGACAGCTCTCAAAGACGTCATTGCCAGCGGCCTTGTTTCCATTGTAGTTAGGTTTATACCACAGATTCCTGACGGGCTTACCGAGAATAAGAGAGACTCAATCATGTCTTTATCCTTAGGCCTTGAGATTATTACTGCTCTCGATGTAACGTCATTGCTGACGCGTTCGTCACGGAGAAAGATGGAAGAACAATCCATACTACAAGTAGTAACAACGTGCTGCACTGAACAGGCTAGACTGCTATCTCGATTCATCGCTCTACTACCTCCAATTCTCGAGGCACCTAAGCAAAGCACCTTTCTCCCACCACTTCTCCCGGTGAATACTGAGGCTAGCATGACTATTAATATGCTAGATTTAGACTGTGGTGAAACTCTCAACCAACACCACTTCCATGAGATCATGCACTTGAACTTAGAGGCTCTTCTAATCAATCTAGTAGCCCTCTATGATCATCTGCACATCCAAGATTTTATAGACTCCTTCCTTGACGCTTCAAAAGACAGCATAGTCTATTCCACTGAGATGATGCGCAAGACTAAGCAGGTAAGCATACTGAGTAACTTGGACCCAGAGCTTCACAATAAGATAATAGATTCTGTGGCGCACACAGCACTATGTCTTATTGCTGATGTTTTCCCTTTTCTTACTAAGGAAGACAGGCTCTTTGCAAGTGCAGTGGAGACCCTGTCCCACACCATCTTGGGATTTCTGCTGCTTTCCCTGTATAGACAGCTTGCTGTCGCACGCACAGTAGCGGATTTCTACAGACCAAATGATCTTTTTACATTATATTTTTCTCTTGTTAAGACAGATTGTCTCTACACTCTTTTTTCTCCAGCAGACCTTCGCATACTTTTTGTGGCGATTGATATGCAGAGCATCATTTTCCGCACGCTCAGCAGAAACGTTGATGTTTTGAGAGAGACGACGGCAGCATACAACGTACTCAATCTTGTTATTACAAGGCTGTGTAGAGGCACCCTACTCGCAGGTGATGCTGAGGTATCTGCGTCAATCACGTCCTCCTGCGCATCGCAACCCTATCCACTCTTCCGCAAAGAGAAACGCAATAGTTACCCCATTACTGCAAGAAAGGTATCTCAAAAATCAATTCTGGCTTATCTTGATAATCTCTCTGCCACACTTTCATATGTAGCCCAGCGAGAGCCGTCTTCTGTGGATGCCCAACTGCTTATTCTATCTGCTATAGCCTCCCTTTTTGACTGCATTGCACCCACTAGTGTACTGCAGTCTGAGGTTACCCAGATTGATGAGCTAGTTGACTTACGGATTTATCTTGAGTCTGGCCATGAAGCATACAGTGAAGTACTTTTAGAGGAGGCCAGCAATCTGGTCAAAAATAAAATTATTTTACTCTACATCTTTAAAGAGCCTGATGGCAAGCGATGCAATCCTCTGTTACTCTCTGCTCTCTCCACCGCTATAGAGAGCGCTGATGAGCGGCTCAAAAGGCTCGGGATTTCTCTTCTTTATCGGTGTATGTTTGTGATAGCCCTAAAGGGCATCTCAGGAGAGGAGCTTTTCTCCTTCGCATTCAGCCCCGATGTCTGTGCACATCTGCTTTCTGTATTCACAATTGATACAGCAAAGGAGCTACTAGAGCCTGTGCTGGACGTCTTTGACATTGGCTTGCAATTTCTTTACGAGGTCGAAGCCATGTCAACACAGAAACGAAGAGGACTGACATCACTTGTGCAGTATCAAACCAGTTATCTAAAGATGATCACCACACTGACTGCTCTTATCTCTAGAGACCACCTAAGCATCACTGAGTCATTCTATCTCCGCCTCTCTTCATTCCTCACCAGCCTTATGATTCTCTTCAATCGTCTTAACCTATTCAAAGAGTTTTCGGCCCCGTTTAGTGCCCTTGTCAATGCCTTAATTGAGACAGCTATGCCCGACTATCGACAGATCCTGGGGACAAGTGACCCTTTACCCCTTCTCTTTTCGATAGCAAATACCCTCTACACATATCTTTGCATGTGCATGCATGAGGAGACATTTGCTAAGATGCCAGACAATATCTCGAAGAAGAAGGGCTCCAAACGGCCTTCTGTTACTGCCCATAACATTACACACCTGGCCTTATCCACACCCGTTGACGAAACCTCCAGTGAGAGAGCGGGGACAGTGGTTATTACTGTATGCACGATCCTACTCAATTGCTTCCAGAGCATTTCAGAGACTGCACCCAAAAGTAACGACATCTCGTTCAAAAAAGCCATCTCAATCCTATATAGTCTTTCTCAATTTGGGTTTGCAGAAGCTGATTGCGTGTATATTCTGCTCTACACATATGTTGGAACACTCTCGCACATTGGTCTGCTACAGACGCCTGATAAGGATAAAGAATACGATTTACAAATAAAGTGCGTCGTGCGCATTTTCAAAGCAATCATTAATGTTATCAAGAATCCTTGCCATTCTATGTTTATTGAGGAGTCTTTAACGAATGTTCTGCTCGTTAATGGAAATGATTTTCTGGTCTTCCTTTGTGTCTGTTTGGCTGTTGCTGTCAGAAACCCGGTACTTTACAAATCTCTTATTCAGCCGTATGAGGACTTAGCAAGAGAAAGTGAGGGCAACGCTGCAGTATCACTGTGGCTCTCACTGTTTAGGTTAATAAAGCGTGCCCGCAGTCTTACAGATCTAGTCCGCTCTCTGGCGGATATGAGTCTGGAGGTGCTGCACTGTGTATTCAGTCACCTTGTTCGCAAGCCAGCAGAGCAAACATCAATGTTTACAACTGGGCCTGGAAGATACCTTCTTTCGTTGCTTTTGCACTGCTTCGCCAACAACTCCGAGATGAGTGACAACGAAACGCCGGTATCGTGCACAAACCCAATACAAAAGCCCAATGGGAACCACGCTCAGATGGCAGCCGAGATACTGGCCTTGAGCATGCGTGCTGCACCTACGCAGGTGTCTGCCATCTTGATCAAGAAAAGCACAATGTATATCCTAATATCATCTTTTGAAAAGCTAGTTGCAGCTCTTCTGGAGAATGAGTTGAAGAACGATAGGCATGATTCGTTCAATCAACCAGATGACAATCTAGACAATAGGAGTATGGCGGCTGGGACACTAGGAGAGATCCTATCGATATACGCCGACATGGCTCTACTCCGCGAATGTTCTAACATATTCCGTGAGTCAAATAATCATTTGCTAGTGCTGATTGCAGAGTTTCTTCAGCAGCTAACTCAGTACTATAAAAGATGCTTGGCAGGCAATCAAGAGAGTTCCATCCACGCGCCACTTCAAGCCAAAGTGGAGAAGTGTATGACTTTGGCGGTCCTCACTCTCCGCAACGTCGTTATCACAGCAGAGGATCTATCTTACATAACAATGAACATCAAAGAAACTAAAGCTTACGTGCTTATTAGCGGGATGTACGAGTATATAACTCTGCATACAAACCCGGGAGCAGACATGGCAGGGCTCCCCGCAGCTACGGAATACTTAACAATAATAATCATGCACTTAATCACTCAAGCTGAGGACGCGGGCGCAGACCACCACGCTATAACATTGGTAAAAAGGTATGCATTGCAATTGGAGCAAAAAATGCAAAGCACACTGCAAAAGGATATTTGTGTGGAGGAATGCTCCGCACTGCTTGGAGCACTGAACATGCTACCCTAGTGATGAGCATATTCTAGGGGCTATGCCTTAGGAATTACCTCGTCGAGAGACTCAATCTGGAATAACTGATCCAGATCTCTCCCCATCACAAGAACTTTGTTGTTATAGTAATGTTGAATCAACGAACGCCAAGTACTATCAATGGCGAGAGCAGTTGCGTTGCCAACTATTATGAGCGCGCAGCGGCAGCGTGTCAGACCGACATTAAGCCTTCTTTGATCCTTCAAAAATCCTATATGTTTATCAACCGATCTGACAGTACTAAAGATGATTACCTCCTTTTCGTGGCCTTGAAACGCATCAACACTGTTGACGAAAACCTCTGAATACCCAGCGTCCTTGAGCTGCATCTCTATCTGACACTTCTGATAGTCATAAGGGGTCACTATACCAATGTCACTCTGCTTTAATTCGTAGCATTTTAGTAGCTGGTCAACAATGGCTTCTACGCACAGAATCTCAGTATCGTTACGAAGAGATGTACCGTGGCCTATCTCATGTGTTCCTTGAACGTGCCAAAAGAATGACGGAGTTGAGGGAATGGGCCACGGGAACGAGTCAATTGATAAGGGCTTGGGGATGAGCTGCCTGTCCGCCTGTGTGACTCCATTCTGTAGCATTCCATTGTAGAATGTGTTAGATGGAAAGGCTGATAAAGCCGGATGCATACGATACTGCACTGTTAAGGAATGCGGTTCAATCCCGGCTCGCTGGAGCCTTTCGTAAAGCGACAGATCAAGTTTAGAGTGTCTCGCAATGTTCGTTGCTACAATCGGCCCAAGCTGCTTGTGATCTCCCATAAGGACGATGTGTGAACAGCCGTGGCCTATGGCGCAGAGGGTGTCTGGCTCGATAGCTTGGGTTGACTCATCGACGATGAGTGACGAGAAGTGAACGCGAGATAGATGATTGTCGTATGACGTGCTGCAAGTGCAGACAACAACTTTGGCGGATGAAATAATTATGTTTTCTATCTCAAACATTGCCTTGGATATCTCTTCCTCCGCAGACTGCTTTAGAGCAACGTCGATATTCTCCTTCTTCTTCATCTGCAGGTAGTTGTACACTTCGTTAAACTGTTTGACAGGAATCTCATCTAACATGTTCTCGTAGATTAGGCGCGCTTCTTTGCTAGGTGTAAAATCGGATGGAGCGTCATCACCCAAGGTCAGCTTGAGGATCTCCTCGAACAGTACATGAAGGCACACTCTGTCTGCATACGTATTCGGCGACTCTTCATATTCTGCCAAGCGCTGTCGCGCAAGGCTCACAACCCTCACAACAGGTAGGCCGAAGGGTTCCAGTGCAAGAGTTAAACTTTCAGCAGCCGTGTTTGAGGGACAGCAGATAAGCACAGGTACTGGCGTGGCCTGACGAAAAGAGCCTGAATCGTGGTCTAATGACCCGTATACCTTGCTGAAGAGCCAAGCAAGGCACGCGCCAATGAAGGTCTTTCCACAACCCGGAGGGCCTTGTACTAGCGTAATAGGTCGAGAAAGAACATACTGGATAACATCCTTCTGTGAAAAGTTCAAGGTCACCTTTTCCTCTAGTGTGTCCAGAAAAGCCGACAACTCACTAATCAAGCGTTCAGTGTCAGCTTTGGATCTTAGAGTTTTCGGCATGAGACAGCTTGCACGCTTAAGAACCTCGTTGATATCAAAATCCTCGGAAGAGCGCACCTTAACGCCCTTGGTTAGATGAGCAAAGTTGTTTGCATACTTCTCAATCAAGCCTGGGTCTAGATTGTCCTCTTCCATCGCTTTATACGGTGTATTCCAGGGCAACGTAGAGAGCTTCTTCTTTTGGTTAGTCGCAGCAAAGGACAAGATTTGAAATGCATCTATCCCCTCGCGGCAGAAAGAACTAGAGCCTGAAGAGCTTTGAAGTCCCTTAGTAGAGCGCGAGTTGCCTCGGCTTTCAATGAGCATCTGCTCATTACGATCCAGCTCTGCAGTAACATCCATGTTAAGTTGCTTAAATTGCTCCTCGAGATTGAAAAACTTGTGGACGATAAGGGGATCGGAGTTGGCCGAATATTTATCCTGGGGAATGACATCCTTGACTGCTTTTCTGTCAGTTGTCCTTGTCTTAATGCCGTCCAACACCTCCCCGTATCTGGTGACAACTCCCTGCTTATAAAGGTCCATAAACGCATGTGCCATGCGGTAGTCCGCTAGGAGAATAAAGCGGATAAAACAGTCAAAAGAAGTCAGTCGAACTCTCTCACTGGAAGAGTCCACGAAGTCTTCGGAAGACAAATTCAACACACGGGTCCACTTCTTAGAGGTAAGATAACTCCATACAGACGGGTTGTAAGCACACAATCGCGCAATGGCAGAAACGTGTCGCTTATACGTTGCATCGTTGTCGCACTTTACAATTTCATACTGCAAATTTGGTTTAGAAATAAAGTGAGAGTGCTTGTAAGAGGCGGGAGACGCAATGTCGGTAAACTTGAGATCGATAGCCATTTCGCTGGTGAGGGGTTCTACCACATCCTCCTTCACCATAAGTTCATAGTTGACGCAGTTATATGGCATAGAAGTCTGCAACTCCGAATTCTGGTGAACAAAAAAGGCGACATTGTCACCGTTGACAGACGTACATAAGAGCGGAATCTCTAGTATGCCATTATATAGGGTAAAGCCCTTCGGGTTCTCACCCTGATAATCGATAATTCTCAAAATAAAGTTCTCTCCTTTATAGATCTTGATGTCCATAGAGATATCTTGTATGGGAATTAGCACCTCCCACATCGCACCACAGATGGTAGCGAGGCCGCTTTTGTCAAAGTTATTGACAGACCATCGCCCTCGAAGACATCTGAACTGCACGCCCTTCACTGGCACCTGGTTCTTCTCTAGCTGATCGCGGGTGATCAGACGCTCTAGGGCCAAAATCGGGAGCATGTAGTGGAAATAATGTAGCTTTCTTCTGCAGTAGAAGTGAGAAAGAATGTGGCAACGATCAGTCTTCGAAACAAACGTCCTGACGTGAGTGCTCTTGTCGCGAGGAATGGCGAAGTCAAAGCCGGGGAGTAGGCCATCAATAATAGCCCACATAACCATTGCAGGACATCCTCTAGCCGTGACAGCCTCTAGTGTCTGAGGCTCCATGTTGTAGGGAATGGCCAGTACTATGCTCGCCAGAATCTCCTGGCGCGCTGTCTCATCATCGATGCATGACTTCTTGATAATGCGTCTGCGATTGCGGGTTGCATCTGATTGCTTGGTCAGCCTCTCCAGGGCAGTGTCTGTCACGACGGGTACATCCTCATCAACTAGCTTCAAATGGTCGTTAACTTTGCTTGCCGCTCTATCCTCTATCATTTCTAAAAATGTCTGACGCTCGTGCGGTTGGGCTTCCATAGGAGAGAGTGATGAAAAGAGATTTGACCTGTAAGTGTCCATTGTAAACAGGAGATCGTCGTTCAAAATGTCATGCACAGAGGGAACGATGCTATCCTTCGACGTCATCTCTGTGCTAGGCAGGGGAGTGTAATAACTTTCAACGCCCGTGAAGGTGCAATCTCCAACATTAGGCTCATCACCTTGGTTTTCGGCCTCCTCGTGTCCAGGAAAGAAGCGGGAATCTATGTGTGTGGAAATTATGGGACGCCACGCGGAGGTATCATGGGTCTGGTCGTGGTACATCCGGCAGTTCACACAGCATATTATCCCGGAGCATGCGTCGGCTTTTGTCGGAAGGAAGCCCAAACTGGTTATTCCCTTGGTCTCACAGTCGTTACAATAGAGTACATCTGAGGGGATATAGAATTCGGAGACAGGCTCTATGTGATCGTGACCTGTGAGCTGCAAATGCCGTACTATATGGCTCGTTTTGTGGTCAAAGTTGTTGCAATAGACCTCTCTGCATGCCCCACATCTTACGAGGGGTTCTGCCAACGAGCCGCACAATGCACAAGGCTCCATAGTGATTTACTTTTAAAATGCAATTAGATGGATGCGTACCCTACACTACCCTACGCGATGGGAATTCCGCGGACCTCGAAGTCCGGACCCTCAGCCTGGCCCGCGTCTGTCCACGATTCTATGTCCTCCAGCCGTGCCTCAACTTGACCTATGAGCTTTTCAAGGCAATCGTATGCTGTGATTAGCGGGCCTTCTTTTGCTCTCAATTGAAGTGTGTCAGCGAACCCGTACACTTCTTCTATAACTCCTAATAGCTTAATATGCTGTGGGACCAGTGCATCTGCTGCTTGCTTCAACCTTTGTAGCGCATCGTCGGAGGGGTTCTCGGACGCGCTTCTTTTGATAGGAGGAGGCGCCATCCTCTCCAACTTCTGTAGTAAGTATGCGTTACACAGGCATATGGGCTCGAACATCGCTATAACCACATTGTAGGAGTGTTGGGTTTCAAGCCGGACCCATGTACGGAGTAAGCTCAGAACCATATCTACAAGTCCTGTCTCTGTAAATGGAGAGTGGCTAAGGATTGCCTCTACCTGCACAACAACGGAACCCCCGAAGCAGTGGTTGCAGATCTTAGTGCTCTGCATGAGTGCAAGATAGGCGTGCTTTAGGTGCAAAATGGGAGCTGTATCACGATAAAACGGAAGTATGACAGACACATCATCATACGCAAATGTTAAATCAGCGAGTATTTCTGTCAGTTGCTGGGTCAACTTGGCTCTAGCACACGTTTGAGGCTCCTTGAGTACTCTTGCTTCTACTCCGTTGAGAAGAAGGAGGGCATCATGTACTTGTTTTGCATACACCTGAAGGGCCTGAAGAAGACTGGGGCTGGGAGCCTTCCAAGCTGTGCATGTACCTGCTTCACACACAAGATGCCCATCCTTCAAGGCAGCGTGAGAGGCGCATGCTTTATTAACCAGAGCGCACGTAGGAAGTAAAAACAGATGACCCAGGAGACTTGTATCGGGCGAGAATTGCGTAAGTATGTCGCGGAGAGAAGGCTCCAAAGGAGATGTTCCCAGCTCGAAGAATGATGGCAAACAGGGAGGAAGAACCTCTGGCTTATTTTCCTTCAGTGTCACGCTTGTTGGACTGTTCTGAATAAAGCTGTTTGAGCTTGAGAGCGATAAAGAATACCTGATAGGTGGAACATTAACGGAGTTGAAACAGAGGCCTAAGCACGAGTATTGCACATGTTGTGCCTCGCATCCATCTAGTAAGAAGAGTATATGAGCGTAGGGAACGAATGGGAGTAGCCACGTGAGCCTGGGACAAACCTTCTGTTGGACACGGATAAAGACAGATAAAGAGATCACTTTGATGGAATTACGGATCACATCCAGTAATGCTGGGCTGCTCCTTTGTATGTCCTCTATGTTCAAGCGTGAACGTATGCGCAAAGGGTCCGGGGCACTCTGTGTAACAAGAATATGGGTGAGGATCTTCCGTATCAACAAAAAGAACGTTTGTGATAACGAAGACGGCAGCGCCGAGACTTCATTCATGAAAATAGTGCATAAATCCGGTGGGACGGTGCGGTCCAACCTGCAAAGGTGCCTGTGGATCGCCCAGTCCTGAGCCTGGCAGCCCGGAGAGCAGTACACGCTAGACTTGCACGCAGCGCACCGCATGGACTTCGGGGCCTGCTGGAGGCAGCACTCGCAGCACCTGGGAGACGCAGAGGCCGAAACCCGCATGGTCAGACCGGCAATATGTCAAAAAATGGCTGGTCTCCTGTCCGCCCTCTGTTTGCAGAGCGATGAATGGGCCCTCAAAGAAGGGTGCCGAAGGGTATCCAAAAACATTTACTAAGCGCCGCAGGGTTCTCTTCTCTCCCTCCACCTGTAGCTGGTCTCTTAGTCCCTGGACGTCAGCATATCTCTGCTGCCTCCAAAACCAGAACCCCTTCTCCTCTGAAAGACTAGCCACCAAATCAGAACGCCAATCAAGACAAGCACGACCACGCTGACTCCGACTCCGATCCCAATGGACGCCTTGTTGGAAAGCCTTCCAGTGTCCTGAGAGTCCTTTCTCACGCACGCGTTGCCTGAAAGGACCGAGTCCTCGTTGCACACATACCTGCCCCAGAATTCGACAGCGTTCTCCGGGGCGATCGTCGTGCACGAGCGTTTGTCGAGGCCCACAAGGCTGGTCCCGCGGCATAGACTGCACAAAATTGACTTGTCAATAAGATGGCATGTGACGCAGTCGTTGATGTTGCACGGGAGGCACTCCATGGTGTCATGATTGGCGTAATATCCGTCCTTGCAGTCGTTACGGCTCACGCAGGTGCCGTAAGAGGTTGTCCCCTCCTTCTTGAGGTACTTGTTCGAATGACACGACAGGCACTGCGTCTTTTGGCCCTTCACGCAAGTCTCACAGTTGGAGTTGCAGTCTACAAGCTCGCCCTTACTGTTGATGTTGTACTCGTCCGTGGTGTCCACACACTTTCCGCCGTCAGCTCGCTTGCACACAAACCGGCCTGGGTATTTGCTGACCTGGTAGCAGCCGCCCCCCATCAGGAAGTAGCCTGACGAGCACTGCTGGCACGCCCCATCGGATTGCCGCAAACAAGCAGACGCCCTGGCATTGCTCGCCGGTGTACACGCGCCATTCAGGGGGTACTGGGCGGAATCTTTGCATTTAGAGCAGTATTTCGTCTGGTCGACCTCCAGACCACAGGCTTCGCAAGTGCTGTCTGGCGTGCAGCCGGCCTTGCACGTCCCTGTAGTCCCGTCGCCATTGTATGCAAGTGCCTGGCCGGAGGGACACAACGTACAGGAATTCGCCTCCTGGTTATTGCACCTCAAACATGAGCTTGCGCACGCAGAGCACTGCTCGCCGCTCCTGTAGTACTTGTCCATGCACTCGCATCTGCATCCTCTTTTGGAGCTCCCAGGGCATTTGCGCTGCCTGTGATCCCCATTGCAGTTGGTCTCAGTAATACATGACATCCCATCAAAGGCTAGCGTGTCATACTCACAATCGTAGCAGATGACCTTCTTTTCTGTATTGTTGTAGCGACAGCGCGAGCAACCCTGGATTCCACCAGCAGACGTGTTACTGCACGGGTAGGCCATGTGATAGTCTGGGAGCTTGAAGACGCCGTAATCTCCCGTGTTCCAAGCGTCGCATTCTGCCCTATCGTTGACCTTGGTGCAGATCTGGGACCCGATGTAGTCACTCATGTTGTAGCAACCCCCGTTGAACAGGAACGTGTTGTAGTTGACCCCGCTCCTTGTGCAGTTGGTACAGCTACCATCCGTGTTAGGATACGGGTTGCACTTTGGTTCGAGCAAGCCCTTTATGCACCGCCCGTCCATTGGGACCTCCCCTTTAATGGCGCACTTCTTGCAGGCAGTGATGTTAATTACTTGGAACTGGTTTTCGGTGGTGCATATCTTCTGTGCAACGGTTTCTGTCTTTGTGTAGCACCCTCCGTTGTGCTGAATGTGAGTCATGTAACAGTTTGAGCAGGCCCCGTCGGCGCACAAGTGCCTGCTCGGCTCTTTGCATACTCCGTCTATCGGGCCATACTTCTCATTCTGGCACCAGTTGCACTCTGCAGATGTCTCTCCGGTGAGCGGAGGCAGGCAGTACCTGCAGCCATCGACGCCTTTATATGAGCCGAAGCCGACGTTGTCGTAGCACAATATGCACCGTTCCGCCGCACTGTCGTCGGGGTTTGTAAACAGAAACTTTGATCCTTGTCTGCACTCCGTACACTTGCCACTCTCTGCTTTGCTACAAACAAGGTTTCCCGGAACCTTGTCTATAGCGTAACAGCTGCCGTAGAAGAGGAAGGCGGTATCCTTGCACGAGGTGCAAAATCCAGTGCCACTAGAATGCTCGCATCCATATAAACTAACACTGGAATCAGTAGTGTCCTTACAAATCCCGTCGATAGGGACTTTTCCGCCAACGCACTCGCGGCACAGTTCGGTGCCGCTGACCGTTATACACTTCTTGGTCGCGCATGTGTCCTTTTGCGCCGCAGTCGTACACTCCTGTCCGAAGACGTCGGCGGTAGAGCTGACTACGGCCCCCAAAAATAGCAGGCCTAGCATGGCTTTATTTATTTGCTCATCTTATGGTCAGACGGCACCATGCGCGCGGGAATCCTCTGGTGGCGCTGTCGGTCTAGAGATAGACGTATGTACAGCCCCGAACGCGTATCGTTTAAAATGTTGTCTGTGATCACGTATCTCTTAGCTGGGCTTGGGGTGGCCCTCTCCAAGCCCCTTCTCTCCAGAAGGGAGTTACAGGAGATCCGCGCCCTGCAACCACCCTGGACCGCTGGGATCTCCGACCGGCTTGTGGGCCTCTCCGAGGACGACCTGCGCGCCATGTTCCCTCGCCATGGCCAGCCCACCCGTCCGTCCGCAGAGTGTCCGCGCGCTGAACCATCAGGACCCATTCCCGACGCGTTTGACCTCCGCGAAGAGTACCCGCAGTGCATCACCCCGGTCTATGACCAAGGCTACTGCGGCGCCTGTTGGGCGTTCTCGGCGACTGGGGCGTTCGGTGACCGACGATGCATGCAGTGGCTTGACCCTGTTGGCGTGCCCTACTCACAGCAGTACACGGTCTCGTGTGATGACTTGGATCTCGGGTGCGCTGGAGGGACTTCGTTCAATGTTTGGACCTTCCTTACGGAGCACGGTACCACGACTCTCGAGTGTGTCCGCTACACAGACGCCGATAAGGACCTCTCGTCTCCATGCCCCGCATTATGCGACGATGGGTCCGAGATTCAACTCGTCAAGGCCGACGGCTGCCTCGACTACAGCGGCAACGTGACCGCCATCATGCAGACCCTCGCCAACGACGGGCCTGTGCAGGCAGTCATGAGCGTCTATCGTGACTTCCTTTACTACCGAGGAGGCGTCTACAAGCACGTCTACGGGATCCAGATCTCCAGCCATGCGGTTGAGATCATCGGCTACGGGACGACTGACGACGAGGAGCGCATCCCGTACTGGATCGTGAAGAACTCTCTCGGACCCAACTGGGGCGAGGAGGGCTACTTCAACATAGTCCGCGGGTCGAACGAGTGCGACATCGAGAGCGCCGTGTATAGCGGGCTCTTCCTCTCCTCTAAGTGAATTGCGAACCATATCTCGACAGTCCGTCTTGAGGGAGCACCCGGCGGGATCCGTCGATGACGCGTTTACTACCTAAGTGGATGCCACTTACGCCTTCCCCCGGCAGATGAACCACCAGTAGAGGAATCCGACGAGGCCTCCTACAACGACGATGACAGCCACAGAGATGCCAGCGATGGCGCCCGTGGAGAGCCTGACATCCGTACTCACACAAGAGGTTCCATTGGTGTCTGGGCTGTACCCGCTGCTGCATGCATAGGCACTAGCTGGGTTCTCGGCAGAGTTCTCAGGACAAGCGTCCATGCACGAGGTCTTCCCGGGACTCACCTTCTTGTCAGCACTGCATGCGTCACACACGCCATTCTCACTACAGTTACTACATCTGTCTGTGGAGCATGTGAAGCACCTTGTCCCCGTTCATCCGCCTTACTTCAAGCATGAGGATTAACTCGTGTACGTTATAGGTATAGTCAGATTCAGCGCCGTAGACTAGAGAGTTGCATGCTACTGTAGTTATAATAATGTCTATGACACCCGTAAGACATTCTTGTGCATTACTTAATCTTGCTATTCCATGTCAAATGGCTCCGGTTTCAAAGAATATCACCTGATGGGGTGTTAGTTTTCATTGTGGATGGAGACATATGGGTATTGACGGCATAAACAATCAACTCTCAGTCAAACATACCGGTGTGACAAGGCTATAAATTTGATTCTTTCACATCTTACCTGTTGAGCAATGGATCATGCGAACCTTGCAATGACCATTCAGTCCAAGCCACAGCATGTCAGGAACATTTGTGTCTGCGCGCACATAGATCACGGAAAGACTACGTTAGTCGATACCCTTTTGGCATCCAACAACCTAATCGCCAAGGAGCACAGCGGGCAACTGCGGTACATGGACTATCTGTACACAGAGCAGGAGAGGTGCATTACTATGAAAGCCTCAGCTGTCTCTCTACTTCACCTGTCAGATAATCAGATGATTGTCGACCTCTTTAAAGACCAGAGTACGGATTCGGCCAAGGCCATGCGAGTACCCTTGTTGATGAATGTCATTGACACGCCGGGGCATTGTGACTTCTCCCACGAGGTTTTGGCGGCCGTTTCCATTTGCGATGGCGCTTTTCTTCTTGTTGATGCCATTGAGGGCGTTGCCTCCCAGACGCTAGGAGTGCTCAAGCACTTGATTAAACTGCAGATCGACATCGTCCTGGTCATCAACAAGTTGGATCGGTTGTACAATGAATTGAATATGGAACCTCTTGAGGCCTACTTCCACCTTCTAAAATTGATAGACGAGAGCAATGCAGCCTACAATAGTGTATGGACGGAAGTAGAGGGGAAGCCTGCTGCACAACAAGACCACTTCTCTCCTATTAAAGATAACGTCGTCTTTGCATCTGCCATTGGAGGTTGGGGATTTACCATCTCTTCCTTTGCACAAATATTAGCCGAGAAATATCCGTTTATCGCCAGCCCTAATCATGACAGGACCTTGCTTTACAAAAACCTTTGGGATGCTGCTGTTGCAGTGGATCTAACCAACGGTTGTTTTCGAACGGTTAAGAAGTCCCTCGCACCAGCATTCGTGACCCTCATACTTGAAAGCGTTTGGGCCGTACTGGCGTGCAGCAAATTGGACACTGAAGCAGCATTCAAAAAGCTTTCGAAGATGTACCGCAAATGCATGGGCAAGCCACTTGAGCAGGTAACCATAAATAATTCTAGCACGGCACAATTGATCAAGAGCTTTCTCTCTGACTGGCTTTCCTTGAGTAATGTTATCTTCAATGCAGCAGTGATAAGCATCCATAATCCTTTACTCTCTAATAACATCATCGCTAAAGGAGTAAGAACTGCCTTAGACACACGTTCCCTAGATTTATTTAATAAAGTGACCCCAACTGTAATACTTTGCGGAAAGGTCTTGAATGAAAAAGATCTGGATTTACCTCAAAAGACTCGTCTCAGTGCCGAGGACCGACGCTCTTTTTTGCTCTGCAAGATACTGGCAGGGTCTGTGGCTGTCGATCAATCATTTACTCTTCTTGCTTACACCGAAAAGGAGAGCACGTGCAAGCTCGGAATTAGCACGGTCCTAAAGGGGTTTTATTGCCCCATGATCCAGTCCATCGTTCCCTACACCGCTACGGTTCCACACGAGGGAAATATATGCATAGTAGAGGTATCAACTACTGTTCCATTCGGTTCCTTACTGACTGATTTAAATACTGCGTTTCACATCGATAAAGAAATGGATGCTATACTCTCTAGCTACAAGTCACAACATATATTGACAGAAACGACGCACCGTGATACTTCGGACCTAGGTCTGTCTGCTGCTTCTGGAAAACGTTCAGAAAAGGGCTTAGAGGAAAACCAATTGAAGGCTCTGAAGCGCATAGTAAAGCGATTGGATGGATTGCGGTACATAGAAGCGCCATCACCGCTGATTCATGTTTCCATTGCTCCGATTTCACTAAAGGGCTATCCCCAGCTCATTTCGGCTCTCAACTTGCTCTGCACCATTGATAGTAGCGCCATTTATAGTATTTCTAGTGTCAACGGCGAAATCATCCTTGCTGTTTCGGGAGACGTGCACCTGGATCGGTGCTGTGAGCAATTGGACAGCTTTCTCATTGACATTTACGGCAGGGACTGTGATGAGGGCTACTATGTGATAAGAGATAGTATCCTGCACTTAAAAGAACACGTCATGCCTGGAAAGTGTGCGTCAGTTACTCCCTTTGGCGAGCCTCCGGAATTTTTGCAAGTAGCCCTTACAGACCACGTTCTTTCACTACAGAGTGCACATGCAGGTGAGGGAGGTGCTGCAGTAGTTCTTGAGACTTCTTTGGAGGACGCCTTTTTTGATGATTGCTTCGGAGTAGGCATAGACGAAGGACACGCTACTGTCCAAATATCATCAGAGCAAGGTAGTGATCCCCATGAGCATTCTCAGAATTCGTTGGACAAAGGTGCACCTGACTATGATAGCATGTGTGCAGCAGTAGCAAGTACTGACATTACCCTGAAGGAAATCTTCAATAAAATAGATGTGCATTCAGCAGCACTATCCAGGGAGCAAAGCTGCGATATGGATGCTCTGCAATCTGTGGTAAAAGTATGCAATCGCTTTGTTCAAATACAAAATCTTGATATCCTTAAGTATTATCACCAACTGTGCGGCAAGAATCTAGTAACAGCCCCCGTACTATCCTCCTTCATACCGGGATTAAGCTTCTCCAAGTGTGGGCATCCTATGGGAGCAGAGCTTTTACAAATCAAGGTGTTTAAAGACAGGGTTGTTTTGACGCGCCACACTGTTGCCTTCATCTGTACCGCAAATAGCCACATAAAAGCAGTACTTTCCTCTCGGAGCCCTGAGGAGCCCAATATAGTACCCATATACATTGACACCTCTTCGAACGGTGAGATAGATGACTACGAGTGTGCCTTGTTCTATCACTCACTATCTGGAGACCTCCACGCAGGGTTGAGCGTAGCACTCATAGAAGCGTTCAAAATTCTGATCAGCGCAGGTCCTTTGTGTGAGGAGCCGGTGACAAATCTTGCTCTTATTGCACTGCATAACGTGGTTGACGTAAAGAGTATGCTTATGACAGACTTTTTAGAGCAGTATCAGTCTTGTGCCATCGAGTCGTGGTTTCTATCCTCCTTCTTAGATAAGTTTCACATACGATCCTCACTGTCTTACGTAGCGGTTATCCCGAGCTTTCTAGGAGTCATGCAGAGTGCTCTAGCATACAGCAATGTCGGGATAGCAGAGCCATTTATCAAGGCTATCATAAGGGCTCCCCCGCAATTCAATATTCAGAATCTTCTGGCGTGCTTTGAACGCATGCGGTGCATAAAGGACTACGTTGACTTCAAACCGAATGGCAGCTCAGAGTTCACAGTGTATGTACCTAGCTCAAACTCCTTACTGTTTCAAATAGAGCTTCGAAAGGAGAGCAGCGGGCGATTGAACCTGGGGTTGCAGCCTTACAAATACTTAGTGCTCAAAGAGGATCCACGTCACAGTGACATAGCTTTAGATGATGAGGAGCTAATAGAGTGGGGACAGCAAGGAAGATACAGAGAGCTCTTGACCAATGATGAAGACAAGAACAAGCGAAAAGACGCATTAAGCTTTGTTTGCGGAAGGTATCTGTCTCGCAGACTGCAAATCTCGACTGGTCTTCACTATTCTGGATTCAATAATGCTAAGCGCTTGGTTGAAATGATGAAGAAGGACAAGGGACTCTTAGTTTTGCAAGGAATGGTTGTTGAAGCAGAAAAGCAGAGAACGATCAGGAGAAACCGGTAGCTTGCAATTGCAATCTAGCGCTCATCAAGCGCAAGTGTAATAGCTTTTTCAATGCTGGCTGCAACAATTTTGTTGGCATTAAGGCTTGGGTCTAAGTGTAAGATGGTATAGACTGTCCGTTCCTCTAACCTCTTCCGTTGGAGTGCAACAAAGTTCAGCCGGGTATTAGAGGAGGCGGAAAATAGATACTGATTTCCAGCAAATATCGTTGTGAACTGGTGATACTCAGCACTGCACAGCTTGGAAAGGGTGATAGTGAATTTTCGAAACTTCAACGGTGTATCGAAAATAGTGCAGAACACCGCCGCATTGCTTTCACTGAAGACCAAGATGCCCCCGGTGGCCTGCAGTTTGGCCTTGATGCGTGGAGATAACAGAATTGGAAACCTCACTAATACTAGCATGGTCTGCCTAATAAAGTGACGACTGAACCCCTTGTCTGCTTCCATTAGCTTTACTAGGTCTTCCTCTGCCTTGCACCATACCTTATACTCCTCTGTTTGTGCTCCCTCTGGTAATACATACACGCCGGGGGCTTCATCATCAGCACGCACGAGGGTTTGCGGGGACGGACCAAGGGCGCTCACCATTATGGTCTCTGCCGAATGAAAGCTCTGCCTGTGTGTCTGCTTGGCGAGGTTCTGCTTTAGCAAGCTACGCTTCATGCTCTCAATAGTAAGCCGCAAGCTACGGCGCCTACGCTTTATTGTTCGCTTTCGAGGAAGGGTTGTCAATGCGCTTGGAGCAATTAGTGCTGGCTGGTTAAGTCCGTCAGAGCTAAAGGGTATATTATGCGCCACGTCGCTTGGGGGCTGAGCTTGCTGCGGCTCTAAAAGAGCTCTTAACGCAGTTGTGCGGGCCGATAGGGAATGGCTTCTTGGACGACACCGTTCTATATATTGCTGGTGAAGGCCCTGCTCTTTGAACTTGGAAGATTCAAAAAATGCGTTTACCATTCCAAGGTCTTCAGGGGTAAACTCATTTTTGGGAGTCTGGCAGAAGAAGTTGAGGGGCTCACTCATAACTGTTTAAAAAATGCTAGAGACAATCCTCGCTTTACTCCGAGAAATCCTTCACCGTGAGCCGTCCAAAGAGGAGAGACAACTGTTTTTCACTTTGCTTTCTTCCAATTTTCCCGTACCTCCCCTTGATGACTGGAATACTGTTGCAGGGATTAGGCTAGCGGTCCTTGGAAATCCAGTGGAATCTCGGCGAGTAGATAGCTGCCTGAAAGAGCTTTCAGAAAACAAGGCACTGAAGAATGTCCGCAGCACCTTGTATGTCTTGCGGCTGCTGGCAAATCAATCCAAAGCTTTTGTTCTGGCAACCCCGCATAACTTACTTGTCCAGGACAACACACAAACTACTATGCAAAGCGCACCTCTTACCACTACTAAAACCAATAAATTGCACGGTAAAAGCAAGCACAAATCTAAAAAGAGCATACGATCGATTCTCTTTAAAGATTTTGACAGCACATCAGAGGAGTCAGACACAGAAACTAGCGCAGTAGAAGCGTGCATGGCAAGAATTGACCAGAAGGAAACTAGCACTCGCCTTATCCCAAATGAAAGCAGTGGAAAGCTCTCTAAGGATACAATACTAGAGCATGCCATAGTTAGGGACCTCATATACGCCATGCAAGGGCTTCCTGGCCAGTACTTTGAGCTTATAAAGGACCCAACATCTGGGATTTCCCACTTTGTGCTTCAGAGACAGTACCAGAGCCTGTCTGTGAGCCAAACTGCCGCCACCTTCTGCGAGCGGATAGCTTCGTGCGGCTTCTTCTACACTCGTTGCACAGAGTTGCTAAATGCCGTTACTAAGACAAACATGGGCAAGACACGAGCGTCTCTTTGTGAGGCACTTCACACAGGCCTCAGTGAGTACAGGCAGAGGATAAGTTTGCTAGACAGTCAGCTCACTGAGGAGCAAATGACCCTGGTAGAGCTGACTGCAGTAGCCAACTTGATCAGAGAGGAGATTTCTACGTTGGCGGTCATAGCAGATAACTGTTTATATGATAAGAGCCTTACTTCTCCGCAGATATTAAACATAATCTTTGGGTACAGTCTCCATGGTGATCGGAAGATGCACCATATCGGGCAGTCGTTATTGATCAAAGCATCTGAACCCTTCTTCGACTATCTGAAGCACTGGATAATTGAAGGAAGCCTCTTGAGCACTGAATACTTTATTCAGCCAACCACAAGCAACTCGACTGACATCCTCATTCTGCAGACAAATAACCTCCTGGTCAGCCGCTCAATCTTCATCAATAGTAACTGGTACAATAAGTTCCACATCAGTTCATCCCCAGATCTAAAAACACACCCCTTGCTGAGCCCCTACGTGACCAAGCTTTGCTTTGAAATAGGCCGGGCCTCCGCCTTCTTGAGAGAAGATTGCAATAACATAACATGGCGCTTTCCAGAAAGCATTGTGGCTCTCATCCGAGAGGCGAACTTTGCAAAGCTTCTGTCCTCGTACTCGTCAGATGCCAGTGAGGGGACGGTAAAGCTCATCAGATCTATTCACATGCTATCTTCCAAGGCAGTTGTGGCAATCATAAAACGGCAGTTTCTCCTCTTTGATCACCTGAACGGGATTCTGTACATTTTACTGGGCATGCAGGGAGACTTCATTCCTTCCCTCTGCTCCATCTTGTCCTCGACATCAGGAGGAGATAAGTACAAGCTGTCAATGCTTGAGAAGATAGAACAGGCAATGATGAGCTGCAATGTCTCTAACCTTCCATCACACGTCCTGGGGTGTGTGGATGTGCGCATAGATAACTCCAAGTCCAATTTCTATGTGACATACTCTATAAAGGACCCCCTGACCTCTATCATTACTCCCGGGCAAATCCGGATTTACGAAACAATCTTTCAGATTCAGTGGCGCCTCCGGTCAGCAGATGACAAGCTTGACCAGATCATCTTGCTCACTAACTTCTTTTACAGAAGAAACACACAGCAGATTCTTACCAATGCGGGCCGGGTGGGTATATTCCGCCTTCACTATCGAACGCTCACTGAAGAGGTGCCTCTAGCGTATACCCTGTATGTCGCACGGCTTTCATGTATTAGAAATAGGACCAAGCAGCTCGTGCTTGCTTTGCTTAATTACATCAGTCACGATTGCATTGCCCCAGAGTACATGACCCTATTCGCCAATCTGGAAGCAGCGGAAACAATTAAGGACATTATTTATTACCACGATATTGCAGTGCGTACGATTTGTTACAAAATGCTTATCTCAATTAACTACCACAAGATGGCCGACGCCCCACTACCCGCACCGAAGGAGTCGTCTGGCCATCACCCGCGCCAGTTGCGCAGCTGCGACATATATAACGGGCAGGTGATGTTCACCGATAAGACAATCTCAATATTTTCAGACTTTCACACTTCACTGGTAAAAATCTGTGCACAGATTGCTCTACTGCATGGCAGTGTGGCTGAGTTATTTAACTTTCAAAGCATATTTACTCAGGACTTTACCATGAAGCTTCAGGAGGCAGCGAACTTCCTGGACGCATACGTCCGCAGCTTCAACACAGAGCTAAACACGATGATCACTTGCCTACAGCGCTGCAGAAGCATCCCTATCCCTGTCCTGGATGAATTTGATTACTCGCATTACGAAAATTTGGAAGCAAGCCTACTGGCCGTCGGGATGCACTCCGAGACACATTCCTCCCATAAACGCTGAAGATGGTACGTTCTATGTACCGTAAAGCGTACAGGTAGACCATCTTTCGATATATTGGGCTAAGTATAGCGATTATGTCCACTATCGTGAGATCATACGCTAAATATTGCCGCGAAACTAGAGGCATAGGGCTTACGAGCTCTGGCCGAGCATACTGAAAACTAGTTCTGAACACAAACAGGAGGTACTGATCAAGCGAGCTAGGAGAGCACAGGGCAAAGAGCAACTGGATCTGAAGCACACTAAGAACCTTTTCAGAAAAGTTGACAAATCCACCTTGGCTGGCTATTGGGCACAGGGAAATGTCTAACGAGTGCAGCATTTCAAAGTACAATCTTCGCACGTGATTGTTGTAAAGTACCCATAATAAGTACTGAGGAGTTACTGTGTTCTCCTCTTCTATCTTGTTAGAGCTCTTTACGTCAAGCAGTGCAAATGTGTATATCTTGGTGAATGTGTCTTCACTGTCCTGCTCTCTACCGTCTTGACTGTTTTGACTATTTTGACTGTTTTGGCGGCGTGCTGCACTTGCTTTCTGTGTAGAAAGGAACAATAAGAAGGCTTCTAACGAAATGTATCCCAGGTAGGTTGCAATAATGACATGCGATATCGTCTCTTGGCCACTATCGCTTGTCAGCTGATTCAGAAGGTCGGAGCATGTGTGTGTCAGGCTTTCCGAACACGCCTGAAGGTTTTTTCCAACCAAGTGATCAACGCTTTTGTCTGCTGTCTCTAGAGCCAGAGACAATGCCTCAAACTGAGCATCTACATCTCTCCACTTCCTCTGCCTTTGGCTTGTACGCACAGGAGTCTCGGTTGTGTATTGTTTTGTTGATGAATGGAGACCTGCATGATATGCAGATAGGCCAGAATTGACGATCATAAGAAGAAGAATGCCTTTAAGCATGGAATAAACATCAGTTGAGTGGTATAATTCTCGTATCAGACAAGAGGCATTTTCAGCCAGCCACAGATCCATACAATCTTTCATTCGTAAAGATAGATTGAGTTCGTATTTTTCTTTTTTAAGTCCAGTGTCATAAACAAGCACGCATGTGGAGATGAGAGGGGAGATCCAGGGGTATTGCGGGTAGTTTGTGCTGTGAGATGGCAGCCGCTTGGTGGCATTTGTAAATGCTGGGTCTGGTGGTACCCCCTGTTGCTGGACTGCTTGTGACCGAACATCCCAGGAAAGCACAGAGTTGGAAAGCTGTGCCACCTGGAGGGGCCCCGTACGCAGTCGCAATGGATATGGGGACAGGTAGAAGACCCCGACGTTTCGCAAGAGCAAAGAAAATGTTAGCGATAGCTCGTGTGCTGGGGTAAGGAGCTGATGTTCGTTCTTGACAAGTGTGGGAAAGTATTCCGTCAACACAATGTTTGCAGAATAGTAAACATTGAAATGCGCAATTATATCTTTTGGTTGATAAGTAGTCTTATGCATATTGATTCCTACACTTATTATCCGGTAAGTGCCATAGAGAAAACGGTAAAGTCGGTGATAGCACGGTCCTGGATTCTCTATTACAGCAATGATAGGAACCCTGAGAACGTTGCTAAGAAGCACTGCAGTGTCATAGATTGCAGACTTTACGAGAAACGAAGATGCCAGGTAAAGCAGTATAGATGATGTGTAGAGCGGGAAGTTCTCCGGGTCTTGAGAAAGCACCAATCTACACTCATTGTGTGAGAAGATCATCCTCTTTGCTCTAAGATACGTATCAACATCAACTTCGACCATTGGCAGTACTGGGAGAGAGCTTGCTATGAGAGGAGTTTTTGAAGGCTTTCTGAGGAATTTGGAGAACATTTCACACGTAGCTGGACCTTCAAAGGCATGTGTGTGTTCCTGTGTGCTGCAAGAGAGGCAGGAAAGCTTCTTAAGCGCGGACAGCGATATAACTTTTATCCAATGTTTAAAACCGCCGCTCAGATTGCTGGCGGAGAGCCTGAGGAGCATCCTGGCTCAAGCCTTTTTGTTTCTGCAGCCAATTGCTTTACTGACGAGGCAGATAGAAAGGGTGTGGATGGCTTTCTGTCAACTCTGCAGGTGACAGGCTCTGTAGAGCCTACATCCAAGCAGGCACCCATGGTCAAATTAAAGCCTGCCTCAGTTAATCAGGGGCCTACTAAGGCTGCTGTGCAGTGCAGTCCTGTTAAGAGACTCGCAACCTCTGTTGACAGTGTTCCTCCCTCAGTTGTCCGCTTGCTAGGCGCAGTAAGGGAGCGCCTTTCAAACAATATATGGCAATGTCGAAGCATTGATCTAAGCACATACAGGACCAATTTGCACATCCTTCCACTCCGACAGCTCAGGTCCAATGGTCAGGATGCATTGTCTGCACAAAAAAGCCCCGCTGAGCTACTTCGTGACCATGCACTTTCCATTCCGAAACTTTCTAGCTCTATTTCTAGCTCCATGCGCCACAGCTCTACTGACGGTATTGATCCTCAGGTGCTTCAACTATGGGACCTTCTAGTTACTAATAAAATATACAACTGTCTGGGGACTAGTTTAATCAATTGTGACGGCAAAAAATGTCAATCTACCGTTCATACATTAATAAAATTACTAGATTGCAACGACGTATATTTTGACATGATAAAATTCACCCACAGGCTTCTATTGCACCAACACCTTCTTCAGTCCTTACCCTCACACAACTCTCACACCTTGTTCCCATCTCCCCTGATTCCTCCCCACATCTTACTTAGAGCGCTAATGTCAACTCGCGAGCAGCGTCCAATTTCTCTAGAACTGCTTATTCCCTGCTTTGTGCGTCTCTTAATAGCTTACAAATCTCATTCTCTTCTCTACAATCCTTATTCAGATGCCCTCATTGGGAAGCAGAAGGCTCTTTTACGGCACAAGGAGCTCGGAAGCCCAAAGTTCTGCACTTACATACCTTCACGGATGGAACCACGAGCCTTTGAGCAGTTATCGATAATACACGGTGCTACCGTATTTCCGGCATTTGATGCTGTCTCAGATGATAGAGACTCCTTCTCGATGCTCTACGACTCTTCTCGCGAGTACGAACTCCATCGGCTAGCATTTCTTGCAGGAACCCTTGCAGAGGACTTTAGCGTTTGCAAGGCTGTTGCGTTTGCTGCAGCGGATAACACGCTGTTGATGCACCGGGATGACGAAGTAATAACTGGCTGTACGATGTATAAATTAGATGCTGAGCTTTTTGCTCACACGTCTTCGGGTACTCTAGAGGATAACAAATTGGCAGGCATGATAGTGCTGCCCTACTCTCACGAATTGGAGGAGCTGATCTTTTGTGGCTCACAATTCTATGACTCCACTATCACAGGATCCGACGACACTAATTTCTACTACAATCCGACCATCTCCCAGCACATCGACCTCATCACTCTTCTTTACACTGAGATGTGTCGATATGCAGACGGTGCCTTAACCACCAACAGGCTATACCTTATTTTAATCGCCTTAGGACTAAACCCAACTCTTGCAGGATATGAGTGGTTCCTCCTCCAATATCAACTTTCAATCTTCAGACTGGCCAAAACACAGATAACGATCATCAATATTGCAAGGCCAGGTCCAAGAGATCCCATCAAGAGCGTCATCAATCCATATACTGTCCTTATTCACTGTATGCTAAAATACAAATTGGAGTTTGATTCCGATTTTGTTCCGCTTTTAAAACGAATTCATCGGCAGGACATCGCCGCCAACTCCTGCACAGGAATTTACTTAATCGTTGATACTCGCATGTCTCAGCCAGATACATCTCGAGAGGCTAGTTCAAGGCCTTATGCGCCTACCACTCTGAATCCTGGCATAAATTCCACCGGAGTTGTAGTAGCAGAAACAACACCACCAATCAAATCGCAGGAGAAGGCAGTGTGCCATAAGAATAGTGCCTCAGCGGAGCCGCTGGAGATGCTTGTCACAGACGGATTTTATCTTGTTAAGGCCTCGGTCGATCCTTTGCTTTTCAACTTTTTAACTAAGAATAAGATATCTCTTTACAAACACGAAAAGATACTGGTATCACTCCCGCAGACTATCAACTTTGGATCAGCTCAGGAGCCACCCATTCGAGCTGATTGGGGCACAGAAGGGGCACTTGTATTGACATATTACAATACTCGGCCAGCTCCGCGATCGTGTTTTCTAGGCCGTTTTCATAGACCATTTATTTCTATGTCTCTTTCACATGCTGTAAGCTATGCTCTGGAGACGAGACTATGCAGTCATCAAGCAAGCAACTCCAATTTGGTTCCGCACATGTCAGCACTTGTTCTCAAAGTGTTTGACCCAACCATTGTTATAAAGAAGGTCCAGGAGCAAGCAGCTGCTGGCTCTGAAGCTACTGTGGAGAAGGAGACCAGGTCGTATTGCTATAGGCGTGCACTCGTGATAGACCCGAGTTGCATCGACATAGACGCCATCTCAAAGTTCTCGAAAGACTTGGAATCATCGTCGTCAAGCCTTCCACAGTTTCCATGTCTTTTTCTGCATCAGTTTGGGTCCAAAGCCAGTGTTATGGAGTCTTTCGAGCCAGGCCTTCAGATAGAACTTATTTCTACCGAAATTAAACGGTATAGCCCCCATGGTAGAGGGACTGAAGGAGCTCCATCGGGATCCTATCTGCAACTATCCCCCTCGGCTATCATCTGCTCTCAACCTGCTAATACCTCTACTTCCCGTGAGCTGCACAGTGCCCTCAACAGCTGCTATCAAAATTACCTCTTTTTCGTTCACAACACAGTAGGCGGATTGGAACTACTTTGTGACCATACCGTCTTCTTTTACTGCCTCGGTACCAGTGCAACCATACCTCCCATGTATTGTTTCCGGTTAAGCGATGACAGCTCCCGCATATTTGACCTCATCGAAGTGATTCAAAGTACAAATATGAGTACTATCTTCGTCCACTCTATCAAGGAGCAGACATCGGAGAATGAGGCCATCGAGTTTCGAACTTCTCCTAGAAAGCTAGCAAAGCTCACAATAAAGGCAGCCATCCTCCAAGACAAGGGAAATGGGAAGTACAGATTGGTCTGTCCCGATGAAGCGGTCATAAAAACAACAGGAGATTTATTTTTCTATGAGAATGAAGAGCAAACTAATATGTACGTTCAAATACTTGAGGAAAGCATTCGCAAATACCTCTGACAACACCCTCATTCTCCGCTGGGCTCCATGAACGGCTCTGAGAGCTCCCCGGCCTTTTCCGCTGCATAAGATGCCAGATTGTCTGCAGTTTTCTCGTGCTCCTTTGTGATTCTAGCATGCTCCTTCTTCTCCCGCTCCACGCGCAAGCGTCTGCGCAGTATCTCGCGCTTCGCCTCTTTGTCCAGCCTTCCCCGTGTCTGTCTGGCCTTCTTTTCTGCCTGTGCTATTTGTTCCTCTGTCTTTGTTATATATGCATGGTATAACACCAATCCTGTCGTGAGCCCACTCTCTATCTTTATGAGCTCTAGCGTGTAGCGAGGGCCCATCTCAATGAGCCTTACTGGTTTGTCCTTAAAGAATCGATCCAGGTCCGTCTTCGGGTCCCTTACTTTAAGAGTGGAAATGTCATCGATGGTATCCAGATGACCGAGAGACAGACGCTTCTCTCCTAGAAGGACCTTTAGGCTTTCAGACTCAGCATCCAGCGGATGCCGAAGGAGGTAGTGTCTGAATGTAATGGCCCCCGTGTCGTTCGCTGAGTACAAAACGCATCTTTTGAGGGAGCGAAGAGAAACCTCTGCAACATTAAGTTCTGGATACATCCCCTGAATAGTAATCTTGCAGAGGTCTAAGGCCTTAAGTAGCCCAGGGTTGGCATCCTTGATAGCTTGACTTTTGAAACCAGCTGTGATGCAAAGAGCGGGGTAATTCATGGCGAACTGTGGGAGTGGCTCCGTTTTAAAGGCTTTGTGCATATCAACCATAGTGCTGTAATCCTTTAACCGGAAGGTCAGTGTAGGACCCGCAGGAAGCTTGATGATCCTCATCGTCGTCCCCTCCCCAGACGAAGTTAAAATTGTCATGTGGGTTGCCCCCAAGATACCTGAGACGGCAGTGAAGTCCCTAAGATTGTTTCCCTTTCGAACCTTCAACTGAATGAACCCGTATGGCTGAAAGACCTGGCGTATATCTTTGACCAAATCTGCGGCTGCAATGGACACCTTTCCTCTCTTGAAGACAAATGAACGCGGAATCCCGTCGTTTGGGGCAGACTTGTCGCTCGACATTTATTTAATTCATGTTCCCAGAATGTGATAAGAGTAAACAAGGCATCTATTTATTAAGCTTTCTTGGCAGTCAGTGGTACCCTCTGTCCACGGACATGCGGGGATTTATGAACTTGTCAAAGTTTTGATCTAAGATCTCGTAGCACATACAAACGATATCATACATTTCTTCCACAAAGTTTGAGATAGACATGAACATCTGTTTGTCTGTGAGAACAACCAGCTGGAAGTAATCCAGTGAACCGTGCTTCTGAAAGTTACACACTGCCCGTGAACGCTTTGCGTGGTAGTCGACAAAGAGGTTGCGCAAGGACATAGCGGACGTGTCTATGGTCTCGATAACCTCCATAGATATCCCCACGGCTTCCTCTGCCATCACGGTAAGGTTGTCTGCAGCGCCGAGCACCGCCATCCATCTCTTGATGCTTCGCAGTGCGGTCGCCAAGTCTCGACACTGTGCTTCTAAATTCTGCTCCAGCTCAAGGATCTCTTCTGCTGGAAAGAGAAGCACCGGGCTGCTTGTGATGTCAGGGTTGGTCATGATTGGGAAGGCCTCGTTGATGAGGACGCTGTGAACGACTTCGTCCTTCTTAGGTTTGGTATGCTTTGTGGGCACTCTAATGAGTGAGTAGAACCGCTCGTCTAGCTGTGGAACGAGCGAGGCTATGTACTCTTTCGTCTGCTTCTGGTACGTAAAGAAACTGATGGCAATGGAGGGGAGCTTCAGATAAATGGCCTCCTCGCTTTCCCGTTGTACAGCACGCATCTCCTCCTTCATCATGCGCTCCACCTCTCGGATCCTGTTCATACGATCCTTGGCTTCGAGCCGCCGGACGCCCTTCATTTTTGTAGACACCTCGACATTTGCAGCCATTTACTTGGTCACCTGTGGCGTGTAAAGCCTCACTGAAAGCATGGAGTTCGTCTAAAGAGAAGTCTTCGCTTTGTTGCATGCCACGATCTTCCCATCTTTCGTAATGGGGGTGTAGCCAGAGAGACAGGCAGAGCATAAGCGGAGGTCCAGGGAGCAGTCTTGGCAGTTAATGACATTGCACTGCTGGCAACCGTACGATGTAGCGCGGAACCCAGGCATGCAGTCTGTGCAGATATGGCTCGTTTGGTTCATAGCCCTACAGACCGTTTTGCCTATTGTACCGGTTATGGTAAGACACGTGTTCAGGAACCAAAAGACGTCCTTGCCCACGCACGATCGGCACATACCAACAACGCCGTCCGAACACCCCTTTGTGCCTTCGCCAGACAGTTTATAATACTTCTCGCAGACGCCGTCCAACACGAAGTAATCATTAACGCATGTGGTGCAGTATTCTTTTCCAAACAGATTCATGCAGCGCACGCAGTTGGTGATCGTGCACTTGGCTGTCGTACCATCGTCCTGTACCCAGTAGCTTCCTGATGCTAACGTGCACCGGCCTGTGGATGTTCCCGTATCTGCTGGCGAAAGGCAACTGAAGCACCCGGCCATGTTCTCGCCTTGATCGCAAGAAACGCACTTTCCGTCCTTTAACACAGACTGCGTGCAAGAGGTGCAAGTATCAGCGTCATTATTGCAAAGGAGACACTTCTCCGAGCAAACTACACACGATCCACTCTTAAGACCATACCCGTCATCACAGGTTGCACATCCACTGTTGTCAGATTTGCAAGTCTTGCACTTCTGCTGGCCTGCCTTGCACTTAGCCTCGCCCGAGACATCTGTGCAGGCGCTTCCGTCCCCATTGAGTTGATATCCTGCTTTGCATTTTGTGCAAATAACGCGAACAACCTGATTGATAGTAGTGTTCATGTTCCCAGGGGTGCACGTGTCACAGTGGTCAATACCTCCTGCCGCTACATGGTCGCACCTGAAGCAACCGCCCTCAGCGCCTGTGACGTTGTTGTAGCCGTGGAGGAACCATCCCGGGGCACAGTGCATGCAAAATCCAAAGTCTTGGTAGAGACCCGTGTCAGTGCACGCGTCGTGGATTTTCGCTCTATCACTGGTACAAACGCCGTCCACGGGACCAAGCGAAGGACGGCGAAGTCTATCGCACATGATGCAGAGGGGGACAGTGTTCGAGATACACATCAAGCAATCAGCAGGCGGATTGTCGGCAGGACAAGGGCCAAAGCTAAGGACTGTGGCCAGCAAAGAACCAATGAGAAGCATTTTATTATGTTTACTAATTTCATAAGCTCTTGTTGCTTAGTTGCAAAGCAAAGTAAAATGATTCTACACGTTACAACTTGTATTGCAGACAGTCAAGATCAGTTTCTCAAGGCCACCGTCGTCTCTATGGCTCTCTCCTCTACACATGATATTTAAAATTAAAATTCAAAAAAAATTCAAAGAAGACTTATAGTCCATGGCCGATAGCTCCTACAACTACCTGTTTAAGTACATTGTCGTCGGCGACACGGCTGTAGGAAAGTCCTGCCTGCTTCTGCAGTTTACTGAGCAGCGCTTCCAAAACGCGCACGATATGACAGTAGGCGTAGAGTACGGTACTCGAACGATAGAGGTCGGGGGGAAAAAGATCAAGGCTCAGATTTGGGATACATGTGGCCAAGAGTCTTTCCGCTCGATCACGCGCAGTTACTATCGTGGAAGCTGCTGTGCCCTCCTAGTATACGACATAACCCGCAGAGCAAGTTTTGAACATGTTGCAAACTGGCTCGAAGAATGCCGCACCTATGGTGGCGACAAGACCACTATTCTCCTCGTGGGTAATAAGACCGACAGAGAGTCCTCTCGCATGGTCACCTACGACGAGGGGGAGAAATTTGCTAAAGAAAACAACCTCTTCTTCATTGAGACGTCTGCCAAGACGAACAGCAATGTTGAGGAGGCGTTCATGATAATTGCCAAAGCTGTTCTCGACAAGGTTAATTCCGGAGAAATAGACATTACGGATGAATCCTGTGGTGTGAAGGCGGCGTCTACGTCAAAGAACACAGTCAACATGAAGACTGAAGCACCCTCCAAGGAGAGTGGTGGATGCGGATGTTGACCAAGATATGACCGATAAACCTCTTACATTCAGATGGGTAGTAAACTTCCATCACTGCTTCTAAATTTGTAATGGCGCCCAGACAGTCCATACCTATCCCCTGTCTCCGTGGAGTGAATGTTTCTTCACACAGTAAGGGTATGCCTTTTAACCCGGTAGACTCAGGTCCACAGGGCAGCTACTTACCCCCACAACATGTGTTTGAGCCGTTTGGTAAACACAGTGTCTCAGCAGGACTTGAATGTATATCCTCACTAGGCTTCAACTGCATCCGATTACTCGTCTTTCTGGAAGCATGCTTCACTACATCAGGAGGCATTGTTGATGAGTACGTTGATGGTGTAGGGGACTTCATCATGGCTGCGCACGCTCATAGATTCTTCGTTGTCTTAGACTTTCACCAAGACAACTATTCGAGACGTTTGGGAGGCAGCGGGCTTGCAGATGTGTTTCTTCCGGCATCCCTACGTACTGCCCACACGGTCTTCAAGGGACTTGGAGAGTCCTGGGGTTCACAACCTTTGACGGACAGGCGGTACTGGACTTGCTGGATGAGATTTTGGGACAACGCATTGATCGATGAGATGCCTGGTTGGCCGCGCATGGCCCTGCAAGAGTTGTATGTTTATTGTGTCACTGCCATCTTGCAGAGATTATATGCAAGAGATGGCTTGTTCGTTGATGCCATTGACATAATCAACGAGCCTTGCCTGCCAGAAGTATTTGCAGGCCAGCTACTTTTCGTTCCGTGGCAAACCAGAGCCAGGCGTGAACAGCTGATAGAGTTCTACGCACGCGCCATTGCTGGCCTAGAAAAGACTGGATTCCATGGATACTACTTTCTGGAACCCTTCAACTACGACGTGAGCTACCTCATGAGGTTCTCTATAGGACTTGATGGGTGCTGCAATAGAGTGTGCGAGGTTCTTCCCGGATTCGACCGTAAGCGACTTGTTTTTGCACCACACTGCTACCAACCGCTTACGAATGTTGGCCCATCCATAGATTGCATTGTACAGAACCACATAAGATCCCAAGAGACTGGCGGATTTTCGTGGATGGTAATTGGAGAACTAGGTGATGTTACCTATGGTGCACCGGAAGGGGAGACAATCCTGGACAAGCAGCTAAGACGCTTAACTAGTATGGCTATTCCGTGGATTGTCTGGGAGTTCTGCCCTGTCTACGAAGCATCAGAGGCTGAGTCTCGAGACGTATATCGCATCACTAACAACATCCACAGCTTCCCGTGGAACGGAGAATACTGCTCTATTGTGGGCCCGGATCTGAAGCCCTTGCCCATCTATATAAATGTGCTTACTCACTATCTCACTCATCTACAGGAGGGAGCCACCCATGACAGACTTTCTACAAACACTGCACCTTTTTCACCTCAGCAGAAAACTCTCTACATCTTCCCTAGAGATGGGATAGACGCCATCCCAATCTGTCAGCTGCAGCGCCTCATGCGACTTTCTGGACAAAAGGTTTCCACCTGGTCAACCATACAGTGGTACGTTATCACTGAGTCTACCCATGTCCCACCAAACACACAGACCCGCCAGTACCTTCTCGATTTCACACTCAGCAGTTTGGGCTTCCGTCAGTATGTGGACGCCGTGATGTTTGTGAAGCAATATGGAGGAATCATTGTCTGCTTAGACAGATCACTGCTCAGCGGAGCTTACATTTGTGACCTGCTGGCAGAGTAAAAAATGGATACGCTGTCAGCTTATCTGCATAACAAGGCCGTATTTCTGCTTCCAGACTATACGCCATGTTCTCAGAACACTAGCAAAGGAGATGCAAAGCTCGGTAATCAGCCAGATGACGAGCAACCTTGTCTTGAAAGCCCTGCCAATATACCCGTCAATAGCTCATCCTATATCCGAGGAAGTGTCAATCTTCCGGATAAGATAAGCTCTGTCCTTCCAGAGCCATCTCTTACGACCCAGTACTTGCCCACACCAAGCAAAACGGTCACTGAATCTCAACAGAGCCTTGAGACCAATGACGTTCCCCCGTCCTACGGGAACTTTTCAACGCAGCTCTTCAACTATCCACTGAAGGTAAGCACAGTAACAGAAAGTCAGTCGGACGTGCCAGTCCGGCAGCCGACCACATCGATTCCACAGCCCTCATCTGCTACGCAAGTTTCCACCCCATCTGATGACTACATGACTCTATTATCTGATCTGACTAACGTCTCCTTAGAAACAAAGAGCTCTATCCTTCTAGACGATACATTTGATAACAGGATCACGCGGTCTGTTGGTGACTCCAGGGTCCAGACTACTAGGCATCGACATAAGGGATCCCAGCAGCCTCCAGAGAGCAGAAGAGCAGCAAGAGTAGTGCCTGCAACGGAGTATGGATCTTCCCTCCCAGTATCACAACTGGCTCTGTACCAGCATCCAGGGTCGATGCATATGGGGCAGAGACCATATAGTGGATATCTTGGAACAGCAGGACGACCCTCCCAAGTAGCTCTGTTTCATGCATCGCAAGATGTAGTTGCTGAAGCGGACCGCATCATGACACTGATGCACGCCATTAAAGATCGACTTGCATCAGGAGCTGGTCCACAACAGGCACTTGAGCTCCACTACTACGAGCTTAGACAGATGTACCTGGACCTGTTAGAGCAGGTCCTCCTTTGAGTACCTCAATGTAAACTTATTATGTACTACCTTGACCAGCTGACGCTTAAGAACATCAGAAGCTACAGAGACCAGCTTAGTACCATTGTTTTTTCTCCTAACTTGACGATTATTACCGGTCATAATGGTGCAGGGAAGAGTACCCTGCTTGAAGCTCTACTATATCTTTTGAGTCAGGAAAGACCCGTGTATGACCGTATAGAGCCAAAGGTTGCCCCAGAGAACGCAGTAATGCTTATGCAATGTATTTTGAGACACGAACCAAATACTTCGGAGGCGAACTCAAAGACAATAGAAGATCCTGGTTTTGAGCCCCCTTTAAAGGAGGCCGTTAATTGCAAGAAGGTTGATTGCAAGAAGAGTACCAGAGGAAAGAGTGTAAAGGGAATACCCATGACATCCCTGAAAAGCAATCAGGTGCTTCTTGAACTTACACGAACCATTAAGCGTGGAGGAGGGGATAAGGTAAGTTCTACACGGAGAAACAGAACACCCGATTCTCCTGAGTTATCCTCTGCTCTGCAACTGTGTGATGGGCTGTTTCAATATTGCCTAATATGCAGTGAGACCAAAAGCCACTGGATGTTCGAGACACCGGAGGAAATTAGCAAGTCCACTGATCAAATACTCAACCTTGATCGTTTCACCAAGCTATCCAAAGAGTTCCATCCGCCCCCAAAGGAGCTGGCTTCTTCCGAGGTGTGTTACACCACAGCACTAAAGGCTGTCGCCGATCAAGAAGGAGAACTGCACAAGCTTACTAAGGAAATGGCTAACGAAGAGCAGTGCAGAGACAAGCTGAGGAGGGAACATGAGTTGCTGACCATGTTTACTACTGACTTTGCAAGCCTTGCTAAAGCTGGGACTGACCTCTCTAAACTTCTTGGACTTTGTGCTGCAAACAGCGATCATCGGGATATCGCCAAAGACCGTAAGTCACGTCAGATGCAATTGGCCGAGCTTCCTATTTCTACGCTCCTTTCTCAGAAAATATGCGCCAGTGGTGATAGTCTAGTTCTGTACCTGAATTTGCGATCAGAAGATACTGCACTTGCAGAAGCATACACTAATACTCTTAAAGCACACAACATTTCTGGCTCTCACGTTCAGCTGGACGACGCCAAGAGCATATTTTCTAAGCTAGCAAGCGATTCACTCCTTCAAGAAAGCATGCTTTTGGCACAATGGGAGAAGCTTAAAGCAGAATGTGACCCTCAATCTATTCCAAGGTTTGTCGATAAGTACAGAGCTATGCTGGCACAGTTGTCAACGATAAAGAGCAGCCACAGAGATGTCTACACAGCTGTAGCAACGTCAGATAATGTGCACATTAATACGAAGCGCAATCTGATAGAATCATTTTATCAAAATATTATAGACTATCCCAGTGGTCTTGAACCCAACGAGAGCCTTGACAATATCAGCGGTCTTGAAAGCCTCTGTCTAGAGCTTTCGATGATCTGCATGAAGGTATCTGCCATTGACGATGTAATTAATGATAATATAGCACAGAAGCAGCGCGATCTGGAGGCCATTAGGGAGTCTATAGCTGTTTTAGATAACGCAGTTACTGCGGAAGAGCGTAGCCGCGAGGCCACATCGATACTCGTATCCTTGTCTGGCTCTCTTTCTGACAAGTTAGCTGAGCTTCAGAATGTTGAATACGAAGAAAGCTCGAAAAGAAATAGACTTCAAGAGTTGTCTAATAGATGCACTAACCTCAGAACGAGTGCTACGCAACAGCAAAAGGTTCACGAGCGCTTACTGTATCTTTGTGCCAACCACTACGTGTCATCAGAAGAATTAACCAAAATTAGAGATACTCTCAGCGGACTTGATCTTTTAACATATCTTCCCGCACTCCTCCTTGTTACGCTGAACCATCAAAGAAATCCAGAACAGGATATCGGGAGTGCCTGTAGGCTTGTCATGCTTACGTGGGAAGAAAACTGGACTAAGCTAAAATCATGCTTGGATTGTATGGGCTACCCCCACATAGATATCTTAACCAATATCACTGAGGGAATCTCGTCTGACTGTTTAACTCTTTTGAACAATGCCCTTAATTTTATTAATAACAAAATTAAAGATTGCATTGGTATAGAGCTTAGGTTCTTGTTTTCTACCTCTGACGATTTGCCAGGAAGCCTTACCAAAATGGTGAGAAGCGTCTCTGACGCGTTACAAAAGTGGCTTACCACAACGGGGAACATAATCACTGTTATTCCTACACTCCGCAACGACTTTTCTGTTTACATTAACAAGCGTGCTAAGATTTCTGAGGAGATGGCTAAAAATATGCTGGTTCTATTCGAAGGCTTTTTGGACGAATATAAACAAGACATGGCCCAGCAAAAAGCAGACCTTGTCAACGCGATAGTTTCGGCACTCGGTGCCTTTAGTAATATACTACCGATTGCACTAAGTTGCCAAAATTTAAACATACCTTTTGATAAAGCTCATGTTGAGCTACTTGAATTAGAAAAGAACGGACAGGTCATGCATAAAATCATGCTCGACAACAATGAGATATCGAGCAGTGGTGATAGAGCAGACGATACACTCTATCAGATACTTTGCGGCGTGCCAACGAATACGGTAACATGTGACTCCTTTCCATTGCTGATACCTCAATTGGAGTACCAATCTGCAGATTGCTGCACAATAATAGATACAATTAATGCATTCTTTGATAAACTTATCCTAGCTGCAAAGGGTTTAGAAAGCACACGTGTCGACTCTGAAAATGAACTGAATAGCCTAAGGATACAGCTTAGCGACGAGGAGAACAGCCTTGTATTAGTGAAGCAAGAGTCTGAAGAGCTAGAGAGTCGCGCCAGCTCTATGCGGTTAGAGATATCAGAGCTCAAGGAGCAGTTTCTTGCGACGTCTATTGATGGGCAGCCGTACAGCATAAACTATGCACAGAAACTGGTTAAAGAAGACATGCAAATCGGTGAGAAGTTAAAGCATTATGGCGAAGAGCGAAAGAAGCTGTCGCTAAAGATGGACGCATTGAAAGAGGAGGTCGATGCGCTGATTCTTGATACTACGCAGATCTCGCTATCAGAGTCTGCTACTGTGCCTCTTACTCATGCGGAGTTCTTAGGGATGAAGGAGGCACTAGAGAAGATCAAAAAATCTCCTTCAGCCACAGAGATTGAATCCGCAGCAAGCAGCTATCAGGTAGCACACGACAAAACCCTTTGCTTGCAGACAATACTAGCTATTTTGGAAGAGTACGCTATTGTCGATGAATTTCTATCAAAGCTGCTAGCATTGTTAGATAGGGTTCGCTTACAATTTGCTGGATCCATAGAATACACTTGCTGTGGAGAGCTGCTGAACATGGTTAAGAGAACAGAGGAAGAGCTCACCAACAAGTGCCAGACGCTTGGGGATGTGCTGAATGGTCTTACAACCATGTCTTCTCTATATGAGAGTGCAAGAAGCCAATCAGCAATGGAATTATATAAAAAGGAGGGAGTAACAGGAGAACAGAAAAAGCAACATGAACGACTAAAGGGAGAACTGCACACGGCAGTAGAAAGGTATGCACAGAGCAAGGCGTCCCTTTTGATAGTCAAGGGGGCAAGTACGCTTTCAATACTCATGCAGCGAACTGTGAAGGAGTTCAAGCACATGCTTCTGAAAAAGCTGAACAGCAAGCTCCAATCACTGTGGAATCAGTGCTATGCTCGTACAGGAGCCACGAGAAACGAAATATCAACTGTACGCCTTGCAATCACTCAAGTAGGAACAGGCGACAAGGCAAAAGACGTAATCGAGCTGCAGGCCATATGCACCAACCCGGACACCGATTGTCCTGTGGTTCGCTCGTTTCGAGAAGCATGCTCGTCAGGGCAACAAGTCCTTCTTTCCATTCTTCTACGACTATCTTTTAGTTATATTTCCATGTCGCCCTTCTCATTCATTGTGTTAGACGAACCTACAAACTATCTAGACAAAGAAAACAACAAAAACTTAGCCCACGTGCTGGCTGATTTTATATCTAGCGCACAAAACACCCAGGTTGTTGTCATCACGCACAGTCTAGAGTTTCGCGATGCTCTTATTGCAGCAACTAACAATACCAATACGCGCGCCTACAAAATCTCAATGGAACCTGGAGGTTCAACAATTCGAGAGATTGCATGGGGATTGGATGACGACCTGACCTACTAGTAAAATGACAATAACTGTTTGCGCTTATGTGCGCAGACGGATTGGCATCGGTGCCTCTATTTCATGGTGGCAGGATCCAGAGAAAACTGGGATGCGCTGCGGATACGAGTGTCAGCAAAAACTTCCTGGGCACGAGTCTTCCCTGCCAGAAGCATGCTTTCCTCAACAAGGAGTGCTTGCGAGGCCATGCGAAGAAGATCCCGCTGACCATAAAGCTTTAAAAGAAATGCGTCTCTATCTCGGGGGTTCAGTCCCTGGAAGGTATGACGCCCATCTATGTTTATGCTCTTCTCATATCCCTCGGGTATCCGGTTCTGTGATAATTCATTGATCTCATGCTCAACATCTTTGAAGCACCCTGCAACAAGGGTTCTCACGGGGGCTGGCGTCGTGGCTAGTCGCAGGCGGTCCTCACGTGCATGGCGTGCGTGCATCATAGCCGCTCGAAGCGCGACTTTGAGCTGTCTATTTTCATCCTCGAGGTGTTGTATTTGATCGCGGCGCTTAAACATGCGGGATCGGATATCTCCCTCGGGTTCCTTAGGTGGCTTGGCTGTTGCTGGCCGTATGTCACTGGGTGTAGAGTGCTTAACAGTATTATCCGCAGAATAATAATGGTTTTCTGCTGTAAGGCGGTTAAGAACTCGATTGATAGCATCTACACGTGATACGGACGACGGTCTAGACTGAGCAGCAGAGGCGGGGCGCGCGGGTCCCGGTGCGCTACTCGCCAGCGCACCAATAATAGCTTCATCAAGCGCAGAGACATCTGAGAATTGAGCACTAATGCGCTGAATTTCTTGTGCAAGTTCCACCTTACGGCAAAGATTAGTATAATCCCTTTGGGCAACCGCCAACTGAACGCGCAGTGCAGTTAGCTCTTCGCTATCAAGTTCTCGTGCAGTCCTGAGATTGAAAAGTATGTCCTCCTTTGCATCCAGAACGGTGGAAAGTCGCTTACATTCCTGACGCAAAAAGAGAAGCTCTGCCAACAGCTCGCGAGAAAGACCTTTGTCAGCATTCTCAGCCTTCAGAGTTCCGTTTTCATTTCTAAGTTCTGCTAGATTATTCTCGAGTTGACAGATTTTCATTAAGAATTCAGACTTTGTCTGGGTTTCTCGGGCTGCAAGCTCCTGCCGCTTACGGTGTTGCATTGCTTCTATTTGTGCTCGAATTGAGCGCCGCAGGTGCCCTAATTCGGCTATTTCAGGATGTGCGCCAACGCGGTTTTCTCCTGCAACCTTCTCTTCCAATTTTGCAATCGTCGCACGAAGTTCACGTTCACGAACTGTGAAGCTATCTTGCTGGTATGCAAGGTATTCGCGGTTTCTGGCGAGCTCTGCGGTCAGAGATGCAACCTCGGCCGCCAGGGATTCGCTACGCTGGACAAGCTCCGTATATGTTAGAGGTCTATTTTCTGCTGTGCTCGGTCGCGACCGCGATCGTGAATATGCTGTACTCTTGCTCACGGCACTCTCTGGAGGTGTATACCCGGGTTCTCCTGGCCGTATGACGTGACCTGTGGAAGTGACTTGGAGGGGTTGATAATGCTTGTCAAACTCTTCCTGCTCAAGAGCTTCTTCGTGTGTGACCAGGTCAGGAAGCCCAGACCTAGATGCTTTTAGAGAAGTGGTCATTTTTTTGTCTTGATGGAGACGCCGGCTCTTCTCGCCTCGTTTGTGCTTCTTTTATCTGGGCTCTCTGATAGTATGTCTAGCTCCGCTGTCCATCCAGCCATGCACACAGTCGCACCACTCCCTCGCGACGCGTCGGTTCTCGATAGGCTCCTGTACGCGCTTCTACGGACGTTCCTTACGGGCCCAAACATTGCTGCAGCCATCAGACGCGTCAATACAATTCTTTCTGCCGGCAATCCCACGGATTCTGCGCCAACTGCATCTCTACGGCTTTCAGACCTTGACTCACCTGAGTTGCTGCATTCTAGCACCAGATTCTGGTCTCTGCGTGTGGATGATTGCTTGTTTGAAAACATATCTCTCAGAGCTGCGTCTCCTGATGTGCGATTGGAGCCAGGTCAGTCCATAATATTAGCCAATATTTACATTACGGGTCTCGTCACTGTTACCCTTTCACTCCAGCTTGAAGTTGGTGGAACCACTTTTGATTTAAAAGCCGTAATTCTTTTCAGATCCTTCCAAGGACGCGCAGAGATCACGCTGGGTACTCTTGTCGACGATATCTTTTATTCTCATGGCCCAGCAGGGCCCATTGATGCGTCCTTATATGATGTTGCGGAAACAGAGGAGTACTCTTATCTTAAGGAGCTGCTGCCTTGTGTGGCAGCTCCTACCTGCGAACTCTTCCTCCAAGCATTTGAACAACCAGATTTAGACGTTACCTTGATTCTTGACCCAAACCATCCTGTGCTAGCTGTGGCTGCACGGGCACTTTTCGTCAAACGAGCCGCTGAGCTTTTTATTCGATGGAGCTTGCGCCGCCTGCTCCACTCCTTTAAGATGCACTTAAATAACTAAAGGGTCCTGCCACTGACCACTCCAGGGCAGCACACGCCCACTTTCATAGACGTTGAGAAGAGCCCTACCCAGTCCTATAACGGATTGAGATAAATGTACACAATTTAATATTTTATTTAACTTAAGATAACGATAGTTGTTGACTTCCGATCAAGCAGTGTTTGAAAGTTAAATCATGCGGCACCAGCTTCCTTAGACAGTGATGACGTCGGGGTTGTCCTTGTTGATTGCCAACAGATAAAGTCGCCATGGAAGGTTTGAGCTTTTGCATGGACAGGTTGGTTACCTCCTTGAACATAGAGACACTGTATAATGTAGAGAGCTCAGCTCGATGGTTTACTAGAAAACCATACTAAAACCTCTATAAAGGGCTGAAGGAGAATATGGATACTTGTAAACATATTTATTCAAATACTTTTTTGAATTATATTGCAGATTGCATAGGCTGAAATGGGGCGCTTCGTCTGCATATCTTGTTTAATTACATACTGACGGTCTACATTAACGTTGTCAGACGATCAATGGGTCACTCAACTCTAGCATACTGCACCCTTACACAATAACCCAGATCGTTCGACGAAGGCCTCAGCTCTGTTGACACTGCGGCTGGTGAGCTGGCCACAATCTTATGGAAGATTAGCAGAGAAGATTGAAGGCTCACTTTAATTGAGTTGGCCACACGTTAACTCAAAAAATGCGATCGTCTAACAAGCCAGAAAGTGCTCAAGTGTCAAGAAGCACGCGCGCACGTACTCCAGACATCACCGTAAGTGTTAACTGGGGCGTCCTAGACCAGACTAACATCTTGGAGGCAATCAAGGCCCATAATGTCAAGACGAATAGGTCGCTCATTAGGAATCAAAAGGAGCTTGCCAGGAGGCTGTACTTTAACACAATGGACATATATTTAACTGATCTTTCTTCAGTGTGCTGTTACTTGAAGGGGCTTCTGCCGTTTCGCCACGTTGACCTGCAAGGCATTCTCAAGAAAAGAGAGCTTGCCCAGCTCTTTTCGTCAAAGATAATGGCCATCTTATCAAGCGAAGCCAGAATTCCACTGGAGTTTGTCTCTGATTCGCCCATCACGCACAGCCAAAAGGAGGAGCTTGCTGAGGCCTTCCTTGTCAACAGACACGAGAGGTCTCTTGGAGATGATATTTACTCATATAACAAGGCAGCAGAAGAGATCATATGTCTGTACATTTCCGACATGCGCCATTTAAACCGGATAATTCGCAAACGAGGGCTTTCAGCGCCCGAAATCACAACAAAGGACATCATCGACCCATCAGGTAATCTAAAAAACAACATCTTCACCAAATCTTTTCGCATATTAGTTCCTCTTTCTCTTTCTAGCTTTGGCCGAAGCAATGTATTGCGAGAGGACCAGAGTGAGCATGCACATGAAGACATGACTCTTAGAATTGCTGATCTGGGAGCAAATTCTGTTCAGCGCAGCACTGTATCTAGTGCCAAGCAAAAAGGATCAGTAACATTTTCCATCAAAGATCCAAGCCCTGGGTCCTATACCAACCATCTTAGTGGGGTCTCGCTTTACGGTGAATCGCTGGCAGAGTTTCAAGAAAAATTTGACCTGTCCCAGGTGGAAAAATATCGAAACCAAGCCAAAGCTCTGCATTCTGAGCTTCGGGAGAAAGACATGATGCTCCAGGAAGCAAACGACACTATAAGGGAGCTCAGAAGGCAACTTCAAGACTCAGATGATGCTAATGAAGACCTAAGGGCTGAGAATTTATCACTTAGAACCGCCATTGACACTTTAAAGACCACAGCAGAGTATGAAAGCCTTGAAAAGGAGAACATCAGGTTACAGGAGAAGCAAGCGGTGTTAAGGAAACAATTAGATGACGCACTAAGGCTTACTGGACAATATAAGGAGCAACTTTTCATCCAGAGCCGAAAGTTTGATACACTCATCAAATTTGTTAATAAGGAGTGCAGTACCTTTAATGAAATAGTGACAAAGTATAACTTAGACAGGGACATATTTGAAGTGGATCCCCACAGTTTTTATGATCAGTCCGCAATGCTCTCCAAAACTCTTATTAATACTGACGATGCATCTATATCAATACGGGCTTCAACCATTCTTCGACATGTGGCTAAGACCATGCACAGCCTGATACAGGAGGGAGAAAAACTTGTGCTGAGACTCCGGATAGGCCCACTCGATAAAGAAAGACTTGAGGGTTTAAATGATGTAAGTATACTAACTGGACTTGACGATGTCGTTACGCTACTGTTTGAACACCTGGGCAGGACACTGTGCTAGATACATTTCTCCATATTTGATTGTCGTATTGGTCTACTGCCCCGATGCAGACGAATAGCCTGCGTGCCCGGCTTACAGCCACAAGAGATCTGCAGAGGTTATTCCTGAATTCATTACCTCTGGGCTCCGACAACGACAAGAAGACGACATCTGCCTCGAGCCCCTGATATCCATCGCTGGTTTCGATATCCAAGTTAAGACGCACCTTCAGGTGTGTATCGCTGTCTGTGGTGAACGTAGTATCGCTGCACATGTTCCGCAGGACAGCTATGACAGGGTCGGAAAGAATGTACTGCTTTTGCGAGTGATATAACGATAGCAGAGCAACACTGATAGAGACCTCGTATGCATTGATCGCTGGATTGTATAGTAGCAGGGCCTTGCTTTGAGGCGTCGAACTGTTGCTTATTGTCCATAATCTACTCTGCTTCACCAAGGTTAGTTTGCCAACTGCCCGAGGAAGTCCCTATGCAAGTTATTATACTGGGCGTGTCTCTCGCTCTTCAGCAACCGAGATCCAGATCTCACAGGTCAGACGTCATCCACTTTGATGGAAGAAGATTTATGCCCCTCCCCCGAGGCGATAGAGAGGGCAACGGAGGGCCGAAGCTAGTGATGGTACTAATCACTCGCCCCGCTTGTCCAGACAGACCCACACGTGACCCATATGAATCCCTCGACAAGAAATAGGAGTTGGGGTGCTTGGCTGACAGAGGCGGACTGATCCTGCCTGCACCGGAGAGTGGTGGCGGTCTGGGTCACTTGCCGGGGGTCTACTACAGCAGCTGGCAGTGCCTGACACCATCGAGTAGACGGGTGCCGATTGTAGAGAGACGGCCTCGGTGAACCGGTCCTGACTGCTCCTGGTGCCTCAGACGACGCCTCTCAGAGATGCGGCCCTGGACCAACCGTCTCGACAGACCGAAGCATCACCCCCAAGCGTGCTGTGCGGTGCAGATGGACCAGCCCACAGGTCACTGAGCCAGACGCACTGCACAGGGTGAGCATCGACATGATCTCGTCCTGGGTGACGGAGCACCTGCAAGAGCGCCCTGCGATCCATGAGCAGAGGGCCATACTTCTCCCCGACACAACACATGGGAGTACTCCATCGACATCCACGAATGCGTACCACAACCTCAAGATGGAGGCGTACGTGGAGCGCACCCTCCGATCATACTCGAGACTGATGGTATAATCCACGAGGAGACGAAGAGGCACCCCGAGGAACGGGGTAGACACCCGGGGTCGTGGCGTGCAATCTTCGTCACGGAGCACCAGAGTCACGCGGAGGCCAGGCTGCTGTGACCGACGGTAGCCCCGAGACAACGGGTGCTCACTAGATATCAGACGATGGTTGACCCCGACGGGCCAGAGGGAGGGAAGTCCTAGGGGGCACCGCGAGGAGCGGCAGCTTTTAGGAGAGCTGGGACATAGGGGTTCTTCCGCCGGAATCGAGGGCATCCGACTCTCGGATCTTGGACGGTAAGCAGGAGACCCATCCAGTGCAGTAGCTTGCACGAGGGAATTTGCTCAGATACACCTAGTGAAACGTGTCTGTTCGTCACATCCCCTACTTTTCCCAAGTCAAACGCTAGAGCCTTGGGGGCCTATTGGTGTTTTGTTGAGGACTGCTATGCACAGACCCCAGACGTTCGACTAGACAGACTATCAGTGAACAGGTTTATTGGCGACCTTTGGTCTGAAAAATTAGCGAGAGTCCGGCTCTACTTTCCGACTGCCCTGCGCTATGGGTTTTGCATATCTGTCCCCCGAGGAGCTTACAGAGCAGCATCGACGTGGGACAGAGAGAAGCAGTGTCAGGGCACTCCAAGACACAGAGGAAAGGTGTCGGCGACAAGCGATGTGGCGTCGCATTGACTCCCAGGTGCGCAGAGACGACGTAGCAATTACTGCGTGTATGAGCCAGCTTCGGGGACTAAAGCTACAGGCGGCGCACTATCTCGATGTTCTAAACAGCACGACGACGGCAATTGCAGATCTTGAGGCCAAGATACATTTGCTGAGCCTGAGCTCTGAGGACATCAAGACACAGCTATGCAGAGGCTCATCGTGCTCTTCAATGAAACGCTCTTGTAGCTCTTCTCTTATTGCAGACCGTGACAGGCTACAGAGTGATATGGCGCATGGTTGGAAGGTGCGTGAATCTGACGGCTTTCTTCCTCACAGCTCTTCACCTCGGCCCAAGCATTCTCTTTTCTGGAAGGAGGTCCACTCATCTGGGCAGCCGGCTCAAATGGCCTGCGAGGATTCATTCTATGATTCACCCTCTGAGGAATGCGAGGCACAAACGTGTGCACTCGCTGGAAATATAGCCCGCAAGTCGGCGGCAAGCATCCGTTCATCCCGCCACAGGCGTCTCCGCACATCAGCCATCAGACCGCATGCCAATGGCAGGTTTTCTGACCCCGTTGCGTTTGACGAGCTCGACTATTTCAGGAGAAAAGTTTCTGCATTGCCACCTATGGAAGATCTGGTCTCCTTACGTGCAGGCCATCCAGAAGAACAGAACACAGTAGGCGGAACGTCTCTGTATTCTGGAGAGCCACGTCTCAATGAGCCCCCGTGCAGCAGACCCTCGTCAGAAGACCCTCGCCAGCTCAGGAAGAACCTTTTCACCGTGATCGATAAGTATCGCAATGGGTGTACATACTCGCTGATCTCCCTCTTTCCGCCGCTCGACAAGCTCTACCAGCTCTTCGCCGACGCGCAGCCGGCTCTTTCGGCTATCAAGGCCTCCATTATGATAGGTGTGACCCTTTTTAAGATAGCAGAGTTTGTTCGCGAGCTCCTCAGCAGCGACGCCTTCTATAAGTTTGTGCTTGCTCTGGAGCCAGCGGACCTTCCTCGCCTACCTGCCTCCTTGGCAGAGGCTCGGACCATTCTTAGAGATGACGGCGCATCATCGCACGGTGATAGCGATATTTACAATACAGTCAACTTACTGGTGTCTCTACGCATGTACGTCAGGGCCCACTGGTTTGACTCCGTTCAGTCCAGCTACGGCAACTTCCTGCACCGCTACTACCTCAAGTTCCTGCAGATCAACAGCATGTCCAGGATCACTGTCCCGCTGTGGCCCCAGTACAAGCGCGTCCGCCTATTCAATGCAGAGAGGCACCTTTTACGAGACGGCGAGCTGGACTTTTCGTTCCTCTATGCAATCCTCTCCACATTTGCCATCCTCCACGAGTTGCACATTCTGCCCGTTCAGAGGGCCACCTACGGATATCACGAGCTCAGAATGTGTGAGCACGCAATGGAGCACGGCACGATGGTGCAGCCATCGAGTGGAGCAGCCAGGTACACGTGCATCTGGCCTGCGTGGGTGGACAAATACAATAACACGTATATAGGATCTCGATTTCGTAGGCACAGATCAGCGCAGTCCTCATAGGGCTGCCCAGTGGAGCTGTACCTACTGTGCCCCCGTACTCTTTAAGGGCCACGAGAAGCCCTGGCTCTTCACGTTTGCAATGACCCTCTCTGTCGAAAAGCTGGTCGGCTTGCCGCCGAAGATCCAGTTTTTGTAGGCAAGCATCATGGTCAACACGAAGTTGTCACACCACCGCGAAATGTTGAAGAGATTCGATCTATTCTTTAGGATCCGCTTCCGTACGCTAAAATAGTAGCCGCTGTCTACCGCCAAGCGGGTGCACAATAGTACGGCCTCCCCTTGGGACGCGCAAATCAGGTCTTTGCATTCCAGGACGCTCAGAAACGAAAGGGTCTTCCGGCTAAGAATGTATTCCCCTACAAATCCGACGACAGGAACACCTGACCACAGCGCGTCGAGCACGATGGTGCTTCCGTTGCACTTCAAGGTGTCCACGAACACATCAACGGCCAGGTAGCGCCGTATGTGCTCCACCTTCATCGGAAGCATGCTTAGAAAGATGACCCTATCCAAGATGTCCGGCGCCTTGTGCCTAAAGAAGGCCTCGATGTGCAGCTGAGACGCAGGGGGAAACTTGAGGAGCGCATAGTATGCATTGGGCACACTGCGCAGCAGAGCGGCGATGATTCCCAGCGTCCCCATGTCGAACTTGTACACTTGATTGAACGTGCAGAACAAAAAGCAGTTAGCCGGTATCCCGTAGAGCGCGCGGATGTTCTTGCGATATAGAGGCAGCTCCAGACACACGCGGTGACTGGTGAGATCAGAATTATTTTCACTCTTCTCCATGCTAGCTGGAACTGCCGCTTCCGAAGCGATTCTTTGCAGCGGATAAATGGCCTTCAACAGCGGCTCCATCTTCTTGATCATGGATCTATCTCTGCCGCCAACCAACCGTCCGTTTCGGATCGGCTGGACCTGGAAAAACACATTGTCACCGGTGATGAGGATTCTATCGTTCATCAAAAGCTCGTCCCTCCCCTCGCTAGCCGAGTTTGTCGACACCCCATTCTTAGTCTCCCCCTTCATCTTCGCTATTTCTGCCAGCTCCAGCTCCAGCTCTAATATCTTTGAGCTGTGGGCTCCCTCGTCCTTGTCGCCGCCTCCAATCGGTGCTTCCGAATGTGTGCGGCTCCCTATTCCACTATCAACAGACGACGACGTTGCATCGCTTCCGTCCAGGCTCAGAATATTCTCTCCAGCAGCGCTGTGATGGTTCACATCTATATCGGGCTTGCTGTCCTGAATGAGACTTCTGACCTCCTCCACAGTGACCTTGAGGATGTCCGCGTGCTCCTCCAGGAGAATCGCATTGCTATAATGCATACTATGGCTGGGGCAAATGAAGCACCCCGGCATTGTGATGACATGCTCGGAATACAAGTGCGCATAGCCTGGTGGTATGCAGTATTGATCCGCAAGAATATAGTCGAGATAGTTGCTATTAGTGGTTCCGCCGTGCGTCCAATAGCTTATCTGGATCGGCGCCGGCCGCATTGCCAGGATCCTTCCTTCCAGACCACAATTATGCTGACACATAGATATCATGATACAAATCCCATCTCCGTTTATTCTCTGAGCACACAAAAAGGGGTTGTTCTGGTACTTATAGTTAGTAAAGTCTATGAAATTGCTACAGTGAGCTTCAAGAGAAGTGCGGAGGGCGGATTTGTCGGAGGCAACTGTGCTATAAATGGATAGGGATGCTACTTTGGGATCGATATTGCGTAGCCACGACTCAAGGATGCAGCCAATCGGGATGGAGTTTATGTCGTCACATAACACTCCGAGCCTCAGAGGTGACTTAAGATTGACAATATCAATGTATGAAATAGGGCACTTGGAAGAATGCTTGGATCGTGCTAGGGTAATCAGGGCCCTATCATATGAAAAAATTGGTCCGTGTGTTATGTGCTGCGAATCTCTAATGACGGATTTAATGCTTTGGAATCCTATGGCTGTGCAGAGAGTAGGCCCAGGTGTAAGCATAGCAAGAGGCACCATAGAATCGGCGGCTGATTGGTTGAGCGGAAGCATGGAGAGTTGGAGTTGAGAGCTAGAAGATACGGAGTTGATAAGACCTATACTTGGCGGCATTGGGCGTTGATGAATAGAAAGATCCAGGAGCGGGGTAGACATCATATCTATGTTCTGCTTCACCCAATTAACATTCTGCTCAGAGTATCGCTGACAAATAAATCTCAGTTGAGACGACGACAGCCGGTAAAGATAACAGTGGTAGGGCATTATTGGAGGGAGAGGGTGGCTTGGAAGAACCACCCCTTTATTGATCGCATTCTGGACAGTCAGATATTCGTGGATATAATCGTCTATGATTTTTGAGATCTTTCGCATATCTAAGGTATCGTTATGGAAAATGCCCAGTATTTGCTTCATATGGATGTAGTTACAAAATGCATGCCTGTTGTCAGGATCGAGCTCGATACACTTACTGAAGTCTAAATAGGCCGTTTCAAAGCGGTGTAGTTCAGCATAGAGCACCCCTCTGGCAAGATATCCGTCAAGAAAACGGGGGTTCAGCTCAATAGCCCTGCTGTAATATTGAAGCGCCTTCTTGTTCTCCTCGTCTGCCTTCAGTATGTTGCCAAGGTTATAAAATGGCTCGTAATATTCTGGAAACAACCTTGTGCATTTAAGCAGACCTTCAATGGCCAAGGTTTTAGAGTTCTCCTTCAGCAACAGGACGCTAAGATAGTTGATGGCAAAAACACAGTCGTTATCGAACCAGATGGCAACCTCAAAACACCTCCTTGCTTGCTTGTAATACGTAGGAATGCCAATGCGGTAGTAGATCAGCCCAAGATTGGTATACAAGATTGCCAAGTATCTCTTTGTTTCAGCTTGGAAGGTTGGAAATAGCCGTGATGTGATAGTCTCTTTTTGAGCAAATGAGGACTCTAGCAGGCTGAAGCTCAAGTTTTCAGCGCTCAGCATATATACGTCATTCATTGATGAGGGTGTTCTTGATCTGCCAGGGTTACTTTCAACTAGAGGCTTTTCGCTAGCTATCTTGTCACTCTTAGGGGACTCTTTTTCCTGTGGCTCCGTGATTGGCAGATTGAAGGATATAGCGTTGGTGCCAGTGAAGGCGGCTTCTACATTAAACCCCTGATCTTTGCTAAATGCACAGAGGTCTAAATATAACGTATTTAGAAATGCCATTATGAACTCCCAGTCACTACTTACAGCGGTAGCTGTGGTGATAGTTGTCAAAGAATTAGCCTTCATTATTCTTGACAAAATAGCGCCAGCACTAAACTCGCCCCTAATAAACAAAACGGTGGCTTCATCGAAAAACTGTAGAGACTTGTACGGCATCTTTAGCTCTTCAGAAACTAATATACCTAAATTATATACCACTTCTCCCAAACAAAGGTTGCTGATTCCCACGCACGAGTCTACTGCTTTAGTCAGCATCTCTGCAGCATCATAGAAGTTCCTCATGTCGCGATATACAAGACCAAGTGCCACATATCGAGCAAAGCTGGGCTGATATTCAATGGACTTCTTAAAGTGATTGACTGACCGGTCAAGGTTCCCTAGAGTCAATTCTAATTTTCCAATGTTATAGCATATGGTAGAGTGTAATTCGATTATGAGTGGCAGGTGGGTGCCCAGTGTACTTGAAGGAATCAGCGTGCACCCATCCCTAAGCAAGCTCAGGACTGTGTCATCTTCTTGGTTCTCTTTAGACTCGTTAATCGTCAGCATGTGGTGCTCTACTTTTAGAGCTTTCTCTTTATCTTCATCTACCGTGGAGACACAGTTGTCGAACAGCACGGTGATCGGTGACAATGGTGGCCTGGTTATTTTCTCTGGGTCTTTTATTATGTCTAGTGCCTGCTGAAACTGATCAAACGCTAGCGTGTGATTCCCAAGCTTGCTATTACAGATGGCTAGGTTGTTCAAAATGGTCGCAAGAAATGTGTCATATGTGTCCAAAACGCCAAATAGCTCTTTGAACGGGCCTATGTCCTCCTTGAATTGCTTTGAAAGGGTGATGGTATTTGAGGTAGAACTCTCGACTATAGAAGAAAGTAATTTCTCTGCTTCTGAATATCGCTCACACATCAGATACAACAAGGCTAACTGTGCTAATACTTGTACGTTATCAACAGATACACTCTGATTTTCACTAAACAATCCGAACGCTGTGTCTAACATCTGCAATCTTAAAAGGATAATCATCTGCCTCTGAACTATTTGGGCGTAGACTTGTGTCGGGAGCCCCTTCTGTTTAGATTCGGCGACAGCCTTCTCATAAGCTGCAAATGCTTGAATCCAATCCTTCTGTTTAAAGGATATCTCGCCTTGTATAGCGTAAAGAAAGATTAGTGCTTCTGGCTCATTCTTCGCGTGTAGCTGCTTGTCTATGAGTTGAATAAGATCGCTATATTGTTTGTTGCGGAAAAGCTGTGCGATTTTATCCATAAGTGCCACCATTTAACTGTGATAAATGGTGGAGTGTAAATCTGTTAAAGGCGTATTTGGCTGTATAATTCCAACAGTTGCATTTTCATCTCAGCCGCTCCTCAGCCACGGGCTACCGTATTATCCTTTGCGTCTTCGTACCAACCTTGTTCATAATTATTTACACTACAACTGCCTAACCTACTTGACGTCGTGTCTGCGAAGAAAAGGCTAACAGACTGGCGAAAGATCCTGCAAGGACCTCACATCCGTTAGGACTACGTATTTCCCGCTTGCAATCTTGGCAACCAGACAGCAGCTCTCGGTCACCCCAGTGACAGTCAGGGGGCCATACTGAGCATGCTGATACTGCCTGCCTATTGTTGTGCATGCCTGGCTATATAACTCCAATGCCATGCTGTCTGGGATGTCTGCTGCAGCTAGAAGCTCATTGGTGAGGTATCCTACGAGGTCTATCGTTTGGGTGGACGGATCTAGGTGCTTTGCAAAAGCAGGAGCCTTAGAAGTCCCCGGAGGAGCCACTGCTACGTTAATTCCAACGCCGATAAGAACGCGGTCAGGGCATAGCTGCTCACAAAGAAAGCCGGCACACTTTTCGCCGTCTACTATGATATCATTTGGCCACTTAATGGTGGAGGCGATTCCGTAGTACTCAAAAAGCCTGAGAAGAGCAAGCGATGTGCGCAAGTACATAGAGGACGGGGAGAACACATGGACGGGGAAGGACCACGTCGCCGCAAGGTTTCCAGCAGCTGACTGCCAGGGCCCTGTACGCCCATATCCAGCCGTTTGGTTCCATGTGTGAAAGATGACGATATGGTCGTTTGGAGAATACGTATACTCCTTGGCAACAATCTGGGTTGATATACATTCTTCCATATGAACAAGTGCTATCTTTGTGGACCCCACTATTGCGCTAATTACCCTTTCCATTTTATGCCTAAAGAAAACTAGAGAGTGTCAACTGTAGTCTGTAGACATTTAGAGAATCTAACCATCAAATGGATCATCATCGTCATTCGCAAAGGGTTGTCCAGATTGATCCTTAAAATCTCTTTTTGTCGTTCGAGGGCCACGGCGTGAAATCCTATTTGCATCGTTGCTATCAGCGTCATGGTCCAGGAATTCAGGTGGCAGAGTCGCCGATTCGTTGTTTTCTTTGAAGTATCCCGCCAGTGCGTCTACCATTTGCCTGTCGGTACACGGAAGGAATATGGATATAGCATGGCCGAACTTTCCGGCACGACCTGTCCGCCCACAGCGATGCACGTAGGAGACATGCTCCTTGGGTATGTCGTAATTGATCACATGCGTTACGCCTTCAATGTGAACACCCCTGGCGACTGCATCTGTCGCAACAAGGATACTTCCCTCGTCGTTCTTGAATTTCTCTAGGGCCGTTTCCCTGTCAATCTGCGGAATGTCTCCATGAATAATGCAAGACTTTCCGCCGTAAAGCTTTGACAATTCGTCGTGTATCTCATCGGCCGAGATCTTTTTGTTGACGAAGACGATAATCCTGACGGAAGCAGATGCTTCGCTTGTCTCCGGTGACTGATCTTTTGACTGCTGTTTTAGTGATGAGCACCAAGCACGATACTCATCTTGGATAGACGTCGCAATTGACGTGAACACGCCATTGCCTTGGAGCTTCTCCATTGAATCATCGAATGTTCCATCCATAATGCACTTCAGTAGATCAATCAAGTATATATTTTTCTGCTTAATGCTTTTAGCAACGACAATATGCTGGATTACATGCTTGTTGACACTTGCTCTGTAGTTTCCAATGCCTAAGAAGACAGTGTTTTCGTTTAAATAAGACTGTGCCACTTCACTCACCTCACTTGGCCACGTAGCGCTCCATAGTAATGTTTGTCTGTTGGACGCAGAATTCGTAAGAAGAATGTCAAGCTCGGCCTTAAACCCGGAGGATAGTATGGCGTCACATTCGTCTAGAACAGCGTAGGTAACACGCGACAGATTGATGAGATTGCGGCCGTAAAAGTAGCCAAATATTCCTGGCGTCGTGACAAGTATATCAAGGGGTTCGACCATCATCTTTTTGTAGTGATCTCTCCAGTCTTTGCCGCCATAGCTTACGGCAGCATAGAGTGGCCTCAGGGGGGTTTTCTTTGTTCCGTCATATGCAATTTCATCCCCGTAGCATCTGTAGAGCATGGAGTTAAAGTGATCTAGGAGGTTTTCAATCTCCATATATATTTGCGATGCAAGCTCGCGTGCTGGGGCAAATACAACCACAATGGGCGAAGGAACAGCCTCTGAAGTTGGTGGTTGGGCCGCAGCATGCAGCAATGCAGGAATGGAGAATGCATGCGTCTTTCCCGAGCCTGTTTCTGCGATGCCTATGCAGTCACGCCCTTGTATGAGTATAGGCCAGGACGCGGCTTGAACGCATGTTGGTTTAGAAAACTTGTAGTGGTTTTTTAGTATAGTCGATAGGCAGCAATCTCCCGCTTTCTTTGTGAATTGAAGATCATACATGGCATTTGAAAAATGTGGATCGAGCCCTGAGAAGTCGAAGAAGATGACAGGCTCATAGTCCCCATGGAAGACCATGCTATGGCTCTGGAGATATTCGTGAATCTCCTTTGTGGCTTTGGCGGATGCCTGATCAGTTGCGCAGTAGAAATCCTTTTGAAAGTCATCGAGTTTTGCAACTTCTATGGGCCCAGACGGCCAGGATATGTGCATCCGACTCTCTCGCAACTTTCTGCGGCCAAGCGGAAGAGAACTCATAACCTTGGAAGACTGCCTGCCTCCTGAGGACGTACTCGATTTCAGCCTACTGAACAGGCTGAGGCGAGAGCTGTCCTCATCATGTTGAATGCTGAAACCGTGCTTTCTTGGTGGCTCACTCCCTTCGCTTCTGCTAGCCCCTTTGCTAGCTGAAGCGTTGTAGAAAGGTGATCCAGCCGATGATTCGTTTCTCCGCCTCTGCGCAGGTGCAGAATCACTAAAATCATCATCTAATGCAGACATGGCAGTTGGGTGGGCTTTTGTTGCGGAGAATGAGGATGTATGAGAACCAAACCTTGCAAATGATTGATTGTCAATCGCGTTCACTGAGCTGGCAATGGAAGTTGGTGGATACTGTTTTTGGGCCTGCGCGTCACCAGTTGCGACAGTGACGCCAGAAGTGGCAGGCTCCTCCCCAAACCCGGCAAATCCGCCGAACATCTGTTTTAAAAAGATCGGTGGAAGGCGTGGAGCCATGTTTAGCTTTGGCCTCAAACTTTACCGCTTTTCTGAACAGTCAGGTGAGCTCGTTCTGTCTTGGAGGGACGACTCTAGGGGGCGGTGGAGGGCAATTCATCTCCCTTCTGTGCTACGCGCACAAGCTCTTCAAGATCTGTGCCTTGCAAGGGGTGACACCTCTCTCTTCATTCTGAGTAGACCGGAGCAGAAGGTCTACCACATGTACAACGACTTGAGTCTTTCAAAGAAGATCTCATTCATTAACATGGAGGCCATGAGCAGTCGTATTAACTCGATTGCCTACACTGACGGATCCTACTGCATTATGGGCTTCACTCCTGACATGCGTGGATACATCATAGACGGAAAGAAGGGGGGTCGATTTTTGTCTTTTAGAACAGCTCCAGGCGCGGCACTAACAGAGATCTTCCACGGGCGTGTAACTAGCGTGCACCTGATTTCTCTGGACAAAGGTATGTACGCCATTGTACACTATGACCAGATAGCTTGTAACCTTTTACAAGTCGATCTCGAAAATTACGTTTGCACAAGCCTCGCCGATCACTCTTTTGATTATGCCACTAGGCTCCTTTATGTTTTTAGAGCAAACTTTCACATTGTTGCCATCTGTGGCTCAAAGTCAATGGCCTCCAGCAACGTGAGTGATCGTGGAGAGGGCAATAGCATAGCAAGCTTCACGTTGTCAATGTCCTCTAGCAGAGTGGGGAGCTCTCTTTGTGCCATCGTATTCAGCGTTGGCTCATCTCCAGTTCCTGTTTCTAAGCAGCAATCTAAGACAATCTCGCTATTTACCGATCTTCCTGATGTATTCCGAAAGGAGTGCATCTATCATAGTGGGAACTTAGTGGCTTTTGATGGTAGTATCATTGAATGCGGCCCACTGGGCAAGCTGCTTTCTACTTCGGCGTGTTTGACCAAAACTGAGAGCTTCAAGCCAGTGCGTGCAAGGGAAGATGCAGTTCACGTTGATAGCTTTTCAATGAATTTGTCTGAAATCAGTCGGAACTCAGACCGGAATGGCCATGAAGACCGTGGCTCATTAGATGGCCTCATTCTCAGACAATCCACTGGGTTTGGAAATAATAAAGAGAAGCACGACGCACCCCGCGATGCTGTACCTTTGACAGATGAAGTACGAGAGGCATATGAATACCTTGGGATACCCATAGATGATGACCACGTGAGTCTTGACCTATTGGTTAAGGGACTTGTCGGCACCGTTGCCAAGCTGCGAATGACAGAAGTGGCCGCAGCCACAGAGACGGCATCTCTGAAAGAACAAGTCGATGAGCTTAAAAAGTCTCTGAGCGAGATTAAGAAGAACAACGAGACGCAAATGAGTATTTGTCGGAATTTCAGCGATAGCTTAGACGACCTCATGGCAGATCGCAAAAGCATACACGATACTCTGGCCAACCTAGAAGCAAACATAACCGAGCTCGCGCAACAACAACTTATTTTAGCATCTAAGCATCATAAACATTCGGTACCCAGGACAATTGACTTAGGCAACGCCCATGATGGGCACTCTATGCCAGAAAAAGACCTTACTACTTCCGATATTTCTGCTACAGTGGCAACTAAGAAAGAAGCCCCTAATTTTGTTGGCGTGGAGATGTCGACACAGACAAGGAGAGTAGCAAGGACAGGAAAGGCCAAGAGAAGCGTGTCATCTTCTCCCAAAACAAATCCAGCCTCTTACAAGGAGATAGAGCTTGCCGTTCAACACACTCTTCGCTCGCTATCGCCAACTAGGCGTGTTGTTCAGGCTCCACCGCAGCCCATGCTATATTCAATGACTCCATCAACATCCTTGGTGGACAGGACGGTCCACTCCAACCTCGAGCTTGAGCTCTTATTGTTACGCGACGAAAATGAAAGACTACGAAAGCGGTCGGCCTTTCGCTCTGCGTCCACCCCCTCTGCCCCTAATCACACCTCTGCTGTCTCTCCATCTTCCATGGCAGAGCGACTCAGATTTATTACTAAGAAGATGGACTCCTCAATGGGGAGAGCTCGAAAGATAGAGACAGCCCTGGATGCAGTCGATAGGAGCGGACATCTTGCAGCTCTAAACGCGATAGCTGAATAGAGATTCCAAGGATTTATGGGCTCTCACCTCGATAGCTATAGATTCTTCTACAGCTTTTTTATAGATGCATGTCAGAGGCCAGCTGTTCTTCTAGAGAGCTCAGGAACCTGCCAATACTGTCTGCCATGTTTGCTTCGGGACAGAGTGAGCAATCGACAATGTGATGAGCACGTCTCGCTCCTCCCCACCGAAACTCGAATTGTGTTTTGTTCACGATCACGCTGATACAATTTGATTGCACCAGATTGTTATTTTCATTAGATTCTGGGATAATGTGAAAGCCAAACAGTAGAAACGTTTGCTGTATGAAAATGGTTTTGGCTAGAATAGCTAGCTTTTCCTCCAACAAAATATCATCACCGTAGGATGCACGGATTTGAGCCACCAGTCCTACTGGATTGCAGTGCCTAGTTATGGGATAAATCCTGCACCTATTTGCATGCTGTCTGATTGTTTCCTGAATGGCACGGGCTGAGAATCTCAATGACACAAAGTCGTACGGTACTGGTTGTAAGGGGGGCGCTTTGTCACCATTGTGCTCAGCAGGATTTGTTACCAAAAATGCTCCTGTCAAAAGTGTTCCGATGCTGTATCTTTGCTGGTCAGTGATCTCGCGTTCTACCGAAGGTGCATCATCTATGACTCCATCTACAGTTGTGTATACAAACGTACGCTTCTTAGAGTGAGACTCATCAGTTCTATTATTTTTGGCGAAGCTGCTGTCCCTAGATTGAACGTTCCACAAGTCTCGTACATAGCATGCAAAAGAAATACTGTTGGCTCCAAAGGAGTATTCCTCTGCTGATATGTATCTGACCCTAATTCGATCCACAAACACCGACGTTTTGAGATACTCTAATAGTAGAACGGCCGTGGAGATGATACCGCATGAATTTATAGTTTCAAGCGATTGGAAAAATACAATGTTGTCGATATGGGACAGGCTATGGACTTTGAAAATGTTGGGACGCTCCCCTGCCAATCTAAATTGCTCTTGATTGAGGGGCGCGCCCTTCACAAAGCGTATGGTGATGTCGATGTTAAGAATATCGGCTAGCCGCTTTGGTCTCCGCTCTGCTGTTCTTTTTTGCACAGTAGTATAAGCTATATGTTGACTTATGGTCTCAAAGAGAACCCGAAGAATTGTCAGCACCCATTCTAACGCACGAATCCTACTTGTGGCCACTAGGTTAGTATCCCGTACCGTGGTTATGGAGAGAACTCTTCTGAAGGCTCCTATACGCTGCTCCCCATCAGGGTGAAGGTATCTGGCAAGGTAACACCGCGTATCCATGGACGATACGGTACCATTTCCGCAGGCATTGGGCCTAGTGTTCTGGACCGAATAATAAGTGCTTGGCTCCGAGACAGAAGACAAGAGAAATACCTGAAAAGCCAAGGTGACACTTCCGGTTAAATCAAGCAATAGCAAAGATGAGGCATCTCTTGCACTTGTGCCCTCTTCAGCGGCTGCATGCTCTTGCGTTGCACTAGTAGTAATTGATAACGACTTAAGCATTTCGCTTGTTGATCCTAGCCCTGTAGTTGTGTACAGATCGCCGTCATTAGATTCTTGATTCAGCAAACCGCTACTGCTTTGCTTCTGACTCTGGTGGTGTTGATAGGCGTTATTCATATTGACGAGTAGCTGCTGGGTCAGCCGTGCTGTAAGGAACACATTGCAGTCGCTAACTGATGCATATTGCTGGGCATCAGGCCTTAGACTGGCATATGGCACAGTAGATGGGAGGGTGATGGGCACCGTTCCCATCAGAAGAAGAACGTGTTCAATGAAACCCTCTATCCAAGAGGTTTCAAGGCACACATCAAAGGGCTCTTGAGCAGATTTATTTGGGACTTCTAATACATCACATCTCCTCTTGGCAGATAGGACACCTTGTTTGCAAATACTTTTAGTTTCCGGCTTGCAGTAATCCTGTGGGCGTGTCAACGAAGTTGGCGATGGCAGCTCAGCAAGTGCATCCCTGGATTCTCTTAGAGATAGGAGCGAGAGCCCTGCACAATAGCTGTCTTTGATGAGAAAGTTCATGAGTGCATGTCTATCCTCTTGAGAGATACCATCCTCACTATGCTCCAGAAGATTGAGAATGTCAGATAGTCTATTTTCAGGTGAACAAGTTACAACATACGGTACATTCTTAAATACGGCAGAAATTACTGGAAGATTCAAGGCACTCAGTGCCTCAATTAGGGCGGATGCCGTTAAGCGTTTTAGAGGATGCACATCACACAGCTGATAGAGTATTGCTGAAACATTCGGGTGTGTCTCAGTAAACTCACTCGGGAGCTGCTTATTTTGCACAAGCACACGCAGGTTGCTGAGATTATCGGAAGCAGTAGGAAGAAACCAGAGCTCGAGCAGGGTGATCCCCAGCGAGTACATGTCTGCTTGTTTTCTCAAGGCCGTCACAGGAAGGTTGCTTTGCGCTGCATTGTTGAGGCTACTCTGCATCCAATGTTGGGCAGACAGCTCAGGAGCCATATAGGATAGCGTAGAGCGGTCTGAGGCAAATAGATCCTGATCATCACTGGGTCCCTTACATGTGTAGCTAGTTCCAAAGTCCCCTAGTTTGATGTTATATGACTCGTCCAGGAAGACATTGGCCGGCTTGATATCGTAATGAACGATATCCTTACTATGGATATATGCTACTGCTGATGCTAGTTGTGCGGTCATGCGCCAAAGAAGTTCTGTAAGAGTCAATCCCTGTGCCAACGGCGGACACAAAGCCGCTCCATCGCTGCACTGCTGAATGAATCCTGAAAGACAGCCGTGTGAGCAATATTCCATCTGGACAAAAACTATAACCTTCTCAATCTCTCTTCGTTCTGTTGACCTGGTGGGTTTAGGCGTACTAAAAGGTGTCGAGCTCGGAGAGTCTAGTGCGCGAGTCACTGCACCAAGGGATCCCTCCAAGCTATCGTCCCCTGTTCCTGTTGTGCAGCCACTAGATATCATGGAGGAGTTAGGTGCTTCGGTGGCATTTTGCACGGTGTCTGAAGTGGTCTCAATCCAAGAGTAGTAATACTTAACGATAAAGGGATGCAGTAGTCTGCTAAGAATGCGCACCTCGTTCATGATAGACTTAATATATTGTAGAAACCCTCCTACTGACTCGGTTTTGGCATGGAAGTCGCGCCTGTCAATTACTACCTTTTTCACAGCATACTTTTGATTTTCCATGAGTCTGTTTGCACAGACCACTTCCCCATAGCCTCCTTTCCCTAGCTGATACAACTCAACGAAGTCCTTAAGATACACGCTCTTTGTTGCCTTTAGATACCCGTTAATCGAAAAAGGATCTATAAGCCCGGTTCGTTCATCGAAGGGATCCTTAAGCAGAACATAAAAAGACTGCAGTGCTGCCATCATACGTGACTCTAGTCCCAGCTGGGCCTCGATTGTGCTGGGCTGACGGATGCCAACAGTGACATTGTCTGAAGATGTTTTTGCAAACGATAGGCAATCTGTATTCTGGTAGTGCTCAATTATCATTTGTTGCTCTATAGTCTCTGGTCTTTGTTGAACAAGCCTGATGAATTCGGAGGACGTGTTTGTGACTCCTAAGCCATAAATATGCTCAATGTGCTGAAGAATTTCTTCTCTTAGGTCTCGTAGAGTGACGGGAACAGAGGCAGTGGAGGATAGCCATGCACTCACAGCACCATCAGGCTGCAAAGGGAGGAGCCGAAGGGCCTTATAGACATGGAGCCATGGCCGTATGTCACACTCCTCTTGCGTCACAAGAGCGAGGAAATCATAGAATCTATTGGTGGCGATTCCACCTCTGATGTTTCGCTGAAGAGAAAGCATAACGAGGAAATATATAGAGATCAATGAAGCCAGCGTGAACATAGCCGTTCCCTGTGCCTGTATCTTCTCCTGGTGTGAAAATATTGGCTCGAAAAATGAGTCTGCAAGAGGCACTTCCTCCCCCAGCTTCAAGCCTCCCCCGCTGGCTGGAAGACTGATGCGACTGCCTGTATAGCCAGCGATATCGGTCTGATTAGATTTAGCCACAAAGGTCCGCGTTTCATTGACATAACTCGACTCCACTAGAGCCTTAACAAGCTCCAAGTTTGTCTTCACTACGTCTATAACAATCCGCATCCCGGGGGCAATACGCCCTCGTTGGTGTGTACCTTTTGAGCCTTGTAGATAAATAGGAAGGATGGAGTTCTGAATGTTTTGAACAGTAGGAGGAATCTTACCCATGCCCCGGTGCTGAATGAGCTTTGTTTCAGTGTGAATATACTCATGCTCTGCAAGAACTTGATTTATAACTAGTTGTGTATTCTTGTGTGCCTCGTCGCTCTGATTCAATCGTTCCTGTAGAAGGGCGTGCACTTCCCTGCTGCGGCGCAGTGAGGTGTAGGCACTATGGCTGTGCAGCTCCACTCTATTTGGTGCGATAAAAGATTCGGCTCCACTGGGGAAAACCAAAAGGTTGTCTGATTTATCGTCGCACATTCGATTCTGCGTAAGCAAGAAGACTCCGTTGATAAAATCAGTGAGGGTTAAGGAATCATTCTTAAGATTATCAACAAGCTGAATAAGCAGCTTTAAACGGGCTTCTCCGAGAAAGACTACGTCCCTAAAACTGATATCATGCTCACCGAGAACGTTCGATGGCTTAGATGTGATGGAGATATGTACCTGTGCATCCACGGCCTTTTGCTGCAAGACTGGATCATCTTCCTCCACGATAAGGAAAACTGGTGAAAATGATATGCTGTACTGATAGAAAGACGAACCCTTGGGCAGAGGCGGCAGGTTCACCTGAAAAAGACTTCTTCCAACTTCTATGCTATCTGTCACGTCCCGGAACCATGTCTCCTCGTCCATAGGAATTCTAAATAAAAGGTATTCACTGGCTTCATTGATGGCAAATGAAGCTACTCCTTGAGATATTTATCTAGCCAGGCCACAACTTCAGTGTGCCAGACAACGCTTTCTTGAGGCTGCCATACCCAATGTGACTGTGTCGGGAAGTATATGAAGCGCGACGGAACCCCACGAAGCTGAAGGGACTGGAAAAGGGCGATGCCATGGTATTCGTGAATGCGAAAGTCCTTGCCGCCGTGAATCACTAGAGCTGGCTTGGAGAAGTTCTTTGCGCTCCTTGCGGGATTCCACCGCTCGTACATCTCAAACTGCTCCCATACAGGGCCACCCATTTCCCGAATAACAAAGAAGAGCTCGTCTGTGTCCAGACCGAAGGACGTGAGATCAAAGATTCCATCGTGCACAATGAAGCATGTGATGTTATCCGTGTGGCCCATAAGCCAGTTAACGTGTGTCCCACCGTAAGAGGCACCCATAGCACACGTTTTTTCCTTGTCTACATAGCTGTACGTTTCATGAACATACTTCCAGGCAGACATGGTATCGTCAACTGGAATATCAAACCAATGCTGCCGTATAGACTTCTGGAACTCCTCTCCAAAGCTCCCACTCCCATGAAAGTTGGTGGCCAGCACGCAGTACCCTTGTTCAACAAGTATCTGCGGATTCCAGCGGTAAGACCACGAGTCGTCCCACGGAGACTCCGGACCTCCGTGTACATATAGAATAAGGGGACACTTGTCTCTTGATGTATCGAAATTGTTGTGTGGGCGGAAGAAGAAGGAGTGGACCAGTGCACCGTCAATCTCTGACTTGAGATAGAACTCTTCTGGACGATATAGTTTATCCCAGTGCTCCATTATATCTGCATTTATCGCAGTAACGCGCTCTGCCTCAGAGATGGTGAGTGTAGACCGATCAACGAAGCTCAGTGGAAGAGAGAAGATGTCGGCCGGGAACTGGAAAGAGTTGAGCGACATGTAAATTCTGTTTTCTCCAGCAGTAAATTCATACTGAGAAACCTCGCCTCCAGTGAAGACCGTGGTGCACGTGTCCATGGTGATCCCGAGAGAGATCCTGCACTGCAGTATCACGGCACGTGCCTTTATGTGCGCTAGAACGAAGACTACATCCTCGTCCCTTGCGAGAGTAAATGCGTCAAAGGAGCCGTCAAACGACGGGGAAAGATCACTGATCTCCTGGGAAGAAACAGAAACACGGCGAAGGCGTAACATGTCTGACTCAGAAGTCGGTTCATTCATAGAGAGATAGTACAAAAGATCTGGATCTGTGCTAGAGAACACCGGGTTAGCATCCCGTCCGTCGTTGGTGCACGTGAGACAAGTGGGAGCCGTAGAAGAGATCCTCACGGGGCGATGGGCTGCCGAAGCGTGCCGAATGATGTCCACATAGTATATTGAATCGTTGGTCATCCACTGTTTGTGGCCACCGATCTGCGTTGTGAATGCAAGACGAGAGCCGTCGTGCGAAAATGCAAAGCTCTCTGTCCCTCCAAACGGCTTTAACGGAGCATCTCCGTCGAAGCCTGGCATGATGTCAACAACCGTGTCCTCCGTGACAAGGCCAGTCATAGGAAGCGGAGCCACAAACAGGTGCCTATAGAGCCCAGGCCAAGCTTCCTCGTCCCAATGCCGCATGTATCCCTCTGTGAAAACCTTGGCTTTATACAGTAGCGCGGCCAGCCGCTCCTGCTCAAGCTTTGCATTCGTCAGTGGTCGATTGGTATGATTGTATATGTAAACATCTGCGGAAAATGCTAGAAGGCTACCATCTGGAGAGACCTTTATCGCGTCGATATCGACTGGAAGATTTGACAGAAGGGTGCACAGCTGAGTATCCGGATCAAAGGAATACAGTGCGTTGACAGCAGAGTCCAGCGCAGAAGAGATATCAGTGAAGTAGTACAGGTTATTGGCGCTACTATACAAAACATTACTCGCGTGCACATTCAGAGGACACACTTGAATGGGCTCCTTCCCTGGGCCACTAATGTAATAGAGAGTCGAGTGTGAGGAGTCGGTACCCTGGACATACTCTGATTGCGTAAATAGAATTGCCTCCGCCTTAGGGTTAAGCGCAAAGGTCCCGAGGCGTCTCAGCTTAATGTTCTCGTGAACGTCAAACGTGACAGACAGAGCCCAGCCTAAAAAAAGCCACGCGAAAGCCATGCCCTGGAAAATGTTTTTGGCTAACGGATGAAAATGGTGGACCGTTAGCATCTTGTGCCTGCGAGCTGATCCATAGTGCACCACATTAACTATAGCAGACAGTAGAAAAATAAAACGCCTTATGCAGGCTAATTAGCCTATCACAGAACATAAAAATGCCTTGCGCCATTGTCACCACTAATGCTGACTTCACCAAGGATCAGGCCGACGCGTTCTGCCTAGATATGGGCCAGGTTCTGGCTAAAGAAACCGGAAAGCCTGTGAGCTATTGCATGGCGGGGGTTCGTAAAGCAGATATGTCTTTTGGAACATCTACTGATCTCTGCTGTTTTGTCGACTTCTACTGCATAGGTGTAATCTCCCAAGCCAAGAATCCTTCTATTTCTGCCGCCATCACGGGCTGCCTTACCCAGCACTTCAAGGTGAAGCCAGAGAGGGTGTACATCAGCTTCAACGAGGCGAAAGGCCATAATTGGGGCTTTAATGGCAGCACGTTTTAGATCCATCAGTAAATTCTAACATTGTAGAGCCGAAGAGGCTCTGTGCAGAAAATTCTCGCTAAAAAATCGCACGATGGCGACTGTTAGGCAGGCGTCTCTTCAGAGAGCTCGATATAAGAAAGCAATATCCCAGCAGGATCTAGATTCTTCGCGTACAGAGCCCTTTAGAACGGGAGTCCCCCATCGATTACCGCTTCCACCGCTTCTATCTGCCCCCACGCCCTCTGGTCCAAGTCTCTTCTTCACTGGCACATCCCAGGGGGCAATCAAGCCCGTAGCTCGGCGGCCCCTTGCCCCGGAGCCGACGCTCACAGTCATGGAGCCAACAGAGGGCGCTGCTCCAGTCAAAACATACGGATGCCCCAGGCAGTTGAGCAATTCTCTCCTGTCTGATCTTAGGTTGCTGTCACAGGCATGCGGACGTGCATCACGGCCTCTTGCAGAAGCTCTGTGTTACTGGAACATGGCCGTCGAGTATGAAGCTGCCTTCCTCTTGAAGGAGGCCATAGCTTACTTTAGAAAGTTCATCTTCCCCTGTGTTCGGGCAGGCTACACACCTGGAGTCGTTGCAGGACTCAGCTCAATAGCGGCGGCTCTTTACTGCCAAGGAAACTACTCAGAGGCCATAACGGCGTGCGAGACGGCACTGGAGGCTGTCCCCGAGGCCATTCATGTCTGTGAATCGACCACTGGTGGCTGGGTAACGTCTTCAATGGCAGCTGCAAGCATTCTAAACACCATCGGCCTTTGTTTCACGCAGCTCCTGGACTACGAGGCAGCCACGGTGGCCTTCTCTCGCGCGCTTCAGCACTCACTTCAGGTGGCAGATCAGAGAGTAGAGAAGGCCATCTGCGCAAACCAAGCCAGCGCAAACGCCCTTGTGGGAGACTTCGTAAAGGCTGAAAGCTGCCTGGAGCGCCACATTGAGCTTTCTAACACATTGGGAACGGTTAGCGAAAGAAACATTGAGACTACTCTTGGCCTCAGGGGCTTGGAGTCCGATGAATACCAAGCTATGGGTCCTCCGGATGCGACATCGAAAACGGCCAACGTCCTGGAAACCTCCGCGATCCTCTCGAGACTTGGGTCGCTTGCGCGCGTCCACGGTGAGTATGAGAGTTCACGACAGTTCTACCAGCGGGCCTACAACCTAGCTATTCGCTCTGGTGACTTTGAGCACGCAGTAACCGCGAGCTGTGCGATCGGGCTTGCAAAGGGAACTGAAAGCATAAAGGAGGCCCTGTCTGCAATCCAACAGGAATCGGCTGGCGTTGAGGAGGCCAATGATTGCGACATAGAGAGCATTCAAGACATTTCCAAAAATTGAAAAATGCATGGAGCCTCCAGTAACCTCTGCGGAGGCTCTGGCTACTGCCTTGGATGGTGTGCTGAATCCGGGAGGGATGAGCCCTGCTAATATCCATTCACTTTATGTCGCCTCTCGATCAGTGATTTCCAGCGGTTTTGAGTCTTGGTCTGAGCCCTTTGCTCCTAAATTCTATAGGTTTTTGACTCTGGCGTATGCCCTTTCGGACTATGAAATGCTGATTCAAGCGCTCAGGATAGTCGCCACTTTGTGTCACTGCGAGCGTTTTGCCATGGAAATGCTTTTATTTGAGTCTACAATCGAGGATGGAAGCTCTGCCGATGACAACTTCTTTCCGTCGTTTGGCTTTTTGGCAAAGCATTCTCCGTCTGACAGACTCGTTATACTTATACAGGGCCTAATCAGCCATGAAGTTTATGATGCAAACCAATCCCTTTTTCATGCGGCTGTATTGGCTTTAGAGGGTCTCACATTTTATTCTCAAGGAAAGAAAAAGGTTTTGCTCAGTGGTGGGCTCCAAACTGTATCGTCCGTCGTCAAGGATCTGCACACAGGAGCTGATTTCTTCGATATGAAGGGAGGCACTAGTGATTTGGCTCTCTCGCTTTGGGAGACGCTTAGCAACATTATTACATACAGGTTTGCTCGTGCGTTGGCCTTGGACAGCGGAGAGAAGGTCCTTGAACAGTGCGCAGCAATGCTCTCTGAACCTCTGCGCCGCAGTCTTGTGACGAGCCTCAGATCATCGCATACTTACGTGATCACCTCCTGCATCCTCCCCTGCCTCTTAGAGTCAGAGCTATTTTATAAGCATTTTGCAGAAGACGAGCAAGCCATATCATCTCTTCTAAACGTTGCTATCAGTGGTAGGGACGCTGGAAGCAGAGCCGCATTGCTGTCACTTCTCGTGCTGAGCATTGACACAGCAGACCCAGGCATCGTTACAAAATTGGCATTGCACGGAGAAGTCGGAGAAGAGGCAGAGCGGGCACAGGCCGCTGCAGAGGCAGCCTTTGACGAGTTCCGGAGTAGAAGCCCCAGCCCGATGCGGAGACTCTACAGCACTAAGGCTCTTCTTAGCACTGCTGCAGAGGAGCGCTGTGAGACCGTGCTTTCTGTCTTACAATCTCTCCTTGACCACGAAGTTTATGTAGATATATCTTACTCACTGGGGGATCTCCTTACAACCAGGAACCGGTTTATTGACGTCTTCTACAGTCAGAAGGGTTTATTGAGCACAGAGATTGATAACATGCGTGAAACGATTAAGGATCTTCTCTTTTCGTTATGCATCGATGAGGCAGGGAACTCCTTAAAGGATCAGTACGGGAGTGCTACCCAAGCAAAGACTGCTCCTCGGCCAGGCGGCCCGACCGCGATTCGGAGTGTTCCGCGGCCGGGCGCGCAGAGTCGTCTGGAGGCACGCAGCACTGGCAAAAAGCCAAGCGCATTCCGTAAAGTAGCAGAGCACATGTCTATCGATCTCTCTAAGACCTTGTTTTAACTTCTCAGGACCTTTCTGTTCTTTCTGTTGAATGATTAGTAAATCTAAAAACCTATGACTGTCAACCTTCTAAAGTCGATAGCGAGCTCCTACGAGCAATTTGAGGCCATTTTCAACGGTAACAAGGTCCCGGGCCTCTTCAAAGTCTTCAAAGACATCGTTGGCTCCTGCACAGATTCTACAAAAGCGTGTGTGTGCTTACGCCTATTCAACCTCTGTTCCACCGACGCTCCTGAGGCCCTTCTGCAATTCAATGACTTCCTACCCGCTGACTATGCTTTCATAGCGAAGAGCGCCGGTCCTGGTGCCAAGCCACTGGTCCTCCTCCCCAAGGCCTTAGAAGAGCACAGCAGGACTTGTCCCAATGACCACGGTGCCACCCACCATCCGAACTCTCATGAGGACGAGAACGTGCTGATGTACACCATAGAGAGCCTACTTCCGGCCGATAGTTCGTTAGAATTTAAGCACCTCATTATCGCTTTTTCATCCCAGCAAGTGGAAGCAGTTGAGTTTATTATGTACAGTACGTACCTAATGAAGGAGTATCCGGAGTTCTTAACCTGCTTGATGTTCTATTTAACCCCCAGCTGGAAGAAGTTTTCATATAAATCCTTAAACATAGTTCCCCTCGAACAAATGGGTGCCAAATATGGACTGTCCCAGGACTTGTCGGATGATGAATACATGCGTGCTATTCTCTATTTCGTTTCTAATTCTAATTTATTATCTCAGAATGCTCTAGAGTGGCGCACGTCAGTGATTCAGTCCATAAGTTCCAGTTTAAATGAGATGATGGCGAAGTCTCCGAAGCTCTTCGACCACACGCGAACCACTGTACTGAATCTGATGGTTGATAACCGGACAAAAGAGGTCTATCAACCCTTTGACGACCAAGCAGGATTGCCTCCACAAATGTACAGGCAATCTAGTGCAGAATACGGGGTACCTACTGGAGCTTCGGCTGGCTCTCTGCGTGCTGCTCCGGGAAAGGCTGCGGCAAAAGATAAATCTATAAAGCCTTACAAAGCAAAATCAGGCTCTAACTCTCGGTCATCTGATCACTGGTCTTTGGGTAGAAATACTATAGGGAGCATGCGCTCGATACTGCTATATGAGGGTGCCTTCGGGGCTGAATTCAAAAATCTGGCTGAACTGGCACAACATACAGAGAGCTACTTTTTGGCACTGCTTCACGCAAAGGAACTTCCACGACATGCCATTTTATCATATCGTATACCGTGTTGTCGGGTGTTTCTCATTGACGTCTGTGAGACGCTCCTAAATTCGAACGCACTACCCCTTATGAAGGACAGCTATGCTGCTGCGAAGATGCACAAGTATGGGCTTGTCGATTCCTTTACAGACTATGGAGTTGTCTCCAGCAACTTCGACATGGAAAGCCACGACGAAACAGACAAGGGAAAAACTGCTCCATCAACGGCTTTGAGCCTAGAGTATTTCACTCGGCGCCAAGAATATTTGAGGAAGGTTCAGCTATTTATGAAACGATATGTCTCTCTTCCTCTAGCAGATCAATATCTTCTTATCACTAGAAAGCACAACGAAGCCATTACATTCATTGAGAACGCCTTCTTTTGTCAATTAAAGTATAATTTACGAGGGCTCTTCGCTCTGGCGTCCCTCAACGAAGTTGGTGACTCGCGTCCTCTCTCGTATGCATGGCAACAAGTGACCGCATCATACATCAAGGCAAATTCGCAGATGAACTATCCTTGTAGAATAACAGTGGACGATTCTTTTCTAGTCTACATGCAATTGACTCATTCGATGCACATCCAGGAGATTCTAGAGTCCTATCCATCGATTGGACATAAGGCATGTCGAGGGCTTCTGGCTCAGCGTACTAACAAAGAGATCCTTGACCAGCATGCGCCATTCATTGAGCGCGGGATTCTAAGTACACGCGATATCTACGAGAACTTTCTATTCTTCAGCAACGACCGCAACTTTGATACAATATCTCAGATCCCACAATCATGGAGCAGTGCAATCAACTACATTCTTTTCTACTCTGGTTCTGGCAACTACACGACTCAAAACATTCATACCCACAATATGATCAGTATTCAACAAACAGCACAGATTGCAGAGGGAATATCCACGGGGACGATACCCTCATATTCTCAATGGTTCACTCAGACAGGCGACATGCTTCTTCCCCTCGACATACCTGTCATGAGCATTGCCACGGAGAGTAACTTGACAACCTTTGAGATGCGGGTGAATCGTCTGAGTATGGAGGAAAGGAACAGGATTTCTGCTGCGAATATCCCTGAGTGTAACACATCTTATCGATTCAAGCACCCCGTTCGATTAGTCAGACAAGACTCCGTGCTGAATAAGTACTACTATGGCACCTTCCCAATGGGGTCTGAGAGCAGCGCCAAATCCATACGTCAGATGAACGTCTCGCAACTCATGGAGGATAACAGAAAAATAGTCCAAAGCACTGATGACATTGCTGGATTGGAAGAAGAACTCATTAAATATGACGTGGTCATATACAATCTTAAGCTAATAGAGCAGAAGCTCCAAGTCTTTTGCTCAAAATACTGTCCAAATCTTCTACGGATAGAGTGTAACCGCAACTATGAAGGCGCACACGATGTTCTTTATGAAGGTGATTGTCAATTTGATGACATGACGTTCGAGACTGTCAAGAAGCGGGAGTCTGTTCTCGCGAGTGGCTCCATTGCCAAAGAGATGGGCGGGTCCTCACATACTATGGAGTCATCCTGCTCAGATCCGTATGTCATCTCGACTGTCCAGGAGCCGGAAGAGGTTGCTAGAAACATGAATGAGCCTGAAATTAAGAAGTTAGTTGCACCGTCTCCTACAAGTCCCACCAATCATGCTGAACCAGAGGCATCTCTCCTACCAAGGCCCTCTGAAAGAGAAAATTCCGACCCGGTTCACGGCGAGCCAAGTATTCCTATGGCAGCCCCCAAGCTTCTAATTAAGAATGAAGCTACGTATTTGCCGGATATACGACATGCAGGTGTATCTGTCAAGAGAGAGGAAGAGTTGGGTGTGCAAGGTTCAGCCCCCAAGGATCCTGCAGATGGGGAAATTACCTGCAGAAACACAGTCCCCGACTCCCCTATTGCCGCACATATTACTGCACGCTTTCTACAACACCCTCAAGAGACCAGTATATATCCCCTATCTCCAGGCAATGCAGCTGGGTCCCAACAGCGGCATAGAAGCAAGCTCTCCACAACCGACATTCAGCGGGAGGTTATGAAGGACATGGAACTGGGTCAAACTGCATGTCTCGATTTACCGCTACCATGCCTGGAAACAATCAAGTCAGTGATAGGGTTGGACTACTATGACCTCTTCCTCAGACATCCCAAGACTTCGGCCCCGTTCGTTCTTAAGCGACTTAGGGTATTCCTCAGAGATCTTCAAAGCCACCGAAACCTTAATCAGAGTCCGTTGATCATACGGAAGTTAAGGACTTGTAGTCTCAGAAATCTGGACCACTTGAGTAACGGTCAGGCTGAGATAGACAAGAAGGCGTTTGTCATACGGAACATGTTTGCAGATTTTGAACTAAAACAAAAGAACAGTTATTATATCAGCGACACTCTTCTAGATCGAGGGCACTATGACTGCATTACTTCTGAATTTGTTCTCAAACCAGAGATAAAAGACCCAACTGATGACAACCAGATGTCGTTTTGGGACAAGCTCATGTCAATCAGCGATGCGTGTCCGACGCTCACCAAGTTCTGGCACGATGAAGAGCAGTGTCCAGAGGAGCGCTTTAGAGAGCAGAGAAAGATCACCCAGGACCAACTTATCCATATCTTATCCAGCCAAGCTTATCCTGGTTGCTATTGCTCCTGTAGCGATCGGTTGAGTAATGTGAAGGAGACTCCGATCAGTGACACTGGCCTCTCTCTGCTCAACAAGCTGAAGATAGTGGTCGATGCCATGTATGCACAAGCGCGCCAGAAGCTAGGCCTTTCTGCCAATCCCGCCCAACACAAGTGCTACTTTTTGCCCCATATAGCATTCAATATACGCCACATTAAGCCTGAGGCGCTTCAGTTTCTCAAGACCTGGTTACTGCACTCCCACTCCGACACTCCCTCATCCGTCTTTTCGGCAACGGTGGATGATGGCCTTCAGGAGGGCTTCTTTAATGCAGTCTTCGGGCAGATCCTTTACGCAGACAGAGACGTAGAGATGAACGAAACCCAATCTGCTTCTATTGTCGAGTTCATGACATACATTCTCTTGAGATTTGCTTACTCTGTGCTCACTAGGCTTTCAATCGCACGACAGATCTGTGAAGAGGTCCGCCCTGGCGTGTCTGCCGAGACATTACAGTTCGAGGTACTTCGCAAATTTGGGCTTGTAGATCCATTTGACCCTGCAAACCCACGAAACGCCTATGAGTACTCGATCCTGTTTATGAATCTCTTGAACGCTATTCCAGGAAACATAGCCAATTGTGCAGACATAGACCAGATACCAACGCAATCCCTTGGCGCATACTTTACAGAAAAGGAGATTGCTGAGGCATTGGACTCTGCTAAAGACAGCTTCCAGCCAGGAGTGGGCTCAGAGGCCCGAGATGAACAAGCCAAGAGCCCTAGGACAGACCTTTATTGGCTTATTGTGCAGTGGTATATACTAACTGAAAAGGTATCACAGGAGCAATTTGAGTTCGATATGTCAGCTCTATTAGGCTCCTCGGTGGCCGTTATCTTCAACCTCAAGCCCATCATGAAAAATATGCGCAAAATATACACTGACATATTTACAATGTACGCCGAAGTGCATCGGATACACGCTTCGGATGGTATCTTCAAGGGGAATACCGTGGACGCCAACATGATCAGTGCCGTGTTGCTCTATATCCAGCATGCCCTAAAAATTAACATGCTAGCGGAGCAATCCGGTGAGCTTTTGAGTCGGACTCTCCTATGCGATATTGCCAATAAGCGGGGGTCTGGCATTATGCTCTGTGAAGTGGTGGCTGGATGCATGTGCTTTACAGAGCTATTTGATGTTAAGCCGATGCCCTAGGGCATGCTTTAGGTCGACATAGAAACTAGAAAAGCCAGAAAGTCTTCAAAATCCAAGATTTTCATGGGCGTCAAAACACTTTGTTCTGATCGCTACAAAGAGGCTTTTCTATTGCATACAGATGAGCGTGGGAGTCTCTTCGAGGCTAGGAGGATCTGTGATAACGAAAAGGTCCTAGTGGAAGCCATTGCCTTATCCTACATTTCTGCGGAAGAGCGACAAGAGCTGCTCAAAGAGTATACCCAGTTATTAACTCTGCGACACGACTGTCTTCTTTCTGTGCAGGACATATACTACGATGCAGGGGAGGGGCACTGCCTTCTCATCGAGCTGGAGTATTTCCACGGATCGATGAAGGCGTTGATTCACGACGCTGCCGGGGCTAGAATTCCTTTTGACGAAGAGTATATCTGGCACCTGATGGAGCGCATCGTTAACAGTCTGACATATCTATACACTAATGAAAGTTTTTCCATCAAAGCACATGGTCAAATATGGCCATCTAATATTCTTAGAACGGCGACCAATAAGTTCGTTCTCGGAGAGCCTATTCTTCCCGCACACTTTGTCAGCCACTTGCTTCCATCTGAGTATAAACAGGCAGGGTTTAGCTACTTGGCTCCAGAGACAGTGCAAAGTAAGTCACTCAGCGAGTGTTCGGATATTTGGATGGTTGGATGTCTCATGTATGAGCTATGCACACTCACTCCTCCTCCATTTGACTCTGGAACGTTGACAGAGACGCCGACCTTGCCTTCTCTTCAGCAGCTGGTCGATGCTGGAGCATTTTCGCACGAGCTTATTCTATGCATAAAGTCATGTCTTCACTATCTACCTGAACTGCGCCCCTCCGCTTCTGTCCTCAGGGATCTCTGTGCCCGGCGCTCAGCGTCTGCTTTGTCAAATGTTTGCATGGACTCGGCGGAGACGACTGCAGACGTCGGTATACTATCTATTCCTGCACAGGATTCTTTTGCAGCCAATCAGTCTCATTACGACGGTAATGCTGATGGCACTTGGATGGGAGCACAGCAATCTATGCTATTAAAGGAGTCTAAGGTCAAGCTTGCTATGGCCCGAGATGCACTGCTATTCATGGCAATTAGAAATAACGACCTCCCTGATGTTGTGGCCCAAAAGGCAACCTTTCTTCGGTGCCCATGTAAGTATTTTCAACGGGCGATTGATGATTGCCGCCCAGAGATTGTACACCAATTCTGCTTATGGAACTATGAGCATAATCTAGACATCTTCGTTTCTGCCCGTAAGGGCGTCTCCACTAATTCAAAAACCCCCTTGATGACTGCCGCGCTCGAGGGCAATGTTGCGGGCGTTTTGGAAAGTCTTCATCTCTCAGGAAGATACTGCTATAACTATCTTACTGGAGGAGAGACAGCGCTCTACTATGCTGTTTTAGGGTGCAATCCCGAATGTGTTAAATTGTTACTCTGTGAGCTGGGTATTTACAACGAAAAGGGCTGCACAGCGTCCTCACTATTACAATCGTCTAAAGGATTTCAACACGATTACGCAAGTCTATTACTTCCAGAACAGTGGATACAGCCACGAGAACTCGTAGAGCAATACCTGCTTGCTGACGACAAAACCAACGCTAACGAGTTTGATTCCATTCACAAGGAATTGGATAGTAAGCTAGAGGCGCTAAACAGACACCTGGCTACAAAGCCACAGCAGAAAAGGAACCATGTAGGGTGTCCTTTTGAAACAATTGGGGAGACAATTAATAGGAATCTCAGAGATTGCCTGAAAAGCCTGCGCGAGGGTCGGCAGTAAACCTTCTGATATCAGAGGCACGCGTCTACCTTTTTAAAAGGCAGATGGAATGGTTCCGGGCTATCCGGCGCGGAGATTCTCTTGGGGTTGCTGGGCTCTTGGTTGCATCTCTCAGGACGCAAACAGATGGAGGATACACGGGGCTTATGGTGGCCATTCAGATGGGCCACTATGATATAGCCTTAACGATTGCGCGGTATGAGCACAGTATGGTAACAGATGAGGGCGAGACAGCTCTCATGCTTCTCTGCAAGGCACCGCACCCGCTATTAGCTTTTGGTCAGGAAGCCAAGATTCCTAGAACGGCTAAATGGGTCTGCAAATTTACTCAGATAGGTAAGTATGCACAGGGTCTTGCTCTGCTTAAGATTCTTGCACACCATGAAGCCACAAAGGTTTCTGATGGAGGAAAAACCGCCCTTATGATGGCTATTGAGACGGGCAACTACGATGCAACAGTTCTGCTTGGGAACATTGAGGCTGGACTTAGTAGTGAGCACGGCTGGTCGGAGACCATGTACCTAGTGCTCAGGGGCCACGATGACCGTGCGCTGTTTGAAGAAAACCTTCAATATGAAAGGCCACGCTCTGGGGTAACTGCCCTGATGTTAGCTGCTCTTGTTGATAACTTGCGAGCTGCACGGCTCTTCTTTGGGAAAGAGTGGGGCTTGAAAGACACCTGCGGCCGATCAGCCCTAATGTTTGCCGGGATAGGGGGGCACACAAGCATTGCAACGCTTCTGTGGCCCCGGGAGAAGAACATGAGGGATCGGGAGGGGCGTACCGCCATTATGTATGCCACTGTTTATGGAAATCTCGATGTAGTAAAGCTTCTAGTTGCTGCAGAAGGGCAGAGCGAGGACCTGGCTGGTTGGACAGCGATAATATATGCAGTGGTTAGTTGGCAGCACGATGTTTTAGACTTCTTGGTTGAGAACTGCCACAGCCTTACGCAGAAAACCATATACACCGCTTTACAATACGCTTCAATAATAGGGAATTACCACGCAATAGAGTCTTTGCTCACCAAGGAGGGAAGAATATATACTTGTGACGGTGAAACCGCACTTATTCTCGCCGCAAAGTACAACAGGCTGTCCGAGCTCAATCGCTGCAAAGCTTCTGCGACCGCAATCCAAAGGTTATGTGTAGAAGAGGCTGCTATGGTAGACATGAATCAGCGAACTGCACTAATGCACGCCGTACTGAAAGGAGACAGAGAGGCTGTATCTCTTCTGCAGCCTTTGGAAGGAGGCCTTGTTGATAAGGAAGGCAAGAGTGCATTGTATTATGCTCTAGAGAAAGAAGACCTAGACATAGCACACCAGCTTTACAGTCAGGAGAAGCATTTGAATGTACCAACAGATTGGTCTCCCCTTATGTTGGCTTGCGTAGGCTGCGACACTCAGCGCCTCTCGGAGCTAACTATCGAGCCGGGAAAGCAGACAAAAAGGGGACTTACAGCCTTGATGATTTCGTGCAGAGTCGGGTTTGGAGACGGAGTTCGTACCCTCTGTGATCTTGAGGCAGGACACCAAGACGCTAATGGCCGAAGTGCTTTAATGTTCGCAATACATAATCGGTTCAGCGTCGGAATAGAGTGCCTTATACATAAGGAAGCCAAGCTGCAAGACGCATTGGGGATGACGGCCTTGATGCACCTCTTGCGTGATAATTTTGGACGGTATGCTCTAACTCTTTCTTCCTTAGAAGCTGGCCTGCTGGACAAGTCTGGTCTCTCGTCACTAATGTATGCGGCACGGGCAGGAGTCACACTTGTCGTTGAGATTCTTGCCAGTGTAGAGCACTCCATCGTTGCCCCCAATGGATGGACAGCGCTGATGTTTGCTGCTCAGGCTGGACAAGCAGACTGCGTACCTGCTCTCGCCAGCCTACAGGCCCGAAAGCAAAATAGCCGGGGGCTTACTGCTATGATGCTTGCAGCATACAAAGGCTATGCTTCAATAGTAGAGATTCTAATGCCCAAAGAAACACGCATACAGGACGACGAAGGCAGGACAGCTCTTGTCTACGCCCTCTTTGGTCAGCATAAGGACGTCGTCAAGCTACTTATAGACTCTGAACGAGATATACCCACAAAAACAGGCAAAACAGCTCTCGAGTACGCATTATCCTCATCGAATCCTAACATTACTGCACTTTTTTCAGAGGCGCCAATCCCACCTGCAGTCGAGTCACCTACAATAGATCTGCGTAACTTCAGAACGAAGTCAGAGAGTCAACTCACGCAAAAGTCTCCCCTACTTACTAAAGGAAAGAAGGCATCCAGAAAATAGGACAGGAGACAGGCTGGTCTCCCCTAGCATGCTCCAATTAAATCTTCTAATTAGATTCACAAATCTCCTTTTAGTAAAACCTCTTTTGGTATCTGCAAATGAGAAAGAATCAGCATGGGGTTAATCTATGTGACAACTTCCCAGGGACCAGGGGCCGCCGTGGAGCCTCGGCTAGCCAACAACTGGTTACGGTGAACGAGGACGGAGTCCCTCTCTACCAACACTCGTTCGGGACCCTTGCTGTCCAAGCACAACAGAACATAGGCCAAGTTACTCACAATATTCCACAAAGTCGAGAGCGGAGGCACAATCGCGTCCTTTCTGCCTTTGCACATCACATGGCTGGTGACAGTTCAGCTAAGCCGATGCTGTTAACTACTCACCACACAGATGCCTATCATCTTCCTGACAGTGATCAGGATATGCCAGTAGGCCCTCTGAGGCATATTGAGCATCCGGGCAAAGCACACGACACCCTGAGTAAGCAATATACCACAGACAGTCATCCACACAACGTGCCGTCTGAAGCAAGCAATTCACGGTTGGAGCAAAGGATCTGCTTCGAGGACGAGCTGAGAGACTCTATTACCTCCTTGGCCTACGATAATAGAGTGCTCAACAAGCTGTTAGATAAGCTCACTGAAAATAAGAACGAGATAATGTCCGCATACTCTCACATATCATCCCTCGAGGAGCAGTGCACTCTCAAGGACAACCATATCAAGTCGCTGCGGCAGCACATTGCCCAGATCGAACAGGCTAAGCAGTATGCTGAAAAGACTATCCGTGAGTACGACCTCAAGTTAGGAGATAAATTTGAAAAGAGCATCGGAGACAGTAGGCCAAGTACTAAAGATGTCAAGCTTCAGACAAGACTTCAAAGCCATGTTCTCTCGACGATCTTGGACCGCGCCAATGTCGATATTAGATACAACATATCAGACTTTGTCCAAGAAGAAAACGAAGACTCGGACGAGACACGAATACTGATTGGCACCGATCAGAAGGATTTATGTGAGGAAGAATCCCAGCTAAACCACATCGTTGACATCGTAGTTAGCAGATATAAGACCATTGAACAGGAAATCCTCAAGGAAGAGGACTTTATTCCACTATGTCAGATATGCTCTCATTCAATCCTAAAGAATCAGCTTTCAAAGCAAGCCAAGGAAGCTGAAGGTCTGTTGCAAGGTACCTCAGAGAACCAGGATCCTAATGGAAGCTCAACTTCCGACAACCTCTGTCACAAAGAGCGGACTATGGACGAGCAGATCGACGATAACATGCGGCTTGGCACCCTTCTCGACGAGGATTTTCATGCAGACATAGAGAGCATAAAGATTGAAACAATTAATAATTTGTCTGCAGAATATGCATTGCAGATGGCTGTGTTCCTGCCAAACACACACAATCTTCTCATCAACGGGCTTGAGATGGTCTGCCAGCATCGCTCCGGACTATACGCGATAAATTTCACAAATCCATATATAAAGTCTACATTTCAAGGCAATTTCAATAGCGTGCACGACGCACAGGTTCCCAAGGCCTTTTCGAATAGAGCAGAAGAGCTTCGGACGGACTTGATCATAAATATGCAGAACGAACTAATACTGCGGCAGAGGCATCGCTTCAACACCCTTTTAAGTCAAAAGATACCAAAAGTTTTGTTCAGCCACAACACAAAAGATGCTAACATTCTTCGTGTGGAAGCTACACGGGAGCATTACCTCAAATACTTTCGCAACTATCGTGAATATAGAGAGATTACGCCGGCAGACATGCTCTATGAGGCAACGAGGGGTCACGTATCACGGTACTACGAGAACTGCACCGATGTTCAACAGCCCAGCAAGGACCAGCAGCCCACGGCCACAGGCAAGCGCTACGGCAGCGCTGCGACCACTTCATCCGGCACTTATTCAGCGGTGTACATGGGCCATGGACACGGGCTCTCGCCTGGCCTATCTGAAAACGATGCCTCACACACTCAAGTGCAGTTGGATTTGCCTAATAGCATCTATGAAATAAGTGATACGCTATCTACTACCAGCACACACAAGCATGAATCTGTCTTGAATCCAGAGCCTGCCCCACTGTCCGTAATTGTAATCGAAGACCAGCCTACTAACGCATGTAGTGTAAGCCTACCATCTGCAACGCACATCGGAGCCTCTATTAGCTCTCCTTCGGAAATTCAACGAACGACTCAGCAAACGTCAGAGAAAGTAAAGGTCAATGATAACGACTCTGTCGTCTTCAATATTACACCTGAAGCGCCTCAAGCATTGAGCGTACGGCATCCTCCTCGTATTATTCCTTCTACAGCTCCTAAGGCAACAATAGAGAACCTTTCGGCACTGGAGGCCTTAGCGCTTACAAATGCGACAGAAAGCTCGCTTTTGGAGCGAGCCAATACTCGAGAACGGCCCTCTGCAAAGGCACTTCTTCCGGGTGTAAGCCAGAAAGGCTTAGTTGACGAAAGTAGTAGCCAATTTCTTACCATGCCCATGCAGCACTTGCCAGACATTTCCGAACTACGTTCATCTGCTGATCGTGAGCGGGATTCTGAGGTCAGTAGCAAAAAAGCTTCGGTTCAGAGGTTGACCGCTCTTGAGATCAGTGCAGCCCTGCCCGTTTCAGAGGCATCGCCCCTTCAACAGTATAGAAACAAGATACAGGATCTGGCGCAAGCATTTCCAAGTCTTAGCGATATAAGCGCGATAAGCGAGATGACGAAGCACAGTGACGAATAAATCTGGCACGCATTGCTTGCCAAAAATGTTTCACTCGCTACCGCCAGACGTCGAGCTGACACAGACGGCCGCAGTGGAAGAGCTTGAGCGGCGCCTGATGAACGACATTCATGACATAGAGCGTAAATTGCAAGAACGGGGACAGATCGTTAAAAGCCCGGTGGAAGAGCTTGCTGTTTCAATGCGTCTTAGTGGAAGTCTGCACGAACAACGTCCAGCTGCAGAGCAGCTGGCCATCCATCGGGTGTTCACTGAAGAGTTTGCAACGGAGGCCCTAAAGCGTACACCACAGATTGATGTTAGCCATCTTGAGAGTCTCCTTACGCAGGCGGAGGAGGCCTTAGTGAGCAACAGAATTCATACATGTGCCGAGCATATCATGGCATTCATTGCAGAGCATACGCGCCAGGCCACAGAGATTGAAGGTTTATATCGGAGCATGGTTGAAGAGCTCAGCGAGCTTACTTTAACGGCAGTAGACACTCCGTGCAGCAGCTTGCAATGTGAAATACGTGCGATAGAGGCAGAGATAGAGAGGAATACCGCCAGCTGCGAAGCTGCGGACAGAACCCGACAAGATTTACTAGACCAAATCAGCACCCTAACAGATGAACTGGCAGCCAAAGAAGCGAGGTTGACAGCCAAAGAAAGCCACTGTGAGAACCTATCTTCTGAATTGGAGGAGTTACTAAGGCACAATATGCAGCTTCAGATCAATCTGCAAAGCTTGGAAGAAAGTGTTCGCGGGGCGTCAGCGGAGACCGAGCTAATTCGAAAATTGGCTCAGGGGAAGTATGGGGACGGAGAGGCCGAGTTTCTACTTCAGCAGGTGCAGGACCTTACCGAGGCCAGAGATAAATTGGCAAGAGAGATAGACCGGTGTAGAGTGTACTTGCGAAGGATGCAGATTTAGCCCCTTCCCAAGCAACGCTTTATGAAACTAATTTAAATCTGATTTCAATGATCTTAAACAACTCAAATAAATGCAGATCACAGGCAGTCAGTGCAGCACGGTCGGCCCCCGCGCCTTTGCGGCGTACCTCGGTTGTAAGTTTGAGACCGCAGAGAAGACCCCCTGTGGCTGTAACGTCCCTACTCTCATCACTAAGGACTTCCAGGTCAAGCAGATTGCTGGTATGCTGAAGTATCTTGCTCGCAAGTACGGCAAGGTCGCCAGCCTCTGTGGTGTGACACCCGAGGAGGAAGCGCGCGTCGACCAGTTCGTGGCCGCGGCTGCCCGCATCCAGTACCTTTGTGCCGGACTGGTGGCGACGGTCTATTGTCCCTCAAACATCCCCGGCTACAACGCCAAGGCACATGCCAGGGCTCTCGAAATGGTCAAGCAGAACCTGACATGCATCAATAATTACTTCCTGACCCGCACTTTCCTAGTCACCGAAAGGCCGACTATCGCAGACTTTGCTATGTTCGGAGCCCTCGTCCCGGTTTATGGGGCAGTATTTACCAAGGAAGAAGTCAGTGCATTTGTCAACCTGACCAGGTGGCTCAATACCGTGCAGGCCCTCTCTGGCGTCTCGTCAGTCGTTCCAAAACTCAACCACGCTAGCCATTCTATTCCGAAGAGTCCCGAAGAAGCTAAGGCTCTCCCGCCTCCTGGGTCCTGCCACGATGCCGGCAAGAAAGCCAAGTCGGAGGAGGATGCGCAGGAGGCCCCTGCTGCCCCGAAGAAAGAAGACCCGTATGCAGCTCTGAAGTTCGACATGTATGCTTGGAAGAAGCACTACAAGAACCTCGACTGGGACAACAAGGAGAAGTGGGAGCCGTACTTCTTCGAGCACTACGACCCGAAGGAGTATAGTCTTTGGAAGTGCACGTACTACGATCCATCGAAGTTGGAAGAGGACTGGAAAGTCAAGAACCTCATCACGGTTTGGCTCCAGCGCCTCAGGGGCGAGAAGGCAGATAGACACACCTTCGGCAACGTCCTTGTCACGGGCACCGATGACAAGCGCATCAACATCATTGGCGTATTCCTCTTCCCTCTGGACACGGTTCCAGCGGAGATCACCGAGTGCGGCGGGTCGGCAAGCTTTGAGTTCACGAAGCTCGACCTCGACAACGAGGAAGACAAGAAGCTCCTTGTGGACGTCTGGTACTGGAACGAGGAGACCGACATCGTCCACAATGGTCAGGTCTATGGGAAAACCATCGATGGGGAGACTTGGCACTAGGTGAGTGAATCTTTCTGGATTGCTTCTCTCACGGGACCGCGTTGTTGCCCGGATGAAGGGCCCCTGTCCCTCGCTCCGTAGCTTTTAACATAAGAATCAGTATTTCAAGGGTTTGTCTGGACTGATCAGTACAATCAGGCAATCTTGTGTAACTCTAAAGAACGATTCTCCCATGCTTACTTGTCAGTCCCTTTCCTTGATTCATAAGAACATTAGCAATATCCCCATTATCTGCCTTCATTGGATACATGAGAATAGTCTTTTCCTGAAGTTCTTTCTTAGTAGAATCAGAAGGGTGAGCAACCAACTTCTGAACATATGCTTGGTTAAAGCTCTGCCTGTTCTTTGTTGGTAATCGAGTATTCTACCCTCATTTTAAATTTAGGCTTTTATAATTTTAACAAATTTGCTAGTCAAAGATTGTTCAAGATTGTATGTGGCAGTGAGCCCGCTCCCTCACCACTGTGAATTGTTGGACATAGTATAACAAGAGGGAAGGGAGCAGAACTAATAAACTTTGGCTCTTTACTATCAGTGTGTTACTTAGCTTTTCCCAGAGAGTTGCAGGATAAGGTGCTCCACGCGCATTTCCGGAGTCTGAAGAGTCTGGACAATAGGCTCTTTAGAGTATGCATAGTTCGCACAGACAAAAAGGGCAACCAGGAACTCCTCTATAGTCAAGCCAGGGATATATGTCTCTTTGTCAATTTTGGAGTAGTTCCGCATCACCACTTCAAACGCAAATTTATAAGTGATGATGTGGTTGATCTTGGCACACTTTAAAAGCTGTAAGAGACCTTGGCAGCTGAGAACAGGGCTGTTGAGACAGTAGTTGGTGTATGCTTTCTTTATGATGGGAACGTGCCGGGTCATCACGCGAATGCACTCTGGATATTCGCGGAGGTTTGGAGTCAAGCGAGGACGAGGTATTGCCAGGCCAAAGCCAATATCTGGAGAGGAGAGCTCTCTGTCCAGCAGACTTGCGAAGATATAAATGCAGCGCCAAAGATAGGCCGCTGGTCTAAAGACCTCTAGCTCAACAATGTTGTCTGGGGCTCTGAACCGCTCGTAGGGATGTTCTATGTCTTCTACGTCGCACCGAGATGACTTGGTTAACTCACTAGTATTAGAGTGCGAAAAGCTCGCGGCTCCGTCTTGCTCGTCAGGTGCATTTGACTGAGTGGCCATTGCTTTTCTTTTCGCTTTCAGCTGCTTCGACATAAGCTGTTCTGCTGCCTCATGGACATCATAGGTCCCCGGGGCCGATAGCTGCCCCTGTAAAATGTCCGCACGGTTACTCAGCTTGTGCGTACGGTTGAATATGTCCTCGGCCAGATAGTATAGTAGGTACACAAAGCCTATATAGCATATCCTAGTGATGTTCATTGCTGTGCGCATACGGGCACTTCCTTCAGAGATGTTTTGGGCCTTGTACAGAGCAAACATCTTGCTTTCTGGAGCATATATGGGATAGCCTAGAAGAACCTTCTGCTGCACTGCTACGGCCTTCTTGAAGAGGGGTGCGATATCTGTTTGCTTAACATATCGAGGTAATATGCGTAGGGTAGTGAACATCTTCTCAACATCGGTGACCAGGAGGGTCATCCCCATGGCTTCGCGGGGAATGAGCTTCTCTATCATGGCTGCCATCTCCACAACGGCCTCAGCCTTCATTCTCGGGGGAAGAATGGGCTTGTATCCCGTTTGAGACCCGTACCTGGAGACAAGGTCCGCAAGAATCTTAGTGTAACAGGAAAGATCTGCACTGGCTAAGAAGTTGACTTTCGGCACGTGATCTCCCTTAGAAGACGACGATTTTGGGGCCATAAGGCCAGACTTGTTGAGCACAGAAATTGACTGGTTGATAACTGAATTTTCCATGAGATTGGAGGGCTTCACATAGACCTTATTTTCCTCATAATTGACATTCATGTTGTGCAACAGCTCCAGCGGGCTAGGTGGGATAAGTACTTGCTTAGATTCCATCTCTGATGCTAACGCAGCCACCTTCTTAGTCGCGTCTCCAATGACCGAAAACTGGGATAAGAATTCGTCGAGAGTTCTGACGAACACCATTCCTTCTATCTCGGGAATAATCCCACCGATCAGAGTTGAAACACACTCACGATCGGTTGCGCTGTGTCCAGACTCAGAGAGCGGGGCATTGTCACAAAGCGCGCGTAAAAGCTTCCCATACGCGCTGTTTTCGGATTTCTCTGGTTTGTCATCTGTCAGTGGCTCGGTGTCTCTTCCTACAGTGATGCGAAATGTAGCTGCGATCGACTCGGACTCCGTTCCTCGTGAGGCCTCACTTTGTTCTATTTGCTTCTCCTCTCTGCACTCTTCAATCTCGTCGTTGTACTGCTCTGCAAATCTAACCCTCGACGACTGAGAAAGGTTTGTTTGCATCCACTTCTACCCAGCGAAGATGCAGCAGATTTTTGGATTTTCAGTAGCTTTTGGCCAACTTTTCACTTTTCATATTTCCAGACTTATTCCCATACATTTGAAGGGGCACTCGAAGGTTTCCACAGCTCTTGCAGAGCCGCCTTGTCCTTGACAGGATTCTCTGTGTCGCTGCGTCGCTGTGTTTTAACCGCTCTTTGTATCGCCGATCTGCTCGCCCTTTAGACGCTTATTTTCAAAAAAGCAGTCAATAATTTTCAGATTGCTATTTTTAAACTAATGACTATCACCATGCAGGAGTTCCTCTCTTTCCTCAACATGGGGGAGCCTCCTGTTTACAACTTCCCGCTCCTGGATAGAGACATGGGCTGCAAAGTGTACCTAAAGATGGAGAATATGAGCAGCAACATGGATATTGCTTATCGTTGCTATGCATACTCAATTGGAAAGATTACAGGGTGGGACAAGAGTAAGAGCATATGTTTCAAGGTGACTAACTACAAGGCTTTTCCTTTGCTGATACCGCTCGTTGGTGCAGCCGCCAGCCTTCACTATAGAATAAGTGTTCAGTTTGCCCCGGGCCTGCTCACCAACTTTGCATATGCGTTTGTCGCCTATGCATGTCACGAGCTCGGAGCTGATCTGGACAACTATGTCGCAGATATCGTGGTGGAAAAGGTTGTTCACATAAGTGACCACTTCCGTGAGGCCATATGGCTTATGCTTGATGCAACGCATGCGCAGATGGCCAACGAGGTAGACATAGTTCACCAAGTAGTGATCCCTCAGAACGTCATGCTCTATCGCAGAAACGACTTTGCAACGTACTGCCTTGAGTATTACAAGAAGATCGCATTCAGTGGCGATCTCACTCTCGTGCACCTTAAGCACATCCCTGCAATGGATCCACACGTATGGGTCCAAACTGTGCGCGACAGTGTTACCCACGAGCAGTTCTTTGCCAATTGCATCTTTGGTGAGACGCACCCTATTGTCAAAGCCGCGTTCGATGCCCTCTACAATGAGATAGATACGGTTAAGTACTTCAAGAAACTCATTGAGAATCAGTACAACGAGCTCGTCAACTCCGTGTCCCAGGAAGAGCTTCGCGGCTTCCCATATAGCACAGCGCTTGTTGACCAGGACATGGTTCATCTAGGTTTTTACAAGTTCCTGTCTACCACTCACTGCATCAGCACAAATGTCCACGTGGAGGCATTCACAGCCCTGCTTCTGCGAACGACCGGTTTCAGAAGATTTAACCCGACACCAAACGTACTATGCTTCATCACAGGGGCGGTCTCTGCCTCTCTTGAGGAAATAGACATTGCATCAAATATTGAATACTCCTTGATGCATGCCCTAATCCAGTCTGGAGAGCTCATGAACTTCGTTGTCAAGCTCAACACACTTGATGGGAATCTCATGACCCGTTTGACAGATATCCTCTCCAAGCACTCGATTAATATTCTTAGCTTTCACGTAAAGACTATACAACACCAGCAGGTCTCTATCAAGGCCTCGGGCCCTGGCTACCAGCACTTAGTTTCTTTGTACAATGAGTTGTCCGAGGTCTTCGGTGATGAGAACATCCTGGGGTTGGCGATCCCTAAGTACAATATAAAGGAGGAGGGGCTGCGCGATGTCTCCTATGAGGAGTTCAATGAGGGAGCTTCGTCCAGTGGCGAGCCCATCAGAACATATGTTTCCCCCATCAAGTCGTGTGATGAGATAACGCCGGCAACTATTGAGCTTGCTTACAACAAGCTTCAGGCAGCTAAAGCCATACACGAGACCCCCTGCATCATCTCCAAGGCGTACAGCAATATTTTGCAGAAGAAGACAGGCGTTGACCACACCGTTATTCTCCAGTTTGAAAATGTTCAGCAGACGGGCTCGTTTAAGATCCGCGGGGCGAGCAATATGCTCATTAAGAGCAAGGAGTGGGCCGAGAGCAATAATACTGAGATCTCTGGGGTTGTGGCATGCTCTGCAGGAAACCACGCCCAGGGAGTCAGCAAGACAAGTGACTTGTTGGGTATTCGCTGCACAATAGTTTGCCCTGAGACGGCTCCGACTGTCAAATTGGTTAACACAAAGCGATACAACGCCGAAGTGATTAAGCACGGTGCTGTCTTCGATGAGGCAAGCAAGTATTCCCAGGAACTCTGTGAGAAGCGCGGCTGGATGTTTATCCCGCCCTATAACTCGTTCGACGTCATTGAGGGCCAAGGAACAATTGCTCACGAACTGATGAACAAGATGGTCGGGCAAGGGCACGTTTCCTCCATTGACCGCATCCTGGTCAATATTGGAGGAGGCGGTATGATTTCAGGAATCTCCCTTTACGCTAAGAGAGTCAATCCAAATATCAAGATCACAGGGATCCAAGCAGAGAAGGTGTTTCCTCTCCGCAACTACAAAGAGAGTGGCCAGCTTGTCCCTGTTGACAAAACGGCTGGAACAATAGCAGATGGCTGCAATGTCAAGGTTCTTGGAGGAATCCACAACGATGTCCTCAAGAACTACGTTGACGAGTTCATTTCGGTGACTGAGAACGAGATCGCCAGTGCGGTTGTTCATGCTCTTATCACGACAGGGACGCTCTGCGAGGGCGCCGGAGCAATGGGTATTGCGGCCCTGATGTATGACAAGCTGACCCTTGCTGAGCGTGAGAACATAGCTGTCGTTCTGTGTGGTGGCAATATCGACCTCACTAGAGTCAGACAGATCTATAACTACGGACTCATTGCTCTAGGGAGGATGCTCAGCGTTGAGATCAGACAGGCAGACACATATGGCAGCCTTGCAAAGCTCAGCAAGATTGCCTTGAAATACTACTCTACCATACGATATGTTACATACCTGCGAGGCGGAGATGACCTTGATTGGGACCAGATGGTCGTGAAGGTGGACATCAAGATTCCAAGCCCTGCAGTCTATGGCTTGCTTAGCCAAGAGATTCGTGCGTCCTTTGATACAGTTACATTTCTGGGTGAAACCGTTATCCCTCGTTACCCTGTGTCAGCCCATGCACCTGAGCTGGGATCGTCTGCTGTGGAGAACTCTCAGGTACGCGTCGTTAAGAAGTGAGCAGATACCATATGTTGTAAATTTACTTCTTCTCTTTAAGATGCTGTAAGTAGCACTTATCAACAAATTCCTGGTCTATCCCGAAGTTAGGGTTGATGCCGAAGCGTGCAGAAAAGTCGGTCAGACGTTGCATCCACCCATAGTCGCGGATCCAATCCTCTGTGCATGCAGATATGTTCTTGTATCCATAGAAATAGAGCATGTCATCGTTTGTATAGTTGGTATAAACGGCTCCAAGCGCATCTGCCATATATTTGCCAACCCTATCTGCAAAAGCTCGCGGAGTCTCCTCACTTGCGCGCGACATTGGTTCGTGAAACTCCATTTCAACGAGTGTCACAGGATTGGCAAGAATCTTATACAGATTGAATAGAACACTGTCTGAAAGCCAACATGTCGATAGGATGCTGCGGTACCGCACCGTCACTGGTTGAACTGGGACGTTTAGGCGGAAGGCGCCTGTTTTAAACCTGGTAAAACAACTGGCTGGAGTGACTGTTCCTTCAGGAAATAGGACGATTTGCTTCCACTCGTTCTCGCTATCGTGGACGCGGTTCCACAGGATCTCAGATGTACCAGCGATTCCAAACGCCTTGCGCCTCTCAAGCAGCTTCTGATACTTTGCAATCTTCTCCGCATCACGCGCAGGGATGTTCTCATCTTGCGGATTGAGGGATATGATCTCAGCTTCGGAGGCACTCGGGGACGTATAGAGCTGGAGTAGCTCACGCATCTCGGCCGACGGAGGACGCCTAACAATCACAACTCTAGCGGCGAGGAATATCTGCCGTATGGCCCAGTTGTTTAGAACCCCTTCCTTGCCAACGGGATGCCCGAAGCATTTGAGCGAAAAGGTGAAGGCGTCCATTATCGAAGAATGGTTGGCCACAACAACCGGTGCATCCTTGTGGTGTGACAGCTGCTCATTTTTCACCGTGTAAAAGTAACCCGTAACAACTGAAATGTAAAGACTATACCAATGAAAGAGCCCAACACAGAACTTGTCTCGTGCGCGAGGAAGAGGCTTGGCTGCATCAGTCCCCAGGTTGACGAGGAAAGCTAAAGCGACGAAGACGATAGATCCCAGAATAGCTAAGAAAAGGCGGACTAAAACGAGTGGAGCCCCCGCGACAAGGATAATGGGTGCTACTGTATAACGCAGATATTTCCCTGCCACGCGGCCATCCTGGAAGAATAAAGGACAGGGAGGAAGGCCAGAACCTGATTTCATTACAATTATGAATCTTTTTATTCACCTTAGATTGTTCGTGCAGGCTAATTAGAAGAGCAATCGTAGCTTTTAACGTGGGCCTGACATTTTGGACAAAGTAGTGGTGTATCCAGGAGCTCAGGGCTTACTGGGGTGTAGACAAAGTGCTGGCATGGGTAGAGCACTATATTTGGGACGTGCTCCTTTTGCGCAACCTGCAGTTTGTTGCTCTTTCGGCGAACTTGTGGAGTTATCGACTTGATAGGATATTGAGTCAGTGACTCGCTAAAGAGATTTTCTGATGCGATTGCTTCCATCTCTGAATTGGGGGTTTGACTGGAAACCTCGCCTTTGGTATTAGCCACGCTTTTCAGCTGCATGAGGAACAATAGAAGCTGGATTGCCCGCGCTCCTGACCATGGATACTCCGTAAAACTGTTTCGCTCCGCCGTTTCCGCCAAAATGTTCATCTTGAGGATATCAGTTATGCAGTTCATCGGAGGGACAACGATGTTAGGTAAGGAAATGGGAGCTGGACGGCTATTCAAGTGACAGAATGAGCCCTTCTTATTGTTAAAGGTCCGTATCTCTGTTTTAAAGACGGGAGGTGTGGAATGTACGTCAAGCGGAGGACTAGTCGAGGAGAAGGAAGGGGTTATCATATGGATTTGGGAATGTACTAAGCGCTTGTTTTTGAAATAAATTAGAGCAGATTGACCTAACTTGTCAACAACATTTCCTTCGGCCGGAAAAAGGAACTGGTAGCATCCTTGATGATCGTATGCAAGGGCGTACATCAGTGCTGTCCTCCCTTCATTGTCGGCATCACCTGCTTCATCCTGAAGAAGAGAAACAGCATTTGGATCACCTGCCTTTGCTGCATGAATGAGTGCCGTCATGCCATTGCTATCCCTTCCATGGAGCTCGTGCGGCAGCAAGAGTTGGAGCACTTGTGGCATGCTGTATCTAACAGTATACATGAGGGCTGTCTGCCCATGCGAGTCAAAGAGTGAGTGCTCTATACTCACCAACAGAGCAGCTACATCTGCATGGCCAAATTGGATAGCATACATGAGCGCAGACCTCCCGCCAATCTCAGCACTCTCCTGCATGCATGCTTCCCTCAGGAGGAGCTTTGCCGCCTCTAGATGTCCAAACATGGCAGCGAGCATTAGCGCAGTGGTCCCCTCGGCTGTTGCTTTACCTAGGTGGCATTGGAGTACTGCATCATCAGGTGCTACATCTCCTCTATTGCCTCTAAGCACCCAAAGCATAAGAGGAGACCAGTCATCAACCTCCACTTCTCGATTCCTATACCCGAGGATGACCCTTGCAGTGTTGAAGGAGCGAGTGCGAAGAGCATAAGAAAGAGCACATCTCCCCGTAGTATCAACAATGTCAGCTTCTGAATGCAGAAGAAAACGGCAAAGCTCAGCATAGTCCCGCTCGGCAGCGTACATTAAGGCTGTCTTCCCTTGGTTATCCTGCATCCCACAATATTCTTGGATGATGTTAGAAAGATGTTGCGGGGGCACTCCAAACATAGCGTACATAAGCAGAGATCGACCTTCGTTATCCGTGCGTCGCTGATATTGCCCTATGTTCCGCAGACCAGAGACAACGCTGACATGCCCGTGATATGCGGCGATCATGGACGTTGTGCATCCAGTCGAGGAAACGATATCACCTTCCTGTGGGCCAAGCGTACGTATTGAGTCTGTATCCCCTATCATCGCGGAGTACATCAGAGCAGTGAACCCATACTTGTCACGCATTCTCATCTCATGCTGTAAAAGAAAGCCTATACCTTGATGGAAGCCAAGCATGGCACTAATCATTAGGGCTGTCTGTCCGGCCAAGTTAGTAGATCGCACTTGGTGGCAATGCCGATTGCAGAGATTGATGTCACCAAGAATGCAGCCCAGCATAAGCCCCGTGTATCCTGGTACTAATACACTAAGCTGCTCGCTGTGTTTCATGAGGAACCGACGAGTAGGCTCTATAAGCGCGGGGAGATATTCTATATGTTTGTTCTCAATGGCGTACACAATCGGCAGGACCCCCGATAGGTCAGGACACATTGCTAGACGAGATGCTAGGAGCTTGATCATTTCGTAACTTGGCGTGGACGAGCAAGGCAGAGTTCTTTGAGCTTTCATTTGCAGCTTGAATGCCTCATCAAAACACGATGGCCTTGCAAGGATAGCTGTCAGAACATTGTGATTCAGAGAATCGCACTCGTTTGCCTCGTCGTCCAAAAGAAGTTGTGCGATAGAGGTGTTGTCCATTTCTACGGCACACATCAACGCAGTCCGTCTTTGTCGGTCACGGGTCTTGACCATCATCCGCCTGTTTCTCTCTATGAAGTCTACGTCGCCAGCGGAGATGGCATTGAACCACTGCGCAATCATAAGTTAGTTGTTTTTTCAGGGGGCAAGAGACGAGGTCCAAAGCTTCTCTCTTGGTGATAAATGGTATGTACCTCAAAAGCCGTCATCCTACAGCATCATTCTCAATCAACAGACTTCACACCGGATTGATGTAGTCAGTTCAAAAGACGATCATGTCCAATTTACTTGCAACGCATGCGAGCACTGAACTGGAAGGCAGCCCGCAGAACCCTGTAGGCCCACGCCCACAGTATGCCACCAAGGCCCACTATGGGCCGCTCAGTGGGGTTGAGCATAGCATCTACAACTCTCGAAGGCGTGGTGTTAAAGAGCGGAATTCGGAGAAGGGAAAACAAGAGGGCTGATTTCGATCGCTTGACGGTCGGGGCTGTGTAGAAAGATGTTCCACTAACAATGTGAGGCATAACGTAATGGAATCGCGTGCGTATTTTCTTATCAGTTGGCTCAATAAGTTGAGAGACAGACTGCTTGATAGAAGTGGACGGGCAAGTCTCACTCCACGTTGCCTCTTCAGTCTCTTCAAGGGCCTGTGCGTATGCTTTCAAAAATGCCTTTGCAGAATGGTAGAGGCCAAAGTATGGCAAAGGCATCAAGGAGGCAATGCTTGAAGTAAAGCAGACATAGACTAATTTTTCTTTCAAGGGTGATGAGAGGAGCAGCTCAGTCAAGTACACATGTTGCTGAACATTGCATTGTATAAATGATGTCTTTTCGGAAAAGGGCGTCGCCTCATATGGCTCAAAAAGCCCATATCCGGCATTGCTGAAGAAAAGAAGGATAGACGGGTTCTCTTCCGAAATTGCCGAAAGGACCGTCCTACAATCACGCTCCCATGTTTCGGAATCGAAGTCGACTACACATGTCCTAACCGATACTGCAGGGCTTTCAACAGAATGCCGGAGCCTATCGAGAACAGTAGCATCGCGCCCAGTTAGAATTAAGGAAACTCCCATGGCACTTAGGCGCTTTGTGAGCTCTCGCCCAACACCACCGCACGCCCCAGATACAATAGCCCAGACCTTGCGTTCACTTTTATTCATGGCTTTTTTTCAATCGTTCAGCTGGCAAAGAACAGCACAACCCTGTCGAATGAAGAAGTTGGGGTCCTCATCAGTTGGAATCACCATTGGCATGATGTGGTTTGTGCTCCGACCCGTAGAGCTCAGTATCCCCGCTCTTTCACTTGTCTTGTAAATTGGTGCGTTATACCCTTTCACTACCTTTGAATCCATGCTAACTGGCGCAAAGTGAACAATCGGAACGCGAGGATATAGGATCCCTGGCTTTGCAGGAAGCAGCTTGCCTCCGTCGAGATCGAAAAACCCGCAGTCTAGATACAAACCATAAATCAGAACCCCTGTTTCCACACAGAGATCAGCGGAAGCCGTGCTCTCCTCATCGTACGTGGTGAGGTAGCGGAAGTCAAAGACCAGACTGTCCACGGAGATCTTGTACTCACGTGCATGCATCTGGAGCACACCAGTTATGAATCCTTGCGGGAAGTATAGGCCAGACATCCAGAACGTTGCTGGTTGTCCGTTTGTGAGCCAACGACGCATGAATGCAACGCGCTGAATTAGGTCATCAAACCACGAGGTCAGTGGCTTGAGGCTTGGATATGCCAGCTTCGTCCAGCTGCTTGGCACGCGGCCTAGCGCTAAAGACTTATACTGTTGCTCTAAATCAACAGATAGTAGGATCAAGCCTTTGATTGCGAGACGGATGCTATCCAGAGACGTCTTCAGGAACCGCAGGAGATTGTTGAAGCGCTCAATCTCCTGCGAAAGAACAACAGAGAGACAGTGCATCATCCCATTCGATGCTGTCACAAAGGTCGATGGACCAGCCTCTTTCTCAATGTCAAGCAAAGAGGGGAGCTTCGACAAAAGAGTTGCAGATATGCTATCGACTATTTGGTCGGTTGTTAGGTCGTTTGAGGGCTCGCCATAGAGCTTGAGGCGCAGGCGTGCAAGGTCTTGCTCAACAATCTGAGGGTCCGGGAGCGCGTCGGTGGTGCTCACAGCCTCAGCAATTTGCTTTGTTTCATCACCTGGCGTGGGCTCCTTGTCCGTTTCCTCAGTTGCAAAAAGCTTCTCATTCTTCGGCAAACAGTCTGCGCTAATATCGAGGATGCGTGCGATAACCTTATTTGATTCGCTTTGCCTGAAGACCACGAGCGAGTTTTCGCTCATGTTGAAGACCTCCGTTCCGTCCAGGATGGGCAGATTCTGGGCGAAGCTCCGGACCATGTCGTAGGAGGTGTATGCATCGAAGTCAATGGTATACTTTTTGTTTGCTGCGATAAAGTCGTACGGTTTGGAGAAGTCGCTGATAACTTTATCATTGATAATGCCTGTTAGGATGCAGCTCAGTGTCCGAAGGTCCCAGGAGTCAGTAACTCTTCCACCATAGTGTATCTTAGAAAAAATGAAGGTGATTGCATCCCAAGGAAGCTTAAATGATACGCCATTCGGAGAAGAAACCTCTCCACGATTATCCATTACCGAGGTAAATCCATGCGCCATAATAAACTCGTTTATGCTGTCAACCATGAAGCTGCGGAGGCTTTGCACGCAGATAGAAAAGTCTGAGTCATTGAACTCATAGCGCACATTGAAGGCCTGGGGTCCAAACTTCCTGCGCTCAAGGAGAATTCCATGGAAAAAGACAATGGCGTAAAAGAGCCTTTTCCACATGGCCTTTGCCTTTGTGTTAACTATCTCAGAAAAGCGTGCCATGGCGTTCTCATCAACCACTAACGGCTCCTCACCCTCTTCCGGTTTGGGAATAATATCGTCATAACGCAGCTCAGAAATGATCTCCTCGGCCTCCCATGCTTCAACAGTGGACGTCCCCACTGCCCGGACGATGTTGTTGCGGAGCCCCGTGGGCGGCTCGGTGGTGATCTTCAGTGAGGTCTGGAGCACAGATGCTGGGAAGTGTTTCACTGGCATTGATGATATAAACAATCTAAATGACGACTTCGGAGGCAAACTCAGGAACGGCAGGGTAGCTGCAGCATCTTTTTTCGCATCAGGAGACATGGTCTCACAGAGGGACAGAGCCTCAACGATCATCTCCAGCTCTGCCATCCATGACCGCGCCAGGTGTCCGTTCTGTAAAAATACCCATCCGCCGGTTGAGGACGCTTTCTCTATCGCATTCCGGGCCACGGGAGCTTGTCCCTGGCCGAGGGATATCAGGTAAAGAGGCTGGTTGTTCTGTTGAGCCAGTGCCTGCAGCTGGGAAAGGGGATCAGCCCCGACCGTAAGAAGGAAGATGATTGGGATCGTCGATGAGCTATCGCAGTATATTTCGGACAACTTTGGTGGCTCTATGTTCGAGTATTTAGGCCCTAGGACCACCTCAATGAACAGTGGAATGGCAAGAATCATAAAGCTCTCAGAGAAGAACTTAATCAAGAGGAGAATAGATATAATCCTAAATCCCTCGTTGGAGATTTGTAATCCGGCCTCCATCATCATCTGTACAATGCGGTTATTTGAATCAAAGAACAAGAGAGCGCGGCAAAGGGCATCTCCGTCAGTTGTGCCTGCAAACTCCCGTTCGATTGCAGCAAAGTTCTGCTCTATGAATGAACAAAGTCGTTCTTGTGTAGGTATCACAGACAAGGCCTTTAGGAAGGTAAGTAGCCGCCCTGCACCAAGGGATGCGATGGGGCCATCGCCAAATAGCGCCTCTCCTTGCTCCTCCAGTCTTTTATACGTATCCTTCATTGCTGGGGATGCACGGGATAATCTGTTTTCGTCAGAAAGAATAATGTCGGCATAAAGGTTGCCACGGCATAAGATGCTCCAGTCGTCAAGCCCAATGTCACCTTGGATCTGAAGAATTCGCGTAGCCAGGAGGAACGCAAAGACAAGCTTATCCTTTTCAAAAACCCCCCTGCTTATGTTAGAGAACATGAAGTATGTCACCTTTTCAAGCAGCACTTCCACTCTCTTAATCATGCTCTCTGGGTCTCCTCTGTAATCTGCAATGGAATTTATGGCAGTGACAAAGAGGCGTATATAGTAGCTCAAGGCGAAGAGGTACATGGGCTCTACCAATGACATGTCCGAAACAATGAAGTATATGAGCGCACCCCTGATGGAAATGGGCCGGTAAATGCTATAGTAACGAGCAATCTCAGCACGCGTCGTTATCGCCTGCTTCTCTTTAGCCTCTATATCTGCCGAGACGGACTTACTCTCCCCTAACACTCTAATCAGATTTTCATTATCTAGAACCGAGCCCTGAAAGTTTGTCAACTCGTGGAGGATCTGGTTGGACAGCTGAGCGAGGTGCCTTCTGTCTCTGGACGACTCGGTCGTCAATTCTATGCGCTTCTTTTCAAGAGATGGGTACTCTGCACTGACGACGGCTTGCAGAAGTTGGTCCTCAAGAGCGTCTGTGCTGATCGTGAAATTAATGATGGTGAGCTTTGCATGCACCTCCGGGCTAAACGACGGATTGGCCAGTTTGGTGACCAAATACAACCTAAAATTGGGATGCCATTCTACCTCGCTATCATTCAGCATAATGATTTGTCTTCCGGCACTTATAATGATTTCTCGCTCAATTACTGGCTTTAGGCTGGGCTCTATGACCTCCCCGACGCCATCCAAGATAACAGGAGTGCCCGACCGCACACAGTTCTCAAAGATACGAAGCAGTCCAGATTGAGTAGGCTTCAAGACCATCAAGTTGTTTGCCTTCTCCATCCCCTTAATCCATGTCAAAGCCTGACTTTGTGGATCTAGAATCAAAGGGAATCTGCGCGTTGTAGTGACCATCACAGCGTTGTCAGTAGAGGTAAGGTCTGACGGGAGTCCCTGGGAGCGCCACGATTCCAAAAGAACGTCGTCTGATGAAACCAAGGGGAAAATGCCGTTCTGGAGAATAGTTTCAAGGGGAGAGCACCTTACATTATAGGCCAGAAGGAGTCCGTGCCAAAACTCGAGGAGCTCTGCACGGTATTTGAGGTTGAAAACTCCAAGATAAGCAATGGCACAGGTGGCCAAGAAGACGTCACCTGGAACCAGTTTCAATTGTTCCTTGAGAGCGGCACTCTGCGAGATCCAGCGCTCACGCTCGTCCGACAACGCACCAGTAAGCTGCTCAGCACGCATCAGTCGCGCCTTCGTAAGCTCCATGGCTTGCTCCAGCCGGATTTTCTCGTTATTCTGCTTTTCGAAGGTTTCTTCCAGGACGGTAAGCTTATCTTCAACCTCCTTGAGCTGAGCTTGCTTGACAGCCAGTGCATCCATTTTCTCCTTCAGATCGGCCTTTGCTGCTTCGAGGCGCTGTCGCTTGGGCTCAACCTCGCGGATGGTATAGGAATATTTCTCAATGGCAATAACCCAGAAGCAGAGCGACTTGGCAGCCAGTGATTGCTTCTCTACCTTTTCTGGAACAAAATCGGACGAGGTGGTATACTTCTTCAAGCTCTTGAGAATGCTGTCCGGAACATTGTCTTTGTCGTATGATATCAGCGACTTCAGAAATCCAGTGTCGCTGAGGACCTTCTTGGCACTATCCCAATCTGGCTTTGCGCCCACTAAGATGCAGATCGCCTCCATAACCATCTTCACCAAGGGCGGCGGCTGCTTGAAAGACTTTATTTCCGTGATATCTGAACTGTTCAGCGAGTCCAGTGCCTTGTTGGCTGCGATTAGTAGAGGCATGGCCGCGTCCAAATCCTTTTGTGCATCCTGAGCGATGATCTCCGTGTCTTGCGCCTGGGCCTTGACGATGGTCTCTTCGGAGATAGCAACCTCTTTCATCTTTGCCACTACGGCCTTCTCGCTCGTGAGCTCCTTGATAAGCTTCTCAGAACTAGCAGCAGCCACCTCGAGCTCCGGTGCAAGCGCCTCTTGTTCTTTCTGTAGCGTCTCAACTTGCGCCTTGGACTCTATGAGCTTTTGCACACCCGTAGTTAGCTGATAATATCGCTTATTAATCCCTGCAATCCTTTGGGCAAGGAGCTCAGAGTATAGGCTAAGCAGCTCGAGATAGCATGCAGGGGGAACGTAGTGCTTCCGCCGCGTGTCTGTATAGTATCTCATCAACATACGCTCGACAGAGTCATGTATTTCAGTAGCGATGGGAGCTAGACGCTTGGTAAGTCTCTTGGCAAGAACCTTTGCTAGCTCGAATTGCTCGTCAAAGTCTCCAGCATCCTTACTCTTGTTGAACTCTGCTCGTTGTTCTTCTAGAGCCATGTCTATTTCGCTTCCCTTGGAGATGTCATAACACTCTGTCATATTGACACGTCGGAGCTCCTGTTGAAGAACGCTATTTGCAACATCCATCAGGGCGGCCTTAGGCCAGTTCTTAAACCAGTCTATGGTGAGATTTGTGACAAGAGAAGGGAAGGTGCGGAGCCTATCGCGGAACTGGTCTCCAGAGGGCGACAAGCAGAGGACGATGTGCAAGTTATCGCGTACCCTATTGATGAAAAAGCGAAACACCGCGTCCTTATTGCCTACGTCGACTGGCACCCCCTCTTTATTGATAATGGACCGTATGTCGGCCATAATCTTGTCCAGCTCATCCTGCTCGAATAAGTTTGGCACAATTCCACTGTTTAGAATGTTGTTGATATCTTCTAGTTGTGACTCCACCACGATCTGGCTATCGTCCAGCATGAACACGATATTTTTGTTCTCAACGCCAGCCTTTTGAAATAAGGTCTTTAGATCGTCCCTGAACTCATTCAGCCCATACCCCTTTCGCAGCTCAATGGTTTCAAGGTCACAATCGCAAATGAACGCGGCCAATCTGGTCAAGGACTTTCTCCCGGAACCCCCAAATCCTACAAGCAACATGGAGCCGCGGGGTGCTGTGATTGACCGTGCAATCCTAGAGACATGCTCAACGGCATCTTTGAAAAGAACAAGATTCATCGCTTGCTTGCTCCCGGCAGTATTATATTCGCTGAGGTAACTTTCTAGAAGCGTCTGCACGGCATTAAAGGATCCACCCTTCTCGTAGACTCGCATGTCGATTGGGGTTCCAGGCTTCATATAGTTGCCCCATATATCCTCGGGTCTGGTGTCAACAACTCCGGGGTCTCCTTCTTGTGGCTTTTTAGCTGACGGAGTGTTCGCCAACCCGGGTGTTGTGCTGAAAATGTCAATGATAGTGTCATATACAGCGTTTCTGTCCTCGTCGGCAATCGTTCTGTCTGCAAACACGCGCAGGCACTCGTGCCTAAATAAGCTGGAGAAGTCCTCTACCGACTTTATCACCCCTGTAGTGGCACGCAGGACGCCTTGAACAACCTTGCTGACGTCGCGCAGATTAAAGGTGTAATGAATTTTCGACGGGGTTGGACGAAGAATCGTCGAAAGCGTTTGATAGATTTGAATAAGCGCACGAATAGCACTTGCACTAATATTGGCAACGTCAACTGGGAACTTGTTTCCTTGGGCCTGGGGGTCGCTAATGTCAACATATGTTAGGTGGCCGTGAAGAATGCTGTTGAATATGCTATGCAGAACCTCGTCGCTGGCGTCTGGAAGAGCAAAATTAATGAAGTGACTGATAGTCCGCATAGATACGACATTACGCCCTCCTCCAGCAGGCGCACAGGCAGCAAGAACAGTCGTGTCGGCTAGGTTCTTGAAGAACCACTCCTTTCTATCATAAAATCCATCTGCGTCGACTATGTCTCGGATGAACTCGACGGCCTGTTGTGACCCAAACAGATCGTACGCAATCATGTTGATATCGTCAACAAAAATACATGCTATCTTTCCAACCACTGGTCCTAGGATAGTCTTTCTCCGCTTCTCAAGACTGCTCTCTATCATCTCCTGTGTTCGGAGAGAGTTGGACGCAGCAGAGAAATTAATAAAAGTGTTCTGCGCCAATCCTCGTTTATCTAGAGTTGCAAGGAGATCGTTGACAAGAACAGACTTGCCGCTCCCTGTATTCCCTGTGACTAGCACTGGCTTTCGCTGCTTAACCAGACTCTCTATAAGGTGACTATACCGCACTGAGTCAAGAGTATTGACGTAAATCTGGAAAAAGGGTAGCTTTGGGTCGTAGCTGAACTTGGGCATGACGTTTCCAAATGGCGCAAAGGTGCAAGCAGTCTGCGGGGAGACTATCTTTGCAGTCAGAAAGGCTGCCGCTTCGTCGTTAGAGGAGAGGATCGCAGAGATGTGCGTAGCCTTTTCGGAAAAGAGATCTGTTGTTAGCTGATAGGTTCCGAGCGGCTTAGACGTATGCTGATCGTCTGCCTGACTTGTGTAGAAGGGCGACATGAAGGTCATGGTTGTGAGCATCTTCTGCTGGTAATCTATAACTGGTTGCCAATCGACGTAGTAATCAAATATGAGCCCGCTGTTAGGGATCGACGGAAGGGAAATACACGGTGGCAAGGAGTAACCCTCAAAGGGGTGGAATTGCTTGGCCTGCTCTGTTTCTTCGGGGAGAGAGCCCGTTGCCTTATATGCAATGTACTGTTCGTTATTCGTCTCAATGAGAGTGCGAATTGCATTGTCGAATTCTTCTCGCTTCTTTGTATTCTGCATTGCCGTGGTTGCAAAGCTCCAGATAAAGGCATACAGAAACGCTGACTTGATGATGTTTTCGCAGGTGACAAACTCGTCGCTCGCTAAGACATATTCATGAATCTTAACAAGCTTCTCTGCGTTTGATAGGGACGACTGGATCATGAGAGAATTGTTGTTAGCTACAAATTGTAGTGTCAAAAACCGCACCATCAGGGTCATGTCAATGAGATCCATGACAGCCTTGTCTTTTGCCTGGGGTATCTCTGTGAGACCGTTTTCTTCAGCGGCCCTATTAAGTTCCTCCTGCTTCTGGATGCGCTCATGTGCAATCATGGACCGATTGTAGACGAGAATGGCCGTGAATATCCGAGTAATGGACTGAATCACTGAAAACTCGTTTGTTGGAATGAACATGTCGCTACAGTTCCTGGAGTAAAACTCCATCCCTACGGGGATGAAAATAGCGAACAGTTTGAAAATCAGCAACATAAAGTGGTCGTAGATGAGCGCCTCCAGAGTCTTGTCACAACCCTGAGGTACTGGAACAGAAGACGCCGAGCCGCTAGCTTCAGATGAATTCCCGTACCCTACTTCACGCAGGCCGGAGATCATCTTAACACGCTTATCAAACTCGCCATTAAGCCAACAGATAACATATGCGTCCCAACGTACTATGCAAGCGGACATGTCTCGGGCATAGGCAAGGCCCTGAGGCTGACTGAAATAGACCATGCCTGCGCGTGAAACCGTAGCTGGAGATGCATTCTTCAGGTTCTCTACCTCAAAAACGATGCTTATATATTCGTTGATCTTTAAACGCTCGGAGTTGGCAAAGCAAATAAGCTTATTATCGTCGAGGAGCGTGTTGAGAGACTCAATCCAAAGGGTGTCCACCGGGCCATCGAAGCAAATCCACTGCTTCTTCTGTTGGATGGGCAGCCCTGTTTGCTCATCCTTGAGACCGGCAGCCGTTTTTGCAAGCATATCCCGGATCAAGACCCCAACAAGCCCGTCCTTCCATTCGCCAGAAACGTCGTTATAGTTTCCATAGAGCTCTGTCATGTCAATGGACTTTGGGTTGAGAACGTTGACCTGCACATGATTGACGATATGGTCTGGGTTTGCCTGAAGGAAGACCTTCCGCTGCTCTGGTGTGAACTCTGTGTCCACCTTGTCTCTCAGTATGCCGAGGGCCTCCTGAAGCACCCGCATGCACACCGTCTTTCCAGACTTGGCTGCCCCTACTTGCATCACACCATGACGCACCTGCATGGTTTCGTGAAGCTGAACAATCTTATTGACCTGAAGAGGAATGTTGTAGTAATTATTTTTCTTTAGTACTTGCTCAATGCAAAGAGCCAATTCACCGTGCTCCACAGAGGGAATCTGGACGCCGGGGAAGAGATCCTGAATGATGCCCATGAAGAGCTCAATATCTGCTGCAGTGAACTTCGGCAAATTAGCGTCACGCATGGCACGGATGAGAACAACATCTTCGGTAAGATGCCCGTACTTGCGCCGCAGCCCGCCAGCCATGACAAGGACCGATTTGATCGCACGCATGCCAAAGTCATAGTGGTCCTGCTGCGATAGCTGCTCCGAGCTGAGCTTGTAGAGCTGCACCATCTTGCGGCTAAGGACCTTGGCCGTTGTAAAGCCCTCCGAGAAGAGAATGATTTCTGCTATAAGTGAATAGTCTGGAACAACCATGGAAACTGCGCGGAACAAAGCCTTGAGATTATCGGGTAATTCCACACGGCCCGCATACCCTGGGTTCATCGTGATAAAGATTCCAACCGTCTTGTTGATAGGCATGTCAACGCCCTCGAAAATAAAACGATCTTGCCCGGCTTTGACTGCATTTTGAATACACATGACCTGCGACGCAACGACTGAAAGCACCTCCAGGTCAATTCGATTAAACTCATCGAAGCAGATCCAGGCACCAACTTGGGAGAGACCGGCGAAGAAGCGGCCCATGATACGATAGTCCAGAGACTCTGAACAATTGAAGACGATGCAAGGCATTGCAAGCGCTTTCGCCAAGTCCTTGGTGGTCTCTGTCTTCCCAGTTCCAGCGGGCCCCTGCGGAGCTCCACCAAGATAAAAGCGATGCGCAATCATCAGAGTTAAATAACAAAGATCTGTGAGCGGGGTAATAACCAGGCGAGGAGATGCACCAAGATACTCGCAGTTGTAGAGAAAGTGTGCTGCCGATTGATGGATGTGCACCTGGTTATCAGACGTGTTCCAATAGTAGCGTAAGAGCTTTTGGAATTCAAACGAGGTGATAGACGTGACCTTCTCATGCAGGAGGTCATACAGAGTATCCCTAGAGTGGACGTCAATAGTGGCCAGCGCAGTGACAATACATCGCTGGAGCTTCGTCAGAGAGGTGTCTTGGATCAGTTTAATCAGGTCTAGAAGCATTTTTTCAAAGTTCTGAATGTAGATTGCTAGGGGAGACGTCTTCTCTGTTGACTTCTTTGAGTGGTGCACATCTGTGTCTTGAACCACGCTCCGAGCCATGCTTTCTGCTTCGTCAACTGTGCAGTCTGTGCCATTCGCGCGCTTACCACCGTATCCAGCATAGGAGCTTCCTTCTAGAGCAAGATGAATTCCCTCACACCAATAAATCTGACTGACGCAAATGATGCATTGTGCTGGATGGGAAAGAATCCACGCGTTACGCTTCTCCACAGAGTAATCGAGGACCGCTACCTGACAGTGTCGATTAATCGTCTGCTTCATGCGTTGCTCCAGGTTTCCAAGCCAGGCCGTAATGGAGCCTCGTGCCTTGATTGGCACATTAAGCACAACACGCTCACCTTCTTCCGAAAGCATGGCAACAATGTCTAAGCCACCGGATTGACCGACTGAGAATTCAAGTGATTGTATGGAGTCGAAGATCTTGCGAATGTGCGCTTGGATTGCATATGGATTCTTTGATTGAGAAAGTATGTCAAGCAGCTCTTCGTCTGATAGAAAGTAAAGACGGGCAAAAGACATCCGCTTGTTCTGCAGGTACTCGTCAAGAGATTTCTGTATGGATTCTAGAACCTGCTCATATCGCTTAAGCATCGCCTCCAACGGAGGTGTGTTGCCGGTTGGAACAACGGCTGCAGTACCAATTATGTTGAACTGAGGCACCTCCACCGCCTTTGGATAATCCTGCGTCTTTGATAGAAGCTTCTTCCAGAAGCCATCCAAATCCATAAACATCTTCGTCTCATTGGGCAGCTGGCGCTGAATGTCTCCAGATCCGAAGATATTGAGGAGATATAGGTAGCCCTTCTGGACCCTACACCAAACATCAATCGTACTAGATAGATTGGTAAGCTGTGTATAGAGTTTCTGCACCTCCTCCTGGATTGGCTTGACATATCTACTGGACACTATCCCGGACAGAACAAGAATGGAGTCGTCAAGTTTTGCAATGAGGTCAACAACGTCCGTGATCACAAAGATATCGAGCGAGTCCTTGTAATTGTTGGTAGAAATGTCAATGTTGGCCCATTCTGATTCGAGCTTTCGGAAGCTGACTTCAAGACTTGCTTCGTTGGCTGCAGTGTTAGAGACCGAGGAAAGCTCATCCTTGAAGTTGAGGGCATCGTTTTGTATCAGCCAAGCAATGGTGATCTTCGGCGTGTCCTCTGAAACTTTAATAGTGGTAGTAACTGGGAGTAGTTCTTCGGGTGCCGCTCGCTCCCGCTCCTTCTCAGTAAGAAACTTGCGTCTGACAATCTTGATGGGATTCCGTGCATCGTCTCCAAACTTCGGTATTTCCACCCCAAGGGCCTGGCCTACGCTTGCCCAGTGGCGAGGCTTAAGCGTCTGGTTATCCAGGCTTTGGACAACGGGTATGAGTTGCCGGAAGTCATTGACACGGAGCTTGAGCACCAGAGCAATATCCACTTGTGGAAGCTGTCTTTCGCACTGAAAGGCGATCTTTCCGCTCTCGGCCACAAACTTTGTCATATAGTCGACGTCCAACTGTCCAAAGAAGAATGACTTTGCAAACACAACCATGTTTTCAAGCCACGCAAAGCATGTCCCCCACAGCGAATCGTAGAGCTTCACCGTCTGGCTTGTGCTCTCCAGGTCGGTGAACACAGTGACATCCGTGCCCAGAGACGTCTGGTATCTCTGATTAACACGGATAGCAGACTCTATCGCTGACAGCTTTTCGCGAAGCGCGAGCGTTTGATTGTAGCAATCCTTAATCTGAGTGGAGGTGAGCACAAGCTTCTTCTTAGCAGAAAGAATCGCTAACTCCCCAGGCAAGTTCATAGAGAGATTAAAGGCACCATGAGCTGTTGGCTCTCTGCTGAGTGTCCTGGAGGTGTCGGAAGTCTCTGCTTCCACTGGACCCGAGACAGCGCTATGCCCTGTCTCACTCATTTGAGAGGCCTCTGCTGCAGCAATTGTGGCTCCAGCGGTGCCATCATTCGCAACTGTTTGGCTTTCTATGAAGCTATCGTACTCTGTAGATTCTGCCGCTTCTTGCAAGATATATTCTAGAGTCAGAGCGTTGAGCTTATCAGCCAAAGTAATAACCGTTTGCATCTGGCCCGTGCCACCCTCGTATTGTTGCTCGTCTCCATCCTTCTTCTCGCTAGAAGACTCTTCGGACTGTATCGCATCGTCATCCTTTTGAGGGCCACTAGAACGCGAGGGCTCGCTGACTTCCTCGTTTGGCTGTTCCACAGGCTTCTCTGTACTGTTTGCCTCCTGACCTGAAACTAAAGTGTCAGGATTGGGGGACGTGCCCAACAACCTGGTATCTTGCTCAAATGCATGAATATAGTTAGATACTACCTCTGTTACTTCTTCGAGAGTACAAAGCTCGATGCTCTTGTTGAGAAGTGGATCCGTGGTCTTGTGAGTCAGCAGAGCCAGGTCCTGCTTGATCTTTTGAGCACGCTCGTGGAGGTTCATGATCCAGCTGTTGAGCTGCTGATCAACGAGCTGTTCAGATGACAGGATCGTATTACGAAGTTGCTCGAAGTACTGCGCGAAAATGTTCTGAAGATGGAGGAACTCATTCGGGAACACAAACCCGTGATTATTGGTCAGTCTATGAACTAATTGGAAGATATTATCAGAGAAAAGCCGAATGGTATCCACTATTTCTTCCGTTATCAAGCTCAAGCATTCTTTAAATATTATGAATTCGTCGACAGATTGAGTCTGACGTACGAGAAAGGCCTGTATCTGCATCATGTTTAGGATAAGTATGGATAGCCTGCGATGACAAGCCAGCGGAATCAAGGTCTGGAGAAACGTCAAAACCCGCTGGGGAGCAGGAACGAAGGCGTCCTTCAGCTCTGTCAGATCAAACGCAAAGGCGCCCAAGTTAATCCGTGTCGGCATAGCGTATGTGAGGAGCCGATACTCTTCCAACTGGGTTACAAGCTCAACAATGCGGTCAATGGGGTACAGATGCTCCAGCAAAACGGCCCGTGTCAGGCCTTGATAGCTAGTCAGTGGAATGTCCCTTCTACCTGAAACAGAGAGGTCGGGCAGTTGAAGAACCGCGGCCCTTACATCAAATCTGTATACTGGGTCGTCAGGCTTTTCCTTCTTTTGGGAATCGAAGTCAACCTCAGCCTCCAGAGCGTCAAGAGGCGAAAGAACTGCAGCTACCTGAGGAGCATCTTGACCGAGGAGCTCCTTGCCGTAATCAAAAATCTTCATCAGGATGTCTGGGATGCTTACATTCATTAGGTCCTCAACACCTGGAGGAAGAACAAGAAGAGACTTCTCAAGCGCCTCGATGTCAAGGGAAATCACGTCATTGAATGAGTCAAAATAGCTCTGGAGGTTGACCATCCAGTTGACTGCTGCGTCATACGTGCTCCTGACTGTAGTTGAGATGTCAGAGATGACAACGTGGAAGGCCGGGTTTGTGGAGAAGAGCAGGGAGATGTCAGGAGCCTGGATTTCAGACATCCCCACGTCCCCACTGGCATCTCCGCCGGTGGCATTTGCCAGGACGCCACCAGAGCTGAATGGGCTAGTGACATCTGAGAAGTCTTCGTGGGTGACAAGACGGCGCACAGCAGTCTCTACAGAGAGAATGTTCTCAATCATTGTCTCGATTGCTCTATAGAAATCTTCGAATGATGGGGTGACCGAAATGTCCGCCACTGAGCCCGGTCTGATGGCATCCCCTGGTGTAGAGGGGTCACTGAGGTTCATTAGATTACGGTATCCTCCTCGATACCCATAAGCATTTAGCGCCGTGGTTCCTGCAGCAGGAGGCATCGTGGATAGCATGCACACGACACGCCCAAGAAATACGACGTACGATCCATCACCAACAAGCTTAGGCATGGCCTCCTCTTCGGTGATATCCATACCCTTGACGTTGGTGAGCGAATCTCCACCAGGACCATCGAAGCCGGCCATCTCATCCTCTTCTACTGGATTAAAGTTTATCACGCCTATGCGCTCCAGATTGCGCAAGACCTCCATCGATGGAACAACCTGCTCATATGTTGGGAAGACTATCTTGCTAGCTTCGCGAAGACGAGTAAAGAACGTGTTCAGAGTTAGATAGGCCAGGTCATAGAGACTGTCCATAATCATAAAGTCTGCCAAACGTAGAAAGCTCACCATTCGCTTGCAAAGATTGAGGCGAGTCGCCCTCTCTGTGTACGTGATTTTCCCCTCCTTGTGGGCCTGAGCAGCATTGGACTCAATTGCTGTCATTGTCGCGGCCTTTTTGATAGTACCCCTGTAGTTGTCAAACTCCTCAAAGTCTAGCTTACGAACAGCTGAGGTATCATCAGCGCTATTCTCACTGGCATTAGTATCGCTTCCGATGGCAGCCAGAATCACTCCAGAGATGGACTTACGGATGCCCAATGCAACGTGTGTAACAATCTCGTCGAGATTAACAGCCATATCTCTGCAGCGGGTGATGCACATCCTCTCAAACTCTTCTAAGGAAAAGGGGAAGTTATGTGTCTGAGTATTGGCTAAGGACCCGAGCACGTGGCGCGCAGGTCTCGAACTAGAGCCTGCTCCCCCCGGAGAAACGGGCCGGGGAGATGCTCCGTCACCGGAGCCTGCCTGCTCATTATGTTCATCATTATAGGTACCCTCATCATCAGAGTATCTGGCCATTCCATCGTCATGCTGAGCTATTTTAAGCCGCTTCTTGAGGGCCTCCAACTCCTCATCGGTGAGAATTAGAACGAAAGACTTAATGTTGATGCAGTTATCATAAACCCCATAGAGAGCCTGCCGAAGAAGTGGATTGAGGTAGAAGAGATTTGCGTCTAAGCTCCCGTAGGCGCGGGTCCGCCTGTTTTTAAGAACGGCCTTCTTGAGCAATCGCAGTGGCTTCCACAATCTAAAGTTAGCAAAGATTGGGATTTTACGGAGAGTTTGTAGCATTACCAAATCATGCAACCATTCATTGAGATCCGAAAATTGCGACATTCCGTTAACGAAGTGTGTAACACCCTTTGCAGATATCGTATAGTAGTCCGACTTTGAGATCCACTCGTAGGGACAAACCAAAATGTCCCACTCGTGGAAATCTGCATCAGAACTGAGTGCATAGCCTGGTGGAAACTGGATTTGTGTAAAGCGAGACATGTAGAAGAAGCTACCAGGAGGCGCCTCTGCGAGAATCTTCGCTGACTCGGAGGGGTGGACTATATCTGTCACCATCGGTCGTGTCATGGTCTTCTTTTGTATAATTGATGCCCCTGGCTTCATGGCCTTCTCAATAGCAGTAGTCAGGGTAGGAATTGTGCTAAGCTGGGAGTAATGGTCTGCTCCGGGCTGGCTCATGTTTGTAAACTGCCAGCCCTTCTGAGTGCGCACACGGCGCGGAAGATTTGTGTTCGGGGGCGGGGGGATAGCGACACTGCCGACAGAGTTTGGATTCGCTTCGGTAGAAACATTCGTTTCGTAGAGTGCCTGTTTATTGAGCGCTGTTGCGTAAAGACGGGCTCGAAGCATCTCTGCAGAATCCTGCTGTCGCTGGTCGGGTGCTGACATAGCAGCTTTTTGTGTTTGCGTTTTGTGTGAATTTGTGCGCTTTTATTAATTACTTGTGTAAATTTCCCACTTAATTTAACTCCACAGGCCCTATGATTCTGGTCCTTGCGCTAGTTCTAACTCTGGGGAGGGCATCCTCCTTCCCGGCTGATATGCCCACACTCAGGTGTGGCCACGGTAGCTGCTCGAGCATTTCCGAGGTGTATGTTTCCCTCTTGAAGATCTTTACGCACCACGTCGACGAGTTTGTCCACATGCTCAAGACAGAGGTCTTTTCACCTGAATTGTACCATAGCCTATCTGCTGAGTTGGAAACATCGACCGATCAGTACGCTCTTCTTTTCGAGGAGTTAATTCCAACTGCCTCCCGCGTTGACTACTTTCTTTACAACGCCTTCCTCAATGTGGTCACTGACACCATTGTTTCCATGGCATCTAGCGCAACGGGGACAAATCTCGGGTATAGCTTGACAGTTAAAGATTCTGTCGGTTCTGCCGACAGAATTTATAAATTCCTAAGGACCACGGCTCGCCACATTGTCTCTGACTCCTTTGACGCCGTGTCTTTACCGGGGCTTCCCGGGTTCCTTATTGCTCGCCAGGCAGCCTACGGCTACTCTGTAACAACCCTACACGATCAGGAGTCAGGCGTCCCGGGCTCATTTTCAAGCGAGATAGTTCTTCATAACACCGTCAAAGAGCTTGCCCTCAGTCTGGGCAGCGGTTTTGTCCTTCCTCAGACCTCTCTGGCTGAGTATTTATTCAGCAATAGCATACAGCTCCCGTCAATCTACATGACTGATTTCACATATCGGTATCGATACCCATTCATGATAGCATTTACTGGTTCTTCGCGGTATGAAGGGAGAATTGTGTTTTCGAATGGAACCACCCACAGAACACTTACAAGTGCCACACAGAAATGGCATCTTGTCCAGACCGCTCAACCGTACAATGTTACGCACCCTCTGCGCTCAGACTTCCGGATTACTCAGTTAGAGGGCGCACAGGAAACAAGTCTATCCCAGGCGAGTGATAGCTTCCCAGATTTTTATAATACATTACGGGTATTTCCGTTCAGAACGTCTCTTACCCCATTTCTGACTGCCATCTCCGGTGATGGAGCCCATAATAAGGTTGTCCTGCAATCCTGTGTCTCGATTAAGGACGCAGCCAAGCAGACTGTTGCTTGTGCAGATCCGCCTCCGCCGACAAACTGGGCGTCGGTTATCTTTTCTTTAGTCATGATTGCGGCGGTGATCTTTCTGTGGGTGTATGGCATAAAAAATGCGTCCTATATGGCCAAACTGGACGAGTACCGCATGAAGCACCCCGAGAAGGTCATCCTAGATCCATACGAGCAGCGCCAGTCGGATAGGAAGACTGCTCATGAAGCCTTACAGAAAGAGCTTGAGCGCTTCGCCACCACTAGATCAGTTGCCGAGTAATCCTCGTTGTAAATCTTACACCACTACTAGTCTCTCCCGCTGATCCCACTAATGTTATTGTTTATGAAATCTAATTCGCAGGGTTGAGGTCCCGGGTTGAAGGTGCTACTCGCGGTTGGGACACGAACAGTGGCATCCATGGGGACCTGGGTCATGGCACCAGATATGTGTGTCAGGGTCTTCTCTATGCCTTTCAGGTACCCGATTTGTCGAGACAAAGACTCAATGGTTGCGTCCTTTGATGCCACCTCTGCGCGGACGTTCTGTCCGTCGCGTAGCGCGTCTTCATACTTTTTCTCCAGCTCTATGTACCGTTGTGAAATGTGCGCAATTTCTCCAGTTGCTTCTTCTGCACGTGATGCTTGGGCACGGGCCTGCTCCCAATCCTCTCGCAATCTTTTGATTTCGTCGTGGAGACGCTGGTTTTCGAGTCTAAAAACTTCATTCTCCGCCTTGAGTTGCTCTAGTTCGGCGCTCAGTGTGCCTCTGGCGTTGCTTGCCTCTGTAACAAGACCCTTATAGTATCCTAGGTCCCCTAAAAGGCGCTCGTGGTCAGCAAGGTCTCCCCTCATTTTGTGCAGAAGCTGTTGCAACTCATCGTTTTCTCGCGCGAGGTCTCCTATCTGTCTATCCTTAGTAGCTAGGTCAACGAGCATTGCGTCAATGCGTCCATCAAGAAGCTGCTGGGAGGGCTCTGATGTTGTACCCAAGGAATCTGCATAAGCCTGAAACTTAGTTGTTTGGTTCAGTAAACCGCGAAGCTGGTCTGCTTGTTGATGGAGGGAATGAATTTCGTTGTCTCGCTGAATCACGGAATTGCTTAAAGTGGCAATCCGAGCCTCATATTCTTCACGCTCTTGCGGTGAAAGATGTTTGACAGTAACCTGTGGCCTGCTGCGAAGCTCCTCTATAAGCCTGCCCATTGATTCCATCTTGGCGATGTGGGACTCGTTTTGTTGCAGAGCATCTTTTAGTAAAACCTCCATCTGCTTCAGTTGAGAGCTTTTCTTGCTTATGTCCAGCTCAAGAGCATGAATGCGGCTTGTAGAATCTTCTTCGCGACGACGGAGTCTCTCGAGCTGCTGATCACGGTCGAAGTTTATTGACTGCGCCGCTACACCGGACCCTGTGACAACCTTTCCCAAGTGTATTGCCGAGCTGGGGGTTGCTGGAAGGTGCTGGCGGATCGGAGTCACTGGTCTGCTTGCTTGCTGATCTATCATAGGTGTACGTCTAAGAACTTGTGCGGACGACGAGCGAATGTGATGGGCCACTGTCTGCGGAACTAGGGAGTCATCAAACATAGAGGTATCATGATCTGGCAAGGCTGGCGCACAGGCAAGCTTGGGGTCAAGTGGTCTATTTTCCAGACTACCAGTAAGCGTAGCCCCGCGGGCTCTCTCCCGGATGACTTCACTAGAAGAGATGACTGCAGCAGGAGTCTCTGAGCCTAGAGAGGAACGTAGATCTAGATGCTGAGAAGTGCTTTCTACTGGGGCCTGATAATTTGGATTAACGCTGGAAGGGGCGGGTGCAAGTACTCGATCATGTCTTAAAATTTGAGGAGTTGCAGTAATAGATGTGTGAGTCACTGCTGGGACAGACAAGGAGTCACGCAGCGTATGAGTGGGGTTGTTTCTCGTGGAGTAATGCTGCTCGTTATTGGGCTGTAACGCCCCATGAGGACTCTTCCCTTCGTCAATAATGGATTGAAGAATACGATTTGATGCTTTAAGCTGCTCCTTGACGTAGTTCAGAGATACATTTTTGCAAGAGTCCTTGTAACGTTGGCCAACAGAGGAATAATACTCAGTTGTTCCGGGAGCTGGGAGAGCATCGCTATCGTGCGCATTGACCATCTCCAAACTAGAGGAAACCATCTGGGAGATCTGCGGGGATGCACGCTGGGCATTAACTTTGGAGTTTAGCATCTCTCCCAACGATTTATTGGTCGGCACGGAATCTTTTGGGTACGGAAAGAGAGCGTAGAGCAGGGCGGCGTTCGACTCCAGATCTTCTTGCCGAACAACCTGCGACACGCATAGGAGGAAGGTAATGCTTCCAAACTGTGGATGAAAAGAGTCACGCAGGCAGCTCAAGAGTCTGTGCTCCCGAATGGGAAGGCTTTCTAAGCGATTATGTCTGATATCAGTAAGTACCCTAACCAAGAGAGATTGCAATAGAAGGTCACTGCCACGAGGAGATGGAAATATAGCTAGCTCAACGGTCACAAGTCGGCCATATTGGCCCTGAATTTGATAATCTAGAACCCACATTTTGTGCATCCAATCCGTTTGCTCTGTGCGCATGGCATGTCTTCGCGAAAGACGGACAAGGTCAACAACGTCTGCGGCCTGGGCTAGAGGATAGGCACAGCACGGGTACGTTACCGAGGGATACGCCCGTTGGTTGAAAAGAGGCGTAACGTCCTGAGGTTGCTCACTTGGTGTCAGGAGGTTCTTTATACGCTCCATGGGGCCAAAGCCGAGAGAAGAGACATAGACTTCGGAGGCATCATTTGCAAACAGATATGAGATACTGTTGTACAGGATCCCTGCGAGCGCGCTGTCACTCTGACTCCCTTCGACCGTGTAGCTTTTTCCGCTGTGAAGAGGTCCACAAACAAAAAGCACCGGCACACGGTCCTCTAGAAGAGAATCATCTATCATAGACTGAACAATAGAGTTGAAAACCAATTGCTGAGTAAAGCCTGCGCTCAGTACACGGTCACATGTGAGAGTAAACTCCCGGGGCCCTGCCACAGTGATCGTGCGGTCATCAGTGCCCAGCTGGAGCATATGCGGCTGCAGAAGCTCGTTAGCGATGGCTGGTCGTACCCGCATCAAAGATTGGGTCTTGAGCATTGGGTTTTTCGCACGACAAAGGAAAAGCAAATTTACTTGGGGCAATTTACTTGGGGTGGCTAGCGCAACTGGCTGAAGAGAATGCACACTAAGATAAGATTAATCAGCGTTACGCATCCAGTAACAGTTATCACAATCCAAAGAGCCGTTATTGTAGCGGGGCCACAGCATGTGCATTTTTGTGGAGATGCTCGGGATGGATAGTAAAGCCCGTCGTCTCTATTGACTCGAACAGCTGCGACTTGATAGCCTTCTGTAGTCTCAGACGGTGAGCTTCCACTGCGAGCCGCAAGTCTGCTCCGGTTGTCGTCTTTGACCATTGCCTTCCGATCTTTTTGTTCTCCTCTAGAACTTCTTCTGAGTCCTCGATCAGATGATACACTACTCCGGCTGCTGAAATCACTATATGAGTATTGATAGCCTGAGTCCTCAGTGTAGCTACTATGCTTTGAAGTGCTCTGGGTGTGAGGAAGTGCATCAATACGGCTTTTACGTCGAGCTGGTTTCCTCTTGCTCTTTCTTTTCTGTACGTATCTTGTACCTTCAGGTCTCTTGTTGAGAAGAACAAGCCCTATGCAGATAAGGCCCTCTATCTCTCCTTGCGCACCGTCAAGCCATAGTCTGAACTGCTCCGTATCATGCTGACTAACTTTTCCGTCTGCTGCAAACATTTCTACCTCACCAGACAGAGGGCTTACAACTCCAGCGCGCAGAGATAGAGTCTCAGAGGGGCCATTACTTTGCGCTGCAAAGATAACCCCGATTGTTAGGTATTCTAAACCTTCAAACACAAAGGCTCTGTTTGACTCGTTGCCTGTTCTGAGACACCCTTCTTGGCTGACTAAGAATATAAGGACAGGGATGCTGCTGGATAGTACGGTATCTTTTCTTCGGCAGAGTGGACATACTGTCGCTGCTTCTTCAAGGAACTCAGTGAGGCGAGGCCCAGCTGACGGTGTAGGAACGCAGATGGGAAACGTCGTGCTCGCCTGGGCTCCACAGGTGCACTTGATAGATTGCTTGAAAAGCCTGCTTATAAGCATAGAGGGCAGCTTGCCATATATGTCCTTAATGTAAGAGGCAACTCCGGCCCCTGATCTGACGGGTTTCTCTAAAAAGCATTGCTGGAGATCTGTCAAGTCCACCGTTCGCAAAGTCATACCATCAAGCAACGCCTTGTGCCAGTAGATAACAGCCGGGTCGCGCTCTGCCCGTTCCTTCTCGGTGATCACATCCCGGATATCCAGCGTCAACCCTTCCTGTTTGACAGCCATAAGCACGGCCCGGTATATTGCAGCAAGCAAGCAGGACGGCCGCCCCGCAAGCGCAGGTAGATACCCGCGGAAAATGGTCATCGCAGAGCAAATTTACTTACCAATCCTCGCAAGGCGCTCAGCGTTGCGCTCCTGGCGACGCTTGATGGCTCTGTAACGGCTCCCGTTCATGTACAGCTCCTTTATTATGCAGTTGGAGGGATGGATGGGATACGGAACGGGCTTCGCCTCCGGGTTGCGGGCCTTCTGGTTGATGCCCTCCACGCAGATCTTGTAGTCCCTGCGGCGCACCTCGACAACCTTCCCGGTTCCCTTGTGGCCACCCGTGAAAATCTCGACGATGTCTCCCCTGCGGATGGGCATGGTCTTGATCTTGTGCTCTGCGCGAAGCTCCTTGGACAAGCGCGAGGACATCATCTTGGCCCTGGTCTCTGCGTTAGCTGTGAAGTAAGCCTTGCGGCACTTGCGACGGGACGCGGTGACGGCGGAGTTGAGCTTCATTCCAGGCTTCGCCGGGTGATTCAAAAAATGGGCCAATTTCCATTTCAAATCGAATTATTTTTTTGGGGTCTGTCGCCGGCTCAACCTTTATGGGCAAGCGGTGGGTCCGCGATGGGCGGCGGATGCAGGGAGCAGTGTCTTCCGAAAAGGTTCCTGATGGATGCGATGGCATTCTTGTTACATCGGCGTGCTTGGACCCCCGAACGGTCGCAAAAAGCGCCGTCCGGATCCTGCACGACTACGTTTCTGCCTTCTCGTTGTTGCATGACGAGTGCGCTACTCTAGAGGACGAGCTTGCTGCTTTGGCTCAGGGCAAGGACCGTCTGCTTACGATACCCACGGGTGTACGCGGGTTCGTCTTTGTCGGCTGGACACGCGATCCCATGTGTCCAGATGCAAACGCTGTTGTGGACTGCCTTAGAAAAGCGCTGACAGAGGAAAGGTCGTTCTATCAGATCAGTCGAATCTACCCCGTGCTGGCTACATCAGGGTTTAGGACAGCAGAGATACACCGCGGCACCACCAGAGCAGTGACTGCCTACCTTGGTGCACTTGAGAGTGCAGACTCATCCATTAAGGGCATGTGTACAGAAGAGCGGCCCTTCTTAATTAGAGTCTCTGCAACCATCCGCCACAACACGAGCTGCGACGCCAAGACTGTCGAACAAGAAGCCTCCGATGCAGCTTTAACGGCGGCGCAGACCCTTGGCTGGCATGTCTCTGTCATGCCTGCAGGGTCTGACGCCTTTCTAATTATCAACATATGCAGAACCACCGCCTATTACACAATGAGGGGCGATGATTGCAAGATGTCCTATGCCACGGTGGGCTCGCAGTAAATACCACGGTAAAAAATGGAGGTCTTTGTCAATGAGGCGGCATTCAAGGCCTTCCTGCGGGAGTCTGAGAAGGTCAGGTATGACGAGCCATCTGTCGCAGCCTTGGCGAGTGATGTTGAGCCGTACAGACAGGCTCACGAACGTCGCGAGAGAGCAGTCCTAGCATTTAGGCGGAAGCCTCGCAATCAGGTCGAACGCACGGAAAACATGACCGAAGAGGATAAGCTTAAGAAGCGTGATGAAGTCATGAAGCGCGTGAACTCTATGTCCATGGTCGATCTCCTCACGGATCTCATGCAGGAAAAGAAGCTTACACTTTCACGGGGCGAGCAGGCCGATTTTGCAGCCCTTAAGCGGCGCCGTATGTTGGAGCACGGTGCTAACACCCCCAAGCGTAGGCCTCTCCCGCTACCAGAGCTCAAGAAGCTCCGCCAGGCAGAGCGTGCCTACAATAGGCAGTGTCAGGACGAAACCAGAGAGACGGGGCTCTACGGTATAAGTAAGACCGGCAGGAAGTATACTCCAGCAATGGGCACCATGGAGAATATTATGGATCTGACGTGGGAGAAGGTGCATCCTGAGGCTGCAAAGAGACACCGTAAGCTTTCTGACCACCGCGGGAGGCCTTCAATGTGGGACGGGTCTCGCAGCATAGATGGACTTCTAGGAAGGTATGCGGATGGAGAGCTCCGCATTAGACACTCCACCATCCGGAAGCTTGGAGGCAGAGTTGAGACAGCCAGGGACCGAAAGGCCCAGAAACCCGTCCGCCGCGAGTCCTAGAAGTGAATATTTACTCAACCTCCGGCTCCTCGGTGCCTTCGGCATTGCCATCTTGTTCGTCGTGATTCTCCGTCTGTTTTGGCTCCACCTCTGCGGCGGCAGAAGCAGCATCGCTCGCGGTGTCAACAGGGTACTCAACGCCGTGGGGCTCTGGGTTTGTGGGCGCTGTCGCCATCTGCATCTTCTTCATGCGCTGAGAAACAAACATGGAGACAAGCATCATAGCAGGGCTTATCAATCGCTGCCAGACAGGCACCTTTGCAGCGACCTTCTTCTTAGAGATGGAGTAGGTGAACAGCTGTGCATCCTTGCGTAAGACGCTGAGTGTAAAGTAATTTCCATTGACAATTGAGGCAGTAATGGCGTCTCCAGCGACAGTCTTTTCACGGGCCTCGATGCTCCCTGTATTCTGATCTACCTCAAATACAAGCGTCACGGCGGGGGACCCCTCCAACTTCACATCAACAGCGGTCTTGTTGAGAACTTCAATATCAAGCTTGTAACTATGCAAGACTTCAGTGGTCACATTGTCGCCTTCGCCAGTGATGAGGACTTCCTTCAGGAGCCCAGAGGACGTCCCATTGGTCAACTCCAGGGCTCCTTGATATGTCTTCTGGACATCACCAAAACCCACACGGAGCGTCGCATTGTATTCTCCAGCCACAAGGTCCTTAACATCAAACGCTGCTCGCCCCTTCCCTGCGGTCTTCCCAGGCCCCACGGGCGCAGCAAGAACCAGTGCGAGCAAAGAGAGCAGCATCTCGTCTAATCTTTTTAATTAATTGATTCACTCAAACTCGGATTTGAAATCAGTCCAATCGCCGAGGGGCTCGCCCGTGTGGGTCCAGACACTGTTTGCCACAGTGGTCACCTCTCCGGGGATCTTGAACTCCACAAGGGAATCCAAGATGGCCTTCCCGAGACCAAGCTCAATCTGGTGCTTCTTCTCATTGGACAGAAAGTCGTTGCTTTTGCGCTGAGCAAGGGCGATATGCGCCGCAGACATGTAGACAGCCCCGCACACGCTCGAGTTGACGCAGCGCGCAAGGTCGCAGAAGTGCGCACTCTCCATCTCCATCATGGAGAACCCAGGAACTGTCTTGATGTAGTGGTCGACGAGCTCCACGTTCTGGTCCTGGAAGTTCTGGTCCTGACGGCCCTGTGACGAATAGAAAGAGCAGCAGGACAGACAGGCGCCTGCGTGCATCTTGTATGAAAGTGTCGAGACGTGCTTGCGAACGATGGACGTCAGATCACGGTCAGGATGCATCTCTCCCGAGACCAGGTAGCGCTGCTCGATGGGGAGGCTCTTCCCCGGACCAAAGGCATCCGGGTTGCGGAGAACGGTGTGATAGACGTCCGGAACGATAATGTCGCCCACCTTTGCATCCTCGAGGGGTGTTCCGCAAGTGCCGATACGGACAATGGCAAAGGGCCCCTGGATGCAGTGCCTGAGCTCGCGGAAGGTGAAGTCGGCGTTGGGAATGCCCATCAGGCTCGTGATAATGGTCACCGGGACCCCCTTGTAAAGCCCCGTGATCGTAGTGAAGAGGCGGGGGGCGCGGCGAATGAACTTGACCTCGAACCCGGGCGTCTTGGCTATCGCAACCGCGCGAGGGACGTCTCCGACGGTTAGGACGCGGTTCGCAGCCTCCCCGGGACGGATGAAGAGGTGGTAGACTCGTCCGTCGGCGTCGGTGGGAAAGTTGGCGTTCTGCATCCTCGACTTTTTTGAAAAACGCTAAACGTTAAACGATAAAACGATAAAACACCAAAGGGGAAAGTTTCATTAATTTACCTTCGCATCTAAAGTGAGGGTGGTCCGCAAAAGTTCATATAAACATTTATAAGGGCTACACCGCCTACTGAATGAGCGTGTACTCGAAGATAGGTTGATCATCTGCTTCTATTTGCTCTATTCCCGGGTTCAGCCCGAAGACGAGGCAGACAACGAGCTTGAAGAGGCGGTTTATGTTCACTCCAAGCTCTGCAGACGTGAACACTAAAGGGCAGTTCTTCATCGCCTTGCTGTAGCGGCGCGCATGCTCTATGATTTCCCTTTTCTTGTCTTCCCGGAGCTCGCGGAACCGATCATACTTGGCTCCCACGAGAACAGGAAAGGCAGAGCGGTTGAGGGCCTTTGCCTGCCGATACCACTCCTTTATGCTAGCAAGGCTTGTTTTGGAAGTGAGGTCGAATATATAAAGAAAGACCATGGACCCATCGCACACCAACGGGAGCATGTTCTTAAATTCAGATTCTCCGCCGAGGTCCCAGATGGACAGGAGGACGGGGTTGTCGTGTAGGGTAATTGTACGCTCCATGAAGTTGACCCCTAGAGACTGGATATAGTTGTGGTTGAACTCGCCCTCCACGTACCGCACCATAAGGGAGGTCTTTCCCGCCTCTGCGTTCCCCAGAAGCGCTATCTTGACTATGAGCTGTTGACTCATTTGAGCAAATCCTTTCTTTTAAATCTAGCATTTACTCGGCGTGCGCTGCTCACATTGAAAGAGTCAGCTTAAGAGAGGCGCCCTCCATACGGTCTAATAGAAGAGTGAATGTCCGCAGGTCTATCCGACGCTCGAACTCCTCGGGGTCTTTTTCGATGATGGCAAACATGCCGTCTATGGTGTTCCGTGCGATAGACTTTAGAGAGGCAAGAGAAGGCCCCTTGCCGTCGCTGTTATCCGCCACACCCAGGACACTCGTCAGGATCTGGGTCATGTCTGCCTCGTCGATGATGGCGTTCCTGTCCACATCGTACACATTAAAGATGAACGTGGCCTTCTTTTCGAGACTCGTCCCCCCAGAGAAGACCTCGATGTTTTCTATGAAGCTTTTCAGGCTGATCCGATCTCTGTTCATATCGATGAACTGTAGGGTCACCCTGTCCTTGAGTGGGTTTGTGCTTATCTCCGGAATGTCCAAAAGCGTCTGGCGCTCAATGTATTTCTGCCCCTTAGAGAGTCGCATGAACCGCCTATAGAGCCGCTTCTTCTCCCGAAGCATCAGTGACGAGGTAATCCCCCGGAAGTCCTCGTCGAATGTCTCGTTGCTCCACGCGGCCCCCATTTTCCCTTTCCTTTATTGTTTCCTTTATTGTTTTTTGTCATGCAGCACCCCGTTTTACTCGAAACGATGCGTCGATACGAGAACCTGGATCCTCGTGTGCCCCTAATTTTGTCGAACTTTGACCTACTAGGGCCTTGTTCAGACCAAATACTTCATTTAGATACGCTTCCCGAAGCAAGAGAGCCCACGCTCTCCCTCATGAGCTGGCTCAAGAGTATGGTAGGACTGCGACCGCTACTAACTGAAGGCCTCTACAGAAATCTCCCTGGAACGCTTTTACGGCTCCTTCCATCTCCCCGTTTAAACTTTACTCCGCCCCCGGCAATTCTTGTCTGCAGTGATGTCATTGCAGCTGTGGCGTCCTACGGAGGAAGTACTATTCGATTAACGTTGGGCAGATCGTCGTCGCAGACTGCCATATATCTGGATGTCAATCTTCATGACCGTCTGGCTCCTATGGGAAGCGTCATGATCCTGTCAATGGCATTTTCTGGCATGCGGACACTGGCAGTAGGCCTCTGTGACTGTGTTGTCATTCTGAGAATCACCATTAAGCGGAGAGCACACAAGCTGTCGGCCACCGTTGTCCACGTTGTCTCTCTGAAGAGCAATATCTTAGAGAATGACGTAGACAGCAACCACAGGAGATCCCATGCTCCCGTGTATCCAGTTGTTGCGCAGACTCAGAAGGTAAGTACAGGGAGAGCGCCTATGCGTCTCTTCTATCGGCAATATCTGCCATCGTTTATGACTGCCAGCTCCTGCGGGAGGTACCTCGCTGTCGGAAGTCATCTCTCCTCGCGCATTGTTCTTGTCTCCCTTACCAAACTTAGCCCCATCACAAGCTTTGTCATCAGCGGCCAGTGCACAGCCATAGCGATGTCGCAGCGTGGCTTCTGTCTGGCTGTAGGAACAAGCATGGGAGAGCTTTTGATTTACGACTTTCTTACCAATCGCTCATGCACGGTCCAAAACCTTCCTTCTCCTCCCAATGCAATCTCCTTTGCGAAGCACATCCGGTCCTCTAATGCTGCTTGCATCACAGCCATGCAAATAGCCAGGGGAGGAGATAATGTGATGCTGGGTGGAGAGGACCTCATCAATGAGCTATATAATTCCGGGCTGGACCTGGAGGACAATACTCTCAATACGTCCACTGCCAAGCATACGATATTAGAGTCTTCAAATGGGTCGGCAGGTAGTACCTTCCTAGAGAACGAGCAAACCTTCGAGTACAGTCCCACACTTTGCTTTGGACTTTCGGAAACCCTTGTCTTTAGCTGTGCGCGATCTCCGCTAATGTACTTCTACTCCGCTGGAAGCTTCGATGGGGCAGCAATGACTCCTACTATCCGTCTGCAGCACATGGGTACATTTTCTGCTGCGCCATACGAGGTTAGTGACGGACGAGCGGCAGGAGGATGCATCACGGGCCTTGATTGGCACAACGACCAACTAGTTGTTGCTTGTGCCAACGCCAAGGACCTTTCGGGAACCATAGACTGTTCGCTCCTCGTGTTGTCCACGAAGGTTGAGTACACAGGTGCTGGTCTCAAAACGTTTCTGACTGGAGTCGTTCTTCCTCCCCTCGGGGAACAGATTTGCGACGGGGTCGACTCTGCGTGCGCGACTGCATTAGGAGGATCCTGCCTGGTAGCTTTCGGCCGGACGGTCTACCAAATCATCGTCTGAGTATCTATAAATTCATTTTGTCTATGATTAACCGTGCCCACCTCTACCAGCTTATGGCGAGGCAGTTGCACGACGATGGCAACTACCTTGCTAGTGTCCTCTTCCAGCGTTCCACGGCCACCCCATTCCCTCATTTGCCCGCAGAGTCCCCGTCTCTCCTGCAGCTCGTGAATCATTCTCTCGGAAGCACCAGGGGTGTAAGCGAGGTTCAAGGACTCCTTGGTAGCGTCACATCCATTGCAGACACGCGTCAGCACTCTCTAGACAGCGGCTTAGCCGGGTCTCGTACAGGCGCCTCTCAGGCCCCTGGGTTTTACGATCCAAGTATGCTTCACCACTTCTCTGTGCGGCACGAAGGTAAGTACCAAGACAAGGCCACTTTCAGCAAGTTTTCAGGAGATGGGAAGTACCTGATCAGCGGGGCTGCAGACGCGTGCCTCAAGCTGGTTAACGTTGGCATTGCAGTTCTTTCTGGGCAAGCACTTAAGGAAAAGTACCGCCGCACATATTACGGTCACTTCGGAACAGTGACCGACGCATCTTTCCATCCTTACGCCCACGTTGTCGCTTCATGCAGCAAAGATTCGACTATCAGACTATACTCAACGCAGCCAAAGGACGTCGTCCCCAGAGACATGCTAGAAACATTCGACCTGGCCACCAGTTTGACATCAGTAGCTTGGAATCCCTGTGGAACAATCCTTGCAGCATCATCGGGAAACGATTCTCAGATACGTCTCCTTGACATCAACAAGTATGAGCGAGGCGCAGGAATACCTATCACGAACCCGATATCTGGCGCGTCCTCCATTTCGGCCGTCGGATTCAACAGCCAACTGGTCTCTGCAAGCCTCATGTGGGCGACCTATGGGGGAGGTATAGTGTTCTATGACATACGGAGTGGAAAGACCCTTGCAGACCTCCATGGCGGCGGCAGAGCAGCAGCCCAGGGGGTATCCTTTAAGGGGTCGAGGCGAAACGTATCCGCACACTTCCTCGGGGACGGGTATCGCTACCTACTTTCTTCGGACGATCCATGTGAGCTGTATGACATCAGAGACGCATCTCGGCCGGTCTGTGTGTTCCCAGATATTAGGCAATGCGCAACGACCATGTGGAATGACACCATCATTGTTGGGCTTAATGCCGAACAGCGTCCAAAGGCCGTCGGGTGCTTCCTCAGCAGACCAGGACCGGCAACGATCCTAGACACCAAGTTCAACCTATCGCACTGCAGCGGCCACCCAACAGAGCCAATTTTCGCGTTTGTCTACGATAAGACAGTTCACATTTCTTATTGCGGCAGAGACGCGGGTCAAAGGTAGGCTTCTTAAAATGTCTACCGTTGCCGGCGCTCTCAGAGATATTAGGGCAGGATTAGGACACGCAAAGCTCATTGCTGTCTCAAAGACAAAGCCAGTAGAGGCAATTCTCGAGGCGTATGCGGCCGGCCAGCGTCTGTTTGGAGAGAACTATGTCCAGGAACTAGTGAAAAAGGCTGAGGCCGTGCAGGGCGTGGCAAGCGATATTGAGTGGCACTTTATTGGCCACCTACAAACTAATAAAGCACGAGACGTCGCCTTCATTCCAAATTGTGTTGTCCAGACAGTGGATTCTGATAGGCTTGCCAGGCGATTGAGCGAATTGCGACCAGATGAGCTGGGTCCGTTACGGGTGATGATACAGATTAACATTAGCGGTGAGCTCACAAAAAGCGGGTGCACCGTCGAAGATGCAATTGAATTGGCTCAGTTGATTAGTGCCCTTCCTCGACTTAGACTTATTGGACTCATGACCATAGGAGCCCCAGATGCCTCGGAATACTCCTTCAGAGCACTTGTGGACGCCCGCAATGTCATCGAGCAAGCCGTCAAGCTTGAGGAGAAGCTTGAGCTCTCCATGGGGATGAGTTCCGACTATCAATTGGCGGTGAAGATGGGCGCTGACTACGTCCGAGTTGGATCTGCCATCTTTGGCGAGCGCACTTATTCACAACAGAAGGGTCAACTTCAAAATTCGGATGAGTGAACTGGATTCTAACCCCGTTGCATCTGAAGTAACCCAAAGCTCCTTAGCCCCTGCAGAGGAACAGAGTCACTCGGAGGCTGCTGGTGAGACGTGCGAGCCTCAGTCTACTGACCCACAGTCAGAGCACGAGCAGTCAGCAGAGCCTCAGCCCGACGACGAGGCTCAGGGCCCTGAGACCGTTGCAGAGAGCGGCGAGCCACCAGAAGCTGCTAGTGGTTCTGGAAGCATCTCTGGCGCAATTGATGATGTAACAGAAGCCATGGAAGAAGAACAGGCCAGTAAGCTTCAGCCGCAAATGCAACTGACGAAGGATGAGATAGCATACGGACTGAGCTACTTCTCCCACCAGCACGGTTATACAAATCAGTTCAATGTAGTAACCCCAGACCTTTTCCAGAAGCGTATGCAGCCCATCTGCGAGCTGTCTCTCCATGGGTGCGAACACTTGCTCCGGGCACCCTTCACTGGTAGCATTAATGGCAGGGCCGTGGGAGGACAGACGCGGGGGGACCAGGGAGGTGCAGGGGCTCTGGGCAAACGGACTTGTTTGACACCCGCGCAAGTCAGCGAGATCATGAGCTACCGTGTCGGGCCCTCAGACGACAAAGACTTTGCTCTGGAGTCCTTCAAGATGCTGGGCGCAGCTTCCATTAAGGATACTGTGCCAATAGAAAAAGTGGCCGATTTACTTATATCTGCTTACCGCGACATCGAGACCCAGCTAGAAGAGGCCAAGGACTTTCAAAGCATTTGTGAATACTTGACAGACAAGAACACACAGCTTGAGAGAATTAAAGCCAAGACAGAAGGGCGAGAGGTAAAGAAAGTTGTGAGCAATGTACGGACAGCTCCAGACCCTACTCGCCCCAGAACACCGCCGCGACTCCGGACCCCTAGCGGCCTGAGCAGGAAAGCAGTTGTCGACCCTCGATGTCAGTACGCGATCCCTCTTCGCGAAGATATACTCTATGTCCTCAGGAAGTGTTGCATCGGGGAGGACAGTGATAAGATGGACTATCTCTCTTGGAGGGAAATATTCACGACGCTCCTTTCAATGAAGTTTGTTGACTATCGAGAAGAGATCACCCAGATGTCGCATTAGGCTTTTCTCTTTCGTTTGGAATCACGGTCTGCCTTCCTGGTGGTCGAGTCCACCAGCTTATCTAGCTTGCTCTGCGTATCCTCAATATTGGAGCGGGCATAGTCTAGGTGCTTTCCCATTCGTATCACGTCGTTAGCAAGCGTGCTGTCTAGTAAATTCTCAGTAGCGTCCTCGGCTGCCCGGGCCTTCTTCTCTAGCTCACGCCGTTTTCCACTTGAGACACGCCTGTAGTTCTCCATCTCATACTCGTCTAATTCACGATCAATGGTGGTCCGGCCATGTCCGGCTCGCTCCTCGGAGGGCCTTCCCTCGTAGTAGTCAAGAAGATCCAAAACAACTCCTTGCTTGACCAGTCTGCGAGTTGAGATGGCGGCGTCTCGCAGCTGTTGCGCAGACGGGCCATCTGGTCCTGCGTCCATGTCACGCTTCTTGCGGAACTTCGAGTTGGAGACCGCTTCTTTCTCTTCCTGAGATTGCCGCTGCTTACGCTCCACCATTTCATCAAGTGGCTCCTCGTGGCTGTTGCTTCGGTCCGAGTCTGATAGTAGGTCGTCGATGGCCGCCTCCCTCTCTATGGGGGCCCTGTGCACCGTGGCAGCCATGTCGTTGACAACGTTCTGTAGCATGGAGGCTATCTGGCGACTGAGCCTCTTCTCGAGAATAAGCGCTTTGTCATACAGGACTCTTGTTTCTATAGCTTCCGCGACACAGGGAGAGATCTTGTCGAGTAAAAGCGTCCCGGAGACCTTTTCCTCGGTAAATGCGGCCAGTGCATGAAGGTACTTGGCAAGAATGATGTTTTTTGCAGCCAGAACAGGGAGGCCTCCAACTGTGCGGGTCTCCTCCTTGAGCTTGGATTGGAGGACCCCGACTGCCTTGCAGACATCATCCATCTGGCTGGAAAGCCCCTGAAGCGCTGCGCGGAGCCGAGGGCCGTCTGCTGCAAGAAGCTCGTGCTCGCCCAGGGCCATTTTTTGTAACGATTTAAATGAGGGCGTCCTTGAGCAGGCGGGGCCGTGCCCGTGCACGCACCGCTCGGCCTCCCCCCGGGTCCCGGACCGGCCGGGAAAAGCACCCCCGGCGAGATTCGAACTCGCAACCTCTTGATTAGGAGTCAAGCGCGCTATCCATTGCGCCACGGGGGCGTGCCGGCGCGGAGGAGGACGCGATGGGCGTGAGAGAGCCCTGCGACTCCCCCTGCAAACGGGTGAGCGCCGCTCCTTTACTTCCTCCGGCACGCCGCCTGGATCAGCGCGACGACGGCCGGAGCCCCGCTGGCCTGCATCGCCGCGTGCAGCATACCCACGTCGAGCTCGTCGAACTCGGCCTCGAGCAGTGCCTTGACACACTCTGGCTGCCCCGCACGAACCGCGTATTGGAGCGCATTCCGTCCTCGTGCATCCCGCATTCCCTTCTCGTGGTTCAGCAAAAGCGTAACAACCGGAAGATGGCCCTTGAAGGCTGCGATCATCAGCGCGGTGGTACCTGTCGTCGAGGTCCGCCTGATGTCTTGCAGATGGGCGCGCGCAGCATCGCAGTCACCACGCTTCGCAGCCTGCATGAGATTAGAGAGGGCCTTCCCATAGCCCCAATTTGACAGTGCCTGCGAAGACTTCACAGGGCTATCACGAGGAGGAACGCTCCTGGCAGCGTGCCTAGTCTTCTTGGGTGACTGCAGCTCAGACGGGGCCCTCGAGGATGGTGCGGAAATCTTGACGCTTATCTTCTGCGAGGAGGTAGCTGAAGTGGTGGGCGCGGTCGTCTGCCGCATACACAAAAGAACAGGAACTGGAGATGAATAAGTAGACGCCAACGCGCCAGAGTTTGGGAGTTGAAGAGGGCTTCTATGAGATAGATGCGCGTATTCTTTGCTTTGGTGGATGGCACGCATGGCTTCATGCTCCATCACCGCGCTGGCTGAAAGACGGGCAGAGGCTGGGGCGAGGAGGCCTTCCACAAGAGCGCTGATCCCCTTGCTGTAGGGGGTTTTGCTGATGTCCGCCAGAATGGAGGCCGTGTATTGCTTGATCGCAGCGTTGAGGCCAGCACTCTCTACAGAGAGCAGCGGGGGCGGCACTCCTGTGCAGAGCTCGTAAACGATACATCCCAACGACCACATGTCAACGCATGGGCTAGAGATGCGATCTGCCCAAACTTCAGGGGAAAGATAGCAACGCTCAGGGGGAAGGGGACCACTGATGCGTGAGCCGTGGATTGACGATGAGGAGAAGTCGCCAAGCATGATAGTGGACCCGCCATGGATGTAAATAGTCTGTGGGCTAAGAGAGAGGCAGGCCAAGCGTACGGGAGCGTTTCCGATGGAGATCAGACCGGAGCTGAGGAAGGAAAGAACGGCGGCAATTTGGTAAGTGATGCGTAAAATCTGCTCTTCTGGAAGACGGTCACCCAAGACAGTCCTGTGGCGGATATAGGACGCAAGAGTAGTGGCGCCCGTGATATCAAGCTCTGCAACAAGCGAGCTGGGAGTAGTCTTGACAATGGTGCACCCAACCAGGCCAGGGCTTGAGAGCTTGGAAAGCAGAGAATAGGCGGCCAAGATGCGCTGAGCGCCAGACTTAGGCATGCTAGAGAAGTCCACCTCCCGTATGAGAAGATCGCGCCTCTGGTCATCAGTAGCTGCATAAACCTTCTCAAAGAAGTCGCAGGAAACCAGAGACTTGCGCCTGACGCGGCCCCCTGTTGTGTCAACAGCCATCCACAGACCCGGCGCCAAAACCCGAAAAGCGAAATTAAAATAATCTGCCCGATGATCAGCAGTCCTTTGGTTCGGCCCGCGACGCTTCCAGACCCTTATGTGGTCGACAAGCGCGTCGCCACTGGCGTGGTAGGCACCGTGTACAGAGCTCACAACTCTGAGACCCAGGCCCCAGTCATTGTGAAGAAGGTTAGCTATCTAGGGATCCGGCTGAATGACACGCAGGCAATTTTGGACGATGTAGAGGCGCTTTCGCAACTCTCGTCTCCGTACCTGACCCACCTCGAGTCGGTGATTCATGATTCGCGCCACCGTCTTTACTACTTGATCTCCGAGGTCTGCGTCTCGAACCTGCAGCTTCTTATTAGCACACACATCAAGGAGAACCGCTTCCTTGCAGAGGAGCGCATCTGGAGCCTTCTGGAGCAGGCTCTTAAGGCGCTTGACTACCTGCATACGGCGGAGAAGAGAATCGTCTTCAAGGACGGCCGCGAGCTCAAGTACCGCGAGGTCTGCCACGGGAATCTCAAGCCTTCGAACGTTATGATCAGCGAGACAGGCGTCGTCAAGCTCGGCGATTTCTCCATCAACAAGGCAATCAGCCAGCTTTTCATGGACAAGGCAAGCCACCAAAGTGTCCAGTACATGGCTCCGGAGCTCTTCGATAGCGACGGTTCGCGTCCCGAGTACAGCCCCGCCTCGGACATCTGGTCTCTTGGTGCGATTATCTACTCTGTTGCCATGTTGCGCGCGCCCTTTGTAGCTCCTACCAAGGACGACACCATCAAGAAGATCTGCACTGGCACCTATTTACCTATCATCAATTACTCGACCGATCTGCAGAATGTCGTGGCACGGATGATGGACTTGTCGCCCGCAAACCGCCCCACAGCAGCTTCTCTTCTCACCCATCCGAAGATCGATAAAGCTACAGAGAGGTTCATGTCGTTCTTAACAGCGTCCCTTCCAACTTTCGACACCCACGAGGAAAGACACGATGAGAAACCCGACACGATTCTTCTGTCCATCAAGAACATGGTCTCAGAGGAGGAGAGCGTGGAAAGACTCCAGGACGAGCTGGATCCGCCAAAGGATAGGTTCCTTGACGCACTTCTCACTCGCAAGGCTGAGAAGCCCGTCACAGACTCCGCCATCTTTGTGCCTCCTTCTGTAGATCAAAAGAAGATAGAACTCTCGCAAGAGGGTGACACACCACTAATTGCGGCGGCGCGCGCAGGCGACCTCAACGGCTGCAAGCAAAACCTGAGTCAAGTGACGAAACACAATAGGGCCGGGCTCACCGCGCTCATGGCAGCAGCAGCAAATGGCCACCTCGAGTGTGTCAAGCTTCTTCTCGAGTATGAGAAGGGGATCCGGATGCGCACAACCAAGTGGGACTTCGGGTTTAGTGCTCTCTCTTGGGCTGCGATGAATGGACACGTAGACTGCGTGAGGATCCTCATCCCGGCAGAGGCTCAGCTGGTCACAGAGCGCAATGTCACGGCTCTCATGTATACTTCGTGGTGGAATCAGCCTGCGTGTGCGGCTCTCCTCATAGAACACGAGGCCAAGCTTTGCGACATCGATGGACGCACAGCCCTCATGATGGCTGCGGAGCGTAATCACGTCGACTGCGTTCTGCAGCTCAAGGAGAAGGAGCTCAAGATCACGATGAAGAGCGGATACTGGGGTGTCGGGTTCAGCGCTCTGTCGTGGGCCACCATACGGGGCCACCATGAGGCGGCTGCCGTTCTCCAGGAGGAGATTGGAATCTATGACGTGAACGGGATCAGTACGCTCATGTATGCGGCTTGGAATGGAAGTGTCGAGATCGCGAAGCTGTGCCTTTCCGCCGAGGTTGGGCGCAATGACGTGTTCGGGAGAACTGCTCTCATGGTGGCTGCAGAACGCAACAATATCGATGTCGCAATGCTCGTCGTGGATAGAGAAGCCGGACTGACGTCCTCGGATGGGCGCACCGCGCTCATGAAGGCCGCAGAAATGGACGCGGTGGATGTTGCAAAGCTTCTTCTCAGCAAGGAGGCCACAATGCGCTGCAAATCTTATTCCTGCTCCAACTGGGAGTACACTAACGTCACGGCCCTTATGATCGCTGCCTTCAAGGGAAGCGCGAATGTCTGCAATCTCCTTGTCCAGGAGGAGGCCGGCCTGAAGGACAACTCCGGGTGCACCGCGCTAATGGCTGCTGCTCATTGTGGCCACGAAGAGGTCTGCCGCATCCTTCTTCCAAGGGAGGGCGGGATGGCCAACAACTCAAAGAGCACCGCGCTCATGGCCGCAGCTAGTAAGAACTACTTTAGGTGTGTCGAGATATTGCTCGAGAAGGAGGCTGGGATGAGCGTGAACGCCTCCACCAGCGCGCTTACAATGGCAGCCCGCTGCAACGGAGTCGATAGCATCCGCTTGTTGGGGCCTCGTGAGGGCAAGGCGTTCGGAAAGGCTGCTCGCGCAAACACGATCAACAACGACGTCAAGGCGCTAATAAAGACCTACATGAAGTAACTTGTAAATAATCTGATTGATTTACACCCGCCTGACTATTTAGCCTCGAAGACACTCAGGTGGTTTTTGACTTCGTTTCTGTCTTCTTCGCGAACGAAGTTGTCCATAAGGTCCAGAGCCGTGTTGTTGTGCTTTGTTCTGAGCCCACGCTCCTTGTTTCCCAAGACGTCTATAGCATCTAGGCTGCAAACGATGACGGCATTCATAAGAGACGTCCAGCCCTCGATGTCCTGGAGTCCACCTTCACGCGCCAGTAGGAGCTTTATGCACTCCAGATGACTGTTTGCCGCTGCTAGCATGAGAGCTGTGCGCCCAACTTTGGTTACAAGGCCAGATTCAGCGTCCATCAGTAATCTGACACACTCGGGGCTGTTCCGCTGAACAGCAAACATCATCGCGGTATACCCTTCGAAATCAGGAGAGACGCTCTGCATGCCTGCCTCGTAGGGAGCAAGCTCCTTCACGATGTTAACGAAGCCCAGCCTCGCAGCAAGCATCAACGCTGTTACTCCCTCGTTATTGTAAGATCTGGCCTGGGTCTCCACAAAGCGTTTGGCAACGTACCAATTGTTGCGCTTGACATGCCGCATGAGAGTCGTGTTTCCGTCCTTGTCTGGCTCCACAGAAAGATCTGTCTGGCGCGGAGACTGCGATCTTTGATCGGGAGCGCCTCCACTTTCCTGGTTGACGACCTGGGGCTCATGCGAAGCGTTAGGTATCCCATGCCTTGTCTTACTCTTTTGGACTTGTGGGAGAGACAGTAGATAGTCTAAGGAGGGGCGTTCATCTATCTGCGGATTCAGGAGATCCTCGATGAGGGTAGTCAGCTCCTCAGATACACCGCAAATGGGAGTGTATTCACGGACCTTCATAGATTGAAGAAGATTCTCAGCCGTGTGGAGGGAAAACGGCTTCCGCAGCATCACCAAAGTATAGATAACAACGCCAAGTGAGTACAAGTCTGATCGCACGTCAGGGATAAAACTATCAAACAGCTCTGGAGCACACATGCTCTTTTGGAAGACGTCGCCCGAGAGCATGCAGGGATGAAGAGCTTGGTCTAAGCACGGAAGCCCAAGGAAGACGAGGAACTCGGCAGAAGGATCGTCTGTGCCTCTTGTGTCTGTCACGAAGATGTTTGTGATTGAAATGCTCATGTGTGCTCCTAGCGCCTCTTGTTGGCGCGAGAGGGTCTTTATCGCCTGGACCACCTGAGATACAACCGCCCAGAGATAATCTTCGGGGAGCTTTTCAGACGCCTCGACAAGAACAGAGAGGGGGACCAGCTTATTAATGTTCTGCAGAATGTAGAGCTGGGAAGAGGACTCATCCCAGACAATCTCACTGATGGGCAGAAAGCCCTCCAGAGAGACGCCAGACAGATCTTGGGCTGTTCTTCGGATCTCGGTCATAATGGCGTCCTGGAGGGAACCAAGTTTGAAGGCGTGGACGGCAACTCGGTCATCACCATCCACCGCTGCCAGAAGGAGCTCCGTCTTAATCGAGTTCTCGGACAGGACCGTTTCGATGGAGTATCTGCTCCCTAGCTCAGACCCTAACATTAACTTTTTATGCTTTTGGGGCGGAACCGATATCCGACAGAAGAGTGAATCATTTACTTGGGGTCCCCATGACATGGCTGAAGACAGTCAGAGAAAAGTCTTGCGCAAAGCACTGTCCACGGAGCTTGTCGGCCAGTATCTCACAAGGACGAGACACGTTTGACGTGGTAGCGAGCTTGAGAGCGCTCTGTAGGTGTTGCAGCGTCTCCAGGGGGGTACGATCGGCATACATTTCAAAGTCGCTGGGCCTCTCTACGGTATGTGTGGCCCGGTCATCCGCTTTGGACTCCTCGTCTATTGTGAGCCCGTGGCCGGTGCCACAGAGAATCGTGACCCAGTCGGTGCTAGCAAGCTTGCTGAGCATGACGCGTTCGTACCCCAACATGCTAAAGGTGAGGGGCATGGCATAGAACTGCTTGTCTAGCCCCCGAAGAAGTGAGGTGGGGTTCTTAGGGCGCATAAATCCTTTGTCAGAGGTAATGACACGTGTATCTGTGCTGCTACCGAAGGAAATTCCAAATGAGAGACCCATGCTTGCGCCGGGAATGAGCCTGAACGCCTCGATAACGAGCTTGCCGGATGTACTATTCATCGGATCCAGAACGATGGCAATGGAGCGATAGTCGAGCCGCTCAAAAGATTTGTGTGTGTTCTGATCGATGTGGCTAAGCCACGCAAAGTAGCCCGGATGCGAGTGGTACCAGCCCACGCAATTCTCCGGTACATTAACCTTTTTCAGCATCTCCATCATTTCTGCCTGGAAAACTTCATCCACAGAGTCTACAGAGTCTGCCTGGCCCACCTGAGGCATGGAAAAGCAGTCGGACACGTAGACTGTGTATTTGTCAACAAAGGTGCCCAGAAGAAGACCCATCACCTCAATGGGAATCCCCTGCTTGCAGTGGCGGAGCATCTTAATGAGGGCAACGTGAGAGACAATGACGCTTTCCGCGTGGTCCAGACTGGGGTTTTGCTTTGCTCGCTGCATCACCCCCATGGGCACCCTGCCTGAAAACATTTTTATGACCGTCTCCAGCATTGTCGACCGGTGCATTGGCCTCTTTGAGGACGACCCGCTACAGGGCCTGGGCCTCTCACACCAGACTGCCGGGCCAGGTTCCACCGCTCGAGCTGTAGACTTGCTGGAGATACGGAAAACTCCGGGGCTCCTCCTAACAGATGACCAGATCCGGGCAGCAGTACGCGTCAAAAGACGCTGCTCCGTGGCAGGATGTAGCAGAATCACAATGCCATTGGCGACTGTGTGCAAGTATCACCTGGCGGGATCTGGTGCCGCAGTGTTTGGCTCCTGCGGCTATCCTGGGTGCACGGCGCCAGTGGCTAACATGAAGATTCTCAGCATGGATCAGGACGCCCTGTGCCCCATCCATGCTGGCGCACCCTTGCTACAGAACAGCGACGAGCGTCAACAGAATGCGAACAGATTCTTCCAGAAGCAGCCTGGCTCAAGCAGTTGCCAGCTCGATACCCTCATCATGGGCACCTGTGACGAGCTGGTGAGGCACTATGCGAGAGACCGGGACCTGTTTTCTGTCTTTGGCCACCCATCCGAAGCTCCAGAAGTAAGTATCTGCTGCAACGAAATGGCAACCCGAGTGGTTCCGATCAATGGAGAGCATGCTACTGCGTGCGTGGAGAGCATGGTTAACCAGATCCAGCACCTCTGCGCAGGGCTCCAGTTGGAAGAGTAGGCTTATCGACACTGGCCCGCATCTTGGGCTTCTTCCGCCTTCTTCCTTATCTTCTTGTGATTCTTCTCTAGCATCACTACGACGGTCGGCATCTATCTGCGCACTCGCTATGCGAGAGACGACGTGCCTTGTCCACAGACGTAAATACACACTGCAGAGACCATTCTATTTCGTATCTAGCACAGAACACATGTGCCGAGGACATCGGTTTGCATGTACTGGCGGGCTGGTGTCTTTTGTATCATTCCCATAGACATCCCCCATAGGAAGAGTCTGATGAGATACATTCTATTAGTCGTAAGCGTTGGTGATGCAAGGTCTTCCAGAGGCGTCTTTAACTATGCCTTTTTCGGATAGGCTTTTCATGGAGTGAGTAGATCGGTTCCTTCAGGCAGCAGTCCACGAGCGCAGGCGGAACAGTGGCGGTGGATTCCAGAAGAGCCTTGTCACATTTGGAGCTATGGGTCGTAGAAAGACTTACATCATCATAGATTGGTATAGTAAAAAATCGATTCACTCTACCCACCAGTTGTTTCCAGTGCTGTGCTGCTGGGCTTTTTGCCCACCATGAAGGAAGGCCAAAAAGCGAGGTATCACTAGTGGACTAGATGTCTGCGAGAAGGCCCTAATCCTAGACAGACCGACGTGCACACTCAGCCTGAGTACACCTCTGTGGAACAACTGAGGGACGCAAAAGACTCCTGGTATACAAATGAAGGGAGATCCCTGATGATATCATCAGCGACCAATCCTCGTCTCCGAACACGACCACAGGAGCGGGGTTTACTCGTGGGATTTCTGGGTGCCCCTACAGGTAATCCCAACAGCACAGCGCTTCTTCCCGTCCAGGCAGCTCTTGTGAAGAGCATCGGTCCAGTTTCATAGCAGTGGACGTATTCACTATCTGAGCGGACCATTCGTGGGGTGATGGCTACTGTCGCAAGTACCGGTGATGTGCGAGGGGCCGTTCTTGAGATGTCACAACGCCCATTCTCTCCTTGGTACCTAGAGACGCCACACACAGGAGAGGCCGCTAGGACACCAGAGATCCGCTACACCGGGGCATGCCTGTGGGGTGCACATTATCCTCACTCACCGTGTAACTACGTCGCCTGGTGTTGCGTGCTCTATGGGCTGCCGGCAATGTTCGGGAAAATCATCTTCGGAATCGCCATCCTGCAAGTGGTATGGGCTGCGGCAGAAACATGCACAGAGGCTACCAGTGACTCACAGTCAGGAAAATGCAAACAAAATATGTGCAATGTCTGGATTGGGGGCTCAAACTTCTGCTCCCAGTGCTCGACAGCAGCAGAGCATCTTGTCAATGGAAAGTGCATAACTACAGGCGAGGATGCTGAAGGAGCATGTACAACAAAGAATGATGGCACATGTACATCTTGTAAAGCCGGCTTCTTCCTGCACAGGGGAGGGTGCTACGAGATGGGAAGCGATATCGGGCTCCTTGTGTGCAACGATAGAACTGCCACGGCTGATAAGGATGGAATATGCATAGCTTGCCACGACGGGTACTTCAAGAATCCTGCATCTGACGCTGATAAAACGAAGGAGTCCTGTATTGCATGCAACAACACGGCCGGTGTGGATCATAATAAGGGGGTTCAGAACTGTGCGACGTGCGACGCCCCGAAAACTCCCGGACAAAGCAGTGCAGAACAGACGGCCACATGTAAAAGCTGTGTGGACGGATACTATGGCACTACAAGCTGTCAGCAGTGCCATGCAGATTGTAGAACGTGCACCGGCAACGGTGAGGATAAATGCACCTCCTGCAAGGATACTGGTAAGCAATACTTCAAAGAAGGGGCCAATAGCGACGGGACAGGCACGTGTGTTGACGAAAACGGATGTGGTAACACACACTTCCCAATAGCAGAGGACAAAAAGTGCCATCTCTGCGGTAGTGTCAGTGAGGGCGGTGTGGCCGACTGCAAGACGTGCTCAAAGACTGGAGATTCCGTTAAGTGTCTTACCTGCGAGGGTACTAAAAAACCCAATGAAGCCGGAACAGGCTGCTTTGTGTGTCCCATGGAGCATTGCGAAAAGTGCAGTAAGGACAACGTCTGCGAAGCTTGCGGATCAGAAAAGAAGCTGAGCCCCTTGGGAGACGCGTGCTTAGATGCCTGTCCCGCGGGAACTCGCACTGACGCTAACGTTTGTAATCTGTGCCACGAATCGTGTGCAAGCTGTAGCACTAACGCAGAAGCGTCGTGCACGGCCTGCTATCCAGGGTATGTGTTGAATCGGTCATCTGATGACACAGGAACGTGCATAAAAGAGTGCACGGGAGACTTTATGGCCCACTGCAAGGCCGACGGCTGCTCACTGAACGTCGGAGGCTCGAAGTACTGCGATCAGTGCGAGGAGGGGTACGCCCCAGTCGACGGCGTTTGCACATCCATACCTGCAACAGCGAGAGATGCCTCCGGATGTAAGGCAAGTGGCGGGAAATGCACTGAGTGTGGGGCAAACTACGCTCTGTTATCGGGCGGATGCTACAACACACAGAAGCTTCCTGGTAGCTCTGTGTGTACGGCTGCACAGAATAAGGGACAATGCCAAACGTGTGCCAACGGACAGACATATGCTGATAAGAATTGTCCGACATGCACTGAAGGGTGTGTGAAGTGTGCGGGTAGTAAGGAAACCTGCACAGATTGCTTAGCAGGGTACTACAAAACCATTGACAATAAATGCGTGAAGTGCACAGCTAGTAGTGGAGATAACAACCAAATCACTGGTGTAGAAAACTGCATCAGCTGTGCCCCGCCAGCTGGTGGTAGCGGCCCTGTCACCTGTTACGTAACGCAACAAAAGGCTGACGATGGCACCGGCGGAGATACTGGAGGAGACAGCACGAACAGGAGCGGCCTCTCCACGGGTGCCATTGCAGGCATCTCCGTCGCTGTCGTCGCTGTCGTGGGGGGCCTCGTGGGCTTCCTCTGCTGGTGGTTCGTGTGCAGGGGGAAGGCGTGACTTAGGTAGTGAATGCTCTATAGTGTGTGATAATAGGTGATAGTGTGTGATAGTGTGATGATAGTATGATAGTGGAGTAAGATATGCACAGCAGCCAAGGATGGAGTGTGCACTGCTTGTAACACAGCTAACCAGTACATATTCCAGAACAAGGCAGAGAGGGTGACTCCTGGTGGGGAGTGCATACTCTGTCATGATGCCACAGGAGCAGATGGATATACGGGGGTGGCTAACTGCGCACAGTGTCAGGCACCACAGAAAGCAGGAGCGGCCACGTGTACAGAGTGTCAAGCAGGGTACGTTAAGGATAGCGCTTCTAATACATGTAAGAAGTGCGGAGAGGGCTGCTTCGAGTGCTCAGAGAGTAATCAGCAATCGTGTACCGCCTGCTTTGAGGGGAAGTACCTGAATACTAACACTTGTGTAGAGGCTAGTGGATGTGGTGCTGGTAACTATGCAGACCCGACAACAGGCCAATGCAAGGCATGTGGAATAGCTGACTGTGCCACCTGTGAGTACAATGCAACTATTAGTCAACTACAGTGTAAGACCTGCAGTACTAGTAGCAACAAGATGGTGAAGACGGCGGCAGATGGGACGACAGAGTGCGTCGATGCAAATGGGTGCGCTCAAGATGGCGTTGAAGGAACACACTTTTTAAGTGAAGGAAATAAGAAGTGTATCCCCTGTGGCGATGATAGCGACAAGACTAGCGGTAATACAGGTGTTCCTGGCTGCAAGACCTGTACCAAGACAGGAAGTAACAATCCAACCTGCTCAGCCTGTCTCGATGGATATTACAATAGCGCAACTGGTGGTAGTGGTACCGCTACGTGCACAGCCTGTCATGCCAACTGTGCTACATGCTCTGCTGCAGGCAATAATCAGTGCACTAAGTGCAAGCCAGGGTACTTCCTGAAACAACCCGGCTCTACTGGTGAGTGTGTTGCTTGCGACAGTACAACAGATGGTGGTCGCGAAGGCTGCAGTGCATGCTCTAACACTGGTGGATTCAAGTGCACTGAATGTAAGCCTAACTACAGAAAAGAAGGAACTTCAGACAACTATACATGTGTGAAGACATGTGAAGACCCCACGGCTTGTGGTGGGACCTCTGGCGCCTGTGATGCCATAGTAATAGATGTTGATGGCACCACAAAGCATTACTGTTCTTACTGTGGAAATCAAGGAGATGTACCAATCAATGGAAAGTGCACTAGTACTAAAGATGGAAATGATGGTTGTACCAATGGTGTCTGTACATCATGTACTGCTGCTAACTACTTCCTCTATATGGGAGGGTGCTATGATGCGTCGAAGGCTCCCGGTAGTCACATATGCAAGACAGCTGAAGGTGGCAAGTGCACAGCTGTTAATGAGAATAATAGGTACTTCATAGTCCCAGAAGCAAAGGCTACTGATCAGTCTGTGTTGGCTTGTAGTAACCCCCTAGGCACACTAGTAGGCACTGATAGTGCTGCTAAGGCATATGTGGGGGTACTCAACTGTTCACAGTGTAAGGCCCCAGCAGCTCTGACTGAGGCTGGTATGACTGCTGCTGTGTGTACAGCGTGTACCAACAACAACAAGCCCAACCTGGCTGGGAGCGGGTGCTTCGCATGTACCGTTGACGGATGCTCGCACTGTGGAGCAGGCGATAAGTGCGAGGCCTGTACCAGTAAAGACCAGAGGCCGAACACAGACGGAACGAAGTGCATCGCCTGCAATATCGACGGGTGCGTCAGGTGCAGCGAGGAGAACAAGTGCGGCCAGTGCAGTGATGGGTACAGACTAGAGGGTGGCAGGTGCGTGTCCTCTGGCGCCAACAGGAGCGGGCTCTCCGCGGGGGCCATCGCGGGGATCTCCGTGGCTGTGGTCGCTGTCGTGGGGGGCCTCGTGGGCTTCCTCTGCTGGTGGTTCGTGTGCAGGGGGAAGGCGTGACTTGGGTAGTGAATGCTGTACAATGGGTGATAGTGTGTGATAGTGTGATAGTGGAGTGTGATATG